CCCCCTGCGATGCTTTTCTGCAAAACCTGCATCCAGTCGCTGACTTTCTCAACTATTAACAGATTTACAGAGGATTCGGAATACATTGCAATGTCCAACAAGTATGATTAACCTGAGAATACCATTCATGTAACGGCAACCTCTTGACATTTCATCCTTGTCCTAGCGTAGTTTGCACATTCCATGTTGAATGACATCGCCAGTCCTTGAGCCATTGCAGCCCGCGAGCCCGATCACCACTGGTCCACCTCTGCCACTCGTTCACCTCAAGTTCATCCGCTCCCGAACAACTATCCCCGCCATCTAAGTGGCCTAAATATCAAACGAACTGTCAATCGAAATATAAGGCGGTTGCACTCCCGGAGCATCGGTAAATACCAATCCAGGTGGCGTCCACATCCTGATACATTCTTGCCATGGGTCCCAGTGTAGTATACGCCCCAGCGAGAGCGACTTGGGCATGAGCAACACTTCAGTCCGGGGTAGTAAAGGCGATGTCCCGCGCTATAGCACGCTTCAATCCGACTCGGTCACTCTAAAAATATGCTGCACCTCGTCAGTAGGTGACCTAGCACTTGAAAATGAACAATACTGACCAATGACAAAAGCGAGTTGCGCTGGCTGCGGGGGTTATATACTTGGCGTTGACAGACCAGTCAGAATAGAAACCAAGATAGCAATAGCTTCTAATAGATTGTCGAGTATGGATACTGGAATGATATAACCCGCAGCGATAACAGAGCTTCTGTCATGCTCGCCCTCCCAAGTTGATAGCGTAGTCAGGACCGCAGCCCATCGGGCCTTCAAAGGACTGAGGTAAAACGATCCGTGCGCTAACCCCATTCGCTAGAATCATTTGGATTCATCGGCGGTCTCCTGAGGCTGGGCAGCGGAGTTCACAGCTGAGCCAGCTTGGGAAGCGACCTGAGGGGGCATTTGAGGCAGTTGGTTGAAGCCGCTACTTGGGGTGCGGTGCTGATGGGGAGGGTAGTGGTGGACCTGGTGAGGGCTGGCCTGGAAGTGTGGTTGTTGCTGAGGGTAGTTGCCTCGACCGGGTGGCACTAATGACTAGTTAGCAATCCTGTGTGCTTATCTTATGCGAGTCAGTGCAACGTACTGTGGCCTGGCTGCGGCCCAGCATAGACTGGCTGCTGGTGCTGACCAGGGGCCATATACATCATGTGCTGGGGAGGTTGTCCAGATTGAGAGTTCTGATGCATCATCATCGGGGCAGGACGACTAGGGCTGGGATAGCCGCTGTGAGGCTGGGGAGGTGGCACGTGAGGGTAGGTGTGCGCAGGATTAGGGGAGTACATTTGCATTTGGGGTGTGAACGGACCGACGCCTTGAGGAATGCCCATATAGGGCCCATTGGAGGGTTGCTGGACCATCATAGGCGCTCCCATCCCGCCCTGGGGATTCACAAACTGCGGAGCACCCTGATAATGTCTCATATGAGCCGGTTGCGGGCCGCCCTGATTCATATAGAATTGAGGCATTGGCTGCTGTCCAAATGCGAGCTGTGCATGCGGTGCCATAGGCGAAGGATATCCGTGCTGGAGTCTCGGTGACGGATACATCTGTGATGCTGACGCGGAAAGTTGCATGCGGTGGGGATCGTCAAAATGGGCCGGGCCGGCACCGTGGTGCTGCTGAGGGTGAAGGTGGGGCCCATGGGGAGGGCCCGATGTGGGAGGCATGTTTGGAGTCTGTTGGAATTGATATGGCATCTGCGGTTGATGAGGCATTTGTGGGTTCGAAGAGGAACGACTCTGCGGAGAAGCAGTTGACAAGGGCGGGTATTTGAACATCTGGGTATAAGACTTTTCTTCGTCTTCGTTCGCATTCCAAGTCGGCATGGTGTTGTAGGCGAAGGGAATACCTCCATTAGAAGTGTAGTTCCTGTCCGTCTGCTCTGCGCTCTCTTTCTTCATACGTTTGATAGGATTGAATTGATCCTTGAGGGACGGACGCTCCGAGATCGGACGCGGTTTCTTTGCACCGAAAAAGGTGGATGGGCTCTTGGCACGGGTGTCGGGCTGTGCTCTAGCGAACGCCGATGGGTTTGATCCTCCTGGTGTGAAGGTGCTGGCCGCAGGATTTGGTTTGAATTCCATAGCCTTGACATTAAACTTGGTTGAAACAGTGGATGTGGGAGTCGAAACCTTGGTAGGGCTGGAAACACTAGAGTGGTCGGTAGTACTCGGCGGAGCACGAGAGTCATTAATGGGCAAAGGAGCTGGGACGGATCCCGCAGCTGCTCCCTTCCGCTGCTGAAGATTGTCGGCAAGGCGGTGGCCGAGCATGCCCGTTGCTTGACGGCCAGAGTGTAGCTGATGTGGGCCTCGCCCCCCAGGGCCAGCAGGTGGATACATTTGACGGCCACGGGGGTAAGTTGGTCGGTCTGGCTGAGCCTGCGAAGTTGTCGCACCAATATCCTGGCGAGTAGCTGTCTGAGTGTATTCTGCTGCTGCCTTCTTCTGATCGACAGGAGCTGCGGCAGTAACGGCCTTGGGTGTTTTCTTTTCCTCTGCTTGTTGCTGAGCCCGTTGAATAATCTCCTCTTGCTTGTGAGGATCCTTGGCGAGAATTGGCACCAAATCCTTCGGAACCGGAGTAGCAAGCTTGAAATTCTGTGAGAACTTCATTAGCTCGTTGAGCTTGATTGTTCGGTCGTAAGATGCCTGATTGCGACGACGCTCCTGGAACTTCAGCTTCTCGTTTGTCGCGAAGATACGGAACTGGCCCAGGACCTCATTCCCGTAGTTGTTTTCTGGGGCCGCGCCCTTTGTGGTAGCAGTAGGCGGAACGGACGGGGCCTTCGATGGAGCGGCCTTTTTCTCCGTGTCAGTGGCGGGGCCAGCAACGCTCGCCGGTGTTGTATGTGGCTGAGCCACGGGCGTTGTCTCCTTAGGTGGCATTGGTGTGGGAGTGGGTTCTTTTGCACTGGTTGTCCGTTTGACAGGGCCAGTGTAGGACGGGGCGGTTGCAGTCAGCTGGTTCCTGAGGGCAGGTGGGGTGTATTTGTTTGACTGCCCAGAAGCCAACGGGGGGAAGTTCTTCTCATCACGGCGCACACCACTGTACTTGTCCTCCTCGTCCCCAACATCTGCTCCCACATGTCCTCGTTCTTCCCTAACATGTGCATTGTCGACCTCACTAGTCTCGATTTCACGGGCAATGCGAGCGGCTTCAGCTTCTTTCTGCTTATAGGCCGGGTCTGACCGATTGATGCGGGTAGTATAGAGGTTCTCGTCATAGCTGCTAGTGGCTCCAAAGAGTCTAGCATTTGTTTCAAACTGGTCCCATCCCGATGTTGCTGCACTTTCAAGAGACATGTCAGTGTTGGCATCGGTGCCTGGCTCCCAACGCTTCAGCATCCGTTCACGCATGGCAAGATTTCCGGAAATGTCCGCATCCGTCTTGAACCCAACAGCAGCTCCTGGGTGCGAAGTTAGTATATTGAGATCCAAATGATTCAGATGAACAGCATGGCGACATGGAGGCGGGCAGCTTACCATTGGGTTTCGCCAGTACATCAGTCGTCGTCACGTCCGGAACCGAGATGTCAACAACATCATTGACATTAAAGGTCACAGTATGCTCAGGCGCTGACCCTATGAACGGACTAGTAGAGTCGCTCACTCCATTTGTTCGACTTTGGTCCTGCTTTGATTGCCGCTGTGTCATCTTGAGGGTGATTGAGGAATCGCTGGGCTCGAGGGATGAGGATGAGAATATTCCGGTGAATTCATCGCCATTTCTTGTGGTCACAGTAGCGGCGAGTCCCTAGAATAACAATGAGCCTCTGTCAAATGCATCAGGATGATGACCGGCAGTGAATCCTACAATGAAGCTTGTAAGCAAGAATAAGAGGCGGTCATGGGCGTGGTTATCCGGAGTATTTGATTCCTTTGAGGGAGGTCGGGGGGAGGATGACGACTTTTGGGGCATGCTGCCGTTCTGTTGCGAATAGGAAGGGCGTTGGGTGATCGGGTTTGTGCCTTGTGTCCAAGCCTTTTGGGAATTGCTGCGTCTGAGAAAAAGAGTAGTTGTCAGTTTGAGGCCAGAACTGAGAGATGTCCATATGGATTGCCATGCAGAGCTCGAAATAGAATAAATAGTAGATAAGGAAACCAAAAAAAAATGAAGTTCGAGATAACGGAGGAACCCAAAATCGGAGAACAAATACGCAAAAAGCGAGAGGCACTGATGCAGCTTAAAGGGCACGAAGAGGCAAGGAATCGGAAGTGATGCCGGTGAGGCAAAACATGGAAGAAGGGCAAAAGGTCGAGAAACCCCAGAAGGAGGCGCAATGGAAAGGACAACGCAACATACCTCTGTCCGCCGTCAAGCGGGCTGCCAGACTGCCGTCTTCCGCCATCCGACGACTTGGGATTGGCGCTAGGTCTCAGAGTAGGTCGAGACCCTGAATTCTGTGTGGGCGCATTGCCAGATGGGCTATTTGCGACGGGGCCGGAATTGACAGTGGGAGAAGCCATGGTTCGGCTCAAATGTCAAAAGAGACAGAGCTCTCGTCGTCGTACTTGGCACGACGTAGAGCCGCTGGTAAATGTCGGGGAGAAGGTAACGATACCAGCAACACACCGCCTGCGCGAAAAGAACGCGAGCAAAGCGTTGCAGAACGGGGAGGCGAAATGGAAAGAGGGGCTGAAGGGGGAGGGGAGAGAAACACCACCAGTGTGGGTGAGCGAAAAGCACAAAAGAGTCGAATGAGCTCGAGATGTGAAGTCACGGGACCTCTTTTATTGTGGAAAGGAGGACGAGAATGAGGGGTGCAAAAGCCGAAGCTCAACAGCAGTTGTCGCCGAGGGACTGGGGGAAAGAAAAGAATACGGCGATGAATGCTAATACAAATTTTGAAAAGTACAAGCAAGAAACGAAGATAGTCCCAGCACTGGTGGGAGAAGTAGGTGTTGTTTGGCTAACACTGCAGTGAGGCCGAAGTTTGGGTGGAAGAAGGAGTGGAGTGAGAGGAATGTTTGATGAAGGGTGATCGGAGAGCCAGAGCCTGAGTGGGACCAACGGGTCCGACAGCAGAAGCTCAGAGCATAACTAAACTCCTGGCCAGACAAGTCGATCTATCTATGTGTCTCTGTCTTCAACCTTGAACAATGTATTCAGAAATGTTGCTTGTGTTGATAATTTTTTTTAAATCTTGTATTGTCTTATTTTGCCTTTGCAGCCTTCATCATGTTATTGTCTCTCTCGACACCGGATTGACTTTCCGACGCTTTCACTTCGATATACTTCCAAGTTTAGTCTGCGGTAGAGATTGTGGATCGAACTTCAAAGAGAGGCTTACAAGCGACTCTTATTATACATAATGACTACTTTATACTTGTATCGGTGATGTCTGAAAAGTAGCTATACCGGTGATCTTCTTGTGTAGCAACACTACTTCTCCATGGTTATGTATCAGTTACTTTCTCCAGGCTCCGGTCACGCTTTTGCGCTTTACAAATTTCATGGCGCTTCTTCTCCGCAGAGGCGAAAATGATAATGATAACTGTCGAATCTGCGATAAGTTAGATACATAGCTCTTAGAGCGACTAGTTGCAACTCTAAGCGCTGTGCTCGGACCAAGTAAATGTGACGAATTTCTTAAAGCAGCAAGGTGCAAAGCGGCAAAGAGCCTACCACACGCGGAGTCCGACCTGGCTGAGCCGCTGACTTGGAAGACAACCAGGTGATGGAGGAGTATGAGAGTGACAGTCCAATAATATATTGTCCGTGTCACATTGCCCGATTGATTCATTGGCGCTCATGCAAGACACTGTTTCCAAATTCTGCGAGCATATGCCATGGAACAGACAGGACCCCAACTGATTGATCTGACAGTAAGTCGGGATGATTTTTGTTTATATGTCTAGGACAGTCTTTGAATCGACCGTGTAACCGTTGACTGTAAGGTAGCAGTGTGAACAAGGCTGGCAACAGACGAGCTGAAGCCCAGCCAAATGGGGGTGGCTGGTGAAACATGTGATTGGCCAGGATCCAGCTTCCTGCCTCAGGCCCTGGCAGCGCATGTCGTGACTTCAGCCCAATTAATATGCAGCCAAACGCCTATCACGACCTCTTTTGATCCCTTTTCTCTGCCTCAAGCAGCTTCTTCGGCTCTTTCAGCTGTCCATATATTGCCTCGCTGTTTGGTTATATCCTTCTCGCAACGCTGCGCGTCTTACTTTCTTGCATCTGATTTCTCCGCCAACTCGTGTTGGTTTCGGCCCTCGCGCTCCCTTGCACAGGACACAGTAATATCGCCCCTTCCACCTTCCGGGCCCCTACGTCTTTTGCGACCTAAATATATCTTATTCTTCTATAAGTACTTGACTTCGCTCGTGCGAATCTGACCCCCGAAAATCTGCGCACATGCAGTCCTCCTCGAGCACTTCGTCTCGCTCCGCCCGAAGCCCCTCCGCCCAACAACACTTTCATTCCGGATCCTCGGGGAGCAGCGTCGATACCGCCATGACTTCACAATCCTCCGCGCCGCGCAGTTCATCGAGCTCGACAAGATCACAATCCTCGAGAAGTGGCGTGGTAGGTTCACCTTGTGATTCCCAATTATAATTACAGAGTGGCTGACGGTGGTCTCGTACAGCCAAACGGACAAATATCCCAGATCGAAAAGAGCGTCACACATCTCCTTGTAGCAACAAAACAACTACTCGAGACATTAACGCAATGGTCCCGCAGACAAGTTTCAGAAAGTGAGGTTTCGGATGTTTACGTACGGTTGGGATACGAGTTCAACCTGGCCTGCCGCGCTTTCAACGCCATCGGGGTGGACACCTCAGACCTTGGCCCTGTACCCGATCTCCTCCGCACAATTCTCGAAGATACTCTCAGCCAGGATGCGTCACCACAGAGCCTTGACCTGTTCCTCCCCCGGATTCGTGACATCATAATCAATCTCCTCCATGGACTTAAGAGGAAGCAAGCACGTCTGCGCTCACGGCAGCAGCGCGAAGAGGGTAGGGCGGTACCGAATCGTCAAGCGAGTGCGGGTAGTGTAACCAGCTCAGTGGTGAACCAAACGTATGAAGAGACCCTCTCCGTTGCTACGTCTCCGAAGCGACCAAGCCGTGCGCGCTACGATAGTAGTGGATCTCTAGAAGATCAACCGCAATCGGGGTCTCGCTCCTCTCCGGAAGCTAGATCAGGGAGCTTCTCCGAACGGGAGGCATCTAGGAGGGAAGCGCAGAATGCGTTGACACAGTCGGCGCAGGACAGCGAGACGAGCTCCAAGGGGTCGGTGAAAATATCCGAATACCCTCCCCCGCCGCCGCCACCACCTAAGCAGGACGATGCTATAGGTGCTTTGCAAAGAAGCGGGGAGTTGGAACGCCGCGCGTCTCGAAGGTTCTCTGCGTATCAAATCCAAAAGCATCTAGGAGCGTCGTCCAATGGAGTTCCTGTCATTCCAACCCAAAACTCGCCCCTACCCAACCGAGGCCGTGATGTTCGAGAATCGCTAAACGCCGTGCGCCTACGAGGATCGTACGCTCACGGACGGCAGCGATCGACGAATCGGTCTCATGGAGCCATTGATGCAAAAGCCACCCAGCAGCAGCAGCCATCGAGTGGTCCGGCCCCCAACGAAGATCCTGTGAAACCTCGTGTTGAAACGCGCGCGGAACCTTCCACGAATGGTACTCCATCAACAGACACGGAATCCAAGCGGCCTGCGAAAGATGTACTTAATCACGCTACCGACCAACCGCCAGTCCTGCCCCCGACACTGCAGGAGCCATTCCTTGCAGATGCTTTCGATCCAGTCAAAGAACCTGGGTCTCGCACAGACCAGGGTCCAGTAACGCCAAAGTCAAGCAACCGACCGGTTACCGCTACGACACCAACGCCACCGCAGTCGACGCAGTTCTCGCCTGAACAGCCATCTCCCGGGAAAGAGCTAACTTTGTTTCTCCAGTACAGAAGCAAAATCAAGAAATTTATTCTTCCGGAAGGACCAACTGGCTTGACGATTGGGAGACTTCAACTGGCATTTATCGAAAAGTTCGCTTGGAATACACACAACAACGGCGTGGATTTACCCGAAATCTACATACAAGATCCTGTATCCGGGGTCAGGCACGAGTTGGAAGATCTAAGCGACGTGAAAGATCGATCTGTTCTTGTTCTAAATGTAGATGCTCTTGATGAAGTCAAGAAGCATTTTGATGACGAATTTGGGGGCGTCCGCCGTTTATTGGAGAGTGTCAAAGGTGCGCTGGATGGGCAGGAGAGTATGATGCATCGTGTTTCGGATCGGCAGTTAGAGGCGGCCAAGGAAATCGCTCGGCTTGCCGCCGCGCCTTCCGTCTCTACGCCCAGTCCCCCAGTTGCTGGAGAGACGCAGAGAGTCCCCATCTCAGGAAGCGCCAGCCAGCTGGCCGAGCTTTCGAGTCTGCGGCGCGATCTAGCTGTGCTGCGCCAGACGTACTCCAACTTCTCTGCCGACATTGCAAGCTCCATGAGCGCGATTCGGTCCAAAGCAGAGAGCGTCAAGACGTCGGCCACGGATGCATCTGTGCCATCGTTCGAAGGAGATGCGGGTCGTGCACGAGTCAATTCTGGAAAGAAGGAACTTGCCGAAGAGTCTGAACGTCTGGTTGCCCGTGTTGATGACCTCCAAGACCTCATTGAGGACCTCCGCAAGGACGTTGTCACCCGAGGAGTGCGGCCTCTTCCAAGACAGTTGGAGACTGTGGGCAAGGATATCAGTGCTGCCACGAAGGAGATCAAGAAGATGAAGGACTTCCTCAAGCGAGAGAAGCCTGTTTGGACCAAGATTTGGGAGAAGGAATTGCAGCTCGTCTGTGAGGAGCGTGACCAGCTCACCATGCAGGAGGATCTCGCGGCTGATCTGGAAGATGACCTTGAAAAGGCTGCTCAAACTTTTGCTCTTGTCGAGCAAGCAACGAAGCAGCAGTCCCTACACAACACCAACGGCACCCCGACTCTGCGCAACACCTCGCGGAATGTGGTCATTGACCCGGCCGTCGACCCGATGAAAGCCAAGGACAGTGTCTTGGGAGAAGTACGCGCTCTCCAGCCCAACCACGAATCCCGCCTGGAGGCCATAGAGAGAGCAGAAAAGGCCCGCCAGAAGGAGTTGGAGACTCGCCGCGGTGACCTCTTCCAGAAGGAACTCGGAAAGTTCGTCAAGGAGGGCAAATTGAAGAAGAGTGGCGGGTTCGAAGAAGCCGAACGGCTCCGCCGCGCCAAAGATGAACGCATCCGCAAGGACATATGGGAGAAAGCTCAAGCTCGGGCAGCTGAAATTGACAAGGCGGAAGCAGAGGCGTCTTCCAATGCTGAATCATCCGACGCTCCTACGCCGGACACTGAAACTCCGGGTTCACCGAAAGGAAAGGCTCCGCAATCCGATGACGATAATGCCGGCGAGGAGGACAAGGACGAAGAGACTCCGAGGGCCAGTCTCACAGCGGAATCGCCCGCTGAGTAAACTGCATCTCCGCAGCATCACTATCACTTCTTGACATTCAATTCTTGGGCTGTGCTCATACATTTCCGCATCACTTTATACATACGCTCCTTTTCCCCCTTCCTACAATCCTCGCTCTTTTGCATTTCCTTTTGGCTCTCTGCTTTTAGCTTTTTGTGCTTTGAATTGCCTTCATTCTTCTCAAACATTGTTTGGGAGCGCTCCTGGCAGTCTTTGCCAAGGGCCATTACTCGTTTGAATGTTGACGATACCCTGCCACATCGTGGCCCGTTATGACCATTACGATATACGGGGAAGACTTGGCGGATCTTACCTGTTGTCTTGCATCTTGCTATACCTAATGCATTTCATTTCTTCTCTACCGTTTATTAAGAGTATTATTAAAGTATGTCGTAGAGGCCAGGATCAGGGGACCTGCAGGTTGCAGGCAGCCTGCTCGGCAGTTCACCGTACAGTATTCCCCACAGGTCCTTCACAGGGTACGAGAAAATCCTGTCGAAAAATGGGCTCCTGCCACCAAAGCAACCGGATCTCTGGTACAACGGTGGTGCATTTGGCTTTAAACCACTCCGCCCATGACCATTATCCAACCTTGCTCTGTACATTCTCTAATAACTCAAGACAGCCAAGCCGCCTCCTTACCAGTCTTTGTACGTTTGCACGAGCTCAATTGGAATTCAAACGGAGATACCGCAAACAGCCATGGTCTTCACAGGTTCACATATAGATCCTTTGTTGACAGCACAGTGAAGCCGGCCTGAACAGGCAAACATCTTTCACTTTCCACAGAAGAGTCCAGAATCGCTCCTTGCGAATATAAATACCCCCCAAAAGCCCGCTGGAGAGAGAAGAACTAAGTCCTGTATGTTCCCCATCGCCCGGCTCTATAGAGCCCACGCCCATCTTCTCATATCGTCGTTGTATCCGTTTGCGCTGGACTTTCTACCTACTCTTTCGACCTCCACTTTTTGTTCATCTCTCTACCTCACTGCATCTCTTCCTTGCTTTTCGGCCAAGTTACCCATGTTCTGCGCAGAAGCCTCGATGAGTCACCCTTCCCTTCCCGCTTGCCCTAATTATTCCCCGTCCCCAATCCCCGTCCTTCGTTTTTCTATCGTCTACACCCTACACCATCTGATACAACATCATGTACTCCTCCACCTTCCACTTCGAAGCGAGGTCCCATTTCTTTACTTCCCCATCTCATCCCCTTTCACTTGGGACCTCTACGCATACCCCAACGGACGATCTCATTTTAACCCTTGATATAGTGCCGCTGCCAATGTAAGAGCCACGGGCCACTTACCTTGACCTATACTCGCGGACACGGATCGTCCCAGCTGTGCGTCTTGGCATCTTTTTGGTTGACTAGAAGATCGGCAATATATACCAGGTCCACGAATTATGATACGTCGGGCTCCGAAGATACGCTTATCACGTTGAAAATACCAATGATCAAATGAGATATACCGGCCATAGTCTCCGACGCACCTCGTGTAGGCCAAAGCAGACATTCGCAAAAACATCCTGAACTGAAGTGACGGCTGGCTTTCTTCCTGCTTCAGGCTCCCATATAGAGCCCGATCCATCCATGTCTGGTCAGTCACTTAGAGCTTTGGCGCCACAAACCTAAACTGAACGGTGCGACCAACATCATGGGCATCGATCACTTTGATGGCATTGCTCTACGAGACCTAGTACACGAAAGCTCGTCACTATAAGCTAGATGCCAGCTGCGTACTGGGAACGCCTCTACCCACAGGCTTCTGTATCAAACCATAGTCGCTCAAGGCGAGACAGTCATCTACAACGCTCTCATGTGGGTGTCGCTTCCACGGTAGTTGATGCTTACCCGGGCTATCCCTTGCTCCTAGGTCGATACTGAGTGTGGAGTCAGACTGCAGGTTCCCCCATGATTCTTACAGTCTTTGTTCTTTCCTTCTGTGGCATACTGGACTCGTCGAACAGGCGTGCCGGGGCTTGGTACGGCGTATTTGCGCCGCTCCTCTGCAAGGGACCACTCCGCCGGCACGTACCTTTTTTTTTGACTCGTGCCCGCTATTACTAAGTCTATATATCACCCATTGTACCTTGGGGTCTGACTGAGGATCCATATAGACGACTGTGGAAGCGTCTGACCTCCCGTCGAGACGATCATGGTGCCCCGGGGTTTGGAAGGAAGACTAAAACGGTGTTGGCCTCTGGGCGCACGACATCATTGATTGTATGAGCGAAGCGTAAAAGCTTATGTCTCGCGTTCGACAATGTCGAAATAGCCCACTGAGAGGCGTACGGGCTCACGAGCAACAAGGCGGTATGTTCCATATCTCATGACTTCGTCGTGTCCAACAAGGACCCAGTTCAAGAAAACATCTACGGGGCTTCTAATAGTTGCATTCATTGAGGCGAAGCCTTCCCCCGGGCATTATGCATTCCAAGGCCTATCTCGTCTCCTCGTTCCGAGGGTCCCTCCATTTCCGCATCGGCGGACCCGGACGTCGTGCCCTTGCGGCTAGGTACGTGAGTATAATCTTCGTGGTAAGTTCCCGCGCTGAAGGCTCCAGAGTGGAGTGGTGGTTTTGGTGCTGCTCTGCGGCATCATCAATGGGTTCGTGGTCCTGTTTCTGGACAGGAGACGGGATGTTGACTGCAACCAGGTGCGTTAGAATGTCGCTATGCGATACCGTGAGCAGTTGGAAGCGGTAGGCAGCTCAGCAGTCTGTGGGGACCATGGGACATCTGCTCTACACAACTGCAGCAGCCTGGAGTCCGTCAAAGATCACAAGGAATCATTGCCTTGAGAATGGGATTCCCTGGGAGGACACCGTGCTCGTTCACGGCAAGGGTTTGTTTCTTTTAGTCTCCCTGAAACGAGACCGTCCTCGTCCACGACCCGGGGCCGTTTCTGCAGGAGAGGGAGCATTCTGCTATAAAATCCCCTAGGATCGAAATGAGAGCCTGAGTCCAGCGAACATATCTCGGAACAATCACGGCGTCGGCGACAATGGCATTTCGAAGCGTTTCCCACTGTACCAAGTTCAGAGGAAGGCATTAGATGCCGCTCTAAAGAGAGGAGTATCGAGTATGTATCGGACCATATGGAAGAGAATGAATTCTCCGACCATACGAAGCCCTCTGGTTGGGGTCAATAGTCCTATGTGGAGGTACCTCTGCAAGGCAAAGCCTCAAGCTATTATGGAAGCTCTCCTTGACTGTCCATCAAGTTCTCTCCACTCTTTCTCAAAGTCGAGTAGCCCATCATCGAGGACACAAGACTTTCTTGGGACACTCCTAGACTACTACTCTGAAGTGCCTCAGCTGCCCTGTCCGTACCAGAAGGTCCGCCATCGGAGCGGTTATGTCAGGGTTCGAGATGATCCCATCAAGTCTCAAAAGTCTCAGCGCCCTCCGGTGGACTCCAGCCAACCACCAGCCTGGTTGTGTGTCTATGTACAGAAGGCTCGTTTTCATGATATCCCAACGCTTTGGGACGGCGGAACCCCCAAAACCGAATCCTCAACGTCCTGCGAGGAAGCGTCTGCATCCTCACACCGTGAACCATGCTCAAACCACGCATCGCTATCCTGAGATTCCGTCCTTGTCATGGTATCATTGGTACTTGGCTGCGCACCTTGAAGTTCCCGAACACTATTATCATCCCACTGGCCCAGACTCAGAGAGTTGTTATCATCTGAAGAACGAAACCAAGACCGCCCCGTCAAATGGTACTTTAGAGCCACCTTGACAGAAAAAGCAGGGGTCGGGTGCTTCTTCCTACTCCTCGCGACGAAAAACGACCGCATGTAAGGGGGCTGCTATACTCCCCAACGCAGCGGAAGGAAAAAATATATGACCAGTGCCGGGCTCGATCCGGCGACCTTATCGGTTTAACTCGCCGTATTATTTAGTGAAATAATACAGTAATGTTAACGATACGTGATTTTTTTTTTTTATTCGATCGACCAATCTTGCACCTCCATAGGCTTCGTCACGTCGAGCAACCATCTGGCCGGGTTGGCGAGGTATGCCACGAATCCAAACAGTCAACTTTATTTCTTCGCCGAATACCTTAGGGACCTACGCGGCGGTGCCTTCGTGTGCGTGAACAGCCCTGATGTCGGCTATAGCTCTTCCAGTCATAGCTCAGCTCATGATACCGATCAAACCGACAGCATCCATATGCTAACCCCCTTCGACCCGTTCGGATTGACTTGAGCAGCCACTTCCTCGATTTTGATTCAGCTCCTGCTCAGCAACTCGAGGGATACGCCATAATCTGGCCCCTGTCGAGCCCGCCTGCGCCGACTCTTCAACAAAAGAATAGCAACTCATGACAGAACATCGACGGGGTACTATATATCGCGCTAGTCTCTCCGCGTTATACTCGTGTCTGGTCATCTAATGAGATGAAGATACACCCCACAGATATCATGATCATCGGTCCTTACGGCGAGTGGCCCAGCGGATACTAGGACCTTCGCAGATCCTGGTTCGCAATAGCTCAATCATAGACGCATCTCAGGGGAAAGAGGCTTCCGTAGTCTTCTTTTAACGACTGAACCTATGGTAAGACTGCTGGGTTTGGCCTTTTCACGAACAGGTTTAATGGTAAGGCGCGTACCTCCACGGCTGTTGAAGACGGCTGTATGGATTAGCTCGCCTCTAGCGGCCTGGATAACCCAGTGGCTCAATTGAATCTTCATGCCCGGCGAGGCCAACATATACTCGATGTGTCCCTCGCGGTCATTGGGACCCCTCTGCCGTCGTGGATGCTTCGCGCGCCACACTAACTTGCTACGCACCTCCAGCGTTTCTGCCGTCGTACATCGCCTCACCTGGAGAGACCAATGTAGATAGACGAACCTAGCTTTAGGAAGACAGCAATGAAGACGATACTTTGAACTTCCGCTACCAAATTGGTAGCATGTCCTTGTTTTTCGAGCTAAGGGATCTCCTAGTTTGAGAAAACTACATTTTACCACTCTGAGCCCGGGGTATCCCAAGCAGAACGGTGACATTGCTGCTAAGCTATCCACTGGTGGTTGGTCGTGAGCGTCGCTCCGACAACACAGTGAAAACAGCTCATCAGCAACACGCGCCACAACGCGTGCTTTATCTCTCAATTAAGACCTTGCATATCTTCCCCTCTCAATCTTACCAATCACCCGCAACTCTCGAGAGAGAACGCGCGCTGCATTCAGCCGCGGGCCCCCACGCCAGCCACTAGCGCGGTCAGCAAGCGACCGCGTTTCCACGCTAAACCAGAAGTGGCTAGGCCACTTCACGTGTTCCCGCAACTAGATCGGGACTACATATTTGAGCCTAAACAACACGAGGAGTTAGCCCTGTTTGCCCACGCGGTTCGCGGAGACTTTAACCACATATGGGCAATCAACCACTCCCCATCCCCAGTCACCTTGCAAAGACACTCGCGGTTGGGCGACCTTGAGGAGATGCATGACCCAAACGCGTATTACGCGTTTAACGCAGAGGAGGATCCTGATCAAGGCGCAGTCCAGGACATCGCAACTTTCGCCATGGTCAAGCCAAAGAATCAGGAACGCCTCCAGTTCAACGGTAAAGGACCCACAACCAAGCTATCCAACGGCGTTTCGGTATATGGCGGACCAGAAGTGGTTAGGCGTCTTCAACGAGTAGTAGAGACTTTCCCAAGCATCTGGACAAGCAAGGAGCTCGTGAACATACCCATATCTCAGTGGATGAGGATTCGATTGAAACCCGGCTGGGAGGACCAAGTCAAACAGGAAGCACGCCGCTACAGCCTGGCGAAACCAGATGAGAAAGCAGTTGATAGGGTGTTTAATGGTCTCCATGAGCACAACTACATGGGATGGACGGATACGCTGACGCCGTCGGGGTCTCCAGTATTTGTTGCAAAGAAGGTGGTCGATCCAAAGTTGGACCATGAATACCAGGGAAAGTATCAATCGGCGATTGACTTGTTCGGGCTTGACAAAGCCAATGACCTGTTGCCAGAAAACAAGGGCGTCAAGACCCGCGTGGTTGTGGACCTCCGACGCAAGAACGCAATGGCAATTCCAGATGTATACCTTTTGCCAACGCAGCAGGACATACTGTCAGCAGTCGCAGGATGCCTTTACCTCTCAGTTGCGGACGCAACGGCCATGTTCTACCAGTGGCCAGTGCACCCTGACAGTTACCAGCATACGGGCGTGGTCTCCCACCGAGGGCAGGAGTTTTTCAAAGTCTGCATCATGGGATTCCTGAACTCGGTGCCCCACGTCCAGAGACATGTGGACAATTATTTCCGGGCGATGCGAAAGTTCTTACGGGCCTACATTGATGATTTGTCTGCTTTAGTCACACTCTGGATGACCATGAGCAGCACCTCTATCAGTTTTTCAAGAAGTGCACGGAACTGAGGATCACGCTAAACCCTCACAAGACGTTTCTGGGTTATCCATCCATCCAGTTGCTGGGGCAGATGGTCGACTCGCTAGGCACATCAGCATCAGCGGAGAAGATTGAGGCGATTACAAAGCTCAAGTTTCCAGAGACGCTGGCCCAGCTGAACACCTATATCGGCCTTGTTAACTGGTTCTCAGAGAAGCTTCCATCCCTAGCCTGCAAGCTGCAACCACTGCAAGAGCGGAAGACATATCTTTGTAGCCAAGGCCCCCAACAGGACGCGCGCGCAAGAACTACACAAAGGCTACAAAGCTGACAGAACCAACAGAGCGCGAGCTGGAGGCTTTTAATACACTCCAGAGCCACTTTAGGGATTCTCTCAAAGTGGCGCACCACGATCCCAAGAGGACGCTGTTCATCGATGTCGACGCTTCAAAACAGAGGGGTATAGGAGTCATGGCATTTCATGCAAAGGAAAAAAGTGGGCTGCCCACTTTAGATTATGCCAAACCACCCACACCAGACCAAGTCGAGCCTATCATCTTCCTTAGCCGTTCTTTGAGCAAAGCAGAAAAGAACTACTGGCCTACAGAAATGGAAGTCGCGGGGATAGTCTGGGCGCTTCGGAAGCTAAGACATATGGTTGAAGCGTCCCCAGAGACAGTCATATACACAGACCACAGCGCGACAGTCAATATTGCACAGAGCACCTCGCTATCCACATCTAATGTGGATCGGCTTAATCTACGATTGGTCCGAGCGTCCCAGTACTTCCACCAATTCCGGAACCTGCGGTTTTTTCACAAGCCAGGGAAAACGCATATTGTCCCTGATGCCCTTTCAAGGCTTCCATCATGGGCACGCGACGACGTTGAGGATTCAATTGACATGCTTTACTCCTGGTTTGGAGACGAAGACCATCGCCCCAACGAGGGTGAACCACATGTCATGACAATCAAGTTGGCAGCGGATTTTGAGCAGCGCATCAGGGACGGCTATCAGAAGGAAGGCCGATGGACGTCAATCATCAAAATTTTGAAGGACAATGAGGGAAGCCCATCTCCAGTGCGCTTACCATTCAGGGTCCAAGATAACCTGATATATACGGTTCCTGAAGGTAAACTATGCATACCAGACGCGATTCATCAGGAAGTGCTCAAGATTGCCCACGACGCAAGCGGCCATGGCGGTGTGGAGCGCACTTTGCATCACCTTAATGGTGTTACCTTTTCGCGAGCGCGACACAAGGTGAAGGTCTATATTGACCATTGCAATGAATGCCAGAACAAGCGGACCCGAAGACACGCCCCATACGGGTCCCTACAGCCAGTCATTGCCCCCAACATCTCTTTCCATACGATAACGATAGACCTTATCTTGGGTCTCCCAGACACGGGCGAATACAACGCCATCATGTCAGTGACATGCAAATCAACCAAACGCCTGACAGCAATACCAGGCCGCCTCAACTGGACAAGCGCCCAATGGGCGGAAGCGTTATTGGTCCGCTTACAACTGGGAGACTGGGGCATTCCAGTCCACATTATTTGTGACCGAGACCCGAAATGGTTAGCAGGTATCTGGGTGGCCATCTTCAACTTGCTTGCAGTGATGCATCTATACACGACAGCCTGGCATTCCCAGGGGGGCGGGCAGTTAGAAGTCTCCAACCAGATAATCGAAATCTATCTCTGATACGCTATTGCAAGCCTCACAGACCTTGCCGATTGGCCGAAAACGCTGCCGCACCTTCAAGCGATATATAAACGCTCCAGACACAGTGCAACTCAAGAAAGCCCTCACCAGCTTATGTACGGGATGGAGCTTCGCGCGCCGCTATCCCTAGGACTCCAAGCTTCTCCAGAAACAGCAGTGCAGTCATGGGAAGCAAGGGATACTGCAGCGGACGCCATTAAGCTAGCCCAGATGTCAATGAAAGCTGCTTACGACCGCGGCCATCAGGCGATCGCGTTCGAAGTTGGTGAGAAGGTACTCCTACGTCTACATAAGGGGTACAAAGTCGGGGCCACATTGCCCCATAAGATAGGAAACCAGTATGCAGGCCCCTACACGGTCCTCCAACGTGTGGGTAATCTAGCCTACCGCCTTGACCTTGGCCCAGAATCACAGTTACACCCCGTTATTTCAGTGGCCCACTTGGAGAAGTGTCCACAGGAGGCCGACCCATATAATCGCACACAGCTGGAGCCGGGACCAGTTGAGGTTGATGGAGAGAAGCTTGGTGATAAGTTTCGGTCATACGAAATTGAAAACCTGCTTCGCAAGGAGTGGCGAAAGGAGAAGTCAGGTCGCGATAAGGGCAAGCAGACGCCATGGTACCTTGTCAATTGGCAGGGCTATGGGGACAAGCATAATTTGTGGTATCGAGAGGAGCATCTTGCAGACGCTCAGGAACTGGTTGACGCTTACAACAACAAACATCCAGAAACGCGCGACGCACCTCAACAGGCAGAAAACACCAAAGCGCCAGAACCCACACGTCGACCAGGCCGACCACGCAAGAGCGGCGCGCCAGTACAACGGGGAAGAAGCAACAGACGTCGACCAGGCCGGGCACGCAAGAGCGAAGCTAGAGTGGCTCGCCCACCACCAGCCAAGCGTGGAGGGAGGTCGACGAAGTAGGGGACACAGAGACAGAACAAAACATACTTATCTGGCATTTTTACAATTCCCATTCACTGATTCCTATTGCTTGTTTTCTATTTTTAGTTTAGCCCCGCCAGCACCTGTCTCACTTCACTTTGGCTTCACAACTCCCACAACACAACCTGCAAGAAGACTCAACCTTAACCTCTTCTTTCCTCTCCCTATCCTCTTTCTTCCTGTATTACGCTATCCTTTAATTTCTTGACACCACAAGTGGCCAGGCCACCTCCAGGCCCGCAAACCTTACCTCATTTATCGTTTCCCTTACCAACTCAGTTGAGATCTCACTCCGCAACACAACACAAGTCAGTTCACTTCAGATGAACCAATATTTCCGGGCAATATTCGGTCACATTGACGAGCGGAACGCTTCACTACTTGCACGACGCTCGCGAACGAGAGCCACACTACAAGCCTCAGTTCTTGAAGAACAAACAGAACAACAGGACAACCCACAACAAGACGAAGCAGACGACGACAACGCAGTTACCGCTCAAATACAAGCAGAAATCCACCAGCGGGCCAGACACGCCATACAACAAGCAGAACAGCGAGAAGCAGAAGCACGCAGCCAGCGCGAAGACGAAGAGTTCGTCGCCCGCTGGATAGAACATACCTACGAAGAGCTTGCTGGTCAGCCAGAAAGACACGTGTTTGAAGCAATCCATCGTTCGCAAGCCATGGCCGACCGCAACACCCTTAGGAGACAGGACTTCCTCCCCGAAATCGGTGAAGTACCTGATGGATCCATCATTACGATGCTTCCAACAATATTCTGGCTCCGCATTGCGGATAAAGACGCCCTCGCATTCCTTACCGCTCTGGAACTAGACCAAGTCCCTCTGGTGGCTGAGCCAGATCCTAACACAAAGCATGTCGGCCACCTGATTGCGGGTTTTGCTCCAGTCCCTTTACCAAAAATACCAAACGCGAAGATGCCACTCTGCGGGATGCGTTGCCACCTAAAGCCTTCGACACAAGGCACAGGTTACAGGCTATTTGACTGCATGGGCCGCAATGTCAGTTATGATCACGTCCTGTTACTGCCGCAATTCAAAACAGTCGAACAGAGGGAAGAAGAGGCGTTGATCCTCCTCCAGAATATAGTGGGGCAATACGCGATATTAATCCGTGATGTACCTGGCCACCTGAGGGCATACCGCGAACGGCGTTGGCGCCAGGAAAAGGCGTTGGTCAGAGCATGCTGGGAGTTTGGGGATAGACAGCAACTCTTCGCCCGTATATGCACCCAGGCACATATAGACAACTTGATAGCAACAGACTACAACGAGCGCGACGTTCTGATGGAACTAACAGGGCTGGACATTAATAGTCCGAACTTGCAACGCGCTGACAGGGACAGACTCGCATGGTTTGTGGGCAAATTCTCAACCTCCGCAGAAAACCTCTTCGTGCATCAGAACCTTCGGTGGGGAGAAGCCTTGCCATGGGAGGTCCTCGTCCCACGCCATGCTGCGTACTCTTCAAAACTATACGAAGTTAACCGCAGGGTCGCAGCAGCACGACGTGCAGTGGCGGATCGGGAGAATGCAGAACGTGATGCACAAATACTTCGTCGACAACAAGCCGAGCTGAATCAGCGGAACTGGGATGACTTCATTGACCTACAGTCTGATGACGGTGATCCACCAGAACAACCCCGTGGCCGCATTGTCATACCTATCGACCGTGATCTCTGGCTGTTCAGCATTGAGAGACATGCTAAGTATCGTGATTCGCAGAAGCTTCAGGCCCAAGGTCATCGCGCGTCTCCATCTCATCATGAATGCTCTGAGTTCCTCGGCATCGGACCGCGACCGGAGGTGGGTCAGCAGGTGCAACAACAATACAGGAATGCACCAGCCTGGAGAGAACTCCAGGAGGCCTGGACAAAGGTCTCAGATTACGACTTGACTCATGGCGCACCTTGGGGATTGCCCGCAAAGAAGCTCCAGGAATACATGAACCTGGAAATACTTGACTGGGAGGAGCGATTCATCTATCACCCTCAATATCGGGACGTGTTGCGCAGAATTGATGAGTGGTACCGGGGGCTCCCTGAGAACCAACAACAGGCACTTCATCGCAAACCAATTAACCAATGGGCCGACCAATCTGACATCCAACCACCTCCAGCCGACTACGTGAGGCTTCCTGGACACCTACGGGTTGCAATTGCCAATCTCCGAACTTTTAACTGGCGCTAGGTCATTTCTGAACAAGTGGGCAACCCACTTCTGGCTTCGCCTTACGATTTTTAATCAGTCGATTCTTCGACTTCAGTCGCGAATAACTTCGGGAGGACGACTGCCCCGAGCATCAGTTGGCCTTGGTCAGCTTCAGTCTGATATGGGAGGACGACTGCTCCGCTTTCTTTTTAATCGTTTTACGTGTTTTGCTTTTCGTCTTCATTTTGTTGCTACGCAAAGGAGCCGGGGGGACCATGCGGCCTTCCTGTGCAGGTTCCAAGTCCCGGCAGACAGTTCATTAGAATAGTTGCAAACTTATTGTTCCTAACCATGGTCTTCTCTTCCAATTGCCCTATGTTCACCCTTCCATATTGCTTTTTTGTAGGGATTTTTTCCGTCCTCGTAGTTTTGATGGTAGGGTACTACACTTCACCTGCTAACCCAAAAGCACTTTGAGATACTGGCTGAGATTGATCTCTTCATTGGGTGCGGTCCTTTCGGTCGCTCGAGAAGGGAATGTAGCTCACGACGCTTGGTCCATGTTTTGGAGGAGATCGATTGTTGGCGGCAAGACAGCTCTAGTCAAAACTCGGGAGCATTTGCCGCCTTGTGATGCACATTGACGGTAGGTTTGTGAAGGTCGCAATCTTTGCGGACGCGAGAAGTCGGGAAGTCGAGAACAGAGAATATGTTGTCTGTAGGAGGGGATCAGGCGGGGTTGTGAGGCTTGGTGTATCTGTTCGAGCCCTTTCGGAGGAAGATTCGAGGTTGTGTGGGTGCTGAGGATCAAGGGGTAACCACAGATGAAGACTGAAACGGAAGCGTAAGAAAAAAGGTATGGGCCATTGTATGTATCCGAGTTTGGACCTAGAGTATTGCTAGAGTGAGAGGTCGGTCAATGAGCAGATTGGGTTGTTGACCTTGGACATTCAACAAACACACGGCCAAGGCACAGTGGAGGTTTTCTAGAACTTTTCTTCAAGCTGCTCTTCATCCATCTTTCTTCCTTCCAGTATTCAGACTACCTCAGCAAGTGTCTCAGTCTACTAGACTGACCTTGCCCTTCGCCTTCTACCTTCCAACACCACCACCGTTTCTCCCATCTCGCTCCCTCGCGCTGTCTGCTTCTGAGCAATGTTTTTCATCTCCTCTGGCCTCTCAGCGTTATTCTAAGTGTTGCTGTTGATTATTTCTGGCCGACCTCACCATTTCTCGCCCGATTACGCCGCCTCAGTGTCGTCCTCCGGTACCTTACGCGGCCTCCGTGGAGTGTTATTTCAATCCAGTGAGTGACATCCTCACTTCCTGCTTGATCGCTCCTATATCCCTCCTCAATTGTATGGGTCCTCAAACTGAACCATTTCAATCGTCAGTCCAGCAAGACCGAAATAGCTGTCGCGCTCAACGCCGGCGCCGGCTCGTCTTCGCCGAAAACCTCAATCCAGATCAAGACCTTCTCTTAGAGGCGAAGGACTATAGCTTCCTGGCCTCGACCCGACGATTCTCCTCTCCGGACCCTTTTGCAACAACTTCTTTTCCTGCAGTCCTATTGAGCCACAAACCAACAACACCCTCTCAATCCATCCCGAGAGTACTGGCCAAATGGACAGTCCAGAAATCCCACCCTCAGGGCTGTCTTCCTGGTTCAAGGAGTCACGAGGAAAGGACTACCCGGAAAAATTGGCTAAGGAAGCCTGGAAAATCTGCCCTGCTTACATTACAATCGGCGGTCATGAAGAAGCAATCAGGATCGGAATGCGTATATCTCTTGACTCCCAGCAGCCGGCATTTCAAATCTGTTCAAAAGATGACAAAGCGAGTCGGATCGTCTTTCCCTTGCAGAATTTCCCTGTCGTGTGTCGTATCGAAGGCAGTCATTCCTCCTACACCGTCGAAAATCTTATTCCGGAATACCGCACACCCTGCGATTTCCTGCAAGATTGGGGAAATGTCGCAGTTGAGTTTCAGGTCTTTGAAGAGCCGGTTGTCCCTTTTCATGCTCATAATTCGGCCACGGCCATAGAGGACGAAGAATAGAGATGGCTTCGAGAGCGTTCATGGAAGGGGACATCCTTCATATTGTGGTGTCGGCACAAAGACTCTTGGACGACTTGGTCCCAGGTCCATAACTGGATAGGAGCTCTACAAGGAAATCTGGAAATCCGTCTTCCTGACAACAAAAAGCGTTTGAGCTGCTGGGCCTATCGGCTTCACGACCGCAAGGATGAGAATCTTCCTGTGCCTCCTCCGCCATGGCTTTTCCTACCAACTCGTCGGTGGGAGTTAAAGCAGCAATATACTCCTCGGAAACCAAAGTTCCCCTTCTTCCTCGACGACCATGAGCGGCGCTGTCGGCTCATAGAGCCTCTAAAAAGGGAGCGAGCTATCCAAGTCAAACAGGTTGAAGAAGTCTACAGCCCTGGCAAACTACATCGTGCTTCTCTGGCTATAGATGATTATGACCAATCGGGGTTTCAATTCATGTTTGTGAGGATTGGTGAGGCTTCCGATGAAGTGCCAGTTAGTATTCCAGACATCGTGCCTGGGACCGAGATCAGGTTTGCTAAGGTCGAGTATTCGAAATACCGAAATCGGGTCTTTAAGAAGACTGATTTGCATTACAGGGGAGAAGTAATCGACTCGGATGGCGACGCTCATCTTATGGTCTTTCTTGAGACGCCTATTCCTGAAACGCCGCAGAGGGAGTTTCTGATCACGACGTTCATTAAGCCAAATGCTGTCTCGGTCGATGGCACATAAAAGCTCTCGACAGTGTCAGTTTTGTCAAATCATTTGGAGAGCTTCAGGAGAATATATATCAGGGACACCATGGTTTTTCCCTAAAGCGAACAATGCTCGCTCATGGTACCGAGCTCAACCCTGACAATGAGCACCATTTTGTCCTGGACGCTCGGGAAATCGATCCCCCTCTCTCACTCGATGAACAGCAACTGTCGATCGAAGAAAAAAATTACCGACTTGGTTACATCCTTGAGCACTTCCAACTGGACGAAGCGCAGACACGAGTATTTGATGCTTCCGTAACAGCCATTACATGCGGCGTCCATTTTACTCAAGGGCCGCCCGGAACAGGTAAAACTACACCATGCGTGGCTATTGTCCTTGCTCTCGCTGCGCTAGGTCACAAGGTCATGCTTGCCGGAGGCGCCAATAAGGGTGTAGATATTGTGTAGGAAGCTGCCGTGAACTGCCTATATAGGTATCCCCAGATTCACGAATAGACTGGCGACCTCATCCGGCTGCGGACGCTCTCCCGCCAGCTCTCTGAGATCCGTGTGCAAAGTAGCTCGCCGGGTAGCCATCCTTGGAAGGGGGCTGGAAAATCTGCAGTTCTCGAGGACCACGAGATCAACGCCCGTGTTATGCGACTTGTTTCTGAGAGTGGCCCCGACGCGCCCCCCTCGTACGAGAGACTCCTCCATCTCATCGAAGCGGACACAGAATCTGCTTTGGTTTCTGGGCAGACCAGGGAGCTAAGGGAGATCTACCAGGAGGTCTGCAACGTGTTGTTATCGAAAACTCGAATCATCGCCACTACACTGGGAAACGCCGCAAATGATCTTCTCCGGTCTGGCTAGGAGCCTGTGTTTTGAATCAAAATGTGCTCTATTCAACAAGCACATCATGGGAAAATATAGTAGACTAGACGTAATGCGCTCTACAAGAAGCTTCTTGGAAGGCGCTCTCAGACCCTCTCCAGGTTGCTTTTAACATAGGGGAGTAGCTACGTGGGATAGCTAAAGGTGGGTACCCCACGTTGTGTACAAGCAGAGAAAGGGAAACGATAACCTGAGCAATGAGGAAGTCACTGTCGTCTTGCGTGCATGTGATGTCCATTTTGGGAAGGCCCCAGGTCTGCCAGTGGTGGACGAGAGGATCTTCGAAGTTTTCGGATCTGCTCCTATCCTGTTCCCCATCAAAAGCAATCATGGATTATCCAGATCTTGCCTCCTTTCAATCTGGGGCCGAAAATCTCGCAAATATCCCAAATTCCGCCAATGGCAGAGGCCCTGAGATCGATGGACGAGTTTCAACCAGAGGGGATGTGAGCGGCAGCGGCCCTCGGGCCAATGGCCAGTGCTACAGCTTCGTGGAGGTCTACGACAGCGACTATCAGATCTATGGGCAGGTTATGGACAGAGTTGAAATTAAAGGCAGCGATTACCATGTTAATGGCCAGCTTTCAAGTGCAAGAGATACCAATGACAGGGTCTATATATCCGCAAGCAACGCTTTGGCCCCCGACGATGATATGGACATGAACGATGACCGCAATGACCGTGATAGCCAGCACTCGAGCCAAGAGGACACTGGTAAGACCCTTGATTACAGTGATTTTACATCGCTGAATCCTTGCTGATTGTGCTTAACGGCCTAGGTGTATACGATTTTGATCCGGATGACCCCGTTGACTCACGATACGAGCTTGATAACTCTCAATATCAGGCCGGAGATGAAGAGGAAGAGCTCAATCGTGGTGACAATCCCTTTGCAGATGTGGAAAGAAACCCTGTTCTTCTCGGTCAAGCACGGACTATCAGCCAAGAATGGGCCCAATTGCTCGATGTACCAGCATCCTCGACCGAAGACCATGATACAGATGAGGCGAGATATTGTGCCGCGGGTGTACCAATTGACTCTGCCGTGCGGCATAGGGAGGCCTTTGATGGTCTCTTGAGCAGGGTCGTTGGGTACATATCCACCCAAGTGAGAAACAGTGGGTTCCACGACACACCAGGCATCTGTCATTGGGTGAATGGATCGATGTGGGCATACTTCCGAAAAGCACAGCCGGGCTATCTCACAGAAGCCTTCCTCAACCTGATACCACAGTCCACGCGAACAATCCTGGGATACTTTGAGGATCCCACCAGTCTTCTGGCCCTTCCACATATTACAGACAAGCCGGGTCAAATGGGTGTCTATATCTGCTACGTGAGTGATCCAAATGGGCTTGGAGCACTATATGTTGGATCTTCGATTGTGGATCTTCTTCTTCTTCGGATTCAGCAGCATGAGCGTCTTATGGAACGGGCCAGACAGGATCTCAATGCGAAGGTATTATACCAATACGCTACTGGTGCAGGCCGAACCTATCATTTCCGCCAAATCACTGCACTTCCAGCATGTCAAGACAACGCTATCCTGATGCGCCTTTTGGAGGCGGTTATTATGCTTGCGCTTGACGCACTTGCCCCTGGAGAGGGCAACTTGATGTTTACTGTGGATGCAAGTATGTTGCGCGAGATACAATCAGCCTGTGGTATCCAGACAAGGGGGTATGAATACCTTAATCGAGCATTACCACTGAAGCAAGGGGCATCGAATACTTCTCAACGATGTTGTTCGAATTGTCAAGTCACAAGTGAAATTGTTGGACACGCAATCCCTTGGTATTTCGACTCTAAGGATCCTCTTGCTCTTCGTGTATTATGCCAGAGATGTTACAGGTATGAACGCCGCCACAAAGTACCACGCCCTGTGAGCCAAGACGAGCTCGCCAAACTGGCTGCAATTCGCGGGCGAACCAAGGAAGGCCCATGCAATAACCCTCTTTGTGGATCGATGTTGACATTGGACCGCTGGTATTGGCATCCAGACCCATCACAATCTCGCGTCCTGTGTAATAAGTGCTATAGCTGGGCTTCGGGGAATGATGGTAAAGATCGCCCTGCGAGTGTCGTGGCTGGAGTGATACAAGAGCACGTCTGTGTTGGCTGCAATGTCCAATCAACACAAAAGGGATGGCACAGAGCAGATGATGGGTTTCGTTGTCACCGTTGTCACAATGAATGGCTTGCGCTCAACGGCCAGTTGGATACAGCATGCGTATGCTGTGGGGAAACCCCCGGTGATGGTCATCTATGCAGCAAGATGTGCTCGGAGTGCAATTCCATCGATCAGAAGCTCCGGAAGGAATGCAGTCGACCCAATTGTTGGAACTGCGAAAGGGCGTTCACCAAGAGCAAGCCCAGACGATGGGTACTTGAGCTCAGGACCTATATATGCACCGCTTGTTATCATGGATGGGAGATTGGCTACGCTCGAGTTACTCCCAAGCAGATCAAGGACATTGATTTCCGCTGCGGGTACTGTCGCAGAGCATATAGTCAGATATGGTGTCTACACAAGACGGGTGGCCACGTTGTTATAAGGTGTCTTGACTGCAAGAATGCCAGGCGCAATGCCCATTCAACCGGATTCCCAGACTGCTATGGTTATGAACGACAAGCGAATGAGGTCACATTTTTCGAACATCGGTCCAGGGTAACCCATCAGACGAATAAGCCCGACTTCTATACGTTCCTCAAAGAAGTTCACCGGAGGGATTACAGCAGGGAAGCCGTGGAACAGCGCAAGCTCGACGAGGACTGCTTGCACCCGACTCCGTCATTCGGCGAATGGCTACGGCGTTTCTCTGCCAACGCCCGGTAGTTGAGTGACTCTCAGCTCGACTACATGCTCATGATGCCTTATATACGTTAGCCCCGCTGGTCCCGGCGTCTTATCAACCGTGGTAGTATAGTAACCGTAGTAATATATCCCGCTTCATTCGAGTATATCCTCTGTTAGGCCTGCTGGCACCGTTTTCATTATTAACCATAAAAAATGACAATGAGAAGAAGTTTGGTATTCTATAAAGGTCCATGGCATTTCTGAGGTGGTAGCAAGCGTTGAGATGGCAACTCCCCCCTAACAGAAAAGCGTAGCGGGATAGAAGGCAAATGAGGAAAAACAGAACGTGGGATAGCTAAATGTGGGGTACCCACTTTGGGTGCCGGAAGAGAAAGAGGGGAGACCATGCGGAAACAGTAGGGTGCATAGTAACAACTAGACAGGACTGAAGAAGCATCACTGAAAGAAAGATCATTGAAAGTAAGAATTAGGAAATAAGAACGCCGGGCAGTTATTCCTCCTGAGGTGGGGCGGCCAGGGCCTGGTAGATAGCCTGGATCCGGGCGTGGACATTGTCCGGTACAGGCCACTCATCAAAGTCCATCGTCCTGAGCTTCATGTATTCATCCTCACGGAGGGAACAGTACCACTTCTCCAAGTCTACCAATGCAACACGGACCTCCTTGATGTATTTGACACCAGCAGTGGAGTATGGCAGCATCACGAGCTTTTCAAAGAATTCTGTGGCCATGAGACCCCCGGGCATGTCGTGTTGCAAGTCCCAATCTGGGACCTTGGTCCACTGGCGCTGCAATCTTCGGGAGGCTTGAGCACTTTGGAATTGTGGTGTGGGTTCACGAGCTGGCTCAGGTGGCTTATCGCCGACGCCTAAGATGCGACCCCAGTCCTTTTGCGAGGGGCAGGCTTTGTGGCCAGCTGCTTGAAGCTTTGCCGAGTCCCTGTAGCTCGCGTGTCTCTCAATGGTCCAGAGCCATTCTCCTCGTGGGTTTGGTTGCTTGCTTTCGTCAGAAGCCTCGCTCATAATCGCGTCTTCGACTTCACCTGCTTCCATGCCCTGAGCTTGCATGCGTTGGGTGATCGCGCCAAGGCGTTGGTCCTGTTCCATTTGGAATGTCATCAAATGCTGTTCCGTCTCACGGCGGTCCTGGATCTTCAGGTTGAGAGCATCCAACTTGCGACGGTATGTTGCTTGTTTTACCGCTGCTTCTTCCCACGGGAAATCACTCCTCCATTTCCATACATGTGGTATCATGGCTTGTCCGGGTATTTCGTGAAGCAGCCCGCAAACCAGGCAATTTTCAGTTTCTGATCGGACGTGATGTTGGGGCTTGTCGGGTCTATATTAAGGAAGTGCTGTATACACCAGGCATCATCCCAAATGTCGCCCTGGGCAATGAGGAAGTCAATGTCATCTTGTGTGCATTCAAGAGGGAAGAGTCGTTTGCGCGTCTGTGGGCCATTGTTCCATGCCAGTATCACAATGCGTCGCTCCTGTGGTCCCCGGATGGCTCGGTATTGCTTGGTGGTGTTGGCCATGGCATCAGCAAGCGGCACAAAGCGCTCGATGTTCACTTCGAGGACTTCGCGGCCTCCTTCCTCTCGTTGTGCCTCTTTTCGAAACTCGGGCTTCCAGAGCACGTCAGCCAGAGCAATACCACGGCCTGCTCGTCACAGATTCTATACCCTTCGCCTTGTTGGTGCACTTTGATAAAGATTTCGCTGCCGCTAACGGGTATCTCGTATGGGGGGTTGTCTGATTTGCGCCTGTTTGTGGTTCCTTCCCAACTGGCAACTGTGGATGGGAAACCGCACAAGGCCCAGCCGACGTGAATCGTGAAAGGGTCGGGGCGGATGGTAATGTATACTGTTTCATCTACTAGCCCTAATCCCATCCATATATATATCGCTGAGCCATTGATTGATCAAGACCAGGGGTTCCATGTGGCCGTGCTGGGTATGCTGTGCGGTAAAGCTCGGATCTGCTGCCGGATATAGCATAGGGCTTGGGCCATTTTCGCGTCTCTGTTGACGTTCTTTCGACTCGTCGAAGTGGTTAGCTGGAAATATAAACTTGTACACGGCTGAGAGACAACCTGCATGTGCACACAGCCTTGGCCACAGAGGCACACTCAACCCCATATTGTTCCTCAGTTGTAGTAAATGCTTATATACTATGCCATACACTCTACTCTTCGCATCAGAACATAATATCCAGAAGTCTATATTATTTGATCCGAGGGGGACAAGGGACGAACAGCAGTTTTTTTATTTTTTTTTTTTGTTAAGCCTCTTAGAAACCCACTCAAGATGCGTTTTAATCAATTAGAGTCGCGTGGTCTAATGGTCATGATTTTCCGTTAACATGTGATTAGTTCATCTGATCTGATTACTTCTACAATTGTAGATGCCGGAACGGTTCCCGGTTCGATCCCGGGCGTGACTAAATTTTTTCCTTTTCTCAACGTATCGTTAACATTACTGTATTATTTTTTCACTAAATAATACGGCAAGTTAAACCAATAAGTAAGATAACCCATACAAGATGCGTTTTAATCAATTAGAGTCGCGTGGTCTAATGGTCATGATTTTCCGTTAACATGTGATCAGTTCATCTGATCTGATTACTTCTACAATCGTAGATGCCGGAACGGTTCCCGGTTCGATCCCGGGCGTGACTAAAAGTTTTTACTTCCTCCAGTTGAGAAAAGGTCGAGAATTTTTTTTTTTCCATCCCGTCGTTTGCATGCGACGCTTGGTTTGCCCATGTGGGGCCGCCTCCCTCGGCGAGCTTAACCTTATTTGTATGTAGCGGCTGAGATGACGCTAGTCCCGAAATAATACCATGTACGCGCAGCACTTGAAAGGAATCAATTATTGAATTGTTAGTTATATTGTGTGATGATAAACGAATTTCGAACTGCAGAGACCTGGACCTCGTCCACAGCTTGAGGATGCCGAACTATACGAGTCGGTCGAATCTCCAGTGCGAAGCGAGACACAGTGGAGTGCTCGTCGAGGACGAGCTGGGTGACCTTTTGGAGAACTATCTATTTACGCTCTAGGTTGACAATGGTAGTTCCATTAATCATATGTTAGACCTAGTCGAAAAGGCAATGCCGTATGTATTCCAGATGCAGAAATCGGCTATTCCACGGAACTCGGGAGGTTTTATTGACTGCGGAATTACCTACTAGGTTTAGGAGGCAATGGTACCAGAAAACCCCGTTTGCTGGCAATATGTCCCTCATGGAGACTTCTGAACATGAATCCTGGCTTTTAGAGACTTGGTTTCTGGGCTGAGGAGCCAACTGTCGTGCGCGCAGCGCATCCCGGGCTCCCTTCATCCCTGTTCTGGGTGCCAGCTGCATTCTGTGACTTGATTAATTATCTGATCGCTTCTTTCGTAAAACTTGGCGCTTAATAGTTGACACCGCAAGGATAATTAGGTATTGATCGCATTTAAATGCTTAGAATTCTACAACCTGCTCGCCAGCTGATCTAAGATCATGAAGATAGTTCACCCGTTTGACCAGTGGTGGGTATGTTTCTATAATTAACAAGACAGCGTCAGCTTACTGCTTCATGACAAGTATTGTAGTCTTCGAGATTTCTTTTTCTACGTAGATCTGCAAGGCTTGGGGATCCCCGTTGGTCCAGGTGTTGGGAGTCGTGATACACAGGGGAAGCTCACAGATGTTCTTAAGGATATCGATCTTCGCAGGGCAAATCCATCTTAAAAGGCCTTCTCCTTGACGACCTACTACCCAAGATAACAACACTCCTCAGACAAGATGAGCTCTACAAGACCGCAAGACGACTATCTACTTAGTCGTGACTATGTTGATTGTGATAGGTGTGTCATCATTAAGGAGCTAGCGAGCGAGAAAGTGCTTTCAAATTAACGGGACCTTCCAGGCTCAATCTTCAACACAGTCTCTGGACAAAGATCTTTGGCTACCTGCTCCATCCGTGCATCGACACCTCGTCCCCAACCCTGACGATCGCAGATATCGGAACCGGCACCGCGTGAGTTAGCCCTCTTTGACCGTGCACGCTCGCTTCATATCTAACTGACATTTCTCTCTCGACGCAGATCCTGGCTAACAGATCTCTCCGCACAACTCCCCGCGACATGCCAACTCGACGGTTTCGACATGGACACCTCGCAAGCGCCGCCAAAGGAGTGGCTGCCAGCCAACGTCCGCCTGCACGAATGGGACGTTTTCACGGATCTCCCAGAGCACCTGATAGGTCGGTATGACGTCGTTCATGTAAGATTGCTCGTCTTTGTTGTCAAGGGCGATCCGACGGGGATCTTGCAGAGTCTTGTCCGGATGCTAAGTATGCCCATCACACCCCTTTGCTTGGAACCCTACCTACAAAGGCAGCTACCCGACACTTATTTATGACATCCTAGAGCCCGGCGGCTGGCTGCAATGGTCTGAGCCCGACGTGCGCACGATGCGCATCCTCACGGCCAGAGCCAAGGCCCAGACCCAACCCGGTGCCCGCCCGGGTCCCGACACAAACACAGACGCAGACGCAAACGCAGACACGGAAATGAACCCCGGCATGGCACACCTTTTCTCACTAAGCGCCTCGCAAGACCCCCGACTCATCCCACAGTGGCCAAGCCAGCTCGACGAGTATTTCCGCGCAGAGGGGCTGACCGACGTCCTGGTTGACCGGGTGGCCGAGGCGCCCCCGCACCTGGAGTTTGCAATGCATCAGTGTAACCTCCTCATGTACGAGATGTTTGCGTCGCGGGCGGCGGGGCCACAGGCCAGGGAGATTCTGGATTGGGTGCCCAAAGCCGCGGAGGAGACGAGATGGGGTGCGATGTTTGCGTTTGAGAGGGTGAGCGTGGTGGGATGCAAGGGCAAATAATAACTTTTTACATCTGTAGATGAACGACTTGAGAAATATTAGTGTTGTCGCACTTGATCACTTCATAGGCTGGGGCTGATTCGTTGGCTCGGGTGTACTACTCGTTTTGCGGGGCATATTCGCTGACGCTGCCTAACAACAAAGAAACCCTCCAGCTTCAAAGCGGCTATAAACAGGTACGTAGCCTGGTCTTTCGGCTTTTTTTTTCATGCCCTCTCTCATTTCCCCACCCGCAAAGTAGTTATTTCCCCCATCACAAAACCAAAATGCCCCCCTCTACACCAACCATCGTCCTCGTCCACGGCGCCTGGCACACGCCCCCCTCCTACGCAACCTTCATCTCAGCCCTCGAAGCCCGCGGCTTTACCGTCCACTGCCCACACCTCCCCTCCTGCAGCAACGCCAGCCCACCAACCGCAACATACCAAGACGACGTCCTCGTCGTCCGCAAGCTCCTGCAGGATCTCACCGCGCAGGGCCACCGGATTCTTCTCCTCATGCACTCCTACGGCGGCGCGATCGGGACAGATGCAGTGACGCGGGATCTGGAGGTGCTGCCATCCGCCACGAGCACCACTGCTGACAGCAGCAGCAGCAGCAGGCGAGGCGGGGTCATCCATCTCCTCTACCTATGTGCCTACATCCTGCAACCCGGCCGCACAATCTGGTCGGTAATCGACGAAGCACAGATGACGCATCTCTGGCCGCAGTTCGTGACGGACTTCGACGACGGGACGACCTTCCCCGTGGATCCCGTGCTGCTCTTCCTGGGCGACGTCGACGAGGCGCGGATCGAGGCCGCGAAGCCGCATCTTGTGCGCAGCCCGTTGAGTGCGTTCCATGCGGAGACTGTGGGCGATGCGTGGCGGCGTCTCCCGGTGACGTTTGTCGCGACCACCAAGGATTACTCCGTGCCGAGGGTTTATCAGGATTTGATGCTCAAGCGGGTTGCAGAGGAAGGGGTGGAGATTCGGTTTGTGGATGTGGATACGGCGCATAGTTGTTTTATTTCGAGGGAGGAGGAGGTGGTGGCTGTTGTTGAGGAGGTGGTAAGGGATGCGCCGGGTGTTTGATGAGATGAGTTTATGGGTTTACTATTATCTCCTGCTTGGTTTACAAAGTGATTACGCAGCGAGCAGATTTAGAAGCCAAGGAAGAACTTGGGAGATATATAGAACCATATCTAGCCCGAAAGCCATCCTATAACTGCTGCACCCGATGCTCAATCTGCCGGGAGACATAGATACGGCTGCTATTCATACTGTCCAGTGGGACAGACTCACCACCCTTCTGGTCCCCAGTTGAGACCAACGGGGTAGAACCATGCGAATTGGCCGAGGGTTCCCTCGTCCTGGATGATCGAAAAAGAACAGGCAGAGTCGGTAGACAGCCGCAGATGATCGCCAGCGGGGTCTCAATGGAGGTCCAGTTGCCTACTGCCACGAGCGTATCTACAAACTGTTAGTGAATTGGCTTCAAAAGGGTAGGCATTCCTACATGTGATATCGTTGTTGTCAATCTGGGGGAGGTATGAGAGCCGGACGATGCTGCTGATGCATACACTAGATGGCGCCGTTAGCAATTACCTACCTGGTCGGCCAGCAGAAGACGAAGACGAAGAGGAACCGTGGACATACAACCCCCCCATGAGCAAGATCCCCGTAACAGCGACCTTCTTCCTCCTAGACATCTTCAACCGCCAGATGAGCGGCATGGGCATCGCCAGTATACACACATCCGTCAACACATTCGACACCGAGTTCCCGTAGTAGAATTTGGTCTGGTCGATGCAGTGATCCGCGGCGGAAGGGATCCAGGCGCCGCGTACAGGCGTGCAGGTGAAGATCTGCACGGTGACGACGGAGACCATCCAGCCTGCGACTATCAGGCCGACGACGATGCTGGCGTAGGTGAATTTTCGGACGGGGAAGAGGCGGTGGTACATGAACAGGATGGAGATTTTGATTGTCGGGAGGGTCAGGGCGTAGAAGAGGTTGTCTATGTAGACTAGCTAGGGAGGGTGAGCGCGCGTCTACCCACATGGTGGCTATCTGTGTCTGTGGCTGTAGATAGACGTGGATGGGGGATGGGCCTGCTCACCAGTAAGAACCTCTCAATCTGATGTCCCTCCAAAACGGCGCCGTGGAAACCCGCAAAACCGATTGTACAGATCAGGATCCCCGAGACGTATAACCCCGTGCCGAAAACCAGCGCCAGCAGGGCTAGGTAGTCGTCTATTTTCACAGACGCTGTTTTGCGCCGCGCCAGGAAGCGCAAGCCCACGGCCAGGATCGCCAGTGGGTGAAGTACTGTCGACACGGTGAGCAGAGCTACCGCATGCCGTGCCAGCGTCGGGGCTTTTGGATGTTCCATCGATGCATTTGGGGATCGGTGAGCTTGGCAAATGAGCTCGTGGTGTGGGTCAAGATATTCTTTTATGAGATATCTCGCCGACTCGATTTAGGTCGAGAATGTCATGATTCTGATGAACGGCAACGCCAAAGATTGCATTGATGGACAGGCAAGTGCAGAAATGCTCTGGTGCAGCTCCCCCTCTTGATAAGCTCAGCCCCAGTCGTGCTCACCATCTGTGCAACTTGCCCAGCGAATCGCAAATACTCCGGGTCGTCCGTTTCAATATCAACCACTACCAGAGCGCCTACTGCGCTCTAGTGTCACCGCAGATTCCTATGATCTTCTCAACCGCCCGACATAAGGCGTCCAAGTCCTCCCCCTCAGACGGAACACCGTGCCCAGCCCCGTGTACGACCTCTACGTTATTATTTCCACACAGCGACGACAGCGGCGGCCCCATCCCAGGATAATCCTCGTCGTTTCCCGCCCAGCAGTTTACGACAGGGAGATTGATCAATGGTGTGTCGGGAGAGAGACGCTCCGTAATCTCGACGATGACACCCCTCTGCAGCGCGCGCAGATCAAACGGGCGCCCGCCGCACAGAAACACTGCGAATCGGAAGGGGGGCGCTCCTCCAGTCTGCAGAGCCCGAAGCGCATCCGGCAGCGCCGACTCGATGTCTGCGTCTGCTGACTGCATCGTCGTCTCCGGTGACGACGGCTGGACGGCGATCAATAGCGTCGCGGCGAGGACAGCGCCCTGTGAGAAGCCAACCACCCCGTCGAATGGCCCGTTGGTGATAACGTACGCAGCCAGGTCGTTGACAGCCGTGAGGATGCTGGTTGCTGACTCGTGGAAATACGAGTAGCAGTCTACCGAGTCTGCTTCGCTGTTGAAGAGCTCTGCGATGCCCCGTGCTGGTGGCCAGAGGATGGACCCGTCGACAAAGTCGAATTCGTCCGCGCCCTGGCCGAGACGGTAGCGAAGGGAGGCTGTAATGGAATAAGCATCAGTGGGGTTTGAGATTATGGGCGGGGGGAGGCGGGTCATGTACCGGTCTGTGCCTTTAGGACCTGTATATGTATGTCAGCTTCAGCAAGCTCATAAGAAAATCAAGACGAGCACATACATCGCTGTTTGTGCCCAGTCCGTGTAGGTAGAGGAATCGCATATTGCTTGCCGTGATGGTGGAATTGATAATCGCCGATGCGGTATAGAAGAACGAGCCGTACCTGGACGCCCTGCCGCAATCGACGCGAAGCATTTAATAGACACCGGGTCAGCAGTTGATACCCGCGTTGACGGGATTTATTCTGCCCAATGTGAATTATTCTTGCCAAAGACCAACGAAGCTTATTCATGCCAGCTACCTTGACTGGTGGGGTGAGGAGGGCGCTTAGAAAGAGGAACCTTGTACGACAGCAGAAATACCGGATGACCTTGAAGGCGCAATCCAGCCATTATTTGGTTCTTTTTCAGGTTCGATTCGCTTCCTGATATTGTTGCCCTGCCCTAGATAGGACTCTCGGCGCAACTGATTACCTTTATTACCCACCTGCAGCCAGTACACCACGGGCCTTGCCGGACAATATCTATCGTATTTCTCCTTCAAACAAGCAGGATACCCTACAATGAACGATGACCCAATCGCAATAATCGGCTTCTCCCTGAGATTCCCCCAGGAAGCCGACTCAGCAAAGGCATTCTGGGAGATGCTCTACAACGGGCGATGCGCCATGACCAAGGTCCCCGCAGACAGATTCACCATTGACGCGTTTTATGCCCAGAAGGGAGAAGCTGGAGCTGCAACCGGAACGGTAAGGCTCCGACTCTTCAGGGCACCAGAAGACTGCCTCTAATAATCTACAAACATGCTTCCTAGATTCCCCTCCGGGGCGGACATTTCCTCAAACAAGACCTGGGCGTGTTCGACGCTCCGTTCTTTAACATTACGCCGGCCGAGGCCGAGGCCATGGATCCTCAACATCGTCTGATGCTCGAGGTGTCATATCATGCCTTGGAAAATGGTGCGGAAACTCGACCTGATGCGGGATACAAAGTAGCCATCTGACCTGCCAATCGTGTACCTATAGCCGGCATCCCCATCGCCCAGTGCGCCGGCACAAAGACATCAGTCTACACAGCCTCCTTCACAGATGACTACAAGAGCATCTTACTCGACGCACCGGACAATATACCCAAGTATGCGGCAACAGGGCTGTCAATGTCCATGCTCGCGAACCGCGTCAGCTGGTTCTACAACTTCACCGGGCCAAGTATGAACATCGACTCGGCGTGCTCGAGCAGTCTGAGTGCGCTGCATATTGCGTGCCAGGATCTGCTCAGTGGGACTTCGAAGATGGTGAGTTAGCCCGTCTTGGGGCTCGGCTCTGGATATATTGACTTGGGGGTTTTCTGCAGGCTCTAGTCGGCGGCAGCAACCTCGTCTTCCACCCCGACTTTATGCTCATCATGTCAAACATGGACTTTCTCTCCCCAACCAGCAGAAGCCACAGCTTCGACCACCGGGCAAACGGATATGCGCGCGGCGACGGGGTCAGCGTCGTAGTCCTCAAGCGACTCTCCACAGCAATCCAAGACGGCGACACGATCCGCGCCGTCATCCGCGCAACAGCCCTCAACCAAGACGGCCGGACCCCGGGAGGAATCACGCAGCCTAGCGGGGATGCGCAGCGGAGCTTGATACAAGAGGCCTTTGCAGGCGCGCAGCTGGATATGGCGCCCGTAAGGTTCTTCGAGGCGCATGGGACGGGCACCGCGATTGGGGATCCGACCGAGGCGCGGGCGATTGGAAGCGTGTTTTGCGCGTATCGGTCGCCTGAGAGCCCGCTGTTTGTTGGTGCGGTCAAGTCGAGCATTGGGCATCTTGAGGGGGGGAGTGGGCTTGCGGGGGTGATCAAGACGGTGCTGATATTAGAACGGGGGGTTATTTTGCCGAATGCCGGGCTTGAGAGTGTGAATCCAAGGATTGATACCGAGGGGCTTTGTATCAAGGTTAGTGAGTTATCATCCTTTTTATAGTAGTGTCTGATCAGATGCCAGTTTCCCACGCAGCCAACCAGATGGCCTGATAATGGGTTGCGGCGGGCTTGTGTGAGTCTTTTCGAGCCCATGTCCTTCTCCCCGAGACTTGTCCCTGATCTGAACAGGTGAATTCTTTCGGATTCGGGGGCTCCAATGCTGTAGTAATCCTCGACGACGCCCTACATTGCCTCCAGCACCGCAGCGTGCAAGGCCTCCACCGCACAGTCGACATTGCGCCCCAAGCATGTATAGCAAACAGTACCCCACCAACGTCTTCTCCAACAATCCCTAGACTCCTCGTCTGGTCAGCAGCTGACAAAACCGCTCTAAGCAATCTAACCAGTGCATATGCGGACTTTTTCAAAGCAAAAACCTCTACCATGGCAGACCCATCGGCCTTCCTGGACATGGTCTACACCCTGACCCACAAGCGCACTCTACACAGCTGGCGATCATACACAGTCGGGATAGATAGTGAGGATCTGAGTTGGTCTATTGACAATGCGAGCCGTGTTCCGGCTGCTGCTGCTGCTGCTGCTGCTAATCCAGGTTCGCTTGCGTTTGTTTTCACGGGCCAAGGAGCGCAGTATCCCCGGATGGGCCACGGCCTCCTGGCTTTACCCTTCTTTCAGAATCGGATTGGGCAGCTGAGCCGTCTTTTAACGGATATTGGCTGTGCATGGTCTCTTCTAGGTATGTTGGTCCTCTCCCAGCTGTTGTAGGGCTATGCTGATCGAGGGTACTGTACATGTACCAAGAGCTCCTAGAAGACGGCAACGCACCCATCGACGAGCCCGAATATAGCCAGGCATACACAACCGCCCTCCAGATCGCCATGGTCGACTACTTCAAAGACCTAAACCTCCACCCGGCCGCCGTCATCGGTCACTCGTCGGGTGAAATCGCCGCAGCGTAGGCTCATCGCCTGGCCTAGTAACGCCCATCATACATACAGTAGTAGAAAGCTGACGGCGCAGACAGATACTGCACCGCCGCGATTACGGACCGCACCGCGCTGACAATCGCCTTGCACCGCGGCCGTCTCGCCCAGCGCCTGCGGTCGATGCATCCGGCCGCGTCTCCGCAGGGCATGCTGGCGGTGGCGACCAGCGAGCGAGGTATCCAGTCCTACCTGGATCGGCTGGAGGCCGACACAGTCCAGATCGGGTGCGTCAACAGCCCGAGGAGCATCACGCTCACCGGGCCAAAAGCCCATCTAGACGTGATAGAGGGCTGGCTGGCCGCCGACGGCGTTTTTGCTCGGAAGCTCCGCGTCGATGTCGCGTACCATTCGCGCTTCGTCGAGAGCATAGCGGACGACTACCTACGGGCGATGAGAGGGATACTGAGAGAGCCTGCTGGGGGCAGCCTTGTACCGATGGTCTCAACCGTCACGGGAGATATCGTTCCTGCAACGACGCTGTGTGATCCAGCGTACTGGGTTAGAAACATGGTGTCGCCAGTCCAGTTCTCCTCTGCCGTGCAGCTCCTCTCAAGGCTTGCCGGGAAACCGCCGCGCAAGCAGCTCGGCTCTGCGCCGCAGACACTCTCGGGTATAAGGATGCTCGTCGAGATCGGACCTCACTCGACGCTGCAGGGTCCCCTGCAGGATAATCTCGCCGATGTCGATGCTGCCCCCCAGAATCATAATCATGATCATAATCATGATCATGACAATAATAATAATCGCATCTCCTACACCCACGCCCTCCACCGCAAAACACCCGCCGGATACAGCATCCTCAACTGCATCGGCCACCTCTGGAGCCGCGGGTATCCGGCCGACCTGCTAAAAGCCAATGGCCTCTCGATCCGCCCGCCCAGGGCCGTCCGGACAGATCTCCCCGCGTACCCATTCAACCACACGCGGCGGCACTGGTTCGAGGACCGGCTGAGCAGCGCGTTTCGGTTCCGGCGGCATGCGCCACATGAGCTATTGGGTGTGCTTGCGCCCGACTCGAATGCGTTCGAGGCGAGGTGGCGGGGGATTCTTTCTCTGGAGAGGGTGCCCTGGTTGGAGGATCATCGGGTGAGTCCAGTCCGCCCTCCAGGCAGCGGTCCGAGTTCAGCGCTCTGACATTAATCTCTTACAGATTAGTGGTGTGATTGTCTTTCCTGCAGCGGCGATGCTTGCCATGGTGATCGAGGCCGCACGACAGTTCCAAGTGCCTTCCGGTGGGACCAAAACGATATCAGGCTTCGAATTCCGCGCCGTCCACTTTCTGAATGCGCTGCAGATTCCGGCGGACAAGGGGATAGAGACTGGTGTCGCTCTGTCCAGCACAAAGGCAGGCCGCAAGGGAAAAATCACGGAAAAGACCTGGTATGCTTTTCGGGTCTTCTCGTACGACCGGGAGGAGTGCATGGAGCATTCGCGTGGGACCATTGGGATAGGACTAGGTAAAGACAAGACGAACCAGCAACGCGAACAAACAATCTCTCAAGCCCTCGAATGCCCAACGTTCAAAAAGACAGACATCAAGGCCCTCTACAACGCCATCCGTACAAACGGAGTGAATTACGGGCCCGTCTTCCAGGTCCTCGACAACCTGCGCCTGGATCACCAAGGGGGAGCTGTTTCTGAGATTCGACCGTGCCCGAATGGAGACCAGATCAAGAACAAGCTCATCAATCACAACGCTTACCCCTTGCACCCTTCGATAATGGACGGCCTGTTCCAGCTGGTGTTTGCGGCACTGAGTGACGGTCGAGGCGGATACCCTGCGGCCATGGTGCCTTCGTATCTTGGCAAGATGACGCTCGTCATCGATCCTGATGCCGTCTGCGCTTCGTGTCCGGAGGCCGAATGTAGGACCCTGCTCGCGTACAACAAGTCGGCTTTGTTGGGGTACAGAGGGACCGAGTCGAGCGTGCTCGGCTTTTGCCCGAGGAGCAAGCGTGTTGTTTGCGCTATGGAGGGCTACCAGACTACATTTGTTTCTTCTTCTTCTTCGACCTCTGCAAATGGTGGTGCTTCTGAGCAGGCCCCGGAACTCCAGCTCCTCAGCAACCTGGTCTGGCGACCTGATTTGTCTCTGTTGATGCGTGGGCAGCTCGAACAATTTCTGGAGGCTGTGAGAGCTGGTGATGAGGCTACAGATGACCTTGACTGGCAGCTGAACTTGCTAATGCGATATTATATTCAAGTTGGACTACAGAAAGGGCATAAAGGTACCGGCTCGTCTGGAGTGGTATCAGATAGGGCTGTGGGGATGCTCGAGCCATTACTTGTGACCCTAGAGGAAATGGACATGAATATCCCGGCAAGAACTTACCACGAACAGAAGTTATTCCAGGAACCGCAGAGTGCCAGACTCGCACTTGAACAGAAGTTGAGCACTGCCAGTCGTACGGCGAGATTCTACATTACTTTGGGCCAGCGAGCTCTCCGTCGACTCGAGCTCGAAACCGAGCAGCAACCCCCAATTGAGCCCGAACACAAAAGAGAGGCCTCAGTAGAAGACCAGGATCTAGTGGAGACACTCTTACAAGAACATCTCAACTCCCCACACCTCCTCAAACCCCTGGGCCTTGTCGTCGACTTGCTCGTGCACAAGAACCCACTCCTGCACATCATGCATGTCGGATGGAAAGCGGATTCCGACCTAGGTAGGTATGCTAGGATGATCTCGGGCTCGAGGAATGGCTACTGCCCGTGGCGGCGGTATGACTATGTGGAGATTTCGAAAGAAGGCCTTGTTCAGGTTGATCCGGGCTTTGCTGGGGGTTTTGAGCGTCTTAACGAGGACCCGCTTGGTCTGGCGCGGGAGCGGTATGATCTTGTTATTGTTTCCCAGGTGAGTACTGAGTACTTTGTAATTCTAGTTGGTTGTTACTGACGGGGGTCAAGCTTCTACATACAACGCCAAATCCAGAAGAGGTCCTTGAACGGGTTCGGGCATTTCTTAAACCGTAAGCGCTCTACCTATTCATGTTCCTGCTTTACTTTTACTTTGCTGTGAGGTTTCCTAACCACCCAGCACGACCAGAGGCGGCTACCTTGTCCTGCATGGCATTATGCTATTGACCTCTCCAAGGACGACATTTGCTGCCAGCATTGCTCCCGAATGGTGGTTAGGGCTTAAAGCTAGAGACAAACTGTACTGCACCGAAGCCGAGCTCGACGGAATGCTCGTTCAAAGTGGCTTTTCTGGCATCCACGCTCTGATTCCTGATACCGTTGATCCAAGATTCCGTGAGACAAACATAGTCATGGCAAGGGCGGAAACAAGGGTAGAGAAAGCCGAGAACAGCCTGCTGTCAAAGGGTCAGAATCAAAGTATCGTGATCATCACCGATGGCAAGACAACCGCCCAGCAAACCGTCGCCCGTCGCCTGGAATCAGCAATAAAACGTGAATATGGCATGAATGCGCACGTCCGGATATCTGTCTTCGCAGAAGCCATAACAACAGGCATACTACAAGGGCAATTCTGCCTCTCGCTCCTCGACTACAGGCGGCCGTTCTTCACTACGCTGACTCCAACCGAGTTCGAGCTGTTCAAACAGGCACTTTCCATGGCAGATGGATTCCTCTGGGTTGCCGGGGGTGTGGAAGATTCTCGACGGCCCGAGTTCCATCTGGTTGATGGGCTTGCAAGGGCTCTGCGGTCGGAGAATAGTTTGCTGAAGTTTGTCCGGCTGACTGTTGCAGACGCGGATTGCGAGGGACATGTCCTTACTGTTCTGAAGGAGGCGATGACTGCCACCTCGCTGGATAATATGGAGTTCGAGTACGAGGAGAGGGATGGTGTCTTGCAGATCAGCAGGGTCGTGCAATCCCGGCACATGAACCGAATAATCGGAGATAGACTCGCAAATCGCCAGCACAGGGTCTCCGTAACCCTAGATGACAATGCCACCCCGCTACAGATCCGCATGCCCAAACCAGGGGAAGGACCACTCCTTTCAACCCCCGACGGCATTCTCCTAGAGGAAGTAACAAGCAGCACGCACCCCCTCAAGACAGACGAAATCCTCATCCGAGTCCACGCGCTCGGCATCAGCCACCACGACTACCTCATTGCATCAGGGCACCTCAACAGCACGGATCTTGTATCCGTCTGTGCGGGTGTCATCCACGAGGCCGGTGCATCCAGCGATTTTGCCGCTGGCGAGCGCGTTCTGGTCAGCTACACTGCAGCTGGCTGCACCTGGCTGAAATGCCTTGCATCGTCTGCTGTCTTGCTGCCACCGCATGTATCGTTTGCGACTGCGGCGGCGGTGCTTGCGGAGGGGTGGCCGGCTGTGTATGCGTTGTATCATGTGGCGAGGCTCGAGGAGGGAGATACGGTTCTGGTTCCGTCTGCGGATGGCGATGGCGATGGGGGCGGTGCTGCGCACGCGGCGGTTCTGGCTGCGGAGTATGCTGGTGCGAATGTGGTTGTCGCCAGCGGGGAAGGAGATGGAGATCATTCTGGAGTTGACGTCGTACTAAATTATGACAGCAGCAGCGTGGAGGCCTCGCTCGACGCCCTTGTGCCTGGTGGTATCTTTGTCAATATGTCCGCTGGGATCGTGATACCGCAACATTGCGTGCAGATGGCAGCATCAAAGTCTATTACTCTAGCCACGATAGACGTCGCCCAGATTCCTCGCCAGCGACCAGCCCGCATTCAGAAGCTGTTGAGCCTGGTTGTATCCATATATCTTCAAGCGCAGACTCCTAATGGTTTCGTCACCACCGACAACACACAGACAGACCGAGTGCGTGTGTACAAGGCTTCCGAGCTGTCGACAGCCCTCGAGTCCCTGAAAGGGGGACCCGACTCTGGAACTGTGGCCGTAGCCGTGGATGTTTCTCCCGGACAAACAGTCTCTGTAAGTCTATCCCAGCCGACTTTTTCCAAACTACAAAGCAACCTAACTCTGATCAATATCAAGGCCCTGGTAGCACCCCGCCCCTCCCCTAACTTTGACCCAAACGCGACCTATGTCATTGCTGGTGGGTTTGGCGGGCTCGGACGCAGCATCTGCCGGTGGATGGTAAGTCGGGGAGCACGACATCTGTTAATCCTCTCGAGATCCGGAACCCGCAACCAGTCAGCCAGGGAGCTTGTCGCAGAGCTCACTGGCCTCGGTGCCCGAGTTCATGCCCCGGTATGCGATATCAGTCAGGCCGAGGCCGTCCAAAGGGTCCTTACAGAGTGCGATGCCGTTGGAACGCCTCGTATTCGAGGTTGTATACAGTGCACGATGGTGTTGAGGGTACATTATCCTTCTATCCCACGCTAGAGAAGCCATAAAGATGCTGATTCTCATACTCCAGGACGCCATCTTCACTAACATGACCCACACCTCCTTCACAACAAGCACAGCCCCCAAAGTCCTCGGCTCCTGGAACCTGCACGCCCTCCTCCCAGGGGGAATGGACTTTTTCATCCTGCTCTCCTCCGTCGGCGGGATCCTCGGCGCCCCCAGCCAGGCCAACTACTGCGCGGGAAACACGTACATGGACACGCTGGCGCAACACCGGATGTCCCTAGGCGAGAGGGCCGTCTCCATCGACCTCGGCATGATGGTTTCGGCGGGGGTCGTTGCGGAGACGGAGGGGATGCTGGATTCGCTGCAGCGGATGGGGTGGTTTATGGAGGTTGGAGAGAGGGAGCTTTTTGCGCTTTTGGAGTATTATTGCCATGCTGATTTCTCCTCTTCAGAGGCAGAGGCAGATGCAGCCGCAGTAGATGGGGACGCTCACTCGCATTCGCAGATCGTCGTGGGAATCGAGACTCCCGCTGGCATGCACCGCAAAGGCCTCGAGCCACCGCACTGGATGCAGAGGCCGTTCTTCAGCCACTTTCACCTTCTCACCAGTAATAGCAACATTAACAGCGCTTCCCCCGGTACCCATCAACCCACGCAAACCACTCCCAATCCCAACATCTCAGACATAGCAACCCTCCTCCACCAAACCCCCTCCCTCTCAATCGACAAAGCCGCGCAGCACATATCCAGCGCGCTGATCGCCAAACTGTCGCAGATAACGGGGATCTCGCGCGAGGCAATCGACCCCGCAAAACCGGTGCATGCCGCGGACGGGATCAACTCGCTGGTTGCGGTGGAGCTGCGCAATTGGTTTGAAAAGAAGGTTGGGGCTGAGGTTGCGGTTTTGGAGATTTTGGGTGGGGGCAGTATACTTGAGTTGTGTGGGGTTGCGGCGGGGAGGACGCGGTTTAAGGGGGGATGAGTTTGGCATTATCTATAGCAGGGCGAGTTGGTCATGGTTACAATGGGCTTACACTTCTTCAACCACTAGTAGTGATAAGCAGGTTGAAAGTAGACGAATCTGCCCGGGCTTTTGTCCCTGATCATCCCAAAAGAACAACAAACAGAACTAGCACTCAGGCAGCTTCAGATTGTTGCCAGCATGTCTCCTTTCCACAGATTTCCAGTCGCTCAAATACCGAACTAGGCTCTCGAACGTCAGATCAAACATGAATGCGGTGGATTTCAGCCGAGATCGAGCTGACTGGCGTAGCTGACAACCAGAAAATAAAAATAAAAAAGAAAATAAAAAAAGGAGCCAAGATTTCAGCCCAGAAACCTTGGGCTGCGCGGCGTTGGCCAGCTGAACCTGCAGGTTCGAGGCTAGCGAATCACATCAGCTTCCGACACACCAGGGCCGCTCTTCCGCCGAAGCTAGCCAGGGTCAGCTGTACCGAGTATGCGACTGCTAGTGGTATGGAAATAGCCCCTTGGGAAGTAGGAAATGGAAAGGATACTCGATATAAAAGTTGGATCTCTCGAGCAGGGTGCATGTTTGCCGCCAACAGCAGATCCCCTTGCCTTTATATTTATTCATCACATACAATTCTTGCACGTAGTGATTATATTGGTTTCTACTATGAAGCGATTCCCTCAATTCCCCCGCTTCCCCGCCGAACTGCGCAGGCAGATCTGGCACGAGTCGTCTCCATTGCCGGGCCTCCACGCCTTTGACGTCTGCATCCCCTCGACCTCCGAATCGTCCCGCCTCTCCCAGGCCTTCCAGACGTCCGGAGTGTCAAAAAGGGTGACAGAGACTCCGGCGCGTGTACAAAAGTACAGCGCAACAGTCTTCCTCGATCAGTTCCTGCCTACGCCCGAGGATAAACGCAACGACGCCGAGGGATCTCAGAGACTCGACTCGGACCCCTCCGCATACCACATCACAAGCGCCGTGCGCCAAACATGCTTCGAGGCCCTCGAGTCTCTCCGGACGCGCAGCTCTTCCCATCCCAAAAACACCACCACCACCACCACCACCACCACCACACCACAACCAACAAGCCCGGACCGCAGCACAAACCCCAAAGCAACCAACCGCGTCTACCTCGCCGCGCACGACAAATGGATCACATACGACAACGCCAACGACGTGCTCTTCCTGCGCTTCGGCGGCCCCGTCCGCATCCCGGCTGCCCTCCTCGACGAGGAAGAAGGATCGCGACAGGAACAGGAACACGCGTACCCGCGGACATTCCACAGCGGCATCTCGGACGTCCTGCTGTGTCCGTGGAGTGAGGAGTTTACAGAGACGCTGCGGCATGCGCGGCGGGTGGCGCTTGATCTTGCGGAGCTGCGGACGACGGCGGGGATTTCTGACGTAGAGGGGGAGGGGGAGGGGGGTGCGGAAGCGGTGGCGCAGGATATAGCGTATCTGGCGTGCTGTTTACAGAATGGGCTCGAGGTGTTGTATGTGATTGTTGATGGTGTGGAGAGTGGAGGGGGCACCCTGGATTTCGCCTCGCTCCAGACGATGGGGAAAGTAGGGAACTCGCTGAGCAGTCCTGGGTTTGAGAAGAGGGATCCAGATGTCTTTTATGGAAAGGGGGTTACGTATCATGAGGTTTTTGCGTGGGAGAGGATTGGGCTTGGCGATGGGACGAGCGAGTTGCGTGGGCTGAGGATGCTGGGGGATGCGGTTCGTGAGCAGCAGGGGGAAGACGGGGTATTTCGGGGGATACGAGTTTTGGTTTGTCAAAGGGATCGTTCGGAGTGTAACTTGTAAGACAGGGATGAGACTAGGAATGGGTGGTAATCCAAGATAGGGTTGGGTCTTGCTGTATAAATAAGGACTTGAGATACTAGCACGAGTATCAGGGCTTTTTTACGAATTCCAGGTGAAATGGTTCTCTATTCATTCTTACATCTGAAGCTAGTCATTGGATACCATGAGCTAAAGGTGAATGTACAATGAAACGGTCGTGATATTGAGATGGTTCATACGGTATAGATTCCTGTAGCTTCCGTACATCAAGCCTATACCACAAACGACATCCACCAGCATCGAATGCGAAAACATCATCAACCAGATGAAATACGCACCCTAAGCCGAGCTCTTCCTCCCGTTCTTCAAGTACTCAGCAACCAACGGCCTCTCCTCGAACGCCTTCCTGAAATTCACAATCTCCTCCGGAAGAACCTCCTACACGCAGTACATCATGAGCACACAGCCATACACACAACAACCAGACAAAAGGAGACCTACCGGAAGAGCCCCAATCCCCTCATCATTATCAACAGCCTGATACACCGCGAAATCCGCATACGTGACCCTGTCACCGAGGAGAAACGGCCCGCCGCTCTGCCCGTAGTACCCGGCAAGAACGGCATAGTAGTCCGGCAGGAATTTGGTCCTATATCCTTCCGAGGCTTGCGATAGGTTTGCGGCCCATTCAGCCTGGCGAGTCAGTGTGTGGATTACGTTAAGAATCGGCGAGAATAAACATAGGTGGTAGCTCACTCTCCAGTCAATGTACAAATCCGCAACGGCGTCGACGGTATGCTTTTCTAGAGATGTGGTGCCGTCGTAGGCGGCAAGGTCGCGCGCGAGGTAGCGGAGAATGGGGATATGCTGTGGTGGTCAGCATCAAGCGTGACTTGGGCTACTTGTACTCACCTGAGCGAGCAAAACGCCCTTGTACTCGAGCACCGGGACCCTTCCGGTCTTGCTGATTCCCTTTTCCTGGAGCTCTTTGCTGGTGGCCTTCCAGGTATCGTTGAACGGGTACCGTTTGTCCTCAAAGTCGATTCCTGCGTCGTGGAGGAAGAGGCTGTTCGTTTCTGTATTAGTATGATTGACCATATAAGATCATATAACATGGAGTTAGCATACCGGATGACTTCACCGCGGCCTAGGGAGCCGATGTCGAGGTAGTGGAGAACGGGCTTTCTTTCTGAGGCCATTGCAGCTTGAGGTTGAGAGGTGGTGTACTTGAAAAATTAGATGTAATGCGAAGATGATGAGGTTACTACCATCTTCTTATTCGGCTATCCAGGTCCTTTATAGCGTCACAACCCATTCTGTAGAACATACGTCTCACTCCCAGTATACTCTCACCGCGTCACAACAGAACCTCTACCGCTACTATCCCGTATAGGCACTACTGAGCCGTGTTGCATAGGGCTGACGGACATGGATGCTCAGGAGGAGGCGTCGGCGGAAGCGTCGGCGGAAAGATCAGGACCAGCCGGAGAACATTTCCCAGAAGTTTAGAGTGTACTCGGGGCTGAAGGTTCCTGGGCAATGATCGGCGTCAGGACAATCCTCTTACCAGGCTAAAGTACGCTCGCACAAGACCCGAGCTGGGGGAAAAGGCTGCGTCGCTTTACTGTATCTTTGCGGTGTTTGAAAAAGAAACAAAAGTGACCATGAAAAATGCCGTCCATTTTCATATGCTGCCAATGACTTGTTTGTATCAGAGGCCTCGGCCTGGCTATCGTTGTCTTGTCTCCCCGGTGGCAGCCACGAAACAGCGAACGTACTCCACGATGCAGTATTGACTCGGAATTCTTTTCCGTCCTCTACGTGACAAGGCGTAGCTTTCTTATGACGCCCCACGATGCTTGTCTTTCTCCAGAAGCACGGCCCTGCATTTTTTCTAGTGCGGGTAGCTCGGTTGCCCCAAGATAGTAATCCGTAGGATGCTACTGAGAAGCGGCTCTAGGACGCAGACTATCCGCTCTCTTGTTATAAGAGAACATGAATATACATTGTTATAGAAAAATCATACCATCAAGAGCAGGTATAAACGCAAGTTTAGAGATCTTCGGTTCATGGCTTGATCCTAGCTAAGAATACCAGGTCTCGGTGAATCTTTAAGCAGTTGCATTTGGACATTGATGCACAGCCATTTGTCCCCAAGGATCAATTTCGTTTACAGCGGCCTGTCTAGAGATCGAGTCAACTTGGACTGGACATGATCACCACCGCGGCCACTACAAAACCAACCACACCAGCGAAGCAAAGTCAAACTACACGATAAACCCCACAGTAGACAAAACCAACCCCGGTCTAGAGCAGAGTATGATCACACCTACAACCTCGTTCAGCCAACGACTACGCCCGCCGACCGGACGCCGCTTCGCCTCCGCCGAAGACTCCGCCGAGATCAGCGGTGGCTGTGCGTGCCCAACCCGCTGGACGCTAGTCGAATTTAGCCTCTTTCTCGTGTTTGGTTGCCTTTTTTCCCTTGAGCGGCTCAGCCCTATGTTGATTGCGTCGGAGACTATTCTTAGATAGGGACAATGGTGCGCTGGTTGGGGTTCTGTCTTGGCTCGAGACAGGTGTAGAAATGTAATGAGGGTCAAGATGATTTTTTTTTTTAATAATTATTTGACTTGTTCTGGGCTGATGTTGAGATATATGCTGTGAGGTCAGATATTTCTGTCCGTTTTATGGCTTTCGAGCTGCAATTGTGAGATTTAGACTCGCGGTGAATGGTACAGTTGATATTCGTGCAAATACTACATATTAGCCCTAACTTGCCCAATTCGACAATTCAACACCAAAAGAGCACTAATCACTATCCTATCATTCTCAAAAGCACACTACTACTACTCCAAGCCCTTGGAATAACCCCATTCTAACCCGCCAAAAGCCAATCCCCAAAGCATGACCACTTGGATCTAAGCCTCGCGTCCTAAACTCGGCATCTCAACACTAAACATCACCACCAAAATCGTCAGAAGAACCTCCCACACCTGTCCACCGAGGAATCCCGCTCCCACAGCAGCCGCACCACCAGTCTGCACCGGCCCATCTGCACCCCCCGAGGTCGTCGTTTCGTTACCAGCACTACCAGTATCACCACCAGAACCAGAACCAGAACCAGAACCAGAACCAGTCGAGTTCGACCCCGAATCCGCCAGCCCCGTCACATTAACCGGCACCAACGCCCGCCCATTCAGCGGATACGCCGCGCAGTCCGCCTCCGGGGCCAGAGGACAGTCATCCGCAATGCAAACGGCCTGAAACTCCGGCGTGTCGCCGATCTGCTGCTGCTGTCCCTCTCTCTGGTAGGTGATGACCGTTGCAGGGCTGCAGCGCGTATTAAACGATGTATTGAGGATATCGACGAGGACGGCGGCGTCGGCGGGGGCGATTCCGAGCGAGATGGCCGAGTCGCGGACTTGGGTTATGAAGAAGGTCATTTGCGTGTAGTCGAGGTTCATGTAGCTGGGAACAGGTTGTTAACATTCCTCTTTTGATATATATTTTTTTTTCTTGGGGTTGCAGCGTACCGGTGCACTTCGTACATGCTCGTTCGGCCCTGGTAGTTGGGGAACGCGGGCGCGCCCTGGCGGCTGCAGCCCAGGAGGTGGCCAAAGTACTGGTAGATGTGCGTGAGGAGGTTGCTATATCGGAGAAACCAATTAGCAAGAAAAAAAAAAAAAAGCCTATCCCGATCTTCTACGGGCCCGACCAAACTCACTATTGCGCCGACTGCACATCGCCCGCACTCGACATATTCCTCGCCAGCGGCTCGGCGGCCCCGTCATCCAAAAACAACTTGGACGCGCCCACCTCCGAGTCACCCCCCGTATTCGTCGAATTGAGCTCGCCCGTGAAATACGGCAGCAACGCCACCTCCGTCCCATTGTACACCGCGGGCGCCGCGATCCCCGCGACGGCATGCCCCGTGTTCGGCGTCGTGTAGTTGCCAATGACAAAGGTGTTGACGAGGAGGGTGATCAGGAGCTGCTGGGCGGCGGCGGTGTCGGCGCCGAGGATCTGCGGGGTGTAGTAGTCGCAGATTGAGGTTGTGGTTGGGCGTTGCGAGGTGGTGGGGCGTCTGCGGGCGTGGGCTTGGTTGACGAGGAAGCTGGATAGGAGGGGGAGGAGGAGGGAGAGGCGGAGGGCCTTGAAGAGGGTGAATTGGGACATGGACATGGTTCTTCTCCTGAGTTGGTGATGGATTGAAATGAAAGACTTGTTTGGGCTTTGGACTGGAGATGGAATGGATGGCTGGGTTCCTACATGGGGTTTATATACAGATGGTCCACATGGAGACGTGTTTGTCTCAACCTGGCATCTTGCGCTGCAGGATGCGATGCGAGTCCGGAGCTCATTTCCGCTGGCAAGACGAGCTGAACACGGGGAAATACATTCCAGCCCGGAGATCTCAAAGGTCGGAGCCCATAGACGGTCCGTATGGTTGAGACACCAGCCAGCCAGCCCAATCCCAAGGAAGCAATTAGCAACCTCTCGGCGGAGCACTATGCATGCTTGCTCAGATAGTAGCTTGGTATAGCCTAGTGAGTAGTAAGCTTGTACTAATCCGAGACTGGCAGACAGCCCTCTCTGCCTCGGGGGCACTCGGGGGCTCCTCCGTCCACTCCGCCGAAGGATTCCGCCGCGCAGGCCCCCTATAAGCCACCGACCCTCCTCACTGGATGATAAACCCCTTCTACCTCGTGCAGATCTGAGCTGGGGCTAGGTCACAAAAGTCTATTTGTGCTTAGAGCCCGTCATTTCGGCGGAGGCTTAGGGCTGTGGTTGGATTATAAGGAGGGAGGACGCATGGTGCAGGATTCTAATGTCGGACCGCTCGTTGGACGTACATGTATAAAGACCTAGCCGGAGAGAAAATACCCCTTTCTTCGAATCGAATCCCGGTTCTGCTCTGCAATACATATATTCGCTGTTTATTTTTGATCTCTCCTTTTTGTTACATCTTCCACCCTCTATCACAATCCCAACCCAACCCAACCCAACTCAACCCAGCATGGCAGCCCTCATCCGAAAAATCTTCCACCGCAAGAACAAAGTGCCCCTCGCCTGCAGCGAGATCATGCTTGAAGACCTCGACCACGTGCACACAGACGCCTGCTTCCTCGACATCCAGCCGCTGCTCGTCGCCGAGCTCTTCCAATCGCAGGGCTGCAAAGTGTGCGTCAAAAACGTGCCGCAGATCCACTCCGCCGTGACAAACAACCCCAACGTCGCGCTGCTCACCTTCGACGTGACCTACTTTGACCGCACGGAGTGGCAGGATACCTTTGCGCGCAAGACCTGGGACGCGCGGCAGCGCGCCTATGTCGGGCGGTGGGGGCGGAACTCGGTGTTTACGCCGCAGGTGGTGTTTGATGGGGTGGTGGACGGGACCGGGGAGAGCGTGGATGCGCTGATGGGGTTGGCGGCGCAGGCGCGGGAGATGAAGAAGGCTCGGGGGTGGAATATGGTTCTGGATGCGAACGATACGGAGCTGCGGATTGATACGGATCGGGCCGAGTCGGTCCCGCATGATATCTTGCTGGTGGCGTATGATCCCAAGGTGCAGACGGTGCGGATTGGGAAGGGGGTGAACAGGTGGAAGAAGCTGAAGCATGTGAATGTGGTCAATATGGTGATGAAGATTGGGGAGTGGCAGGGGGGGAATCTGCAGATGGCCCTGCCGGATTTGTCCGAGGCTCGTGGGAGGGGGTTGACTGTGCTGGCGATTGTTCAGGAGCCGTCGGGGGGCCCGATTGTGGCAGCGCATATCTTGTGAGGGATCTACTTGATGTTTAATTTGGATATACCTAGTCTCATTATTCGTCTCGCTGGAAATAGTCTTAGATAGAAGAAGTGTATCCACCCCAATTCTGGCTTTCGGTAACGTGGGCAGTACTCGGTGGAATCCCACTCATGACAGCATCAAAGAATGCAGAGTCGACCCCCTGAAAAGCCCAGTCCTCGGCACTCGCTAGCAGGTCCGGCATCTCCAGATCAAATCCTGCGCCTCCAAATGCGCCAAAGGGGATTTGCTCATTGGGGACGGCCAGGTGAGGTACGTGCATAGGCTGCTCCACCACCGATAGGCCGCCGTTGGACCAGGTGGAGTACTGGTTGAAAGAAGGAGCAACAGGCGCGGGCGCCAGATCAGGGTATTGCATAACAGGCGCATCACATGCAAGCTTGACGGTCCCAAAGTAGGGAATCTTGAGATGGAAGCAATGCTCCCCATTAGCCACGGTCTCGTCCTGGTTCTCTTCGACGCTACTATTGTAGGTTTGTCCTCCTCGCGCACAGTCGGCCTCCAAGTCTAGCAGTTTCCTCACCAGCTCCGCCGACCGGCGAGAGAGCTCGTCGTTGTTGAGCTTGTTGAGCTCTTCCATCATCTCCACGGTCGATTCTATCAGGGCCCGGTCACCCATGCGCTGGTGGGCGAGCATTCCCGACTTCTTCTTGTGGTTGTTGAGATACGTAAGCAATAGCGTCAAGGCAGCAGTAAAGGCGCAGAAGTCGACTGGACGGCAGCAGGTGACCAGCTTGACAATGGAGCGGAACGTGATGAACCGGTTGAGCACTTCTCTACTGGCGTAGATGCAGGTTGCCTTGCTGTATTCGAACCTGGTATCCTCGGTATCCCACAGGAGATACGGCAGATGCAGCACGGAGAGCAGGTTGTAGTGGACGATCTGCAAGTGCGCTCCGATAATCTTCTCCATCAAGGTCTTGTTGTCCATCCCCTGGGTCAGGTCGAGGGGAGCCCACCACTTGGACGGCACGCTGTTGGCCATCTTGTTGAGCTCTAAATCGATCTGCTGCGTCGCTGCGAGATCCTGGTAGTTGCCCTCTTGGTTTCGCTCGATCATCCGCTCAAACATGTCGGTCTGCACCTTTTCAAACCAGTCGAGGCTCGTGTCTCCGGGGAGAGGCTCGTCGGAGCCGATGCGGATCCTCGCAATTGCAGTCGGCATTCCGAGAAGCAGAGACATGTAGCGCTCAAGGAACGTGATATGTGCCCAGACCACCGCGCTGGAGACATGGGTGCCCGAATCGTATTGCTTCATGTTCTTGTACGGGACTGTGCGATGCAAGCCCATGAACTGAGCGAGGGTCGAAGCCCGGCGAAGACATCCCAAGGCGCGACGGATGTTTCCAGAGTTGACAAGAAAGACCCCTTCGTATACCAGACACTCGAGTCCTTCGATTGAGTCGAGAAGCTCCTCGCGACAGGTCACCTTGCTCGTGGCGAGATTAAAGTACATGAGCATGGTGTCTTTGATACTCCCGTCGAGGTGGAGCGCGCTTTGGTCGAACGACGGATCAAGTTGCTGTAGGCACAGAGCGAGCTGCAGTAACTTCCTCGCAATGACTACCGGATGGGCAGTAACCGGGGGAAGCGTGGCCATGGATGAAAGAGGTCGGAAATTCCCTTGATGAAACAATTCTCCGTAATGGTTGCAAATGGCCTGGACAAAGACGATTGCCCGGCCGGTCCCGAAGAGAATATTGACGTCCTCCTGGCACGGCAAGTGCACATGGAGCGCGCTGCACAGCTCGGCATATCTGGATGGTGGGTAATCGTAAAGACCAGGATCTGGCTCCTCCACGGCAGTCTGCGCCCCTATGTATCAGCTACCATGATCAAATCTCTTACAAACGGGCGACCAACCTCTCCCGTATCAGACCAGGGGCCAAGCTGACTACCCTCACTGCCCTGTCGGCTCTGATCCGGGCTGCGGTCTGCATTTCTATCTTGCGACGATGCCTGAGACAAGCCAGACTGACTCCCAGATCCAGCCGACTGCGACGCTCGCCCGTCGGGCGTAATATCCTTGGAGATCGTGTCGAGAATAAGCTCGGCCCTCTTAAGCCTCTCGACAATAGTATGCTCGCCGCCAAAGCTCGGCACAGGGACATCCATGTACTCCTGGCCAAAGCAGGGCATTCCACGCCGCTGGCAGGTGGCACAAGCTACGTCTGTAGGGCGCTCAAAGAAGCAGCGGGTTTTCCGTCGCTTGCCTATGCGGGGTTAGACTGGGAGCATAGTAGCGGAGTATGGGCCTCGAGCGTACATTCCGCACAGCTTTTGGTGCCTTTGCGAAGGGCTCGTCTCGGGAGCGGCGTTTCAGTGCCGTGTTGCACGCTGACCACCACTGACGGATCCATGGTGTGAGTTGTTAGTCAAGCCAAGATGCAACGCCTGTGGAAGCGAGGGAAACGATCTCTTATAAGGCTGAAGATAGCGCCAAATCCTACCCTAGTCAAGCTGAAGGGCTGAAGTCCCTGGATCAGCATTGTGGAGCGGAGCTGAATGCTGCTCGTGGTTAGCTCCGATTAGGATATTAGTTCAAAAGTATAATAACGCTTAGTGTCAATCCAGTAATTTGCTTAGTCTCACTTGCACTGCCCCATGCCTAATCAAAGTAGCCATTGACATGACAGAGAGTCCCGGCAGCGCCCGCAAGACGAAACAAGCCCCTCCTGAAGCGAGGAGGATCGACCCTGCTGGCACTCCCAAGGAAGAGCAAAACGCTGCGACAGGGCACGCCTTGGCGCGTGCGTGTGTGGCTGTGTCTAGGGCATCTCGCCGACCTCTCCAGGGCTGCATCGTCGATGTGATTGGCCCCCCTTTTACTCCCTAAGAACACGCCTCTTAATCTTGAACTTTCTTGGACCAGAGTATGGAGTAATCATCCGGCTTCCGATTTGGGTCGAACGAGATGCAGCCGAGATATAGTATACAGCATCTATGCCATTAATGATCACAGCGACTCGGCAATCAAATACGCCTTGGGCCAATACAGCGCCTCGAGCGACTCCTCCTCCGCAGCACTCAACACTTTGCCCACAGCCGCAATCGCCTCCTCCATGCGCTGCACCGAACTAAACCAATAATCGCTCGCAATCCTACGCAGAATCCACGCCAGGGCTCGCCAAATCCGTCTCGTCCAGCCCAGGTGACCCGGACGCCGAAACCATCGCTTTTGAATCCGCGCCCTTTTCGAGCGCGCTCCGCTCCGAGGCGCCGACGCCCGTCTCGTTGGAAAAAGGCGTTCATCTCCCGCTCTTCCTCGCAGTAGAGGAGGTTGTACTGGTTCTGCATGGCGATGAATTTCGTCCAGTGGGTTTTCTCCGCGCGGAATTGGAGCCGTGCGAATTGCGTTGCGAGCATGCTGCTTGCGCCGATGTAGCGCGCTTTTCCGGGCTGGATCAGCTCGTGCAGCGAGGAGGTCGATGTACGGGTTGTTTAGACGGCGGAGAGAGGCGTGGACTTGGTTGAGGATTGCGGTGCGCGAGAGGCCGAATTGGTTTTGGTGGTGGGGGGTTTGTTGAAAGGGGGTGCGGTTGAGCTAGTGCGGGAGTTCTTGTTGCTATTAGCTGGTTGATATCTCCAAGGTAGAGATTGGCTGGACATTGTAGAGGGACCAAGGTAGGGTAGATATAAATGGACAGGCTTACTGCTCGTGCCGGAGTTTATTTACATCCGTGCCATTGGTGATCACGCTGGTATATGTTTCGTGATTATGCAACAGATCGGAGAATTCTTTATCTGCTTCATCGGCCTGTTTTGCCCGTTTAGGTTATAGTCGAGAATCAGGACCGAGGATATATCTTCATTGCACTGCCCAAATGCCCGGATTCGCCGGCTTATTTTACAGTCGGGCGGAGGAGAGTGCTGTCCATATTAATGAACCACAAGAGTTGCCGATGGAATAAAATAGTATAAAATATCTTGCCCTCGAAAAGTGTCCACAGCCAGACCTAGCCCTAACAGGCGACATTATGTTACCAGGAAGAGTGTTCGCACTTGCTCTGGCTAGGGGTAGAGTACGACTTTAGCTGAAGCAGGTAGAGAGAAGCTGTGAAAATGGGAAGCTAGCGAGGCAAGTTACTTCAGAAGCTGCTCGTTGTCTTGCTATCTGCTTGACAATCGACATTGTTTGGAGCATTTGTTCTCCTGCTTGCTGCTTTGCCGCGATTTCGGCATGTGGCTGCGTACATTGTCCTTGTACAAGTCGGCTTCGGGCGGCAGAACATACCCATAGATTCTCATCAATGTATTCCAACTTGACATTGACTTTGAGGTCTTCCCGTCTTTGTCCGACTAGAGGACGACTCGAGCCCGATATCAAGCACCTAGGGTTTACAGCCTTGATCCAATGTGTAGAGCTGGGCAGCAGCCTTAGGCTGATACTTGGGTATAGTTCGTAGCAGGCCGCATATGATTTGCTGTTGCCCTTTTACAGACTAACTGGAAACGGCCTAGCTTCCCCACTCCAAAATCCCTCATCAAAATCTCGCCTAGCCAAAACCCAAGGCGAAGCCCACAATCCGCTGTTTTGCCTCATAAAGCCAATAATTCCAGCCTACATCAACAACAAGTCGCGTGGTCTAATGGTCATGATTTTCCGTTAACATGTGATCAGTTTATCTGATTACTTCTACAATCGTAGATGCCGGAACGGTTCCCGGTTCGATCCCGGGCGTGACTAAATTTTTGCTTTTGATAAACATCTCGAGAAATTGGTTATTCTCCTTATTTTTCTTCCATCTCAATGTAGTATCCAGCCTGCTCGGTATGCCGGACGGGGGTCATGCAGGCGAAACCCATGGCCATATCGAGCCCATATGGTGGGCTGCCGGCAACACAGTCCCGCAACAGGTTTGCTCCAGACAGTGTCAGAGACATCATACCTACTCTTTGGACCGATGCTTGGCTTTTCGGGTAAATACCAAAAATCAACCGCGTCGGACTCATGTCTCCAAGGAACCCCAGGTACATCAATATCTTCAGGTCCCACTGTATACCATCACACGCCCTCAGTGCCACCTCCACGCCGTGGACTATCTCCGTCAACCCACTTGGTTTAAGCGTCAGCTCAAGAAACATCATTGTTTGCGGCACGCACAAGAGACCGAAGAGCATTGATCAGGGGGTAAGTTTCTGGGCTCAATATCACTGCAAATCAATAACCTAAGTACCTACTCCGTCTCACCGAATGGCATCGGGAGACATACAGGCATTCGGGGGCAAAGAAACAGCATGTATAGTAAACCACCAAGTCTTGCCTACACCCAAGTCTAATGTAGCGACATTTATGAGCCTTGGGGAGTTTTTCAAGCACAGGGAAATGTCCCTCTAAATAAACCATTGGAGAACCATGGCGGATCCGCGCAGTCTGTTCACCGGAGTCGAGGTTCACAATATAGATGAAGCTGCAGAGAAAAACAAGCCAGCTTTGCAAGTTGAATGCATTATTAGCACAGGATTATGCCTCAGTTGCCAGATACCACGAAAAAGTGAAATTCCAGACTCAATGTGATCGGCCTCCATCCGACATAGAGTTAGGGCTATCCATACAGCCCGCATTTACTGCCTCAGGCTGCTCTTATGTACCACAATGACTCACCGCCCTGCTGGCTTAGATAATCGGTTCTTTTTTTTTTTTGCTTCTTCTGAGTCCGACCAGCCAGTCACTTGCCACGACCATCTCCATCACAGTCCCCACCCACCCCAACCAAGACTAGCGCAAAAAACCGATTCAAGCAAAAAGTTCGAGCTCCTCCACTCCTCACATCCTCCAACACTCAACCCTCCAACGAAAAAGAAAATCAAGAAACGGCCGTGATCCGCAGTCGTGAGCCATCAAATAGCCATCACCATGTCTGACGATACCTCTGCCGGTAAGTCCCATCTATCGAAGCCTGCTGCTCAACACCATTTTCCATCGCACACAAAATCCCTTCCTTCCTTTCTTTCTTCCCGTTCCCAACCCAGACTAACGGTTTCTCTTCTGCCATCTAGCCTGGCCCGTCGCCGACGAAGCCCTCACCCAGCAACTCCTCGACCTCGTCCAGCAGGCCAGCCACTACCGCCAGCTGAAGAAGGGCGCCAACGAGGCAACCAAGACGCTCAACCGCGGAACCTCGGAGCTCGTCATCCTCGCCGCCGACACCACGCCCCTGCCCATCATCCTGCATCTGCCCTTGCTCTGCGAGGACAAGAACGTCCCCTACGTGTACGTGCCCAGCAAGCTGGCCCTGGGCCGCGCGACCGGCGTTTCCCGCCCCGTTATTGCGACGAGCATTACGACCAACGAGGCGAGTGATTTGACTGCGCAGATTCGCGCGATCAAGATCCAGGTGGAGAGGTTGATGATCTAAGTGGGGATTTATAATCTGGGGATGGTGGTGTTGTGCGGTTTTTCGGTGAATGGACGCAGGGTGTGAAGGTGCTACTGCTCCTGCTGTGATGTTTGTTCGTTACGCCTTTAGCTAGGTGGGACATCTTTTCGAGTAGGAATGAGGAAATCGATGATTTGGTTATATGCTTTCTGTTCGTAGACGGCTCGTATGTTATGGTTGGAATCTGACCAGACTGGTTCGGTTGAGACCCCGCTAGGATAACCATGAATCTTTCTATTATGTGCCAAACGCTCATATCATATTATACATGAGGGATTATAAGAAATCTATTGACAGTCCAGTCTCCTCATCTCGAGACATCGTCAGATACCGAGAGAATGAGACTGGTTCTACTTGACCAGGACTGACCCTACTCACCGTAAAGTCCCAGGCAGGCAGCCATTGCACCGGGCTGGAGACCCGACACCTCACTAACTGCCTACCCAGTCATCCAAGCAGTAACGCGCTGTGCCCCGAAGCGACCCATGAACTGCAACCCCGAGCTGCCCATCGGGAAGTAGCTCACGACGTACCAGAGGAGGGCGGCGAGCTGGAAGATGGAGGAGATGAGGGTGAGGAAGGTGCTGTGGAGCTGAACGAGGGAAACGTTAGTCAAGATTTGTCAGAAAATGCACTAATACAGAGGACAGTGTGTATGTGTGCGCACGGGACTGCCTGGTGCGCTGGAGGAGGGTTGGATTCCCGGCTGGTTCCGGATGACAGGCGTCAGGCGGGTTGGACAAGCAAGCTGCTATCAAAGCTGCTATCATGGGTGGGTTGCGCCTTCTGTGTCTGCCGAGTACACAGAGCAAGCTAGGAGTTGAATATGTAGATAGGGGCTGTCAAACAGGTTTGTTCGAATGCACTTGCATGGGTATGCAGGGGTGGAGATGCACGGCGGACCGTTCCTTCGCAAATCAAGAGGCCAAAGGAGAGCAGGAGAAAAGCAAAGGAAACTCACTCCGATAGCAAAATACAGGGTTAAGGCGATGGACCCGAAATATGCGGCTGTAAAGGGCAAGCGGGGTCCCGAGACCAGGTGCTTAGCGTAGATCGCTGGTCCCATGAGAACCGCCCATGATAGTAGGAAGAGTAGAGATCCGACAGACCACCTATCAGAAGAAGCGATCAGTTAGCGCAAGTCATTCTCAGATCTGCTTTCGATGCCCAAAGACTTTTCATAGGAGGCTTGATATGCGGCGCAAGATAGGATTTGCCCAAAAGCAGGTTCTCAGCCACAGCATGACAAGAGTTGCGGCGCCCCGTGCCTCACGACGTAAGGGTTAAGAGGTGTGGTAGGAATGCCAGAACCCAAAATAGAGAGAGGGTAGAGGGGAACCGAAGGGCGACTTACAGAATGGCGAATTTGCGGGGCTTGAGCGAGAGCACTGGGAACAGGAAAAAGCAAATGACGAAGCAGACAGCAGCGCCAAGATTGCATGCGAAGAATATGAGCATCCGGTCCCACCGGCTTACTGTAAAGAGCGAGATCAGCCTTGTGGAAAGCTAAAAGGGAAAAAAAAAAAGAAAAGCGACACCGTCGTAATAGCAATGCAAGGAGGAAAGCGAGATATGGAAGTAACCAGGATTGGCAGTGCCCTGGGCAATCCAAGGCAAAGGTTGAGGAGCTCGCTCGTCACCTGGACAAGGTTGCGCAGCAAATCAAACAAAGCCAATAACTCAAAAGCACGGTCATGGGTACGGTAGACTTACGGGCAAGAAAGCTATCCTCCTCCTCTCTTCGAGTTGGAGCTGGTAGAGGAGCTCCTGGGCCTTCGTGTGTGGGCAGCTGTAGATAACCATCTCCTTGCCCGAACGGGTTCAAAGACTGTAACCTAGATAGGAAAGGAGTGGACGAATTGGTGTTGGCTGTGGTCTCTCCCTCTCGTCGAGCCCAACCTAGCGAGTTGACCGAATCTCGGAATGATGTCGTTGCCATAGTGTGCAGTGATCTGCCCTGTCAAAAATTTGGGAGACGACTATATCCGAAGAGGGGTAAGAGAAGACAAAAGGCTTTGGCTTGCCGATGATGCCACAGTGGCTTTAGCTGCCAGCCACTGTCGCGCGAAAACTGGGATGTCAAGCAGAAAGTCGCTGCAGGGACTATGCACGACGGAGACAGGTATTCTTCGTGCAGATGATCTGCATATATCTCGTAATGGGGGGTAGCTGCACGCTAGCGAGAAAGACGAGATGATAGGGCAACAAGACGCGGGCCAGGTGACCGCTGCGGAACGGCACTAAACGGCCTAGGAGAGCTTGGGATGGGCAGGAACTCGAGCTTTAGCCCCGATCGCCAGTGTTCAAGGCGAGTGCCGGTCGAATCTATAGGCCAGATAGACGTGTGATCGCTGCAATAACAGCCGTTATGAAATATGACCCGAGCCTGTTCACTGGCCGTTTGTTGCGCGTCCGCGAAAGACGAAACTTTGATGCCGGATCGGAGCCAGGATATGATATGACGTCAAAGGCTGATGGGAGGAGGCACACCAGATGTCCAAGATAACTGCGGCAACTGCGCGGGCGCACACTAAGAGGGAGCGACAGCGGGCCCTTTACTAAACGAAGCAAATGCTAGTAGGTCCGGGATTTGAACAGACTAGGTGGGGAGGGCTGCGGAGAGGGAGGGGGAGTGGGTGTCTGCCTATTCGCCCGGCGTAACGTCAAGATGCTGCGAAAAATCGAGGCTGAGACCGTTTCTACTGTAGGCTACGAGATTAGCGAGGTTGTCATATGACTCTATAGGGGAAAACGAGGGACACACAAGCAGAGAAAGGGGAGGGTTGAAGGGTGTGTGGACATCGGTTGGGCAAACGCAAAAGAGGGGAGGGGTAAGAAAAGCTGCATACCAGTAGGCTTTTGGCGATTAGGGATATCTGAGACGGTGGAGGTTTGCAATGTCTTTGATGGCCTTGGATAGAGAGCTCCCCGAGTCCCCGTAGTAGGCGAAAGTCGTTGGAGGTTTCCAAGGTTCGGGAGGCCAGGCGGTGGACGTTTGAGCAGCTGATGAGAGTCCACTAGTCCCAAAATAGAACAGACGATTGTGGTCTGAATCGCAACGCCCAATTAGCGCTTGTGCAGCTGTAGTGGATGGCAGAGGCGATACATTTGACTGGCTCGCTGTCCTCCAAGTCTTGAGCTATTGGAGGGTCAGCCACCGCCTTCTGCATCGAGCTCACGGGCATCTAAGGTTCTGAGCCTGGGCAACCAGCTTCGCCTTGCTTTCCTTCTCCAACCCTCCTTTGCCTGGGGTCGGGGTTAAAGATGCAAGACAAGCGAGATGGGCTCAACCCCTCAATTGACGAGAATTGGCTGGTCTCCGAACCCATGTTAGCACTAATGTCCGGCGGTCCATCCCGTCCATTAGGTCGATACAGAGCTCCCGAGTCTTCAGCGCTCATGCACGCCGGAGACTAGCAGTTAGTACGCGTATCATCGCTGCAGCTGCACATGGGCCGTCTTCAGTTTGAAGATCTTATCTCCTCACTTAGAGTACCTGCTCTGGAGTGTTGCAACACCGGCAGAGACGGAAAGGATCGACTTGTGCATTCCGGAGAAAAGCTCCAGGCCCGCACGGTCCAAGAGGACCAGGGCGATCCCCCCTCTCCCCCTCATCTTAAGATTTGTTGCAATGTCCATCAAGGTATGACAAAACTGAGTCAAAAATCGGATAACCGAGCCTCGTCATACCCGAGAAAATTAGCCTGGTGGCCCACTCGATTATCCATGTTACACCTGAATGCGGGCCTCTCCGTTTGATTCTACTGTATACTTCTTCTCCCTGCTGTTTTTCCCGCGTCGCGATGCGCTCCGCCTTTCGAGGCACGATACGGATACTACAGAGCCGGCGTTAAAGGCCCTTACCGGGACGTGAGAAGGCTCCTTTGCTAAGACATAGAGCCGTACAGTAATTGCGATCCACAGGAAGACGCAATCTGGAAACTCCTTGCAGCAACCGTGGATGTGATGGTATCGATCGCCATGCAACCCGAACCTTGACGGGCCGGCGCGGGGCACGAATTCTGCGGGAGCCAATATGAAGCACTCAATGTTTTGTCTCTTTTCGGTTGCTGCAGAACAGACGCCCATGTTTTCTTTTTGCTGTGTTCGATAACTCAGAACTTTATATGCGAAGCTTTTTCCTCAATGCAACCCTCAGTTCCAACCCACGTTATGGCGTTGCTTCCAGGGTTGGGATGGTGGACGGAGATAACCCATCCATACTTCTTCTCTCTTCCCCAGTTTCGCCCTCCCCAGTTTCGCCCTCGCATCGCGATAACCCCGATCGGTTGATTGGATGTGAGACATCTGGCGCATTCCTAGATCCGTCCTTCGGCTGACTTGTTCACATTCTCAGCTCGCTTCGATTCCAAATCACCTAACAGGAAATGAATGAACGAGTCAAACAAGCCAGAGGGAATTCTAGATGAATATTAATAGCTACTTGGTATCTACTGAACTCTGGGTCAGATACTGCGCCACACTCGTCTCCTGTTGCCTGAACGCGCTGATTCCTTTTCTCGGGAGGCGACAGGCTGCACTACTCGCAGTGTCACGGACCGCCTTGTGTGCAGCGTCGGTTCTGTGTTCAGCTCTCCCAGAAGCTCGCGCTCGGACATCCCACTGCCGCCCGAGTTGGGGGAGGTACATTACTGATGATGAAATGCATCGCGGGTTTCCCCTCATCTTATCGACGAGGATCAGTGCTCTCCACCAGAGATGATGGTCGGGTTTAGCTTCCAGCTTTCGTGTCGATCCGACTAGTGCGTCTGTCGACAAATGACAGCCTGCGCATTCGCTCCTCCTCCACATGGTTCTGTTATTCCTTGATATCCGCTTGGTCTGGTATGCAAGGTGGTGGTCAGAGAACTCCGTTTGCCTTTTCATTTACATTGCTTTAAACCTCGTAGGAAAAGCCTATGATGTCATGTCAAGCGCTTTGTCTGGGAAAAGGCAGAGTCCTCACGTTCGCTGGTCATCCCGACTTTCAAGTATGCCGACTAGCAGCAAACTCAACTTCGGATGAGAAGTCCGAAGAAATCACGCTCCATCTAGCCCAGGAGCGCGAAACCCGGTTTTTAAAAGCCAGGAGAAGGAGGGGTTGCAGGTGGGAAACCAAGAGAAAGGGCTGACACCAAGTGAGTCATGATGTCGCCTGAGGAAAACAACAGGTGACAAATATAGTAGTACCTGAGCCTGTTCATGGGGTTTCGAGAGTGGCCGTTATTCTCCTCTTTCCAACTGGATGTACCACCCTCCTTGATGGGCCCTGAGAGCAGGTAGGTATCTGACCTTTCTTTTTTTTTTCTCCTCTACACCACCTTCTTCAGCCAACCACACCCCCTCTTTGCCTTCGCCAGCTCTTCCCAGTGGTCCATCTTGACCCCCCTCCATGTTCGCATAGCTCCTCCTCTAGCTAGCTTCACTGCCACCCCCCTCCCCTTTCCCGGTTTATTTCTCTTTTGCCTTGTTCGGTTTGAGCAACGCGCGTAGTCCACGGTAGTTAGCCCTGTTAAGCCTCACCCATTTGGCGATCGACGCCATGCATGACCACTGCAGCGGTATGTTTACCTAGTGGGTGGTATCAAATGAGAGGCTCCGCAAGTTGGCTGTCTCAGAGTTCCTTTAAGAAGGCTCTGCCCTCCCCCCGCTCCTGAGTCTGCGAGTCATTCCTCCTCTGCTTCGTTTGCTCCTCAAGGCCTGTAAGCAAGACGGCTATGCTATCCTTTCCGCAGCTTCCTCGCTTGCTCTGTTCGCTTTCCGAGAGATCCTCTCTATCCATATTCGAAGGCTAGCCTTGTATAAAGGCAGCGCAGCAACCATTTGAGCTCAGGTTGAGCTTCATACAAGTGTCCTGTCACAGTTAGCGTAAGTATGAGTGATGAACCCCGCCGTTACTCTGGAATATCCTACCTGCTTGTCCGTAAAACAGCTCAAGACTTGTTCGAGACTTCACAGCTACCACACTTTCTGCCTTTCCTTTCTTCTTGTCGCTGGCTTGTCACGGTCAATATGCTCTTTTGTGTCACTCAGCCGTCTCTTGTTGGTGCTTTCGTTATAAGCACAGGCTACTGCTGGGAGCCACAGCTACCCAGAGCATACGCTGACAGTCTTTCAGAGATCCAGAGACTAGGTAGCCTGACGGCGGCGCCTTGGTGCTTGTGGTAAGTTGTTTGACATTTTTATTCTTGCTTTCTTTTCATGTATTTCTTGTCGCACCAAGCCAAGTGAGAAGAGAGGGTTTGAGGGAGCCGGCCTTGCTCAAACCGTGAAGATCTCCCAATCCACAGGAGTTCGCCCTCAGGAATATGCGGAGCCATGGCAAGCCTTTCTCACGGGAGCTTGAGAATCTCTGGATCATCAGACTCGTCGCCTTGAAAAACATCGCAGCATGTTTGCACTGCCAGCGCATGTTTTTGCTGGTGACTGCATATCTCCAGCAGCGGGGCTTCCCACCAGTGATGGCATCTTCGCGGAAGACAGTTTACCGGGAGCGCTTATTCGACGATTTAACTCGCCCAGAAAGACTTGTCCAACAGGCTTGAGGCCCCTGCGCGGACGTGCTAGTTGGGCCGAGCGGGGGCGGGGAGCGGAGACGGATTGGAATGACGAGCAGCCAATATAAATACAATCTCAGCCGTCTGCTCGGGAATGAGATAAAGTCGCTCTCCAACGTCATCCAGCGTGTTTCATAACATTCCATCATTCTGGTGCCAGAGGAAGAAACCCCAGCTTTCAGCTCCGGACTCCGGAGCGCTCGGACTATACTGCCAGCTGTGACCGCCTGCGTGCCCTGATCGCCGACCGGTTCTCGAAGACCAGCCAGAGACACCAAGAGACACCATCGCCACCATCAATCAGATCGGATTTCTCCTCCCCCACGCTATCTGGCCTGGAGGATCTCCGTCGCTCATTCCACGGAGTATATTCGTTGTCGCTGGCTTTCGCCCTCTGATTTCCGCCCGGTCGCCTCTTTCCACTCGGCTTGTCCTGTCCTCTGCTCTCCCTTGTCGCCGTCTTCACCGCACCCTGTCAAGGAGACATTCCAGTGGGCACCCCGCCTCTCCCTCGTCCCCACGCTTCAGCTTGGCCCTCACGATCCGTCCTTCTCGCTTATGGACACGCCTCCCCAACCCTTCTCACCTCGCCCATTCTGATATTGGCTGCTGCTCCTGAATCGCTTTTCTTTTTCCTACTCGTCGTTTCACGCACAATAATTTCTTTTCCTTCTTCTCCACCGCTCACACCGGACTTTTAGACCGATTATTCAGCTCTTGCGTGGCTAACGATCGACGACACGGCCTATTGGAATCTGGAATCCACTCACGATAGGAGTCGTCTTCAGTGACTCGCCCGCTTTCGAGCCAATACTTTTACCCTCGCATTGCCTCGCGACGAAACCCTTATAACCGATCTTCAAGACACCGCTTTGTTTCGCCGGCCATCTTCCTTAGTAAGTACACACCTCTTTCCAATCGACCCCCGTCTTCTCGCGCTTCTTTATCTCACGATATCGAGTCATCGGTGTCGCAATTTCTTTATTTGGCTTTTTCTGAAAAAGCCTCGCATGTTAATTGAGACAGAACCTCACCAAGCCTTCCCGTCCTAACCTTCCTTTTCATCCGCTCTCTTCCGCCGACTCAGCATCGCTTGCCGCTCTAGTCAGCTTACATCGTCATACCGAAGCGAGGGGTGCTCAACCTTACGACATACCTCATCATCTACCCCTTCTTTCTTCCTCGCGCGGATACACTTCAATTCATAAATCGGAGTTTGCTATCTTCTTGGATTCTGGATCGTAAGGGCTCCCTGTGGATAAGAAGCGGTCGACTTGTGGTTGAGGGCTTGCCTAGGCTATACTATGGCCAAAGCAAGCATGTTCATCAAAACTGAGCCTGACGATCGCAACAGTGACCAGAACCAATTCATGATGTCGCAGTCCGGATACTCCATGCACAACCAATTCGGAAGCCCCAATGATGGGGTCGATCCCTCAGATCTGACAATGCAAAACGGTGGATTCATGAACTTTGGATTTAACTCACAGCAGAACATGTCATCCAGCTTCAACTTCGGAAACTCCGGGATCGATACAGATGAGTTGTTGGATCTTGAGATTAATGGACAGAATGGTCTCCCCCAGAACTACATGCAGGATCACCATTCCAGTGCGGGCATCTCCATGAGTCATCCCGGCCAGATGTCGCAAATGTACTCGAACACCCCAGATGGAAACCCTATACACAGCCCATTCATGCAGAGCAGCTACAACTATGATCATTTCCGAGGCATGAACCAGGGACAGCTGAGCTCATCTCATCTCCAGAGTGCTGGCTCCCATCTGGAGCAGAGCTACCTCAATGCCAAGGCTCGCCCGAGCATGCAGGCAATGGACCGGGCATCAATGGATGCGCGCAGTCCCATGACTCCGAAGACTCCTGCTCTGGGTGCTCTTACTCTTGGAACTCCAGAATCCGGAAGCTTTCCTACACAGCCCATCCGGACAGGCCTACAACACCGCCACCAGAAGACCCTCTCAAACCAGTGGGATGGCACGCCCGGAAGTGCCCATTCATATGCAGAGTCTCCCATTTCATCCCCAGGTCATCCTTCTCACCATGCAGCCATTTCTGAGATCCTTAAATCAGGAAAGCATGCGTCCTTGCCGGCCAAGGTTGACACTCACATGCCCGGAGCTGCCCAGGACTTGGAATCCCAGGAAGCCAAGCGCCGCCGGAGAAGAGCCTCCCACAACCTGGTTGAACGCCGGCGTCGGGACAACATCAACGAACGCATTCAGGACTTGTCCCATCTGGTTCCCCAGCACCGCCTCGAGGATGACAAGGTGCGCAAACAGCTTGTCAACAACACTGGACTGTCCGGCGCAGGAGGCAGCTCGAATGCCGCCACTTCACTTCTAGCTGGTGGGACCGGTCGGCGCGCCGCTGGCAACATCACCATGGGTTTGCCAATCGAAGAGAAGGAGAAAGGTCCGAACAAGGGAGACATCCTCAACGGCGCCGTCGGCTGGATGAGGGATCTTATGTGGGCCCTTCACGTCAAGATCCAACAAGAAGCTGAACTCGCCGAATTGATCAGCAGCCTCGGAGGAAGTTGGCCGTTCGAGCAAACCGAAGAGGAGAAGCGCATGCGCACTGAGATTCTGGATGCCATTGAGAAGAACGATCCTCCCTCTTTCCACTATAGCCGTGCGCCCGGAAGCGGCCTACGAGTTCCAAAGCATACGAACATCGCCGGAGACGCCTTGTCAAATGGTGCCATAAGCCCTCAAAGCCTCAGTCCACCATTCACAGGCTCGAACAACGGCAGCGGGCAGGCACAATACTGGAACACCTCCGGTCACGCTGGAATGAGTTTCAAGGAGGAGGATGAGTATGCTATGGAGATGAACTGAGATATGCCTGATTTCATTTTCGGCTTTTCTTATGATTGCACGGCATAACTTGTTGCATACAAGGCGTCATGGATGGGGTAGTTGACCGGCGTACTCGGGAGGGATATTTCTTCTCTGTTGTGTTCTTGTTGGCTTGTTGTGGGTAGAACTTCCTGCCAGTGTCTTGATTTCCCGCCTTTGATTCGGCTCCTTCGCCTGTTTGCGCATTACTGAACACGCACACGTTTTATTTTGACTTCATTCCTACTTGGTTCTCATGATTTTTACTCGATATTTTTCTCTCTCGACTTTCAGTTTCGTCTTTAGGCTTCAGCACTGTGGTTTTGTTCTTCATCGATACCCTTTTCCTTTTTCATCCCTAATACTTGTTATGGCTATATCAGTATCTCGGAACGCTTCATGTGACTTTATATACTCTTGAGTTTTCCTGTTCAGGTTTCCATATGGTATTGCATGGCTTTGGCCGCCTGTAAGATTTTCTCGCGGACTTACAATGATACTACCAATCTCAACTCATGCCAACTAGCTTTATCTAGTCCATTAATCGTACTGTCATCAGCGGAATTAAACATAAATGGTCTGAGCGTTTTATGCAGTCAGCCAGCCCAGTAGATTTTGCATGTGAAGAAAAGGCCTCTTTTTTTTTAGCATGTGAAAATGTACAACCGTCTCTTTTTCTATGGCACATTCTATGAACCATCCATGTACGTACGTATCTCTATCCTGCACATTCAGAAACCAGCATCAGAACAGGAGAAGAAGAAGAAGAAGAAGAAGAAGAAACCAACCAGCCAACGAAGCGAACGACCCCCCTAGAAGCAAACCTAAACATCCCCCCTCATCGTCCGGAAAAAGTCCATCACGCCAGTAAACACAACGAGCAGGATACCACCGCCAGGGCCCAGCCGGAGCACCTTGGGGATGAACCCCTTGTACAGCGCGCCGAAGCCCTCCTCCTTCATGACCGTCCCGACCGCGGGCCAGGCCCAGTTATACTTGGGCGTCTGCCCGGGGACCTTGGGCGAGTTCTGGATGCGCGACTTGACGACATCCATGGGCGTGTTGAGGATGGTACCCGCCGTTCCACCGATCGACCCCGCAATCAGGTCGTTGCGCGTCTGCTGCGCCTTGTTCCCGGGCTCGACGGCGGGCATCTGCGCGCGCACCTGGAAGATGCACCCAAAGTAACCCGAGTTCCAGAGGATGTGGCGCCAGAGGGTGGATTCGAGGCCGTTGTAGAGGGCGAGGGGCCCCTCGGCGGCGACGATCTTGCGCACGACGTCGAGCATGCCGTTGTATTTGCCTGCGGAGGCGCGGTCCTGCAGGCGGATCTTGACGAGCTCAAAGGGGACGACGACGAAGGACTCGGTGGCGCCGGCTGTTGCGCCCGTGAGGATCGCGAGGGACTGCGTTTGCTTCTCGGCGCCGAAGGCGTTGCGGTAGAAGGCGCCCCAGGAGTCGTTGGCGGCGAATTTGGTCGCGCGCTTGGGCGCTTCCATTAGGATGGGCGCGGAGATTCCGCGGTACAGGCGGGAGAAGCTTTTTTTTTTTCGTGCTGTTAGCTAGGGGTTTTTACCGGGGTGCTGTGGGGGGGGGGGGGTCGAGGTGAGGGGGAGAGGGGAAGGGGTGGAGGTACGCTACCCTTCATTGCGAATGATCTTGCGGAAGCAGTCGAACATGCCAGTGTAGAATTCCTCTCCGGCGGCACCAGTGCCTTGTTGAAGTTGGCTGTTTTGGAAGAGAAATCGTCAGTTCGGCTTTTTGACTCGGCTTTCAGTTGGGGGAGGAGGTTTTGCTCACACTCGGGTCTTGACGACGTCCAATGGGTACCTAAACAAGATGTTAATAACAATTCGAACATGGTGACTCGTCTGTTTCGCTCGGAAATATCGTAGGCACAGAGAGAGAGTCGTACATCACCAGAATCTGGGTCACGCGGTCAGTCCGAGCTGCATTGAATTTAACCGACACTATCAGATCTCAGCCCACTTACCTCCGACACACCGGCCACAGCACCGGCCACGAACTGGTACCCAAAGGGGAGGGGCTTGGGGGCGGCTTCGCTCGACATGGTGGCTTCTGGGTAGGGAAGGAATGGAGGGGAGAAGGAAAAGGAGAGAGAGAGAGAAAGGTGAGGAGAAATGCGAGGAGGTGAGGAGAAGACCGGAGGCCACTTTGGGACGAATTCGAATTCGCGCTGCTCTTGACCGGGCCGGAAAAGCGACCGAAGCACAGTCAATAATTGCGGTGCTGACGGTCGGGGAGTCTCGGTGGTGCCGCCCAATAATCAATCAGGGCCTGGAAAATCCTGCCACAATCAGCAACTGTGGGAAAAACCCGGAATTCCCCACGCTTTTTGCTCGCCTCCTTCAGGAACGCGGGGGATTCGGCAGTTGCTCAAGCGATTGCATAAGATGCTACCTCTCGGCATTCGTTATCATTATTCATATAAATAGCGCTATCGTTATCATAACATCGTCCAGATCATCCCAAGCGTAGTATACATCATCATCTTCCAATGGATCTTTGCCTTTTCTCCATTGTTTGAGGGCGCTGCTGGGTCCTCTTTCGCGACAGTCCCCGAGGTTGACGCTGCTGGTACGGCTGTACAGCTTTCTTCTCCACACGCGTATCCTGAAGGGCAGCACCCTCCACCTACAGTGTCGGCACAACTGAACCACCCACTGGCACATCCGCTCGAACTACCCCCTGATCCTCCACCACTGCTCGCCGCTGTCGTCGTCGCCTCTGGAATCACAATGGTCTGGTCGTTGGACACTATTGTCGTGGACGGTATGGTTGGACAGGACGTCGTGTCGCAGTCGCGACCCGTCCGGCAACAACCGCCCTGGTAAACAGCGGCGCAAGCGTAAAATCCCGTCGGGCAGGACGATTCAGTGGTTGATGTTGTGCTGGTAGACAAACTGGTGGGACGGTCAGGAGGAGACAAATCCGTTGATGTCGACGATGTCGTGACGCTGCTCGTTTCGCTGCTTGTGTCGCTAGTCGTGTCACTAGTCGCGGTGGCAGTACTAGATGTCGATGTTACGGTGGGCACTGTCTCAATTGATGTCGTCGTCAACGTTGTCGAGTGTGTGGTGATCGTTATCGTGACGATGTGGGCACCTGAAACGTCAGTTAGGGCTAATCTATGCAGTTGGCGAGGGCAGCTTACATCCACCATCAACGCAATCATAGCCCGGAATACAACAACCACCTCCGAGCGACGACGGACAGCTCGTGTATCCCTCCCAGCACGACCCAATTGTCCCCGAGCAGTCCTGGCCAGCAGGACAACACCCTACACCCCCGGAGTCAACAACCACGCAAGTCTCCTCCGTCCGGCAGCAGTTATCAGGTCGATCGATAGATGTACATCCATAAGTCCCCGTAGGACACTCAAAGTCCTTCCGGACGAGCGGCGAGAGACGAAGACCAGAGAGTCGCTCAAGACCAGGTGCAAACGGCGCGTTGAAAGGGTATGATCGAGGTAGGATGATACGTCGATCGATCTCGGTGTTGCGGTGGCTGTCCGCAGATTCGGTCGTGTTCGCAACAATGCTCTCATCATTGTAGGTCCAATAGTCCATGAAGAACTTCTCTCCCTCGTCATCACTCATCTTCCGAACGCCCTGGATGGCCGCATTGCGCCGCACTGCTCGCTCGGTGTCTGTGTTTGCCGAGACTTGTGCGACCGAAGCAACCCCGAGTAAGATCGAGAAGAGTAACATCGGACCGGTTGGACTGTGAGTTGATTAGCATTCCTCTCCCACCTGTTATCTCAGGAATAGCTGATCGGACCACTATAAAGCACGCTGCTTATCACCGCCCAAAACAAAAGATGTTAAAGAAAAAAGCCTCCACAAAGCAATTAAAAATGCGACCACTTCAAGGCAGAACAACAGTGTATCTTAATAGACATCGCGAGAGCAGAAGAGAAAAAGACCGTGAGTAAGAGAACTTTTGAGCACCTGAAATCCCGATGGCTGGGCTGCTGGGCGAAAGAGCTCTAATGAGTCTATTCCTGATCCGGTTAGCCGCTCCCGTGGCTCGTGCTTTTCGTTTGAGCCCTCTCAGAGACTCTAGCATCTCATGAGTCCTCTCATGGCTTCAAGACTTACACTCTTCTGAGCACCAACTTCATCATTATTTGTCTTATATTCGTATAGATCATTGCTGATCATCTATCGTTGAGCATCATACTCTGTGTGTGCTAAATCTATGCTAATAAACGTATCGGTTCGGCCCGTCGCCGACCGTGGGTCGCCATCCAAATGCCCCCGACTCCCTAAACTCACTACCTCAACCACGCAAATATTCTACATCGCATCAAAACCCATCCAGTACCCCAATGCTAATCAAACAACTAACTCCCAGATATGCTCCAAGTACCAATAATCAAGTCGTGCTCCGTAATCACGCGTACAGCTGGGAAGCTTCCCGCTCAGTCGTGACCTGTCGTGGAGTGATCACTGACAACAACTCCTTCGCATAGGCAGCGGCCGTCGCTGCAGCATACCCCTGCCAATGGTCGTTCTTATGTGAGTCAGCATAGTCTGAGATTCCTCTGATCACAAGACACGGGAAGTTGTCCATCAACCCTGCCGCCTCCATCTCGAAACAAAGTGTCCCTCCAAGTCTTCGCGCGATCTCGTCCCTTTTTGCCCCATTCTTCAGAACTCGGGTGATGGATGCGATCTGTCCGTAGTGAATCTGGGGGGATAAGCCGGCTCTGTTTTTTCGGACAATCAGATGCCTCTCGTCACAACTGTTGCAAGATCCAGTCTCGCCCGGATGGTCATAGCAAGCAGCGAATAGCCGATCGCTCTCTTTCGGAATGACGCTATCCGTCAATGCCGGGTTCCGATTTAACATGCCTGAGAGAAGTTCAGAGATTCTATGTCCCTCCACGAGATGTGTCGCGCGCAGGTTTGACATGGCGTTCAATAGCACGTAGGGGGGGTTGTTAAGTGTGCTTGTTTGTTCAAAATCATTGCCACATCGCAACACTCCCCCAGACCGTACCGACGGCTTGCTGACTACCACATCGCCTAACCGGATGTCTGCTTGACTTGGGACACCGCCGCCAATGCCTACCATGAGCCCGAATCGGATCGAGGGGAAGGTCGATAGCATTCGAGTTGCAACAGCCGCAGCTGGGACTGGGCCGTACCTGCCAGATGGAAGGCATGTTATCACCACATTATGGAGGCCGATGCGGCCGAGGAAATAGGCGTTGTCGTCACCTTTGGGGGCAGGCAGTGAGTCGTAAAGTTCATCGAGCGAGGCTCTGGCGGTTGCCAGTTCGATGGGGAGCGCACTAATCCATCCAACACTATAGTCCTGATAACACGGAATTTGAACTGGCGCATAGAGCGAGTACGTTCGATATATCCGCCCTCCTATCGCCGTCCCAGTGCCGTTCCACGTGTTATGCTGCTGAAGACGCGGCTTCGTTCTATCTGTAAAGGCCGTTAGAGATTGGGTTTCCACTAACCAGGCTTGAGCCACTCTCCCACAGCAAACACAAAAAGCAGTCACAAGCAGGGGTTCTCTTACCATGTGTCCGTTCCGGGAACCTCGATTGCGGTCGGACATTACCAGCGAATGTGGCATCATGGCTTTCACCCTCATCAAGTTTGTATTTGTCCAGGAGCCTGTAAAATGCATAACAGGCAGGGTAGGCAACCACGAGGGCGGCGATAACGACGAGAAAGATACCAACCTCGTGGGCAGGTTTATTCGTCCAAGCGATCACTAGGCATCCCATCAAAAGAAACAGTGAGGTTATCTTCCCCCAGTCCGGTACTAGCCTGACAACAATGATCAAGTCTGAGTAACCGGGTGGGCGACAGTCGCGATCCGGGAATAGAAGTCTTGTTCCCAAGATATCGCGAATTGACCGCTGAGCACGCCGGCTGTACCATTGATATCCATCGGAGGTGCTGTCGTTCCAAGTTCGGGTTAGGAACCTGTTGGGTTTGAAGTTCACGACGGGCGTGTCGGCATCCGATAGAGACGAGAGGTCTTGATTCTGGATCTGCCATGGAATACCAAACGTCAGACGCATTCTGCCACGATTGTGATGATTGATACGTACAAGCTCATCAGGGATAAAAGCAATGCCCACAATGACTTTGACGAAGAAGTCAATGAAGAGCTGCTGTTGCACAGGCAAAGAGCGCTTCGTCGAAGCTACTCTCTGCTTCGCAGCATGGATTGCTGGAATAACAGCTTCGGTTTCGAAGACGTTGAGGATATAGCACGACGGGATGTATATAAAGAGGGATATCAGATTATCCCAGCGGAGAATAAAGTGAACCATGGCATGAGCCTCGGGGATGAATTAGGGTGCCGTGTCTGTGTGGCTCTAGAACAGAGGGGAGGGGACTACTCCCAGAGACAAGACGGGGAGGTCGAGGTCGAGGGGGTGGTTTGAGTCAAATTGAAAGAGACGTAGGGAGCAATAAGGTAGTAGAGCAGAATCTCAGAAAACAGTAGTATGATGATGAGAAGCCAGAGTTTGACTCGAAGGGAAGCTAACTGTATCAGGGGGAACTCGAGTGACGGATTCGAACAGTGTAGCTGGGCTGGGACCCTTAAGAACCTGGGGGGCTTTTATATTTCCAAAGCTAAGGACAGCTTGGGATGCGGAGACGGGGTGGGACCGTGAGAGGGGATGACCCGACAGTGAGATCTCGGAGTCAACGATAAGCGGCAAGCCAGAAACTCGAAGACGGGAACTTATAAGGGAAAGGAATAATTCGAGGGGTGCAGATTGAAAAATTTATATCGTAAGTTCATAATAGGATAGCATCAAGAAAGCTAACAGTTTAGATTCAAGGTACATTGTACAAGCAACAATTGACCCGGAAATAAAACCCTTCGAGTGCTCAAACATGCGGGGCTCTATTACTACACGTTTGAGATTGATGGCTGTCTAGGAAGGAGATCGAGTCAAAAATTTACATGGCCGCCTGCTGGGGTACTGTGCTGCCAGTGCGCTCGCAGATGCCTCTATTCGTCAAAATCCACCGGATGATGGAGAAGGGATACAGGCCGCTAGGAATAATATGGCGTGAGAAATCAAACAATCAATAATTATTGCGGAAATAAATAAATAAAAAATAAAAAAAAGGAAAGGAAAGGAAATTTAGAAATTAGAAAATAAATTCAAAAAAAAAGTATCTGGATGCTGCCATTCGTCATAGCCGCAGGGCTGCGGCTCTCGCTGAGTCTCGCGACCTTACTCCGATATGATGGGGTGGGTCATGGCATTGAGTTGTTAGTATGGGAGGTTTACCGTTTGTGATGCTTCCCATTTGCCTGCAACACTATCATAACCCATCTTCCAAGGGTTGATTCGCTCTAATCCTCTTCTGGCATCGCAATGCAACAAACTAGTGTTCATCCCGAGCGAAGCCTACAACTAGTAGTGAAAAATAGGACTCCCATCCTAGTTCGGTCAAGACGACCATAAATAGCATTGTTTTGCTCCGGCCGCTTCTCGACTAGCTTCGTTGTTCTGGAAGACGGACCACTGTCAAGTGTGGCTTGGATTGTGGAAGCAGGACCATTCCGGAACAGTGATTGTCGTCTCTCCACCAGGATTGAAGATTCAGACGTTCACGCTCCTGGATTGAGGCTGCGCGATTGGGTGGTGACTGGAGGATTCGCCAACTATTGGCTTGGAGGGACTCCGCACGGTCATCAACTCAGAGAACCCGGGATGGATCCCCCATATACCTTACCAGCTTCACAAAATTTGCCCCGGCACGGAGAGAGGCACGGTTTTCATCTTCCAACTTACGGAGTATGGGAAGCCTATCAAACTGCAGGAGACGGGAGACGGGGCCGCGGGGTGATGTGCTTTCATCGAAGAAAAGGGATTGGCGGAAGGGAGTAATGGACGCCACCTGGGCAGGAGCTCGAGGCTCTGATCCTACTGGTCATGGATGTGAGTCGTGCAGAGGCGCCGCGCTGTTGCACCTCTACTCTTCTACCTCGTACCTACGCCGCCAACTGCGGGCTAGCCTGCAAAACGTTGCGAGATGATCAGATGGATCATGATACGGTTTTCAACCGTTCCTCCCAGTGAGACAAGCTCGACTGGCTGAAGATCCTCCTCCCCATCTTTCTGAGCTCGGATCTCCCCCCTGTTCTGTCTACCAGGTTCTCGAATGTGAGCGTTCTCTGTCGAATTCCGCTTGCCGCATGGTGATGAACTAACCGCCTCGCTCTTCCTTTCTTGCGAATAATACTGGTCGTAGTGGCGTGCATGGCCACGGCTAATAGGGGATAGTCGCCAAATCCTTGGTGATTTCGGGTCACTGGTGATGTCTAGCTTACGACTTGACACGATCGATGAGTCGTGACTCGGCCGCTCGATCACCCATCAACGTCCACGGTCCCATCTTCCGAGTCGGGTCTTCTTTCTTCGTAATCGTAACATTCGCGTTGCCATTTTCGGAAGGCGAGGGAACTTACAAGGTGCTACCCCAGCAGTCAATCCTCGGTGATATCGGCCCTGCTGTTGCTGCCGATGCGGCTGTGAGATTCGAGAGCTTTGGGCCTAGTCTGTCCCCCGCCAATATTCTTCTACACCAGCCTTCGCCAGGATACCAATCCCTTTAACACTATTTGTTTGCCGACGTCCAGACTGGCGAATATTCTTGATTTGCTGGGGGATGCGGGAGGTCTGTCTGTGCCATGATTTTGTCCGGGTGTCCATGGGCCATGCATGACACATACAACCAGGAATCAGATACTCTGTTGCTCTGCTCTGAAACTTGCTTCGGTTCAATGTTCCTGGCTGAGGCCTTCGTATCTACCAGGCTTCATGGACACTGATGCTATTGACATGACCACATGGTTTTTTGCGGCATGATTGGAAGCCTACAAGCGGTTTAAAGGAAGAGTTGCAAGCTCGGGCTGCTTCAGACTGGGGGTGCGTAACAGGATGGTGATTCGAGACTTCTGCTGTCATGCTCTTTGGTTTGCGCATTACAATACCTTTCTGACAGAAAAGAAAGGGGAAGAAGAAATCGATCTTGAGTTCCTGTCGGTGTAAGTGATTCACAAAAAGGAAAGAGAGAAAGGAGAAGAAACGAAGTTTTGATCTTGAGATCTTGTCAGTGTAGTGATCCATGTTGTGGTTTATTACCCTTTTAGACCCTAGCAGCAGGCTTGCAGGACGTGTGGAGAGGGAGGCCGGAGACTAGAGCCCGTCCAAACGGGAGGGACGGTGTGGTAAAAAGAAATAAGAGAGAAAAAAGGAAGGGATTTCATCTCCGATGACGCGTGAGAAAATTGATCATTGACAGGGATTCAGCAAAAGACTCTAGAATCGTGTGGCGTGGCAGTGAACAGCATTTGTTTTTGAAAACAACAGTCTTTCTGGAACTGCTGATGATTCCTAAAGCCGTGGGCAAAGGGCAAAGGGCAATTCTTGAAGCATAGTGGAGACAAGAAAAAAAATAAAAAATATAATAAAAAAATAATAAATAATAAATAAAAGAACAAGGGGAGAAAAGTCTCGCTTAGACAAGAGAAAAAGAAAAGTTGCACTTGCACGAGTTTCCTTCCTGAAGGCTTAAGTCCGGTTATCACAATTCCACGAGGGAGGTGGTTTCAAGCTACAGGCTGGTGAGTGGGGCGCAGCGCAGAGAAAGAGAATCTCTTCCAGGCCAGGGACAAGTGATCATAGTAATAATAAATCATAGTCAGATTTGGGAGAGAAAGAGAAAAATATTGGTTTTCTTTCCCCCCATGTATCAATATATATTTGGTCAGGGTGTTCGAGACGATAGGCAGCACAATGCAAGAATTCTGTTGTCTTTGCCATTGTATCTGCTGCAAAATCATCAGACTAGGCCCTCTTTCGCCTGTGTCCAACTTGATGCTGCAAAATAACAGCGATTGCCAAAATCACCAACAATTTAGATATGCTTTTTACCCATGGCACGCGATCCGCACGCGCACAGGATCCGTCTCAGCTGGCAACAACCATTTTCTGTCTTGGCTCTCGCAAAGCAAATCTTCAAAATCCAAGCGCCCAGAAAATGATCATGTTCTCTTTTCTGGACTCCGGGTCCCTGGTTTAGAGCAGATGCTGCCAAGAGCCGCAAGACTGGCAAGTAGACGCCGTTGCTGGCCAGAAAAAGCAAAAGATTAAAGTTTTTTCTTTCTCACACCCGAAAGATTCTCGGAAAGCCTGTAACTCTTCTTCAAATCCTTAAACTAATCTAGTCTACCCAAAGCCTACTAGGTACTCCGTTAGTTGATACTGTAGCAAGATATCTAGTGATGCACTTTCTTTCCCCGGCAGGACCGAGTGGGCGAGGGAAATCGTCTGGAAACCTGCTAAAATTAGGGATCTCTGATGAACTTATCTAAAAGAAGTGTCGGTTTCCGATTCCCAAGCTGCAGGAAGTTTCCCTTCTTAAAACTAATATTAATCGACCACTCTTCAGGCTGCCCACTGACACTCCATCACAAGAGTTCTGTTGTTGCAAGGCCATGGCCAAGAGCAAGCTTGCTGGCTGTTAGACCTAACTACGACAGCGTGTTTTCATAATAATTCAGCCTGGGTGGTCTAGTGGGTAAGCATTTCTCACCTGTCTTCTTACAATAATATCCCTGTCTACCAATATCGCAGTATGATTCTCGCTTAGGGTTCACCCTTGGCATATATGCCAGAGGCCCTGCTCGATCTGCGGCTTGAGCCTGTATCTTTTTTTTTTTTTTTTTTTTTTGTTTTTATTTTTCATTCCTTCCCCTTCCTTCCGCTCCTCTGGAGTGCTGCTGGAGTGGTGCTGGTTACTGACTTAACTAGTCGATCTATGTAGGCACCCTGCGCTTTTTTCCATGAAGTAGCTGTGAAGCCAGCAGAGGCAACATCCGGTAGACACGAGAGATGTCTTGATTTCGCACCTACCATAGTTGCTTCTTCACGGACGAGCTCGTCGAGGATAAGGAGAGGAGGAAGACTCCCAGTCGCCAATAAGTATTTCACATCTGGGGTGAGTTAGATAACTCTCCATGTTGAAGAAGTTGGAAGGAAATAGATGGACAGGTAGATGGTCTGTCCTAAGAGAGCGACTGGGTGGCTTGAGGTGGCTCCTGTTGAGCAAGTACATATACGTATACAACTACATAATCCCCAGTAATTGACGACTGGCAGTCTCTGGGTATTGCGATATTTCTACAGCGTCTAGGAGGGCACGAGACATTCCGCGTGTATTTCCAGGGTGTATCGTGATACCATACTCCCATTATTTAGGAGACCATATTTTCATAAACTCATTCCGCAGAAGCAACATTCACTTTACCTTCCGCGACTCATAACAACACTCACAGTGCCATTAACAACCTTGACGCCGGGAATCTCAGCCTCCCAAATGCCCGTCCCCTCGCCGGAGCCCTCCTTGAGCCATCTCTGCAACAAATCGTTGCTCTCCTTAGGCTTGATCTGGGGCGACGCAGTGCCAACCGTAACATGGGGTAGAGGGTTGACGCACATCCAATCCGGCTGATCGTTCTCGTCTTGGGGCATGATACGCGCAACGAAAGTCATGAGCCGGCCATCCCAGATGAGGCGCTCAAGGCGGATGCGTGCGCTGCCTAGAGTAGGCGTGACGCTGTGGTCTTTGGGCGGGACCTGGAGCATCTTCTCCGTGTAGAGTTGGGTGAGGCTGTCCCATACTTCGGCGTGGTCCTTCTTGGACGCCTTGTGAATCAAGGTTACGTGAAAGGCTGGCTGAACGCGACGGGACTTGACAAGTTGGTGGTAGAGACGTGCTCTTTCGGGGGGTGTTTCGGAGGTGAAGAGGGAGTGGAGGAGGTCGGAGACTTCCTTTGTCGGAAGGGTAATGCCAAAATACTCGATATTTCGGACCTTGGCTTCGATGTTGATCCCTGAGTTCGGGCTGCCAGCTTTGTTGTTCTGCTTTGGCCCCTTGACCTGCTTGTAGGAGCCGCTGTGGTCTACGTCGACGTTGTACTCGCTAACAGCGTGGTTGATGGCGTCATCTAGCTCTTGCGCGGAAGGGACTTTCTTCACGAGTTGAGGGTAGGCAGAATGCAGCGCATTTACTACCTTCTCGAGATTCTCGCGGGAAGACGCCGTAACGTCAAGGTCGATAACCTCGTCAAAGCTCATGTCCGGTTCATGGTCCACATCAACGGCCTCGAACCGGTTGAGGAAGCCCTCCATGATCCCAATGACCTCGCCGCTGTCTTTGGTCCCGGCGCGAATGGTCTGATGGTTGTCGCCCCGCTCAAGCACACGTTTCCGAGTCACCTCTCTGATTTCAGGAAGCATCATATCCTTGGGCTCATGAACATAGTGGAGTGCAACAAATCGTGCGTTGGGAGTACCAGCAGTCACGTCCTTTATGATCTGATCTCGTTCACGTTTCTGATGGTTGTTCCGGTCCGCAATCACAACCGGCTTGTCCAGTAACTGGTTGAGCACACCAGCAGCGAATGCCTTTGGCTTACTCTTCTGTTTGGGAATGTTGTCGTTCTGAATATGGCCCCAGCCGAACAGCTTGACCAGAGCTAGAGCCACCGTCGTCTTACCACATCCGATTGATGCAATAGGTACTAGAACGACATCCCGTGTGACATTGTCTGCCTCCATTTGGATGATCTGTGCTCCGTTGAGGCCGCGCTCCGCTAGGAAGCCATCGCGCATTGCGATGATACCGTGGTTATGCTGATAGGGTACTTTCAACTCTGGATTCAGAGCAAACTGACGGCGCGCGTAGACCAAGTACTCCTCTGTAATCTTTTTGTGCTTCTTGATTCTTGGCTGTTTCCCGGAGAGCATAGATTTGGTACACTCACGCCATTGCCGATACATCAGGTACGGCTCTTCAAACTTGTACTTGAAGAACCAATCCCGCAAGGGACCACGACCTCCCTCGCTCATGTGGCATCGGATAACAAAACCTTCGGTCTCTCGGCCGTCCCAAGACCCAGTCTCGGCGCATCGCTCAAGGAACCGCTTAACAGAATCGAGATCATCGTAAACAACAAAGTTTGCCTTCTTGAAGCCCCAGGCGTCCGCGAACTTGTGCACTTCCGGGCTAGAAAGAGTTGCAAACTCGGGAACGTTGAAGTTGATTCCATGAAGGTATATACCGGCGGAGTTCTGGTCATACGCGAGAACGTGCTCCTCGAAGCTATCGTCACAGAGCTCTCCCACCGCGGTGGCATTCATCTCGCGCAACTCCTTGGCCAGCTGTGCAGTTGTCTTGCCGACCGAAGCGACGTGTCGTTCAATCCACTCTTCTCCAACTTGAGCATGGCTCCTATCAGTATCAGAACGAGCACCCGTTGAGTGCTTGCTGCATACTAGCAGAGAGCCGTCTTCCAGACCAGAGATGAATATGATGCAACCGTTCTCCTTGACACTGAGCTCGTAAGGCCCTCGGGTGTTGTTCTCAATGTTCCTCCATTGTGTTGAGTTGACCTCGTTGATGTTGAAGAACTTATCGTAGCCTCGTGTAGCAATCTCGGGGGTGCCGTCCTGTCTCTTGGTTGTGAACAACCCACGAGCATAGGTCGGAAGGTCATCGCGCTTGTAATCCCAGTCCATAAACTTCCACGAGTCCACGGCGACGTTGCCTCCTTTCCCCACCATGAACCTGGTCTTTCTGCACTTAAAGGTCTTCTTTTTGACCCCTTTGTTCTCCAATCTAGCAGCCTCAAGGGTAGTCACCAGCTGAGCTACTTCGCCTTTGTCCTGATGGACCACTTTTCGCCCCTCCATTGTACGCTGTGTCGAGAGCTGCCTTGTATAATGAAGGATTGGTGAAGATTGGGAGCGAGCGGAATTGTTGTACTGCTGTGGGGCGGCGGAGCTTGGACGAGCAAAGGTGGAAGGCACAAAGAACTGTCGGCAGGGGAGGAGGAATCTTAAAGCAAGATTCATTAATGACTCGTTCAGACTGAAGCTCACACTAGACAGAGGCGCAGCCTCGCACTTATTCTTGCGGCTGAGTTGTATGAATCATAGTGGAGGGAGCTGGAGAGGGAGGTAGAGATAAACCTCTTATCGCGGGGCAGCAAATCACCCAGGAAAAAAATTACTTCTACCACCCACGCCACAAACAGTTGCTCTTTCATTCAAAGTTAGCTTGGACTCACATCTGGTGTCTAGCGACAAGAACCTTCCTCTTTCTGGACATTCTGACTCTTTGAAACCTCTCTTGACTCATACTCGGGCTCCGCAAGCAAGTCGCGATGACTCAACCCAACCCCTACGTTCTCGCCGCAGACAACCCGGCCGCCGTTCTGGCCCTCCTCCAGTCCAACCCTTCGATTGCTTCCAACCAAGACGAACATGGATACTCTCTGCTACATGCTGCAGCTTCATACGGACACATTGACCTCCTCCGCGCTCTTGTACAACAATACAATGTGAATGTCAATCTGCTAGACGAGGACGGGGAAACCTGCCTCTTCGTGACGGAAAACCTCGACATCGCCAAATGTCTTGTTGAGGAGCTCGGAGTTGATTATAACATCAAGAATGATGAGGGCTTCACGGCTCAAGAATCCATCGAGAGCGACGGCTCTTTCCCTCAGATTGCCGCCTACCTGCGACAAGTGGCTGGTATACCCGGTACAGTCGCCGATGGCTTGTCCGCTGCCGACGCCTTGAACCCTGCTCCGCCCTTGCCTCCGAACATTCAGGTGAACCTAGGGACAGTATCAGAGCAGGAAGCGAACGCTGGGACCAACGAGGTGGATCCCGAATTCAAGAGACGCATTGACGAGCTTGCTGCTCGGGAGGACTTCCACAGCGAGGCGACTCAGAATCAGCTTCGGCAGCTGGTCATGGATGCCATTCAAGGGTCAGATATCGATACGCAAGACAGCAATGTGCGAAGGAGGTTAGAATAAACGGATCCTATAGCACTTTGATGAGAATATCAGCATATACCCTCCACACGCCTGAATACGTATCTCACAGACACACTCTTTACTTTGTTTACGACTCATATATATGCTACACATTCAACAGAGCCATAAATGTTGTGAAATGCCGACTTGATTTTGTCGTCTTCGATCTATGTAAATGTCACGTGGCGGCCTAGCTCCCCGCAATATCATCACCTCTCCATCTTCCTCTGACATCAGGCTCCGTCAACAAACATCGAATCCATCTTCCAAAGCCATTACGAGAATGAATCCCACACTCCACGCCGATACTCCTCCCCCACCGCCTCCAAAGCCCAGCAGCCACGAGGCTAGTCGCAGAGGCACACCACAAGTCAACTCCCCATTACCAGCGACACCCCAACTCTACCGGCAAAGTCAATATGCACCAGACGCCCAAACTCAGCACATAGCTGGTACTATCACTTCAAACCCGGCGAATCCGCCAGCGAGGCCCCCGGCCGTCGAAGAAAATTGGCTTCCAGAGGGCATCAAAGAGAAATCGTACGTACCCCATTCCTTACACTCTTGCTCCGAGTGACCAAAGAGATACTAACAATCTGTTTGTATATAGGACGGTCGACCTCCAAACAATCCTCCAAACTCCCACCCTGATTTCCGCCCTCTCCTCCAAGCACCCCTCCTACGCAACCCACGAAACAAACCTCCAAACCCTCCTCAAATACAACCAAGACCTCGCGCACCACCTCCTCGACCTCCAAACGCGCCTCAGCGAGCTCCGCTCCTCAACCGAAACCCTCCTTCTCCAGCATCAATCCCTCGAAGTCTCATGGCGCAAGAAACAAGTTGAGATGGACTCCGCGCTGGCACCGTGGTCGCCCAAGGCGCTGTACCAGAGGCTAAGTGCGGCGATTGCGGAGCAGGAGGCTGTTTGTCGGGCTGTTGAGGAGAGTTTCTTGGAGGGCGAGCATGAGTTGCATGGGAAGGCGTCTGAGAAAGAGGTTGCGGAGTGGGTGAGGAGGGTCAGGGGGGAGGGGGCGAAGTTGGCGGGGAGGAGGGAGGCTAAGGCGAGGTGGGATGAGGGGAGGGTTGGAGGGTGGAGGTGATGTGTTGTGATTTCTTTGCAAGGGTTGGAGTCATTCAAGGGAGTATAGTATATTCATATATGCTATATAACATGCAGGAGAAGTCGATAAATCCGCGCTAAACACAACGCCATATTTCCGTGCCGATATCGATACATACTTTTCCACGTCATCGTTTCTTTATCTTACCTTCATATCTCAACCGCTGTCCGCCGCCCACCTCAGTCGGCCAGGTTCCGTCTCCCACTCTCCAGGTCAACGTTTCCATTCTCCGCCATTTCCGGGGCTTGCGCAACCTTCGGGCTCGCCCAGTTGTCATCGCCAATGTTACTCGGGACTCCAACAGCCTTGAAGAACGCATGATCGCGACTCCTGGCTCCCCAGGACCAGCCAGATCCACGAGTGATAGGTGGACTATACAGTCTGAATCCAACCCAGCCGAACACGATGCCCATGAGAGAGCCGATGATAATATCGAATGCATGGTGACGATAGTCGAACCAGCGCGACGCAGCAATGAAAAACGCCACAGCCCATGGTACAAACGCAAAGATGACCAGGTAGATAGGGGGCGCAGCGCCCTGGTTGCGGATTGAGAGACGGCTCTGAGCACGCAGATCCTGGCTGAAGGGTGAGTGGGGGAGATGTGGGAACTTGATTGAGAATTTAGAGCATAGCCAAAGAGAGAGATACGTCAAGCCGGCGAAGGAGACTAATTAGTGTCAGCTATGATGCATGTGGAGATCCTCCGTATAGAACTTACATGATGCATGCCCGCTCGGGAAGCTCGCGAACCCATCATATTTCAGCATGTCTGCCTTGTTCCGACATATCTCCCAGCTAACCAGCGTCGGAGCCCCCTCTAGTCTCTGTCCGAGGCCACCAACTGCATACCGAGCAATATCCGAGAGATCCGGGTCACAGCGCGAAAGCATATCCGGCCGGGGTTGACCATATAGATCCTTTAAACCCTCCGTAGCCATCCACACGCCAGCGCAAGCCAGACTCAACCCGAGCCATCCCGCATTCCATTCCCATAGTTTGCGGCGCCAAATCAGAACCGTAGACGCGGAGCGGTCGATGGAAGTGCCTGGCGTGAAGAGTAGCGATGCGAGCGCAATAATCACAGCAGGAGCGATAAGGCCAACCACGACCATAACGCTGCTGCGCACAGTCTCATCTTTCCTGTGGGGGAAGGAGATGGATGCGTCGGTAAGGGAGAAGGGTCTATGGTTCGGTTCCACCTTGTGGAATCCATATCCGATGAGAGCTATGCCGCTGCGAGATGACGTTAATTTTCGGGGTGGACGCTCGGAATAGCTATGACAATCTTTTATACATACACAATCAAGATCCAGTCAAGGATGTAGGATAGAAACAGGGATTTGGAGAAGCTCGCGTGACCACCCGGCAGGCGCGGAAGCGCCTTCAAAGAGTTGAACGCCATGAGTGTTATGAGGGGGTACAATTTCTTGTGAGTAGGTAACGGGTGTTTCCAGGACGAGGACACCCGCTTCCTCAGATGCAACTAGATAATGAAGAGAAGAGTCGGAGTCCGAACCGTGAGGTACGGCGCCTAGAGGGGTGGAAAGCCGATGAACTTAAGAAATCTGAGGTTCTTGGTCGTTTGTGGCTGAGAGGCCGATCTGATCTTGGCTCCGGTCATCATAGGCTGAAGAAATCGCGAACGAATAAGGTGTTGAAGTCCTCGTATGATCTCAAGAGGATAGAGCGGTTCAAGTCTATCACTGCAAGACCGCAATGAAGTTGAGATCATTGATTCTTCGTGGCTGTTAGTGATCTGTTCTTGGCCTGGCCCTTTGAAGCAGCCGAGCGAATAGCTGCCACGAGCACCTCGTATAACTTTATATGTCCTAGATCAACTGCGAATTTCATTCTGGAGTAAGCTGACGGCCTGACACACATCGTGTGATTCAGCTTTGCTGCACAATGAGTTCCTAGAAGTCATACAACATCTTGCAAGGGTAGTACCATAGATGCCTCAACCGTATATTCTTGCGATTGATCTCCGATTGGCTCTTCTGATGTGCTCGTTGTTGGTCTGAAACCTGTTGAATGAGTTCACCAGGCTTATCATGATGCGACACCGACCTGATTGAGTCCTCAACTCGGAAACTGCTTTCGCGCTCTATTGCTCGCGCTTTGAAGATCATGAATCATGCATACTCCGTACAGTAAGACATAGGGGCACATCGTATTCTAATGTCACCTATGTCAGCCGAGTCACCTCAAACTCCACAATTGCTTTCTGGAGCTATAAGATCAGTGTATGTTCAGAAAGCTGTCTGTGGAGGGAGGATGATATCCGCCTGAGGCAGCAACCAGAAACTCTGTGGGGCACTGTGTTTGCTTTTCTGCCAAACGGCGGTACTGAGTTTCTCGGCTGCCGTACCAATTTAATTTCTTTAAATAAGCTGGAACCCACAACATTTTTTTTTCCGTCTCCAAGCTTGCAGCTTCAACACTCAACTTGAAAAATGGCTTCAAAGTTGTGAAAGCTGCGATGTTGCATGGGTTTTCTCTCATTCGCTTGCTTCTCGACATTGTCGACTTAGTTTTCCCGCGACGCCTGCGAAACACATTGTAAAAGGTATGCCGAATTTGTTTTCTTTCCTTCGCTCCCCTCCTGGTATGATGATTCTTCGACACGCTATAGGCATTCCTCAAACTTAATTTACCATGTGGAATCTGTCTTGTTTTAAGTTTCAGCCTTGTCTGACCACAATCTCATCATTGCTATATTTGACTGCATTTGTTGAGCGAGCCTTGACTAACAAGCTGTTAGGTACATACTCTTCTCTCTTCTACTTCCCACTCCCGATGAAGATATCTTGAACGAACGGGCGGACATAATTGTGCATCTCTTTTCATCCGTAAACAGCAGAGCGTACAAACTCTGTGGGTGCTGAGAGGTGTATTACTTGTTGAGATCTCGTCACCTGAGACGTTGCCAATCGCCTTCGGATGCTCAATCCTTGGATTACCAGTTATACTGACTAGCATCCCTAGGTACTATCTATTCTCCCTGCAATATCACACACAGCTTGTCAACATCTTATGATGAACACTTTATTCACACTGTTTGATCTACACTTCGGTGTTGGAAATGAACATTACATACAAAAATCTGATTTAATGAGGTCAGTCGCTCTAAGCTTTCTTGATTCGTCCAAAATGCTAACTTCAATAGCCTGACTTCAGTTGACATTGTCTCATTTGCTTCACACATATCGTGTCGTGGATCGTGCTGACTCTGTCGGTTGCTAGGAACTATATATCCTTGTAAAATCATTGTTGATCTTCAAGAGTAAGTCAGCCATCCACTCTCCCTTCGCTTTCTATGATGATTTCTTTATTGCTGTTATTTCTTAATACACTTTGAAGAAAAATTCTTTTCACCTTGGAGAACTGATGCCTTGATTGTTCCTCGCACATTGCAATGAAAACGTATGGCGTCCCAATGCTAACGTTCACAGTGAAACTAGATAGCTTAATACAACTTCTTCATCGTATACTACTGTCCACTCCACGTAGAACTATCATTGTGCCCTCAAGCTTACTCGAAAAACAAATTATGCTTCTTATGCCAATCCTCCAGACTCAGCTCCGGATACTGGTCATACACCAGCTTCTTCCCCTCAGGCCATCGTGCCCACGCCGGCTTCGAATCTCCCATGAGACAGACCATCTCCTCGGGAACCGGTAGGTCAGTATCAATCGCCGACGCAAACGGATGGATCAGCTCCGGCCAAGTCTTATCCCAAAGCCAGAGCATAGATCCGCAGTTTGAGCAAAAGTTTCGCTCCGACGAGCATTTCTGTTCGTCTTTCGTGCCTCGGTTTTTGATGGCGTTGTATTTTCTATCAACTGTCAATGGCGGGACTCAAGGCCGAAGGATGGGACTGTTGCAGGAACAACATACTTAATCAAACCCTCCCCCTTCTTGATCTTGAGACTATCCGCAATCCCACCTAGGTTCACGGCGCCGATATGACCGCCGACCTTACGGCAGATGCTGCAGGCGCAGAGCTGGTAGGGCACCGGGGTGGAGGAGTCGAGGGTGAATTCGACGCCGCCACATTGGCAGCTTCCTTCGAGTTTCCTGTCGCCGCTGCCCGTTAGAATTGATTTGCAGTATGGAGATGGAGGACCTTGGTAGGTGCGGTGCTAAGTAAGAACCGGTCGATGCCATTGGGTGAAGATGAGGTTATTCGCGTGGGCGATGTCTTCAAGGTACTCGGTGTGGGGTTTTTAGTGCAGTGTCGAAAGGCAATACATACATGGGCATCTTGATGAGGGGAATGTTAGGGTGTTATTGATTTCAAGGCTTTTGGATAGATTTCCGTTTTGACACTGTTGTTCGTTGCTACTGGATGTGATGGAAGGACTCTCTCCAGGAAGTCGGCGACGTCATATTTATACCTAAGCAGCCCTCCACACAACTGGAAGCAATTGACCGGACCGGGACCTGATCTCACCCCAGCAGCGTTTGCACGGAACCAGATGAGGGGTCAAGCAACAGCTTCCTGCATGCCACTCCGATGTCTCCATCCTGATTGGAGAATGTGACATGCATCTGACGTTCAAAATGCATCCGAATGTTTGCATAGCTTGCATACTAGCCAAGATCTGCCATGTTTGCATAGCTTGCATACTAGCCAAGATCTGCCATGTTTGCATACTTTGCCCGGTTTGCACCGATAGCAGCGCTCCGTATCACGATAATCTCGACTCCGGAGTTTGAGATCGCCAATTATCCACGGATTCAGGAACCTGATTTTCCGGAACGATATCTCTGTTATAATGAGTTTCGGAGGTCCCGGCGGTGGTGTCACACCCGTTAAACCTACTCCGTAAGTGCCAATCCTGCTTCAACTGCGCTACTGAACTTGCCGGGGTGATATGATCAGACCGGAGGGAGGCATCTTCTTCCAATTCGTCTGCTAATCGTGTTTCTCATACCTATAGTCCCGAGCGCGGAAGTTTCCCTCTCGATCACGATGGTAACATACCCACATACCTACCTATATAACCACGCACACAATCTTGCCTCCATTTATCCAAGCAACCCATGAGCCTCAGAATCGTCCCATACACCATACCACATACTATCCTTATCAACCGGCGCACCACTCCAAATGTTCCGAACCGCTCTAACAAATCCCGCACAGGCGAATGCAAACACCTCATCCAGAACTACCTCAAATGCTTAAAGCTGCAGCGCGGCGTCAACGACGAGGAATGCCGCAAGCTAGCCAAGGGATACTTGGCTTGTCGGATGGATAAGTGCGTGCTCTGTTATGCCCGTCTACTTTCTCTTCTGTTCCTTGAAAGGGGATACTGCGGAATATGTGCTAACCGTTGGTACTCCGCGATGTAGGAACCTGATGGCGCCGGATGATTTCAAGAATCTGGGGCTTATATTCAAGGGGGATGCCGGGGATGCCGGGGATGCACAAGCGCAAGCTCAGTCGCAGACGCAGACGCAGAATGGGCCGAGTACGAATACGAGATCTTGATGTTTGATTACTTACCTTAGCCCGGCCTTGGAGCAGGTTGTATTATATGGTGGACTCGGAATTGTGGATTGTATAATATGCTTTATGTGATGGGTCACGATATCTCTACTTTTAGAATTTTTCTCGCATTTGTTGTACATATGTCTATGCAGCGATTTGGAACTACATGGGCTGTATATTGCCTGCTTGCTTAACTGAAGGGACTTGCTAGTAGTCGGGTAGAGATCTACTTCTCATGATTCAGTGAGCGTAAAAAAAAAAAAAAAATCGCTGTGCAGAAAAAAGAATTCATATGCCCGTTACTCGTTATCAGATGCTATATCATCACTTATCCGCTTGAAAATAACCCAAAGACTATATACCAAAGAAACTCAAGTCTAGTCATGTCTACGGCCAGCCGCCTGGAGAACAAGCACATTACCGACAGTTCTATGCTCAGTGCGCACCATCGCCTGCGCAACAGCGCCCAAAACCCTGCGTGTATCCGACCCGACCTCATCAGAAGACGGCGCGCCAATCTCCAATGTTTGATCAACGCGGTTGTTGTGCCGTCCAACGATCGTGATGTTACCCGGTTTATGCGCCGACTGCGACATTTCTTCCTTTACGCTGTCGATGGCGAGCTGGACAGCGCTCTCGTCACGGCCTGCGCCCAGAGTAATGCGTTTGAATATGACACGGGATGAGAGCGCGTCAGGGAGGGAGTCGCGGAGGGTCTCAAAGAAGGTGATATCGGATTCGGGGTCAGAGGTATTGTGTCTAGGTTGTGGAATTGTGGCAGGGAGGTCGATGTGGATGATAGTCGCTGTGACCTGGTCATTCTGTGCTAGTTGAAGGACGAACTGAAGGGCGAAGCGGTCGTCGTCGCCGCCGAAAAAGGGTAGGACGATGTGGTGAGAACGTGTAGCAGCGGGGCTGGTGTAGATTGCGCTACCTATGCTTCTAGCACTTAGGGTTCGTTGTAAAGCAGGTCGAGCCTTTGCATTGCGGGTGTACATGCTGCGTTCGACAAGGACTCCAACATTGCATGAACTTCGAGTCAGGATATTGGAGACAAAGCCTGCGTATGGTCCGTTGGCGAAGCGGTTGTGCTCATCCATATCGAGTCCGCCTTGGTGTTCGCTCAGGGCACCGGTCTCGCTCCACGGGATGAGGAGAAGGTCTGCAAAGTCCTCACGGGACATTCCAAGCACAGTATCTGCGTAAGTGTGCTCGGGGACCACAGACACACCAGCCATAATTGAGATATTATGCCATTGACCAAAGGCCCGGAAAGTGTTAATGACCGGGTCCCAGAGTGATTGTTCATCGACCTCGGATACTTTCATCACACTAGAGTCTCGATCAGTGAGTTCCATCAGGCGAATTCCATGGACCTTGAGTGAAGTATCCTCTTCTTCGTTTACAGCAGATTCCTCAGTCCCTTGCTCAGTCGCTCTGCCTTCTGGCGCTTTCTCTGGGTGAACTTTTGGGGTTGGCGGTTGGTTGGGTCCAAGAAGGGCCGCAAGTGTGCAAATAGTGGAAAGACCATCGAGACGCAGGTAAACGAGGAGTCTCCGGATCTTGTTCGACTGAAGATGTTCTTTAGCAGCAGCTACACTGTCGCTGCGTTCACTACTCTGGACCGGGTTTCCGTCCCAGTCGATCTCGCCGCGGCGCCATCGGTCGACCTTGTCTTGATACCACTTGGGGTATAGCAAAGTGGTCAAAGGGGTAGTCGCAAACGTAGTCACGAGCGCCATGACGACAAAGATGGTGAAGGTACGATTGCTCAGAATTTCTGCTTGTAAACCGATATTCTTATACCTTGGTTAGTGACGAAGCAAGATAAAGAAGGTATAGCTGTTTGGCCTTGACTTACCAAGACAATAAGCTCTACCAAGCCTTTACAGCTCATAAGAACTCCAATCGTGAAACTCTCCCGCCAGAGGAGGCCGCAAACTCTTGAGGCAAGCGTCCCGCCAGCGACTTTGGCGACAAAGGCGATTAAGATAACAGCAACAACATAACCCCATGTGATAGCTGAGTCAAGCAATCCCAGGTCTGTCTGGAGACCAGAAAGCGTAAAGTACAACGGCAGGAAGATTGCCGTTACCAGATCCTCAATCTTCTCGGTTAGCTTGATTGCAAATCCACCCTCGTGAGGGCAGAGTAGGCCGATCAAAAATCCGCCAAAGATAGCATGAACGCCGATGACTTGGGTGAAGAAAGAAGACGCAAGCGCACACATGATCGTGACCATGACCACTTCTTGGCTAGGGCCTTTCTGCAAACTGCCAGTGTAGTTGAGGAAGCGTAAGAACAGGGGTCGGAACACTAAGCAGAGGAACAAAACGTAGCCGACGCAGACGAGTAGGACCCATAGAGCAGTGAGACCACTACCGGCGTTTACAAGAGCAACGCAAAGCGCGAGTAATATCCAGCCAACGACATCATTTCCGACGCCCGCGGAGAGCACGATGACACCGACATTAGTGCTGAGCAGTTTCAGTTCAGTCAAGATACGGCATAGAACCGGAAAGGCCTGGACAAGAAACAAGTTAGACAAAGATAACAGAGCGGGAGGCAGAAGCCTACTTACTGTAATAGCCATGGCAATACCGATGAAAAGCAGGTAGGTGCCAAATTCAATATGCTTGATGCCTGGCTCGTCGCGAAACTCATGATATAGACCGTAAGAAACGGCGCCTCCAAGCCCGAAAGGTAGGATCATGCCGGCGGCCGAGACACTGCCAGCGATCCGCCAGTTACTGACCAAGAAGCGTAGGTTGGTTTCGAGCCCGACCAGGAACAAAAACAGAACTAGGCCGACATTGGCGAATAGATTTAAATTTGGAATCGACTCTTGAGGGAAAATCGACTCGGTGAATCCGGGGATCCGTCCCATTACCGAAGGCCCAAGTATGATGCCGCCAATGACTTCTGCGATGACACGAGGCTGGCGGATCTTGGAGAGAGGCCAGTGGAGCAACCGACAGAGTACGATGATGATGAAGGCCTATAGCTTGTGGTGAGCGATATCCAAGTGCATAGCCCGAGACGGAATTTACCTGTATGATGAAAATGACAATGGGATTTTTAGGATCATAGTGGGATGGATTGCCGCCCTCAAGGATGCCGCCTTGAGGGGGAGCCCTGTTCTCAGTCGAGTTGTCGGCCATGCTTCGACGAAATCAGAAGGCGCCTGGCTCCGCAGGTTCACCTAAAGAGTGGCGAAGGGAACGCGATAAGAGGAAAGATGGGAAGAAAAGAGGAAGCCCAACAAGAAGGACGGGGCGAGCAGCGATCATATAGCTTTGGGGTTAGTATAAAGAAGCGTTTAGGCATACCCTGGTCGTTTGACAAGCGGGCCAAAACTGGCAAGGCGGGCCCCACGTGGTTGGCGTGGAGTGAGATCGATTTCGAAATGACAGGCAAAAGTCATGATTCATCTTCACTGCGGGGGAATTGTCGCAGAGTTGGGAGCTGGCAATGGTCTGATGACAGCGCCGTTTGCGTCACTCCGCTTGTTGACCATAGGCAAAGAGACTCAATCGATTTCTGAGCCAAAGCTGAGCATCTGACCGCTCTCAATGGCGATATACGCCACTTCTCACATGGTCCAACGGGGTGTTGAGCGAGATGTCTTGGGGGGCTTGGGACAAAAGGCTAGCGAGCCACATGAGATCGTTTGCTCTAGGCAGACCAATCGCTGTCTCGCGCGAGTTTACCGGCTCCGATAACACCAAGCCTATTCCGACCCATATGTCTTGGACCATGGTCTGTTCAGCTGTTGTCCTTTGACCCCTTGGCGTCAGATATCATGATAAGTTGCAACTAAGAGTGGGAGTTTGGGAAAGATTAGATTCAAAATGGGATCCCTCAGGCGATGCCATAGTCCTATCCACTCTCATGTGACATGACAGCTCCCCGCAATTTACTCTGGACCACGAGTCTGTTTCTTCTGCACCACAACCTGTCTTTTCCCTTTCATTATGTGCACCAGATATTGAGTGCGAGGTCGTCATTTTAGTGGAGCTTTCAATTTTCAGATTGAGCTCGAGTTCAGCTTGTGGCGACATGCTCTAGTTGGTCAAGGAAACTGATTATTGAAAGCCTCGCTCCTAGAGACACAAACCGTCATCGGACAATCAGCAGCCTGAGCAATAGCTCGTTAAATAAATGTACAACGTTGCAAATAAGATAAAGAAGGTAGCTTGGGAAGGCCGATTGGCAGAGCTCGCCGTTGGCGGTTGACGGGCGTGCGGGGTGCATCTCCGACCGACGACTGGCAAACACCGAGCAGCGGAGTCCCAGCCTCATCCCCGTCCAAGCTCCACCAGTTAGCAACACCTTTTTATTCTCTCAGATGTCGTCAATCGCACGCCCCCCAGACCCTTGCTTGGTTGCCATTGTCCTCATAGCCCGCTCGCGTGCCGGTCCTCGCTTTGTCTTCCATTATCCTCCCAAGCCGCTCACCGATAACGCACTGCGAGCTCCCGCTAAAGCCCGCCGTACCTCACGCACAAAAAGCAGGCAAAGCTCTAAAAGCAATGAATCCACTTCCAGTGAAGATAGCCACTCGAGCTCCGACGAGGATGAAGACGAATCGCAGAGCCAGAACCAAACACAGAGCAGCCATGTCGGAGGGGGCAGCAACCCGAACGCCAGACGGTCGAGCAACTTCGGGATCGACGATCACCCCATCTCGGTTTCCCCAGGCCCTGATAGCCAACGACCGGCATCGATTAATTCGTCCAGAGCACATTTGAGGAAACGCGGTGCGAATTCGGATGTCGAGAATGATTCCGGCGGTGGCTCGGACAGACAAGAAGATGGGCCGAGAGGTGCGGGGGGCCCGTATCGGCCACCGTGGGAATCAATACTTGGACTTCCAGTTGATGTATGGGAGAAGCTGTTAAGCCCGTCACCTTCGTGGCACAAACGGCGGTTCGAGGTCGGGATCAATGATCTTGCCTTCGTCGGGTGGCCCGTCTTCGTCCGTGGAGACGGGGCTTGGAAGAAGCAAAGGCGGAAGAAGAAGAAGGGAAAACAGCGTGCCGAATGGGAAGGGGCTGAAATTGGTCATAACGAGGCGACAGAAGACTCCCAGGATGACGACGGTGAGGCAATTGCCGCATCCACCGAGACACTAAGCCCGCACTCGATACCTCAAAAAGTTCAACGGCCGTCCGTTTCTAGCAACCGGTCCTCGAAGGTGGCAGGCGATGACACCGACGATAAGGATTCAATGACCATGTTCAACGTCGTATTCGTGCTTGATCCACCTCTGCTGGAGTATTCGTCACGTGTTCGGGAGATATACGACAACATCATAAAGAAGTTCATCAAGGCTTTGAAATATGAACAGGCTCGGACCAATTACGTTTGGAAGGAGTCCCAGCGCATCTTACACTTGAAGGAGAAGGCGAAAGAGAAAAGTACTCCTTTGAAACTTAGGGCTCCTGGCCGCAGCTAACGTCTGTTTCGCAGGAACGTCCCTCAACAATCTTTATACTGAGCTAATAAGCCAGTCTTCTCTTGCGCGGGCAATCTTGACGCTGTTCACTAGCATATCAGCGTCAAAAATTGCCTCTGTTACCTTGAGTCCTGATGTATCGATCTCCCTCCAGATTCCGCCGTTAACCTCAACACCGTACCTCTTTGGACCGACTGACCAAGCATATCCGGGGCTCTGGCTTACAACAGCAGACAGCATCTCGCCCGCCGACGACCCCACGGCTGACGAAAACGCAGCGCCTCATCAAGTGTTGGCAAAGCATTTTGCTTTGCTATTACTAGACAATGAGACCACCATAATCAAAGATGTGGAAGCGGCTGGAGGAGCTCTGGCAGCGCCTCTTGTTCACTATATCCGCTGCTCTAGGCCAACAAAATCGTTTGTTCAGATTTCTCAGTCTTCCGGGATACCACTGCCAACCATTCAGTTCTTGGCCAGCCATTTGGTCTACTGGAGGAGGGCTCGCGCAGTGCCGCCACTCCATCAACGAGATACCTACATCGTGTCTCCCAACTGCGACCTCAGCAAGCTAGAAGTAGCAACAGCCGCTTTCCAATTAGCGTTCCCAACCCTTCCCAGCTTACCCAAAATGTTATCAGCTCTCAGTGGAACCCCGCGGCCATATGGAAGCTTTATCCCAAGTAAGGACCACAAGGCGACGTATTTCTCCATACTAGCATGGTTACTACGGGGCGGTTGGGTCACTCAACTTCGGTCTTTCGCGCGAATCAAAATACCTCCCGAGATTAAAATGGCTGTGGAAATGGCCGTTCGACGTGAAGAGGTCGACAAGTACTTGGGCAAAGGCAGGCCGTCATCCTTCAATTCAAAGAAGGATGGTTCTTTCAGCGAAGATAGATTTGACGGTAGCGACCTCGATGACGCCTCGTCGTCTTCCTCCTCGTCGCTTGCTAGTCAAGGCAGCGGAGATGAAACTCCCATCCCAAACCGGTTCAGAGGGGACACTGGACTTGATCTGACACATTCACTTCTTGATCAATCCGCCTCATTAAAGACATCTTCCCTCATCCAACTCCCTCACAAAGCCTCGCCATTAGAATCCCGATGGTTGGCCGAACTTGTGGCACGGTTCCCAGAGTATACACCTCATCCTGTGAATAATGGAGAACAAGCCAGCCCCGATACAACAGAGGGTGACCTTGGGCCATCAGCGCTTACGACTTCACTGAAAGATGTCTGGCCGACCTATGTCAAATACTTTAACGGCTATGACGCCCTGGAAAAGGTTCCTGTTCGTGAGGGCCTGAAGCGCAAATTAGTCTGGCAGACTCTTACCCGGTTGGGGCTCATCACAGGGCAGCAGTCGTCCATAGAGCTGGATCCCAAGGAGCAGGTTTTGGTGTCTTTTAGACATTGGTAACGAACAATAATAGACAACTGCTCAATTCAATGCACAACATTTGAGAGCACCATGGAGTGAATGGACAACACGTGATAACTCGGGCCTTTCGGCCGTGGGTAACTTGTGGGCTTGGACCTTGGGCCTCAGGGTCGGGTTTTATACTTTGGATGGGACATCCGAAGATTTCCGAGTTCCGACGCCATCCTTATGCCGAATATCAGCCCTAATAACGATATTTAATTTCCTGCGAACCACGCCGAACGCAAATCGATGTTTCGTACAGATCACCTACAGAAGGAATCATTATTAAGACAGCTTGATCTATTGGATTGGGAGCTAATTACCGGACTGAGAAAGTCTGGAACAGCAACATCAGACCACCATCGATCAATCTTAAATTGAAGGTGACGAAAGGAACACGGGAATTGCTCCCACGGCACACGCCGGAATATGGCGCCAAGTATGTCACGTGCGACGCTCCTTAGTTTGGAATACGGACGATGGCAGGTGTTTTCCGTGTGCCTGAAAGATCGACAAGGTAGTACCTTTTCATTATAGATCTTGGATTCGTCAAATTTAGGACGCGAAAGCTGTTTGTCCGTAGACACCTGTTGGGAGCATCAACAAGTCGAAGTCTACCCGATGAGGGGAGCGCCAAGCTAAGTGGAATGGCACGATATGGAGAAGTTGGAGAAACGAAATGGCGAGCAGAACTGAGCAACAGATCCAGAAAGGCTCTAAGAAGGAGGAAAAGTTCTGGGATTTCCCTAGAAAAGTGAATATGCAGGAGGGAAATGAATGAACTGCGTATCCTCTTACCCCTCCCATGCCTCTACCACTGTACTTACGCTCGGTTATACTCCGTGGGCAGCCCCTTCATTTGAGAGTGAGGCACGGCCTTGATTATGCTAGTAACATCGGATATGCGTGCTGTAATCTTTTAGGCAAGCAGCGATGGCCCCGGTCGTATTATCTAGCCTTAGGCAGGAATCAGTGCCCCTCTAGCGCACGAAGTCAAGTCACAGGTACCCTTGCAAGTAGAAAATAAATTGTCTCATTCTGAATACCTGGTATTGGCGTGGGATGGAAGACTCGAAGGGTCATCCCTCGTAGTTGTCTGAGACCATGGCACGTGTTTGTCTCACTGGATTTACAGCAGAAGAAGACATCAATGGATATTGTTCTACAAGAGAGGCCGAGCTCGAGGGATATCCGAAGTTCTGGAGGGGTAGTTCTGGGAATCAACAGTATGAGCGATATACTCGTCCACGGTCCGGAAGTAATCTATGGCGCATATCGTAGGCTATGTCACCGGCTACCGGAAGAGCAATCACGACTCGCGCAGAGGGTGAAGAACAATGTCCAACCTAGGTTCGTCTGGGCTTCGAAGGAGACTCGACTGACTCGAAGTGAGATTCAAGCCATGACACGAAGCAACCGCCGCGTTGTGGAAGAACAATGACAGCGATTATTCTTCAGTTCGATCCATCACCGAGGGGCTCAATTCTCAGGATGGTGCTCAGCAGCACTCATGGCAACACGGGCAGTCTGATACCCACAGAAGCCCTGAAGCCCACCGTGTGCGGGCGTACGGGACGGAGAGAATGAATTTTCCAGTTTTAAAACGCGGAAAGAGCAGCCTGGAAGAACTTTTTTTTCCCCTACCAATTTTTTTCAGCGGATTCCACAATAATCGTCGGTCCAAGTGGACTCGCAGCATTACTTTTTTCTTCCTACTGCCGGCGGTTCCTCCACTCCCTCTGCGGATTTAGCATTGGTTATTATTATTTTCTGCTGCCTTTCACTGTGTGCTTTTCGCTCTCCCTCTTGAGTTCGTCACCCCTCTCCTCTTTTCCCCTCCTCGTTCCCCTCAACTCCCTGCATTTCTTCTCCCCCTTCACCTGCTCGTGTCGTCAACACTGCCGTCATCTCCGTTGTTGGCGTCTGTGTTGTTGCACTCGCCCGTGCTCATTCCTCAGTGCACCGCTGCCGGGTTTCCCCTTCGCACCTCCGTCCTGTAACTTGCTTTACCGGGCCTTTTTCTCTCTTCTACTTTCTTTTTCCTGCCCTGAATTTGGAAAGGGTAAATTGATCAGTTGATCTCTTCAAATTTATCCCTTCTCCGCACAGGTTCCATCTTCTGAACTGTTTCTGGCGCGCCTTCCGACTTTTTTTTTCGCCAGTCCTTGCCTTGAAGTTTCCGTTCAAGCAAGTTCGGTACCTGGACGTCTGGTGGTTATTTCTTTTGCTGACCGTTGCCACGTGAAAGTCGCGACTGTCTACGCTTCCCAAGGCGCGACAGAATCTCCATCTTGTTCTTGACAGTGAGTCCTCTTCCGGTCGTCGGTCTGCTTCAGAGGGAGAGGTACGCAACGTACCTGGGTTTCTTCACGGACCGAACACCGACCCAACCTGATTTCTAGCTGGGTTCTAAAACAGTCAATCGGCTTAGTTACGACCTGTCTTCTATCTTCTCGATCGATTCCGGACCTCCTGCTCGCTTTCTCAACAAGGGGACCTTGATATTTTCGAACGTGGAATTCGCGTGTGCCTCGCTCCGATCCTGCAACTACCATCCAGTATTTCCGCGGCAATCCTTCCGATGCGATTTGCGTGAAACACTGGTATCTTCAGCATCAGGATATTTGGGCAGAAGGAATACCGTTTCGGGGACCTTGTTAGAGCGAACATAACGTCCCTCTTATCGAGTTCAACCAATATTTACCCGCTACTCAACAACAAGAGTGAATCTTGCAACGGGAAATCGCATCTTGGTGGGGCTCTAGAAGGTGGAAGTTTCTACTTCTGATTTCCAGCAGTGTTGGAACAGCTCACATATTGCCTGTGGTTGTAGTTGCCTACGGCGGTTCCCGTTCTCTGGAAGAACTGTTCTCGAAAACTTTTAGCACGGACATTTAGATTCTCGTTTATCCCTTCAACCTACAGAAAAAATGGCCGCCACATTTTCTTACGCTCAAGCAGCCAAGGGCATTGCCTCAACGCAACCGTCCAAGACACCATCCGAGTCTACTACCCCAGTCTCAAAGTCCGACGAGCAAGCCTCGATCGACAGCCTACAGACCAGCACAGATGCTACAGCACCCAAGACTGAGGAAGTCGATATCGTGGCTGTTAATGGTGAGAATGATGCAACACCAGCCGATTCCAAGGCAGACGTCTCCGGCCCTCCTTCGCCGAAGGCTAGCACCGCTCAAACTTCCACAACATCGAAAGATGACGAAGCCTCAGCCGCCCCGAGTGGAAATTCCGAATCTACCTGGGACAAGCAGTCTCAGGCGTCAGGGTCAGACAAGCAGAACGCCACAGAAGGCAACAAGAAAAAATCTGAGAAGGAGAAGCCCGCGCCTCCCAAAGAGCTCAAGGCTGCCCCTTTACCCGCTGTGAACATTTGGGACAAGAGAAAGGAAGCTTTCAACGCTACCGCGGTGTCAAAACCTGTTGCTGCTAAGGCGGGAATTCCCAAGTCCACGTCTGAGAACTCTCCCGCTCCCGCGGACGCTCAGGAACAGTCAAAGGCTGCGTCCAAGAAGAAGGGTGGCGATGCTTCTGATAGGAAGAAGGGCGATGGAGCCAAGGGACGAGAGGACGGTGCTCCTGTTCCCCCGGTTGCAGATACTACTTTGTGGCCGACTCCCCAAGGTGCTCAGGGCGAGGAGAAGAAGAAGGTTCAGGACCAGTCAGATAAAACTGAGAAGAGCCCCGCGATTCGCCCTCACGGCAAAGAGAAGTGGGTTCAGATGGCCTACGTTCCCACTGCTGTCTTCAACACTCCGCTGCCATCCGCTGCGCGTAGAGGCGGAAGAAGCGCCCGTGGCGGAAGAGATACCACTCGCAATGGCGCTCATGGCGCTTCCGAAAAATCTTCTCCTGGCCAAGCCTCCGCTCCCAAGCAAACCGCTTCTGGTGATCGAGGACGGAATGAGCCTAACTCTGCTCGTGCCAACTCATTACCCGCGCCTTCAAGGCGTTCAAATAGCGCCGATACTGCTCCTACAGATGCTCGCAAGGCCCCTGTGACCGACCGAACTCGTGGTCCTAAGGGAGTGGATGGTTCCGCTGCCAAGCACATCAACGGCGAGGCCTTTCCCCGTAATGCCAAGCCCTTCCCTAGAAACCACGACGGATCTCACAAGGGAGGCGAAAAGAACCCCCAACTGTCGGTGGATACCCATAACGGCACCCGCCCCAACACTCGTTTTGAGAATGGCCCCAAGACTGCAGACTTCCCTGGATTGCATTCTGACCGCAAGGACAAGGAGTTCTCCCGTGAACCCCGTACCGAGAGAGGCAGGGGTGGTCATCGTGGCCGGGGAGGTGGCCATGCTGGTTACAATGGCGCTCAGACTTCGCATTTCCCTAACAACCACATGGCTCCTCAGTCTTACATACACCCTAAGTTCGGTTACAACGATCGTCGTGGATCTCACCTTACCAACGGCTCACGCGGTCACCCCATGACCATGAGGTCTCCTTCATTACCCAACTCGAACACGATGTACAACATGTACCCTTACCCCCCGGAAATTAACACCATGTATGGTTACCCAACGATGCAAACTGGGCCCATGTCCGCTGTTCCTTTCCAATCATACGAGTACCCCATTGTGAACATGCTTTCGATGCAGCTGTAAGTTTATACACCCTTTCTACGAAGAATCAAAGCTAACATCTACCAGTGAATACTACTTCTCCGTCGATAACCTGTGCAAGGACATTTATCTCCGAAAGCACATGGATTCGCAAGGATTCGTCGCTTTGAATGTCATTGCCAGCTTCAAGCGTATCAAGTCGCTTACCGAAGACTTTGAGATGCTCCGTCACGTCGCGCGCCAGTCAAGGGCCGCTGAGTACTTTGTGGGTGAGGACGGTATTGACAGGCTACGACCAAGGGATACATGGGAGCAGTGGGTTCTTCCTGTTGACCAGCGTGAACCCTCTACCCAGCAAGTCGGCCCCGAAGTTGCAACCCAGATTCTTGATGGCGCAACCAATGGTTTCGTTCCCAAGTCATTCACGAATGGTGCTCTCCCAGCGAAGACCGCACTTTCTACCGCCGCCCCAGAGTTCTCGCCTTCCAACGGCGTGCACACTGGAAGCGAAGTATCTAACGTAAGCGCTGCTCCTCCCATGTCTTTATATCCAAACAGCACTAACTTGCTCATAGTAGCGGGAACTAAATCCTTGATGTGATACTCCGAGTTCCAAACTGTCACGAATGGTACTCGGTATATGAAGCACTGTCGGGACAAGTGCCATCAATCGCTAATTAGCCCCAGGGCTGAATTACGATCGACAAATATCATCTTTAGAAGGATTCGGGGCTCATCTGGCTGGACGAGAGTCGTATTCTTCCGTCTCTGTCTTCTGATTCGTGGAGCGTTCGAAACAAGCTGTCGACCACATTTCTAACGACAGTCAACGGACCGTGATACCGATCTCCAATGCCGACACAATCTTGGTCCAATCTCAATGCACAAATGTACAATGAATTTAAGAGTCTAGCGTTTTATGACCCCTGCACGAAACATCGGCAACGGTTCCTCAAATATTGTTCACTTTTACGGTGCTTTTTGGTTGAGCAACTCGGTCAAGCCTGCCGAGGTTATTCGGGACCTCGTGAGGAGCGAACAGTGATGCTAGCGCGCAACATGGGTGCGGAGTCTCCTTTTCTACGGCTCCAATTGCCTGGAAACTGCACCTCAATATCCGTCTCGAAGCCGCTGGGCCAAATTGATCGTCCTCCGAGGCCCGCCAGCCCCGGGTTGCAAAAGTGATTTATTGTTTTTTCTTCTTCCGAATATTCACCCCTCTTGCTTTTGTCGCTTACATCCATCATGACTTGCATTACTATCTGTCAGCTTATGCATTTTCGGTCGAGTGGCCGACTCCATTTATTCACAGCGAAGTGGGTTGATATATGCACATTCTGAGTATCGGCTCGCTCTTCGCTTTCTATTCTCTTCGCTTTTCCGGTTTGAAAAATCTCTGGAGTCCGGACATGTTTTTTTTTTCTCTTGCTGGGCCAGTGTCTCCCAATTTCGATGCTTGCTTTGTGTGTATTGGGCTGGTTTCGCTCTCACCGTCATAGAATCTTGATCCGGTTTCTTCTTCGTCTTCTTTTTCCTTCATGGGTTCACTTCACTTCGATCATCCCCTTCCAGTCTTCAACTTTCAATTCTTCTAATATCTCGCCAATGCATTCACATTCCCTTTCATTCAGGGCCCTTGTACGAACGGAAGAGGCAGCATGCATGCATACAAAAGGTTTAAAAAAATTCGTCGTTTTACCAACAGCGAGGCGCAAAAGAGAGTTTTCAAAAGAGAAAAATGAAAAATGGCATTGATTGCTTATTTTCGGTTCTAATCATCAGTCTGTCAGAGTGACCATCTACCAGTTTAGGTACCAGGTACCTATGACCGTCTTCCGCGCTCAGCCAGTCTCATATCATACCTCACTTTTTGGTGTCGCGTTCGTCTTTCAAGGTCCATCAAAGCTTGAGGTTCCTGCAGAAGGTCTCGAGTCAGCGTCCTTTTTCCTACTCACTTCATATCTCGTCTTATCTCTCGGGCCTGTTCATCATATCGGGCCAAGTTCAAGACCGGGGCGCATTTAAGATTGGGTTGTCCTTTTCCTTTCTATTCCAACATGGCTTGTTTTTTTTTTTATTTCTCTGAAGTCGGTAAATGGGCACATACATATACATAGTATTGGCGCAATGCTACTTTATCTGTCAGTGTAATTCTTTCGAGAGGTGGCTACCAAGTAGAGATTCTTTTCTCAATTCAATTGGAGATGGCAGTGATTCCTAGTCATGCAAAGACTACAAGGCACTAATAATGTACGGTAGCAGTGACTCGGACGTCGTTGATTAGCGACCCCGTAACCTTGAATCCAACCGCCGATGAACTTCACCACAACCACAATCTTAGCTGCATCAACCAAAATGTCCGATTTACCAACTCTAGTATTTGTACCAGGCTCCTGACACAAGCCTACATGCTACGACAAAATCATCACCTTCCTACAAGACCAATATAAGCTGCGCTGCGTCTCAGTATTCCTCCCGTCAACTACTGAGAACCCAGCCGCAACATTCAAAGACGACCTCGACGCCGCGCGCACCGCAATCTCAACCGAGACAAGCCAGGGCCGCGATGTCGTCGTCATCGCCCACTCCTACGGCGGGATGGTTGGAAACAGCGCAATCAAGGGGTTCGCGCGCAAAGACGTCGCGAATAGCACCAACACCGCTATCAACAACAAAAACAACAACAACAACATACCCATACCAACCCAAGGCGCCGACATCGGCCTAATCCTCATAGCCTCTGGCTTCACGTTGACCGGACTCGCATTCATGGACCCCTTCTTCGGCCACCCACCGCCAGCCTGGCGCGTCAACAAGGAAACCGGGCACGCCGAGCTCGTCACTTCCCCGCGCGAGCTCTTCTACCACGACGTTTCCGAGGAAGAAGCAGAGTACTGGGTCACGCAGCTCACGACACAGTGCCTCAAGGCGCTCTTTGAGGGCGGCGAGCACACGTATGCGGGGTGGAGGGATGTCCCCGTATGGTATCTGGGTACTACTGAGGACCGCGGGCTACCCGTTCTTGTGCAGAGGATGCAGGTTGGGATGGCGAGGGAAATGGGGGGCGTTGTTGAGCATCGCGAGCTGGGGACGAGCCATTCGCCGTTTTTGAGTCGGCCGCAAGAGACGGTGGATGTTATAGTTGAGGCTATTGCGGGGTTTGTGGGGAGGGAGCTTGTGAGGTATGGTTCCGGCTCTACTGGTCCTGCTTCTGCTCGTGGTGAGCAGCGTGCTATGGCTACTGTGCCTGGTATTAGGTTCTGGCAGCCGTTCTCGTGGTTGAAGTTTGGGGTGCCGTTGGCTTTGGGGCATCTGGTAGGAAGGGGGATTCTGCTGTTTGGGTGGGGGAGGATGATATGGAGGACGAGGCTTGGACTGCGTAGTCTCTAATTTGGAACAGTATGGTGCTCGTGATAATGTAGGTGTCGATGTGTAAGATACGCCGTGGCCAACACTCTGCTCAAAAATCGGTTGGCGAGATATATATTCGGCCTCCAACTATATAGAACAGGATACCCCACTCAATCATATACTTATTTTACGCTACCCTGTCTGGAATAGTCAATAAGCACAGTCATTACAATAATCTCAGTATGCAGATACCCGTAAGATCCAAGCCTTATCAAACAATGGGGATTGTATAAAGTACTCTTTTGAAGTGACCAAGACATGCTGTGGGTTGGTATAGATAAAGGGCGACCCGCACGCGCGGAGCCCGTCGATTTTCTCCAACTCAAATCGCGTCGCGTCGAATTAGAGTAATCCCCTTGCAACTTTCAGTCTTGACTATCTTTCTTTCCTACCTCAAAAAAACTCCTCGCAGTCTGGAAAAGCATGTGACAAGCTCAATAATACCTCTACAATCTACTGACTTACAATTCCCTCGACAGCCAGGAACGACGACGAAGAAAGGCCACACCCCGCTCCGCCTATACTCATTGTGACTTGTCTCCGACTCGAACTCGCACGCCATCGCCGGCCACGTATTTGACGAGATAGAAAGAAAAAACCACACAGCCCGAGACGGAGGCGAATAGAGAGAGAGACAGCGAGAAAAAGAGACAGACCCTCAAAATGTCCTCCCCATCCCCAGAAGACCCCACGGAATCCCAACCGCCACAATCGCAAGCAGCTTCCGCTTCAGCGTCAGGATCCGCCTCTACCACCGTACAAGCAACAGAGCAACAACTCAAGGCTCGCGCGGAGGGTGTTTCGATTGAGGTTTGTTCTCTCGGTCCCCTTCAAGTGCCCAGCCAACCCATAGCTCGCAAGCACCTTCACCTAAACCAACGGTAGCCCAAATGAATGCATAAGTGAGATAGCTAACCAGGCGCAAAAACAGGACTACCTCCTCCCGCGCTCCATAACCCTCCGCCTCGCGAAATCCGTCCTGCCCCCGAATACATCCGTGCAGAAGGACGCGGTGCTCGCGATCCAGAAGGCCGCTACGGTCTTTGTGTCGTATCTGTCGTCGCAGTATGTTCCTCTCCCCTTCTCCCCCTACTTCTGTTTTCCCTGTCTAGTACATCACGCACTTGTCCCATATTCCACTTCCTCCTCCCAAGAGAGGAGTCAAAAAATCCAGTACTAACGTTGTAAACCATTAGCGCCAACGAATCAACCCTAAAACGCACCGTCACGCCCGCAGACGTTCTCAACGCACTTTCGGAGCTCGAGTTCGATGGGTTTAAACCAAGACTTGAGAAGGAGCTGGACAAGTATACGGATCTGAAGGCTGCGAAGAGGAAGCCGCGGAAGAGTGGCGATGATGCGAATGGAGATGGGAGTGGGAATGCCGACCCTGAGAAAGAGGGCGAGGGAGACGGCGACGCAGACGCGGTCGTGAAGGGTGTAGAGGGGAATGCGAATGTCAAGGAGGTTGTTGTTAGGGGTGCGAAGAGGGTTAAGAAGGGGGATAGTGGTGAGAGTGGGATCGGTGGTGTGGGCAGGGATGAGGAGGATGAAGATGATGATATGGATGATGGAGAAGGGGAGGGAGAGGGGGATGAGCATGATGACGCGGACGCTACAGAGGAGGAAGAGGACGAGGAAATCGAGGACGAGGACGATGAAGCGGGAGATGTAGGAGACGACGACATCGACCGAGTCGAGGACCTAGATCGCGATTCGCGCTCACGGCGCCTGGTCGATCCTGACGCTGGGGATGACACTGAGAGTGACGACGAGAATGGACCAGGGAGTCAATTACGTGGAGGGTTGGGAATGGGATAGTAGAAGACAGAAGGCTTCTATCCCACTGTAGGGTAGTCTTTCTGGCTCTGAATGATGAAAAGCCTTGATGCTCTTAAGTAATGTTGATGTACATGACAATAATACCTATAACTCGTCACACTGCGCCGTCACAAACATGCTCTGAAAAATAAACTGTAATGTCTTCGCGGTCGAGCGACCGCATGCTCTCCGAACGCCACACAACTCCGTATCCATGCAAACATTAGGCCCAGCAGATAACATGGCCACATGAGGTAAGTAGATAATAGATAGTCACCACGAGCAGACATAACGCGAGGGAAGCCCAAACGCCAACGCCAAATAATCTATCGGTGGTATCTTGAAGAACTATGTCTAATAAAAGCCATGCAAGCCATGCAAAGCAAGCGCAAGTCAAGAGCTTGGCTGGTTGAGTAAATCGCTCATTCCATTGGGGATGGACTTCGGGGAAATTGTCTCGGGGTCGCGCCATTGATTCCTGGGCGGTGTCTCGACTGCCCCCTTGGTATCGCCCTTGGATACCAAATGAGGGAACATGGGCCCGTTGTTGCGCGCCGCTCCCAATGGCAATGGGTGCATTGCCTTGTGGTGCTCGTCCTTTTCGAGCTTGACGGATTTCTCGTCGGATACGGCCTTTTGACCCTTCGTGACCTTGCTGAAGGTTGTGATTTTCGCGTTCTTCGCTGGCTGGGCCTTTGTTGCTCTCTTCCGGGGAGCGGGCTTCTTGGCGGCTGTTTTTTTGGGCGCGGCCTTTGGGGCCTCCTTTTTGCTGGCCTTGAGAATCTCGGTGAGCTTTCGTCCCTTGCTGGCCGGGTTCGTGACGGGTGGGTTCTCGGAGGCGTCCCCATCGTAGCTGGACGGCGTGAGCATACCGGTCTGGGGTTGGGTCTTCGTCTTCTTCGGGGTTCGGATTACAATAGAAATAGGACCCTGCTCGGTCTTGATCCGTTCGACTTCAGAGGACTCGCATTCGTTGAATACCTGCTCCGAATCATCGTCCCATCGCTTCAATTGGGCCAGTCGTGCCACCTCCTCACAGTCACCTTTGACCATCAAGTCCCAGCAGTCCTCAAATTCCTTGCCGGATGGTGGCTCGTTGTTGATCCACATGGTAACACCGTTCTTCCTACTGCGAATCACCTGGCAGAGACTCTTCACTAGGCGACGCACTCCAGGGATCTTGAGGCTGGTTCCCACGACTATGAGCGCGTCCGGACGCGAACGGATATCGGCATTCATGACAGAAGTGATCGCTTCCTCGTCTGGGTTGTGCTCGTTGTACAGGACAATTCGTGGCCTCATCTTGCCAATTCCATGACTGCGTTGACCCGTTTCCATGCGAAATTGATTGTTCACGGCACACTCCGGGCACTCAGGAGCATCGGGGCGGTCAAACATGGCGCGATCAAAGGTACTGGTGTGCCGGCACTTTTGGCAAACCATCTTTTCAAGACTACCGTGCAGTTGGATGGTGCGCGGCCATGGCGCTTTGACATTCAGAGGGATCTGCGTTGCGAGGGGCGGCATTGATGTCTCGATGCCATCAATGTTCTGTGTGTATAGGCGAGTAAGACGGTTTTCGCGACCTAGTCGGGCAAGCATGTGGTGGAAGGCTGTTGGGGATGTCTTCTCGGCCTCCTCAGACAGCGACCGTACCATGTCCTGGAACGAAGCGGTCAACGCTTCATCCTGATAGACGGCAGCATCAAACAAAAGCTTGCCGGATGCTTTGAGGTTATGTTTCTTTTGCAAGGTCCTGAAAAGACCTTCATCAGAGCGGAAATCGGGGACTATGAAAGTTGAAATGTTAGTATGAAACAATACTGTTAGTCAAAGGTAGAGAGCAGCATACTGCCTGCGGATGTGGAGATGCCTGCTCCAGCAATCACGACGATTTTCCGATGGCGCCGAAGAGTCTTGACAAGAAGATCGATTTGCGATTGCTGTTCGCCATAGGAAAGGCCTGCATTGGCGGAGAGATCTAGACGTTGTGTTTGGCGTTCTTTCGGGGCGGCCACTCGGCGCTTCTTTCTGGCGGGCGGCAAGTCATCTTGGCTGGGGCCGCCGCTAGTCTCGTCTGGGGAGGGTAAGGAGAAGCCTTCGGGTGCAATGGGCGATGATGGTACAGAGCTCAGGCTCGAGCAATCCGAAAAGTCGTCCATATCAAAAGATGCCCAGGCAGGCTTTGGTGATGGACAGGCGGAGGAAGTGGTGGTGGAGGAGAGATTGGTGGTGGTGGTTTTGCGAGGAGCCATGGGGCCGGTCGGCGATGACGCCAGGGTAAAGAAGAAAAAGCGTGAGAAGAAAGGGGAATTCGGACAAAGAGTTGGGGGGAAATCTAGAAGACCCTCTGTAGAACGACCATGAAGCGCTGAAAGGTGCAAGTCAAAAAGCCGACATCGATTGAGCCCGAAAGAAGAGAATTTCTGCGGGTGAGGTGGTCAATTTGTCGAATTTCCCTGGGTCTCGTCAGATCCGGGAAGAGGGAAAAGGATTCTCGAGGAGATAGCTGGAGACGGCGAAGACGAACTCGAAGGTAGAGAAACCCCGTGACTGAGAAGGGGTCTGAACCTCGAACGTGTTGAAAGTGATGAAGTCAGGAGGAAGAAGAGGAATACGGAAAGGCGGCCCAAGACACGTTATATCGTCGGACGACCAAAGGTGGACGGTTGCTTCTTCTCGCTTGCAGCCGACGCTGTGTTTATTTTGACCCACGGGATTCTTGGAGGTTAACCAGAGAGGTATGGAAGTCGGACGCTGGTCAGAAGAGACTAGCAGGACAGGAGCCGAGAGGACAGCAGACGGGGAGGAATGCGGCTCGCTATCGTGAATCAAAGTAATTGGAGCCCGGATATACTTTGACTTGGAAACCTTCTTGGTGTCTAGGGCGAGACTCCAGTAGAAATCAGATGCTGGGACGAGCGCAATATTGACCTCAGATTTTGAGGTTGTTTTCGGTCGCCTATGTACCCTTTTCCTGATTGGCCCGTTTTTTCCTTCCCGCGATGGACCTGCAGCTAGAGCCCTAAAGGGGACTAGCCTGGTGAACCTGATATACAAACACTCTCTCTCAGTCCGATGAGCAGACGTCAAGCATCCGACCGCCCCTCATTCTCATCTTCTGGCCCGGGATCCCACAGTCTCCTCCATCTTTGCAATGCAGCTCCTGGTCTGTTTGATCGGAAGTTAGGATCGTCGCATCGTTTGCTGGAGACGAACAGTAGTTTTACGAAGATTTGGCTTCTAAGTCGAAAATCTTTAAGAATTCTTGTTTCTATAAAATCTGTACAAGGCCTCACCTCCCACAAGCCACTGTCAATCTTTCCATGTCCTCGAGATCTGGGTTGACTGAAACTGCGCTGGTCAGACTCGACTGTATACTTGGCGGTTGACCCGGTTACCGTGCGCACATGACCACACGTGACGCTTATTCAGCAGTGCGGGTTTTGTGGGCTCCACCGACGTTGTTAGCCGCAGTCGCTGCACTATTTATCGGCGTTGAAGAGCTCGAGATACGTCTGATCTGCAAAATACGAGAGGGAGCTTGGAATCATAGTTACTGCTCCCAGATTCGATTGTATATCTAATTGATACCATTGTACATTGTGTACTCCGCTTTCCGCTGACCCTTTCATCACCTTGCTATTGGTGATCCATCCCGCCGTTGTGGGCCACTATGATATCTGGGGGGTTGTAGGGGACCCTGCCTATGTTATAAGTCTATAACCACATAGACACGGCTGCCGAATCGAGTACCCCATAATGCCCTTAATGATGGAGGACGGCATCAATGTCGACGATCTGTTTGGTGAAAATGCCTCGCTGGACCTGGGCTTGCCCCCGGGCAACTCCACGGTCTCGGCAAAAGGCCTGGCCCAGCGTTTGGACGAGACGAGACTACTTGGTTGTTGCCAGTATGTTCTTTTTCCCCGATGGCTCTTACTGGTGCTAATATCTACTAGGAAGATTGCTTGGTCAAGGTTTGGGTGCATTGCTTACATATCGCAAAACTCTACAAGAGTAAATGTCCGCCATTTGCACTGTCAACCGTCTGATGGAAGATGGGTGTTGAGTGAGGAAACTCCATTGAACCAAATCACGGAAGCTCATGGTGGACATACCCTTGTTCATCTGTGTTGGAATGAAGCCGGGTCTGAGTTAGCGGTCGCCGACTCGTCTGGCCGAGTTTCCATCTGCTCAATTCCCATTGCCTTGAACAGCGTAAATGGAGCTCGTCCGGCAATATTAGATACTGAGGACGATGGAGGTCAGATTGTTGGCATGATGTGGCTGAATCAACAGCGTTCTGTTAGTACCGCTGTTGCTTCCTTGATCTTCAGTGCTGACTGGAGATAGGTACATTCGTTCTATCAAGCCGCCAAGGTGCAGGGCCGCTGGGCATACTCGCCCTTTCGACGACGCCCAATAGGCCCTTTTCATGCTGCTGGCAAAGCAGCGCTGCTTTGCATCACAAGATCCGGAGTCATGAAGCTTCTGTACCAGAACCCGGACAACCGATGGGCCGAGATCACAGCAGAGCTAAAAAACACAAGCTATTCAGATAGACTTCTGACTCATGCAGCCATAGTTGCAACGCAAGCCGGCATTCTCATCGCCACGCATTCCGCATGCCAGAAAATCTCACTCTACCGGGTGCAAATCCAGTGGAATCCTCCACAGTGGGATCAAGCACAACAGAAGCAAAATCCGCCGCAATTTCCAGTTCCTAGCTTCCGCTTTCTTCACGCCAAGGTTGAGGTACCTTATAATATACCAAGCCACCGCGGAGTGGGCGGGAACCCCGATGAACAATTCCCTGTTACTAATTCTCTTTACTGCCTTACATCCTTACAAATAATTCTTCCCGCATCCGACAACTCTGCAGGATCCACTCCGAACCCTTGGGTTGTCGCTGTCTTTTCTATTCCCCCACTCGCCGTTCTGCACCATCAACAGCCACAGGTACCGTCAAGTGTCATTGTTCGCTGGCAGCTAGAATCTGGCGTGCCTACATTACACCCAAAATTCGACGAAGTGAACTCGAAAAAGAGCAATGTACAGATAAAGGTAGGATCCTCGGTGCCTATCGATGACCTGGACTAACGATGTCCCAGCCGAAAACAGTCTTGCGTCGCCTTGACGATATTACCTCAGACCGTCATGTTATTTCGGTAGATCAGACTGAGTACGGCAATGTCCTTGCTATATCATATGATGATAGCTCCATCGCCTTCTACGACCCCAAGACCATGGCTGTATTCAGCGGTGTGGACGACGCAAACACAGTGACCAGTCTTGCTCAAGCAGGGTTTCACTACCCGCTCGATTCGCCAGGTACGTCTCCAGCTCTATACCGGTAGGACTTTTGTTGACATACTTCACTAGCACTACATATCAGCTTCTCACCTAGCGCCTGTGTTGCTGTTGGACTCGATAGCGATGGGCAGACTCATCTTCGAGTGATGCAGCACTCTTACGGAGAAGAAAGCGGGTTCTATGATGAAAGTATGTGGGATATCAACTCGCCGCCGTCGAGCCTTGCTGACTAGATGTAGACAAATTTTCAGCCGCTATTGCTGCACTGACACTCGGATTCTGCCGTGGATGTGGCGGGGAAGTAAATACAGACGATATACTATTGATCCTGGTCCGCCAACTATCGCCGGGTCAGTCTCGACACGAATCTCAGCAATTCATGATCCTTTCTAACGGGTGACAGATTATCAATCAGCTTTTATAAACGAAGTGTACAGGGCTTTGACCATCAACTGCAATTTCACAACAGAACAGGATAAATTGATGAACCACCCATATATCCCGCGTGCCCTGAGTATACAAGCGGCGCTGAGCTTTACGGGCAAGTACAAGTCCCGTGCCATCACGTCTGCGGTTCCATGGGCCATTCTCCAACTCCGCCAGGCGGCTTTCATATATCCATTCTTCTTCCAATACAACAAAGGGGTTCAGGCAGCTGAGCCACATGATCCTGGTGAGATAACCATAGATCCTCTAACGACCTGTCACTGACCTAGCCAGATGTTCTACGCATGGTTCTTGGAAATACCAGATGGGCATTGGACTTTTCTCTCTACATCCTAAACGAACTATTCGACCTTGCCGACGAATTTGAAAGCGTTGCATCCGACCAAGAAGCCTTTACCCAGAAATGTTCGTCCACCCATTGACACCCCCAGCCCATAACCGCATCGCTAAAATTCAGAAACAGTAAAATCAACAACATCCCTCCCCCTAATAATCCTTCTAAGCAGCATGTCCCGCGCCTTCCTACGCTTCATCTGCCGCGGCCTCCGAGGCATTCACGCAGGCTACGCCTCCTCCGCCCCTCTAACCGGCGACGCCCACGTCCATTACACGGAAATCTGCCAAACGCTGGACGCCTCGCCCGTCCGCATCGACGTATACGAGAAATTCCTCGCGGGAGTCGACTCCGCTGTCAAACACGCCTACACGGGCTCCGGCTTCGGAGACAACGAGCGGCCCGCCCCCGAGAAGGAACTCCTTATGAATTCCCGCATTCCGCCTGTTCTCGTGAATGCGGTCTCGACAATTCTCCGCCAGACGGTTCCGGCTATGCGAGGGGAAATGGACCGGATGGCGATCTACCTGGGTGACTATAGCTGGCTTGGGTTCGGGACGGATGCGAAGACCGAGGCGTATCGGAGATCAAGAGAGGTCGACATCATCAAGAAGACGCCCGTCATGGGGGTTCCGAACGTGGATGGGACTAGCCAGGGGTCGAAGAACGGCACCAACAGCACCAACAACGGGAGTGGAACGCCGCAGGGCGTCTTGAGGAGACGCTGTGTGCGCTGCTGCGAGGTGTCTGAGGCGGTGTATCCGCCGCGGTCGGTGTTGGCGTTTCGGATGATCTATAAGTTGGGGCATTTGAGGGCTTGTATCTGTGGTGGGATGTGGAATCTGGAATCTGGGGTGACTAGTTAGTGGTTAGTGAGCGGAGTGTGTTGTGTTGTTATGGTTGGTTATCTATGGAGTATACGATTGAGAATGAATCACATGAGGTTCGATATCTATACACTTGAGAATATCGTGTCGGGTTGCTACCGGAGGCTGTTCATGGGTCAGGCTGTATTTCCAGTTCAGTCGGCAGACTGTAGGGATATCCGCAAAATCGAGATATATAGAGCGCATCGAAGTGATCGTGTTAAGATAAATTAGATGGTATATGTCATTGCAAGTAAAGGATTCATTCAAGATCGACCTGCATCTTTTCTTCTAAGATACATAACCATGTCTTTTATGTAAACCTCCTAGAACAGGTAGGTGTGAGGCAAACGACGTCCCAGAACTCCATCATCAAGATCCAGACTCGATCCCGTCTTTTCCTTTTGAAGAGATTTACGCCTATATCGAAGGGAAAAAACTCGTCAGCACATCTGTTCTTTCTCAATTCGAACCACCCAGATGATGGTGGAATTTCCAGAGAGGCATATGTAACTAACCTTAACAGCGTACTTCCGCTGGGGGAAGTGGATCTCCTTCTTGCGCTGGCGCTCGGTCTTGAGGGTAGCCTCGTGCTTGGTGAGGCGGCGGCGGAGAGCGCGGGTAAGGCGGGGGCGGAGGTCGAGAGGGAGGTACTTCTTGTTCTTGTAGAAGAGGCGGAGCTGGGAGCGCTGGTTGGCGTTGATGACGGTGAGAACACGAGCGATCGACTTGCGGACGTCGTGGCTGTTAATCACATATCAGTATTTGTTGTCTCCAAGGCGTGGTCTGGTTTTGCGTGGAGTGGGTGGATGGATGGATTGTGGTTGAATGCGCGAAATTGGTCGCATGTCGAAATTTGCGAACATGGTTGAATTCCTCCTCTTTCGAGTTTCTGCAGTTGTAGGCTCGATGTTATGCCCCGGTCTTCGAGTTGTCCGAATTTTTGTAGTGTGTTGCGATCCGACCATGCCGCACATTCTTCCAATTCCCGTCCATCGCATGGTATCCGGATCCAACGCAAAACTGAAACTGAACTGGAAGGGTATTCAATAAACGCACATTCTCTGGGTCTTCGACGAGGCACCGCCGGTGATCTTCTGGACGCGGAGCTGGCTCAGCTCGGTCTTCAACTCCTCCAGCTGCTTGGTGAGATCATCCTTGCTCTTTCCCCAGAGCTGACCAGCCTTGACCTTGGAAGACTGCGAAAAAAGAGAATTCAATCAGCATCCCGTCACCGAAAACACGATTTCCGTTGAGTCGTTAGGTACATACCATGGTGGGCGGTATCTTGTCGAATGGTTGATTGTCGACGTGAGGATTGAAGATGGACCGGGTCGATTTGGGATGTTTCTGTGGGACTAGGGCTTTTTTTCTGCTGCTTGGCACAGTGCGGCGGCTAAGCAAGACTAAGCGGGCACGTGACATGTATGTGGCTGATGCGGGAGGCGGTGACTCCTGTGCCCAGCCCGTGACGATGGTCCGGGTCCGGATCGGGAATAGGATCGAGGCAGCGAGATTGCAGTGAGACGAGATCAAGTGTTGCGGTTCCGCTGGACGGAGAGATTCGATATTCCTGCATTTCAAGCCGGCTGTAGAGTTCTGTTTATACCCGGGCATATTTGTCGTTTTCCTTGTTCTTCGACTAGCTCACTACTTCTACCTATGGCGTCCTCAACTGGTACTGGGTGGGCTCAACTGCGGCAACAGGCCCGGTCTCTGGAGACTCAGGTATGTCTATACATTGGCACCTAGGAGGTGCAAGTTGGCTTCACTAGCCTTTCGTTCTGTTTGTGACCAATGCTAATGCTATCCGTCACCAGACCGAAAACCTCTTCCACACCTACTCGCAATTTGCCTCGATGACGAAGCTCCCTCCGCAACCCTCAGAAGATGAAATACGGACGGAATCGCAAATCAAAGAGCTTTTAGAAAAGGTACGGATAGTAAATCAAACTCAGAGCTCGTCTCTAATCGAAGCCTAATGATATCCGTGAACAGCGCGACTCCCTCATCGCCCAACTCACCCGCCTCCTCGACTCCGAAGCAACACTCACCTCCTCCGCCCTTAAACAAAACAACCTAACCCGCCACCGCGAAATCCTCACCGAACACAAACGCGAACTCACCAGACTTACCTCCGCAATTGCCGAATCCCGCGACCGCGCAAACCTCCTCCACACTGTCCGCTCCGACATCGACGCTTACAGGTCCTCAAACCCCGCTGCCGCGGAGGCGGAGTACATGCTCGAAGAGCGGCGCCGCATTGATGAGAGTCACGGCGTGATGGACGGGGTTCTGAGCCAGGCGTATTCGATTAACGAGAGTTTCGGACTGCAGCGGGAGACGATTTCGAGCATTAATCGGCGGATTGTGGGGGCTGCGAGCCAGGTCCCCGGGGTGAATGCGTTGATTGGGAAGATTGGTAATAAAAGGAGGAGGGATGCGTTGATTCTGGGAGCCTTTATCGGGTTTTGTTTCCTGATGTTGCTCTTGTTCCGATGAGGCTCTTTTCCGCTTCTCTTTACTGGCATGTCTTGTTTGAGCTCATGGCGTTATTTCTTTTCTTTTCTTTTTTCCCCCTCTTTCTCCTACAAAGAAGTTAATACTGGGCTGGTGGAGTTGACGGTGGTTGGCTCCTTACATATCTTACACGCTTTCTAATATGTACATACATGATTAACGACTATGCTCAACAACCCTCGGTTTGTTCTCTCCCTTCTCAGATACTTGCCAATCCTGCGCTGGCAGCTCAGACTGCAAACTGATTTTCCGTTCCTGAATCAATTTGCGAACGCCATTGTTCAGGGCTTCTTGTTCAGACGGTTCAGCAGGCCCACTTCCCGCCCATCGGATACGGCAATTCTCATCCAAGAGATACACGTATCCCACCTTGCTGTTCAGCATACCAATAGCCTCTTTGAGCCCGTCGGTAAGACCCCTGCGCACAAGGAAATACCTCGGATGCTGCTTCTCAGGCAGTTTCCCCCGCATCCGCCACATGAACGCTCGGACCAGCGCTGCCTTGAGCGCATTCTCTTCGAGATTGATGTCGACCTTCTGAACAAACTGCTCGCCGCTCGCAAAGGCTTCGCATAGACGGGGGTTGAAGTTTTGCCCGGTAAAGGTCGCGACTTGGCTCTCTGCCCAGACGCTAGAGAAAAGAGTCACGACGGAGATTCTGCCGCGGAGGATGGATGTGGTGTCCTGTGGTTCACCGTGGGAGGCGAGCGTTACGCCCTGGAGGTTGGGGAAGTAGAGGGATTTATCGCGCTTGAAGATCCGCGGGTTTGACATGAATGTCTTACCCTGGTTGTACCGCATATTGGACCATTCTCGGAAGTATGGCTTTGCGACTTGTCTCGTTCTAGAATAGACCGAAAATCATAAGTCAATGCTCGCCTTGCGGGATGAAGGCAATATAGATAGGACGTACAGTTCCTTGCGCCGCTCAATATGCTTATCATAGTTTACAAAATCATCTCGCCGTTGTCGCATCGACCGCGTATCAACGCCCGTATTCTGACCTTCCTGCGGCGGGATCCCCGAACCAATTGGCCGGTCTAGCGTTGGGACGAAGTCATCGCTCGGCTCGGCCGGTTGCTCAGGAGGAGAGGACTGGGGTGAGGCATTCTGCTGGAATTGGAGTTTGCGGCTTATCGGCGGGTTGCTGCCGTTATTCTTGGTGGCATAGGAGCGCAGGGTATATCTCGAGCGGAATGCGGGACTGCGCAGCTGGCAGCTGAGACAGTGGCTGCTTTGCAGGAGGGAGGGCTCCAAGAAGGACGAGAGGAGACCGGAAGGCTTCCACATTATGAACTCCAATGATGTTCTTTCGAGTCGTCGCTAGGGTCTGTCAGGTTCGTTCGCGGCCGAAAAGAGTCGATAATTGATCCCGTGACTTGGCGACATTTTCGTGCCAGCGCAACACGTGTGTCTGCCTACAACCTTAACCCGCGTCGCCAGACAAAGTAACCACTAACCAGCCCCTGTGAATCACCGAGGAAACTTTCGACTTCGACCTAGCCACCGAGAAATCGTATCGTCAGGCAACTGGCGGTTCTCACTCATGGCGCAATCACGCATAGTTCGATGCCTGGGTGTTTTAACAACTAGATGTCGACGATGACATCGGACAAGAAGTCTTTCTTCAGCAATCTGGAGAAGCTGGATTGTTCCGATGACGAATCAGAAGGAGAGTTTGGCCGATTGCTTGCGTCTTGTGTGAAGAAGCAAGATGGGCTCGGTCGTTCAAGCGGCTCTTTCTCAGTCTCGGACCCCTCCTCACCTTTGCCTCAGTCAAGCTGCGTTATCTTAGATTCCCCTTCAGATGGCTTGGTTCCACAACAAACGGCTGTCGTTGCTCAAGCTCCAGTTCCTACCACCGAGTCCGGATTAACAAAGACAGTGCCGAGAGGGTCAAAGACCACAGGAACGAGTCCACCAGGCAAACGCAAGCGCGGGTCCTCGGCGAAGATTCTCCCTGAGCAGCTGCAAATCTTCAAGAGCCTTGTGTTCTGTGAGCAAATTGTTCATTAATTTAATGCATAGATACTGGCTAATGTTCTCTCTCAGTCTTCTTCCCCAACAGCGATGTCTCTCCGCTGCGGCGGCTCCGCATTCAAAGAGCACAGGAATATGGCGCGCTCTGGGAAAGGACTTGGGGGTATAACATCACGCATGTCATAGTTGACAAGGGCTTGAAGTTTGAAGAGATCATGAGGCATCTGAAACTCGGAAGCTTTCCGGTTTGTCAAGAAGGTGCACACCATCGAGTTTGACTGATTGCTGACCTCTGAAGTCGGAGATCGCTTTAGTTGATGAATGCTATCCGGCGGAATGCATTAAATTCCGATGCATTCTCAGTCCAGGGCAAACAAGGTTCCAAGTGAACGGAGCACCATGTCCGTCCAAACCTCAGGAGCCGATTCATCCTCCAGCCACTATCGAATCGTTACCCTTGAAGCCCTACGGGAAACAACAAGAGCAGACCCCATTGCCCTCACAAGCCTTCGAAGTGCCTGATAGTCCCCATGCGCTGAATCCGGGCCCGGAACGTGAGAGCGTACAACAAGTTCCCAAAGAGGCCATCCCAGAAAGTTTTCTCCGTCGGGAACGCGACGCTTTGGATGAGATGATTGATGAGGCCAAGGCTACAAAACATCTGGTGAGATGCCTTTGCGAACTATCAGTCACCGTCTGATCCGTGAAATAGCCTCTAGATCCTTTCGATGCAGCTGATGAGGACGTCTCACCCGAAGAGTCCGACGACGAAACGTCTCAAGAGTCCGAGTCTGTTCCTGAGAGAAGAAAGAGGCGAAAGCCGTCTCTTGATGGCAGTGCGGCAGTCCAATCAGGGCAGGATAAGTTTGTCTGCATGCAAAAGCACGACTCGACTTCAAAAACATCGAACCCAAATGCAAGAACAATCGAGATACTTCAAGAGATGCTTGACTATTACACTCGCACTGGCGACCACTGGCGCTCATTAGCGTATCGCAAGGCCATCAGCGCTCTCCGAAATCAGTCGAAACGCGTAATAACCAGGACACAAGCCCTCGCCATACCAGGTATTGGTTCACGGCTAGCTGATAAAGTCGAGGAAATCGTCTTTACGGACCGACTACGGCGGCTGGACAATGCTAATACTACTGCCGAAGAACGCCTACTCCAGGAGTTCATGGGAGTCTACGGGGCCGGGCTTTCCCATGCTTCCAGATGGGTTGCTCAAGGCTTCAAGTCGTTGGAAGACCTCAAAACTAAGGCAACCCTGACACAATCACAGAGAATCGGTATCGAGCGCTACTTTGACTTTTCCCAGCGTATACCCAGGGACGAGGTCCGAGCTCATGGGGAGTTTGTGCGCCGGGTTGTGCAGGAGGAAAATCCTGATATGCAAGTCATCATCGGGGGCTCCTATCGGCGTGGTGCAGCCGACTCTGGCGATATCGATTTGCTGATCACGAAACCCGATGCAACAATTAAGGAAATCCGGACATTTATGCTGGACATCATAGTCCCAAAACTATTCCAGCAGGGGTTTCTTCAGGTCGGTCTGGCCACTACGTCTCGAGATGACGGATCGAAATGGCACGGCGCATCAAAGTTGCCAAACATCCAACTATGGCGGCGAATCGACCTCTTGTTTGTCCCTGGCTCAGAGCTTGGGGCGGCCTTGATCTATTTCACGGGAAACGACATCTTCAACCGTAGCATACGGCTCCTCGCGAGTAAAAAGTCTATGCGACTGAACCAACGAGGACTCTATGCGGATGTCCTGCGCGGGCCCCAGCGGGCGAAAATAAACACCGGGCGACTGCTGGAGAGTCAGGATGAACGACGGATTTTTGAGCTGTTAGGAGTTCCCTGGAGGCCGCCAGAGCATCGCATCTGCTAAGATGCCTGAAGTCCATGCGCTACGTTTCCCATTCTTTCCCTTTTTTCTTTTTCTTTTTTTTTGCTCTTACGGCAGGAGCCACGTAGGGTGGGTAGGGTATGGTGGGCAGGTGTCTGGCAGCAAGACGGTCTAGGTTTAGAGTTCCCACCCTTTTTATCGCGCTGATCCGATATGAGGATTAGTTTTCATGATTAATGATGAAATCGAGATTTGGTTTTTTGTTTTTTTTTATTTTATTTTATTTTAGAGAACGTCAGATCACTGCTGTTTGGGATTCCGTATTGGAAAGTTGAGGGATACTCCGTATACATAGAACATAGCAGGATTTGACATGCTTCGATATCGGAAGCAGCAAGAAAAGCGGTCACCGAGCTAAGATTGTGAGGAAAGAGCGACAGTGAGGACGGTGTACCGAGTAAGGGCGACTGTATTTTTTTGTGCGTGTAGCCAAGGGAGCCAGTCGTACAGAAACTTTTGCCAGTTCCATACCAGAGACACATTCCCAGATGAGCGCCTTGTAGGAGCCCTTTTCCACAATTCCGCTCGTCTTGGTCTTTCTTCCTCATCCTCCGTCTTCCATCTTCTGAGATATTTTTCTCTTTCCTCCCTGGTCACCGATCTCATCACCGCCTTGTGTGCGGTGAATGCCGCATCCCAACACACCCAACCCCAGCTCGTGATTGTGAGGCGGCAGGTGCTAGACCGCCCACGCAAAAGTCGTGGTTTTGCCGCTGCTTGCACCCTCTTTCTACATCCCCTCCCCCTACGCCATCAGCGCTGTATCGTTTTTAGCTGCTGCTGGCATCAATTCTCAGCCTCATAATCCGTTTCGCAACTGAACCTTGTCCGCTCGAAACAATCACCGGTTTTGGTGGCGGTTTCTGTCCTCCCACTTGGGTACCGCCCGTGCCAGTGGTTCCCTTTTTTTGCCATCCACCACCACCATCCTCGCGACCTTTCCCTTGTGTGCGTCACCTCTCCTCCAGGTTATCCCGCTCTATTGGCAGGCTAAATCAAGTTATCCAGCCAAGTAGAGCTTGGAGACCGCTCAGCTATTGCCTTTAAACCCCAGAGGCTGTGAACAATCCTCGAATCCCCTCCCTCCGCCTTTGAGGCACCCGTTTGTTTTCTGCCACGCATTCTCACGATGGGTCGCAAACCCAATCAGCTCATCCTCGAGTTCTTCATTCGAGGCCAAAAACTCGAGGATGCTAGTAACCGCTACCAGCATACGTGTAAAGCCTGCGGTGAAAAATTCCCCAAGGGTCGCATCGACAGTCTTACCAATCACTTGGTGAAGAAATGCACAGCGATCCCGCTACGGGACCGCCAACGCGTCTTGTTGCGACTGCACGAACTCCCAGATCTTGCCGACGGCGACCAGAACAAGGACCCTAATGCTGCGGGGCAGGGCAAGGGAAAGGGGGTTGACGTGCCTTACACCACGCGACAAAATTTTGATGGCCTAAACGTGTTGGCCGAAGCTTCGAGACAGGTGGGTGCTTCCGACCAGACGAAGCGGGGAGGTCCTGCTTATACACAGTCCGTAACTGTGGGAGGTAAGACCGTGGTCGTCGACCCTGCGCTTGAAGCGGAGGGCTTTCAGGGCCACCCTGCTCAGCCTGATCAAATGGATGAAGATGTGAAGCCACCGGGTAAGTATCGGCTCTTTTTTTTTTGTTATGGTGTTCTCAACGCGCTAATATGTGGAATCTTCTTTTACCAGTGTCCCCTCTATCGCCTTCGAACGCGACAGTGATTCCCTCCCTCCCTCCGACCGGTTCGCTTGACCCGACCTCGTCCGCATCGCCGCCGCTGCCGGAGACTTCTATGACTCCCGATCCAAACGCCACTTCTCGGCAGTCGCAGCTGTCTTTGATCGCCGCATCTGCTAGTGAAATGGTACCTCACGGCCTCCCGTTGGATCATGATCCTCTCTCTGGACTTTCTGACGGTTTGCCTAAGATGGGTTCTGCATGGAACCAGCAGCTTTCGACGCAGGAACAGTTGCTCTTTGACAGCCTCCAAGAACATGACCCGACGCTGACCGCAGCAACCCAACGCGCAGCCTCCTTCCCTCGCCCCATTGCCATGAACCCGAACTCACAAACCAAGGGTTTCGTGAACGAGTTTGGCAATTCGACCAAGCCCGCTAAGCCCAAGGTTCGCGGTCGATTCTCCGCTGCTAGGCGCCGAGAGGTTCAGGAAGTGAGGAAACGAGGCGCGTGCATCCGCTGTCGCATGCTTAAGAAACCCGTAAGTCACCATTCCCAGCTGGGATTGATTGGTTGTGTTACTGATTTTCTCTAGTGCTCCGGTGACAGTCCGTGCACAACTTGCGCAAGTGTCGAAAGTGCGCGTCTGTGGAAGCATCCGTGTATCCGCACCCGCATTGCGGATGAGTTTGAACTGTATAATGCGAGTAGGTTTAGGTAAAGATCTTGTTTCATGAAGGCATGCTGACTTTGGCTAGATTTGCACGCCACATTGGCTTATCACGATGTCAATAGTATTCGGAATCAGGTCAAGTTCGAGCACTACGCCGGTCGCATTGAAGTGACTCATTTTGAAGAGAGTATGATCTTTCTCACTTTCAGTGGCCTTCAAGCCCACAAGGCGTCGACGTCTACCCTTGACCCACAGCTTCAAGGCCTTGGGGATGATACTCAGTTCCAGGGCCCCCTTCAGGAGCTTTACCTGCTAGATAGCGATTCCGATGATCTCCCGGGAAAGATCGAGATCTACATCAAGAAGACCGCGCCGTTCTTTTACGAGCGCGAGGCATCCGACGTTATGAGGCCTACTTTGATCCTGGCGGCGGAGCTGGCCCAGCAGAAGAAGGTGCGTCACAAAGACAGTATAGTACATTCAGTACATTCAGTACACTAACATATCCCCTCAGGATCTGCTATTGGAAAGAGTATTGGAGCTATGGGTTGCTACTCATATACTGGTCGATGCAGAGCTGCACTGGAAGACCTTCTGCAACCCAACCCTGACGCCTACAGCGCTGCAATCGCTCGCTCAGCCTACGGATGATGGTCGGATTCCGATTGATGAAGTCACAAACGCCGAGTCGTATGCCCTGCTGTGCGGTCAATTGCGCTCGGCAACAGAGAAGCGCGCGGCGCAGCTAAGCAAGTCGGTAATGAACGACCTAGAGCGGCGACTGCTTCAGCGCCAGCAAAGCGGCTGGTTTGAGACATTCTTGGTGTCACTTATTCTTCTCAACTGTGTGGAGCGGACATGTTGGCTCTTCCGGTCTTGGGATGACGAGAACTTTGTTCAACGCGTAAGTTTTACTATAATCAAAACTGGACCTTACGTTTCTGACCAGCTACAGTGGCCCCTTGACAAGCGCCCTCCATACTACGCCAGTCAAGGTGACCGGTTTTCCGACATCTTGCATATGCTGTTGAAAATGCGAAGCTTGCCACCAAAGGCGAGTCCGGCGCCGGACACCGGGATTCTGAAGGCTGTCGACGGCAGTGATGAGAACGCGATCCGCTGGTTCGACATGATCAAAATCTCCTGTAAGTCGCATGCATTTTCTACTCTACTTCTGGCATCTGGCTCTAACCGGCTATTCAGCACTCTTCCTGGAACAGCGCGGGGCCGCTGTATTCGATCCGACTGACTCTCGGTCATTCGATCTTCGTTACGGATCGAAGCTTCTGCCACCCTCGAATGTGTACTCCTCTTGAGTGGACGCACACTAGCGGTGATACTGTGATGAACTCGATTAGCGGATGTCCTGGCTAGCTCGGAGTCGCGTGTGCTGGGACTGCAGGGCTGTACCCTATTTTCTTTCCACTTCCACTGAAGTCTTTTAACTAATAACATTGTATGCTACTAATGGGCCGGACATGGGTTATGCGGAAGGGGAGCTGTCTCAAAACTTATGCCTCATAGTTAGCTCTTCAAGGGTTACTCAACATCAATATATTGTATGTATACTATAGATACGCACCGACTGAGTTAGGATCGCCTTGCCGTCATTTGTCCTCGGCAGCCACCAGGACTGGTCACTGTGATTCCTTCCAAGGTTAGCTTAACGTCAAACACCTAGACTGGTTGGAGAGATAAAGATCAGCAAACTACGCCAGAAGAGGGCGAGGCTAAATTGCTTTCCACCACAGGACAAGCCTGGATGCGATCTTTGCCGTTTTGGGCTGCCACCAGGAGAAATTCGCGACGCCCAGTGAAAATCGCAGTCGCTTTCATTTCTTTCTTCGAGGTCATAAAACATTAATTATATCTAATACTAATACTATAGAGCGCGCTGTTATCGTCGCCATAATTCGTCCCCGTCTCGGACGTCACTCTCTTCAACGCTTTTCATTTGCTTCATTCCTCAGGGCCCAACACTCGGCAGTCTCTCGCAGTCTCCCACACGCCAAACGCCAAAACTCCGACCCTGCAGTCCTTGCAGTCGCTCATCCCCTGCATCTTCAATTTTTCTGAAAGCGGAAATTGATTCTCCGACTGGCGGGTGGTCCAGATGGCCTATGCTTAGGGGAAAAAAAGAGTGAAAAGGGGGAACCACTTTGTTTACACCACGAGCGGAACCATATTTGTCCCCTCGTGCTGGCTGCCCGATAACTTTACTATCCATTAGCCCAGTCAGAATTGACACATCAATCACCATGTTTTCGACTCATCAGCACCCTCCACCGCCCATTCCCCCATCGCCAACCCTGTCCAACCCGGACATGATCCTCCCCTTCGACGAGAACGAGCGCGAAAACTCCACCCCGTCCCCGCCCTTCAACTTACCCTCCCTATCGAACTTGCAATCCTTCTACGAGACGCGCACAAGCACAAACTACTCGAACGGCTACTCTCTCGACCCCACGCGGAGTCATAATAGCGGCGCCGGCGCCGCGCCGCGAGCCCAGCAACAGAAAAAGGGCTACCCGCGCCACACGTGGACGCACGAGAACCTCGATGCGGCCAGCCGCCGGCTTTCAGATATTGGCGAGGAGGATTATAACACATCATCATCGCCTTTCAGGCATGGAGGAAGGGGAGCGGGTATGAGAACCACGCGGGTCATGATCCCGCAGCAGGATAGTGGTAGCGCGCAGGCGTCGCCGGTTTCAGTACGCGAGGCGACGGCGGTGAGGGAGCCAGAGACGAGAACAAACAGCAGCTCGTCGAATTCGACAATCAGCGGCGCGAGCGAGACTTCGTCGTGGGATGGGACGAAGGGGCGCGCGGCCTACGTGGTGTCGCAGGAGAGCCGTGGAACGGGCAGTGACCGTCGCGCAACAGCTGCAGCAGTAGCCCCTATGCGGCCCAATGGCGCGCAAGCATCGAGTGCAAATGCGCCGCCTGCCAATGATGAGAAAGGGGGTCCTGATGAGGACCTTTCGTCGGCGATTCTGAGCAGCGAGGCGGAGCGGATTCTGGAGAACGCGAAGAAGCGGTTATCGGTATGTTTCCTACGCGAGCGAAATAGTACGAGGTGTTAACATCTGCAGCTTATGGAAGGGAATTTGACGCGGGCTCGCTCGTCAATGCGCGCGTCTACTCCGTCGTCCCCGTCACCTGCACCTTCGGCTTCTGCAGGGCTGGGACAGCCTGTTGGGGGCTTGTATCAGTCGATACATCGCGTGGCTGATCGAAGGTCCTCCCTGCGGCCGCGCCAGACGCAGGATAACAGCAATCGGCACTCGCGAGTCTACAGCGAGACGAGCATACCGTCAAACCAGCCGAACCATGAGGCCAATCAATCTCGGTCTGTGAGTGCCATGGGGTCAAGCACGAGCTCCACCTTCTATACGGACGACCGCTCTTTTCATTATGCGCCTAACCGCGCGTATCTCACTCACCGGGCGTCGGTCTCCTCTATGCAACAGGTTTCGGCCAACGGGCTCCCGACTAGAAACGACCGCTCGTCTTCCGACTCACCTCGAACTTCCGAATTTGAGGAGGAGATCAAGATCTCGAATATAGATGATTTCAACTCCGCGTATCCCGTCCTCGACCCGCCTTCGCGGTCCCAGTCACAGCTTCAAGTGCGAGATCTGCAGGACCAGATGAAGGGCCTGCACATTAAGATCTCGACACTCAAAGTGAAAGCGCAGGAGGATAACCTCCGACGCCGGAGCCTGCAGAGCCTGCGCACGCCCAGCCCTTTGACAGCGGCGAACCACTGGTATGCCAACCCGCTTGACCCGACAGAGCGTCGTAGCCACCTCCATCCGAGCGCAGGATACCAACACGTCGAGTCTCCGCGCAGCAGCCAGGGCAGCGGCAGCAACAACACCGATTCCACACTACTTGTTCCGGAAACGGTTCACTCAGAGGGCAGAGTTTCATCAGACGGCGCCATCCTGCCGCCTTTTGAGCTGACCGATCACGAAGACGGGCACTCGACCTCTGAGAGCCTGTATGAAGATGCCGAGGAAGGAGACCAGGGCGAAATCGACCGCAAGGCGCTGGAGGAGATTCTACGCGAGCCTCTAGACGATGACCTGGCTGATAGCCCGCTGGAGGCTTTCCCTTCTGTTCCTCACCACGACGACACGCCGCATGAAGAGCGCGAGGACGCTTTTGACTACGAGCACTTTATCCTGCACAGTGCGCTGGGCAACTACACGCAGGCGCGACTCCACCGGCAAAGTGATGCGTCGGATACTTCTGTCGAAACAACAAGACCGATCAGGGAGCGACGGTCGACACGTCACTCGCGGTCCAGCAGCACGAACTCGATATCAACAGTTGCAACGTTTGCGACAGCTGCTGAGGGTCGAGACGACATCGAAAGCGTTCTGTATTGGGACCGGAAGTTCAACGATGGTACGTGTTTTTACGCTGAAAAATAGAGGAAGAGATATAGCCTAACAATCCCAGAACTAAACCACAGTTACGCCGAAGACACCGAATCCAACTCTGAAACATCACTACGCACCCCTCGCAAATCCCGCGTCGAAGACCTCGCCTCGCAACGCCCCGACTCTGCAGCAACAGGCTCCGCAACACCAACCTCCCTCGCCTCCTCGCTCGTCTCAACAGTCCGCGCAGCCGCAAGTCCCTACCCGAATGCGCCAAACGGCAACCTGGGAATCAACGAGGACGACACCCGACTCCTCGAGCAACTCTTCAAAAGTCTCGGCGACGTATGCATGGAGTTGCAGGAGCTTACGACGTCGCCGGACTACGATGAGAAGCAGGCGAAATTGCTGAGGCGGCGGCTGGAGGCTGCGAGGCGCGTGTTGGACGGGGAGCTTGACTGACGTGATTGATTTTTTCATTTTATTGAGGTCGCTATATTATATTAACTTAATGCTGGAGATTTGTGATACCCATATATATCAATTCAGTTCTACTTTTGTCACGAGGCTGAGAAATTACTGCATGTCGTCGAGGAATTGAGGGACTTGGAGAAGAGCCCCACCGCACGTGTCGACGCGCCACGCGAACCTTACTTCCCAATCGGGAATCTTATCAACTCGATCTACATCAACCCCTCGACATCGAGTCCTCAACCCCTCACCACGCACATAGCGCATCGCATCTTATCACTCTCCAAGACGTGGAATTATCTATGATCCGAACCAACCCAAACAAACTCCACACAAAACACATCCAAACCAGTTGCACAAAATGACAAACCGCCGCCTCCTCATCTTCCAAGAAACCCCCCTCCAGGGCCACGCCCACCAATTATCCCCCTCAGCAAATCCCCTAACACCCGGCCCAGCAGGATCGCCAGGCGCCCTTCAGCCATCACAACAACAATATCAGTACACGCCCGTCAACAAACTCGGTCTTCCGATCCACGGTCCGGGCTCGTTACCTGATGGGTTGGGGTTACCGAGTTTACTGAGTTTACCGCTTCGAGTACTGAATGCGTTTACGGAGATCTTTAATGCGCCAAGATATAAGGGGTGGTATGTCGCACGCTTTTTCTTTCTCTTTCCCTTCTTTCCTTCTTTTATATGGTGGTGGTCTTTGTAACGGCTTCGACTGCGGTTTGGTCAAATGTCGGACGAGGCTGATATACGTGCAGGGCCGTCGTAGCAGCAGGACCGTATAACGATCCGACGCTGGGGACGGGCAAGTTCTATGCTGTTGTATTGGAGCAGGTTGACAAGAATGAGTCTGGGTCGGGGATGGGGTAGTTGGGTCTGCTAGGCATGGATAGTGCCTGCTTTTCTGTGTATTCTTCTGGCCTGTACTTGGATGAGGTTGTTCTTTGCTGTGTTACTATGATGGGACTCGTTCTAGTAAATGACATGGAGAAGCTTCGAAGGGATTTGTCCGGTGGTGTTGTATGTATGTATGTGTATATGATATTGATACCTCTTGGTCATGCGTTAATAAAAGTGTTTCCACAGTGTTATAGGTAGTTTCTGCATTGTATCCTTAGACTTTAGTAGGTATATTCTCTTCGCGGTGACTCAGATGTACGTCCCCATCCATCTTCGTTACCTTGCCTGCTGCACATTCAGCGTATACAATATATATCTCAAAGCACCAACCAAGACACGTATTTCGACGGGGGACGGATGGTTTGTCTTTAATGAATGATGCTTGCGCCTCCAGGCCTAACAGGCAGGGCAGATAACTGTTCGCTGCGCATTGCGCGATAAATATCTTGAATCATATACTGATGTATTGGTGCTACCATCCAGGGTTGATCTGGAAATAGGATAAGTCATGCTTTTGCTGTACATTAAAAGAAATAGTATAAAGGGTCTATGCAATCTTCTCAAGCAACAGCTTCGCCCCACTAGCCACAGGCCCAGCCTTCTTCGCGTCCTTGTCCGTCTTCGCCTTGGACGCCGTCTCGAGCGCCTTTTTCCCCTTCTTCAGCGCCTTTAACAGCTCGCCCTTCTTCTCAAAGTCCTCCGCCTCCGTCAGCGCAACAATGACATAGACATTCGACCCCGTCGCCCAGTCCATGATCTCCCCGCTAATCTGCTCGTATAACAGGTCGTGGAAGTTGAGCGGCGGTGAGACCTTTTCAACCTTTTTCTCGGCAGAGTTGAACCGCCCGCCCTGGACGAGTGACTTGAGTGTTCGCCCGACGAAGGACGCGTCCTTTGTGTCGGAGCGGGACTTCGCGGCAACGGCAACGGCGGCTAGCGCGGCGTCCTTCTTCTCCTTGTTCTCTGAGCTATCAGCATCGGCGTCGAAGAGGACCTCTACGATGAACTGGCTGCCGAAACTTGTTTCGAGGAGGGTGTCTGCGCGCGCGGCGATGAGGTCTAGGAGGGTTGGGGAGGCGGCCTTGATGAGTTCCTGGCGCCTCGTGGCGGGTTCCTTCTTGGAGGTTTCCTTGCGGATCTCGCGTATCTCAGCGAGGACGGCGTTGTCGTGTTCGGGGAGGAGCCACTTGACCCTGTCGCCGGCGAAGAGGTAGAGGAGGGGGATGCGGGCGGTTAGGTCGTTGACTTGGTACAGGAGCTCGTCGTTGCGGGCTTCCTCGTCGAGGGATTGGTTGAGGAGTTCGGGGAAGATGAGCTTGGAGGTGAGCTTTGTGTCGTCGATGACTTCGTACGCGGTGAGTAGGACAAGGTGGCCGTGAAGATCGCCCGCCATCATCTTAATGGTGTCTCTGTAGAAGCGGGTGAGTTGCTTGCGGTCCTTGGCGTTGGAGTATGCGAGGGCGAGGCACATGAGGCGGGAGCCGGACTTGGTGAAGGCAAGATTCTTGACGAGGTCGCCTTCTTCGTCGCCCTTGATCAGCTCGATGAACTCGTTGGCTTCCGAGGTGCCGGGCTTGACGTTGAGGAAGTATTGAAGCATGGCGTCGTGGAGCATTGTGAAACCAGTAGTCTTCTTCTGGATGAGCTGGTTGATGAGCTCGAGGAGGAAGCGCATAATCGGAGAGCGCTTTGCAGGGTCTTCCTCAAGGATTTTAGCGAGATCAGCCGTTTTGGCGTTGTTGTCTCTGAAGATGGCGAATTCAGCGCCGTACCATTCCCTGAGCAGGCTGGCTTGTTGCTCCTGTGTCGCGACGGTTCGGTAGATATCGTCCAGAATCCACGAAGCCTCGGGGTGTCGGATCAACCGCTTGACCTTTCCGTAGAACTCGCCAATGATCAAGTCTCTGATCTCAGTATCGCCGTGAACTATCAGCTTGCCAATGAGGAACTTGGCATATCGACTCTGCGCGAGCTCAACGTAGCTTCCCTTGAGTTCCCGGGCAATCTGCTTGCGCTGCTCTACGTTGGCGTACTTCAGAGCGGTCTGAATGACACGGACAGAGTCGTGCTTGAACACAAAGTCTTTGACTCGTCCTGTGATGATTTCGAAAAGCTCCGTAATGAGTTTCTTCCTCTCATCCAGGGGAACATGCGATTTGCGGCGCAGACGCTCCCACAGTTTCTTCGATCGTGCAATCATATCGGCGTTCGGCTTTGCGGCTTTGCGCTCTTTGGCAAGGGCTTTTTGCTTGATATGTGACTCGCGGGACGACGTTTTATCTAGATTTGATAGGTTAGTGTTAGGGTTAAGATATGTGTAGCAGGGAATACATACTCGTCGCATCTGCCTCGCCCTTGGGCTTTGAGCCGGAGTTCTTGTCCTCGACTTCGCTCTCATCGACATCCTCTGCATTGGCATCATCCATCTCAACGTCGTCCTCGGCATCATCGACGTCCTCAATCTCCGAGTCCTCAATATCGTCGACATCGAAATCGTCCTCTTCAGAAAAGTCCTCCTCCTCTTCCTCTACAACCTTCTTCTTGGGCGTTTTCTTATCCTTCTTTCCAGACTTCAAGTCCTTTCCTTTCCCAACTTTCGAGGATTTGTCGAATTTCTGGGGTTTTACCGGCTTTTTCGTCGAGGCGGCGGCTGTCTTTGTCTTTGTGCGCTTGCCATTGCGGTCGTCACCGGTGTCAACGCGGCGCTTTACTCCAACCATGTTGATTACCCGTCTAAACAATGAATTGGAGTAGGGTAAGTGAGGGTGATGAATAAAATTGGTTGTCGCTGGTATTCCTTGGCTTGGCCGGCCTGTCCGACTTTTTTTTTACTGCCGCGTTTCAGGGCGGTAAAAATTCTTGTTTGCATTGTTTGTTTAGCGATAAGATCTTTCCTCCGAAAAGGCATAAGCGCGAATGGAAAAAGACAGTGAATCGCCTAAGGAAGATTCCTGAATGATGTATTTTTCAATAATTCTCGAGAGCATATATTATCATTATATCTCATCGTCGACGATGAAGCTGTCCGCTTCATAGAGCGGCAAATCGCAATGCAAAAAGAAGCGTCGCCCAAACGCCTTCCCAGAGACCCAAAAGCTAAAAACAATTCATCGAGTCATGCTGAGCGCCCAGAATCTACTAATGTCAGGCTGAGCTCAGCTCACCCCTCACGCACCTCCGACACCTCGGGAGGGGCAGGCGTCTTCATGGCACCCATTTCCGAGACAGGCGGCGCCTGCGCCCGTTTACGACCAGGCAAATGAAACCCGAGCGATGACGTCTTAGACGATCCGCTGGCCTGAGAGTCGTTTGTGAAGTCGCCAAAGCGCGAGAACAGGCCCTTCTTCTTTGGCTTTGCGTCGTCGCCGTCGTCCAGACCGACGTCCTCGAAGTGGTCCTCTTCCATTGTTTCCGGTTGGGGGTGTTTCTCGAAGCGCTGGCCCGAGGATGAAGTTAAGCGGGAGAAGCGCGAGTCGAGGGATGTGCGGGAGGGCATTGTGTCCGGATAGATTATGGGAGAGCGGGCGGAAATGTCCTGATCCTATGAGTATGGAATTTATATGGTAAGATGAGGTGAGCAATGGGCTTACGAATGACCGCCGGTAGGAGTCGAATGATTCGCGGGATATTGAGAACGGCTCATTTTCGTCGACTAGGTTTCGATGATTCGAGGATGACCTCGACATGCCTGGATATTTGCGCCAGACGCTTTCTCTCTCTGGTGGTGAGGGCTGCCGTGTGTTAGTAGTGTTTTCACATTTGCCTCAGCGCATAAGAAGGTAGTATACCGGAAGATAATCGCCATTACAGTCGACGACTAGATGTCGCGGATTAGAAGAAATACTCTGGTATCTGGATGAAAGACATACCGCTCAACTTGTACTCGGGAGGCTCAGTTTCGTGACTCTTGCGAATACTCAATGGAGTAGAACGGTGGCTGTCTTCGGAGAACCGATTGTTCAGGTCGGGGCGGCTATCGACTTCCCCGCTGTTGGGGGCAGCAGGCTTTCTCCCCAGAAAGTTGCGAAACGGAGCCATGTGGGCAAGTATATGGTTTTGGGAAGAATTGAAGGCGAAAAGACGGGGGAATAGTGGGTATTTCAGGAGGAGTGAGACGATGATGGAATCGAAAATGCTCCTATAGAGTACCACGTCCAGGACCTCACATGATCGGTTGTTCGGTGCCCTGGGACCGGCGGGACAGTGGACACTTGATGGGGATCGTCTTGAAATTTAGTGCCCGATCAACGTCATCTGGAGATCCCCATGTTCGTCGCGACTCACAGGAAATTCGAGGTTGGAATTGATGAGGTCTGTTTCTCGAACCTTGTTTTCCTCCCAATGACTCCTTTTAGAGTTGCAATCTGAGTGGACTTTTTCTTCCAGATTTTTCGACGCTTAGATCTGGGAGGACAGGGACTGCTGCTCTTCCCAACCATGGAACCTTGGCTTGATGGCAAGATCGTAAGGCGTTCCAATTAATTTCTTTCCCCTCCTACGCTCCTTACCTGGGGCAATAGTTGCAGCCCTAAGATTATTTGGACCGCCCCAGGAATGGTGTCCCTGAAATTTTCCTGGAATCCCTCAAGGATGCGGATTCGTTACGACTTAGAGTTTCGGGAACTCTGTACTTCTTCTCGGTTGCAACATGCCTCTACTATGCACGGTCCACCAAACATGAGTTATGGGTTTGCGTGAGACTCCGAAACTTTATGGGTTGGAAGATATATCCCTATGGTTTCGGAACTATTTCCCCATCTCCTTGAAGATCGGTACTAGTATACTTTTTCCCAGTATACTTTTTCTCTGACTCTACTACGAATGCGCCGACTGGTCTGTAATCGATCTCTGTCAATGGAACTCGCCATGCCTAAACCTTCTGTCTTGCTCTTATCCTGGCAGTGGCGCAGTCACTTTCTTGAAGTGGATTCTCTCTCTACAACTTCCCCCTACTGAAGCTCTCACAATCCACAGTGCTTTTCTAGACACAACTGCCTTGTTACGTCTCTCAAAGGCCTCATCGTACCTCAACCTGCATTTGAAACTACGAACGAACACCACAAACATGCAGTACCCCTCCAAGATTGCCATCGCCGCTGTTGCCTTCGCCTCAGCCATCGGAGTTGTCACTGCAGCCCCTGCTATTGGATTCAACAACACCGGGTTCGACAACGAGACGTTCGTCATCCAGCCCTACATGACCTGCATTCAAGACAGTCAGTGTGGTTTCGGAAGCTTTTGCGACACTCCCGCCGGCAGGTGCACTCTGGGTTGCCGCGCAGACTTCCACTGCGCTCATGACCATCGTTGTCAAGATGGTGGGTGTGTGATGATGACTATCGGGATGGCATGCCGACAAAATGGCGACCTATGCTATTTGAACCCTGACTGATGCTCTGGTAGATGTCGCAGGGAGCAAATTATCTTTGGGAAGGAGCTTTGTATCCCGGTGAAGCAGGGATGATTTCTGACTGGATCAATTTGTACTATGTTTCTTATGATTTTGGGCGAGTATTTTGGTTTATTTCTGAAAAGCAAACACAAACGAGCTTATCTGGTCTTTTTCTGGGTTGGAGAGGAGTTTGGCATCTGCACCATCTGATGGATTTGATCTCTTTTCATATCTTGATGGTTTCTTCCAAATGTGAATAAGAACAAAGGTTGGCTTTTGTTTGCTTCATCACGTTCAGTGTCCACCAGGAGGTAGTTTTAGCGAGCACCATGGGCGACGACGACTCTCACATACAACAGCTCATTCCAGTGATAAAGAAAGAACGGTTTTTTTTACTCACTTATCATAGAAGAGTGATAGCGGAGTCATGGGAAAATATGATAGCAAGAGAGCGATTTTTCTTAAAAGTGTTTAAGGTCATATCTCTTGTTTGGAGAAATATGTTTCATCTGTCATGGATAGCCGAGTGGGAGGTCAGCCGCCAAGTCAGTGACCTTGCTACGGTCTTGGCCAGCGGGTACTGGTGCCCGGTACGAATCCTGGGGTTGTCGATTGTACTCGCGTGAGTAATCCGCGATCGCTACACGGCATTAAGCAATGGAAGTGACCCTTGAGGGAAGCAATTCTGCAGAGACACTTCCACCCTGGGATGGCGTCATCGGATTACACCGTCCTGTTACAGGGAATCTGGCTGTTGGGCTGAACGACCACTTTTTTTGATCTTATTTTTTCTGTCTTGCTACCCATCCATGACAGCAACACGCTCTTCGGCTACTTCTTAATGGAAATTATCTTCATCAGCTGCCTGATGCTCTAGTTTGAGTTGTTGAGAGGTTGCTCCTATCATCGTCCAATTGCAAACACATTTCGAATGAATTTTTGTCTGTTCAAAGTCCAGTAGTCATGATGCGCTGCTATCCCCGAGATGGTCGTCGAGCATGCCCGCGCACCTTCCTCAAGAAGGGTCGCTCTTACCTCGAACCCGTCGTGTTGTAAGACGGGCATGCTCTTCACAAAGTCTCTCTAATCCATCATGGTACCGTCCTACGCATACTGCCACCCGTCCGCGCAGTCGCACGTTATAGATATTGCTGCTTCATTATCCTACCCTAGCCTGTCGGACGGGCAATGAGAGCTTCCAGCTTGCCAAACCAAGCCCGCAACCTCTCTGGAGAGAGCACTCTGGACGCCTCCGTGTGCCCGAACCTCACCATCGCCTGCCCTACAGGGTCTGAGCAGGCCGCACTCGTTGACCCAGAAGACTGGGACTCAAGATGGCGTTCTGGAAGGGCTGGGCGTTGTGGCAGAAGTTGAGCGTTGTAAGTGGCCCTGGTTAGTCGCTGCAACAATGGCTGACATTCATAGGCTCTTGGGTTTCTTCTGGTAAGGCGACCTCTTACACGTACGTTGACAGAGCTCTGACATCGCAAGGCACTTGTTCTCGTGTACTCGTTCAGCGTCCTTACCTATAACCGACGGAAGATCAGGAAACACGCCAACGAGGAAGCAAATCAGCAAGCAGAGCAGGAAGCCGAAATGGGCGAGGTGGGATCCGAGGCAACCGACATCCCCTTTGGTGCTAGAGCATTGGAGAAAGGAATCGAAGTTGAGGGTATATGGGCCATGAAGCGACAGCCTCCAACAAAGCAACCCAGCGTCATGGAGAAGAACAGAAACTCGGTCCTGAGCGCGTTTCTCAGACCTAAGTCGACGGCTAGCAGCGTCCAGACACCTGAAATCATCGAGCCCGATTCGAATCGTACTTCAGCAACCGCAGAAAGCCAGGCCGAAAGTGTTCTTGAGAGTATTCACATAGACACTTTCCGCTCAAGCCGGCCTCCGAAGCTTGATATCGGCGGTATTGGACAGGGGGCTCAGAAATCATTCGATCATGAAAGGCCTCTTTCTCGAGGATGGTTTGCTTCTCGGAGCTCATGGATGAAGCCCATCGTGGGCTATAAAAGGATGTCAGTACGCGAGGGTAAGTAAAAGACCAAGACCGACAGCACAGTCTCAACAGCGACAAGTGTCGAGTCAAGCTTATACCCTCTTATAGGACGTCACCGTCGAACCTCGTCCGAGGATTTTAGGCGCCGGTTCAGCAAGTTGTTCGATGAGACTCTTCCGCCAGGACCACCACGCCCGACAGAGATGTTCCAGTTGACTCCCATCTACCAAGAATCCGCCGAAAGTCTCAGAAAGGGGTCACTGGACAATGCTATTGAACCAGTCGCCACAAATTGAAAAGGAAATTGGCCGCATGGAAGTCGGTCGATGGTGGGTGTCTCGCCATGTATGTATATTGGATATCGTTACACTCTGATGTGGGATGTAACAGCGCCATCCAGGCTGAATTCGTGTAGATGAAAAGAGATCAGGGCTAGGCCATTGTATTTTTTACTCGCTGACAATCACATGAATCCTGAACATTCGTAATCAAGGAACACGAGAAGCAAAAAGCCAAGGCTGCCGTCGGTGCCTGAAATCCACGTGACTTCGTGATAGCCCGACGCGTCCACATCCTCATGCCCGTGTCAACAAGAGAAGATTATAGGAATATTGTACCAGCAACGATCGATTCCTGCTTCAGCAACAAAGCTATAGAGCTAGAAAGTATCAGTTTAAGTCACCTCCCGAAAACATCACTTACCCTGACACTGCACTACACTGCAAGATCTCGACGCGCCAGCAAAGACGCGTTTTGAGCCAGTGGCAAGCTTTACAAAAGTTTCTGCAACTTCCTCCTGGCTATACATTCTGATCGGAGATGACAGCAGATATGGAGAGTCAGAATGACATCGATGACAGCGGTCTTCCAGGCCCAGGCGCTCCCACTCCGCTCTCATCTTTGGAGGTGAGAAGTTTCGCTACCAGTTGGATGAGCAGTGACTGCTGGTGTCCACGGTGGAAGACAAACTGCTAACATGCTTTAGGGAATGGCTGGCTTGACATCCAGAGATATCAAACTGTTTGTAGATGCGGGTTATCATACTGTTGAATCGATTGCATATACGTACGTTTTGTCACCTATGAGAGAACCTTTCGCATTGAAGAAGTAACTAACGCGCTTTCTTGTTGATTGCAGGCCGAAACGTTTACTCGAACAAATCAAGGGTATTTCAGAGCAGAAAGCCACAAAGATTCTCGTCGAGGGTGAGTTTCAATGACAAGTTTTGAGGGAATATCATCTCACAGCATGTTTTCAGCGGCAAAATTGGTCCCGATGGGCTTTACGACGGCCACCGAAATGCACGCGCGACGAAGCGAACTCATCTCAATTACAACGGGGTCTAAGCAGCTTGATACTCTGCTCGGGGGTGGCATTGAGACGGGCTCAATTACGGAGATATTCGGAGAGTTCAGAACAGGAAAAAGTCAGATCTGCCATACACTCGCGGTTACATGCCAATTACCTTTTGACATGGGCGGTGGAGAAGGGAAGTGCCTATACATCGATACAGAAGGGACATTTCGACCAGTGCGCCTACTAGCCGTTGCCCAGCGGTACGGCCTTGTCGGCGAGGAGGTTCTGGATAACGTGGCGTATGCGCGAGCGTATAACTCGGACCACCAGCTTCAGCTGCTTAACCAGGCGTCTCAGATGATGTGTGAGACCCGTTTCTCTCTCTTGGTCGTCGACTCGGCTACCTCACTGTACCGGACGGACTTCAACGGTCGCGGCGAGCTGTCGACCCGTCAGACGCACCTTGCCAAGTTCATGCGTACCCTGCAGCGCCTGGCTGATGAGTTTGGGATTGCGGTCGTCATCACGAATCAGGTTGTTGCGCAGGTTGACGGTGGACCAAGTGCGATGTTCAACCCTGATCCTAAGAAGCCTATCGGTGGAAATATCATTGCCCACGCTAGCACGACAAGACTGAGTCTGAAGAAGGGCAGGGGTGAGACGCGAGTGTGCAAGATATATGACAGCCCTTGTCTTCCGGAAAGTGATTGTCTCTTCGCCATCAATGAGGATGGTATCGGGGACCCAAGCCCAAAGGACTTGGAGAATGACTGAGACTGAGAAGCTGTTGCTTTTGAGATTTGACCATGATACGACGATTGACCGACTCTGATTGTATTTGTTGTGCAGTACATATTTTTATTCATATAGTAATATGGCGGACGCATATTGTGACCCTGGAGTTAGCTAGAGATAGAAAATATATCCAAATTACCCTAACCAAACGTTGTTGCTGATGTTATTGTTGTTGTCAAAGAGAGTAGACTGAAGAGACAGGCGGTGATGCGCGCTCCAACGCCAAGACTTGTTTTTTCAGAGTTGCGGAAGAGCTTCAACTCATCTTCTGCCCTGCCAAACTCCGTCGGGTTGCTACACTCTCGTTTTCTCGCCCGCCTGACAATGGAGGTCTGATCTGACAACTGAAATTCGTGGAAGGAGGTTTGCTGCCATTCGACATGGCCAAAATTTACAAAGATACCCAGGTCGACCTCCGGCCGTACTCGCCGAGCACCGTCGTCAACATCCCGATCCCAACACAAGCAAGCGCTGCCCAAACCCGCGCACGATTCGCGATCTCTTCGTCCACAGGCCTAGATCAAGTGGTCGCTAAAGATGAGGACGAATTTGCTAGACGATACCTCGTGACGCAGGGCTCTGTCTACTTCCGCAAACGCAACGTTTACCCGCGAGCGTTTCTCTGGAGAGTCGTCAATGAAAACAAGGTTCTCGAGATACAATGCGTTGACCTGACGAAAGGGGGGACGGAACATCACGAATACAATGTTACCATGCGCTTGGATTTCCAGGAAGAGATTCTGCCGTCATGTGTAGCTCTTGCGGACTCGGAAGAACATGAGGTGCTGAATGTGTTTGTGATCACGGCTTCAAAGGAGCTACACTCTTTGGCATTGCGCCCGGAGTTCTTCAGGAGGACAGCGTCAATTGACGAAAATATCTCGGATTGGTGCAAGTCGTGCCTTCCGGCGCCATTGACCTTCACATTCCCGCATAGATTACACGCGAGCAGTCCGCTGGAACTGTTCATCTCCCTTGACAATGGTGCGCTTCTGCGCTTGACACGGAGGGCGGCTGATGATGGTATGTTCTGCGATTTGATGGTTGGACATCCAATAGCGTGTTACTAACTCTGTGTGGTCCAAGGCTCGAATTGGTCTCCCCTTACCCTCGATGAGAGAACATGGGGTGCTTCGCTCCGTGGTCTGGTTAGGTGGAATGCGCAGACTTCTCTCAAGTACGGCGGTCGCAATCTCGATGCCAACACAGCGAACGCGATCGCAACCACCTCCGATCAAACATACGTTTTCGCAGTCTGCCTAAACCACTCGATCAAGATCTGGAACCTCGCGACGAATAAGCTGGTAGCCACGAAGGATCTGCTTAACCGAGAGATTCAACAGCCGGATGCGCTGTCATATGCACTGAACCCGTCGGAGTCATCTTTCATTCGCGTCTTCAACGCCGAGAGAGCTCTGGACGGCGAATATCGCTATTATGTCCTTACATACTCGCCCTTCGAAGATGGATGCTTCAAGTTTTGGGCTGTCAAGGGCGGCTTGACAACTCCATTGATTATCGAAGACCTTTTCCCTAACACTCCACTACGGCCACTGGACCCCGATTCTACGGGGAGTATGTTCTGGAGTATTGCAGATTTCCAGATCAAGCCCGCGGAAGAAGGAAAGGGGATGGAGCTATGGCTGCTATGGCGCAACAGCGGTCTATACCAACTCTACACATTACACTTCAGTTTTGAGACACTGGTATCGGACTGGGCGAACAACTGGGTCTCTGCCGGCTCCGATCTACGCAGACAAGAGCCTTCGCCGCGCATGGCGTTCTCTGATGTGGTGGACCCAACAGAGAAATGGCTCAAATTTCTTCTTCAACCGAACAGATTCCCGTCAGAGGTGCTCGAGACTGCTTTGACAATTTACCAAGAAGCCCTGAAGCCTCTGTCTTCTTCGAGCACGCTTAAGAAGAGCGTTCCTCTTTCCGAACGACTTTGCTCAACGATCGCGGCCACGGTGTCTCTTCGCAAGTTTGATGATGATGAGATGGACTTCACACGATTCCGCACTGATACGGACTCCAAGTGGCGGCAATTCTGGCAGATCGTAGAGGATCTCAACAAGAGGAGATTCGAACCTGTCAATCTTGCCTACGACACATTTTACGAGACTCCCTGGATTCTTCTCTCGGACAGCTGCGCAGTAGTCCGGGAATGCAGCTCTACAGAGCTCTTTTTGCACAATCCCGGACATGTGCTTCGAAGCGATGGCGCAAAGATTGTGGACCGATGGAGGCACCGAAACCTGTCAACGGAGGTTGGCGACCTGTTTGAAGAAGCGTCGCACCTGATGACGGTGGCTGCGGACTTTAGGAAGCGATTTTCAGGTGACCTTGAGGCATTTGTTCTTGGTGCCATTGAGGCGGAGATCTTTGCGGAGCCATCTTCCTCTGTCCAGGATAGAATGGAAGTTTTCCGTGAGAGTTGCGAAGTCGCAGAGCAGATATCCGAACAGGTGTATGACAGTCTGGTCTCTGAAATGAACCAGCGGTTGAACATATACCAGCTACCTAGCGAAGTCTTCTATAAGATTCTTGAGACGATTCCGGCTGGCTTCCCTGGAAAAGATTCCGACCTGCTCCCTACACATTTTGGAGTAAAAGTCACTGTGAACGGCGTCCAGGAGACGATTTTGTTTACGCGCCAGATTCTCATTGATTTACTGGTACTGGTAGTTTTCGTGGACGGTGACGTGCAGCAAGAAGAGGGCTCGACGTTTGATGCAGTTGAATTGTATGTCGAGCTGGTTACTCTGCTCCGGGAGTATGAAATGATGCATTGGCTGAGCTCAAATACGCGGAAGAGCACTGAGAGATCATCGACAGATGACTCGTCAGTTTCCTCTTTCTCTTTGGTCGATTCACATTCAAGCGGAAAAGGTGGAAGGAATGCGACTATCTTGGAGGATCTGTTCGCGGCAGACATCAAGCCGCGCCAAACAGTCAACCTTCCTCAAAGTTATACACTTACGCTGGGCATTCGAGATGTGTTATCCTGGGTGACTCGTCCAGGAGAGGTGGCCTATCCGAACGCCCTGGTCTATATCCAGTGCGACTTGATCGCCAAGGGCAACATTGACCTTGCCTGGGATTTCCTACGATTCCAGGCAAGCACATCCTGGTCGACTTACGTTAAGGGTCGCCTTTATGTGGCCATGTCCGAGCTTGACACGGCAGCCTTGTATTTCAGAAAAGCTGCATATCTCCTTTGTAAGTTACGGCCCGACCTTCGACCTCACTCTGTTGCTAACTTGTCTAGCTTGTGGAAAGCCGCTTGGCAACCTGCACGAGATGTCCTCGACACTCCTTGATATTGTGGCTGTAGATTGCTTCCATAATGGCCTACCGAAGTATTTCCAACATGTGCTGTCGATCTTCGAGCAGGTCCGCGCATTCTCTCATGTCGCCGAGTTCGCCAGCCTTGCATTGCAGGCTCTCGCTAGTGAACATGCTAGCGAGCAAGACATAGAAGTGGCACGATTACAAAACGACCTTCTCTCTCGCCTGTTCTATGCCTCTCTACAAACCTGCCAATTCAACCAAGCATATTCTGCACTTTCACGGTACAGGGACCCCGCGCTGCAGAAATACGCCCTGGGCTCCCTCATCACAAGCATACTCGCTGCTTCCGGTTCTGGCAGCGCTGGCCTTGAGCAGATCCTTCACTTCCCTACCTCACTCATCCCCAATATCGCCTCTCATGTCGACGAGATTCTTTCCTCCCTTGCCCGGAAACAGCCCTCGTTTTCTTCTCTTCTAGACACGAGCAACAAATGGGCTCAAGGCACGGTCGACTATCAGAGAATCCTCCAAGCATACCGCATCAAGCGCGGCGACTACCGCGGCGCCGCAGAAGTTGCGTATCACAATGTCGAACGTCTCCGCCAAGCCCGCGACACTTCCACGCACCACCTAATCCTCTCAAAAGCCAAAGCAGGCGACACCTTCCACCCTCCCCTCGACGAGGACGACCCAGAGAGCAACGAAATCCGTCACGAGCTTCTGTCCCTCATCAACCTTCTCGCCTGCGTCGACAAAAGCGAAGCCTACATCCTCGTCGACCGGGATGAACAATGGCGCCCCAGTTCTCGCCGCCGCTCAAGCGTCAAACCCGAAGACGAAGACGGAAACATCTTTATGGACGACGCGGACATACCTACAGCCCGCCACGGCTCGATCGCCGGCCTCCGATTCTTCCCGAGCAAATCATCATCCTCCAGCACCACGAACCCCACCAAACCCCCATCATTATCCTTCCCATCCGCCACTACCCCCGCAGGATCAACAACGGCATCAGCTCCCGCAAAACAACCCTCACATTCCGTCCCGCGCCGCAGAGTAATCGTCACTCTCGACCACTTGCGTCGCGAATACCAGTCCGAACTCGACCGCGTCAGCAGGATCGAGCGCGGGGATTGGGAGTTTGGTCTCGACGGTGATAACGAGGAGGTCGAGGCTGATAATGATGATACGATGCTGCTTGCTTGAGCTTCTCGCTTAGGCTTGGTTTAGTTAGTTCGGTTAGTTAGTTGTTGCTCTTGGTCGGTTGGGCTAGGCTGGAGCTGGAGCTGGAGCTGGAGCATCTTTTCTAGGTTTTAGCAGTCTTGATATGGTTTCAATTTGCATTATCGCACTCCACATACGGCGTGCCTCTCTGTCCAAGTCTCTGTCTCTGTTCTAGGTCTAGTCATATTGCACGATACTCGGGTTGATTATGGATCGGCTCTGCACTTTTTTAATCGGACTAAATGAAGAGACTTGCATCTTGTGGTTAAGCTGTTTTCTTCCATCTTTTTCTTCCCGTAGTTTTTGTGTGGGGAGGAGACGGTATGTTAAACAACTCAGGTTCTCGATTTCACATGTACTGGCGGTCTAGATGGCACTTACAATGCATGGCATACACTTTCAACAGTATCCAGTAACGAAAGCATAATAGGAATTAAACATAAGCCAAGGTAGGTGAAGACAAGCTCATAGATGCTGAAGAATGTAAGGAAGGAAAAAAGAGCGGAAAAATTCAAACAAAACGCAATCCCACCGTGTGTGAGGGGGCACCTCACTATACCGTGGGTGAGGTATATATACCATGCTATCTAATCTCCTCAATCTGATCATCATGACTCTCATACTTCTCATACTTGCTGTATCCAAGGCCGAAACCCGAACCGGAGTCGGGGTTGGACCCAGCATAGTAGAGTCTTCGGAAATGAGACCCATCCTGGGATAACAGGTCATATGGGACTCCGGTCTCGATGATCCGTCCTTCCTCGAGGACGACGACCTTGTCGTAGTCGAGGATGGACTCGAGTTTGTGGGCTACAGTGAGCACAGTGTGAGAGCTGAATTTCTCGCGGATTACGCGCTGCATTAGTTCGTCTGTTCTCGTATCGACACTGTTGCTGCTGTTAGCTTCTGAGCGAGAGCCGGATGCTGAGGGTTCGAGTTTCAGGGGTGAAGGATTGGGGACATACTTGCTCATGGCTTCATCAAGGACAAGAATATTACCGGGGCGGAGAATTGCCCGGGCCAGACAAAAGAGCTGTCTCTGGCCGTGGGATAGGTGTATTCCGTCTATGTCTGCGTCTAGACCGCCGCCCTCGAGAACTTTTGTGTGCAAATTGACAGTTCTCAATGCGTCAACGATTGCTCGGTCTGAGATGGTGTCTGTGCCTATCGGGTTGGCGTTGAACCGCACGCTTCCCTTGAGCAAGAGAGAACTCTGAGAGACGCCATTGAGGCGTGCGCGAATTTCCTCCCGTGGAATTCTGGTAATGTCGATGCCGTCAATGGTGATGCTGCCGCTTCGGAGATCGAGCATTCGGAATAAGCTCATTATGAGCGAGGTTTTGCCACTAGTTGAGCTGACTTAGCGGATTGTCTCATGGATGGTAGGTATTGAACTGGCTTACCTTCCCGTCCTGCCGCAGATTCCCACTTTCTCGCCTGCCTTTATCGATAGGTTGATATCGCTCAAGACAGGTTCCGAAGCCCTCGATGTTGGTCAGCATCTAGACTTTCCGAAGGGCGTGATAGTGGTCGAAACCTACCTATATTCTGCAAACAGAGACTTGAATTCAATATTCCCCTCTGCTGGCCACTTCGGCGGGATTGGATCACGCTCTGTAGGCAGGTCCTCAGACTGAACGGTCTCAGTGAATGTTTTGACTCGTTGAATAGACCCAATATGAGTTTCGAGGTTGGTCCAGAAAGTCACAAGGAGCTTGATGCTCTGGCTGAACATGATGACATTCAGGAGCGCTACTCCAACATAGCCTGCACTGATATCCCCTCGCAGAGTGACCGCTAGAGTGATAAGTAGTACGGCGATGCCGGCAACCACTAGGTCGAGAGTGAGTGTGAGCCATCGCTGGACAGCATAGAGAAAATAGAACGGCCTCTGGGAGCGGTCTAGAAGCTGATAGTGCGTCTCCTGTAGTGAGTGTTGCCAGCCAAACGCTCGCAGAGTAACCAGTCCGCTGAGCGTATCTGTGAAGTGAGAGTATAGTGGTGCTTTTGCTTCCAGGTCTAAGAAACGTAGTTGTCTCGACGTTCGAAGATATACCTTTTGTATGAGGTAGACGGTAAGAAGGACGAACGGAAAAGAAATAGCGGCGTATTTGGAGGCAACGCCCATGAATGCCATTTGGCAGAGGCAGAGAACAAAGACTGTAGATATCAGCCCGTGGAACTTGACAAAGTAGGGGTTATTTTTGATCGGAAGGCCTACTGGCAAATGTATTTATGGCAGCAATAGGGAGCTCCATGTCAATCAGCTGTAGATCTTGGCTGAATCTGTTGAGGATAGAACCGCTGTCTGTGACGGAGAAAAACAACATTGGTGCACTGTCTTGCTTAGTACGCCTTTAAGAGTATATTGGGTAGTGGTTACCTTAGGACCGTCTTCAGAAGCTTCCTATGAAAGACTTCGCCCGATCGCGGCACCATCGTGATGATCATTTGCCTAAAATCAAGCGATGTGAGCCACAAGTGTCTCGGAAGCAAGTTGATAGAGCACGAACCATGCACCGGCGATCAAACAAAGCATTCCTACTACACCAAGCATCGCGTATATTCCCAAATAGTACCCGGTATCCCTGCCTGGATGGGTTTCGTTGGAACTAGCCCACCATTTCACCCAGATGCCTAGAGAGTAAAGTTAATATAAGAACGAGAAATAAGCACGCATCCACTTACTTGGGAAAGATATCGAGAATACGAAACCAGTGACTGCAATGCCGAAAAATAGGGTCGAGAGCCACCCTATAGAGCGAACATAGTATAGATAGACGGCGATATCTCCCTCGCCCCTATGGCTTCTTGATTCTGTCTCTAGGTCTTTCTCCAGGGAGTAGACAGATACAATCGCTGGATCTGCTTTGAGCTTTTCGTGAATTTTGACATCTGTGTCGGAACTCTCCAGCGCAAAACTCGAGATATAACCTCCGGCGGAGTCGAGGGCCGAGAAGCTGCCCTGCTCAGTGATGTACCCACGCTTATCAAGAACCACAATATGGTCCGCGAAAGGAACTCGTTTTACTGCAGATCACTGATCAGTAATAGGTTCAGACTATTGAATCTGAGTACTCACCGGAAGAAGAGGCAAGCAGTACTGTTGTACCCAGAGACCGTAGGAGGCCATGGTCTCCTAACAGGTGCAGAAATATATGGTTCTCCGTTTCTGTATCAAGGCTACTAAACACATCATCAAGGACAACAAACTCTTTCCTGGCATAAATAGCTCTCGCGATGGCCTCTCTGGACGTTAGTTCCTGAAAATCCGAGAGAATGAGAAAGACCCACAATTCGTTGGCTTTGTCCACCACTGAGCGAGATCCCTTTACTACCAATAACAGTCTCGTCTCCGCGAGGTAGTTGTTCAAAGTCCTTGGCTAGAGCGCAGGCATTTATAACGGATGTATACCAGGCTTTGTCGAAGACTGACATCCCCGTTATACACTCCTGGACTGTCCCGTTCATATGCCATGGTGACTGGTCACAGTAGGCTATGCTCTCAGTCGATAGCTGAATGGTTCCTTTACAACAGGGAACCTCGCCGAGAATAGCTTTAAGCAGGGTTGATTTGCCACAGCCAGACGGCCCAATCAACATTGAAAAGCTCCCAGTCGGGATCGTCGTGGTCACATTCTTGACATCCGCGTCCTTCTTGACGTCCCACCGGAATGTTCCATTGTGAACTGCAACCGTATGGGTAGGAAGTAGCGATGATGAGCCTTTTGAGGTCTCAGAGCGGCCCGATTCACTGAGAGCAACGTCTGAGTGCCCGACAAAGGCGAACTGCTGAGCCTTCAGAGAATAAGAGGGGTGGATCAGCATCTGATTCCTTGAGTCGACATGGCCGTCTTTCTCCAGAAACATTTGTATTCTCGCGAACGAGCCAACAGCGCCGGCGAATGCCATTAACGCCATGACGAGTGATAGAAGCGGATCTGCCAGAAGCGCAAATAGCGATAATGCGGTATACACCGCGGTTGTATCCAAAGCAGAATCATTGCCTCTATTGTGCTGGATTCCAACAAAGGCGCCAAAGGCGAATATAGGCGCAAAGATCCGTGTTAGCCAAGCTAAGCCAAACAGAAATTAGCACTATTATCCCCGTACCACAGCACAATAGCTCACCAAAAGCCATATTCCAAACCAGCAGCTTCCTAAACTTCCTAGAAATGTCCAATTCTTCTATGCGCAGACCGTGGACCAGTCTCAATAGAGAGGACTGGAGGCCGAGCATCTTGATACCTTTCATGGAGCCCAGCATTGAAGCAGTCGCGGATATGCGCCGCTCAATGGCTTCAAGCCACATTGCCTGCCTGGCGACAACCAAGCCCATCATTATCATGCATCCTACTAGGGCCACTATTATTGCATCCGGCATATCATTAGCGAGTTCTCTATACACAACCGAGACTTGGACGAGTCGAATGGCTTACCCACTGACACCCCGACTGGAACCACACATGCTATACCTAACTCTCTTTCCAAAAGAAAGACTGCAAGAGCTATTTCCGCAACGTTTGCCCATATCTCGTGCATGGTTTGCAAGCCTTGCACAATGCGCTCAATATCTGCGCTCATGAGGGTAACTGATTCAGCCGGGTCGGCATCTTTGAGATTCAGTGTGCACGCCTTTTTGTAGACCATTGAGACTATAGCTCCCCGAATCATTGTTATAGCGCGGTATGTTAGATGTTGTTGCTGTCCCATTGTAATCTATCGAAGCCAGTGTTAGCGTAGTGGATAGCTATATTGTGGCTCGGTACTCACCCCCATTCCAGCATACACTAAAATATACGCTCCAATCAACCCATATCCTGTATTGTTTGTTTCGTTGGTCACCGGCTCCACCGAGAACGTAAGTGACCGATGTAACAGTAGGGGTTGGCAGAAGTTTAGGGCGGCGAGGAGGGCTCGCGGAGGAAGGGCTGCGCAAATCTGCCATTTGAACGTCTTGAACGTGACAAGGAGAAAGGTATTTGAGCTGCTTTGTGCGACTAGGGTCTTGTTAGTATAATATGGATTACGAGTATACTTTGGGTGTTACCTTGACTCCATGAAGTTTCCAGACTCGAGTGCAGCCGCTCCGACGATAGTTGCTTGTCGAGAACAAAGAGATCATGAACGACAAGAGACCGTGTAAGCCCCTGCTGAAATAGAGGATTCAACCACCAGAAGAGAGCTTTATTGAAGATTCCTGCAGTAGCCTCAGGTGGATACGCCCTGTATTCCTCACGAAGGATTGGCCTTTTTTCCACAGCTTCAAGCACAAGCAAGAAAGACTTCAGGGCAACGACGACGGAGGTGATAATCGCAATCGTTTCGCTGACCCCGCCAAGTTGCCGAAGCCAGAGCGTCCTTGTTTTGGCAATGTCAAAGAGAAGGGTGATGAAGAGGTAGACGTTGAGGACGAAGGATGGGGTGACGGAGAAGTTGTGTTCGGTGTAGGAGAGAAGGCCGAGAAGAAAGGAAGCGAAGGTGAGGAGAGCGTTGATCGGTATTGAAGCATCGGTACGCGGAATAGATTGGCGAGCCCATTGAGTCGTCAAGACCAACTGCACGATTCCCAGGCAAGCCCATAGAGACTGCACAGGTCGCGCAAATAGTAAGTATACTAAGAAGATCGGAAGCACGATGGACTTGTCACTCACCAGTTTTGCATACTCCAAGGTCGACGGTACCACCTTGCGAGGCTTCCGAAACAGGTGCCATAAGCGCCATGGTAGAATCAGTACAATTATAGCCAGAGGCAGAGCACCCAGAATGACTTCCTCAAAAAGGAGAGAAAAGTCAAACCCTCCTCGGCATAAGGGTGGGATTGGACGGAGGGAGTTGTCCGCCCGTTGGCAGAAGGAGAGAGGGAATTGAAGCGCCATCACTGCCCGCTACAACTTTCACCCTAGATGCATACCGCGAAAGGTCTATAATGAAGCCTTTTAACGAGAGAAACTCCCTTTGATGGTTTGCGGGTTTCGGATTGATTTTCCTGCTCGGTAGCTATTACGTTATTTGTTTTTCTTGCGTTCAAATGCGCTAGTTATAGCGGAGCGAAGGATACTCTGCGAAGGGGCCTGCTACTCACATAACCTTGACAGTTCGCTGGATATACTCATTACGAAATCCCCTTTTCAGGGCTTGGGTGAAAACCGACGGGCGCCCGGCTGGGTACCTATAGGAAGGTACCGATATAGGTCCACGGTGTGGTTCCTCCGTCGCATTTTGAGCCAATGAAGATCAACAAGATTGAACGTCTGGCTGTTCCATCCTCTTACTAACTCGGTAGCTGAGCCCTAAATCTTACCTGCTCTGCTGCTGGAGCCAAGTGCGCATCAGTAGATAGGATGCCAACATCAGCTCGTGTTGGCAGACTTGGATCCCGATTCGTGTTGTTCCAGTGCCATATTGCCGGCGAGTATTTGGGCCCTACGCGAGGGTATATCTGCAGAGTTCGGAGGTAGTGGCAATAATCCTGGCCGCTCGCGTCTTGCGTGTGACGATTGACCTCCTCGAGCAAATCCCGGACCAACACGAGGAGATATGCTGTGTAACAAGAACCCAGTTACCTCCTAGGCGATCGATCCTGTCTTCCCACGCAACAATCGCTTTGTCGCTTTAAATTTCCGATCTATGTTAGTGCGCGACTCTCATGCATGGTAAGCGCTTGTTGATTATGGATCTGATCAGTCCTTTCGCCTCCACTCCAAGACTGCCAATGTGGTCGGCGCGCGCCACGGAAGATGCCTGACAAAAGTGCCGGATTTAAGGAGAAGTTGTATCCGTGCCTTTTCGAACCAGATGGACGATGAATTCCCGCTTATGAGTCGACAAAGGGCGCACAACATTGACCGATTGAGAACCTGGCGAGGACAGATTTTACCTGGTGCTCGCTCGGTGAGTCTCGCACTGATCGCTTCTGCAGACTCCGGTATCCTATCGGCTCGGATCTTGAGATGAATGTTGCGATTCGGACTGACATGGGATCACCAGTTTGCACCCGTGATTTCGTTCGGTTCCTTCATCATCCATCGAGTCATGCCCTTCAATTTTCAGCTCTGAATCATTTCGCTCGATTGAGTAATTCTGCCATGGACAACGGCTGGTCGAGACTTCGCGTTAGCCCTACACCCCTGCTTCCCACTGCAGATGGCGCGAGAGAAGGAGTTCGATGAGAAGAACCGAAGTTTGCGGCCGGTGTTTGCTGCATTGGCTAAGCCAGGAGAAATCAGGTCGGGATCCATGTCAGGCTGAGGCGGAGGTGCAGGACGAGGCGTCGCCGGACCGCAGGCCAGAGTGATCAGACTTCCTTACTTCTTCAGCGCATAACGCTCCTATTTGTCACAAACTATATTAATAGTCTTTCGTGGCGGCGCGCGCCGCGTTGAAGATCGCGATCGCAATCCATAATTTCTTTGACTATGCCGTCATCTAGGATTACAGGCAGGTACCCAGTCCCACTCATGCTGGCAGGCGCTTGACAAGCCTTGGTGTGGGCTGGGCTCTCCATGGCTGCATAGGAGACTCGGAGACTCGGTGATTTGGCCGAATCACGACCATTGTCTTGAATGTCTGGAAAAGGCCTTCTGCAGTGAAAAAGATAGTCAAAACGTCGTCCGGCTTAGCTTCGCGACTAGAGTTGCCACGAAGGTTTTTGAGGATCGATTTAATTTAGTCTGGGCTGGGCGTGTCGCTGACCTTACCGGAAGAGGAATGATGGGCATATCAAAAGTTTGCAGGTTCAGGGCTGGACCTCACCTGCGGGGAACAAGAAAAAGCAAATCCAAGATGAGTCGATGACTCCAAGTCACGTCTTTGGTCGTTATCCTGTCATATGCATCCATTGCAGTTCATTGCCTAGTATGGATAATGACACAGCTTCGTGTGGGCCAGACAGCATGCAACTCAACAGTCTGTCATTATTAGCGGCGGTTAGTTGTGGCCGAAAACCAGATTATGAAGAATTCGGTCTCCTTGCTTCCGGACGGAGTACGTACCTACTGATGCTAGATTGCACCGCGTCCACTGCCACTGACCATCTTCAATCTTCTGGTTTGAAAAGAACTTTGATTCCCCCGAGATTAGCTTTGCTCCTTCATTTCCCTTCACCCCTGGGATTGAGGTGAGTCGGAAACTTTTAAGCGAAGAGCGTGCACGTCACTAGCAACACAAAGTTCCATCAGTCTGTGCCGGATGGATAGACGGAGTAACAGATGTTGAGGATTATGATAGCACCAAGCCTTGGGCATCCGAGTACACGTCAACTGATCTTGGTGCAAAAAGTGGGATCTACGTCCGGATGTGGGGGGCGTCGATGAGATGGCATCAGATAGTAGATCCCCACTGATCCAATCAAGAGAGCTTCAGGAGGAGATTCGGGGTGCACATGGATATCATCGGCTACATGGAATATTCCTCTTGGCGGACCAAAGGCCGGCTTCGTCAAGGCTACCTTCTTAGAGTAGCATCTGGCCCGAAAGGATTCCGATGCTTGCAATTGTGGCTCTGCGCCTAATACACATGAACGCCGTCAGGTCCCAGTTATGGCCTCAGATTTAACTGGAAGAAGCCGGGGAGTAGCATCGACGGGCTTCTGGAACGTGGCACTTGAGAGATTCCTGGCCGGTGCCGTGGGGCCTCTCTTTATCGGATAGTTGAAATGAACACCATGGCAGCTTGCTCCTGTTGAGTAACCATCGAGAATGACGGACCTTTCCCGCCCTGACATTTTTCAACGCCATAGGGTCCTCCAGAGACCACGGGTAACTCGGTTTGCGCTCACAATCCGGGGTCAGTAGATGATGGGGGTCGGCCGTACTACGGATAGATCTCCGAGGGCATCCGTATCAGACGAAAGATGAATTTAACCAAAGCAAACCTGGTCCAGTATTAGTCTCTAAACATAAGCATGCCGTACAAGGATAAACTGAGAGCGTTTAGTGGAAGAAGATCCAACCTTGATGAGACTGGAATTCAGGGTCTGAACTCTGGAGTTGGAGGTTTCGTGTGGCTGCTCAGCTCGGCAGCAGCGAGGAATTTCACCATCTCCGAGTTTTCGTTTGCAAGTTCAATAACCGCGTTTCCAAGGGGGCATGACCTTCCGCTTCTTACCACAAACACTGAAGGATTGTTAACAACCATTCAGCTACCATCCCAGCTCGCTCCAGCTGCGAGCTACTACGGATATTCTACTTTCTACTGATCGGTGGATCCCGGGAAGCTCGTCTTAATAAATTGACGAATATAACCGCACACAGGGAGGCGATATCCTCGGGCCTGGCCTGCTCTCACGGCCCAACTGGGACTTTATCAGCCTCCCCATAGGCCCCGGAATAGTGCATACATGCTGGCTCCCTGTTCGTCTTTCAGGTCACTCACACTCCGATCCTTCGATGGCGAAAGAACGGAACAATTCCACGACCTTATGATTCGTCCCAGTGCAGCCTCAGCCCTGGCATTTTCCTGACCTCCGAGTCCCTTCTCTTACCTGAACGCCACTGGGCCACCCGCCTTACACGCTTCACCATGTGGCGGCCTGTTGGTTTCTGGGGGCTGAAGCCACTCGAAACTACGCTAGGCGCGTGCAGAGTTCGAAAGCCACCGAGCCAATTTAACGCATTCTCCACTTGTCTCGGGGATACGCAAGGGAATGCCGAATACTCTGGGCAAGTTCAATAGTGGATGAAGGCCAAAGCCTTAATGGCTTTCAGGGCGAGGCCCTGCCATTGGCTCTTGAGCAACCCATACTGACAGAGTACAGTGTTTGCGAGCACTACGAGGACTCCCTCTCGGTTGCATTGTTAGCTCCTCCAGCCTATTTTTGTCTGGGAGGGCAGAGGTCGCATGATACCAATCTCCTTTTTAAAGAGGATCCCCATACCTCAGTGCGCGAGGTTAGCGGATTTCTCGTCCATTTTTCTACCCATAAACTATTGTACATTATTCTATACTTACATCAACCTTTAAAATGGCTCAGCATGCACGGTGTTGTCTACCCAGCTTTGGTGCCTCTCTCGACGGCCCTAAACGACCCGTCTCGATCAAAGCAAAAACGACTCCAGCGCAGAAAGCTACATTGCTCTCCGCACATGAACATAATTCGTTGGATCCGCTGCTGAAAACCGCTTGGGGATTGCTGCTCCACCGATACACTGGCCTCGAAGATATCTGTTTCGGCTATGAACGCCTTGGTGTTGACGAGTCTTCGAGAACACATTTGTCAGACAAGAAAGAGCTTCTAACGTGTCGACTCAGCATTGACGAAAACGACTCAATTGAGACCATCCTGAACAGATCCACACGAGAGGACAACTTCAAGAATCGTCTTAGCTCAAATGAAGTCTGTGGTACCAACCACGATGATTATTCCCTATTCAATACTATTGTTCTGCTTCGCCTATGCCGGAATCGCATGAAAGGCGGAACTCCTGTGCGACCAGTACTGCCCACTACCCTCCCGGAGCAGGTATGTTAAACGTCATAATCTTTAGTTGTGACTTAGCCGCCTGACTTTTTGACAGTGCCGTGTCCGACTCCATGTGAAGGTGCTGCAAAGAGATATCTGCATCTTCTTAGAATGGTGGAACACCGAGATTTCGGTGACACACATGGAGAGCATTACTTGCTACTTTGAGCAGGTACTAGATCAGGCTATCTTCAATCAGGGCATAGCCGTAGCCGATACAGGATGTTTTTCAGAGCACGACTGGTCTCGAATCTGCAAATTCAACTCAACTCTTCCGCAGACTCATGACCGCTGTATACACGAGGTCATACAGGAGCAAGGGCAGCTTCACCCACAGCGCGAAGCTGTATGCGCATGGGATGGGAGTCTAACCTTTGAAGAGCTGGACCATCTAGCCTCAAAGGTTGCATATCACCTACAATGCAATGGCGTTGGCCCCGAGACTCTTGTGGCCCTCTGTTTTGATAAATCGGTACGTACAATTCTTCGAGCCGAGGATTGACTACATCTTGCGGGTTGAAGGACTCTTTTCACGGATTTATATCGGCTTCGTCATTATTATGACCTCGCTAATCATATATAGAAATGGAACATTGTGGCAATGCTCGGCGTCCTAAAAGCTGGAGGAGCGTTTGTTCCACTCGACCCGACTCATCCGACACCTCGCCTTCGCTCTTTAGTGAAATCTATCGACGGAAGGATTATGCTCTGCTCTAGAAATAGGGAGGAAGCATTGAACATGGTGGTAGAAAACCTGATATCGCTGGATGAGCAGTTACTCGACGGCATCTCTCTTCCGCCTGGAGGAGATATTAGATCAGGAGTTAAGAGCGAAAACGCAGCCTACTTGATCTTTACTTCTGGCTCAACTGGGCAACCCAAGGTCAGATTTCCGACTACTTTATGCTTGAGTTGTCTAACTTTCCTCAGGGCACCTTACTTGAGCATAGAGCGTTTGTTTCGTGTGCTGCCGTATTTGCCCCACGCATGAACTTTGATTCGGATTGCCGAAGCTTACAGTTTGCGGCCCACACTTTTGATGCAAGTCTTGCTGAATCGTTAGCACCGCTGATGCATGGAGGCTGTGTGTGTGTGCCAAACGATGGGGACCGCCTGAATAACGTTATTCACGCAATCAACGAGCTTCGAGCCAATAATGCCACTTTTACACCATCGTTTGTGAGATTTATCAACCCGTCGGATGTTCCGGGAATGAAGACACTTATCCTAGCCGGAGAAGCGATGTCCATGGTTGATGTGGAGACGTGGTCTCATATCAATCTGATAAACGGATACGGGCCCAGTGAGGCTTCAGTTTGTGCCGCAATCAACACGAACGTCCGGATATCTGCTGATTGTGGGGATATTGGAGTGCCAACAAGCGTGCGCTTCTGGGTGGTATGCCCGAATGATCACGATAAACTTGTTCCTGTTGGAAGTCCGGGCGAGTTACTACTCGAGGGTCCGAGCCTCGCTCGATGCTACTGGAATGACCCGCAGAAAACGGAGGAAGCTTTCATCTTCAACCCTGCATGGGTTTTACGCGATCCTCACTGCGGCGATCGCAGATTTTACAAGACTGGGGACTTGGTAATGTATAATTCCGATGTGGGTTCATTGACATTTTTAGGAAGGAAGGACACGCAGATCAAACTTCATGGCCAGCGGATTGAGCTAGGGGAGATAGAGAACAATATCAGCTCTCTTCCCAGGGTAAAGCACTGCTTGGCCTTCCTCTCCAAATTGGGCTCCGCCAGAGGGAAAATCGTGGCCGTGATCTCCATGCACAGCAACTCATCCCCGGACTCAGCGATACTGGAACCCTTACCTCAGGCGGACAGATCACGAATTATGGCAGATCTTCGTGCGAATCTTTCCAAGCAACTTCCAACTTACATGATACCGTCGGTATGGTTATGTGTTCAAGCTATGCCATTACTCCCGTCAGGAAAGTTGAACAGAAAGGAGATTGTGAGCTGGGTCGCTCGCCAAACAGACAATGTCGAAGATCAGGCTTCTCTATGCGGTGATCACGAGCCTGAAAAAGCCATCCGCCCTGAGAACACGGTAGAGGATCGGATAGCGTCAATATGGAGTCGTGTTCTTAACATCCCGCGGCAGGAACTGGACCTCGAAGAGGGCTTTTTGAGCTTGGGTGGCGACTCTATCGCTGCTATCACTTGCATGGGTCATTGTAAAAAACAAGGAATGGGCGTTACTGTGCAAGACGTGCTAGAATGCAAGTCTATTCGACATCTGGCGACGCGTGTCAAGGAGATCGACCAGCCAGTGGTGTACCATGAAGTGACTGAGGTATCCTTTGACCCTTCTCCTATCCAGAGACTTCATTTCATGACCCGGAGTGAGGGTCAAGGCTACTTTAATCAGGGTGTTCGTACCCGATTAAATAGACCGGTCCGTGAACACGATCTACAACGCGCCATTGAGACCCTTATTGAACGCCATTCTATGTTGCGAGCGCGCCTTGTCGAGTCGCCATTGGGCTCTCTCCAATTACGTATTACTACAGAGGTGAAGAGTTCATATCGTTTGCGAGCGTACGACAGTGGTAAGCAGTCTGACCTGGAAAACGCCATTTCAGAGAGCCAAGCGTGTATAAATGCGCTTGATGGACCTCTTCTCTCCGTGGACCTCTTCCAAGCTGAGCATGATGGTTGTTTCTTATCAATGGTTGCCCATCACTTGGTTGTTGACATCGTGTCTTGGAGGATTATTTTGGAGGATCTTGAAGACATCCTAATGAATCCCGAGGCGAAGACGCCCAGTACCAACTCCCTTCCATTTTCGACTTGGTGCCATCTACAAGATGAACATTCACGGACTCTGGAATCAGTTTCTAGCGACCCTCCTGCCGTCGACTTTGCTTACTGGGGAATGGAAAACCAGGTGGCTACCTACGGAGATGCTACCTGTGAGACATTTGAGCTTGACCCAGACGATTCGCATCTGATTCTACTGGACTGCCACAAAGCACTCGGAACCGAACCAATTGATATTCTCCTCGCCTCGCTGCTGTACGCATTCGGTAGAACATTCAGGGACAGGGCGCTACCTGTCATCTATAATGAAGGCCACGGGCGAGAAGTTTGGGACTCATCTCTTGACATATCCCGCACGGTGGGCTGGTTCACAACGTTGTTTCCAATCTTAATAGCTCGACAGGCAGCAGAGGATCCGGTCGACACAGTCATACATGTCAAAGACCTCCGCAGATCCGTTTCCGATAATGGAAGGCAAGATTTCGCAAGCCGCATTCTAGCAACAGGCTTGAACGGAAGATTGAAGCATCCAGTTCCCATGGAGATGTCATTCAACTATGTTGGCCAGCATCGTGATCTGCAACGACAAGATGGCCTCTTCCAACTCATGAACCAGATGGCTGGCGAAACCGGCCAAGGTGGAGGCTCATCAGACTATGGGAAAGACACTCCTCGATTTGCGCTTTTCGAAATCTCAGCGCTTGCCGTGAATGGAAGACTCCGCTTTACATTCTCCTTCAGCAGGCACATGCTGCATCAGGAGAGTATCCGAAGATGGACCGCTAGCTGTAGTGATGTGCTTCGATCTCTTGGCAACAAACTTCGATCACTCACACCCAAGCCAACTTTGAGTAGTTATCCGATGCTTTCTTTGACGTACGAGGACCTCGATCACCTAGTTTCGGCAAAGCTACCAAGCATCGGCGTGAGCTCCCCAGACCTCGTTGAGGACATATATCCGTGTTCTCGCATGCAGCAGGCGATGTTGCTTGCGCAATATCGAGATAACTCTCTCTACGCTGTTCATTCGACTTACGAAGTGAGAGGACTGGAAGATAAGCCTGATCCTATGAGACTTGCGATGGCATGGAGGATGGTCATTTCCCGCCATGCGATGCTTCGTACCTTGTTCGTGGACAACCTGACCACTCAAGACCTATTCTCTCAGGTAGTGCTGAGGTCCTATGACCCGCCTTTGAGCCATTTGGCCTGTTTAGAAGACAAGGATGTGCTTCCAACCTTCAACAGTCAACCCCCTGCAGCCCACGACAAGCATAAACCCCACCATCGACTCACTACCTGCGAGACTGCAGAGGGCAGACTGTTTGTCAGGTTGGAACTGAGCCACGCGGCGATGGATGGTGTAACGATCTCAGTGATACTGAAAGATCTGCAGCGCGCCTACGACGGAAAACTGGATTATCACAGGCCATTGTTCAAGAATTACATCCACCATCTGCGCAACATCCCGCAAGCTAGCAGTCTCGCATACTGGCGGATGTACCTGGAGGGTGTCAAGCCTTGTCTCTTTCCTGTCCTTCTCGATGGTCAGACTGCCCCGCCAAAGGCATTCAAGACCATCCAGCTGAGCTTTGGCCTGTTCAATGAGCTGCAGGCCGTCTGCGGACGAAGACACCTTACCATGTCGACTGCCTTTACTGCCGCCTGGGGACTCACGCTTCGTCACTTCTGCAACTCAAACGACATCTGCTTCATCTATCTCGCATCTCTCAGGGACTCGACGGTTGAGGATATTGAGGCAGTTGTTGGGCCCGTGATCAATCTTCTTGCGCTTCGAATGAGGGTTTCCGGAAAGGATTCCATAAGAGACATCCTGCAAGCAGTCCAAGAAGATTGCCTGGAGCAGCTAAACCATAACTGTTTATATATGGCCGACATTCAACAGGAGCTTAAACTCTCAGATACCGCCTTGCTCAATTCCGGAATCTCCTATCAAAGACCAGCAAAACTTGACATCAAGCACTCCGCAGACATACAATTCTCCCAAGTTGGCACGGTCCACGACCCCGCTGAGTACCCACTGTTTGTCAATGTTGTCGCCTCAGACAAGAGTGCAGACATTGAACTGAACTATTGGACGGACATGTTGTCTGATGGGAATGCACAAAATGTAGCCAGCATCTTTCTCAAGTACTTGCATGACATTGTTCACCACCATGAAGAGCGAATTGACCAGCTAGAACCGCTGAGCGAGCGAAACCAGCAGCATATACGGAGATGGAACAAGCAGCCGCTTGAGGACCCCGAAATCAGTGTCGACGACCTTGTTCGTGAAAAGGAAGCTGCCCACCCCGATGCCCAGGCCATTACAGCTTGGGATGGGCATTTCACATACTCTGACCTCGACAGATTGTCCTCAGGCCTGGCAATCTATCTTGAGCAGTTTGGTGTAACTACGGGAACCTTGGTGTCAGTCCGTATTGACAAATCCCGATGGCAGGTTGTCGCTATCCTTGCTGTTCTGAGGGCGGGAGGAACTTGTGTCCCGCAAGAAGAGACTCGGTTCGAGAACAGTCTGGACAATTGGGCTCCCGAGAATGGCGTACAGATCGCCCTCACGTCTCCATCCAATGCCGCATCATCAGAGGAGACGTACCCAGTCGTCATCACCATCGATGAGTCGCTGTTTGAGGCTCTTCCTGATTACGGTGCAGCGACCTATCAACAAACAAGCCCTTCAAGTGAGGGATATGTTGTCTTCACCATAGATAACCTTGATCAAACCTCAGCGGTTGTTCTAAGGCAACGGTCGATTATAAGCCGAGCGGCAGCGTTTGCAGCGTCCCTCAGCCTGGATTCGAGAACGAGGACATTCCAATCCGCTCCGTATAGTTCTGATATGTTCCTACAGGAATTGTTCGGCACAATGTTCAGTGGAGGCTGCCTCTGTATCTCCGAGAACGATCCCGCCTTGGGGTTATCAGAGTCAATCAACCAGACCAGCGCGAACTTCGTCTGCCTGACCCCATCGATAATTGCCAACTTGCGTCCTACGGATGTTCCAGGCATCCAGGTCCTTGCTCTCCATGGAGAGCTTCCGACAAGAGCGACCAAGGAAGTATGGTCGGAGAAAGTTCGACTCCACAGCTTCTTCGGAATGGCCGAGTGCTCTTCCACTTGTATTCACGAGTCTGGATTCAACAAATTAGGCACATTACAGACCATTGGGGCAAGCACAGGCTGCTGCTCATGGCTTGTTGATCCCTCAGAGCCCTCTCGCTTGGTCCCTGTGGGGTGTGTTGGCGAGCTCCTCATCGAAGGCCCTGGCGTCTCTCATGGTTATCTTTATGATGAAAGTCGAACAAAAGATAGGTTCATCAAGTCGGGCAACAACGATATGGGATCATTCTTGCTATCCTCAAAATCGTCTCGTCAGATGTTTCGAACGGGCCAATTGGCTCGCTACAATTCCGATGGAACCCTAGTGTATCTCGGAAAGAGAGACCAGACGATTAACCAGGACACACAGATGTTGGCTCTAGAGATAGAGCAGCGTTTGGAAGGCCTGGACCTGACGGGCAAACGATGCGTTGTAGAAGCTCTTGACTTGCAGGGCAATAAATCTTCGGATAACTGCATTGCGATCTTCGTGGTGCCAACACAAGGTGTCTCAACCCTTGCCAACCAGGAGAAAGATGTGATGGCTCCGAAAAGTACTGAGTTTCACCAGCTCATTGTCAAGATTCAGACCCATCTTTCTAGCTCGCTGCCCTCAAGCCACGTTCCCAGCCTGTATTTCCCCGTCAATGTTCTGCCACTGACAACCTTGGGAACGGTGAACCGCTACCTGTTGAGACATAGCGTGGAAACACTACCTGCGGAAATTTTGCTCGAATATGACCTTAAAAGGTTTGGAACCTTCTGGCGTCATGAGCTAGGGGGACTATCACCCTCAGGCTCGGGCTTGTTGCAGATTCCTGCTACCCAAGAGCAACCAGCTCTTAAGTATCTTGACAGCGGCCTTAGAATCCCTTGGGGTGGTTTGCTGCAAGCGGACAAGGCAAAAGCTCCTCTGCTCGGTGCCTGGGCATTAGGTGTCTACAGCTATACTCACTGCGAGGACATTGTAATAGGAGATGCGACGGCAGAAACAGCACGGATTGTGCCTCGGCGAGTCAAGCTCAACAGCGTGGACAGTATCGCTGGGCATCTGGGCCGAGTATCGTCTTCATTGGCCGCAGCCAAGCCATTTGAGAAGACATCCCTTTCATCAATCAAGAACCTGAGCGCGGAAACAGCTCGAGCTTGCAGCTTTGAAACAGTGCTTTTCGTTTCGGATCGAGTCGACCAGCAAAGTACCCTCCTAGAGCGCTTGGAGACCGAAGAAAACACATATTCCGAGCTTAGCGGCTACCCACTTGTGATGCTCTGTACACTAGAGCAAGACGAGTTGCTCGTGACCGTCCGTTATGATGAAAAGGCTCTGTATTCTTCGCAGGTTGCCCGACTAACGAGCCTTTTTGGTGAATTTTTGGGGCTCTTAAGATCAGCATCAACACTACAAGAGCAAGTCAGCAATCTGGCGGAAATAGGTGGGGACATTCATGTCCTCAACGACACGGTGGCCTATTGGAAGAATCAATTGACTGAGATCGAGCCATGCTTGTTCCCGGCATTGAGCCCTAATGGAGCATCAACCAGGTTCAGCGTGGAAAGTCTGAGGCTATCGAATTCCTCAAGGATACACAGCGCCTGCAAGCCTCTATCAATAACGCCCAGCGCTCTCCTTCAAGTGATCTGGGGTCTGGTGCTTCGGTGCTATACAGGCTTGGAAGATGTGTGCTTCGGCTACTACGTCTCGCCTAAGACAACCCCCAGTGGCATTCTACCTTGTCGGTTGAGCTTACACGACAGCCTGAAGCTCAAAGACACCATTTTGGGCCGAAAAGAAGACATGGACCGCTCATTGAAACATCGAATGCCGCTTTTCGAGATCCGCCGGGCCATTGGAATGGAGGACTCTCCGATATTCAACACTGCTTTCAGATACAGGAAGTCCTCCGCAGGAGCAACAGAGTTCAGCAACACAATCCTGAATTCGAACAATGACGGGATGAACCAGCACCTCATTGTTGTCACTGCAAGCGTCTCTGGTTCTTCTGGAGAAATCAACTTTGAGTACCAGCCATCATGCCTTTCGAGGAGCGATATCGACAGCATCGTTGACTGCTTCGAGCACACTCTGAACTCGGTACTCGCTACGCTAGGTTCAGACTGTCAGATTCAAAGTGTCGAGTTTTTCGGTCCACGTTCTTGCCAGAAGGTGGGCAAATGGAACGCAAATCTTCCACCTGAGCCCAAGCGATGTGCACCTGAAGTTATCCAAGGCCAAGTCCATGCCCATCCAACGGCATCTGCTATATGCTCTTGGGATGGAAACTTCACATACGCTCAGCTTGACTTTCTGTCAACCAAGCTCGCGTGCCACTTGATGGACCGTGGTGTTGGGCCAGAGGTGTTTGTCGGCTTATGCTTTGAGAAATCAGCCTGGGCTATTGTTGCACAAGTTGCAGTACTGAAGGCCGGCGGAGTCTTCGCATCCATGGATCCTTCTCACCCTGAAAGCCGCTTGAAAGGCCTTGTTGACGATATCAATGCGCGTCTTGTACTGTGCTCGGCTCAATATTTGGAGAAAGTGTCACGGATAGCTGGTTCTGCGTTGGCCATCAATCAGGACACGGTTGGGCAGCTTTCAAATACATCCACTGCCAAGGACTTCCCATCCTTGAACATTCGAAATGCTGCTTACGCAATCTTTACATCTGGAACCACCGGAAAGCCCAAAGTAACTATTCTTGAGCATGCTGCGCTTGGAATCGCTGCATCGTCGTTCACAGAAGCCTATGAAATGGGCCCAGGCACTCGCGTGATACAGTTCTCAAGCTACACTTTTGACGTCAGCATCTTTGAGACCATTATCACCATCATGACAGGTGGGTGTATCTGCATCCCGCGCGATGACGAGCGAATCAACGACCTTGCTGGGGAAATCAGAAGGATGGAGGCAAACATGATCGCTTGTACACCATCTGTGACCGACATCCTGGATCCAGCCAGTGTCCCGAGTTTGAGAACCATCATAAACGGGGGCGAGAAGCTCACGGAAATGCACATAACTCGGTGGGCTGATAGGAATCATTTCAACGCGTATGGTCCCTCCGAGGCTACTATCATCGCCACTTCAAGTCGAAAGGTTGATCAGCATGGAGCACGCCTTGACGATGACAGCAACTCGATTGGTACTGCGGTCTGCGGCAGAGCCTGGATTGTTGACCCTTACAACCATAACCGACTGCTTCCTGTCGGCGCTGTTGGAGAGCTAGTGCTAGAAGGGCACAATATTGCGCGGGGTTACCTCAACAACGAGAAGAAGACAAAAGAGGTATTCATCGATCAACCTCGGTGGTGCCGCACTCCAGGATTTCGAAACGTCTTTCGGCGCACTGAACGAATGTACCGGACTGGAGACTTGGTACGCTATAAGTCTGATGGAAATATCTGCTTCATCTCTAGAATCGGCACACAAGTCAAGCTGAACGGTCAGCGTGTTGAGCTGGAGGAGATTGAACAGCAATGCATCTCGCTGTCACCAGCAGGTACTCAGGTTGCTGTTGATATTGTAGTCCCAGAGACCAAGACCGTCTCCAAATGCTTGGCTGCTTTCTTCACGGTGAAGGAATCAGTGTCTCGAGGCAAAGCGTCGAAAAACGACGTATTATCCAACGTTCTACTTCCTGTCTCTGACACCATTCGGGCATCAATTGGAAAGCTCCAGGCATCTCTCAATCAAGCCCTTCCGCAGGTCATGATACCGAAGCTTTACTTTCCTGTGCGATACCTCCCTCTGGGCACTACTGGAAAGCTTGACCGGAAGGGACTTCGAAGGATGGCTGAGACCCTCACTAAGGAGCAGTTGAGACAGTACATGAACTCCACTTCCGGTCAAGAGCGGGCAGCAGAACAGGCAGTAGAGTCGACTCTTCGAGATCTTTGGGGAGAGGTCCTTCAGCTTGATCCGGGTTCGATCAGCGCTGCTGACAGCTTCTTCGCACTTGGTGGCGATTCCTTCTCCGCTATGAAGCTAGTTGGCACCGCAAGATCTCGAGATATCTCTTTGACTGTTGCTGATATCTATGGACATCCCATCCTGTCTGATCTCATTCAGTGTTGTGGAAGCGTCAAGGTTGAAGTCGAGAAACCAAGCCTAGAGCCATTCGCTCTTCTTCCAGACTCGGCGTCGCTACAGGCTATCATGGAGGAGGTCTCCAGCCAGTGCGATGTCGCCGAAGAGACAATATCGGACGTTTATCCCTGCAGTGCTCTGCAGGAAGGCTTGATTACGCTTTCGATTCAGCATCAGGGGGCCTATATTGCTCGATCCACTTTCCAACTTGCTGCTACGGTTGATATTGGAAGATTCAAATCTGCGTGGCAGCAAGCCGTGGACGAATTTGACATTCTCCGGACGCGAATCGTGCACACGGAGGCGGCTGGATTCCTCCAGGTTGTGCTTCATGAGGAACGGATCTCGTGGACCATTGAGACGACGTTCGATGACCTGATGCAAGACACACTTGAGAGCAACGGAGGACTGTTGGCAAAATATGCCATTGTTCATCACGAGAACTCGGAGCGCTACTTTGTCTGGGTGGTCCATCACGCTCTCTATGATGGATGGAACGTTCAGCAGTTCTTGACAAGAGTCGAGAAGATCTATATGGGTACTCCGGCTCAAAACTCAACGGTGCCCTACAAGTTCTTCATCGATCATTTACACCAGCGGGATCTGACTCAATCGGATGAGTTCTGGAAGTCATACCTCCACGGCTTCTTCAGCCCTCCTTACCCTCCGCAGGCGAACAGGCTATCATATGATTCTAGCACACGAAATGTGCAACGTGCCAGGGTTGATCTCCCACAAGTATCTGGGGTATCTGGCCTTACCATTCCCGAGCTTATTCGTGCTGCATGGGCTATTGTGCTTTCCGTTCACACTGCCAATGAAGATGTCTGTTTTGGCGAAACCCTGATGGGTCGAAATATCGACATGCCCGGCATCACAGATGTGGCTGGACCAGTTTTGGCGACAGTCCCCGTACGTATAACAGTCAATAACAAGCTTCCAGTGATCCAGTATCTGCATGATGTACGCCAAATGGCAGCGACGATGATCCCGCATCAGCATTCTGGGCTTCAGAGAATACAAAAACTAAGCAGTGACGCTGCCCTTGCTTGCAACTTCCAGAACCTGCTCGTGATTCAATCGAATGATGTCCAACTCAGCGATGATGTTTGGAGGCCTGAAAACTTTGAAGTCAGAAGCGACTTTTTGACTCACCCTCTTGTTGTTGAGTGCACACTTTCCCGTTCTGACTTAGTGATTCAGGCCTACCACGATGAGAGAGCGCTCGATATTTGGCACGCGAAAAGACTCGCCGAACAGTTTAGCTTTGTACTTGAGCAACTCATCAATGTTCCCCAGGAGAGTTCAATTACAGTTGGTGACATTGACGTCGCTAGTCCTCTAGACAAGAGGGAGATTGCATCGTGGAATCAGCGACAAGTGCAGTGCGTCGACAGATGTTCTCATGACATTATTAGCGAACAGGCACTCAGGCAGCCGCACGCTCCTGCTATCTGCTCCTGGGATGGCGATCTTACCTACCACGAGATGTTGGACCTCGCCTTCCCTTTCGCGAGATATCTTGTCTCTTGCGGAGTAGGTCCCGAGACCTTTGTGCCAGTTTGTCTGGATAAGTCTCTATGGGCAATGGTCGCTATTTTGAGCGTTCTGCTCGCAGGAGGCGCTTTCGTTCCTCTTGATCCTTCGCATCCGACCTCCAGGCACAAGGAAATCCTAGCTGAGGTGGATGCAGACATCATCCTGTGCTCTCCACAACACCGCAGCCGCTACCTTGGATCCGTCAGTACAATTATACCCGTCAGCGAGGAAAAGATCAAGGCCTATGGTGCAATCAAAAGTAGCACGAAGCCGCATACCAACGCAACCCCGTCAAACATGGCCTATGCGATTTTCACCTCAGGAAGTACAGGGCGTCCAAAAGGCATTGTCATTGAACACCGCTCGGTTTGCAGCAGTGTCTTAGCCTTTGCTCCTGTCAAAGACCTAGGCGCCAATTCCAGGGTCTTCCAATTTGCTTCTCTCACATTCGACGCTGCCATCCTAGAAGTCCTTGGCACATTGATGCTTGGAGGCTGCATTTGTGTCCCCAGTGAGGATGAGCGTCTGAACGATATCTCAGGCGCAATGCAACGAATGATGGTCTCCTGGACGTTTTTGACACCCTCTGTTGCTTCCATCATTGAGCCATCGTCTGTGCCATCACTCAAGGTGCTTTCGTTGGGAGGAGAGAAGCTTTCCCGGGAAGTGGTGGCTAAGTGGGCGAATCATGTGAAGCTGTTTGGAGGCTATGGTCCGACTGAAACTGTCATATTTGCTGTTGTGAATAGTGATTTTGTCAACCATGATGCAGCCTGCATTGGTTATGGGATTCCATGTACCCTAACCTGGATTGTCGATCCCGAAGACCATAACCGACTCACCCCCCTGGGCGCGATCGGGGAACTCGCCTTGGAAGGGCCAGCTCTTGCAAGGGAGTACCTCAAGAACCCCAACAAAAACGCAGAAGCCTTCATCAATGAACCTGCTTGGGTGAAGAACTTCCCCAGTACCCTGCCCTCACCCAGGAGGATCTACAAAACAGGCGACCTGGTTAAGTACAACACTGATGGGTCAGTTGAGTATCTTGGCCGCAAGGACCACCAAGTCAAGCTGCATGGACAGCGGATGGAGCTAGGGGAGATTGAACATCGCTTGCTTGATAGCCCGAATGTCCGTCATGCTCTTGTGATCTTACCACAGACAGGCTGCCTCAAGCAGAAGTTGGTTGGCATCTTGTCTTTGAACTCGCTTGCCTCGGAGTCAGGTCTCAACTCGGGCGGTACGTTGGAGCTCCTGAGCCCTAACGACATGGCGAGAGTTGGACAACGGGAAATCAGCGCAATCCAAAAAAGTATCGAAGAGCAGCTACCTATATACATGGTTCCACAAGCTTGGGTGGTTGTCAAGAATGTTCCGATGCTTGTTTCTGGAAAGTTGGACAGGAAGAGAGTCACTCATTGGATTGACCATCTCGAGGAGTCTGCATACAATCGCATTATGCAAGACTACGAAGATGTGACTCCTGATACTGTTGAGCAAGAAGATCATGATAATGCCAACTCGACAGTTGAAATCATTCGAGATATCTTTGCTCAGGTCCTGAATCTGCCCTTACACAAGGTTGATCCAAGTCGATCGTTCATCAACCTGGGTGGCGATAGCATTACCGGGATGGCCGTCGTGTCAAAGGCACGTAAGAGCGGCTTGAACTTGCCTCTCAACCGTGTTCTGCAAAGCAAATCTATAGAGTCGCTTTCTTTGTGCTGCGAGGCGAAGAGTCCGGAAGCACAGAAGGCGAAAGAGTCGACGGTCTCTTTCAGACTCTCTCCAATTCAGGAGTTATTCTTCCGCGCATCCCCTACCGCGCCCAAGTCCTCGGGTCGATTCAATCAGAGCATAACGGTTCAGCTTACTCGAAAAATCCAGCCGAGTGTCCTGAAGAATGCGGTTCACGCTCTTGTCCAGAAGCATTCCATGTTTAGGGCACGCTTCAGCAAGTCAGCGGATGGAACTTGGCAACAGAGAATTACAGATGTGAGTACTATTCCCTCCACCTCCTGGGAACAGAGCTAATTATTTATCGTAGGACGTCAAATCTTCGTTCACGTTCCGCACTCATTCAATCAGGAGTCAGAGCGATATGTCGAGCAACATCGTGGATAGCCAACGCTCCGTTGACATCCAAATGGGACCAGTGCTTGCCGCAGAACTTTTCGAGTGCGATGGGCCGCAGATTCTCTTCCTCACAGCCAGCCATTTATGCGTTGATGTTGTCTCCTGGCGCACTGCACTGCAGGAACTTGAAGACTTCGTCAATACTGGATCTATATCTGCAAGTGCACCATTATCCTTCCAATCTTGGTGTAGCCTGCAGTTAGATAACAGTAAAGTCGTCAAAAATCCCCTTGATGTTGCTTTCCGTCCTCCGGACCTGGATTATTGGGGTATGAATGGCCGGCCAAACAACTACGGGCATGTCAAGATGGATAGCTTCACCTTGGACAAATCAACCACGTCATTCATCTCCCAGGGCTGTCATCATGTTCTCCGCACCGAAACTATTGAAGTCCTCCTTGCTGTCGTGCTTCACTCCTTCAATCTTACATTCGCAGACAGGGATACTCCGACAGTCTACAATGAAGGTCATGGACGTGAAGTCTGGGGTCCAGCTGATCCTTCGGAAACGGTTGGATGGTTTACTACCTTATCCCCTCTGCATGTTCGACGGACTTTAGGTGAGATTTGATTGGTACTTTCCGCGCGTGGATAATATTGACTATGTATAGACTTCTTCGATACCCTGAAGCGTGTGAAGGACACAAGACGGCGAGCCGCGGGATACAACCGGACCTTCTTCGCTCGAAATATCCTGCATTCCAGCAGCAACAACGAGGCCAACAAGTTCCCTATTCCGCTTGAGATTCTGTTTAACTACCTTGGTAAACTTCAACAACTAGAGCGTACCGACTCGTTGTTCCAGCATCACGGCAATGTCTTCGATTCAGAAGCCCTGTTGTCGACAGGAGATATGGGCCCAGAGACACCGCGGTTCGCGCTGTTCGAAATTTCCGCACTGATAGTAAAGGAGCAGCTGCATGTCTCGTTTACATACAATTACAACATGCAACACCAGGCTCGAATCCAGACCTGGATCAGCGAGTGCAAGCAAGTGCTCGAAACAGACTTGCTAACGCTAAGAACCTGTTCATCGGAGCCTACCCTAAGCGATTATCCTCTACTCCCCACCACATACGACGGGCTGAAGAAATTGACTAACACTGTTCTTCCACGACTCAACATAGAACATTGGGACCGGGTGGAAGATATCTACCCCTGTTCCCCTGTACAGGAGGGCATACTCCTCAGTCAACTTCGGGATCCGCAGGGGTATACGTTCAATGCTGTCTTTGAAGTGTATTCTGCTGGAAACCATCATGGCATTGATCTCGCAAAGCTCAAGAGAGCGTGGTCTATGGTTGTCGCTCGGCACTCGGTTCTTAGAACAGCATTCATCGACAGCGAGTGCAAAGGAAGTTCGTTCGACCAGCTTGTTCTCAAAAAGATCAATGAAACCGCGATTGAGATTGAATGTGACGATTCATATGCGGTCGACAGTATTGATGGTATCCGCATGCAAGGCACCAGCTCAAACATCTGCCACCAGTTGGTATTCTGCAAGACATCTACTGGCCGAGTACTTCTCAAGGTTGAGATGAATCATGCCATCATCGACGGGGGATCAATGTCTATCCTGCTGAGAGACCTAGCATTGGCCTACAGTAATCGCCTCCCATCCGGACCAGGGCCGCTGTTCAGTGAGTATATTAAGTATACCAGGAGCGAGTCGCGAAGTGATGCTCTAGCCTATTGGAAGGGGCATCTGTCTGGTGTTCGTCCTTGCCACCTTTCCGTCTCCGCGAGCAACAACGGCGTCCGTGAGCTTGGCTCTTGCATGATGGCATTTGATCGTTTTGCTGAACTTCAGCGCTTCTGCGAAGTCAACTCCATAACGTTCGCGAACCTCACTCTGTCCGCGTGGGCGATAGTCCTCCGCAGCTACACCAAGTCCGACGACGTTTGTTTCGGGTACCCTTCTACCGGGCGTGATCTACCTGTTCCTGGAATCCAGGAAGCGGTTGGAATCTTTATCAACACCCTGTGCTGTCGTGTACGGTTCCAAACTGGCCAAACGTTCCTCGACCTGTCCAAGTCCGTGCAGAATGATCATATTGAGAGCCTCTCGTTTCAGCGCGCTTCGCTTGCAGAAATTCAGCATACACTTGGTGAACGCGGAGAGTCCCTCTTCAATACGTGCATTTCGATTCAGAGTCACACAGACGACAGTCTCGCGGATGCAGACCTTTCCTTCGAGTTCTTGAAGGCATACGACCCCACTGAGGTAAGATATCATAGTGCTCCAATCATTATACGACTGTACACTAATTTAAGGTCATAGTACCCTATCACTGTAAATGTGGAGACTGCCCGAGGCCGCGAAGGGATACTCTTGAGGTATTGGGCGGATGCTGTGTCAGAGGCAGAAGCGACTGGCCTCGCCCAATCGATAGCTAAGGTGCTTACTTGCTTCGTTGAGACTCCGTCCAGGTTTATTTCCGACCTGAAGCTCCACGGAAAGGAGCCGTCTACAGCCTTGCAGCAACTTATGGATCGGGACTGCATAGAAGAGCTGATTGACAAGCGCATCAAAGCTATTCTCGGCCAGATGCTCAAAGACGGCAAGCTTGGTGCACCCTGGGTCAAGGAGCATGATGCGGACCTACCAAAGGACTTCTTCTACGCCGAGAAGGGACTTGAAGATTCGCTTAAGGGGATAGTCGTGGCGAGGCAGAGAACACCTTCAGGCTCTACTCTTACACTCGCCTCTGACTACCGTTCACCGAATGACCTTGAGAAACAGCTTTGGCGACTTTGGGGCATAATCCTAGGGTTACCGCCACACCCTGTCAAATACCATGACAGCTTTTTCAAACTTGGCGGTGACAGTATCACAGCCATGAAGCTCGTTAGCTCAGCACGAGAGGAGGGTGTCAGTCTTAGTGTGTCCGACGTCTTCAGGAACCCGATATTTGAGGACATGGTAGCTTTCCTCAGCAAACAAACAATAAAGCCTGCAGCCCCGCACACGAAACCAAAGCATGAACTGACCGAGAAGTTTGCTGAAGGCACGCCATTCAGCCTTCCAAGTAGCGAGTCTTCTCAAGAAATCTCCATCTTGAGGCCCATCGAGCCCGATGCTACATCGCTGCGAGCAGCAATATGCCCGAAGATTGGTGTGTTTAAGGGAGGAATTGTCGACATTCTACCTGTCACGGACTTCCAATCTCTTTCAATCGCCGCGACTATGTTTGAGTCCAGGTGGATGTTGAACTATTTCTATCTTGACGGAAAGGGCTCTTTGGATATTAGGCGTCTTAGGGAAAGCTTCCTGCGTGTCGTTGATGCCTTTGACATACTTCGCACGGTCTTCGTCTGCTACCATGGGCAATTCTTCCAAGTCGTCCTTCGCAAGATTCGGCCAGATATCTTCGTGCACGAGACTGATAAGAGTCTTGACGAGTACACTAAATCTCTGCAACAGCGAGACCGGGACCAACCACCGGGTCAGGGAGAGCAGAATGTACAGTTCTACGCTGTCCGAAAGACTAACAGCGACGAGCATCGCATCCTGGTTCGAATGTCACATGCCCAATTTGATGGTGTCTGCCTGTCAAAGATCATGACCGCCATCAAAATGGCCTATGAAGGGTGTCCTATCACGCCTTCATCCTACCTGAACTATATGCGAATTCTGCCTGGTACGATTACCCCTGAGCATTATCGACACTGGGCCACTCTGCTCAAGGGGTCCAAGATGACGCAAGTTATCCAGCGTTACAGGCCGAACACCTTCCAGGATGTAGGTGGTTTTGCTGAGCAAAAGAAGACAATTGAGATCCCTTCAACAGCAACGGAGAATATTACTATTGCAACTGTCATGCAATCGGCATGGGCAATAACCCTCGCAAAGCTGTCTGCTCAGGACGACGTTGTCTTTGGTCTTACCGTCAATGGTCGGAATGCCGTTCCTGGACTCGAGAACACAATCGGTCCTTGCCTCAACTTTATCCCCATCAGGGTCCGCTTTGGAGATCGTTGGACTGCCTTGGATTTGTTCCGCTTCTTGCAAGACCAGCAGGTGTCCAACATGCCCTACGAATCTTTAGGGTTCAGGGAGATCATCAGACGCTGCACGGACTGGCCGGATTCGACGTTCTTTACAACTACGGTCTTGCACCAGAACGTCGATTACGAAGGCCAAATGCAGCTGGACAACAATACCTACAAGATGGGTGGTGTAGGTGTGATCGACAACTTTACGGACCTCACACTCTTCTCCAAACCAGTCGCTGGCCAGCCTAATCAGATCGCCGTCTCACTTGGGTACTCGCTCAAGGGTCCTCTGCACCCCACTTTCGTCTCTACAGTCCTCGACATGGTCTGCGATACTGCACAGAGTCTCGTTGCCAACCCTAACGTTATACTTCCTTCCCCGTCTACACTTCGCTCTCTACCTCTTCAGCTCGTCGAGGATACCTCCACCAGCCCCAGCAGCGACAAGCTCCTGTCTTCTCTAAACAACCGCAGCTTATCCGAGATCCTTGCTCACTCAGAGCTCCTTACCCGAATCTGGCAGCAAGTCCTACCATCCCGATCATCCACGGGGAAACCACAAACATCATATCAGCTTGATTCGTCTTTCTTCCGCCTCGGCGGCGACATCGTGAACATGGCGCAAATCGTCTGGATCTTGGAGCAGGAGACGAAGCTGCACGTTCGCCTCGAGGACCTTCTCGCACATCCCACCTTCCTCGGCCAGATGGCCGTCTTGGCCTTGTATACCACGAAGCGTGACGCGCAGGGCAACAACCCCGAAGCTGCTCCTGCTTACGCTTCTGATGCTGACTCGACTGTCGTGTCGGTTAGTGGGCGCAACGTCGCGCCACCTGTTCCTGTGAAGAGTGACAATTGGAGCACTCTGGATAGAGCTAGGGTTTTGGCGAAGAAGCTTACCAGATTTGGTGGCTTGTCTACACGAGTGTGATTCTTTCTGATATTCTCATATTTTGTTGCTGACTAGCATGGTCTCATGCCTTTCATTGATTTTGATGTTTGCTTGATGTATTTATTATATTTTTACTATGTATATGATATATAAGGAGTATATACTATTCATTATGCCCTACCATGTCCACATAAACCCACACTTTATCACCGGGGTATAACCTAGCCAACGAAACCAAAAATAGATCAAAATTCTAAGCCGGATAAACAGAAGCCCTCGACCACTTCCCCCTCTTCCGTATCCTCAACCCAAACACATAAAACAAGTACGGGATCGGAATCAACGCAATCGCCACAAACCCCAACACACTCGACGCCCACGGCACCCCCAGATTCCGAAACATGCTTGTCGCAAACAAGGGGAAACACCCGGCAAAGACACTCCGCAGAAAGGTATTCGCCGCAATCGCACTTGCCGAGACAGTCGGGAACGTATCGATCAGGTAGTTCAGTGCTGCTTGGAATATCGTGAAGAAGCCCAGTCCCATGCATGCGCCGCCGATCATTGATGGGAACCAGTGAATGGAGAGTCGGGACGTCCAACCGAAGATGAATAGTCCTGCGGCGAAGACGACGGAGCCGAGCATCATAGGTGGAAGACGGGCTTCGGGGACTGGCCGGTTCCCATTTGCCTTGAATCGCGAGATGTAGAACTTCTGATTCGCGAGATTGATACACGCACCGAAGAGAATACCCACTAGGTATGCGAGGAACGGTAGTGCGCCAACAACTTGGTTCCAGCCGCGAACTTCCTGGAAGACGACGGGGAAGGAGGCGAGGGAGAGGTAGAGGATCCCGTAGACGAAGGAGGCGTAGAGGGCGACGAGGAAGCAGATAGGTGTGGTAAGGAGGGCGAAGGGGCGGAGTAGGTACTTGTTTCCGAGTTCTTTGAGGGTGACGTCCCATTCTTCGTGGCGGGCGTGGAGGGCCCAATTTCCGGTTTGGAAGCGCAGGCGCCGCGCTTTGTAGACGAGGAGTGTTGGGGGGTAGGATTCGTCGAGGAAGAGGATGTCGAGGGTTAGGAAGAACATCATCATTATGCCGGTTATCTTCGGGACGTTAGTTTGATCTGCAATGGCTGGGGTGACAAGAGGGACGAACGTATTGAGTCCATCGCCAGCCCAGATAACTTTGTGTGATTGCGCCTCCCACAATAGGACCTAGCACGGGTCCACCGACGACAGCCATGGCATAACCGACTATCGCGGCACCTCGTTGCTCAGGAGTCCAGATGTCGCTGAGGACGCCGCCAGTATTTGTGACGGGTGCGGAGCCAAAGAACCCAGTGAAGAAGCGAGTGAGCATTAGGGTTTGGACGTCTTTGGACGTTGCGCTGCCGAATGAAAAGCATGCGGCTATGAAGTACGGTGCTAGAACGGCGGGTTTGCGGCCGTAAACTTCAGATAGCGGAGCCCATACTAAGGGACCGAGTCCTGAGTTCGTGGAGTATACGTTAGCTGTGCGGAGGATTGAAATCGGTTATAGCCTTAAGACGTACCAAATCCGAAGAGAAGCAGCGATGTGCCTAACGTACTGACTTCTTCGCCTACCCCGAACTGCGAACTGACTCCTTCAGTGCCGGTTGAATAACTACGACTCGCGTTAGTCGTTGCGATGATATACTTCACCTTGTATAGATAGTGTCGCTAATCTTACATGGCACTCGCCCAAGTCGCACCTATCACACACCCAGCATATTAGCACCGTCCGCCACAAAGTCCAGGCAAAAGGCATACACACCCATCGTAGTCAACCCATACAACACCGTCGTGGTTGCCTTCTTCCGAAATCCCCAGTTTAACGGCCGATAAGGATCGTCAGGGCCCTCAAAGTCGACGATCACGTCATCTGTCGTTCTAGTATGTGACAGCGGATGCGAAAAGCGGGCCGTCTGCCCCGGTTCTCGACTGCGGATCCTGGAGATGACGGACTGCGCGCGCTGTTCGAGCGAGAGGCCGGAGGTTGCAGTGGTTTGTTTCTCTAGGGCGCTGATATTCCGGTCGTACTCAGACCCACGGTCGTGCTCGGGCTCATCATCTTCGAGGGATGAATCGATGTCTCGGGAGGAGGAGGATGCGCCTGATGTGAGATCATCGTCTCTTGCCATATTCAAGCGCAACCTTCGAGGCGGAACTCGACAATAAACCGTAGAGAGAAGAAAGTCGCTACTCAGATTGCAGACACACTGGACCAAAAAAATGTTAGTCAAACTCCGGTTCAGACGTCACTGGTCACCACTACTACTCCAAATCCAACCCCAGTATTCTGGGCGAGCCAACGGTTAATAAACCTTTGGCAAGCAGGAACCATAGCTTAACTAGTCCCCGGCTTTCGCACTCCATCATGCATTAAAGGCTTCTAGCGCGTGGATCCAGACTCTCTGGAGCTCTAGGATCTTGGGAACGAAGCCGTCTTAACCGATCCTGAAGTCCACAAGCAGTATCCGACGCTCCGTCGGCTGTCCGATAACGCTAGGCACGCGATTCGTTCGAAGGATGTGAGTGGAGTCTGGTGATCGTCGGCATGGAGAGAATGACAAGGGTCGAGCTTTGAGATGGTGTTGAGCTTCAGAGTGGTGGTAACTTGTAAGTCTGCGCTGCGCAGGAGTTGGGCTGCCTTGGCGATAATTCCTCAGTTCCTCTCATTATCACCACCGGCCTTGTTTCATCCCAATGATGCGCTACGTTGAGGAGAACACTCATGATGGTAATGAAGCATTGCGGGTCAACTTTTAGCCAAGAGGCAAAAAGTCTAGAAATTGGCCACGGAATCTTTTCCGACGGTGGGCTCCGATGAGCTAAGCCTTAGTGGGTGCCACTGGGACAACGAGGAAAGGCATCGGATGCATCCGATGAGTGAGCATGCGTTGGCGCCCAGACACCATGTTGCTCATTCGAGGAAATCATGATCAATATCAGTTCAATTGACGCTTTCTATCGGTTGCATACGAAGCGAATGTACATGTACACCATGCGTCCTATTCATATATACCATCTTCACTCCACCTTGGTAGAGTTCTGAACTTCCCACTTTGCGACAGCCTCCAGCGCAGCCGTCACCTTGAGCCCAAACCGTGCCTCCTGCTCATAGCTCTCCCAGCGAGCTGCCTTTTGCAGGTTCTCCTTACATTCCCGTACCAGCTCCTTCTCTGCCGCGGCCGGGTCCTTGGATTCCGAAGCTTTCGATGCCGGTCCGCCGTGCTGTGCAATGTACGTTGGACGCTCCATCCATAGGTTGGCAGCCATCTCGAAGTAGGCGACTGGGTACACCCAGTCGTCCTTGTGACGGCCCTTGAATGTTGATTTGTCCAGGGTGAAAATCGAGGTCCGGATGATCTCTTTTGCCTCGTCGTGGCGCCGCATCGAGCGCAAAACACCCGCGCGCAGGATCTGGTAGATACCTTTCTCCTCAGGTCCCTCACGGGACCAGGTTCGGTTCGCGTCACTTTCAGACCATGAGAGTCTAGCCAAAGAGTCCTCCAGCTGCTCTTGGGTCATCCGGCTATGGCCGTTCCAGAAGAATATCATCTCTTCAATAGGATCGACACCCACAGCGTCCACGAGCGGCACACCCCACTCCTTAGCTCGCGCTTCCCATTTGGCGATTTTACGGACAACGAAGACATCAAATGGCAGTTGCCGCGCCATGAACTTCTTCGTTCCTGCAAACTGAGGGGCTTTTTGTAACAGCTTCACTGCCCGGTCGGCGTGAGCGGTGGCTTTCTCTGGATCTGTCGCGGCGAGCTCTCTGTATAGACTAATATGGCAAGTCGCTGCTATGTAATAGTACAGTGCACGAGACCAAGAGTTGAGGTCGGCACACTTATAGCTGTTAGCATGTTCTTTAATAGAAGATTGCGTAAAAACAAACCTCGATGAATGCGTCAGAACACCGCTCATACTCATGAAGATACATGGCATTCATGCTCTTTTCAAACACCTTCAGTGCCTCAACCTGTTTTAGTGGGCTGTGTTCCTCTGTATATAGGAGTTCTAGCGCAACATCAAGTCTCTTGTTGGCGCCATGCATGCGAGATTCCTCAAGAAGCCAAAGTTGGCTTTTAGGAAACCGTTCCCGCATCCGGGTAAGAAGGGCCTCAAGTCGCTCTTGAGGATAACCCTGGATGTCTCCGTCTTTTCCAGGGATAGCGTCCGGCATAATGTCGCAGTAGCGGACAAAGGCGTTGTAATAACCAAGAAGCGATAAAGCCGCGATCGCACCCGGCAGATTCTCAAACTTGCTCGATTGCCAGAGGAGCCTTAGTGCTCGGTCCTTGTCGCCGTAGAACCCGACGATGCTAAGCAGTCTGCTGAAAGCGGGAGGTACCATGGAAATGAGCAAAAGCAGGACCCCAAAGCAAAAACTAGCACCGGAGTGCACGAACACATCGATCGGGTTTTTGAAGATATCGGACTCGGGGTCGTGGTTAATCAAGTCTGATGCGCTCGTACTGCTCGAGATTGGAATAGAGCCTGGGGGGCCAGCCTCTTCCAAGTTTAACTTAGAGAGGTCCTTATGAACATCTTCCTCGTCTGCATGCTTCAAAGATGGAGTCGGAGAAGGGGTGTTTTGAACACCACTCTGCCTCGATTGCATGAACTTTTCTTCCATCTTCAGGATTGCGTCCAGCGCAAAGTAAGCCTTTCTTAACTTGTAGAATGCTTTGATGCTCTCTGTGAGACTCTCGTTGAGGACGCCGACAACAGCCGCCTGGAGTTGTGCCATTGCCTGGCACAGCACGAATTCGGTCCCTGGCGCATATATCTCTGAGCGATAAAATTCTCCCGAATGTGAGGTGTTTTTGGCCCTCTGTTGGTCGCTGTACGCTTTGTTTTCGGCATCATTAAGGCGTTCAGCCGCTATAAAATATGAGTTCTTGCTACAAATAATGGCATGGAGCGACGGAGGGCTCCATACCTTGACGCATGATATCTTGCTCGAAACCCAGAGTTGCCCTGATAAACATCACCACGGCTTTCCCAAGCTATGAGGAAATGCCAAGTCAGTCACACACAATTGCGATCCAAAAGAGAGGTGCGTAGGTGATAGACCCAATACCTGGTGAAAGGCTGAGTTCCGCCCATTAAGGCCTTCTTCGGCACCATCAACATCATCGTTGAGGATAAGCTCCGCAGCTGTTGAAGAAAATCCGAAAAGGGTCCTGATTAGCGCATCCATAGATGACGATCCCGAAGTCGAGAACATAGATCTCGCATACCTTGAATTGCATCGAGCACTATCACCCAAACGGGGACATCAGCAGTTGAATTTGAAAGAGCATAATGTTAACATGGCGACTTACAGTCTTGTAGCTCTGACTGAGGATCGAGCGATTGCGTCGAGCCATTGGGGCTAGGCTTCTTACCCCCAAACCAAGCGCCAAACATCTTGTTTTAAAGAGCAGAAGTTTGTCGCGTGAGAGCAAGGATCCAAAGAGTTGAAGCCAAAAGTGAAAGAGGTTAAGTCGTTAGGTGGATTAGGGTGCAAGCCGAACGGTCCGAAACCATAATCCGCAAGATGAGGACGGAGGGATTCCCATCAGATACTAGTTAGGAAGGACGGGTGGCCCTGTCTCGAGCAATTTATACGAGAAAAGAGGAGGAGGGGATCGAAAGGCTGGTACTCTGATAAACTTATAAGAGGCTCTGAGGCTTGAAATGTGAGAAAAGGAAGCGATCAAATGAGCCTGGCTAGCCGTGGTCCACCGGGGAGGCGGAGCATCGTCAGCTTCTGATTGCGAGCTGAGCAGAAAGGAATCTCCCAGATACGGTCAGTATCGATGATGTACCGGAGGATCACAAACAATGCGGGGTTCATGGGATCCCCTGGCAGTTCAGAAACGATTTTATGTCAAACAAGCCTCCAATTGAAACAGAACCTCTCACGGGCCTCTTGCTGGCTCATTACAACAATCGTATTCTGCCGCTTTTGACCGCAGCGGCCACCCTCGTTCCGACGGGAAACAGTCCCTTCAGGGCTCAGTGACATCATATTCCTCGAAATTATGCACACTTGTGACTGCTAACATTCCTACGGCCTTCTGGTGAGGTGAGGCAGAATCTTGCTGTCTGACCACCTCAACTCGCACGTACAGCCTCGCCTCCGCTCAATTTCCAGTCAGGAGACCAGGCGACATTCTTGACTCGAACTCGCTGAGTCCAGGCAGCAACACGGAACAAAGAGCCCCTTGAAGGAAAGATAAGGAGCAAGCCATGTAGTTAGTACTGGGTGTAACCAGACCCGAAGTAGAACCAGGGTCAGGCTCCCAACATTATTGACACCAGTTTGCTATAAATAATCTGTTCCGCGAGGCTAAGGTGCTATTTCAACCAATTTGAACGTGATCCCCCATCCGTAGAGTATATTTCGCACATAGAAAATCGTAGATTGGTGCATAACAGATCGTTCAATCCTTGACCAAAGGCTTCGGATTCGAGTAGATATTGGAAACAGCCGCTGGTAATCGAGGAGCAAGCCAAGAAATTGCCAGTACAAGGTGAGAAACCAAGTCGCAGCAAGAGGGTCTTCCGCAAGAATTTGAAGAAGAAAGAAGTACATAAAAGGAAGACAGCAGAGTTTGTATGTATAAACAAAGGTTCCCATCAAACGAAAGCTCACCGTCGCCAAGACATATGACACAGCCAACCCAATAACGAGGCCGCCCAAGCGGTGGACCTCACTCAGATCGGCCAAACCCAACCTAGCACAAGCACCTCAGCTTGTTCTCCGCAAAGCCATCCTCTCCTCCAACCTCACCTTCCACCGTCCCCTCATCCAATTCTCGTCACACATTCGCCTCGAAGCTCTCCTCAACAGACAACGATCAGCCCGAAGATTCCATCTCCGTCTCCCCCTCTCAAACCATCACAGCACCTCCACCGCCACAATGTCAAACACGCAATCTGAAGACAAGAAGAAGGCCGAAGCTTCACAACAGCCCCAACAACAAAAGCCCACCGTGCTAGAGGAGGACGATGAGTTTGAGGACTTCCCCGTTGATGGTAAGGAGCTCGTTCCTGGCCCTTAGTCTTTGCTATCTTCCCCACCGTAAGCGTTGGAGGCATCGACAACGGTGATGACGCTGGCGCCAACAGCGCATGGGTTCGAAGACAGTATAGTAAAAGGTAGCTGACGGATTGCCTTTTTACTAAACAGACTGGCCCGAGAACGAAACCGAGCAGGCGTCCGGCTCAACGAACGGGAACAACGTGCACCTGTGGGAGGAGAGCTGGGATGACGACGATGCCGCCGAGGACTTTTCGAAGCAGTTGAAGTGCGTTTCTTACCTTTCCCCTTATCACTTCCTTCTGATTTTTGCCTGCACTGGCTCCTTACAAGGAGTTCCCTCTGGTGCTCGATATACATTACCCAGTGGTACCTTGGTGCATAACGTTGCTAACCATATTCACCAACCATAGGGAAGAACTCAAGAAAGTCGAGGCCTCCAACTGATAGCCCGGTTACAATCAAATAAATCACAAGCAAATAATACAATCAACGATATACTTCACTAGCTCAGTGTCTTCTTCTGGGGCCGGATACACTTTACGTACACAGCCGAAGCGAAGGCGCGAATAATACAGTACACGCCGATGATTATCTCGTTCGGTTACTAGTCGGTCGGATTGGTTAACTCGCCACATATTCTACGAGTCCAGGTATCTAAGGCTACGCTCTACTCTTAAGGTCGCCAGTCTAGTTATTGCGTAGGATAAGCGATTTCACTGACATCACTCTATACTATTTACAGGACTAAGGCTGTATCATGAGCTATATATGCTAAGGCTCCAAACTATGTAAATAGAAAACAGGCTATGTAGTCGATACAAAAGAGCCGTCACAGTTTAGGAACCGTAGCTGCATTATATAAAACGAATTAGAACCTCGCATAGAAGAGAGATAACATAAATAAGATGGTAGGTCTCGAATTTATTATTTAACGTCATGGTACATTACATTCATCACAGAGGTCAAAATCCCATCAGAGAAGGTAGATATGACTTTTGTATATCCCCAAACTGGCCTCCGACAGAGAGAAGGATCCCGTTTACATTGGTTTACTTACTTTTTTCTGAGAGAGCAGCGACACCAGGCAGGGTCTTGCCCTCGAGCAGCTCTAGTGAAGCACCACCACCGGTTGAGACGTGGCTGAGCTTGTCCTCAGCGCCGTACTTGGCAGCAACGGTAGCGGTGTCACCACCACCGATGATAACGATGGAGCCCTCCTTGGCGGCAGCAATGGTAGCGTCAAGGGTAGCCTTGGTTCCCGAGGCGAACTTCTCAATCTCAAAGACACCAGCGGGGCCGTTCCAGAGGATGGTTTTAGACTCGGCGATGACCTCCTTGTAGGACTCGACGGTCTTCTCGCCGACGTCGAGACCGAGCCAGCCGTCGGGGATACCCTTCTCATCGGTGGCGTAGCCAACTTCGGCATCGTCGCCGAACTTGTTGCCCGTCACGTAGTCGACGGGGAGGATGACCTTGACGTTGTTCTTCTTGGCCTTCTCGATGACGTCGCCGACAATCTCGCTACCGGCCTTGTCGAAGAGACTGCCACCGATGTTGACGCCGTCGAGGGTCTTCTTGAAGGTGAAGGCCATGCCGCCGGTGATGATCAGGCTGTCGATCTTGGGGAGGAGGTTGTCGATGAGCTGGATCTTGTCAGAGACCTTGGAGCCTCCGAGGATGGCGAGGAAGGGGCGCTGGGGGTTCTCGAGGGCCTTGGCGAAGTATTCGAGCTCCTTCTTCATGAGGAATCCGGAGGCCTTTTCGGGGAGGTCGACACCGACCATGGAGCTGTGGGCACGGTGAGCGGTTCCGAAGGCGTCGTCTATTAACAATCAGCATGCTGTTGCATCCTCTGCAGAAGTCATTGGTGCTCACTAATGTAAACATCACCGAGAGCAGTCAGTCCCTTGCGGAACTCCTCAACCTTGGCCTTGTCGGCCTTGACCTTGTTGCCCTCGGCATCCTTGTAGCTTCCCTCCTCCTCAGCGTGGAAGCGCAGGTTCTCAAGAAGAATGACCTGGCCGCCGGAGGCCTTGTTGACGGTCTCCTCGACCTCCTTGCCGACGCAGTCCTCGGTGAAAATGACATCGCGGCCGAGCAGCTCCTTGAGCTTTGGCACCACAGGCTTCAGGCTGTACTTGGGGTTGACCTTTCCGTCGGGACGGCCGAGGTGGGACATGAGGATGACAGCCTTAGCGCCTTGTTCAATGGCATACTTGATGGTAGGCAGAGCACCGACGATACGCTGGGGGTTGGTGATTGTGGTGTTGTCCTTCTTGTCGAGGGGGACATTGAAGTCAACCTAGCAGCTCAGACGTTAGAAAAGGTCACTTAAACAGCTCGAATCAAGCTCAACGTACTCGGATCAGGACACGCTTGTCCTTGAGATCCACATCTGTGATAGAAAGCTTGCTGGTGAGAGACATTGTTGCTATAGCTCGTACTGCGCGAGACAAGATGGGTCAGAGTCAGCAGAGGGAGTGCAAAGGATAAATAGTCCGCGTCAAGTACCTTTGGCAGGAGAAAATGCTGAAACCGTATCACGGTGAGGAGTGGCGGGGTACTGCCATTTGTTTTGGCGGCATGGTGGGGCTGCCCGGTGAGGGAGAAGGAGACGTCGGGCTGTTGCGGGACTGATGTCAACGCCGTGATCGATGACGGAATGCGCCGGGCTTCAGGCAGAACATTGAGCCTGCGCATTCTCGATAGCCTCGGATCGCGCCATACAGATTCATGCGAATCATGTTGCTACTCTCAATGGGGTGATACAATGCCCGTCCCATTTTCGTCCTAGAGGTCCTAGTGCAACATTCCCCGCCTACATTAAGGATTGCAAGCTTCACTTACGTCGGAGATCCGAACGATTGTATTTGCTGTTGTTCTCTTGCGCAGTAGAGCCCATGTTAACCTATAAGCAGACCTTCTTGACCATGCTGAGCCACATGTATAGAACACTGCTGAAAAAAACGCCTTACACCGCCCAAATATGGCAAGTTTTCAGCCCGATTACAACTCCTGGTAAGCATCCAACAGAAGGAGAATAAAGAAACGGAGGACATGCCCGGGATGGAATGGAGCGAATAGCGCCAACCAGTGGTGGTTCCGCGTTCATTGCCATACAAGAGGAAGCCGTTGCCCAGCTACTACCGTGTAGCACGGAGAACTGGGTTAGTGCTTGCCGCAGAGGGCGTGACAACGATGCCGATGCTGTTTATAGCTCGTGCCAACTACATTGACTCGTCCTCGGCAGAATTTGTAAGAGAAAGGTATGCAGTCCAGGCAATACCGACTGAGGAAACGAATGGCTGCAGCGGGAATTAGCCATCAAAGAGCAAAACTCCGGATATACCACTTACGATTTGGAATTGGATGGGAACCACTCTGAAGTTGAGAATCTGGACCGCGGGCCAGAGGACGAAGTTGGCTTTGAGCGTCGGCAAGTAGACGTCCTGAAGTTTGCGAGTCAAGGCACGTCTTCCACCACCCTCGGCGACCGTCATGAACGTGAAAAAGCACACCAAGCCTGCAGCCTATTAGAAAGCATACTCCGCAAAAACAGGGCGGCGGACATACCGAAAGGAGCGAACATGAGCTGGTCGAAAGCAACCCGTTTCAGTGCAGAAAAGGTTGGGTTCTTTTTGGCGAGCGGAAACGTCCTCGATAGGAAGCCGAACCACTTGAACTGGATCGGAGCCATGAAGAAACCGTACGCCATGAACCGTGTAAGACGCTCGAAGTCAAAGGAAGGGGGCATGTGCTTCGCATGCCCCAGTTCTCCCAGAGCCGGCGGCTTCTCCTTGTGAAGGTCTTGGAACTCGATCGACATTAAATCATCGGTTCTTCCCGTTCGAGACCTAAAGGCAGTGATCAACTGTGCAACGGTGTCCGCAACTCCACCAAGGATCTATACACGCATTAGTCAAGGGTTCCGAGAGAGAAGGTGTATGTCGAGACTTCGCACGGCACACGGTCGTCACTTCGCAAAACTTTCCGCGCTTGAGGTTCAAAGAAGCGGCCATGATCGGTCTGGGCATGGAAATGAAGAACCGCGCAATGCGCCAGTAAACTAACGCCTCCTCTCCGTGATCAGTCCGCTTCGCTCGATCGTGGCCACTCCGTGAAGCAGCAGCGCGGAACCAGGAAGGCAAAGTGTCGCAAGCTGAACCGTGTGGCCGTGTCAACTCTCGAGGGCGAAAGATATCCTTACCGCGTTGGTGACCATGGTCGTGAGAACCGGCTTCTCCGCATAGTAGGAGTTGAACTTTGCCGCCAACCGCGTAGCCGCCGCCATCTCGATAAGGAAAATGATAGTGTGAAGTAAAGGCTAAATATGAAATGACATCCGATCAGTACAGTTAATACTCGACGGCACGGTCGCGAGGTACTAGGTAAGGTCCAGAAAGGGGCGAAAATGGGCGACTCCAAAAGGTGGCACACGACATACCAGGCGACCGTAGATATATCTCCGATTCAGTCCATTCAAAACTCTGCGAGGGGATCCGGAAAACATTATGAAGGAAGCTTGGAGACGGCGACAGGAAGGAGGCTAATAATAAATGTGGAGGAGATGATGAACGAAGGCGAGCTCGAAAGAACCGGTCGGCGCCAGTATGACGCAAATCCAAGTTCAGGACAAGAAAATGATGAGCGACTAAGTGGATTGCCTGGCAAGAGACTGACCCAGCCTGCTGGAGCCCCCAAGCGGATTAAAGATAGGGAACAGTGGGTTTTGTGTAATTGATAAGGAGCAATTGTCGAACCGATGAGGCACTCACTTATTTAGCTTGGAGTGAGTGTCGAGAATCGAGATGCGCCGGGGTCTGGAGAAAGAGTTGGTCTTTTAAGAGTGCGTGACTTGACCCCTCCCACCACAAGGCTCAGTCGAGTCCAAAAGACGATCCGCCGTTCATCCACCAGCGCCTCCAACGCCGGGCGCTTGGCTTGCTCTGCCACCATTTCTCCACTATTATTGATTTGACAGCGTCAACGATTTTCTCGACCACTTACTCCAGAGGTATACACTATTTTCTCACTTTTATTCATCTTTGTCAAACATGTTTCAGGCAGAACTGGACGACTATTGATAGCAGCCTGCAAACAGCTCGATTCACTTGATGATTGACGCCCAGACTCCTCCCGAGTCGCATCCTCCTTACCACCTAGCATATCTCCTAAACCGTGCTTTGGAATAGGCGCCTGGTACAAGGCAGCCTCATCCTTTGTCGTTAGAGTTTTCAGTAAAAGAGCACATGTAGTAGCAATATTGCCTCGCGAAAGTGCTCTTCGACGCTGCAGTCGGTCGATTGTAAGGTATACAAGTTGCTTGGTTGATGTAGCAAGATATATATATTCGCATAAAGTTTATCACGTCGATCCATTACATCTGACACCAAGTTCGAACTTTAGCCATAAACAATTTGCGCATTATTCTAGAAAACCGTCACTAGATAATACTGCATGAACTATACATTCTGCCCTAGGCACAAAATATCCGGGAGATCCCTGATATCAGTCGTTTCACCACTATTGGCGTCTATTAGGCGCACGGATTCAAGCCGAAGAGATCCTACTACGAGCGGGAGGAACTTTAATTCGGTGGCGAAACAAGTGCCAGGAGACAATGGGCTGAAGAACAAAGTTAGCTTTTCCCAGGGGCTCACAACTGGGGAAGAAAAACTGACCCAACACGAACGTCAGTGCTCAGACAGACCAGATCTGCGTCCTGACCAGCCACGTTTTTCTGCATAGCATGAACGATGTTGTCGTCCGTCACGGCCTCCGCGACTTGATCACTCCTGCGGTTTGATATCGACGAAGATGACGGACGGGCCACGTGCCCCCTCGCATTTGATACTTTCCGCCTTGGAATAGCAATCATTGCGAATTTGCGAGGGGTGGAAGAGCGATTGACAATGAAGACGTTCCAGGAAAACGGCTTCCCAACCTCCACGCTTGACGGACCCGAAAAGGACATGGTTACACCTAGATCTGTGGCCGAATACGCCCGCTCTCGTAAGGAAGTTCTGTTGGCCTGAATGCCACCGGCTGTACTGGCCTGACCAGGTAATGTTGAGAGACTTGTAGGACGGTTGGCCCGTTGTAGAGCCTGGCTCGGACCACCGAAAGTTGGGTTAAGGGCTAGCGAGAAATCGATATTGGTTGTCCATTGCATCACGATCCGAGGATTGCAGTTGTCTGAAACCTTGATCACCGCTTCTAGCGAGATCTCTAGTATACCAACCATTGCAGTTGTCGAAGGATTCGAATCAGGTCCATAGTCCGGCGTTAATTTGTATATTAATGTGATATCATCCCGTGGCTGACACGTAACGGGCGGAACAAGTCCCGGGCCACTCGTAAGGAGCTCGATTGATCCATTTGACAGTCGAAGATCTGCCTTATCGAACACCACCTCGGACTTCAAGAAGGGCGTGACCTCGAAATCGAGATTCGCGATAGTTGTTGGCCGGCTGGAGAATGAATTCAACCTAGAATATCGAATTCTGGCGCTAGCAGCAGGAACTATACGCATCGGGTGTCCTGATTCTTGTAGGACGTTGTATATAGGATCTTCGCTATATTTTGCAGGGACGACACGTAACAGCCTAGAGGCAGGAAGGAAAGGGTCATTTTGACTGAAGGCGGGATCTGCTGAAAGAGGTTGTAGGACGTTGGTCGAAGCGGGAATCAGGGATGGTAGGTATACATCTTCACGAGAGTCGTGCTGTCGAGTTTCGGCTGGGTTAAGGCTAGCAGAGGCGATGAAGATCACGGAAGGGTGTTGGATGCGAATGCGAGGACGCTCTAGACAGGCATTGTTAGTCTTAAATCTAGATCGGCGGGGTTATAGTCAATACTGAGGAAAGTCTCAATGCTCCAGATAACATATACATGGTTTCCGTCTCCTGATTCTCCCTCGAACTCATTCACAACCACTAGAGGATCGGCGCGTGCATCAACAGCCCCTGAGAAGATAAGATCGCGGGTTGGGGTTGGGTTTTCGGCAACGGCTTCGGCAGGATCAATTGCAAACGCATCGAGTCGTATTTCGAGGTTTTGAAGATGGGCTTTCAAGCTGTTCTGAGAACAATTGGCAAGCCTCAGCACAATGCGGACTGCGCAGAATTCATCTATATCACACTACATATGAGTAAGAGACAACGCTCGGTAAGAATAGCACATATAAGTTTACCGAAGAATAGCAATGATCGCTGGGGTATATATGAAAGCACAGAGGGGAGGTCGTCTGCACCCTCTTCGAGCGCCGAAGTCAGCGCTGCTTCGAGATCAATGTCCGATGCATGTGGGACAACTGTGTCAAGAACGGCATGCCTCAGAAACTCCCCGGGGACATCAAGACCAGACATATCGAGACAAGCAGTCGCATGCCCATCAAGTCTCTGCTGCCAAAAGGAATTTGCGCACTGCCCACTCCGATGTTGTAGTCTGTACGGGGTAATCGTGGGAAAGGCAGAATGCAAACAAGACAAACTCCGGCTTTTGGGGAGCTTCTCGCAACGCTTCAATTTTCCCCGAAAACCATTGAGCAGGAAGCGGAGCAGCACCAACTGCCAACCTCGGAAGCTCTTTGCAGTACTCGAAATGAATCCCATGAATGGACCTGGTGGTCCTGCCGCGCTATGGCAGGAGGCCCGCAATGCCGAAGGGAGGGTCTACTACTACAACGTTCAGACGAAAGCGACGCAATGGGCGAAACCCGTCGAATTGATGACGCCTGTAGAGGTTGGTGATATACTTGTGCTATAGCCTATTGGCCTTACTGACTCTATTCGCGCTACAGCGGGCATTGGCAAACCAACCGTTCAAGGAATATACTGCTGAAGGTGGACGAAAGTACTGGTACAACACCGAGACCAAGCAGAGCACGTGGGAAATGCCGGAGGTATACAAGAATGCCCTGGCACAGGCGCAGGCTCAAGCACCACTGCCCCCAGCTGCCGCGTAAGTTGATTGCGCTATATCTGGCTAGCATTTGCTCTACTGACAGTTCCGTGCGTAGGGCACCGACCTTTGTTGCTGGCGGGGTCAGCTCTCTCACCCCCTATTCCCAATCGCGTGATCGCGACGACTATGATCGAGGATTTGGCGACCGACGGGGAGGATTTGGCGCTGAAGCTAATGGAATCGCGGCTGGCTCCATGCTGGGGACCACACAAGACCCTGAATATGGATCGCTGGAAGAAGCCGAGGGAGCTTTCATGAAGATGCTCAAGCGCCACAATGTCCAGCCCGACTGGACATGGGAACAAACAATGCGCGAGACTATCAAGGACCCCCAATACCGCGCTCTCAAAGACCCTAGAGACCGCAAGGCAGCTTTCGAGAAATACGCGGTCGAGGTTCGCATGCAGGAAAAAGACCGCGCGAAAGAGAGATTCGCTAAGCTCAGAGCAGATTTCAATACTATGTTGAAACGGCACCCTGAAATCAAGCATTACAGCCGGTGGAAGACTATCCGACCCATCATCGAAGGCGAGACTATCTTCAGGTCAACCGACGATGAGAATGAGCGGCGACAATTATTCGATGAATACATTATGGAGCTCAAGAATGAGCATATGGAACAGGAAGCCCTTGTACGCAAGGCTGCCATGGACGACCTAGTGACTATCCTGAAGTCGTTGAACCTTGAACCGTACACCCGCTGGGCTGAGGCTCATGCCATCATCCGGTCTAATGAAAGAGTTCAAAATGAGGATAAATTCAAAACCCTCAGCAAGTCTGACATTTTGACCGCGTTTGAAAACCACATCAAATCCCTTGAACGCGCTTTCAACGATGCTCGCCAACAGCAGAAGGCGGCAAAGGCAAGAAAGGAACGCCATGCTCGTGAGCAGTTTGTTGACCTTCTCAGCGAATTAAGATCAAAGGGTGTTATCAAGGCTGGCACCAAGTGGATGAACATCTATCCAGTTATTCGTGAGGATCCACGCTACCTTGGGATCCTAGGAAACTCAGGCTCGTCTCCTTTGGATCTTTTCTGGGACGTGCTAGAGGAGGAAGAGCGGTCTCTTCGTGGACCAAGAAATGATGTTTTGGATGTTCTTGACGTGAGTATCCCGAGCATCAGAACGCTGCATAGTCTAACAATTCTTCAGGATAAACGATTTGACGTTACTTCGAAGACTACTTTCGAAGAGTTCAACTCAATTGTGCTTTCAGACCGCCGGACGTCGAATATTGACCCTGAGATCCTCCAGGTTATATTCCAGCGCATCCAGGAGAAGGCCTTGAGAAGAAACGAAGAGGAAAAGCATGCCGCAGATCGCCATGAAAGACGGGGTATCGACGCCTTGCGCTCTCGCATGAAGCGCCTTGATCCGCCTCTCCGCTCCTCCGACACTTGGGAGCAAGTAAAGCCTAGGCTCGAGAAATACGAAGAATACAAGGCCCTCGAAACGGACGAGCTGCGCCAAACCGCATTCGACAAGGTCATCCGCCGCCTAAAGGAGAAGGAAGAGGACGCCGAGAGGGACCGCGAATCCCGCGATAGAGACCGCGGTAGCCGCCGCGACCACCACCAAGACCGCGATCGAGACCGAGACCGAGAACGCGACCGTGACCACCGCAGCGGCCTCTCATACCGAGGCGAGCGCCGCGGAACTTCCGGCCGCCAAAGCCGCACACCGGAACCAGACGCCTACGAAGCAGACCGCCGCAAGGCTCAAGCCGACCGCGAGCGGTCCTACCGCAAGAACGCCAGCGGCCTATCCCCCGTTCGCGAAAGATGGGACGACCGCGACCGTGACCGTGAGCGAGACCGCCGGGATCGTGACCGCGAGAGGAGCTCCCGCTCGCTTAGCCACTACGAGCGCGAGCGCCGCGATCGCGAGGAGGAGAGGGAGCGTCTCTACAGGACCCGGGGCGACCCACGGGGTAGCCGTGACGAGCTGGACTACGGTGGTGACATGCGCAGCACAGTCAGTACCGACCGTAGGCGGAGACGTGATAGCGACACGGAAAGCGTGGCTAGCCGCTCGGCGAAACGCCATAGACGTGATAGCCGTGATCGCAGCAAGGGTGCGAGGAGGGATAGGGACCGCCGTGAGCGAACGCCTGCTGCTGCTGCTGCTGCTACTGCCACTGCGGAGGAAGCGAAGAAGGAGGAGAAGGCTGTGCACTCTGGTAGCGAGGAGGGGGAGATTGAAGAAGATTAGACGTGGTTCGTCGCTCTGGAAGACCTGGGTTGTACTGCCACAGGACCTAAATTCTGCCCGCATCTATAGTGATTCAACCATCTAATGAACCATGTACTACAGCTTACGTTCTTCCTCTTCCTGGTTCGCACTTATTAGCAAGCTACTGAATTCAGGTTGATAGCTTCCAAACGTTTCAAAGGAGTGTGATTTTTGACAATACTCTACTAATGGTAGGCTAAAAAGGATCGCAACTATGTACCTGGGTACTGCTGCTCTTTACTTACACTGTAAAACAAGGCAGGTCTGCCTGGCACCAGACCGCCGATGCGATCTCATGCGTCGCAGCTTGAGAATAGTAGAAAAGAAAACTAAATACAAGAACTTTTTGAAAAGGCTCAACTCCGATACGGTATCAATCATGCCAACCAAGGAAAGAGATATAATTAAAGACAACCGTTACCCATGCAAAAGACCCAGCCCTTAAGAAGAACGGAAACGAAATGCCCAGGTCTTCAGCTCGTAGCATCATGAAAACCATATATGATACCTATATGTTCAAAAAGGAAGAAAGAATTGTCGCTTGATATAGGCGTCTGCGAAGGGCGTTAAGAGCGGATGACGACGGGCGATAGTAGACATCTTTCCTTGGCGTTTGGAGCTGAGGAAAGAATGGTTCAGCCATCTACTCCGTAGGAGTAGGTGTCTGCCATCTCTATCCTCTACATTGAGCCATGGGTTGCTGCGCCGATCTCGTCCTCTTCGTCATCCTCGTCCGACGCTCCCTCCGCATCGCCGCAAAGCTCAACGCCACGACTGACAAGTCGTTTAATTTGAGCTGCCGAGGCCTTGGTAACGCCGTAGAACGCCCCTAATCGAAGGATTCTCCTATGCCTGCGCCGCCGATGCTGCCGCTGGTCGGAGTCGCGGCCATCACGTTTGTGAGGGACACGATCATGGTTCTTTGGAATGCCCTCTTCATTTCTCTTCCTCCAAGAAGAACTGAAAAACGACGTGTTAGTACGGATTGTCTTCATCGCATTGATTGTTCTTGGGATACTTACGAAGTTTCCGGCCAACTTCTGCTCCTGGTCCATCTGACTGTTGTACTTGTTGATACGAGGACGGTAACTGTTGGGGTCACGACGGAAGGTGACGTCGAGGTTGCGCAAGAAGGTGTTGCATCCGGTAACCAAGGACTCGGGGGTGTTGGCGTGAGCATCAACAGATGGCTTACCGTCGAACACGATAACGCGGTCAGCAAGATAAGTAGCCATGATGAAATCGTGCTCGACGATGAAGGCGGTCTTCTTGGTGTGCATGATGAAACGCTTGATGACCTTGGCTGCCACGATACGCTGTTCGGAGTCAAGATAAGCACTGGGCTCGTCAATCAGGTAGATATCAGCAGGCATTCCAAGAGCCAGGACAATGGCGACACGCTGCAATTCACCACCAGACAGGTTCTGGACCTCCTGGTCAATGAAATCGTCGATCTTGAGAGGCTTGTACACGTCGGTCTGGAACTGAGGCGACAGGAAAGCAGCCTTGATCTTCTTGAAGAAGAGCTGGCGAACAGTTCCCTGGAACTTGGGGGTAATTTTCTGAGGCTTCATGCTGATGTTCATGCGAGGAATAGAGGCATTTCCATCAGGCTTCTCGGCACCAGCAAGCATCTTGCAGAATGTAGTCTTTCCAGTTCCGTTTTCTCCCATCATGACAATGATCTCGGAATCCGTGAAGTCACCGGCGTCAATCTTGAGGTGGAAGTTGCCAAGGGTCTTCTCCATAGCTGGATAACGGAATGCGCGGGCCTTGTCGATAATGAAATCGTCTCCAGCTTCAGCAAGACGGAAAGTAAGTGATTCCTCCCGGAATCGAAGGTTCTCAGTGGGGATGTGTCCGTCCAAGAAGATGTTGATACCTTCACGCACTGAAGATGGGAGGGTCACGACACCGTAAACTGCGGGCTTTCCGTAAAGAACGCAAACGAAATCGGAAAGATAGTCGAGAACCGACAAGTCGTGCTCGACAACGATAACATAGTCGTCGGGGCGTAGAAGGTCACGGATCGAGCGGGCAGCGGCAAGACGCTGCTTGACATCGAGATATGAGGAAGGCTCGTCAAACATGTAGCTTTTTAATCATTAGCATTGAAACACTCCACTCCGCCCAACGAGCGTCACTTACACATCAGCCTTCTGGACGCAGACTAGACCAATGGCAAATCGCTGAAGCTCTCCTCCGGAGAGGTGATCGATATCACGGTTTTGAACCTGCCTAAGCTCTGCAATGAAAAGTTAATAGGCGCTCCCGATTGGAAAATAGAGCAAAACGTACCAAGATCATCCAAGATTGACTCCATGTTGTCCATTTGAGCGCGCGCTTTGAGGAGGTCTCCAACATTCTTGGTAGGACCCTTAACAGCTCGGGGGATCTGGTCAACATATTGAGGCTTGACGACAGCCTTCAGATCATCTTCCAACACCTTCGTGAAGTAGTCTATGGAAATTAGAACAAAAAAGTCTCAGCTGCGGTCGATTAAACTTACTCTGCAGTTCGGAACCACGGAAGTAGCGAAGGATCTCTTCCCAGTCTGGAGGGTTGTCATAACGTCCAAGGTTGGGCTTCAGCTTGCCGCTAAGAATCTTCAATGCGGTACTCTTTCCAATACCGTTTGTTCCAACCAGACCTAGAACCTGACCGGGGCGGGGCATCGGAAGACGGTGAAGCTTGAAGCTGTTGGCGGAATAACGGTGGGTGACCTGGCTCTCCAAGTTGGTCGGCAAATTGATAATATGGATCGCACCGAAAGGACATTTCTTCGGACAGATACCACAACCGATACAGAGGCGCTCAGAGATGAAAGCGATCTTTGATTCCGGGGTGACTTCGATGCAAAGTTTTCCGGTACGGACAACAGGGCAGGACTTTTTGCATTCTTGACGGCATTTCTGGTTTAGGCCAACATAGCGTTAGATGGGCGCTTTTCAAAAGACAAATCAAGTAGGACGAGTTCCGCTCACCTTCGGCTTGCACTGTAGGAGACGCGTGTGTATGAGTATGACGTTCAGGTATCGTTAGCGGGGCAGCCGAGACTCACTTTGTCACTGCTGACAATGGCAATTCTAGATGCAACGAGGGATTAGCTAAAGCAACAATCTGAGCGTCTGCGATTATCGTACCTGGTAAGTTTGTCGGACATGATGCCTGGTGGTTACGGTCAACCAAAGACGCGAGAGCAGATATATTCCAAACAAGAGATGGCAGAACGATGACGACAGACGCGGATGAGAATACAGACGAGAAAGCCTAGTCTGCGACGACTGTGCTGGGCAGAAGTAGACGATGACGGGATTCCGCAGCAGCCACCGAGTTCGAGAGGAAAGGAGACGTTGCGTGGATTCGTCGAGGAGGAGGGGCTCTCAAGACAGAAATCTATGCCAGGCACTATTGTGGGCACTTCTTCGTGCCTGAGGCATGAAAGCTGCTGCATTATTTCGAGCGAATGTGATTGGATGAGTGCCCGACATTTGAAGGACTTTCTGGAAGCATATTGATCCGAGCCGGAGATCACGTGCATAACATCCGCCACTAACACCCAAAAAGGCTCGCTTGCCAAAGCACTAAGCCGGACAAGGCCTGGTGGAAAGTTGCAGCCTGACGGCTCAGGCCTCCAGTCAATCCCTTCGCTGTGACTCGCCCATCCCCCAGCCGGACGTACAACTCTTCCCTCTCTAACACTCCCTCCATCATATTCTCAGCGCTCCCATCATTCCTTTGCTGCTCTCCACCGTCTCATCCATCCACCCCCTCCTCCCTCCCCCACCTTTCTTTTCTGTTTTCAAAATTCTCTTTTTTATCTTGCGGTGATTCGGGGTCACCAAGCTATGGATTGTAAGTTTCATATTTTCTTTCCCAATGCTCTGTCGGGCGTGCTCTTGTGCCGTCGCTGGAGTACATCTCTACGGTCTCGACCCACCGGGGATTCAAGAATACCCTGCGATTCTTGGACCCAGGGTTCTCCAGATCTTTTCTAGTCGAGTACCGGCTCTATTTTGCCTACTGGGTTTGATTTTGCCCTTGGTTTTTCTGCTACAGTCGCCGCTTTTCTCCCCAGCCTGTTCCGTCGCGTCTCATCTAACTCATCATCAAAATCATGTCAATGCATCATACCTTTATCTCCTGTTTCATTCTCCTGTCTTTGTAGCTTCTAATCTCTCGGGACTGAGTCGCATACTGCTGCTCTACAGCCCCTTGTGCCTTTCAGCCCTCTCCTAGCCTTTGTTGAGCTCCAATGCTGATGTCTTCCCTCATATATAGCAACTAGCATGGTGATCCCATCTACCTCCGAACCCGCGGTCGTGAGGGCCTTTACAAATGGGTATTCGGCATCCCCTCTTTCCAATACTACCGGCTACAAAGATGAGCTGGCAGCAAATGACGACCAAAGCACGAGATCTCATTCCCCCAGTGACCAGACCGTCACCTCCGAGTCCTCCCCCGAGGCAGACCCCGCAGACGACTCGTATAATACCGATTCTCCCGATGCAGAGGGTGACGATGATGAATCTGTGATGGGAAACAGCGTCAAAGCTAGCAGCCCTTCCATTGCTGAAAACTCTTCCTCCCCCGAACCGTCACATGGCATCAAGCGCAAATCACCGTCTGCCAATGATTTGGATTACATTCGTCAGAATCCTGACTTATATGGACTTCGCCGAAGTGGACGAGCTAGGACGACGCGCCATCTAGCTGAATCTTCCTCAGAGTCAGACTCCGATGACGTGGCACCTCGCGCGAAACGCCGACGCCCTGCCCCTTCACAGTTATCCTCGAAAGCCCCTTCCCGCTCCGCAACACAATCCACTTACTCTGATGAGTCGGATAGTGATGAATACGGAGGCAATCGTGCTCGCGCGAGCAAGGCGAAACGTCGACGACTCTTACAAGCGTCCGCGAACAACGTTCCTTCTCATGCCGAGGTCCGCTTCTCGACAAGAAACGCCGCTCGGGTTTCGAACTACAATGAAGATGACGATGATTCAATGTTCGAAGATGATGCAGATGAGTTAACACCGAATTATTGGGCGACCGCCGTAGAGGATGACCGCCCAGCCGTAGATATCGTGCTCAATCACCGTCCCAAGGCAGATGTCAACCCGAGCGACCCGAACGTCGGTCGTCACCAGTTCGAGTTTTACATCAAGTGGCAGGGGAAGTCTCACTATCACGCGACGTGGGAAACAACAGAATCTCTTGCCAACTGTCGCAGCATCCGTCGCGTTGACAATTACGTCCGGAAGGTCCTCGCTGAGGATCTACGCTTGAACTACGATGACGATGTCGCGCCTGAAGATCGGGAGAAATGGAATCTTGACCGCGAGAGAGATGTAGACGCTGTGGAGGATCACAAACACGTGGAACGAGTGATTGGCATGCGCGAAGGGGATGATGGTACAGAATATTTGGTGAAATGGAAACGCCTTTTCTACGACTCTTGTACATGGGAAAGTGAAGAGCTGGTTAGTGAGATTGCTCAACGCGAGGTAGACCGATTCTTAGACCGTTCATCTCGTCCACCCGTCTCAGACAAGACGGAATCTAACCCTGCCACCCGCAAACCGTTCGAACCCATCAAAGGAACGCCAAGCTTCTTGCAAAACGGCCAGCTCAAGGAGTTCCAAGTCAAAGGGGTCAATTTCATGGCCTTCAACTGGGTCAAAAACCGCAATGTTGTTCTCGCCGACGAGATGGGACTGGGGAAAACAGTACAAACTGTCGCCTTCATCAGCTGGCTGCGCCATGTTCGACGCCAACAAGGGCCTTTCGTCGTCGTCGTCCCTCTTTCCACTATGCCGTCCTGGGCTGAAACCTTTGATAACTGGACTCCCGACCTGAACTATGTGGTCTACAACGGAAATGAAGCTGCTCGTAATGTCCTCAAGGAACACGAGCTCATGGTAGATGGCAACCCTCGACGACCCAAGTTCAATGTCCTCTTGACCACATATGAGTATGTTCTGCTGGACTCGGCATTTTTGAGCCAGTTCAAGTGGCAGTTCATGGCAATTGACGAGGCTCATCGACTGAAGAATCGCGATTCGCAACTCTATCTGAAGCTCCTTGAGTTCAGGTCGCCTGCACGCCTTCTAATCACCGGTACACCCATTCAGAACAACCTGGCTGAATTGTCGGCGCTCCTCGATTTTCTGAACCCCGGTATGGTCGATATCGATGCAGATATGGATTTGAACTCTGATGTCGCCTCTCAGAAGCTGGCGGAATTGACAAAAGCCATTCAACCCTTCATGTTACGCCGGACGAAATCTAAGGTTGAATCGGATCTTCCTCCCAAGACGGAGAAGATCATTCGTGTCGAGCTTTCCGATGTTCAATTGGAGTACTACAAGAACATTCTTACCAAGAACTATGCCGCCCTGAACGAAGGTGCTAAAGGCCAGAAACAATCCCTCTTGAACATCATGATGGAACTGAAGAAAGCAAGTAACCATCCGTTCATGTTCCCCAGTGCTGAAGCCAGAATTCTCGATGGGAGTACACGTCGTGAGGATGTTCTACGAGGCTTGATCACAAGCAGCGGGAAAATGATGCTTCTTGATCAACTCCTGGCCAAGTTGAAGCGGGATGGGCATCGCGTTCTGATTTTCAGTCAGATGGTGAAGATGCTCGATCTTCTAGGGGACTACATGGAGTACCGTGGCTACACCTATCAGCGACTCGACGGCACAATCCCTTCAGCTGCCCGTCGCCTCGCGATCGAACATTACAATGCCCCTGATAGTAGCGATTTTGCTTTCATTCTTTCAACACGAGCCGGTGGTCTCGGTATCAACCTTATGACGGCTGATACCGTCGTTCTCTTCGACTCTGATTGGAACCCGCAAGCTGATCTCCAAGCGATGGCAAGAGCTCACCGTATCGGTCAAACGAGACCTGTGAGCGTATATCGCCTGGTATCAAAGGACACGGTAGAAGAGGAAGTCATAGAGAGAGCGCGCAACAAGCTTCTCCTTGAGTTCATTACAATCCAACGAGGTGTTACCGACAAGGAAGCCTCCGAAATCCAGAACAAAATGACTCGAGGAGGCGTCACGATGGGCGAACCGAATTCCACTGAGGATATCTCACGAATCCTCAAGCGCCGTGGCCAGAGGATGTTTGAACAGACCGGAAACCAGGAGAAGCTTGAGCAGCTCGATATTGATTCAGTTCTCGCCAATGCTGAGTTACATCAGACAGAGCAGGCTGAAGCGATACAAGCGGACGGTGGCGAAGAATTCCTGAAAGCGTTTGATTTCGTGGACATCAAAGTTGACGATCTTAGCTGGGACGACATTATCCCCAAGGAGCAACTTGAGGAGATCAAGGCAGAGGAGAAGCGGAAGGCTGACGAGAAATACCTTGCTGAAGTCATTGAGCAGAACCGACCGCGCAAGCGCAATGCTGCAGGGGATGAACAAGATACCCGAGCAGAGAGGAAAGCCAAGAGACAAGCTCGAGTCCAGGTCAGCATGAATGATGAAGACGACTCGGACTCAGGTGCCCAGGCAGATCCGAAGCGGCCGCTTGTGGAGAAGGAGTATCGCCATCTCCTTCGAGCCTTCCTACGTTATGGCGACATTGATGATCGAGAAGAGGATGTGATTCGCGAAGCCCGTCTACTCGAGCGCGACAGGGAAACCGTTAAAACTGCTCTCCGTGAGATCACGGACAAGGCTGCGGCGCTTGTTCGAGAGGATGTTGAGAGAATGGAGGCCCTCGAGAACGCTGGCAAGGTCCTTACGAAGAAAGAGAGAAAAGCAGTCTTGTTTGATCTACACGGTGTTAAGCGCCTCAATGCTTATACGATTGTCGAGCGTCCGACGGAAATGCGTTTGCTCAAGGAAGCAACACTGGCGGTAACAGACTTTCGGAACTTTCGTATCCCGGAAGCCACAAAAGCCCCTGACTACTCATGCCCATGGGGTGCCAGAGAAGATGGAATGCTGTGTGTTGGTATCTCCCGCCATGGATATGGTGCCTGGACGCAGATTCGGGACGATCCTGACCTGGGACTGGGTGACAAATTCTTCCTGGAAGAACACCGAGTTGAGCGTAAGAACGAGCGCCTGAACGCTGAAGACAAGACTACAAAGTCTCCGGGCGCTGTCCATCTCGTTCGGCGAGCCGATTATCTCCTATCCATTCTAAGAGACAAAGCTAGCAATGGCTCGAATGCTAATGCAAAGCGAGTTGTTGAAAACCACCACCGCAATGCCCGGAAAGCTAACGCGCGGCCGCAAACGAGTGCCAGTGTTTCGGCATCTCCGGCTCCCTCAATCCAGCGCAAGGGCCATCGGGAGCAAGATAGGGCTCGTCAACGGTCTCATACCCACGGCGGTCGAGAGAGCATGGAGCGACATCATACCCCAAATCGTGATTCGCGCGCACGCTCACTTCACGATGGCGAACGCCGGCATCGACCTTCTGATGCTTCGAGTGAGGATGTTCGTCGTCGCAAGAACAGCGAGAATGGCCACTCGGCGAACAAGGAAGACATGTCGCGTCGTTTCTTCAAGCCTATCCGCGAGGATTTGAAGAAGGTATCCGACGTCACCAAGGACAATTTCCCCAACAAAACCGAACGTGCTTTGGAGCTTCGGCGCCTTCTCAACAAAATTGGAGGCTTCATCAGTCAAAACCTGCGGGGGGAGCAGTCAGATGCTCGCTCCTCCCTTGAGACACGATTATGGTAAGCCTCGCTATATTTTCCTTGCCAGCTTCCACTAATCCCATCAAAAGGAATTACGTCTCGATTCAGTACTGGCCCAATAAAGACGCGGAAGGCACCAAACTCAGGGACATGTACCACAAACTCTCTGAACTCAACAAGAAAGCGGCTGCAGCCAAAGCTTCCTCGAACGGAGACTAGAATCCTTTTCACGGTGCAACAAAAGCCCTGTTTTCGAATCAGTTTAACCACATTTGTTCTCTTACATCTCCTCGATTGTGTTCCTCTTTTACTCCCTACATTATGCATACTTGGGAAAGCATGGCGACGGCGTCTGGTGTGGTCCTTCCTCGGGCACTTACATGAGCCCTCTGCAGCGAGTGGTCTTGATACGATGTTTGCATGAGATAACCCACTTATTTCTTTTCAAAATCTTTTGGCTCCTTGTCTTCTCTTACGCACCTGCTCGCTGCCTGTTTGGAACGGATCAGGTTCAGCTATTATTTTTTTCCACTCATACCACCCACCCACCGCAAATCTAGATTGATCCGCGAGCGAGTGAAGTTGGTCGTTTTCTTCAGCTGGCGTTTTTCTTCAGCTGGCGTTGGTTGGGGTCCGGTTATGTGGGCATATTCTTGTACCCTATTATACAGATGGTGCTTCCTTTTCATTCTTCCTTTCAGTCTCGGTCTCGGTCTTCTCGGGAGTTGGAGCGACTCTGAACTGGAGAATTCGTCACCATCATCCCCGTGTGTCTTCATTCTGGGAGATATGTTTGAAATGTTGCTAGACCTCGCTTTTGTTTCATTTCCACCGGTCACAACGGTTATGATGGAGCTTCTACCTGACTACACTACTGAGGTATGCGTTATGGGCTCGACTGGATTACGGAAGCTGGTTCTTTTCTCTAATGTCTTGATATACGAAGAGAAGAGAGTTGAGAATGCATGACGAGTCGAAATTTTTATTCCTTCTTCTCATTGTAAAGTCTGTAGACGTGTATTGCATTAAGTTGCGCCCTCGCCCCCTATGAGTAAAAGCGTAAGATGACATTATTGAAAATAAGAGAATCTTGCGCCAGATTGTAATCGCATCGAAGCAAGTAAACCATCATTGAGCCCGCCCACTTTAGTACATGGATAAATAAAGAGATAGAAGAGAAGAAAAAGTTGTAGTCCCCCGCACGAATTGTATATCAGAGTCGGAGTAGTGGTATAATGCTTTCACAGCGGAATCGAGTCTCGAGCTTGTCCGTTCCCCGCCGCTATCTGCGGCGGCGCCTGCTTCCTGGTAGCTCCATTTGCTGCCGCAGTGGCAGCAAGAGGTTGGCCAGGAGTCAGACCCCGCGCATTCATGACCGCACTCAGAAGCCTCACTTGAGCATCAATCATATCATCAAATATCGCCTCCTTCTCTGCCCACGCCTCTTTCCGCTTCGGCCGGATCTTATCCCATTCACCCTGGAGCTCCACACCCTCCTGCTCAGCCCAGTGGATCTGTCTTCGGAGCAGCCTATACAGCTCATGTGGACTCATCTCGAGTTCGTGGTCATCGAAGCCATTCTCAGCGGTGAACTCGGGGACCTCGAACTCGTCGGCGTCTTCAGTCCCCGCTGTGTCGTCGTTGATGCTCTCGCTGTATTGGTCTGTGTTGTCGTCTCTGGGTGGATGTGAGAGCTTTAGCTTGATGCGCTGGAGTTTGCTGGCAGGCGTGCCGACCGGCGTTCCTGCGGAGGAGAGGATGTCGTGACGTTTGGGGACAGGATCAGATGGGCGGAGAGCTTCCGTTTCGTGGACGGTTCGCATGTGTTTTGCTAGGGCATCGGAGCGGGTGAAACTGCGGTCGCATTCTGTAGGGATTGCGAGCATGGTTAGTTGTGATAGCTTCACCTTGTGACGCGACAAAAAAAATGAGATAAAGCAGCGGCGGTGCCACGAATACTAGCAAGGAAAAGACGAACCAGGAAGCGAGCAGTAAAAAGGCTTTTCCCTCGTATGGCTCCTCATGTGAGCGCGCAATGCGTAGCCGCTCGCATGCGTTTGACCCTTTCGAGGACAATCGGACCATTCGCAGGAGTATTTCTTCTGTCGGCTACCGACATGCTCGTTGTGGATGTGTTGGACCAAGTCGTCCATGTTCCCGAGGTCTTTAAAATCGCAACCCTCCCACCGGCACACGGTGACCTGGTCGTTGCATTGCCCGCTGTAGTCCTCGTCCTGGTTTGCCCCGATGAGCGACAGCGTGTTGGGTGAGTTGGGAATCTCGCCGGACGTATCGGACGATATGGAAGAGGACGGCGACGGCGGCGCGGGCAGTTCATCCTGGAAGGATGTCGATAAGGGCGTGTTACGGTCCCAGGAGGCCATTCCGGTGCGGCGACGCTTCGACGGCGGCATGTTGGCGCCTGCTGCTGATGGAGAGAAACCCTGCTTGGAGTCGTCGCGATCCGACATGTCGTCGGAGGCCACGGAGGAGAGGGGGGAGCCAGGGGATTCGGCCATTGGGGATTTTGGTGGGGAGAGGGATGGAAGCTGGGTTGAATGAGCGAATTAAAGTGGCAAGGGCGGAGACGGCAGGGACTGCGAGAGGATTTCGCGGAAGGGAGATCCTGAATTTGATTGACGTTATGCTGGCCTCTGGAGGAATCGAGTATACACAGGCTAGCTGCACGTGATGAGGCTATCTCTTTGACGCGCTCCACAACTTTTTCTTTTCCCACTCGACACTCTCTGCTAACGCACACGAAAATACACAGCAAGCAATAACATGGCCTGAGTAAGCCCACCTTTTAGTTCTGTTTTGCTTATATGATGATCCCTTTCAAGAATTCTGCAATTCTGACAATCTCCTACTTTTGTGAGATTGCGTGTTGACATTCTACACTTGATCTGATTTTTACCTTGTTCTCCCGCGTATCATGATACAATCCGTGGTCGGATCAAGCTGACTGTTGTACTCTGACAGGTCCTGTTTTGATTATGGCGGTGCGGTCACACTGCGTGGGCGTCGGCGTTCAGCTCGCGACTGTGAAATATTATGATGACGCCTTGCCCAGTAGCTCAGTGGCATGACTTGAAAGGTCGAGGTCTAGCTCGAGACGTCGGTACAAGATACGGGCGTTCCCTTGCAACATGGGGTGACTGCCTCGCTGTACTACCAAGCTCGGAACAAGACCCAGAATGGCCGTCGCCGCGGCCAGTCAGGGCTCTCTCGGGTTTTGATGATCCCGGTCTAGGATGAGTCACGACGGTCACGGTCCTTGAGCAAGTCCTATCTATCTGGACAGGAAGGATGGCTAGACTGCTTAATTCTTGATCTCCGTTGCGGGAATGTAGGTAGGGCTATATGGTAGCACCGAGCTGGCTCCTTCATTGACTCGCCGTTGATCTACTTTTATGGGCATGGAATTTCCCTGGTATTGCCTTGGCTCGACAAATGTCGAAAGCTTCCAGCATCCCTTACTCAATGCTCTAGAATCACCCAGGCTTCTTAGTGAAATCAACAATGTTGCCTTGAGCTACCAACATAACTGCTTTTCCAATTTCAAAATGTCATCTCTCATAACGCTAAGTCCCTCCATCGCGAAAACACAAAAAAACCCCAGACGCCCCAGCAAAAGTACACAAGGTACATATCCCATCATCCCCATACCGATATCCCAAATAGCGCCCCCTACAAAGCAACCTCGTCACTACTATTCAGCGTCTCCCGAAACTTCTTCCTCAACACCTCAAGCAACGTATCCACGAAACCCTGCGGTTCCTCTGCCGCACTATCCATATCGTCCGTAGCCGCGGAATCACTCCCGCCCGCACTCGCAGCCACAGTGCTAAACGTCGTAGTCGTAGTAGTCATCGTCTTAGTCGCCCCACCATCCTTATCAACATGCTCCTCAACCTTCACCGTGCCGCTCGGCCTAGGTACCTCCTCGTTCGCGTGGGATGTAACCGTATTCGTTGCGGCGTTGCTGTCGTCGATTGAGGTGCCATCGTCGTATTCCTCTGGGTGGAGCTTGTTGAATCTGTTGAATTCTTCGACGCCGAGGGAGGCGAAGATGTGTGAGAGGAGGTCAGTTTTGCTGGGGATCATGCGCTGGGATAATGGTTAGCATGGTTGATATTGTGAGAGGATGTGGGTGCACGTACGCGAGGTGCAATGGCATCGGATTCCTGGTTGTTTGTGGTCTCTGGTAGTGGAAGAGACCTCGTGAGTGGGGAGAGGAGGAGGGTGGTTATGACGATGATGAGGCTCGTTGTGGCTTTCATTTTGAGATAATCTTTATATTGTTCGAGCGGCGTGTAGAAACAGCGTTGGTAAATCCAAGTGTATGCTATGGTGGCTGCAACCAGGTATATTTTCAGCTGTTGTTCGAGGACGAGTCAGTGATGATCTACAGACGAGATCTACAGACCAGTGGCCTGTAGTTATACCCCCGTTCGCCATCTTGATTGTCGAGGAATATCTCGATGGCGCATGGAATGAAGGTCCTTTCCTTCTCTGCTGTGGCACAGCATTCCGTGTCTTTTATCGCGGCGCAGTCTCCTATCTATATCCCTCGTGACTCAAGATCAATATACCGAGTACTGTCTCCCGTATCATGATTTCTAGAGCATTACTAGTCTGGTCAAGCCCATCTTTGACCTCTTTCCAGCCATGGTAAATGCCCCTTGTCTCCAGAAGTCTTTCGCTTCATCGCGTTGCGAGGGAGTATGTACTGAGACAAGGGGTTCGGGCTAGCATTCCTGAGGTTTGAACTCTTCAACTCTACATTCCACAGTCCCCAAATTTAGAGAGCATGTCGGCTCGGCGAGATCTGAAGTCCGTGTCACAACGAGACCGAGGCTAGTTCGGGGAGGCAGGGGAGTATGTCTGGTTGACTCTGAAGTTTGAGCATTGTCATTTCAGATCAGCAGTTAATTCATAGTGATTGGAGCCAAGTCACCTATGGAGTTTCCGGGTGCCGAGCCCCAATACGCGTGCATTAGCCCATAGCTTCCAAGGGTTCTATTCAGAGATTGCCGGTTTTTGGCCGGTATACCGTTCCCGATGTATGCATGTTGGAGGGATCTTTTTGTATAGGGAGTAGTGGAAGCACCATAGGTACTCCCGCGGAATGTCTCCGCCACCACCCGACCCGACCCGCACATTGACAGCCATATCAACCTCTTGCCTGCATCAATTCAATCATATCAGTCCCAACCACCAAGAATTCATCCAAAAGTGACCCACCAAAGTCCAATACTTTGAATTGGCCAGAATGTCTAACCAACAATCCACGAGAACGTCAAACCCCGCCTCCAACCCCAACCCCACCCCCGCCAATGCTGGCAATAGCAACACCAGCACTTTAAACCCAATATCAACAAGCACATCCCAACCACCCGCATCAGAAAGATCAGACTTATTCAACCTCGGTCTGGACACCCGCCGCGCTGTCCTCGGCTCCGCGCACGTAGACCGCTCGCTAGAAACCAGCAACGCCTTCACCCTCCCAATGCAAGAAATGATCACTGAATGGGCCTGGGGAAACGTCTGGAATCGCCCGGGGTTGGACAGAAAACAGCGCAGCCTGCTAAACATCGGCCTGCTGATTGCGCTGGACCGCCAGAACGAGTTGGCGATGCATGTCCGTGGCGCGGTGCGCAATGGCTTGTCTGAGATTGAGATTCGGGAAGCCGTTATGCATAGTACGGTTTATTGTGGGGCGCCCGCGGGCATGGAGGGGATGAGGACGGTTGATCGTGTGCTGGGGGAGATGGAAGCCGTGGGGGAGATTGTTAGGGTGATTAAGTAGGTATGGTAGGGATTTGGTTTGCGGGAGGAGTAGGAGGGCGTTGGTTGTTTCGTGGGAATTCGGAGGATGCCTAAGTTGTTTGTTTCGAGTGTTCTAGGAATTGGTTGGTCGTGTCCCGTCAGAAATGTAGAGTCTCAATGTTGATGATGGCGACTAAAACGAGACGTGGAAAATTGATATAGATAGGATAGGGTATTGACGGTAACGCAGTAGAGGTACCTGCAGGGTTGACTTATTCATGTAGGGACTCGCTGGTCTAAACCATAACAACGAGTAGCAGGCTAACAGTTTAAGGTAAATTAAGCCTGCAGCAAGCTGCTGACTGTCAGAAGATTGGCATTCCTAATTTTGACATCTAAGCCATCCGACGCATCTGTATCGCATGGAAGAACGATTTACGGTGGCTATTTCCCGGGATTTCTTGAGCAGAGAAGACTCACATGTAAGGTCGAGCATGTTGATAGACGTGCATTCTAGCGCATGGCCGGCGAGTCACGCAAAAGAACATGACCTCGGTAGCAGAAGGGACATACTACTCGCTTCACTTTACGCCCACCCAAGGGACATCCTTTAGTCGACGAGATGAAGGAAGATGCAGGAACAGTCAAGGGGTCCAACTCCTTGTCCTAAACATCGAGGCGTAGACGACGATGCAAACCACGCGGCCCTCGCGCGAATCCTTAGATTTCCTGATACGGACTAGATGACGCCGAAGTTATTCGATACAAACGAGCTAACCCCACCCAGCTAGGACATTCGTATGCGCCTACGTAAGTGGGTTATATAGTATCAGACGCAATAATAACATCTTTCGACGACGGCGAGGGGTCGATGAGGTTTCCTCTGGTTGGCCGATGGCCTCCGGCTAGCATGAGCAAACTCAAGCTCATCTCAGAAGTTCTGACTAGTGTCGCATCGAGGACCATAGAGGAGTTGTGCCAGCAGGGTGGCTTACGTGTAGCCGCAACAACCTTGAGGACCCCTCATTTAGTGAACCGGGGCCGCATTTTCCTCTGAGGAGACTGGGACAGACTCAGGCTGGGAAGTTGGGAACTGGTAAAGCCGACTCGGAATAATCACGGTCGTCTATATGGACCTATATGGACGGATCTAGAACCCCACTGCGTGACGTCTCCGCTTACGTATAGCTAGAGGTGACGAGGCTGCAGATGCTGTTGGCGTCCTAGTTTCAGTTAGCGCTGTCTTTTGTGATACTCTGGAGGATGAGCGAACGAAAGAACTGTGTAGATGCAGAGGCGAGTGTTTGCTGTGTAACCTGTGCTGATCTCTGGGTGTCTTAGGGCACGGTGCCGAAAAGCGAGTCGGGTAGGAGATTGGAAATGGCTTATCTGTTTAGTCATTGAGCTCCCCACCATGATTCTGCAAGGAGATTTTAGGAATCTGGCGAAAATTCAAGAACCCAGACCAATAATGGAGGAAGGTGGGTTCAGACTCCAGACTCGGAGGAAGGTTCGGCTGTTGTTCCCGTGTCGTGTGGTTGACGTTTTCCCTTTCACACTAGCAGAGGGCCAATTTGGCCGTGTCGACTTTTGTTATCAAGTTTGTGTCGGCAGTTTGGGAGGCCCGACCCCGAGTACTGATGAGCGTAAATTACTGAAAACTGCCATTTCAGTTACGCCTCGGCGAATGCCCATCCGCGCGCAAAATTATGAATCCCGATTGTGATGGTCACTGGTCCAAACTTTGTCGGACCCTGAAGATCTCTGCGAAGAGACTTTCGCTTGTTGAGCTGACTCAAAAAGGCCTCAATACCGTATCAATACGGGATTCGACTCCGGTCTTCTCAGGGTCGGCGTTTGTCAGCGGAGAACTCGAAGAAAACATCCCGTCCCACAATCTTACGGAGTAGATCTCCTCTTTCCCACAACTCCCACAGTGGCATCTTCCAAGTTATGTTCTCTGTGTTCTCTCCTTCCGAGGTCGTCTCAGCCCATGAGACCATCAAATGACCAGAACAAAGACAAGTTTCTGATACTAATGGACCCGGGATCCTTGGCGTCTTTGATTTGCCAAATCAATTTTGAACCTCCCATCCCTGTAGGGCGCGCGGGATTCGTAAGACTTCGGTCAGCAGTCATTTTGGGACTTGAGTGAGCTTCCAAGCGCCGTCTGGACTGTATCCGTATTGAGCACCATCTGCTTGGCCTGCTACTCACGTCGCGTCTCTGGTCAGTTCCAAGTTCTTATTTTCGGCCCGGGACCAGGGGCTGGACGAGCCCGCTGGGCGGCTGGGCAACTTGGCTAGATTCCAGATGCTAACTCAATGAGGGGCTTTCACAGAATTGACCGTCGTCCACATGGCCTTCCTTCAATCCTTCGAGAAAATGGCGTGAAATTGGAGGAGCGGATTGGCAGAGATTCAGGCTCCTTGTTGACTCGCCGAGTCGTCGAACCCATCAAAGACCGAGACGGGGCCTGAGCAGGCTCGGTTGGACAAGGAACATGATTTGATCCACAGACCTCGCCCTGATTTGCGAGAATGAGGACCCTGAATCAGGTCCACCGGCCCCAGGTGGATTCCTCAGGCCAATCGAATCCACCCCATATTGATTCACTCCTTTGTGAGGTTTGGATAAATGCTGTTACCTAACGCTTGCATCTACACTTTGCCCGATTATACGTGCTAAGAACTGGAAGCGAACTCGAACAGGTGACGATGCGCTCATTGGGCAAAGGACCTCCCCCTCTCATGCAAAGCTCAGCCTTATGCCACCTTGCCAAGCTGAACTGGCCAACGCCTCTTGGAATAGTTTCAGCCGAGCGAGCAGGGGCCGTTCACTAACCGCAATAGTAAGATACGTCGCATGGCAGATGTCTGAGCGAGCTGGCCAATCTGAAACGGTTGAGACACTTCGTGGAGAGTGGGTGAATCGTAATATCTTCTCAATCATTATCCGTCGCCCCTGGCCGACGTTGGAGAGGCATACAGGATGGTGTTCAACATAACCATTTTAATGATGCTGATCGTTGCCTTGGTCAATCTAGATGTACGGGGTAGATTGCCCAGACTCCAGCTTGAGGATCAGCAGCTGCGACTAAATCTTGGCATATCAGCCCTCCTCGGTACTTCCAATGGATCCACTTCGTCCAGCGAGGTCAAGTTGCACTTCGAGATTTGGGGAGTTCTAGGCTGAAATATTAATCTCTGGGCGGAGGGGTTCGGCCTCGGATGACCGAATTGTGCATATTGTTCAGCTCAGGATGGTCAGGAAGCAACGTCAGTATCGCCAACGCATTACCTGAAGTGAACACCGAGTGGTCCTCAAACTGTTCATGCGACTTGGTTATCAAAGACTGAGCCTTTGGTTCTGCCTCACCAAGCATCTGCATATCGGAGTACATAATGCTTACGCATTACGTATTTGTTTGCCGAAGCCTGTCATCGTGGCTAAGCTGCAACAATGATAAGACTGGAACATCTTATCTGGTTTCCCGAGATCCATCGAGATGCGCGTACGTCGATAGCTACGTATATTGTACAGACTAACAATCACCAGGAGAATGGGCGCTTCGCTCACTGAAAATAGTGCCATCGCAGATGTGCTACGCTGCCAGGTGATGAAGGCCAGAGCTAAGACTACCTTAATTTAGCAACCTTGAACCATCACAACAAAAGCGTCAAGACGACTGGGCCACATTTTTGAGGCTTGTCTCCGTTTGGGCAAAGCAGCATACGTAATCAGGACGAGGTGGTTTGCATATACATACTATTCTCATCTGCTCCATGTGCCGGCAGAGGTTTGAGCCACAGTTCCGAAAAGGGTTCAACGACCGATCTCGAAGTTTGGGTTCCTCATGGAGAAAGTAAAGAGAACGCTACATTCCAGGTGAACGGGAGCCTGTGTCAGCAACACCTTATCCGGACTCAGAGCAGCCACCGAAAAGAGCCCTGACTGGGCAGAGCGTTAATTCGATGCAAGAATAATCGAAGATGCCTAGGTAGGTACTCAGCAGATGTCATAAGTTATGCAGCGCCAAATCACCGTCAGGGACTGCCGCCGGGATCCGCTTGTACCGAACGGCGGTCGTGCCAATCATCCAATTGTCCGAGCCTTGGGCCTGTGCCTTAAATCCGAGTCCGGGATTCGGAATTGACCCTAAAGGGGGTCCTGCGCCCGTGATAAAAACTTCGGGTACCAAAACAAAAACCATTCTCCCAGAGTTTGACAGACAAATCTGATGGAGAAAAATCTGAAGTTTGCTTATACCTGGTGACCCCTGGACCTGGCGAATATCATAATCAGGACGGAACGATTCCGTGCTAATGCAAATCGAGAACCACCAGCCGACGGTTCAACAGCGTGGTTAAAAGCTTGTCCTCATGGCTCTCCTGCGGAGCTAATGAGGGAGACTTTCCCGCGAATGGCAACGATGGACACGCCGCGACTCGGCCTGAATCCCTTGAAATAGCGTATCTTACCGTAAGTATGGCACTGTATTGTGGAATCTCAATCCGGATCATCCGGCATTCGAAGGGCTCAGTTTAACGACGATTGTGTGGTAGTTCATTTTAAGAGGTACGCACACCGTACGCATCTACTACTAGTACAGTCTTTGACTCGTTTCTCTGGGGGTGGGATGACGAATCTGAAGATACCTCGAGCTCAATAGGTTAATCGGCGCCGACATCTCCCGTGCGGCACAACTGTCGCGGGTTATCCATGTATAGACTTACTATTATACACGGCGGCAGTGTCGATCTTGTAATCCCAACTCTCGCGCGAGCCCAGAGCTCTATCATTGGCATTGCGGGCAAATACCAAGCCTTAGCAGTTTCTTGGATGCCGTGGGCCATGATCTGATTTCTGCCACGAGCGTCGAGACGGTCCAGTAAGGCCACGTTTTGATCATTTTCAAATTGGTCAACATTCGGCCGCTAGACTTTTATGGCGCAGTGCTGTGGCTTAGTCCTCCATATTCGTATGTCGAATGCTGACGACAAGGGACACGTACTAGTCAGGGATCTAACTCGTTAGAGCGAGACGGGAGGAGGGGTTAAGGGCCCTGAAAGGGGGTTCGGCGCCTCTTCACACGCTGATGGATGGGCTAGAGTTAGCGATATTTACGGGCTGTGGCTGTTCAGGGTGATGCTATTCGGTAGCGGACAGACAAGAGGCGCTGTACCACGTACTCGTTTCAAGGGCCCCGAGGGAGGAAGGCGAGGAGTGGAGGCACTAGTCTTTGCTGGTGGGTGTACTTCGGGGATATGAACCACAATAAATAACGTGGTGGCTCTGGCATTAATTTCGTGGCATTTCTCCATCCGGAGTATGCTGTCATTAGCCATGGATAACTATTATTTAGCAAGCCCTCCAGGGCTGAAAGCGAAGAGATCCTATTGGCAGCGCCAGGCAGCGCAAAACCGATTCCAACGTCAATGCAAATGTGTGGAAGAAAGATCAGAATAATCGCCGCCAGAAAGGCCAATGTGATGGGGTGAAGAATTATGCTGCCTAGCGATTAGCTCCACCAGAGCGAACCTCGAGTCCACAGTGGGCTCATGGACCTAACTAAGGTACACAACCACACGCTAACTGCCAGGCTAACTCAAGCCCCGTTTCTCTCTGGCTTCATGGTCAGAGCTTCTGGAGAGACCCTGGACCAGTTTCAAGATGGATGCGTTTCTTATTTCTTCATCTATTTCCCTTCCGGTGAATGATCGCTGTCTTGATTATCCTTCCGCTTCTCTCTCCCGCTTTCTCTCCTCCCCTCGGCTTCATTTTCGACTCCCAATTCATCCTTCCTTTCACTCCCTCTTTCAGAGTCTCATCGTCCGGCTCCCTTGACTGGACGCTTATCGACCACCCTCTTCGGCACTACGATATCACGCTCAACCTACCATAACCTCCTGCTCGCAAAAGAGCCATCTCTTTCAGCCTCGTGGTTATTTACCCGACTCTAACATTTCTCTGGAAGAACTGTTGCTTGAGTTGAATTGCATTCCGTCACCTGAAAAAAACGTTTCTTTTCCCCCTCTCCTCTTCCCGTCTCTTGAAACCCAAGACTACTACTATCCGTGGTCCGATTCGCAATCACCTTTCTTCTTCACGACAGCCAGACTCAATACCCTATTTCCTTTTCCAGAATTGGCCAGTGCTGGTCGAGAACCGGAAATAGCATCCACCCAGTCTACTACTGCATTGAGCCGGCTTCGAGTTGATCAGTTGCCGCAGCTCCCCGCCAAACAGCGTAACTGAACGCGTTATTCCGTCTGGAATTATCAAATCGCCAGCAAAGCTCATTGGAGACTATCGCACTATCCGCCTGTAAATAAGGCAAGGAGGGCCCTCGAATTCGTTTATCGGTTTGCTGTCAGATCTGCGCCCAGGTGCTTGTCTACAGATCGAGGGGCGTGTTACACGAGGGAAACCACAAACATCGTCGAAGACAGCAGCAGTTGGTGTGTGCCCTTTTTACCCTTTTTTTTCCCTCGTTGCTTTTCCTTTTCCTTTTCCTTCATATCTTTTCTCCCATTTTTTTTTGCCTTCCCTATTCTCCGCATATAGATCCTCTAAACTCCGCTACTCTCAAATGCCGCCAGTTGTTCTTAACTAAAAAGGAATTGGCGAAGCTGACTGTTCGGCTCCAGGTTTCATCTTTTCCCATCTTTTCTTAATCTTTCTTTCTATATATCGCGTTGTCCGCGGCCAGAGAAATGTCTAGCTGCCGGACAAGTTTTGTGTCGATTTTGAACAATGATGATAACCCGGCATTCGCGGTTCGATCGACTTACGAGATAGCCAAACCATATTCCACCTCGTCACATCAGTATCCACGGGAACAGCCCCCATCAAGGAGCACGGCAGATTACCACTATGGCCGGACGTACTCGGACTCGCCATCGCCCAACTTGACACGGCCACCATTCGATCCCGTCACAGAGGCCGCCCGCCCGGCATCACCGGGATCTTCAGATTGTTCTTCATACGACTACACGCACAGCTCTATTGCAGCCTCTTACCACCACCACCATCCTGGCCGCCATGATCCCTATGCTTACCACCCTCATGGGGATAAGCGGCTCAGCGCTAACTCTATGGCCGAACCGCCGTCGCCTCAAACATCGATCGCTAGCACGTCGAAGGAGTCAGTCGGCCCCAAGCCGGCTCGCAAGAACAAGTACCCTTGCCCATTCGCCGCAAGCCACGCCTGCACTGCCACGTTTACTACTTCGGGGCATGCGGCACGGCACGGCAAGAAACATACCGGAGAGAAGAGCGTACACTGCCCGATTTGCAACAAGGCGTTTACCCGAAAAGACAACATGAAGCAACATATTCGCACGCATCGAACGCACTCCGAGGATATGTCATCAAACGCTACGCCGCGCAGCATGGACACGAGCCGAGAATGGACGCCTAGGCGGTACGAGAACTAGCCGGCCGATGCCTGGCTTTTAGAGTTACGATCGCCTATGATAGTATGAGGACGACGATCCGATGGCGTGAAGTCACCGCCGCAAGGCTTTCTGGGTAATCATTATGGAAGTTGATGAAGAAAGACCTGAAGAGGGCCTGAACTCCGATCGATGAACCCCACTATAGCCTGGCTCATGTTTGAGACTCACTAATAGTGAGGTCTGAGCCATCGTCGCCGAGCCGACGTTCGAGAACAATATCTGACGAAAGAAGCCCGTGAAACGCAGAGGTGACTGCTGGGCAGTACTCGCATCTGTCACTGGTGTTGTCCTTATTCTTTTCGCATATTCCTTTCTTCTTCTCTGCCGTCTCAAAAAAAGACGGATAGAAACTGGATAGACTTATGCTTCCATTCGAACAGCAAGCAGCTCGGAGTGTATCTTGTACGCCATTCCGTTCTGTGTACCATGGAAGCTCTGCATTGCTTGTTTTTCATCTCATTTTGTTCGATTCTCATCATCTTGCATTTTTCTGATTTATAATCTAGTCTTCAATTTTTTTTTTCAACATTCTTGTCTTGTCAAGACCTTGCATGTATTGTTATCAGCGTTTTCATCATTTCTTATCCAAGCCTATGTCATGAAGGGTTGAGATCAAAGGTCACGGGATCACAGAGCGGCATGTACAATACCTAACAGAGCGACGTCAGCGAAAATAGCTGAACATACTTGGAGTTCCAATGAAAGAGACCCGTCATCGGGCTTGTTCGATTGTCCAAAATATTCTCCGTATCTGTGTAATTGATCGCTTTGCGTTGGCCTCGAATCAATGGGATTGTTTGCAGATAATCAGGGATGTTTCAGTAGTACCGTGGATGGCGCAGTGCAGGCAGGGCCTACCAAGGACAAAATTTGGTAGAGCCAGCGGCGCAGCACCGGAGCCAGCTATCGCTGGTCCGGGGTCGACCTGGGGCTGGATCAGGAACCCGATGGGGCCAAACTTGGGTGTTGATATGGTGGAGTTGATTTGATGCCCTACTCCGGAGTATGTTATGATCTCGATCAGTCCAGTATACGTGGGTTACCCCAAGACTACGGCGATCCCACATCACACAATATTTTGATGTAGGAATCGGAGCCGGAGGCGCTCACCGACAGGATCAAATGACATCATCATGCCCCCAAGTTAGGAAAATGATAGGGGCATTATAGTCCTGGGGTGATATAGCCGGCGTCATGATTCATTATGAATTCAGTGCTGCGGATTCTGCCCAGTCATATACGTGCCTGAGCCGCTCGTGCTGGGTCGGATGACGGGCTGAACCCGCCTTGGTCGCCTGCGATTTCTCACGAAGTCTGCCGGCACCAGCAGCGTCAGCCACAAATGAGACGATCGAGACCCGGAGACCTGATGACCTGTGGCTTGAACGCAGCCTCAGCCAGTCAACGGCCCGACGCTTCAGCAAGAAAGCGGCCGAAAAATTAAAGGCGTTACGTCAGAGTCTGTGACCTGAGGCTGGTGCTCGTCCGCCCCCCCGCTCGATTGCCACACTTAAAACAGCGCTTGCTGTCTCGGTGCCCCATGATCTCTCTCGTCCTTTTATTTTCCATCCTTTCATTCAAGGCCGTCATCTCTTTCAACCTGCTAGGCCTATGATTCCATCTTCCAGCTTCTGATTACCTGGTTTATCACCACCACAGCCCAATTATGGCTTACTACGACAGCCGGCCATACCCTCCACACGAGCGCTATCCCCCCGCCGAATATCCTGAGACCCCGTATTACCACGGGGGCCGCCAGCCGACGGATGTAGTTGCGCCTCCTCCTGTCAATCCATCCGGCGGCACCAGAGACTCCTACTATAGCAACCATCCCGCAGGAGACGCCTACGAATACGGCTATGACGACCCTCACCACTCGAGACGCTCGCGCAAGAAGAGCCACCGCACACACTCTGTCGATGGATACTACGATGACCCATACGAGGACTACGAACCCCGCTCCCGGCGATCTAGACAATATGATGAACGACGTGCGTATTCCCCTATGATACTCGATGAACGCAGATCAGGTAAGAGCCGGAAGACTGACTATATACCAGGCGGCCGTGAAAAGTACGCCTATTCTCCGTCGACCAGCCGCTCGCCTCCTCGCCGTCGGCGTTCCCTATCTGAGCGTGCCCTAGGCGCTCTGGGCCTAGGAGGCGCCGCCGCCGCCGCAGCAGCAGGATCCAAGCATCATGATAGCGGACGGGACCGTTCCCGTGGCCGTGACCACCGCCGATCTTACTCGTACTCGCCATCTCCGACTCGTGGAAGCCATCACCGTGGTAAGAGCGAAGCGCGCATTGCACAGGCTGTCAAGGCGGCTCTGACTGCGGGCGCCGTGGAAGCCTTCCGTGCGCGCAAGGAGCCTGGCGACTGGTCTGGTGCCAAGGGCAAGCGCGTTCTTACAGCTGCGCTGGCTGCCGGAGGAACTGATGGGCTGGTTGACCGGAACCCTGACAAGCACAGCAAGCGCCATATCCTCGAGTCTACTCTTGCAGGTCTTGCTACCAACCGGGTTGTTAACGGATCGCGGTCCCGCTCGCGATCTCGCAGGCGTTCTCGCTCTCACGGTCGAAGCAAGACCAAGGATGCCGCTCTCATGGGTCTCTTGGCTACGGCCGGCAAGGAGGCCTACGATCGGTACCAGAAGTCTCAGTCTCGGCCACGGCACCGTCGCCGGTCTACCTCTCGCGATAGCTATGATGATGACTACGACTACGACTCTCGCCATCGCGGCTCCAAGAAGCGGAGCAAGAGCGTGTCGGACTACGTCAACGAGGGCCTAGCCGCCCTGGGCCTGGGAGACAAGACGGAGAAGGGTGATAAGGATGATCGGCGCCGCCGTCACCGTGAACATCGGTCGTCCCGCTACGATGACTACTCGGACGGTGACCGATACAGTGACGATGATTACCGCCGCCGTCATCCAAGCCCACCCCGGACTAGGCATTCCAGAGATGTGAGTGCACCTCGTTATATCGCTGCATCGGGAGCTAGGGGCGATGAGGGATACGGTCGCATGGAAGTTGGTCCCTATACTCAACGCCCCGACTCCCGACGTACCAGCGAGCAACCACGTGATCGGAAACAGAATGGTTCTGACGGGGATGACAGTATCGATGAGCACAAGCGGCTCAAGAAACTCAACCGGGAGACACTATGGGCCACGGGCATAGCAGCCGCAGCAACCATCCATGCCGCCCACTCCCTCACCGAGAACATGGAAAAGCACAAGGAGCGCGCGAAGCAGATAAAGGAGGGTGAAATTACTGCCGATGAGGCGCGCTCGCGCAAGAGGAAGAATCAGCTTTCCGACCTTGCAAGCGTCGGCGTCGCCGCGTTGAGTATTCAGACAGCAGTTGGTGAATGGAAGAATTTTGACCAGAAACGTCGCGAGCGCGCAAAGTGCCACAGAGAGTGTAAAGAACGTTCCAAGTCCATGAGTGGTCAAGGAGGTTATCAAAAAAGCCACTCCAACTCCAAGTCTCGGCCTCACCGCGCCCAGAGCCTGAATTACGGCCATGCGCCTCCCCCAGCCCGGACTGTGTATCCCGATGAGATCGAGGAGAACTGGTCTGATGCCAGGCCGAGATCTGTAAGATCGCCTGGGGTGATAGTTTAATCCCTTCCATCTCTACTCTCCCATTTTCCTTCTACTTTATTTCCTCGCTATATTTCTTGATACACTTTGTTTGTTTTTTGTTTGTTTTTTTTTCGATACGAAGCGACTGCTATTGTGTCTGCACGAGACTATGATTCATGAGACGACGACCACGACACAACATACACGATATGACCATGACCACGACACATGACCCCTCTATGTTATTCCCAATTATCCGCATGACCGAGACTGTACTATGATGTACTATGATATTATGCCACGATACGACCTCGATCTTTGCACCTGCTACACTTATGCCTCGCCATACTCTCTTCTTGCTTACATTACGTTTCGGGCTGCACTTTTATACCTCTCGCTTAGTCTGCTGTACATCACATCGCGTTTACTATACATTCATCGCATCGCATTTACATCTATCTCTTTTCAAGATGGTTTTCTGTACCAGTATCCAGTTTCGATTTTCTATTCTGCAAATACATGCGAGCATAGCGGCTACTACAGTACAAATGGTAAAAGTGTATTTACTTGGTTTGGGTTCTTCGCTCCATATAATAATGGGATGTCTGTCTTTCCTGATACCGTACCACATCATCAATCGAGTACTTACCTAGCCCTAGTTACCTAGGCCCGCCCGTCTGTGAAAATGGCACCGACCTGCTCTGTTTATGTCTTAATCCTTTTGTAGCGGTCTTGTCGGTATAAGGTATTATTTGTAGTTATATCCATGTAAAAGGAAGGGAGGAGGGGTGGAATGAAGGATTACGGGTCGATGGGATCATGGCATGGAGTCAGCTCGGCGCCAAGTTGTACCGTTGAGCATGGCAATGACTATGATAGTAGTTCCGATGAGAAACTAAGGGCTAGGGGGGGCTTTCTTGTGTAAGACCTCCGAGGGCCAGTCAACTGGTGGGAAAAGAATACACGAGCCAGCCAGCCAGCGGAAAGCGGAGTGTGTATCCGAGGATATGGAATATTAGCAAGTCCCCCTAGAGGTTGGGTTGCAACTATAGCCCTCCGTCTGCCTTTGCAGGCCCTTCCTTACCTTACGTAGGTGCCTTTTGCCCTTGTCATATCCAGCAAAGTATTTTCTAAAAGCAAGCACAGAAACTGAAAATCCCGATAAATCCATTCACATCAACCAGCCATGTGCCTGGCACATGGAAGTCAACAAGTCAACAACTAGCAGACTAGCTCGCTAGATCAGATGAAATGGGTAAAAAAAAAAAAAAGGAAACCCAATATCCCTACACCACATACCAGGGGTCTATGTACAGAGTAATCGCAACCAAGTATGCAAGACATTCAAACAATCGAACAAGAGCGAGAATGGGGGAACCAAGGAGCGGAAGAACGGGAACGCAGATGGATATCAAGAGTTTGAATGAAAATGAGTATAAAAAGCAGGCCAGGCTGATTAGGGAGGGAGAGTAAGAAATGAAAAAAAAAAAAAAGGGATGGATGCTCGGCAGTGACAAGGCAAGGACAATGACACGAACAAGACGAAGAAAGCGCTAGTACATGTGGAATTATACAGTGCTGAGTGATGCGACACGGCAGTTGCGCTGATGAGACGCGGAGATGCAAACGGGCTAGACGTTGGGCGGCGCATCAACGCTCACCTTTTCGTCTAATTTTGGTGCTTATTTTTCGCACTGTGCAGGGTGCGTATGCGGATGCGTAAGCGGACGGAGAGAGGTCTGGATGTGTTCTTCCAGGGAGATGAAGATGCTCTATGGCGGTATAAGGATTGTTGCTGCTCGCAGCTCGGTAGGTAAGGGAGCGTATTTGCACATGTGCGACATTACGCTATTCATTGGAGTGTTTGGTGACTATCGATCGGCATGAAGGTTGAGCCAGCTCATATCCGAGTTGACGTTGTTTCGCGGTAGTGGTTGGCCATCCGGGATCAAGATACTCGAGCCTCGCGTGTTTGTGCGTGCCGAGTCGTGCCTCCTGTAATCAACGGGCGAAGCCGCGGCTGTAGACGGCAGTTCTCGTGTGCTGTGCGTAGGGTTATAGAAGCTCCTGCTGTATGCGCTGCTTGGCGGTCGGCCGAGCCAGCTTTGCGTTCGTGGGTTGTACCCGCGATCCGCTTCGTCATCATCGTCCGAGTGGAGGCTGATCGAGTCGGCACTGGATATTTGAGCTGACTGACTCTGGGGAATTGCGATCTGCCTGCCATCTCTGACGGACGTCGCGAATTCAGTTGTGGGGCTTCCGCTGTTGACTCGACCGAGTGGTTGGGGTTGATCCAAGAAGGTCGTGTTTAGCGGAGGAAGAGTATTGGCGCCACCAGGCCAGATGGTGGCTTTCGAACCACGAGATGAGTCGTACTGGGACATACCGACCAGGGTTGGGGTGCTGTTGTTCTGGAAGTATTTGCCCCAGCCTTCGTCAGTTGTCCGGTCGCCTGGGCGCGCTGACGAGTCCTCGACCTCGATCTCTTTATCCGCGCCAGTATAGTCACTATCGCTAGATTGGATGTTGTTGAGCGGACTTGGCCGTGCTGGCTGTGTTTTTTGCATGTATTGTGGAAGTGCACCCGCTGACCTGGGAGACTTTTCGTCGCCTGTGTTTCCAGTAAAGATGGCCAACGAATCAATGGAAGCGGCCCTTGGTGCCGGACTCTCGGCCATAGGGTAAGCTGAGCGAGTCAGGGGTTCTACGCCCTGATCTTGGAAGCTTAACCGGTCCTTATCCATTCCACCGGCCCTGGCCATCTTCTGCTTCTTCCGCTTGAGGAGCATCAGGATCAGAATCAGAATAATGGCAACGCCTACAAGTCCTCCCAAAGTTGCGCCGATGATCGTGCCAATGTTGTCGTTGCCCGAGTCACCGCTTGACGAGTCGGACAATGTCGAGGATCCAGTCTCGGTGGCCGTAGGTGTTGGCGTAGTCGATGTTGTAGTCGTTGTCGTTGCTGCTGCTGCCCCAAGGATATCAAGGATCTCCTCTTCGGATTTGTCACCGAAGAATAATTGTGTCGAATTAACCCAATCGTTTTGAGCCTGGTCGAAGATAACTATAGATTCAGTACCATTGCCACTGGAAATGACGACCTGTCCATCATCATCTTGAGCTAATGAGTAAGCTTGGCGTGTGGTCGTGGAGGCAGTTGAATCGTCATAGGAAGGGTAAACCCTCTTCACCATTCTGGAAGCCTGGGGATTGGCACTGTCGGGAAACATAGCCATGCTTGTGACATTGTTGGGGGAGACGCTCATATCAAAAGTCTGAAATATCTTGCTGCCGTCTGTACTGTTGAAGAGGGCGAATTCTGCCTTTTCTGGCAATTGTTGTGTCATTTCGAAGCCAGAGCCGTGCCATCCACTAACTGAGTCCCAGAAATGCACCCCAACAGGGCTAGTCTCGCCGCCAAACAGAGCTGCGGTACCATCGCTCCAGGTTAAAAGGACAGGAGAAGCGGCAGGTGACGCTTTTTCTCCAGATTGGGAGTCAAGATCATAAGGCTCATAAGTGCGTGCAATGAAGGTGTCGGAAGACACAGTGGACCCATCCTTTTGGTTGCCGCCATAGACCAAGATCGAAGAAATAGATTTGAGATAGACAGCGCCGTGGTACGTCCGATTCGAAAGGTTGTCAGCCGTGAGTGGGATGGTCCTCCACTTCTTATCTTTGAAGGAGTAGCGTTGTAGACCGGGGTTTTCCGACTTTGAAGACGTTCCTCCAACTATATAGAGGGCTTGCTGGCTCTCATCGCCATCAATACCACCTGTAACACATACGGCATCCGATACTGGCACGCCCGGTGTCAATTCGGTCCAGGTTGCATTGTATTCGAGTGGAATCGACAGAAATCCTTCTTGGGAGTAGGTGTAAAGGGTGTTGTTATGAATCGCCGAGCAGTGGCCCTCAAGCGACACTGGAGGTCTCGGTGCGAACATGTTGCGAAAGAATAGGTAGATTCAATTCGAGTCTTCGAATTTACCAGTCGAAGAAAGGATCCGGTGGGATAGCCACCCACCCAAAAGGAATGTGAGGCGGGGAGGAGCCTAGGGAGGGAGGAGAGGGAGAACTGAAGGTGACTGCCAGAGCACTATCTCATGATAATGAAAGGGAAGGAACCGTCACCGAGGACGATGTCTTGTACTCGACAGAGTTACGTGGATGGGTTTACAGAGCGAACGCAGGACCTGAGACTGCGCTTCAATGCCGGTAGCGAACGATCGACGAGATGATGACCCCAAAGAGAGCGAAGGAAACGGCAAGAATGGCGACCTGGTGGTGGCTGTCAATCGGGGAATTCTCAGGGGCTGAAATAGTTCATGGGGCGGGCGGAGCGAAGCACGATGTCAAACCGGGCAGCAAGAGAAGAAAACGAGAGACACAAGACCGCGAAGGTCGAGGAAAACACACGAAAATGCAAAGGAGAGGAAGGGATTGAATTGGGAGGAGGCGAAGAGAGAGGAAACGGGCAGCTCCGAGTCAGGGGAGAGACACGAGAGTGGGAAGACCAGAATTAATTAATTTGGGGGACTGTTGTATGGGCGAACGCTGGTAGGTGAAACAGCGGCCCCAGCTTGGGCCGGCCGCGAAAGAAATATTCTCACCTGGGATCAAACGAGTCTTTTCGGGAAGTCGTCAATTGAATGAAGGTAGAGAAACAGAAACTGAAGGGCAATCGAGGGGAAAGGAAGGATCGTGGGATGGACTGTGAGAGCGACCAGCACGATGGGCAAAGAAACACAAGGACACAGCCTGCAGAGCACGCGAAGAGCAAACCGGAGAGGAAAAGCAGCGAAGATCAGAATGCATTATGGAACCTCCAGAAACCAATATGACCAGACAAGCTCAGCTGCAGGTAGCACACGCGAATCGACGCGCCATACAAAGACCCTGGGGAGTCGACGTTAGGTACAGAACGAGATGATATCAAACCGGTTTGTTTAGACGATCCTTACAGACACTGCAAGGGACCCGTTCAGGGGTAGGTACGGTGTATATCGAGAGTATCCCGCTAGCGTCCTCGATCCATGGTTGGGCGACGCAAAGTCACTCCGTTCGTTGATGGCCATGATGCCTACTGATTTGTCTACAAACCGTCCGAACAAGAGGATGCCAATTTCTCAGACGACAGAGATTTCAAAAGCAAGTCAGAAGGGAGACAAAGCGAATCCAATGACTGTGCAACCGTTCCTGCGTCAGCTGGGCGAGTGGCAGCAGAGATCGTCAGGGCGCACCACTCACAGCCCGAGACCCCAATTTCTGACTGTCGGCCTGACCTCCAGCTCATGAATGCATCCTTACTGCATTGTCATTGGCCGTTGCAATATTCTTCACAGACGCCTGAGGCTGTGATGACTTTGGCGGCGCCATTTATACTTCTTTTTAGCGACTTGACAAGCCATTCATATACAGCGGAGACCGTTGTAGATGATCCCACAGTTGAATCGTCAGATTGAACTTCAAATAATAGGTAAATACGGTATATGTACAGTAGCTGATTAGTTCTCCGTTGACCCCTGCTTCCATTTGTGTGCCATCTGCAACAGTTTCGACAGGTTCGCTGCCGACTTGTCGTCTGCGGGGAACACATAGTCCATATATTCCTCGTATCGGTCGTCGTCCAGCTTTCTCCGTTTCTTGACCCGCCGCGGCATCTGTTTCTCGATATTGTCGATATCCTCTGGCGATCCATGAGTATGTTCGAACGACCGCCACGCGTTGAGGAGCTCCACACGCTGCAAAATTGTTAGCCTTGTTTCCCCTATATTCGCAAAAATGTAATGACATACCTCTTCCTTGAGCTCCTTCTCCTTGAAAAGTTTATGTGCACGCTCAAAGACGGCCCGAGCACGCCGTTTAGCCTCGTCGCTGATAGGTCGCTCTTCCTCCTCCTCCTCCTCTTCTTCCTCTTCCTCATCTGGCACATTGATTTCGAATCGTGCGTAGTTGATCCAGACCTTGACGTGGTCTGTCTTCTGCAGAAGACGCTCGTACAATTGCCGCTCACGCTCGTACTCGCCTTCGTAGTCTTCAAAGTCGATGTAGGATTTCCAGACAAGCTCCGGCATATCCAGGGTCGGCTGGTCGATTCCGAGCTCATAGATGGCCCGCACACGTTCGGTGTCATCCAGGCCCCGTTCCAACTCCGCGTACTGAATCCACGATTGACTATTGGATGGGTTCCACTCGATTTGTTTCTCGTACAGTGTCCGGCACCGTACGAACTCAAATAATTGACGTTCCAGATCGATATAGCCGCGGAATAGCTTGTCCTTGGGGCACATGCCGATCGCCTGCCCCAGGGTTTTACGCGCCGCTTGAAGATTCAACTGTCGCACTTCGAACTGCGCCTTCATCAACCAGACTTTGGCAAATGTGAACTTCTTGTGCGGAATAAGTTTCAGGCATTCTGCGTAAACCTGGCGAGCACGGTCGATATCCTTGGCCTCCATTTCCTCCCAAATCGCATAGAATATCCACAAGTAGATATAACGCCTCCAATGTCGCTTCTCTTGTGATGGCGGGATCTGTGCGATGCCTCGTTCGTAGACATCCCGGACTCGTTCTGGATCGCCCGACGATTCTTCCAAGCGTGCAAAGTCAAACCATACGTCGTAATTGCGTGGGTTCTCCTTCAACTGCTCCTCATACTGAACTCGCCGTTTGGAGAAAATAACATCTTCCACGCCCTCCCGATCGCCGTACTGCTTTTCGAACGTGGTGTATGCCTTGTGGAGAGTGACAGATTTGGAGCGAGGCAGTCGGTCAAGAGCGTACTTAAAAATTGCCCGGGCACGCTCGTATTCTTTGAGCTTTGCCTCGAACTTGGCGTATGCGATGAAAAGCTTCTCGTCCATAAAATCCTCGCCAAGCGTTTCCACTGCTACCCCGTACACTTCTCTAACCAGGTCGCTGGTACCATACTCCTCCTCAAATCGTGCCCATTTGATCCAGTTCCTTGGCTCCGGGTGCACGATCGTGAACCGCTGGAAAATCGCTCGCGCCCGCTCAAACTCGTTGTATCTCTTCTCCAACTTGATATAGGCACTCCAAGCACCTTCCTCCGGTTCCCACGACATCCACCGCTCAAACACCTGCCGCGTTCCAGGAATATTGCCAAGGGTCTCCTCCATATAGACATATTTATACCAAAGCTTATCCACCCGCGGCAAGATTGTCACCGCGCGATCGAGCAAGTTCCTCGCATGGTTGATGTTTCGATTGCGCATCTCCGACTCGATGTATCGAATCCATAGCGGCACGGAGGTCGCGCTGACGTCCAGCGCTCGTTCAAAGATCGATCGTGCCCGGCGGAATTCCTTCTGTTCCAACTCCCAGGCAGCATACCGCATCCAGTTGTTCATGTTAATCCGGTTCCGCCGCACATAGTCCTCGAACTCCTTTCTCTTGCGACCCTGGTATTCGTGTAATTCTTCCAAATCGGCGAACCGCTGCGTCGGCGCCTGGAGGGCGGACTCCTGCCGGTCAACAGCCTCGCGGAGCAGCTGCTCCGCTGAGATCTGAATAGGGGCAGGAGCCTTGTTTTTGACCCTTGGGGGGCCGCGCGATGCCTCCATGGTGGGCGAGAGTTCGATTCAAAATCGATGCGTGGGGAGGAAGGAAAGTGAGCAGAGTAGGTGGTTTGAAAGCCCGTCGATCGGATATCTCAAAAAAGCTGCGCTGGAGGTCTGGGTAGCCCGCCGCCCGACCCTAGCAACTAGCTCGGATGACTCAGCAGCTTCCATAACTGCGGATGATGAAATTCCACCTTTTCCAAATCTCCGGCTTGTGATCAAGCTTGTGGTAATTGTTACGTTGCACACTCGCATACACCATGTCTACCGCCGAGGAGCTTCTGAGGGACTTTGAGGATGATGAAGATTTCGAGGCCGAGGGTGCTGAGGGCATTGAGGAGGATCAGGATGAAGAAATGCAAGCACAAGAAGCCACCAACGCAGAGGTCACGAACGAGTTTGAAACTGCTATCTCGACGGCAGATGAACTATTACGTCTACACAAAGTTTTGCGCGATCACTATTCTATCAGATTTCCCGAACTCGAGTCACTCGTGACGAACTCCATCGACTATGCGAAGACGGTCGCTATCCTCAAGAATGGCCCGTTAAATGACATCAAATCTCTGTCAAGCTCCGCAGACAACATGGCTGGAGTTCCTCTGAAATCGGTTCTGGACGGCCCTACACTGATGGTCGTCGCGGTGGAAGGCACAACAACCCGAGGACGGGAGATGACGGAGGCGGAACTAAAGGTCGTTCTGGATACTTGCGAGAGGATTCTAAAGCTGGACAGAGAGCGGACTGCGCTCACACAAAGCATCCAATCACGAATGAGCCAGATTGCTCCAAATCTGGCAGCCTTGATTGGACCGGAAACCGCTGCACAGTTCCTGAACCAAGCAGGAGGGTTGCGGGAGCTTGCTAAGATTCCAGCATGCAACTTGGCAGCTCAAGGTTCGCGAAGGAAGGAAGGTTTAGGGTTTGCCACAAACATTGGTATCAGATCACAGGGGTTCCTCTACGACTCGGAGTTGATTCAGGATATCCCGAACGACTTGAAGAAACAGGCGATGCGCATCGTCTCCGCCAAAATGGTGCTGGCTACGCGAGCCGACGTTTCGAACTACAGTCCCGACGGCTCCCTAGGCGAAGAGTTGAAGCAACAATGCTACACGCGGTTGGACAAACTGACGGAGCCTCCTCCAAACTCCGGGACCAAGGCTCTTCCTGCTCCGGATGATAAGCCTTCCAGAAAACGAGGTGGTAGAAGAGCACGAAAGGCCAAGGAAGCTGTCGCGATGACTGAACTCCGCAAGGCGCAAAACCGACTCGCCTTTGGAAAAGAAGAAGCTGAGGTCGGATACGGAACCGGCGAGGGAACTGTCGGTCTGGGAATGATGGGTCAGCAGAATGACGGGCGCATCCGGGCCACCCAGATCGACCAAAGGACACGGGCTAGACTGAGCAAGTCCAATAAGGGCTGGGGTGCCGCAACTCCTGTCAGTAGTGGCACCGCCTCGTCGCTACGGGCATTCGGGCAGGGCCACAGTGGGACGGCGAGTGTCCTACAGGCCAAGGGACTTCGATCTTCCGGCATCGGGACTTCATTTGGCGGTTCTGCTGGTACGGCTAGTACCATTGCTTTTACTCCCGTACAGGGACTAGAACTCGTCGATCCCAAAGCGCAAGCCGAGTTGAGTCGCAAGCGCAAGGCGGAAGAAGATCGGTGGTTCAAGTCTGGCACGTTCACTCAAGTGGGTGGCCAAAGCACCCCCAAAAATTCGGCGGGGGCGGCCAACGGAGGGTTCAAAGTTCCTGCGTTGCCCACGAAGAAAGTCGACACGGGCGCAGGCAGAATGGGGCCTCCGCCGCCACCATCCAAGTAGAATTTTTTCACCCTATTATCCGGTATGTAAGCATTACAACGGCGTTTCAAAATTGAGGGTTTGGGGCACAGCATGATACCAATATCAATAATGTATGATAAACTAAAAATTCCTTACACTACTACAGATTATTTAGGCCAGTAAATTGTATCCTTTTAGCAGGCTAGTAGCAGCCCTACCGCGATCTAGTATCCCCAGATGCCAATCACCGTTGAGCAGATCTACAATTTCAGAGGAGTATCTCCAAGCTACCGAACTCCGAGTCCACTCCAAACCGCCGAACACTTCAAACCGCCGAACTTAGTTCAGTACGACCATCAACGACCTAGGTATCTAGATATCGGTGAGCAATATTTACATCAGGCTACACCGACACGAAGAAAATGTAACCCGGGATGGTGATGCTCTTTTCAAGGGGGAGCTCGTCATCGCATTGCGTGCTTTGGGTGGAATCTTCCACTATCTTTGGTATTCTGGGACAGAAATTGCGGAGATTGACTCGACTCTTTGTACCGGGGGACTCGTTATAAATTGGGCTGGTTCGTTTCTTCAGGGGAATTTTTCTTCAATCTTTGCTCCATGAGCTCTCTTTAGAGACTTTTCTCTTATCGTTTCCTTTGCGTTGTGGCGTTGAGCGTGCAAATATTCCTCCTATAGAGCATAGATCTACCTGTCTGTCTACTTACCTTACACTTTACGATACTACTGGGAAGACAAAATGGCATCCGCAACAGTCAGCCTCGTCGATTCTCAAGCCCTACCACTGGAGAAAACACCCGCAATCGGGATATACGAGTCCGAGCCTGAGCCTGTCTCTATACCAACCTCTGACCCAGAAACTGCGCCTACACCATCCCTCTCGGACAGCAACCTCCTCATAACATCCCCCTACACAACCCCCGACCACCTCCTCGACCTCACAACGCTAGACACGCCAAATCGCCTCTTCGCTCAAGCCCTAACAGCCCTCACCCCAATCCGCAACGACTACGCCACGGCCCCTTACACAGAATCCTTCAACTGGGCCGCCGTCTTTGAGAAGCTGCACGCGCTCGCAGCCGCAGAGGACTACGCCTGGAAACGAGAGCGCTTCTACGTCGTTGCATTCCGCTCCATCCTCAACGCTGACGCGGATGGGGATCGGCTGCATTTGCTTGATGAGCGCTCGCATGCCGAGGCGGTGGCCAGCGGCGGGTTGCTGAAGTATTGGTTTGGGAGTAAGAATGCGCGGAGGGAGAATTTGGCTACTTGTATGTCTTAGCTCTTTTTGTTTCCTATGAGCCTTTGCGACGGGTTGGGGTTAACTTACCCTACTAACCTTCCTTGAGCCCTTTCTCTGGATGTGTGACTGACTAATGGGCAATAGGTGTATGGCGGAGTCGAGAAGACGCAAGAGCAGGTGGGACAGGGCCCTGGCATGCAAAGGCGCGCGGGGCAGCAAAGGAAATGTATGAGCGCATTGAGTTCACGACGTTGGAGCTCGTGATCGGGGAGGAAGTCGGGGACTGGGAGTTTAGCGCATGGAAAGACTGATTGTCAACCTGTCATGAATAAGAGTAACGTTATAATTATGGCCATATGACATGTGAAAAGTACAACTCGTTTGACTCGTGGTCCGAAGAGTGTCGCGGGGTGCCGAAAATAAGTTTTGATATCCACCAGTGTCGAGAATGGTAATTCTCCCCGGTAGTTGCTGGCCCTCGAACACCTCTTTTTGGTATCTTTCAACGGGCGTTTGAGGATAAAGTCCTCCACTCACAGTAGGTGCTTTGCGATGCAGATGGTCAGCTTGTTTGATCGCCCCGTTGCTGGCGCCAGTTAAGTGCTGAGGGTGTTGGAGAAGGTGGGGTAGTATCTATACCTGGTATACTCCCCCGGCCGAGTGTTATTTAACCGGCCTGGCCCTGGACTGTTCTGCCGATTGAATCCAAAATTATTCTCCTCGCGTTTGCCAGCCAGAACACCCCTCACAATAATGCCTGGTGTACTTACAGAGACCCTCGCGGTTACCGATGGCCCGTTGACATCGGAGAACGCCGCCCTCCTCCGCCCCTCCAACCCATCCCTTCCCCTCGAAGAGCTCCGCGCACGCTACGATGCCGACGGCTACTTATTCCTCAAACAGCTCCTCCCTCGTGAGGACGTCCTCGAAGCTCGCCGCCAATACTTTTCCTACCTCTCACCCACGGAAGTCCTGAAAGAAGGTTCCGACCCCGTCGAGGGAATCTTCAACCCAAAAAAGGACCCGGAACATTACCCGGGTATTGGAGCCGGTGCTGTGGGAGGAAACGGACGCCCTGGTGGAGATAACGCGGCGCAGTTTGTAGACCGCGCGATCGAGGCACACTATAAGGATTGGTATGTCGAGAAGCTGTGCCACCATCCGAAGCTCTATGAGTTTGTGGCTAGGTTCAGTGGATGGGGGAGTGATACGTTGACGTTTCAGCGGACGCTGTTGAGGAATAATATCCCCGGGACGAAGCCGATTGGCGTGCATTATGATCAGATTTTCCTGAGGTATGGGGAGCCGACTAGTGTTACTGCTTGGGTTCCTATCGGAGATATCAAGATCAATGGAGGCGGGTTAATCTACCTTGAGGATGGTAGGTCCCTTGTTCTCTTTCGAACTCTTCAGAAGCGGGCTTGTCGAAGTTCTCTAACTGCATCTAGGTGACCCCGTGGGCCTCAAGATTGAAGAAGAGTTTACCAACAAGGCCAAACAAGCCGGGTTAACAGAGGAAGAAGCTCACTCGGCATTCAACTCCAACATGATGGCGACTGGCCTGCTCTCTGAGACCCCAGCTGGCTTCGCAAAGGAACATAACCGGCGCTGGCTGGTTTCGGCTTATGAGGCTGGTGACGTTGTCTTGCATAAGCCGCATACGGTAGGCCACTTGATCCCGTTCGGCTTGCTGCTTGCCATGGTGCTGACATTGGTAGATTCATGCCTCGACCATCAACAATGACCCTGACGGTGTGATTCGTCTTGCGACTGACTTGCGGTTTTGTGACTCGTCAAAGCCGTATGATAAGGTATGTTTGCATATTCGTTCAACAAATTCATGGCTAACGGAGTGCAGCGGTGGATGAACTCGTATCGCTTCGGGGATGGTGTCTAGCGGCGAATTCGGTAGCATATTTAAATGTCCAGTAGTTAATGAACCCTTCACATATATGCTTGGTTCTGGCATGAGTGTTCAAATGTTCGGCCTTGCTTTTTTGACTGTCAGAAACATGGGGTTCAGCGTGTTGGTGCAGGTTAGTAGTACGACGGCCGCATGGCAGCCATGAGAAGGCCATCTAAGTCTTTCCAGTCATAGCATACTAGTAACTGAGTGGTCTAGCTTGCATATGAAGCATGATTTAGTTTCATGGTCCCTTCGATCGTGTTCTGGTCCGCACGCGTAGAATATATATCACATCGGAGTTAGATGGAGTGGTACCAACTCTGTGCCACAACAGGCCGAAAACATAGTTAATTTCAGAGGACCTAAGCACAGATGATATCTTGATCCGGACATGTCAAGCACATTCTCTGACTGTGACCCTCGAGCTTATGAGTTTGACATCTGTAGATCGAGAGATTCAGATGACAGCCCCACAAGCGTTCTTATAGGCAAAGGAACGCCTGTAGTGCCCTGTATACCCAGGGTCGGATTGCCGGAGCAGTGCCGAGGGAACTCGCCAAGATTCGTCTTGCTAGGTCCCCTCGCTGACTGTCCTGCCATTTCTCTTCCAGTAAGGTCCGGTCCCCAAGGTCATTGAAGTGATGCAGACAACTCTTCTTGCATACTCCGAATGTGGGGCTGGATCTGAAGTACTTGGGCATTCGGTTCGAACACTCCGACTATGCTAGACCGGAGTAACTTGAGGTGTAACGTTTCACGATGGGCATAAATCGCTTGCTGGTGCTCAGATCACCGGAGATCGCCAGTTGACGTTGAGATGGTTGACTAGGTACCTCGACTAGGTAAAGCTCCGCCGTGGCTTGCATCTTCCCTCGCAACCATCCAAAGTACTACACCGGTCTTTGGATGATTCTCAGATTCAAGCACCACACAACTCAAAACCTGTGGATAAAACTCAAGAACTTGCCAGATTGCGATTGGGACTTTGACCCTTAATATAAAGCCCTAAATAAAATTAGAAAGTGCAGGGAGAGAGAAAACAAGGTGATGCGCTGAGTAAGATTGACCGCCCCATTTTTCGACTGCCCCGCCGTAACAACTGGACACGCCGACCCCGAGCCCCTCTTTTCTGCTTCTTCTTTTCTTCACTCAGTTCCTCCTTTTCCTTCTGCTTTTCTCTCTCCTCCATTCCCCCTCATCCTCCCCCAATCCTTTTTTTTTTCGTGAGTTTCCTGAGAGTCCGATCGTGGTGAGACTCAATTGCTAATCTTTAGCCGTCAGTTCTTCAATCCTTCAGATCTTAGCCATGGCTGCCCCCGCCCTCAAGTACAAGGTCGCCGACATCGTACGTTTACGCAAAATAATCCTGATCAAGAGGCCATTGCTAACATGAATAGTCCCTGGCCGCCTTCGGCCGCCGCGAGATCGAGCTCGCTGAGATCGAGATGCCCGGTCTCATGGCTATCCGTGAGAAGTACGGTGCCGCTCAGCCTCTGAAGGGTGCCCGCGTTGCTGGTTGTCTTCACATGAGTATGTTGCCGAAGGGCTTTGTGAAACTGCTATAATTCGAGTACTGATTTCCCAAGCCATCCAGACTGCTGTCCTCATCGAGACCCTCACTGCCCTCGGTGCTGAGGTTACCTGGTCCAGCTGCAACATCTTCTCCACCCAGGACCACGCCGCTGCCGCCATTGCCGCTGCTGGTGTCCCCGTTTTCGCCTGGAAGGGTGAGACCGAGGAGGAGTACAACTGGTGCTTGGAGCAGCAGCTCCTTGCCTTCAAGGATGGCCAGAAGCTCAACCTCATCCTCGACGACGGTGGTGACCTCACCTCCCTTGTTCACACCAAGTACCCCGAAATGCTCGAGGGCTGCTTTGGTCTGTCCGAGGAGACCACCACCGGTGTCCACCACCTCTACCGCATGGTCAAGGAGAACAAGCTCCTTGTCCCTGCTATCAACGTCAACGACTCCGTCACCAAGTCCAAGTTCGACAACCTGTACGGTTGCCGTGAGTCCCTCATCGATGGCATCAAGCGTGCCACCGATGTCATGATTGCTGGCAAGATCGCCGTTGTCGCTGGTTTCGGTGATGTCGGCAAGGGTTGCGCCCAGGCTCTCCACACCATGGGTGCTCGCGTTCTCGTCACCGAGATTGACCCCATCAACGCTCTCCAGGCTGCTGTTCAGGGTTACGAGGTCGTCACCATGGAGGAGGCTGCTCCCCTTGGTCAGATTTTCGTTACCACCACTGGTTGCCGTGACATCCTTGTCGGCTCCCACTTCGAGGTCATGCGCAACGACGCCATTGTTTGCAGTGAGTTTTCTCATCCCCATCATTCATGCTTTATCTAACAGATTAGACATCGGTCACTTCGATATCGAAATCGACGTTGCCTGGCTCAAGGCCAACGCCAAGTCCGTCCAGAACATCAAGCCCCAGGTTGACCGCTACCTGATGGCCAACGGCCGCCACATCATCCTCCTCGCTGAGGGTCGCCTTGTCAACCTCGGCTGTGCTACCGGTCACTCTTCCTTCGTCATGTCCTGCTCTTTCTCCAACCAGGTCCTTGCTCAGATTGCTCTGTTCAAGGCTGAGGACAAGGCTTTCGGCCAGCAGTACCCCGAGTTCGGTACCTCCGGCAAGAAGCCCGTTGGCGTCTACGTTCTGCCCAAGGCTCTCGACGAGCAGGTCGCCTACCTTCACCTTGCCCACGTCAACGCCAAGCTCTCCACCCTCACCCCTGTGCAGGCTGAGTACCTTGGCCTGGATGCCAAGGGTCCTTACAAGGCTGACCAGTACGTCTCCCACCCCCCCCCCCCCCCCCCTTTCTGTTTCGGAGTGATTCAAGGTACTAATTCTTTACAGCTACCGTTACTAAGTTATTTCTTTTTAATATTTCCGATACCCTGACGTAGACTTTTTCAACATGATCACGATGTTACGAATAACATATGGGGTTCTTTATCAACATGGAGCTCAAAAGCATTGTCCTTCAACGGCATAAAAGTGGCATACACGGGGTTTCTGGGTAGTGTTTTGAGTTCAATGGGCTGGACCACTGGAGTATTTGCATTCAACAGTGCCTAATGAGTAGATGGGACTCCCACATATATACCATATTTTCGATAATGACAGCTGCTACAAGCATCACACACTTTTGCCTCATGCTGTAGATCTCCACTGAAGCTTAATTACCCTTAGTACCCTGAATATACCCGACTCGCTGGTCCGGGTGGCTGGAAAGGGAAATTTCCCGATGGTCCAGTCCCCAGTGGGGGTACGGAGTAGATTGCGATAATGTGGGACGAACCATGACCCCAATCTGCCTATTTAACCGGCATGTTCCCCTCCTTTCGCTATAAGAACTCAAGTACCGACAACCTACCCAATCAATTGTCTACAAGCAGCATGTCTCGCCCATTGGAAGGAAAGTTCGGCATCGTCACTGGAGGCTCGCGGGGTAAGAAGCTCACCATATACTTCTTTTACCTATACCCCACAACTAACAATCACAGGAATTGGCGAAGCCATCGCCAAAAACCTCGCGAGCAAAGGCTGCTCCCTCCTCCTAAATTTCACTTCGGAGTCCTCGCGTGGCCCCACGGAAGCTCTCTGCAAAACGCTGATCTCTACGCACCAAATCCGCTGCATCTCCGTGCAAGCTGATCTCTCAGCCCCCGAAGAAGCCGTCAAGGCAATCATGGACGCCGCAGCAACACACTTCCCCAACACAACCATCGACATCCTCATCAACAACGCCGGCGTCTCCGCCGACCGCACGCTCAACGACACAGAGAAGGGCCCCATCGACACCCCTTACTTCAACTGGCACTACACAATCAACGTCCTGGCCCCGCTCCTCCTCACGCAGGCCGTCGCCCCGCACCTACCGACCGACCGCTCCGGGCGAATCGTCAACATCTCCTCCGTCTCCTCGTCCCTCGGCTTCGTCGGACAGACAGTCTACGGCGGCACGAAGGCTGCCCTCGAGGCTATGACGCGGACATGGGCGCGCGAGCTCGCGGACCGCGCGACCGTCAACGCCGTCAACCCGGGCCCTGTCACGGGCGACATGTACTTCAAGACCGGGGAGGGGTTCTGGAACCAGATCCAGGGGTTCCAGGATAATACACCGCTGAGCAAGCTCGCTGAGAGCGAGAAGGAGGATCCCAGTCTGGCGATTGGGTTGAGTGATGAGCAAAAGAGGCTTGTGAGGGAGAAGATGGGTGGGCGGCGGCCGGCGTTTACGGAGGAGGTTGCGGGGGTGGTGGGGATGCTTTGTACGGCGGATGGTGGGTGGTGTACGGGGAGCGTGGTTTGTGCTAATGGGGGAATGAAGTTTGGTGTTTGACTTTCCTTACAGATAGAAAGATGATATAGAAATATATTCAATAGACTACTATGGACTAGTATCGCTATAGTCTCGTATACCTTGGTAGACACGTGAGAACGCCCAGATCTGAGGCTAGTTATGCACTCGGCTGATTAGATAAACGTCATAGTGAATTCTGGGGCCTGCAAAGCATCATGCCATCCACCCCAGAGCTTCCTTCTCCTTAATTTCTCCTCCAAATTTTAGCCTCTGTCAAATCCTCCCTCTCGAATTCTGTTCCCCCTCAATTCCAAGAACGAAAAACCAAGCAGAGACCACAGCAAAATGCCACCCCGGTTGAAACCTTCGTCCCTCCTCCGCCTGCAGAGAGCGTCTCTCCGGGGCGCGCGTTCAGCATCAGCACCGCCAGTATCGCGATTCCAACTCCGATCAATTCAAGCTCTTACTCTCTCACGGCAGTTCATTTTTACCTTCAGAACAACCCTCAGCATAAACAACAGCAGCGCCGCCACTCGCCGCCCCTTCTCCTCCACACCCGCCTCGTCATCCCCAGTATCGTCAACAGGGAAATCACAGGCAGATCTTATTGTTGAGGAATTGCAGGAACTGTACGTCTTCTTCGCAGTTCCTCCTCTTTATCCTCCCCCTTCTAACTTTTCACCACACCCCCTCATCCAATTTGAAGAACCTAGCTAACCAAGTTCGGATGGCGCACAGCTACGAAACAGCAACCGACGAACTCGAAATCGCCACCGAATCCACGGACAGCGCGACCATCTACGCAGCGAGCGACCGCGAGTCGGCGCGCGATGCATTGAATACACTTGTTGCGGCGTTTGAGCTTTACACGACTGGCGCTGCGCCCGAGGCGCAGGCTGGAGGGCCACACGGAGAGGCGGAAGGAGAAGGGAATGGAGAGCCGGGGAGGCTGGTTGAGCTGGCGATTGACCCGGCGGATGTGCCGGATAGTGTGAGGGAGGAGGTGAGGAAGAGGGTTGGGCAGCGGGTTAGGGAGGTTAAGAGTGCAGTTGAGAATTTGGAGGGGAGGGCTCATGATTAAATGAATACCTTTATTTCGCTAGCCCGAGTGGTCGAAGAGGCGGTGTATTACATAGGAAAAGGCACAGGCACATAATGCATAAGTTAATAGTTGATAATGTTGATCCATTGCAGAGTCTATGTATTGCATGTGGTATCATTGCGTGTCCAATCGTTAATCATCGCAGCCCAATTCATCCAGTATTTGCATCCATCATAGTACTTCCGCAAGTACTTCTCACCCGCGTACCCATCCATCCATAAATAACATATATATGTAGATAAATATAGATCATCATAACCGTACCTTGTCCTATCCGCCGAAAACGCCTTGGCGCCCCTGGTATCAGTATCAGTATCAGTCAGTCGTTATGCCATACCCCCTTTCCTGTCTCTTTGTCTCTCTTTTTTTTGTCCTCCCTATACAACTGCGCCGAAAGGAACCTGAGCATGACCTTGAACTGGAATTGGGAATGCGAGGTTATCGTCTGGTGGAGAGCTGAGGAGTCCTGGGGTTGGAGGCTGGTATTCTATCTTGTGCGTTGAGCGCGTGTGTCGTTTTAATTGATCTGTTAGGGTTGTTAGTCTGTATTCTTCCGTGGGACTTGCTTAGAAGAACATACCAGGTCGAGTAAAACTCTTGTTACAGCCGGGGAAGTTGCATTTATGTCTTCGTTCGCCGTGGGCTGGAATATGTTAGGGTTGTTGACATGTAGAAAGAAATAGGTGAGACTTACTAAGTCTGTGGCTAGACATGTTCGATGACTGCAGCATGGCGATTAGTATTTCCATGTCCTTGACCATTTACAGACATAGGCTCTTACATCGCCGGTTTGGAATTTGCATCCCGGATACGTGCACTTGAATGGCTTCTCGCCGGTGTGAGTTCGTGAATGCGTTTCTATCACGTCAGTATAGCTTCAGGATCAGTCGGGTAGGAACATACTTAATTCGCTGCTATCTGTGAATGACTTTCCACACTCGGTACATTTGTACGGCTTCTCACCTCGGTGGCTTCTCTCGTGACGCTCTAGAGTCGCTTGTCGGGCGAATAGCTTGCCACAGACCGCGCATTGAAAGTTTTTATCTAAAGAGTCAGCTTCATCTCACCAAAGATGTAGATCGATGACGTACAATTGCTGTGTGTGAGAAAGTGTCCTTGGAGTTTGGACTTTTGCGAAAAAGGCTCTCCTGGACGGCCGCAGCCTTCCCAGCAGCAGTAGTACCCGGTCCCCTTGGCACCATTCACCGGTCCCATGTGACGAGACACGAGGTGCTCCTGCAAGGCACAGGCACTAGTAAAGGTAGCTCCGCAGGTACTTTGCATTCCCCGCGAACCTGAAACCCATTTGCAAATGTGCACATCGCTCTCTGCTGCTGAGAAATCTGGGCTTGTTATGACCGAGGATATGCCACCGTCTAAAGGAGGTGGTGTCTCACCAGGACTGGGGAGTACTTGAGAGCTGAAGCTTGATCGGGACTGGTGGCGAGAATAGGGCGAGAAGTGGTGATGTCCGTGGGGGTGGGTTCGACAACGGTGATTGGATCGGCAGGGTCCTCTTGCTGGAAGGCTCCCGTTCATGTACATAGGGTTTTTCATGAGATTGCTTATACTGTCTTCGTCAAGATGCAGGCAGGTAAACGAGTTGGATGCAGCGCTGCCATCTAGGGTCTCTGGGCAGTTTGCTGCTTCGTGGACGTGAAAGTGATTCGAGTAATCAGGGCACATTCCCAACATGTGGAAGACATCGGCGGGGTTGACATTATTCTGCACAGGCAGCGATGGCGATACCATCTGTGTCGGAGGATGAAGGGTATGGAGCAGTTGAGTGAGGTCGGCGGAATGGGTATCGTGGTGAGGGTCGTGGTGGTAGCTGTGAGGAGGATGGCAGGGGGTCAATGCTATTGAGTCCGGCGTGAAGAAAGGACCATTGCATAATGAAGGGTTCAAGCCAACGCCAGTATGGTCAATAGCCTTGGACAGCTGATGATCTTCCTGACATTGTTCCAGAGTAACTGGAAAGTCGGTCTTGTCCGGACTCATGGGTATCCCCAGGCCAAACAGAGACTCTAACGAGTGCTCTGTGATGTCTGGGTTGTGCTCCGGATCAAAGCAGTGGTCGTCGAAGCAGACAGGGGCAGGGTCATGACATTCAAGCTCGTCACAATGAGATGTCGTCGAGCAGTCAGCAGCGTCGTGGCACTCGACGAAGCCGTCACACACAGAGGGACAGGTGATGGAGCAGTTGTCAGTGTCGCAGCAGGCGCTGTCGACATGGCAGTGGGAGTCTGAGGCATCGTGGCCCTTATCAGGGCAATTGTCCCAGGTGGACGCAGGGGCCACGGACGAATCCTCCGAGTTTTTGCCGTCCAGATGGAAAGACTCCCAGTGGCATTCGAGGCAGAAGTCGTCCTTTCTGGTGTGAGTGGCCATCTTGCCAGAGATTTCAGAGGAGTCGCTTGTCGACCCCGGCGAGTGCTCTAAGAACGAGCGAGATAAAAGCACAAACGCATCAATCTCTTTCTGATTCTTCGGCGTGGGAGTCAACTGTCAGCAAGCCCTGAGTCGATAGCTGAGGGGGATGAGACGATCACATACCAATGACAGAGAGCGAGAGAGGGGGCAAGAGCAGCAGCCAGCATGACGGTCGCTGGCCTGAGGCATGATGGCGGACGAGACGACGTAGCGCCGACCTTTCTGGGGACCTTGAGGGTTGGCGCTCACCAATTCTACACTTCTGCTGGTCCCAGTGAGGACCTTGGGGACGTGGGGAGGGACCTTGCGGGTTAGCTGCTGGTTTTTGTCCGCGAATCGCGACTCGCACATAACTCATTCGAACTTGTCAAGCCATTTCCAGGATAACTTCAAGGACCTTGGAAGAAACTTTGTAGGAGCTGTTCCTCTGAGCAGTGATGCGATGTTGTCATACAAGGTTCATGCTGGAATTTCTCTTCCTGAACGTGCCTGTGAAATCAGGCTTCAAATACCCTTCCGCTAAGCCTGATTGGGCAGCCCAGATCTCCCGCGGAGCACGTGCTGACCGCCGAGTCCGCTATCTTATCTGCGTCGCATTCAGATCACAGGCAGAAACAAACCTGCCCTCCAGCCACATAGCAACTCATTCCTACTCATACATTACATACGCGCATGTAGCAAAGGGCTAGCAACCGTTCGTGCAGACCAATTAGCACTCTTTGACTCATTTCTCCACTTGACATCCGTCAATCCAAGGGGCACCTCAGTATATACTCCCCCTCACAAGCCGGCCTCCCCACCCCCTCACCAAGCCGCAACCGACCGCTAAACCACCACTTTTCCCACAATCTCTCAATTGAACCTCTCAAGCCTTAGACGGCAAAAATAAATATGGGCAACATTTGCTCCAGTTCGAAAAACGAACCCGAAGCCTTCTCAACCCCCGGCCGCGTCCTCGGCTCCTCAACAGCCAACGACAACACCGCCCCGCGCGCCTCCGTCCCTGCAGGCGCAAAGTCAAAACAGTCACCCTGGAAGTCTCCGGGGAGGACCTTGGGGGGTGGAGGTAGTGGTGGTGGATCTGCTGCTGCAGGATCGAACGCAGAGACAGGGCCAGGCACGGAGACGGCGGAAGATGCGCGCGCTAGGGCGGCAGCTGCGGCTCAGGTTTGTTTTCCTTGTTCCTTGCTTTTCTATTAGTTGTACCTTGAAAATGGATAGACTTGCCATGGTTTCGTGCAGGTGCTAACATGGCATTGGGGCTGTGTAGGCACGAGCTGAGGCGAAGACTGCAAATAAAGGGAAGTTAGGGACGAAGTTGGCGGCGCAAAAGGCGCAGACACAATCGCAGACGTTGAATGAAGTGAGCCGGGGTGAGAGAGCCGCTAGGGATGCGGATGGCGCCGAGGCTGCAAGGAGATGGGAGTAGGTTTCGTGAAAGTGAAGATCGAGGATAGTGACGATGTATATGAACCATGTCGCGAACTCCAAGAAGCTTGTATAGAATTGGAGAGGGGTCTTGTTTAGTAGCAACAGATAACGAGTCTTACGAAATACCTATAATACTACGAGTATCAATTATAATAACGAGTGTTGATTGGCAGTGGCATGAAATAAAAAGTAGTATGATACAAATCGTGTCTATACCACATTATACCGACCGGACGCTGGGGCTCGGGCTTCGCTATCAGCCGCCGCGATTGTGCCTTCCTTCAGCAACCGCATCAACTCCCGCATCGCATTCGTCACAGAAAGCTCTGTTTCACCCTCGACAAGAATATATAGCTTGGCGTTCTCTCCAGGGCCGGGTTCTTTGCCAGTGGCGTAGAAACTGCCCTTCGTCGTGATAGACGTGCCTGTAGCTTCGAGAATCTTGGCCACGTTCGTGCGGTTGGTAACAGCCCACCGTGCTTTTTCTGTTAAGATGTCGTATTAGTAAACTGCAATGGACAAGAAGATAGAAGAAGACTTACGGGGAAAGTCATTAATCTCTAGGGTAGCGTGGAAAGCGCCAGCATCAGGACCGCGGTTGTCAATGGGCACGCCAGACCTCATCACACCCGCACGGCTAAGGCGCGCGTGAATATCGGCAACAGCGGATCCGACCTTGTCGAGGGGATTCGAGGTCTCGCTGCCTTTCTCCCGCTTGTGGACGGTGATTTTGCCGTCAAGATCAATGCCCTTGGGAACACCAGGTAGCGGCGTATTGGCCGCTTGGACAGACGAGATGACCTTGTTGAACTGCTCCTCAGCCTTCTCATTCTTTTCCTCCTTTTCTTCCTCGTCTTCGCCTTCTTCCCCGGTCTTGTACGTGCGGCGCTCCCGCATCCTGGCTGCATCACGTTCCTGATCCAGACGCTCAAGACCCTTGCCGCCGAACCCAGAGTTGCTGGCTTTCTCTTTGCCCGCTTTGACCTTTTCCAAAAACGCGTCCACCATGGCTTGGACAGGCCCCGGCACCTCTTGTCCACTTTGCTTCAGGGCCTTGGCGATGTCAACCGCGTAGCGTTCCTGGTCTTCAGTCAGGAAGGTGACTGCTGTTCCTGTGTTTCCAGCACGACCGGTACGCCCAGCACGGTGCACATAATCTTCTAGATGGTTTGGCGCATCGTAATTGACGACGAGCTTCAGCTGCTTAACATCCAGACCGCGTGCAGCAACCGAAGTCGCGATCAGGACCGGAAAAATACCGGCTTTGAAGTCTTCAATGGTAGAGTCACGATCAATCTGATCCTTACCACCGTGTATAGACATGCAAGGGTAACCCTTGCGCATCAGCTCTCGTAAGAGAGTATCGGCCGCTTCCTGGCGATCAACAAAGATCAATGTTCTCGCGTCTTCATTCTCATCCAGCGAATATAAGTTGCCCAGCAGCTCTAATAGTCGAATGAACTTCTTGTCGTCGTCGCAAACTTCGACAATCTGCGTGATTTCCGGCGCAACAACGCTTCTACCACCGACCACAATTTCGATTGGTTTTGTCAAAGTCTTCCGCGCCAGGGCTTCCATGTTACGAGGAAATGTTGCAGAGAACAACACAGTCTGTCGATCAGGGCGCACATTACCCAATATTTTCATAACTTGGGGCTCGAAGCCCATGTCAAACATTCGATCAGCTTCGTCTAGGACCACATACGTGACTCGGCGCAGATTGGTGACTCGACCTGCGTTAGCCGCTAGTAGATCAATCATTCGTCCCGGGGTGCAAACAACGATTTCCGCCCCACGTTTCAGTTCGGCAATCTGGTCCTTGATAGGTGCACCGCCATATGCACAAACAGCACGGAGGTTCAGTGCCTTTAAAAACGGTTTGCAGTCTTTGTGAATCTGTGTAGCCAACTCCCGAGTCGGAGTCATGATTAGGCTTACCGGACCCTCCATGTTATCAAGCGGACGTTGATCCTTGATATGCCGAAACATGGGAATGAGAAACGCCATTGTCTTGCCGGATCCCGTTTTAGCCACGCCAATGACATCGCGTCCAGACATGATTGCAGGTATCGCTTGCGATTGGATGGAAGTGAGGCTCTCAAATCCGAGCTTGTCGATGACATCAAGTGTTTGTATTCCCAACCCACACTGTGACCATTTCTGTACCGGTTTAGGAACATCTGTGCCGCGGACTTTAATTCCATCAAGCTCCAGCCGCAGATTCGCCGCATCTTCCTCTGACATTTGGGCCAAGTCAGATGGTTCGGTGTAGAACTTCTTTCGAAACGATTCATAGACAACTTTGGCATGGTCAACGCTAGGGATATCTTTCTTCTTCTTGGCCTTGTTAGCGATAGCGAGAAAGTCCTCCGCATCGCCTTCACCAACGGCGGTCACATCCACATCATTTTCATCGCCGAACAGAGCCTCCGGTTGCTGTGTCTTGGAAATTCTGGCCCCAAATGCCTTCTTCGGCGGTGCGGATTCCGCGAGCTCAGACATGAAAGCGTCCAACGGATCGACCTCCTCCTCCTCCTGGGCATCGAGTTCCATCCTATCAGACGAATCTGCTTTGGCGTGGGAATCCCCATTGGCTTGCTCCGAAATGAGAGTTTCATTCTGGAGACGTTCCTCCCGCCGCTCTGCCGCTGCACGGGCTGCGGCGGCAGCTTCCTCTTCAGTCTCACCATCTTGCATGTCGACATCATCGTCATAGTCTTCGGCATTCACTTCCACTTCTGTGTTGGTAGCTGCGTCGTCTAACGGTGGTGTCGGTAGGCGTTCTAACTTCCGCCGGGTCGACTCTTCTTCCCCGAATCCGAGCGTTTTGGTGGCAGCTGATTTTTCCGTGTCTGCTGCTTGCTTAGAACCCAGCCCGAACCTCCCCACATTCCCCTTTGCTTTCAACGAAGCTAAAAATAGATTATTAGCACCCAGTAGTAAATCAAAAGAGGAGGCAGAATCATACCTGAGGATGTTGTCCCATTTGAAGAAATTTCGTTAGTGGCCACCTTCGCGGTTAACTGGCCAGCGGGCGGGGTGATCGATGGCGGGACAGCTACATCATTTCCCAGAACAGACGGGGCAGCCGGTGCTTGAGCAGCATTTTTCACAATTGCCTTTGGATCAAACTTCCCAGCATATGGAGCTGGGGCGGTATCAACGCCTTGAGTGGCAGGAGACTGGGGAGAACTAACAGCCGGGGATAATCCAGACTTTCTATCAATCTCTTCCAGGATGTTCCTTGGTCCACCGGCGGCAACAGCTTCTTTCTGTTTTCGCTCTTTCTCGGCAGCCTGCTTCTGCTTCCATGCTTCTAATTTGGCTAAACGCTCAGCTCGTTTTTCGTCGTCCGTAGGAGCAGCTCGCGTAGGTGTTGAAGGCTTTGAGGGCTGGGTAGTGATGTCAGTACGCCGTATTAATAGAAATGATTGAAGACAGCTTACCTCTCGAGATTTCGGCTCCAAGCCCCTGGTCCGATCTCGGCTATCATCCCGTCTAGACTTGTGCTTCAAGTCAGCAGAATCGTCTGTCCGTCTTCGGGCCCTGTCGCGGGAGTCATCTCGCCTGCTTCGATAGTCCCTATCGCGGCTCCGGCTTCTTCGGCGGTAGTCATGGTTATAATCCCTGTCTCGAGAGCGACGTCGGTCTCGTGAGCGATCTCGGCGGCGATAGCCGTCTTCGTCTCGGTGGTCGTCGCGTCTGTCTATGGAACGGTCCCGCCTTCGATACGTATCTCGGTCACGATCACGGGGATCGCGCTCACGGTATCGGCGCTGAAAAAGTGATGTGAATGATTAGACGGAAGTTCTTAAATTCTGGAATACAGCAGGAAACGTGGTACTAACTTCAGGACTACGAGATCTGCGGTAACCCCGACCGTCGTCTCGCTTACTCCGCTCATAGCGGTCGTCGTCTCTGCGACTTCGTTTGGATGATGAATATGTGCTGCCTACAGGTGATGGTGAGCGAGTATCCCCACGGCGAGCCATTGTTGCAGGCCAGCAATGAGTGAGTATTACTGAAACTCAAAGAACACCCGAGGACTCGGCGAGGAATGAGAAGCGACTCCTATATTACCATTCCGTGAATTTAGTTCTGTCGGCTTGTACTCGGGCCGTGGACGACTTTGCGTTGTGATCTGAGCTGTCGCAGTTGGAGACGTGAGGTTCATTTGCTGTTTTCTCGCCGCGATTTTGCGCCCTTGGCCACCGTTTTCACGTGACAGTGAGATCACAGTAATTGTCACGTGCCTACTCTTTCCCCTTTCGGCAGAGTCCAAACGAACCGTCGTCAGACACGACCCAGCCTCCCGGTTTCAGGTCAAGCTCCCTGCGCCAGAGCCCCTGCAGCAATCACCGCCTCGACTGCGCAAGAATCACACTCATTCTCGTCGCTCAATTGCACTAACTATCTTCCACAACTTTGACCTTGCTCGATCCATCAAATTGTGATATCGCTTGCCGTTGTATAAGCTCCGAATGCCTCTTAATCTGGTCCGGCGTGGTGGAGGCGCCTTCCGAAGTGCTCTCGCTTGCCCCGTTCGCGTCGTTGTGCGGCAAAGCCACATCAAGCGTCTTTCGTTCGTCGCGCATCGTCCCCTACCCACAGCGGTCACTGCTGGTTTCCCTCGATCAAGCTTGCTTGTTGGGGACCTGATTCGAAGCTATGCGACCAAAGGCGCCCCAAAAGGTAGCAACACGGAGGCAACGGCAAACAAGAAGCCCAAGAAGGCGACGAAGCCAGTGAAGAAGCCCGCGAAAAGGCGCAGAGTGTTGACCCCGGAGCAGATTGAAAAGAAAGAGGCAAAGAAGAAGGCTGCGGAACACAGGCAGCTTGTGAGGAGTCTCAAGGAAACTGCCTTGCAGCCGCCAAAGCGGCTTCCAACCGTAGCAAGAGTGATAGCCGTCGGCAGGAAGTATGCAGAGGCACGGGCAGCCACTTCAGGCGGCGTGACTGAGGTCTTGAAGAAAGCTATCGCACTTACGGACTCTATGAGTGCCGATGAGCGGGAGGTTGGTCTATTCTTTCTTTGATCTCTCTAGTTGCCCAACTTCAGCTAACAGTCTGTTTACAGCAATATAAGAACCAGGCAGAGGCCAACAAGATCGCGAATGAAGCTGCTTACGAGGCATGGATCAAGTCTCATACCCCTAAACAGATCCAGGAAGCCAACCACGCTCGACGCAGACTGGGCCAACTCAACGTTACCAAAAGGGTCGTCCTGCTCAAAGATGATCGGTTGGTTAAGCGGCCAACAGGGCCATACTTTTTCTTCATTGCAGATAAGAGGGAAGCTGGAAGTGGCATCGGCAAGTCAGTGACGGAAGAGGCCTCACATCTAGGAGAGGAATGGAAAAATCTGACCCAGGCGGAGAAGGAGGCAAGTTTTCCTACGCCCCTAACGTCTTGACCTTAGCCCATTTCCTACAGCATCTAACATTAGCATACAGAAATACATACAGTTGGCTAAAGCTGATAGCGAGCGCTACGACCGAGAACATCTGGAGACGTACGGCATCCCGCCTCCTAGCTTAGCCACGTCCAAGTCAAAGAAGTAACTCTATACGCTGTTGACCAACATAACCTAACTGTCGTTGTTTGGCGAAGGCGGCTCGATTCTGCGGCTTGCTTGCACTGGGTTCCAGGTTGTATTATTTTTGTTCGCGTTTACTGCCGGTTTAGGACTTGTTTGCCATATCTGCTGTTCGGAAAGTGCCCTGGTTGATTTATGTGCTTTGTTTGCTCGGCGTGCTTACCATGTACTATTATTGAGTCTTGATGGTACTGTAGCAACCAATAGTACCTACTTACCATCACTTTTGCGATCGATACTTGAGCAAACAAACAAGGCAGTCCTGAATTTGGCACAGCGGGGAGTCACACAGGGAGGCTGTCAAAGACAGGATGCTATGTCTTTGTACACATAAATTTCAGGCATATCAAACATAAGCGGATATGCAGTGCAAACCTACATACAGATTCTTGCTTGATCGAGTCCATTTGGCAACGCCGTTGCATGATCGAAGTGGTCGACGGTATCAACGCCAGCAAAAGGTTGGATGGCGCTAGATGGAGAAAAGATCGTTCGTGACGATATGGAGACTTGGTAGTATAACAACATATCCAATTACTGGTGCGCGTCTCACAAGGAATTCAAGGCATTCCAGGAATTATTCGCTCCCAATTTGTCAAAGTGTCAGGTAATGCAGGGACAGCGTCTCCATATTGGGCATGAAGAACTGCATGTCCACGGAATATTTACCCCGTACCTAGGCAAGAAGTGGACAAGCTTGGGTATGACTGGCAGGAGGTCGAGACTGAGTCATCGTTGGGGTGCGTCGAGATTCGCATCGCCCGTGGGTTCTTTTCTCGAGCAATCCAGTATCTGCTGTGGCCTGTGAACGGGTCCTTGTATGAAGATTCAGTAATTGCGCTGCAATTGATGAGACGGAACGTCAGCCCAGCCGACAAACATCAACCAGCAGATCAAAACACAAGAAGCACCTGCATCAGACGGTGTCGGCGGGAACAGAGTAAGAGAACCAATGAGTGAGGCTTGGTCCCGCGCCAACTCATCCCATAGGCTGCGGGGGATTATCTGGAGCCCTTTGCCTTCGATGCGGTGTAGAAAGGCATACATACATCCAAGTACTAGAAACCACTCGTTCGTTCGTTATCCGAAGTTGTCGTTGGATTTCAAATTCTTCTTGAAGAGAAGAGATGCATCTGAGCAGATAATCAAACATGGATATGATTTTTCCTCCAGCTTAGGACGACCCATGGTCAATCAGTCGTCCTTGGATTGTTAAAGTTGATATCCGAGATGAACCAAGGGTCCGTCCATCTTTAGCTTCATCCTCGCAACCCCACTTTACTAGTGGGCGACAACAAACACGCCCTCAAGCACAACGGAGATTGTCCTTGTCTGCAGTTAGGTACCGATTTGTGTGGTGACTCGACCAGACCCAGGAGAGTCGATGGGTAAGTCAGTCTATATAGATAGTTGTATCTTTCCCCTTGTCTACATCCCCTGTGCATAAGACTTGTGCAAAGGAGGGGTGGGATCTTTATCGATAGGACCGTTTCCTCCCACCGCTGAATTCCTGAGTGGTGTGTCCCTGCGTGTCTCTATCTCATCTTTCTTTTCCTTTTCTCGATTCATTTATCGTTGCTTACTGATTTGGCGCGTCTCTTCCCCCTCGAGCAGTCCCTCCCTAGCCCCCGAGAATTGTTGGTTCTCACTCCCAGCCACCGTTTATACTTGAGCATCAAATCAGCTTGACACCCCTCCGTCTGCCGATCAATGCGTAGCACAGATCCCACGGTGAGCATGCAACGAACGAACGAGAGAGGAAAAACAAAAAAAGCGCAGAAAAAAATTCCTCACCATCTTCTTGCCTTCCTGTCTGTTGCGCAACCACTAACATTGCGCGGGTTTCCCAAGCCCCTTTAGTTCGTTCACATTCCTGGCCTGTATCCATCGCATAGCAGACCGTCCAATCCCAGCGCTTTGCCGGCCGATCTTTCACAACATCCATCCCATCCATCCATCCTCCTTCATTCCCTCCCACCGCCTCGGGGCCTTTGAACTCCATGTCCTTCGCCTAAGACTCTGTCTCGCCTTCTTCTCTTCCCGCTGAGCACGTTTGCGGTCGCTCTGTTTCGCCCACATCGCCGCTATTCGGGGCCCGATGCTTCGGTTGTTTACGCTCCACCGACAAAACTCGGTTCCTGATTGATTTGGCTAGCCTTGTGTATTTCGTACCGGAGTTGAAGTCGGGTTGTCGTTGTTTGGATCGCCGCGCCGTTGGATGTCTGTGTACTATACTTCGAGTTTTTGGAGAGGCTTCATCTCGATTTTTTCGCGTCTGCGCTGCCTCCGTGAATCGATATACCCCGGCGGTCTCGACTTTACTTGCTTTCGGCTGGCTGGTAAAATTTTAGTCGCTTGTTTTACAACGAACAATCTATACATTGAACGCTCGCTCGCCTCTGGACGAGACCTGCTGCGTATGCGCTTGTCTCCTTAGCTCGCTGGTTATCCCACTGCCGTCATGGATTCCGCGCGCACACCGTCGCTAGACTGCGAGACCCTGCACTCTTACGAGGGCTGGTTTTCTGGCAAAGGACAAACACATGGCTTACACAGTCGGCAGCCATTTTCAGCGAAGAATGGCCATCGGCAAACTGGTCTGAAGGCCCAGGAGCCCACGCCTATTTCTTTACCATATGGAGCAGTTCCACAGTATGCTTCGATCTTGGTCAAGAAGGCTACGGAGGTATGCAACATTGCTTATTTCACAGCTTCTCTTCGTAATTGCTCATTTTCACTTCTTATAGCATATCGAAAACTCTTTCCATGAAGCAACGATCGCCTTCGAAGTCGATCTCCAGTTCCCCGCACTGTTGTCCTACAGCGCTCCGCCTCCGGCATATGAGGATGCGATTCAAGACCTCCCACCCCAATATTCCACAATCGCGCCGCTAGCTCGACGGAAGAACCTGGCCCAGAGTACGGACCTCGAAAGTGGTGGAGACGCAAAGTCGAAATCTTCGCATCCAATAATCGACTTTGAGACCCCCACCGGTATTCGGGAGCATAAAGGTAAGAAGAAGAAAGGAGGAGCTGCGAAGAGCGCCGCCTCGCCGCCCGCAAACGACCCGCCGCCGCCACCACCCCCAGAAGAGAACAACGACAAACCAGAGGAAAGCGCAGGAGGTGACTCTGGAAACGGAGGCGGCGATGATGGTAACAATGGAGGCGATGGCGGGGACGGTGGTGATGATGATTGGGGTGCCTGGGGCACGTCGAGCTCTAAGAAGAAAAAAAAGGAGGAGGAGAAAAAGAAACAGGAAGAGGAAGAGAGGCTTAAAAAGGAGGAAGAAGAGCGTCTAGCTAAGGAAGAGGAGGAGCGCAAGGCCAAGGAGGCTCAGGAAGAGGCGGATCGGAAAGCTGCAGAAGAGGCCGCAGCTGCAGCTGCAGCCCAAAACACGGGTCTGAGCTGGGCAGACGACGCTGGAGGCGATGACTCATGGGCAGCAATTCCTATTGGAAAGAAAAAGGGCAAGAAGAAGGGCAAGGTATGTGCATATCTCTGCCTCGTTAATGATTCAAGCTAATTTGACCCAGGCTGAGCCGGCTGAGGCCGAGCCTCCCGCGACTTCCTTCCAGGACGTGAGTCTGAACGACGGAGCCCCGCAGCTTGATTTGAACCTCGACTCTCAGAAATCCGCCGGTTTCAACTTCGGCTGGGGAAAGGACCTGGGTTTTGCCGGTGGCAACAAATGGGGCCTCGACTCGATCACAGGCGCAAACAAGTCAAAAGAAGACACAAACCCGTGGGGAAACAGTGCGGGCAAGGTGGATCCTCTAAACATGTCAATGGGTTTTGGTTTTGGCGGAGGCTTCGATAGCACGCCGGCCGCAACAAACGGCAATTCCGGGGAGACCAAGGAAGCTGATGACGATGGCTGGGCCAATATAATATCCGGAACCAAGAAGGATAAGAAGAAGAAGGAGCCGGAGGTGGAACCTGTCAAAGAGCCTGAGCCTGCAGCAGATCCCTGGGGCCTGGGTCTATCGAAGAAGGAGAAGCGGAAAGCGAAAGCTGCTGCAAAGCTCGAGGAGACTCCTGCGGAACCTGTCCCCGAGGAGATAATCGATATTGCCGAGAAAGAGCCAGAGAAGCCAGCTGACGATGACAATGACTGGGGTTGGGGTATCACAAAGAAAAGTGATAAGAAGAAGAAGGAGGAGCCTATAGTGGAGGAACCGCCAGCACCGGAACCACCCAAAGCTCCTGAGCCTCCTCCTGTCGATGACTGGCTAGGTGGATTTGGTACAACCAAAAAGGGCAAGAAAGCGCAGAAGAAGGCAGAAGAAGAGCGAAAGAAGAGAGAAGAGGAAGAGCGGAAACGCAAAGAGGAAGAAGAGGAGAAGAAACGCCAGGAAGAGGAGGAAGAGAGGAGGCGGCAAGAAGAGGAGGAAGAAAAGAGGAAACAGGAAGAGGAAGAGGAACGAATACGACAAGAGGAAGAAGCTCGGCTTGCCAAAGAGGAAGAGGAGCGAAAGGCAAAGGAAGAGGCAGACCGCAAAGCCAAAGAGGAGGCCGAGAAAGCGGACGGTTGGGGTTGGGGCTTCGCGACAACAGATAAGAAGAAGAAAAAGAAAGGCAAAGCTGTACCAGAGCCTGTCCCCGAGCCACCTCGCGAGCCTACGCCACCTCCTGCTGAGCCCGAGCCTGAGCCTGAACCAGTCCAGGAGCCAGAGCCAGAGCCTGAACCGGAGGAGTGGAAGCCTACTTTCCCAGATGATCCGCTCTACGAGAACTGGATGGAATTGTCATCTAAAGAAAGGAAGAAGCGTGAGAGGCAGTTGAACAAGAAAGGTCTTCCCATTCCAGGTAAGGATATTGATCTCACGCCTCCTAAGAAAGAAGAACCCCCTCCAGAACCGGAACCCGAGCCAGAGCCAGAACCCGTCCAGGAGGAACCAGTCCCTGAACCAGAGCCTGTTCCGGACGAGAACAACCAGCTCGTTGAGATTATCCAACAAGAGCCTGAGGACGACATTGAGGAAACTGGTTGGGGAATTTGGGGAACTTCCAAGGATAAGAAAAAGTCCAAAAAGAACCGGATATCAGAAGAACCTCCACCTCCTGCGCCTACACCTCCTTCTCTAGGTCTTGAACGGGAATTCACCAGGGAATCCGAGCTGGCTGAGCAGGATCCCATCTGGGATGATTTCGATGATAGACTTCCCAAATCCAAGAAAGAGGAGACCCCCGTCAAGGCCGCTCGAGGATTCTGGGCCACTCTAGGAGCAGCAACAATGGGCAGCAAGCCAAAGGCCACGAAGAAGAAGTCCGAAGAAAAGCCCAGGGACCCTGACCCAGTAGAAGAAGCAGCTCCGCCTCCCGCTGAGCCAGATGATCTCCTGATTGATGTTGGCGAACCCAAGGACGTCCCGCCTATCGCGCCTGAGGCGCCTGAGGCGCCTCCAGCACCTGAGCCACCCGCGCCACCCGCGGTGCCAGCTAAGACAAGTGTTGCCACCTCCAAGTCCAAACCGCCATCCAAGCTCTCCGTAGCGGAGCGCATCAGCGCCCTCGAAAAAGCAAAAAAGGAGCGGCTGAAAGAAAAGGCTGTGCTTGAGAAGGTCAAATCCAAGGAAAAGGACGCCCCCTCGCCTGCCCCGGAGCCCGAGCCTGAGGTTGTGGAGCCGCCCCCACAGGAGGACCTAGTAGATCTTGACCCTGAGCCTACCAAGACGAAACTGTCACGGGACTCGGTTCCTGGAAGTTTCCCTGACGCTTTTGACGACGAGGTTGATGAGATTCCGCCGGCGGACCCTGAGCCTGTCCCCCAACCGGAGCCTGAACCTGAGCCTGAACCTAAGCTCTCTAAGAAGGACAAGAAGAAGGAGAAGAAGAAGAAGGGAAAGCTTATAGAGCCGGAGCCGGAACCCGAGCCTGTTCCTGAACCAGAACCAGAACCTGCCGCTGAGCCAGAGCCAGAACCGGAACCATTGGAACCGGAGCCTGAACCCGAGCCGGAGCCGAAACCTTCAAAGACCGAGAAGAAGAAAAAGAAGAAGGAACCAGAGCCGATATTCTCATTATTTGGCGGAAGGTCGACTAAAACGAAGAAGCCAAAGAAGGTTGAGCCAGAGCCCGAGCCGGAACCAGAGCCGGAAAAGGAACCTGAACCTGAACCGGAGCCTGAGCCTGAGCCCGAAGTTACACGCGAACTTGATCCGGAACCTGAGCCTCAGCCTCAGCCTGAGCCGGAACCAGAACCAGTCCTATCCAAGACTGAACGGAGGAAGAAAAAGAAGGCCAAGGCAGTTGAACCTGAACCTGAGCCCGAGCCCGAACCTGCGGTTGAAGCAGAGCCGGAACCAGCACCAGAACAACCGGCGGAGCCTGATGCTGAGCCCTCAGCAGAGGCGGAGAGAGCTCTTGACATAGAGGAAGAGCCTGCGCCTGCTCCTAAACCTGAGAAGATGGTTAGGAAGAGCAAAAAGAGCTCGAAGAGACCTGTGCCGCCACAGGATCCTCTTACCGCTGAAGACATGATGGCTACCGGTGCAATCGAGGCGGATGGCGAGGAGCCGCCCATCCCTTCACCAGAGACCACGCCTGAGAAGCCAGCCAGAAAGGAACGCAGCCGCGTTGAGCGCACGCCTGGATCTACGCCTTGGGGCTTTTGGGGTGCCACACCTACTAAAAGGCCGCCTACCAAGGAAGCTAGGCTCACGAAGGAGGCCTCCCCTGCGGTAGCACGATCAAGATCAGTCAAACAGCCAAGAGTGAGAGAGTCCGAGGCGGAAGTCGAGGCCGAACGGTCTTCGGCATCCGATAAAGACAGACGGCGCGAAGCTAGGGCTAGCCGTGGTATGGCTTTCTCCAACTTTATTATGGGCGCGCCGCCTTCTCAGCCCTCACGCACGACCTCAACCAGAAGGTCTGCAGTTCACGCTTCTAAGCGGTCGTCAAGGCACCACTCTGTAGATATGGATGATACTGGCTTCCCCACGCCGCCGCCAGAGGATGGCGCGGTTCCAGATAAAGCGGCCAAGTTCATGGGCGTCAGCGACCCCTCGTCAAGGGGGGAGAGACATCGGGAGCGGAGAAAATCTCGTACGTCATCTTTTATATGTCACTCTTACGATGCTAATCTATCTAGGGGCTCCCGATCCATATGCTCTTGACGACGAAGACATTGTGGTGGTGAACCGTGACGAGGTCGAGCATCCTTCCCGGGGCGGCTCAAGACATTCCGGCTCACGTCATTCCGGGCGGGATTCTGCGAGAAGAGTAAGTCCACTTCTGCCTGCTGTTGCCTTTACAGAACTAATCATCACAGTCACGATCAACCCCCGAAGAACCTCGTGAAGATGAGGAACGGGCACCAGATGTATTTTCCGGCCCAGATGACATGGCTTTTGTGGAAGCCCCACCGTCTCGAGAGCGACGCTCAAAGCGCACCAGCGCACCGCCGCCTAAGAAGCCTGAGGCGACTGGCCTCATGGGACTGTTAGGGTCCCTGCGGCGGAACACACGACCTGACCCGCCGGAGCGCCGAAAGTCACGATCCTATCGAGACGACGATGCAAGATATGCGGCGGAAGACGAAGCTCGCCGTCTCAGACGCGAAGAGAGGAGACGACGCTCTGTGCGCCCCGATGATGACGGCCATGAGCCACCGGTGATCGGCGCTTTCCCAGATACAGAGGTCGAGGATGCAGAGGCCCGGCGCGCGGCACGCAGGGCGAAGCGTGCGTCGCGGCAGGCACCGCAGGTTGCTGCAGATGAGCTACGGGAGAGTGATCTCCGCGAAGCAGAAGAAAGGCGGGCACTTCGAAGAGAGGAGAAAGCCCGTGAACGCGAGAAAAGGGCGCGCGAGCGCGAAGAGTACGAGAGACAACTCCGGGAAGAGGAAGAGCGACGGCGCGAAGAGAAGCGCGCACGGCGTGCAGCCCGTGAAGAGCGCCTCCGCAGGGAAGAACAAGAGGCGCAAGAGGCAGAAGCCCGAGCAGCCGCAGAGCGCCGCGAGCGCAGACGACAGCGGGAAGCAGAGGTGTACGAGTATCCCGGCTACGAACAACGACAGAGACGGCACCGTTCACGGGTCGACGACAGAACCGCACGGAACTTCTATTATGATGGGCGTGAGGCTGAGCGCTCTCGCCCTTCTCACCGGTCGGATGAGAAGTCGAGACGACGACGGTCCAATGCACCTGATCCGACTCGGCCTACACCCATGCCGCTTGGCGCGCGCAAGGACAAGACTTCGTCCTGGGTAGACTCCCAGGCCGATGAGCCGCCTGAGCCTCCGCCAATCGTGCCCACGGTCCTTGACATGCCCCCGGGCCCGGACGAGCAGGTTCAAGGACACACGATGTCCTCGGACGAAGAGGCGCGCCGCGAGCTCCGCAAGCAGGCCCGCCGACGCAGCAAATACCCCGGACTCGACGACCGGGAGATTGAAGACCTTCGCGCGAGAAGACGCGAAGCCCGCCGGGCAGAGCGCGAGGGTGTCAAGACCAGCTCGAGCGGAGACTATGACCGGGACCGGGGGAGGTACGATCGGTATCCCAGTGAGCCGCCCAAGAGGCCGAGCTGGCTGAAGAAGCTCACCAGTTTTTGATCCACTGTTTTTCCTGGATCGCCTTTTTTCTTTTTTCAACTTATGATGATTATGTTGCATGACGCGATGATATATTATGAACTTGGGTACTGACTGAGTTTTTGGTCTTGGTACTGAAATGATCCTTCTGGTTTGCCTTTTGTATTTCTGATACCTAAACATGTTGTATAACGAACTATATTATAACAAACTCCAATCTATTCTTATATCTACCAAGCATTTCTATCTGTGCTCATATTAGCTCGCCTTACTCTCCTTTCTCTTCTTCTCCAAGTAGAACCGCCCACCCTCATAAATACTCAAATAGATACTCAACGACATGGCCGTCCACACGACCCGGATCGCCCCTCCACGAAACAACCCTCGCACTCCCTCATTCCTGAAAATCTCCTTTCCAACACTCCAAGCGCCTCTTTCTGCTTGTTTCACCTCGGATCCAACACCAGAACCAGACCCCTCCCCAGAAGCAGCAAGCATCATCCGCGTCTTGACAACATCAATGGGCGTCGTAACCACACTCGCTATACTACCTGATATACTGGCCGCAATGCCCGTCAAAACAGCTCTTTCAAAGACGGGCTCTCCTCCTCTCCCTTGACCTCGCTCAATTCCTCTCCCCTGTCCCCCAGCACTACTTCCACACGAACCCGGATCTGAGCGATGCCGCTGCCCTTGCCGCCTGTACTTAATCAACTCCCCCTTAACAAACTCGAAGATTGGAAAGTTCAGCCCCGTAAAGGGGAGATTCCTCCCCAGGAGCGCACTATACCCACTCCAGAGCTTCCAGGGCTGGGACGTGAAGCGGCGCATGACTTGGAGTGTTACACTCCCACCTCCTCGTTTCTTCGCACCCGTGTTGGTGCTGGCATTATTGATCACCTGCGCATTCTGCTTGATTACCTCTGCGGGAGTAAGGAGGAGACAAGAGACGGATTCAGCGACGGAGGAGGAGAGCGCGTTTATTAGGGGTGTTGGGAGGGAGTGGGATTGAGATTTCTTGGATTTGTTGAGTGTGGCTTTGACGTTTTCGTATGTTGTGAAGAATGCTCCTGCTATTACTACGCATTAGTATATTCTCTCCCTTCTTGACTTCCCTGCCCAACGGCACTCAACCGCCGCTTCCACACTATCCCCTTCAGCTAGCGAGCGCCATTCCAGATCTATGTATAATATAGCAGAGAAGAAGAGGAAGAGGAAGATACATACAAGCTGGAATCGTCGACAGCACCACGCTAAAGACTCCCTGGTACAGCCCGCGAAAGAGGACATTCTTGCGGATTGTATTCGTCGCGGGGTCCTTGTATACAGTGTTGTAGTTCGGTGATTGGATGCGAGTTTTGAGCGTGTCGAAGGGGTATACGAGAAAGTCGACTATTACGACGGCTACGGCACCGGACTAGTACTCATTTTCATATCAGTTTATGTTCTTTATATGTCAGTGGCAGAAGTGAAGAGACCAGGCATTGAGTATGGATGTGAGCGGGCCGTGGTATGGAGCGCTGAGGACTTACGAGCCAGATGTCTAGGTTGCTGTTCTCCATGGATTCACTCTACATTGATAGAAGATTAATTAATTAGAGAATTTCAGATAGCATTCCGAGGATCTAGAAACTGGGATTTGCATGCGACGCATTCTTATCGACCGTTATCAATCGATGAGGTCATACCCCTTCCACGTGCATAGGTTGCCCTAATCAGCATCTTTAGGGTTACTATTCTATACCTAGGACAGAGTAGGTAGATAGCTTAGGTTGAAAGACAGAGGTAAGTATGCAAGTGTAGAGGAAGTATTCAAGCGATAGCTATCCCGCAACTCTATCTGTCGCTGGAACATCACAAGACATATTAACAGTCGGTACAAGAATTTTCCCTCCTTAGGTACGCCATAAGGTCATGCACGAAATCATGATTCCCGAATCCCCGGTTTCCGTAAACATCAACAGCATCAGCATCCAATAGCAAGTCTAAAATCATTTGGCAACCTCATTGGGCAAAAGGTTGCCTTTGACCGCGAACATCTTGCCTGTTGTGGCCGAGACGAAGCTGTCGACCTGGCGTGCGTACTGCTCCACTTGGCGGCTGTTGAGCATGCTGTCGAGGCGGCTGGGCTCCTGGGGGAGCTTGAACAGCCGTTGCCACTCGTCTTCGGGGAGGGCGGGCTGCTTGAGTGTAGCGCGGGTGGCGTTCTCGGCCTTGCGCTTGGCTTGCCAGGCGGTGATCTTGGCCTGTTCTCGGGCCAGCGAGCGCTGGTAGTACTGGAAGTTGCTGGTCTCGGTGTGGTGGGTTTCGATACTGTCCAGAAGGAGATCGCAATTCTTCTCGAGGAAGGGGTCGATGCTGAGGGAGAGGTTGTCGAAGTTCGGTGCCAGGACGGGCTGTTTGGCGAAGGGTGACGACTCGATGCCGGCGAGAGAGGCGGGGATTTCCGTGGGGGCCGTCTGGGTCTGGTTCTGGAGCTGGTGGATGAAGGAGGTGATCAGGTGCGAGTTGTGGATTTCAACTGGGAGTTCGACCAGAATGTCCTGGTATCGGAGGTTGGACTTTTGCAGTCTAGAATGCAAAAATTAGCTCACTCTAGGCGCTAGTTCATATTTCGGAAACGTACTCATCAGAAGTGAACTTGTTATCCTTGAAAGCAGCCATGAACTTGGGCGAGAGGCGGAAGGCTCTCAGGCTCAAGCTCCCCTGGGAGCTCCGGCTGGGATCGTGAACAAGAGCAACTGTCCGCTCGTTCATCTCCTTCTGGTAGAAGAACTGGTTCTCAATAACGTTCATGTTGACAAAGTTGCCCATGTTCGCACTCGTGTACCATCCAACGTTGTTGGCATCGACGTTGACCTCCCGAAGCATGCGGATCATCTCAGCCTGGTAAACAGTGTTCGCTTTTGCACGGGGAGCAGCAGCGGCAGGGTTGGGAGCGGTGTTATCGAAATGTGACTCGGCGGGCACCTCAACGACGGGGAAGGGGAAGGTGTTGGTGATTTCGAGTGTGCCGCCCACATCCATACCGACGATGGAGCCAGTCGCGGTCGTGGGGAATGTTTGCGAGCAGTGCTTGATGATCTTCATAACGACCTACTCGGAATCAGTATTCCAATCATATGTCTCTTTTATCGCATCGCGGAAAATCTTCATAAAGCGGGGAATGGAGTTTTCGTACCAAGGCCTCGACCTTGACGGCCGTGAGGGGGACATCTTTCCTGTTGGAGCATATTAGAAGTAGCTCTAAGAAAGTCGTTCGAAAAAGGTCAAAACGTACTCCGCCATTTTGAATGCTGCAACCGGGGTATAAAATTGACTAACGGCGACAATGAGAGTTGGCGGCCGGCGATGGTTTGTGTGGATGAATCGAACATTTTCCACCGCCTCAGCCGAACAGGTTAGCGCGCCAAGACACATGCTGATAGTGTCAAGGCAGTATGAGACCTTCACACATCCAAGGTGCTATAGTGTAGTGGTTATCATAGTTCGTTGTGGCCGAACTGACCTGGGTTCGATTCCCAGTAGCGCCAATCATTCATGTGTACTTTCTTTTTTTCATTTTTGAGCAGCCCGCAACGACTCTATGTTACATTTTTCCAATTTACCGTCTGTACCTTTAGGCTTCAACCATTTGTCTAGACGTTCAGGCTCTGTCTCATGACAATGCAAGAAAAGTGGCTCGTTTACTGTTAGGACGCTTGCGGCAATGCTCGACAGGGCGAAGTATACGCCGCAATCCAACCTTCGGTATAGGTATAGGTATATAGTCAGATTCAAAAGTAAAAGTAACAGTTTTATCAACCTGGTGCACACATTGAAAACAAACAGCATACGTTCGCTTCCTGTTGATAAGAGGTGGAGATAAAACGGGAATACAAAAGATAAGGCCCGCGGCCTCCTCCCCCCGCCTTGAGAATCAAAACCGGTCTCCAACCTCAAGGTTCGGTTCCACCAGTTGCTTTCTCTATTCATAGGAACCAGCAAGCAAATAACATACCCAATTGCTCTGTAGCAGCTCTAATGTCCCTCGAAACCTTCTCTTACGGCGACCACGCCCTGCAAACGATAACTGTTGCAGATCTACACCCCGCACAACCCCTCAACGATGCGGACACAGGAATAGGAACAAACACAGGAACGGATGCTAGGTACTGGGTGATGTATATATTTCCCATGCTTCATAACAGTCTACACTGAGTTCAATCTAAGCTATCTATGTCCAAAGCCTAATCCACGGCGGCGCCTGGCGCGACCCAACCCAAACCTCCGAGTCCTATCTAACGCCCGCCCTCGAGATCCTCCGGAAGACTTCCAGCACAACCTCTCCGCTCCCCATAAGCCGCCTCGCCTCCATCTCCTACCGTCTCAGCGCACACCCATCGCATCCACAAGACCCCTCAACTGAACCAACCAACACCCTCCGCGCCGCAAAACACCCAGATCATCTAGCGGACATCCACGCCGCACTCGCGTTCCTGCAGGCAAAGTACAAGTTCGGGAGTAACTATGTACTCGTCGGGCATAGTTGTGGAGCAACACTAGCGTTCCAGGCGGTTATGCGGGGAATTTCCTCTGGAAAAGAGTGTGCGGCGCCCACTGGAATCCTTGGCATGGCCGGAATTTATGACCTAAGGCTTCTGCGGGATTCGCATAGGGATATCTCGGCGTATCAGGAGTTTATTGAGGGGGCGTTTGGGGACGATGAGCCTCTGTGGGATTCTGTTTCCCCGGCTGTTGTGGAGGGGAAAGAAGGGGTTCTGGGGTGGGAGGAGGGGAGGGCGGTTGTACTTGCGCATTCGGAGGAGGATGGGTTGTGTGATCTTGCGCAGAGTTTGAAGATGAAGGAGACTTTGGGAGCGTGGGAGAAAAGTGGGAATGAAAGAAGGGAGATTCATTTCCTTTCCATTAAGGGGGAGCATGATGAGGCGTGGGAGAAAGGGGAGGAGCTTGCGAGAGGAATCGTATATACTTTCGAGAAGCTGCAGGATCTGAAAGTTTAGACTGACGGAGACTTGTAGTTCGAGAGGTATACAGTAAATAAATTGTCGAGATAGACCGTATTTGATTCGTTATGTTCCACCATAGAAGGTATCATGAAACTAGTGCACATTAGAAAAGAAGAAAATAGACCGGCCATTTTCAGACTTCAACTCCCCATGGTCGTTATCATACTCGCACAAAAAAAAAACCATACGCCTGATGCTTCGAAGTTCGGAGGGCCAACCACGGAAAGGAAAACGAGAACAAGTTCGAAAAAGAAAAGACCATGCGCCGCCCGCTGAGGGCATGCAATTTCAACAATGGTCAGAGAAGCATCATATCTCAGCGGCCAAGGTCCATCGATGCGGCATCACCACGAGCTGCCTCCCTGGAGTCGACGGTTTGCGCCTCGTCCTCCTCATCTTCCTGCTCCTCCTCCTCATCGTCCTCAATGTATTTCACCTGAACGTCGGCATCCTGAAGACGAGTCCTAGTCTCTTCGCGGAAACGGTCTTGCCAGCGCGCAAGAGCAGCACTAGAGTGGACACGGAAGCCATAGATGCGCGGTTCATAGCGACGGGTGCTCTTCTCGGGGAGGAGGTGCGGGAATACCTGGAAGAGCATGCTGGTGAAAGAGGCACCAAAGTACGCGCCATCGATGGAGGCATGTCTGGACGACTTGGGGTTGTAAATGTCTTCGCACTTGGAGCAGAAGAGGCGGACGGTGCTCATGTTTGCGATATCGTGCTGGCCGGTGGGGAGAAGAGGATGGCCCTCGCACATTACACGGGGGCATTTTCCGAAATCGCCTTTCTTGTACTTTTCGGCCTATGAACGGATAATGTCAGTAACACAGCCTTCGCCAAAGTAGCAACCGTGCGTACCATCTTGGTGAGACCACGAGTAGTCAAAATGTAGCGAGCATGGACTAAGCCATACAAGTGGCGTGCCGATTTCTCAATCTGCTCGCGGAGGTCATCGTCGGCGTCGAGGTCGAAAACATCAGTCACCAGGTCCAGCGCATACTGGTAGTAGGGAACCTCGGTGTTCAGGCCGGTAAGGTTGAAGCGATCGGTCAGGTATTCTTCGTCGATTTCGCAAAAGTACTCGTTGCCGCGGGAGGAGATGAACTGCGAGCGCCAGTTAGGTTTGGGTCTTGGAAGAGGGATTCTGTATGGATAACGCCGTCGCAGAGAGAGCAGGGCAGGGCCAGGGTCGGACAGCGAGTCGGGGACGGATCCAGACAGCACCTCATCCGAGCCTGAGAATCGGAGAAGCACAGGAGCAGGATCAGAGATCGAATCCCCGTCGGAACGAGAATTCAAAAGCGCCATATCCCGTAAATTGCCAATGACTTCTGCGATAGACGGATGGAGGGGTATGTGTTAAACGTTTGGGAGAAGGTTCCCCAAAATCCAAGAGCCAAACATTGGAAATGGCCTCGACAACAAACGCAACATCATCCGCACCTGGCAGCTTTTGGAGTTGCGACAAATCACCCCGCCCTGCTGCGTCCCTTCCCTTTGTACCCCACAGCCTCAAGCTCAAGAAAGTGCAGGAAACTTACCCAATCCCTCCAGTAGCTGGTGTAGTCGCTATCGGTCTCGCTGTTGAAGTCTTCCATCATTTTGACGGGTCGGCTTGTCTTTTGAGTTTCTCAGGGCGTGGCCGGAGGTAAGATTATTTTGGTTGCTTTGCCTGCAGCAGTGTGAGAAGACCGGGCCAAGGTAACCCAAGCAGAAATGGTCCCTCTAACTGTACAGCAGGAATAATCCCCCTCAAAGCATCCAGCGGCGGATTTTTCAAAACAACAAGGAATGAATTCCACAAAGGAAGGAAAGGCTTGCAGTCTCCTGATTGATGTAGTGTGATTCTTCACCTTTCTTCTTGTGGCTGTTATCAGAAGTTCTGCTTGTTCAGGTTTAGCGCGGGGCTGGCGGTCAAATCTGCCAGCCTCCATTCACCGCCTAGTGGTGCAACTATTCCAGTGTCGAGAAACAAATGCACTTTGTCTCTTTCTTCTTGAATCTTGTAAAAAAAAAAAAAAAAAAAAAAAAAAAAAAATTCTGCCCGAAGAGCTTATATTTTGGCCCAGTGACTTGGTTCTAGCTCTTCAATTGAAAATCACTCTGATTCTGCGTATATACATGTTTCTTCCGACAATACCACTATGTACACAACCCCCGACAAGACAAAACGAAAGGTATCTAGCTCCCAAGGGGAGGGTTGGCGTTCGCCACAAGCTGCTCGAAGTATGCCTATACACGGAGTTAGCTCACATTACAGCAATCATTATCGCCCAACTTACCTGGAACCAGGTACCAGCCTCAGGAGCCGGCTGAAGAGCAGCATCGACACCACAGTGCGCATCATAGCGCTCAGCAGACTGGTCAGAAGTGCCATCACTCTCACCACCAGGCTTGACCCAGACAAACGCATCAACCAGTTCGTTACCCGTGTCGGTTGTCGGGCGGACGCCGAAACCAGTGCCCTTGGAGTTGCACCAGTCACCCCATTCATTCTGGCCCGTCGGCTGCTTGCCGTTGCGGCCTGCTCTTGATTAGCGGATCCATGCTTTATCTTGAAATGAAGATCTGCGAATGATACGAACCAGTGTCAACGATGAAGTGGGCATCAAATCCGGCCGCGGCGAGCTGCGGGGCGAAGCTGTTGATGTAGCCCTGCTCGTCGCAGACCGCGTTCTCAGATGTGTACGACGGGCAGGTATCAATGCTAAAGGCGTTGTAGTTGGCGACGTTTGTGGCCAGACCGCGCAACGATGCCGGGGACGAGGCGTTCGTGTATACGCTCGCGTAGAGCTCGGCTGCTGGGCCAATGTTGGCAGGCCAACCCAGCCATCCGGCGTGGCCTGTGCAAGTTAGCGAAGTGAAGATCAATGTGAAGGTACGTATCGTTCCGACTGACCGGCATCAAGATACATGGAGACATTGGGGAGATCCAGCTGCGTGATTGCATAGTTTGTACACTCGAGGTACGCACCCTGGGCATTCGCACACTTCGCGACACCCAGGTTCGTTACCAGGTTGGCCAAGCTATCCGGTTCTGCATACCCCGTGTTAGCATCTCCCACAGCAATTATAAATATGACTGCCGTGTGAAAGAAATGGGAAACAAACCAATGACGAGGATAATGTTTGTATCCGCGTATGTCAGAACATGCTCCCGGATGGAATCAATATACGCCTTGTACTTTTCAACACCACCATCCGCAATCGCCAGCTCCCCGTTACTAGCCAGCGCCGCGCAGTCACGGTCGGGAAGGTTATAGACGACGAAAATTCCGGCAATGGGCGGCTGTGCCCCAGCGTCGTTCTGCGCTTTGATATCAGCCAGATACTCACCCATCGATGGGACCTTGGCGGTTGTATCCCTGCCCACAACAATAGACATTAGCTTCATATCCAGTCCAGAAGGAAGGAGTTAAACGAAACCATACATCCAATGGAACGACGGAATCTCAGCCGCATGCGTCGCCTGCTCCGCCAGCGAACCCGTCATGGAGGGCACGGCCAGCGACATAACCTCGGAGCTGTAGTACGGGTTCGCGTAGAGCTGGTAACCCTCGAACGGGTTTCCAGACGCCGTCACGGCAGGCCCGGAGCTCGTGGGTGTTGCTGCGGTCGTGCTGGCCTGCGGCAGGGCGGTTACCGTTGAGGCGCCGAGGAGCGGCACAAGGGCCATGAGGGCCCTCATGTTTATGGATTGCATGGTGACTGACTGCGAAAGAGGAGGAAGTGCGGTTATATTTCTGATCCTGCAGAAAAGGTAGTTTGAGCTCTGCTTCGACTATCGATTCCAACAACTCGAGCGAACAAGCTCTTATATACCAGTCCCAGCGAGCATAGATCGACTAGGGACCACTATCCGCTGCCAAAAGGATCAAGGAACACCGGGCTAAACACCATTTGGATAAAATCGAGACTGGTCATGCGAAACTGAGGTAATTCTCAAGGCCTTCGGATGGGCAAAGTGGCCCGTTTGCCATATTCAATATTCATCCTTCCTTGGCCTGCTCAAGTCGACGGATGCTCCGTAACAGAACAGGTACTGAAGCGGCTGATCGTCATATACTAATCTAGTCTCAGGGACAGTTGGGTGTTTCATTTTCTGGTTAGCCTGGCCTGACACTCAGTGTCTATTTGGAAGTGTGATCTTCTAGATCCATCGTCTACAAAAGCTGTAGTTAACGTTTCCTGGTTGCCATACAGTCTGCAGTGCGTTGAACTTAAGAGATTATATGAAAAAGCCACCCGCACTCTAAAGCGCCATAGCAAGCTAAATTGCCGACTGTTTGTCCCCAGTCTAACACATCACTAGTCCGGGGTAATGAAGAATCACCCCGTGTTTCATCTATACAAGGCTACTAGCCCGAGCAACAGTACAACCTCCGTCCCCTGAAGGACCTATGATCGACAGAATAGACACCGAATAGATCGAACTAAAAATGAAACCAGCAAGGGCGTTTCCTCCGCCACCGAGTTATCCGGGGTGTGACTACTCCGGGGTAAATATCTGAGTACGTTGGAGGACCCGCCGCGTTCCTGGCACGGGTCGACGGTCCGAGCATCCTTAGGTCTGAAGAACCTCCCCACGATTCTATTCTGCCTGACTGGTATGGTCTTTCTTGGAATCTTGGCTTTGTTCTCAGACTGAGATTTAGGACTTGTGGTGGCTCGATGAACTAGACTAGTCTCGTTACGATGCCAATATCTAGGTATGGGTTTGGCTGAGGATGAAAGACACGAAATCCGATAATAGTATGTATTTCCATATTTCATATGGCAGATTCAATCTACATGTAGTAACGACTGTCAAAGTCTGATATCACGGTAAAAAATAAAATAAAAAAGACAGACAATAAGAAAAGAAACGATCAATAACGCCCACCAACAGCCTGATCACATTCGGCTATGAACTTACGGATCCCCTCAGAGCCATCATACTCAGAGGCACTCTCCTGGAACCCATAGCTCACAACCTCAGGAAAGAATGCTCGATCACCAAGCTCACTCACGTTGATGCTAGAATACCCCGAGGACGACTTGGCCCATGGGTTGGACCCGAACATTGCGGAGTCGTCGAAGCTGATCTCGTTGCTTGGTCGTCGGCGTCCGTATTCGGGGGAGACCTGTGTGTCGCCGTCTTCGACTGACATCATTGCTTGCCAGTCGACTTCGTCGGGTCGTTGCGATGGGGTAATCTCCGCGCGGAAAAAGAAGTCGTCTGCATCCGTGGATGGAGCGATACTTGGGGCGAATGGGAAGAGGAGGGCCAGTTCGGCGCCTGTGCGGATGTCGAAGTCTGCGTCTTGCATGATTTTTCCTCGTTGAACACCGACTTCGTCGCAGAGTCGCTCGACCGTCTCGGCGTCACAACCTGGGAATCTCACTCGGATGGTTGATCTATCTTGGAGTAGGATTGGCAGGTCACCTAGAGTCGACAATCGCTTGAGGTCGTTCAGAACAGCGGCCAAGTCCTTGAGGGCACGGGCGAAATCGGCGGAGAGGAAGTCCAAAAGGCCCTCGGAGTTAAGGGTCTCGGTCTCAACGCTAGCTCCGGCAAACTTCTTCTGAAGACCAAAGGCAGTAATGGTGGGCGAGATTTGAAAATCGATGGAAGAGCCAGGGGCTGTGCGAGGGATAGCGGTCATCTTGCGCTCAGCCTCATCCTGGAGCACCGTCACGGCTTTGAATTTCTTGTTTCCGGTGACATGGTCAATGCCGTCGAACCGAGCCTTCTGCCCCGAGAGGAAGAAAGCCCGAACACCCACAGACACATTGTTTATAACTTGAGCCGGTGCAGCCGGACCATGCGAAAAGTATCGTGCACCTCCGACACGGCCTGCACCGATCACATATCCCCCCGCAGTACGGCCGAGGGTACCTCCGGTGAGGTTCGGACGAAGAGCAGAAGCAAACGGCGCCCGACTGGTGAGGCGGCTGATGTTGGCCGCAATGCGAGATGTCCGATACGCAGTCCGGTCACCCTGTGCCGCTGTCTTGAAGTATGAAGCGAAAGAGCCTGCCGCACGGGTGGAGAAGTGGCGACTGCGGGCTTGACGGATGGCTGCGGCGCGATTGATGGGCTGTTGGGGGGAAATTCGCACATACGCGGGCTGGAGACGAAGCGAAACTTGTTGAGACGGTTCTGGGAACTTTGCCCTTACGGCTTTGTACGCCTTCGCGTAGGCGAACCTGTAAAGCTGTCAGCAACCCCGGCGGAAGTATACACTGAGTGGCGAATGACTCACCTAGCCGCTCTCCAGAGCTTGGGGAGCAGCAGGTGCCCACTAGACGGAGGCATCCTGGCAATGAGGTTTCACAATTCTAGAGAAAGATTGAAGATGAGAATATCATCCTCGAGATGAACTCGATGATAAGGAAGACAATTGACGGATGCCTGATGACGAGGCAGTCAATCCCCAGTAGGTGGTGGCGGTGCTGCGTGTGATCCGGGGCACGTGCCTCAGGCACGGCGAGAACCGGGCACCTGTTCGCCAATGATAAGCAAGATCTCACAAAATTTTGATCATTGAGAGGAATTGATACTAGGGGTTTTTTTGGATTGCTCAATAAAATCATGAGAATGGTTGTGAGTTAGGAGATTCTTCGTTGGGGTAGTATATACTCTCCGCTGAGAACGTTCAAAAGACAAGACGACACATTACTAAGTGGATCAAATAGCAAGAAACGACAAAATCTATATTCTTATTGCGAAATATCTACTCATCATCACCGAAGAAGACCTTGATAGGGAGCCAGTCATCACCGCAGACCTTGAAGCGATCCTTCAAGTTGTCCAGCTGGTTAACCTCCTCGTCGGTCAAGCTCCAGCCATCAAGCTCAAAGTTGGCGTCAATGCGAGACTTGCTGACGGACTTGGGGATGACACTCCAGCCCTTTTGCAAACCCCACGCGAGGAGCACTTGTTGAGGAGTCTTGCCCTTCTTCTCAGCCAGCTGGAGAAGGGTCTGGTCCTTGTAGAGGGGAGAGTTGGTGGATCCGAGGCATGAGTATCCAGTGGAGTGGATGCCCTTGGATGTGTTATAAGCGACCAGCTTGGGGGAGGGGTTGTTGGGGTGCAGTTCAATCTGGTTGACGGCGGGGACGATCTTGGTGCTGGGGTCGTTGAGGAGTTTCTCGAGGTTGCGGATTCCAAAGTTTGAGACACCGATATTGCGGACCTTACCGGTGGCCGGGAGCTTCTGCATCTCTTGCCTGTTCTCTGGTTAGTCTCTGAGCTAAGTCAGGATCTAGGAGGGAGCTGTGACGTACCATGTCTTAATAAAGTCCCAGTCGGGGAGATGCTTCTTCAGGTCATTAGGGTCGGTCGAGCTGGGCCAGTGCACAAGGTAGAGATCAACATAGTCGACGCCCAAGCTCTTAAGGGAGGAGTCAATTCCCTCGGGCACGCGGTGGTGCCAGGGGTTGTCGAGCTTTGTGGTGATCCAGATTTCTTCGCGGGGGACTCCAGAGTCGCGGATACCTTCTCCAACCTCGTGCTCGTTGCCATAAGCAAGCGCACTGCATCGACGGTCAGAAATGTCTCGAGAACGGTCAGAAGCGACTTACGTGTCAATGTGACGGTAGCCCTTCAGCAGAGCGTTCTTAACGGCCTCTCGGACCTCGTTGGGCTTGGACTGCCATGTTCCAAGACCAATGGCGGGGATCTTGTCCCCAGTGTTGAGGGTGTAAGTCTTCCTAGTAGGAGCGAGGTGGTTCAGCAATTGCTTCGTCCTCTGGAGTGCGCTTCATTGTCGATACGAATGAGGGGGAAGATCTCCAAGTACCACGTGGACTGCGAGCACTTACTTGGTGTTCTCGAGGTTGGCCATCTTGCTTGTGGTAGGAGATGAAATCGGAAGGAGAGTCAAAGGTAGAGAAGGATCGCGAGAATAAAAAAAGTCTTGAGAAGAAATTATCCGGCGGAGGAGGGGGGAGATTTAAAGGAAAAATTGAGATCTCCGAAACAGCACAGCAAGGCAGGTCCATCCAGCATCCGCGGAGGGGCAATGATGACATTCATCATGAGTGGAGCGCGCCGGTGGAGCTTGGACTTGATTCCTCTTTATCCTGGCCAGTCGCAGCTTTTCTGAATTTAACCGCGCCCTTGAACTCAAAGGGACAAGATTATTATTGGAGATTCGGGCACTTGGCCTAGGGGAAGTGTGTGGAGTGCAGTTCCTCCTATCGAGTTTATCCGATAGTACTTGTAGATGCGGAGTAGCATTGAGATGCGGCATCCAGGTTTCCGCCGTTAGATAGTATCGACCTGGTACGGCGAAAGATTAAATACTAGTACATACAAGGAAATGAACCCATTCAGTTAATACGAAGCGCATCATCCACTCTAGGTCAATAGTACTACTACTATCTAGATGATGACTTTTCCGCGCATAAATCAAATATGAAATATAAGCTACAATAGGATGCTTAGGATTTAGTATCGAGTCGACCTCAACGTGTTCGCCGCCCTCCATCTACTCCATAAATCAAATTAATTTTACAAGAGCCTTCACGATTTTCGCCAGTACCTCAGTGTCGTAGGAGGCGGTATGGTATTCGCCTTTTGATGCTGTCCCATTCAAATACTCGCTCACTGAACGAAGCTGGCTAGAGCAGAGGTTAGGAAAGAGCTTTCGACAAAGCTCGCCTATATTAACCACTTGAAAATTCGACGCATCCCGATGGGAAACTTTCTCTTGGATTAGTTGGCTGTCCCCAGCGATGATTCTCAGGAAACACTGCATATCTTGAGCAGCAAACCATGATAGAACATTAATCTTCGTTGGGTCGTACGCACAAACATCGATTATGTGGTCTCTGATTCGAGGCGGCGTTTCTCCGTTGGTTCGAAGCCCACCATAGCACCTTAGGAACAAAGTTCCCATCATACCATGCTTCTGGGAGACAAGTAATGATGTAGCGTCGGTAAATTCCTTCAGAGACAGACCGTAATGCACATTGCCAGAATACAACAGCTTCCCATCGAGCTGCCTGATGGCGAGTTGGAGAGGTATTGGCGAGTAACGTTTCGGCATTGAAACGTACTCGAAATCAATAATCCAGGTCCGTTCAGGCTGCGCAAACAGAGTCTTCAGTTGCTCTAACGTGTTTCTTGTATGTTCCGTCAGGTGCAGATCGCTAGAAGCCACGAGATTTGCCCGTAGACTTGGGGTAGCTAACGACTCGGGTTGCTTCAAAACATGAGCAATGAGCGTGGTCGAATGGTGGTGGCAGTAGTAAGATGAGGGTTCTTCTTGGGGCTCAGGGCATGTGAAGAACATGCACGTTTCCTTGCGATTGACTAGCCCTTCAGCCTTTTGGGCGCAGAGCTTTAGTGACCGCATCAGCTTCTTACGAAACTCTTTCTCCCCGGTTGAATCTGTACCAAGTTCGAGTATCTCGTCGAGCACAGATAGGCTCAGGGTGCCTCGAGTCTCTTCATCGTTGCCCTCTATGTGACGTGAAAATAGTCCGATGATATCCTCCTCGGCGACACGACTCTGGAGCTCGAACTCGGTGAGTGGGATAAGCTGGAAAGACCGGGCTGGTGGAACCGAGAAGAACGCGCGAGGAGATTTTTCAATTATATCATCCATCAGCAACTCAATATCGCTATATCTTCCGTATGATGGGCTCAGGGTGTCTCCAGAGCGATAACTGCTGTGCAAAACTGTGCTGTATAGCGTCCATGTTGACGAGAACCGGCGAGGCCTCCAGGATTGAGAACTCTTAAACAGCATCTCCACATCTTCAATGTACAGCACCGGGCTCAGCCTAAACTTATCGAAAATCTGCTTGGATTCCCCATATAAGATCTTCGAGTACCTTATCGCGTTCGGTCTATCATCATTTCTAGTTCGCTTGGGTGGTTTACACCTCAGGATTTCATGGTCGATTGTCCAGCCTTGAAGAAAAAGACTGTCTGGAACCACTTCGTTCCGTACGGTGCCCCTTAAGCATATCGATGTAGGCAATATGATAATGGCGCCTGTGGTTAACAAGAGCCTCACTGCCCAGTGCGCCGGGGCGCCTTGGAACGGCTGGTCATAATCAAGCCCGATTCGAACAGGGATAGCAGACTCAAGCTATACATCATGTGAGCATGATGGTTGTCCGTCCTCATTCATTGAAGCAGGCTGGTATTACTTACTTTTGGGCTAGCCGTGAGCAATTGCTGACAGATCAGGCTAACACATGCACCCATCTTCTCATAACAAGGATCCCATTTTCGTGCGCCAGGCTGTCTGAGATTATAATCAGGAGCGTTTTCGTATAGCATAGAATTGACTTCCTGCACTGTAGGTTTCTTTTGTACGGACTCTTTCTTAGGGGACCCTTCGAGCGGCGCCGCCAGGGTAGAATTTGGTGAAGGATGGATTTGTGTGTTTGTTGGGGCAGGCTCATTTGGATGTCCATCATGCGAAGAATTTCTTGGATGCCCGAGGAACTCGTAAGCATCCTCGAATGTTTCTAGTTGTCCACGACGTCCTCCTTCAATACCTATAAACGGCACAGGATGGGTAAGTGGATGTAACTGAGTTGGTCAGCGCGCAGTTATAATACCAAGGTTGATTGATAATACCTTATAGAACTCTGCTCCAGCTATGCAATTTTTTGAGAACAGTTGTGCCGGCACGAATTTTAAGAAAGGGTACCGTCCAGACTTGAATCTCTCCGATATTGTGATGGTTGAATATCTCTCCCCATCAGCTCTGGAAGATCCCTCTTTCATCTCGACTATTTTCTGCTCTTCCTCAATCCATCTCTGAAGGGTATTTTTCGTGATGTGCAGTATCTCCGCAGCGGTAGATGTACTGATATGACGTTCTTCGCCTGTTTGAGGATTGACATGGACATGAGTTCTGGAGAACTCAATGGCATGTAGCCTCTCTTCCCTTGAGTACGTCTTGAACTCCCGCTTGTAGAGACCGCCTGCCAGCCTTTTGTTGCCCACTCTATCCACCAGCGCCTGCTGGCCCTCTGTGAGTGGCTCGGCATGAGCAGAATCCGGCTCTCCGAGCAAGACAGGGTTGATATCCTGAGATTCAGCTTCTAGCATAATTCAAGGGTTCGGTTGATTGGGTAAAGTTTGGGGCTTTTTTTGGTGTTGTTGCTAATGCTAGGTGGTAGAAACAGAGGTCGTCCCAGTAACGGGAACCGCAAGCCAGGGTCGATAGAAAACCTCGATCGAGATATCTGCTCAATTGTGCGGATACTCACCTTTGGGGCAAAATCGCAATTCCAACATATTAAAAGGCCGGGCTTCTATTGTTGCACTAGGGACATATGAAATGGGTTATTTACGCAAATACTCAAGTGGCCACTGGATTGAGCCAGAAAGTTTCAACACATTCTAGTACAAATAAACCTTTCAATCATTCAGGAGTCTTTTCCCCGACCCCGCGAGAGCTGCGGTCACTGCCCCTACTGGTCATGGCTGGCCACATGTCAAACGCCGTGCAGAAGACAGGCCGCCTTTTCCCAGTCACAAATGTAAGGTTGCTGTCTATAATGTCCAGATATATACTGGACACTTAAAAAGCTACCTCGACAGGCCCCTATACTCCAATGGGGGTTCAGGCTTTCAGGTACGGCTTGGAAGCCCACTGGGGTTAAGCAATACAACCACAAAAAGGGCATTCACTAATCTTCGAGCTCGAGCTTGTAACCATAGCTATTAATGCAATTTCTCTATGCAGCAAAGGGCCCCTGGAGCTTATACGAGGACTGGAGCTAAAGAAGGTGTGGCACTCGTCTTCTTGTAATTGGTGCTTGCTGTCTCATCAGCACACTGTCTATCAGGAACTTCCATTTCAGTGAGTAGATCAGAATATAATAGGCATGCAAAATTTACTTCGCACCCCAATTGCAACAGATTGTTATGAAATTACCTTAACACCCTGACCAAGGCATATACCTCTGGCCCTGGTACAGTTCTTGGGTATGGACACAATGATACTGTACACATTCCTAGCTACAAGAGCCTCCTTGCCATGTCCACTATTCTTCCCCTCAGAAAAGCTTGCTTAGTTGTATAATGCTGCCCAAACTCCAGGCCGTATCTTCGGATGTCACGACCCTTCGGAGGCACATATTCATCAGGAAACCCTAGCAGGCACTCATAGACGCTATCATCAAGTAGAAGATTATCCCTAATGCATAGAAGCTTATCACGCATTATCACCATAATCTTGGCCATTGTTCCATTCAAGAAGAATCCTGTCTTGTTTGAGAGGTTCAGGCGAGCTTCGCTTGTTGCTATCACCCTGTGGAGGATTTCATCCGTTATGTCGCAAATCTGCCATGTGTTATCATCTGCAACAAACTTCCTCCCATTGAAGATGTGTGGGATGTTATCGTCTGCTTTGAGGAGCTGTGGGAATGCGAGGTTTCCTTTCACTGTCCAGTCATGCTTTCCACGTTCCACGACCGGATCGAACTCCATGTCAAACGTGATCGTCTGATAGAAACGAAGGTTGGGTTGAATTCTTGGATCAACACCGAATTTGATCAATGCTTTCTTCCATGGGCCATTTGCGAACATATATCCACATATGGGTAGAGCCTTTCCAACAGTGGTTTGACATACGGGGCCCAGGAGATCCAGAATCGCCCTGACGGTTGTCACTGGACGACACTCTAATATGCCCTGTATGTTCTGTACCATCTCTCTCATTGAACCGTCTTCGGCGTACCTGATTTGGTTGGAGCCGAGTCCATTGGGAACTACCTTCTGCGACATCTCCAAGATGATCTCGTTGAACTTGATTGTGTCACCGGTGGCGATCCCTTGGTTGTACCTTCCTCTTTTCGTTCTTTGAGGGGCTTCCGTGCCTGGGTCAGGTTGCGCGCGGCCTGTCTCGTCGTCACTCTCCCTTCCAGCCTCGTAGTATGCAGGATTTTCTTCGTGGGCATTCAATTGATGATCGATAGTAGCGGGGGTTGGCGGCGGCATTGTCAATTCAAACAGTCTATTTACCTAGCAGTTGAGACTTTACTTTCTTGTTGTGCTTTGAGATTCTGGGGTAGTTGGGTCTGCTGTTCTGACCGTCGAAAGGTGTGAACCGATTCTTCGCGACGAAGCTCTTGCTTTGAGTCGAGATATTTGGCGTGGGCTTCTTTCAACCTTGTCTTCTGTTGTGGCGCTCGTCAGGGAAACGTTGAAGTAGCGTAGTAAGAGACAAGGGTAGTAGCGGGGGCGCATTGAAGGGAGCCAACTAAAGTGTAAACATACACGGGCTTGGTATAGTTTGAGTCTTTTAAGACAAAACAAAGTTTGATGTTCTCCGACAAACTTCTCGAGGGTTGAAAATCCGATTCCAAAGACTCCTCCTTCCTCTCCCATCAACAACACATATGCGTAACGCTACTGCTTGATACCTTCATATAGTGACGGCCATATTTATATGGCTTCCACGCAGCCTACCCCACAAGATCATTGTGAAATTAGAAGTCAAGGCTCTCATCATTTGTTCAATGGCATATGTTCATGAGTAGCGGGTCTAAGCTAAAACAAAAAAAGATAAAACGGAAAAAATTATCGACACCAGTGAGATTCGAACTCACGCTCCCGAGGGAAATGCCTGGCTTTCCTAGAAGGGTATAGCAGGGCATCCTATGAGTTTGTTAGAAGATATAATTCGGCAGCACTTGTATTTTTACGTACGCGTTAACCACTCCGCCATAGTGCCTGTTGGTTGAACATTACTCCTCTTCCGACATTATGAGGCCAGGTAATGCTGGAAATACTATTCGCCGAAGTTTTTATCAACTAAAACCCTGTATTTTGAAGAGGCGGGATGTCTCAGACAAAGCGTTAGCTATGTTAGACACAGCAATGTCATCACATCTGTAGCCGTCGCTATTGGATCGACGCCAGATTTTCGAGGTCCTGAAGAATCAACGTGGCTGACTAGTAGCCACTAAAGCCCCACTAGCTGCTCCCTATGCTTCTGAGTTAGGAGCCTGTGCGCTGGAAATCACAGACAGGCTTAGTGCGACCAAATGACAGTATAACAGCTCCTTTAGAAGCACATGCCTGGGTGATCAAATAATGGCTGGAGTCTACGGTAGTTGATAGAGAAACGTTATGTGGCTGTGCGTTAAAAGCGATCTTGTTTGAAAAAAAAAAAATATCGACACCTGTGAGATTCGAACTCACGCTCCCGAAGGAAATGCCTAGCTTTCCGGAAAGGTAATAGCAGGGCATCCTAGTTGTTGTTAATTTAAGAATTCTCCAAAAGTTGCTTGGTACTTACGCGTTAACCACTCCGCCAAAGTGCCCGATGATTAATTAAACAAGCCTTAAACGTTATGTGGCTGTTTGTAAAAAGCGATCTTGTTTGAAGAAAAAAGATGTCGACACCTGTGAGATTCGAACTCACGCTCCCGAAGGAAATGCCTAGCTTTCCGGAAAGGTAATAGCAGGGCATCCTAGTTGTTGTTAGAATTTAAGAATTCTCCAGAAGTTGCTCAGTTCTTACGCGTTAACCACTCCGCCAAAGAACAAAAAAAAAAAATGCCTAGCTTTCCGGAAAGGTAATAGCAGGGCATCCTAGTTGTTGTTAGAATTTAAGAATTCTCCAGAAGTTGCTCAGTTCTTACGCGTTAACCACTCCGCCAAAGTGCCCGATGATTAGTTTAGACCAGCCTTATTGCAAGCTATACTATACTATATATCTACTTGACTGACCGCCAAAGCTCATTATGGATCCTATTGGTACCACAAACGACATAACATCCCAAAGCCTTTCTTCCTTGTATGTTAGTCGCGACAGACACAATTTCTTCCATGCCCGAGTTTCAAAGGAATTATTGAGCAGGCAATTGATACGGTCAATTACGATTTGGTCTTCCTCATCTTCCAGTTTTGTAGTCGTTCTTTTAATTTCCAGCCACCATCTAACCGCCCCATTCTTTGGATTGGAGCAGGCATTGCACCTTATTACTCTTTTTACTGCAAGAAACACAAAAATGTCTTCAGGATTCGTCTCCGCAGGAACGGATCAAGAGCCAGTTGAGCGCGATGACGAATGGCTCCGCGTGCAGCGAGAGCTCGAGGAGGAACGCCGACGAAAAGCCGAGCTAGGAAAACAAGATGGGAAGAGCTTATACGACGTCCTACAACAGAACAAGAGTGAGTAAAGACCATCTCAAACAAGTTAGAAGACTTTCAAAAAAAAAAGGACGCCCGGTTGACATACCCTGATGATCCTCTCTTGACGACATAAAGTGGCCAAACAGGAAGCCTTTGAGGAAAAGATCAAACTGAAGAACCAATTCCGCGCACTCGACGAAGATGAGGTTGATTTCCTAGACTCAATTATGGAGTCGACTCGTGCTCAGGAGGCTACTGTCAAGAAGGAAACTGCTGAGCAATTGGAGCTGTTCCGGCGACAACGCGAGAAGGCTGAGAAGGCTGCGCTTGAAGATAATGCTGCAGATGTGACGCCCGCGGCTGAAGGTGAAGACTGGAAGATCGCATCGCGCAAGCGTCGCCGTGAGAAGGGCAAGGATTTGCTTATTCCGGGGCGGAAGCGGAAATCCGTGGGTGAGGAGGTCGCTGATGATACTACGAGTGAGCAGAGAACAAGCAAAAAGGCAAAGGAGATTGTTGAGAGCAGGGGTGGCGAGAAGAGCAGCGCTTCAACGGCGCGGGAACAGCGAAGTCAGGCGACTGTGTACCAATCTGCGAAGGACGCGAAATCTGGAAGCCCTGCTGAACCACAATCAAAACCGGCTACTAGTCCACCTGCACCGTCTCTCGGACTGGCCGGCTACAGCTCAGACTCAGAATAATATCATAACATACCGCACTATGCGAGAACTCCGCCGGAACTCCACCCTCCGACTTTATACTAAGCACCAGTATGCAGGCCACTGCATTAACTACGGGCCGCAGAATGCAGGTCCGTATTGTCTCTACTCGAATGGTACTTTATCACGAATGGAATGAAGTCCGCCTACCGCACTAGTCGGCACATCGACATATATATATATATATATATATATGAAACTGGCTATATCACCGGGACAGCCCCTTCAACCCCCTTTCTGCCACAACAAGACATTATCTACTACACATGGCCCATCTCATCTGTGATATCTCGTTAAATTACACAGTATCATCAAGCATAGCCGCATATGCGGCTTTACGCCTGGCCTGGCTTACTTCGCCTCCGTCTCGTCATGCGTCGCATATGCGTGCTGCTTCTCCTCCTGCTCCACGACCCTGCGCTCCAGATCATGAACCATGTAGTCCTCCTTCTTTGTGCCGGGAACAATCCAGGGGGAATTGGAGAAGAGGTAGTTCATTTCCTCAAGGGGCAGCTTCTTCGTCTCGGGTAGAAGCAGCCAGAAGAACACGGCATTGGTGAAGTTGCAGATGATGAAGAGGAAGTAGTAGCGGTACCCGATATCGGTCATGGCAATTGGCGTCACCTGTCCGATCATGGTGTTGAAGGCATATGAGGTCATGGTCGCAAGCGAAACACCCTTTGCGCGAGTGCGAGTGTCGAAGACTTCGGCGGGAATAATCCAGGACAGTGGACCGCAGGTGCATGAGAACGAGAAGTTGTACAACCAGGTCATGATGATGAAACCCCAGTGGGCACCGGTGTTGTTGACCTCTGGAGGGAATTTTGCGAGCAGGATGCAAGCAATGATGAAGGTGAGACAGTTGCCCAGGTTGCCACCGATCAAACTCCAGCGACGACCGAAGCGATCGATGAGCATCATGCACAGGAACTGAGCGACCAAGGCGATGACGGAGTTGATTGCCTGATAGCGCAGGGTCTCGTCGTTCTCGATTCCGATCTGACCGTATATCTCAACGGAGTAGTACCTATGTTGGTCAATTCGTTGTTCTCTCTCGTTCACTCTTCCTGCGGTTCAACTTACTGGATCGCCGATACACCAGTCATCTGCACGGAAGCCTGGAGTGCGCAGCAAAGGAAGAGACGACGGAAGGACGACCGGTTCCTGAAAAGCTCCAGATAGGACTTGGCCTCTTCCTCATGCTCCCGAGTGATGGTTTCCTGAATCTGTGTGTACTCCGCACGAACCCAGGCATCGTTCTCGTCACCATAAGCGTGGAGCCGCGCCAGAGTCTTAAGCCCTTGCTCATGACGACCATGATCAATAAGCCAACGGGGTGACTAACCAGCGGCATGCATTAGCGACAACGAAAGCAAAGAATCGGGATACTATTTCTCACCTCGGGGAACAGCATGATTAGAAGGCCAAGAAAGACCGCCGGGACGATCTGCAGACCAAGAGGAACCTGCCACTGAGCATTGTTTGTCTCCTCGAACCCGATATAAGTGCCGTAAGAAATCCACGCAGCGCAAAGAGCTCCGACTCCAAGCATAAACTGCTGAAGGGAAGTGACACGGCCACGAATATCTGGGTGGCAGATTTCTGCTTGGTATAGAGGCACGATCATGGTGAGGAAACCGACCCTAGTATGGATTAGAGACTGCGCTGTGGTAACTTGGGCTCTGATTATCAACACTTACCCAACTCCAGCGAAGAATCTTCCACTGTACAGATAGTCGATAGTCTGAGCACCAGTTTGCAGACCTCCACCAAGACAAAAGACGATACAACCTATGATGATGGTCCATCGTCGTCCAAGGTAATCACCAGTAGGGCCAGCGAATGCAGAGCCGCAGAAAGCACCTGCTGTGAACATGGAGACTACCAAGCCACTATCAACAGTCAATCTGTATTCCCTTTCGCGGCTCTTCCGGTTGTGTCATGCAAAACCTACGTTTCGGTATCATCTGGGTTGTGGAAGGTCGTTTTGAACGACCCGCTGGCAATCACTTCTGCAATGACACCAAGATCATCTGCGCGTGAAACGATAATTAGTCGACTTCAATAGACCAGAGAGAGGCACACGCACATCCGTAAAGAAACGATCCCAGGGAGGCGAAGACGCCGACGAGGAACTGGCATGATGGTGAGTATGGCTCACACGAAGCTCAGCATCAGTGCATACCTGGTACCACGCAGGAGAGAGACGCATTTTTACTAAGGTTGCGCTCAATGGTCGAGAATCTGGAGAAGAAAAGTGCGGAGACAAAACGGCAGAAGAGGAGCAGGACCCGCCATTCTTAAAGAACCTGGGGATGAACTACACGACCGACATACGGAGCGAGCTAAGTCTTCCGAGGTCAAGACACCATGAGGATGGCATCGTCACTTGCTACTCAGTTGATGCCCGCCGGGTTAATCCCGTAAGGACGCAGGAGCACCTGGTACGATTGTCACGAAGCTCGCGAGAGCCGTCCCCCGTCGGCCTTGCTGCTTGACAAAGATCATGAGCACAAACCCGGATTGAAGACACTGGCGAATAAAATTGTCGCGTCCGATCCTGCAGAGCGAAACGAAGCGTCAGCCGATTTTGCGGAGAACCGAAGCCACAAACCAATGTGGGCTGGAACGGCCGAAGCTGATTGACGGAGAATCCCATGGCCAGACCGAGGCCTCACCACCAAATCAGGCGGCGCCATACAATCGCCAGTTCTCAACCCCCGCCGGACTTTGACAATCTATCTGCTGTTGCGCCTGCAACAGCCCCGCAGGGGATTTACCTATTCGGATCTGGCTGCCTTGACGAGCCCGCCTGGCATTAATATTAGCTGCCCAGTCGCCTCGCCTAGGTCTTTGAACATTCAGCAAGAGCACTTCTATTGTTGTGATTTATTTTCCCTGCCAATCACTATTCGATATCCGGGATTGTGTCGACCTCGCTCCCTGATTAGTTACCTGTCTTGACCGCTATGACGACCTTTACAAAGCTCAGCGAGCAGGACGCTCCGGCTATCTCGATACACCCGGACCGCCGCATCTCCAAGATCAACCCTAATATCTATGCCGGCTTTGCAGAGTAAGCCTGGCTTTGTGGCTGATTAACCTTTGTCCAAGGCCGCACTAGCTGACCCTTGTCTTTAGGCACATGGGCCGCTGCATCTATGGGGGCATCTATGATCCTGGTAACCCTCTGTCAGACGAAGACGGCTTTCGGAAAGACGTTATCGAAGCCTTGAAGGGGCTGAAGATCCCTGTGGTTCGCTACCCTGGTGGTAACTTTACCGCGACGTACCATTGGATCGATGGAGTTGGCCCAAAGGACCAACGGCCTGCTAGGTATGCTCCACTGTTCTTCCATAGGACCTATAGTACTTTGTACTAACTTAGGTCCAGGCCTGAGCTTGCCTGGTTGGGCACAGAGACTAACCAGTTCGGCACTGACGAGTTCTTGAAGTGGTGTGAAGTCCTTGGGACCGAGCCCTACCTTTGCCTGAACATGGGCACTGGTACTCTGGATGAAGGTAACGCTCAACTTTTAGCTCACATTGCACCTTGTCTAACTAGTCTTTCTAGCTCTGGCCTGGGTTGACTACTGCAACGGTACCCGTGACACCTACTATGCCAATCTTCGACGCAAGAATGGCCGACAAGAGCCGTACAATGTACGTATCACCACCACATCTTGCTGTACTATTGCGTACTAACATCATGCAGGTTAAGTACTGGGCACTTGGTAACGAAGTCTGGGGCCCGTGGCAGGTGGAGCAGACAACCAAGGAGGAATATGCTCACAAGGCATACCAGTGGGCCAAAGGTAACTCTCCGCAATCCACTTCTTCTACCCAGACTAACTGTATGCTAGCCCTCAAACTGCTCGACCCCTCTCTTGAGTTGATCCTCTGCGGACAAGATGGCACAGCATCCTGGGACTACTACACCCTCAAGCAGACCATGCTCCCAGTCCACTCGCCGCTCTCCACAAGCGCCGTCCCCCTCATCGACATGCACAGCATCCATCTCTACACTGCCTCGTCCTCTCATCTCCCCAACGTCACAGCCCCTCTCGCCGCCGAACGCGCCATTGAAATCACATCCTCACTCATCGATCTCGCCCGCATCGAAAACGGCGTTCCCCCAGACCAGCTCCGACCAACCATCTGCTTCGACGAATGGAACGTCTGGGACCCCATCCGCGCCGAAGGCAGCAAGGGCGCAGAAGAGTCTTACAACCTCTCAGACGCCCTTGCTGTCGGCGCCTGGCTCAACGTCTTTGTCCGAAAGAGCAAGGACGTCGGCATGGCCTGCATCGCGCAAAGCGTCAACGTCATCTCGCCATTAATGACAACAAAGGAGGGCATCGTCAAGCAAACGACCTGGTGGCCCCTGTGGCTGTTCTCGAACTTCATGCGTGGCTGGACTATCAGCGCACACGTATCCGTCTCCGCATACGAAGGCGAGACGCAACCGAAGTGGGTTCGCAGCGTCAAGGACACCCCTTGGCTGGATGTCAGCGCGACCCTCGGCGAAGACGGCTTCGTCAATGTCGTCGTGATCAACATCCACGAGGAGAAGGGCATCGAGGCGAAGCTTGACGGCCCCAAGGGTGAAGTCACCGTGTACACTGTTACAGGCGAGAACCCGCAGGTCACCAACATGAAGGGCAAGGAGGAGGTTGGTCTCGTGGAGAGCAAGTGGACTGCGCAGGGCGCATACGTCTTCCCTAAGCACTCCCTCACCCTCCTGAGATGGAAGCCTTGATTGAGCTCACAGACTTATCCCTGTATTACCCTATTTTGTGTACCCCACCTCACCTCGTCTCGTCTCTCCTCAACCTTCATCGACGTCTAACGCTACAATTTACGATAATAGAACGCAGTCTCTTTCAAAAAATCGATTCAGTTCAAATCCATTCCTATCGTATCAAATCACATCGTAGTAAAAATAACATCATGACGTATTAATTCCATGAGTATCGTAACCCTCTATATCTCTCTAGCCATAGTTGACATCCCGAACATTATCATTCTCATCAAGGTGAATATTCAACCTATCGGGCCGATGATCCATCGTCGTAAAATCGCCCGGTTTCACGATCCGGTGGGTTTCCGGGAGGTCTTTCTTTGCGAAGCACTGTATTCTGTCGTGTTAGCACCCACGGCCAAGCAATCTAAACGAGAGTTGAGGGGGGGAAGGGAGGGTAGGAAACTAAAGGGAAAAGAAGAAATAGAGAAGCAAACATACCGTCTCATTCGACGAAGACTCACTGATCTTCTTCCCGACGAGCTTGTTCAGCCATTCGTCCTTGTTGCCGCCGCCGCTGTTAGAGGTGATTCCGGGGACGACGAGGGGCATGGTGGCGTTCTGCTTATGTTTGAAGAGTTGATGTGTGGTATGCAGATATATTTTTGAATTTGGTCGTGGGAGAACCGAGGATGGGATTTGCTGGAGCTTAGTGGTAGATGATGGTAGTAGTTTCATAAAGTTATTTCTTGGGTTGGAGGGTGCCTGCAAGGTAACTATATATATGCCCCTGGAGGCTTGAGGGGTACGGGCTATGACGTACACGGATGATGGGATGATGGTCTGGGGTTACTGTGGTCTTTCCGGTTTGAGTTTAGTGGCGTTGTGTATAAGTAGATTCCGATCTGATTACGGAGTAAGGTGCTTGATGTCATTAGTAGGGAAGGTTTGGTTTGACTGGTTAACTTAGAGGAAGGCCTCTCTTGGGAAGTTCCCCCAGTATACCTAATACCTAGTAATGCATAGGCTGATTATCTTAGAACTTCCTAGTACTGGAAAAGTGAATGGAGGGTATGTTAGAGAGTATCGAGGCACAGAAAACCAATCAGTTATTGACATTTCTCTGCATTTTCGGGTTCAAATGGCCGAGAGATAATGATCTATCGATACTGATGTATTTCATGCAATTTTGGCCTAGATAATATGCCTACGGTAGATATATATTCGTCACTAGATCTAGGCAGGACTATATCTACCCTAAGACTCTAGTCGAAGAACCATCCAGTGTCAAGGCTCGGCAACCCAACGGTTGTATTGGAAGGATATTTGATTTTGAATTTGAGATGTTGGAGATGAATCCAAATCATTCGATAGCAGCAAACTGTTGTTGCATTGGTTATAAAACTAATAAGGTAGAAGTAACAACACGCTGGACCACAGGTCTTGATGCAAGAACGACGACCGAGAAGAGTGGAGGGTGATGATATGAAATGAACCTCAAACCGAAAAACACCATGCGCCATGAATAGCCAAAAGGAGATTTATGCAGATGACAAGACGATGGATAGATAGCAATGGGCAGCCGCGTCTGACACGCAGATCGTCATAAAAATGACCCTCATACCCTAGCCCACACAACAAGCAGAATCATCAGGTACAAATACACGGAAAAAGCAATCGAGGGGAATGCCCATGGGAATGGATGTTACTAAAATATCATAGCATGAAGTGCCAGCCCAACTGGCCTCTATTTAGAAGGGTTAATATTGTACAGTCGGATATATCAGACAGTCGAAAGGGGGGAACGGTTCGGTGTATAATGGTAGTGTCATCATAGATCGGAGTAGTGGTGTTATGGTAGAGAAGAAGGGTCGGAGGTGTTTAAATGTAATCACGAGCGGCCTTTTGCAGCTCGATCAACCGCCAGCCTCTCGTCTCGGGGTTGTTCACATCCTCGGGGATTCTTGTGAGGCCGATGGCGTATGTAACAAGTTGGACCTTGTCTTCCATTCCAGCGGCGAGCTCGCCGGTCTTTGTGTTTCGGTAGACGTGGACTTCTTGTGTGCGGCATGTAACCACGAACACGGGGATCTCACCAGGATCCAGCATACGAGCGTGTGAGACATCGACGCCACGGATATCGAGAATACGACCATCCGACTTCAGACCGGCTGTGGTGTATTGTTGAGCAAGGGCGGCATAGACATGGAACTGGGCATCCGAAAGCCAGAGCTTGAGGGTTTCAACATCTCCCTTGACGTAGGCATCTAGCACCTCAGGGAGGATGTATTCACGCATCTCCCGCAGGAATGCCTCCATCTGGAAGTTGGGGTCCATTTCCCGGAATTTCTTGACTACCATGGCTGTTTCATTCTCGGCGAAGAATCCTGCGACTCGGTCGGAGATGCTGCGCGCAGTGCTGATCAGAGGGTTTTCTGACTCATTATACGTCTCCTTGAAAGCGAAGAGTTTCTGCATCATGGGATTCGAGTCCTTGAAGTCGCGCCATGATTCCTTCCAGGCTGAATCCTTGTGTAGTGTTACGTTTGTTCCGGCACTGGGAAAAGACATGTTAGCACAAAAGAAGCGACGGACGTTCAAGGGCAAAAGCGTACTTTGGATCTTCAACCATCGGCTCGGTCTTGCGGCCAGACTTGGCCTCGGCCTCCTCACGTAATTGCCGCTGACGCCGACGCTCTTCCTTCTCAATCCAGCCTCCATAGCGAGAGCTGCTGCCGTCATCGATAGCTTGCTTTACGCCCCCAACGGCGGACTTGTATACCTCGGTTTCTCGCACAGGGCGTGTTGCCTTCTCGAGCCCAGAGGCAGTCACGTTGGCACCCTTTCTGATACCCTTGACAACTGGTGTATTCCATGTCCACACGGCGCTCTTTCCAAGGGCTCGGCCGGTCGTCTTGATGGCGGACGAGGTTCGCGTTGTGGCGGCTCCGGAAGCAGCTTCATAGGCCGCACGTGCACGCTTAATGTTCTCGTTCTCGCTGAACTGATGGGCCGAAGAGGCAAGAGCCTTTGTAGACTCGTTCCACTCTTTCGACGCCTTGAACTCTTGTTGAAGAGTATCCCGGAAAACTTGCCACGGAGACTTGTCTCCATGAGGAGGAGGGGGAGGCGCGTCCTCCTTCTCCTCTGACTTGCCCTCCTCTTTGGATTCCTTGGAATCATCCTTCTTTTCTTCGTTTGATTCATCGGACTTCTTCTCATTCTGCTGCTCCTGTTTCTGTTCTTGCTTTTGCTGTAACCGAGGTGTACCGGCATGGAAGGATCTGGTGAGATTGAGAGTGGCGTATGGTGAAAGAAGGCGGGAAACGGGAGCGCTGGCAAGCTCGCTCGCGAGAGAAGTTTTGAAAGAGGGAGACTGAAGCGATGATCGTTGTAATGCAACTATGCTTCCGCTTGTTGTCCTTAAAGCCGACGCTTGAGATCGCAAAGCGGCCACCCGCACGGTGGCCGACATCCTAGAAGCGGCAATCATGCTCTGCGATAACTATTAATCCAAATCAAGATATGATAAAACGTAAGACTAGCCCCAAAGGCACAGGGGAGCGCAGGAGATGACGGTTGAAGGGAGGCAAGAGGAGAGGGCGATGTCGGCAACGGCTGCGACGAAGGGAAAAAAAAGTCAAGCTGCAAATGCCAAGACTCGAAAATTCGGCCTCTTTCCGCCGCCTTCATGTTTCCCGGCCCATTGCCGCGACTTTTACTCTAGGTCTATCTGGATACGGAGTATTGCTTCAGCTTACATCCGGGAACTGTCTGGGTCACTTCTCGACGGTTTTAAGTGTTTCCAGCGCTTCGAAGCCACAGATCGCTCACCCCGTCACCTCATTTGAGGTCCCTTCTCCGACACCTCTCCCTTCTCGGCCTCCATCACTTCTCGTCCACCTCAAATCAGAATGAACAACACGTTTGCTTCCGCATTGGCAAGAGCCCTGCCGTCCATTGGCCGCCAATGTCAGTCTAGAGCCTCAATTCTCCGCCAGTCAAGGGCTTTCTCTTCGACACCACTTACTCGCGCTGGGAAAAACGATCGGCTGGAACTCGAAAAAGAACTTCTGGGAGGAAATGCGCCTAGAGGGCAAAAAACAGCGGATCCCACTCTTCAAGGACTCTTGGGCGTAGCTACTCAGCCTGTGAGCCGTGACTATACGCTCATGGTCAATGATATAGCATCCAGGATTCAACCCTACGCCGATCAGGTTCCTGCACACCACCTCCACGTTTACGCCCACAAACACAATACCATCCTGACTCTCACACGGCCGGACGGTAGTCCATTGTTATCGATGAGCTGTGGACATCTGGGTTTCCGCAAGGGCAAGCGCGCTGGATATGACCCTGCCTTCCAACTGTGCTCGCACGTGTTCGCCCAGATCCAGGAACGGGGGCTTTTAATGAACATCCAAAATCTCGAAATCATTTACCGTGGATTCCACCAAGGCCGCGAGGCATTCAACAAAATTCTACTGGGTAATGAGGGGAGGAATATCCGAGGAAAGGTGTCGAAGGTATCTGACTCAACCAGGTTAAAGTTTGGTGGAACAAGGAGCCCGAGACAGCGCAGGCTGGGTTAGGTTGTTACTCTGTAACGAGTACGCTCGGCTCATTCGCTGGGAGATGGGATTGTTGTTTTGTAGTCATCGTTGGGCCATGTATATTATATCTTTCTATTTTCTCGCATATGCCACAGGAATGCCACACATATCAATACTAGTCGTATACACTGAAACTTTCATGCTAGTATACTCTAGATTATTTGGGATCAGGTCACTAGCGGTGCTGAAAGATCGACTGTATATGTATCGAGTCTAGGCTTTTTGCCCGATGCGGTATAGTGCAGAGAGCTTCCAGGTCTTTGGCCGCAAGAAAGCTGTTGACTGAAACCTATCTTGTTCCTCATCTCCAGCAATTTGCGCAGGTTATCTATCACTCATTTCCGGACCAGCTTCCGCCGAGCTGAGATTCTTTCTTTTCAAATCTTGATCGCCCGTCGCGTTCGCTAGTTGTCGGCGCTGCTTGCGGGCGGGTGCGCCTGAGCTGCCTCCCTACGTCGATCAAGCGGCGAACCTCTCCCTCTGCGAGTCGGACTGTAGCGGCTTGATGAGCGCTAGACATCTTCTACCGGGCCGCCGTCCAGGACCGCTTGGATGCACCCTCTAAATCCCTTTCTCCGCGCCTTTTTTCGGAGCACTGTGCCGGGGCAGTGCGTCCCAATTGAGAATCATGTGCGAGCTACCCCCTCCGATGCCGACGGGGGGCCCAATTACTGAACAACGTCATTAGGTGCTGCTCGTACCCGTGAGCGAATCCCTAATAGGGTCGCGCGATCGCGAATCATCCTTATTCTACTCCGACCTCGTCGTATCCGAAGAATTCCTAGGCAGTCATACTTTACGGACCACGGTGTCGAACGGGGTAGGAGGGCGCGATGACCCGGGCGTTCGGGATGGTAGGAACAAGGCCAAACAAGTAACTACAGTCAATGGGAGGACCGTGATTATCAGGGACAACTCGGTATACAGCAATAAGGGTGAGGGTGTCTGTGGTCAGATGTTTGAAGTGCGATGCGCTGAACGAGTGTTGCAGGTTTCAAGTCGCTGAGCCAGGCGCAATTGCTGTCCGACGCCTTGTACTATGCTCCGAACAGCGACTCACAGCCATGGCTCGTGTATTTCATCTCCAGGCCCTTGGTTGGCTCGTTCGAGCCCGCGAAAATTACACCCGCCGTGGTTCCTGGCATCGTCCCCAAGCTTGATGCGCCGCCGTCCAGTGGCAAGTCCGAGACATCAGGCAACTCTGTCTCGTCGCTTCCGAAGAAGGAGATTCGCACGTTTGGTGAGCTGCTGGCTCACTTCCCGATGATCGCAAGGCAGATGCAGCCGGGATTAGAAAGGCTATTCAGGGAATTTGGAAAGGAGCTTGGGAAACCGTTACCACCGCCGCCCTCGCGGTCACCGATGTTGGATGACGGCGAACACATCCGAGCCCGTGAAGAATCGCTTGCAGACGAGGTCGCTTCAATACGCAGTTCATCGTCACGCCGCAGCAGAGGCCTGCCCTTCAATTCCGAAGAATACTTTGAGGATGATGAAGATCTGATGAGACGCAGCTTGGAGACAGCTGTCACCGCCGCGATTGACCTATTTCGGCTTGTCGACCAACAACAATTGTCTCTCCTTGGAGCGACGACTGATTTGACGGGCCCCGTAGTTGAGCGGTTTATCGAGCGATACGTTGCCGAGCAGGTCCATGAGTCCTTACTCTTCCCTCGACTACGCAGTTTCCGCCAACCAGAAGATGCCGAGCTGGACTCCAGGATTCGCCAGATGGAATATATCGACGTGTCCCAGGTTGGGCTTAGCGTGGAGGGAGGTCGAGAAGGAAAACGTGAGCTCTTACTGCGACTTGGTAAAGCCGTGAATGAGTTTCGAAAAATCCTGGACGCCAAGTGTCCCCACGATATGCTCAATACCCTTTTGGAGACAGTCAAGGTCCTGTCCTACTCGGGCGAATACGACAAAAGTGATGAGAAGCAATCGGCTTCAGTGACGGTGAACGCCGACATCCTCGTATCATTGCTACTCATTGTGGTGATCCGGTCTCAAGTAAAACATCTACAAGCACGGCTGCTGTATATGCAACATTTTATCTACATCGATGACGTTGACAGCGGAGAAATGGGATACGCATTGAGCACCTTTGAGGCCGTCCTTACTTATCTGATGGCCGACCCTGCCGGGCTTCGAAGAGCTAGTATCCGAAATAAGCGCCTGTGGAATGCTACAAAAGCCGGCCGCGTGTCCGACATGAAAGCCATTCTAGAACCAGACGGCGATCATGAATCACTCTACGACGCTCAATCTGATACAGACCCTCAAGGCCTTGCATTAGACGGGGAGCAACTCGACCTCCAGTCCTTGAGGATTACTCCACTATTCGGAGACCAAGAATACATGGGCGAAGAGCAAAGTAATGGGGCTCCATCAGGAGCACCACCGCTTGCTCATGTATTCCCATTCCAGACATGGGGAGCCCCATCTCCACCTCCCGAGACGAAGCGTCCCATCAAGCGGGTGTCAATGGACGTTCGCAGTCTCTCAGAGTCGTCTGGGATCTCGTTTCTCTCCCGGACTACCACCATAAACTCGGTAAACACAGCCATTGAAGGAGATAGCTCAATTGAGACACTGGCCAAGACACAGGATCCACGGGGTGACTCGATATTAATGATGGCGGTTGAGAGCCGACATCCCGAGGCCTTGAAATATCTTCTCAGCCTAAACGAGTACTACTCAGTCACAGATGTCCTAAGTGATACGAACACTGATGGGACTACTCTGCTGAGTGCTGCCGTTCAGCTTGCGCAGACTGACATCGTTGACATTCTGATCAATTACCTCATGGATTCGACCAACGAAGCTGCTCTTGCGGCTTACCTGCGAAAGTCTGACGAGCGAGGGCGTACAGTTGCGCACTACTTATTCAGCACTCCATCATTGATGAGAAGGCTCAGGGGACTACTTCCGTGGCGTCAACGCGATAAGAATGGACAGACCCCCCTATTTGCTTTGTGCAGGTCGTACGACCATCAAGATTACAAGGCAATGGTTCATGAGGCTCTCACAGCTGCTCAAGAGTCTCAGGGAGACGGTAAACCTCTGCGCCTCGATGACCACGTGGACTCTAAAGGCAACACACTGCTGCATATTGTCAGTGATCCCGAGATTACCATTCGGATACTCAGGGAAAGCGACTGTGATCCGAACGCGACAAACGACAAGAGATTCACACCTTTGATGATGGCTAGCAAATACGGCCGGGTTGACCAAGTGCGGATTCTCTTCTCAGACTCGAGAGTAGATCTTCACGTCAAGGAAGCTCGAGGCTTGACGGCTGTTGAACTAGCAAAGGATGACGAAGTCCGCAACCGCATCGACGACTTGATCCTCCTTTCCAACTCTCAATCAACCCACGATGAGACTTCCGGCCGCGTCACAACAGTGGTACGCTCCTTTTTTGTCGAAGACGCAACCGTCCGCTTCGTCCTCAAATCAGGCGCCCCAAGCCCTCCAGTGAACGGTCAGGAAATACCCGCAAACACTAAGATGTACACGGTAACCACATGTCGCCGAACATTCTCCGACTTTGAAACTCTCGCCGAATGCCTCTCCCTCGAACACCCTGCCTCCTACATGCCCTCCCTCTCCGACTTCCGCAGCCCGTTCCAGATCCACTCGAAACCCTCGCGCGCCGTTCTCCACAATATGCAAGAACGCCTGGATCGCTTCCTCAAAATCCTGCTATCGCACCCGACCTTCGCAACCCACGAGCTCCTTTGGGAATTCATCCTCGTCCCAGAACTCCAACCACAAATGATGGCTGAGCGCTCCCACCGCAAAGCCCAAGTCCGAACCGAATCCATCCTCGAAGAACACGAACCCATCACCCAGGACGGCATCCGCGAAGCCGAACAATTCATCTCCCACGCCCAGGACATGGTCCGCGCCACACACAACCACACCCGCACCCTCCTCCGCCGAGGACACGCATTACAAAACGCAGCGTCCGACCTCGCCGACGCCCTCGCCCTCGCCTCAACATCCCTATCATCCCTTGCACACCCCACAAACGCCCTCCCCAACGCCCACATCGAAGCCTTCACCCGCTATGCCGCCGCCCTCTCAACTTCCTCCTCAGACTCCTCCCCTCTCCTCCTCTTCCTCTCAACCCTCTCTTCAACCGACGCAACCACAACCGCAATCCTATCCTCTCTCTCACGCCCACTCTCCCTAATCTCAACCCTAACCTCTGCAACCCGCAACCTCGCCCGCTCCCGCAACCAGCTCTCCTCCTCTTCGCTCCCCCGGAAATTCAACCTGAACTTCCCGGGCCTCGAGGAATCCCGCGCTCGCTCAATCCGCGACCTCACTCAGAAGATCACGGACTCGGAATCGCAAATTGGTCGACTTTCAAGGGAGCTCAGCTGGAACAAGGACGTCGTTGTGGGCGAGTTGGCTGGGTGGACTTCGTGGAGGGAGAATGTGGGCCGCGAGGCGATTAGGGCTTTTGTTCGGGGAACGCTTGTACGTGAGAGGGAGCGGAGGAAGAGGCTTGAGAGGTGTTTGAGGGGTGTAAGGGAGATGAAAGAGCTGTAATATGTTAGGTCTTGATGGTTTGGTGTTGTGGTTGCTGCATTGATCGCTAGATAGATCCGATTAGCCTTGTATTTTATGGGAGTTTTACTCTTTATGTATTCTTTTTCACCCCCGGCGTTTGTGCTTCTTATATGGTGGTTACGTAGTGGGAATACATATGTACCGACAATTGACCTCAGATTCGGAAAGCCGGCTTACCTTGTCGATCTTAGGGCTTTCGTTGCGAAGACCCAACCACTCTGCAACTGAAGTGGATCTAGTCTCCGGAAGGTTCTCCAAGGTGTATACTTGTCTGTTTTCATCAAAAGATGTTTATTATAATTCATGTCTAGTCCTATCAGAGACTGTCTAAGTAAGTATACAAAACCGAATTCGGCCTAGTAGCGAATTGTTAGGGAAAGGATGAGAGGTGGTAAAGACAACAAGAGGGCCAGCGTGTAGATTATGATAACCAACAGTGACGTACAGGCGGATGTGGGAGTACCGGATGGGGACATTTTGTTGGCCTTCATCGGACGCATAGATGGAGAAGTCAAGTGTAAAGGTGCTGTTCGGTCAAAATCGGAAGAGAGGAGACATGCTTTGCCTGATCGGTGGTAGACGAAGCAATGACATCCTGCGAGTGCCATTGGAAGTACTTGAGCCTGTAGTGCTCTGTTTTGACTCGGTGGGCTCGAGTTTAGGTGATACTGTAGTTTCAGAGAATTTTGATGATCCAGTCTGTCGATCCTGGTCAATCGACTCGATTGATTCAGTGGTTTGTGTACTGGGAACGGCCGCTCGTGAGACGACAGGCTCAAGTGGAGGGGATATGATCACAACCGGCTGTGGGATAGAGCCAGAACGTCCACTGTTGGTGTTGTATAGTTCTGCCAAGTGGCGTGTTGCTTCGATTCTCATGTCCGGTTGAATAGAGCTCACACTCTCCAGGGGACTGCCTGCGCCAGGAGAGGTGTTTCCTGTGCATCGCACGCGAGTAACCTCCCCGTTCCTGTTCTGCTCAATCACATATGTACGAGGCTGGTCTCTGCAGAACATCAAGCTCTCTCTTTTCCTTTTCTTCTCCTCAGCCGCTATCAAGTCTGCATTACCCAACTTCTTCCTCCTCCGCCGCTTGCGGTACCTCTTAATACATAGCACGGTCATGAAAATGACCGCAGTGGTTGCGAAGGCAGCGAAGAGGGTAGAAGCAGCAATGGATGCTTTATCGGTACTCCATTGAGTAGCTGGGCTTTTGGGAGGTTTGGCCAACGTCGCGTTCCCGGCATTGGTGTCATTGACTGATCCCACAGCGACAGCGGTCTTGTTCTCGGGCTTGACATCGCGTTTTGCAAACTCGTGTACGCAGTGGGGGAAGCGAGAACAGTCTTGGCTGTTCGAGTGGCAAGCTATGTCCGAATAGTTTCCTCGATCAGCGTCTGCCGTTTGGGCCGCCTGTTGCACCGACGACACCCCGTCCCCACCGTAAAGAATAGAAGTGCTAAATGAAGAACTACCATGGTCAGCAGCTGGCGGCTTGAGAGTTGAACACACTTACAATGGCATCGGATAAGAGAAATATTGATCTAAGTAAAGCACCAAAGGAACGCAAGCGTGGTATGGTCTAGAATATTGTGAGTGATCTCCAATGCCATCATAATGCGAAGAAGCCTAGAGCCCTAGGACAGTCCTTGCTGCTAAAGCAAGTGCGGCCGAAATGCCTGCCTGGTCGCGGCCACGCAGTTTCCTTGGATGGGCTGTCTAGCAGCCATGTCCACCCCATTATTACTACCAGTATTACTAGAAGTGTGTTCACCTATCGTTCTCTACAAGCCGCGTTAGAGCTCATATTATTTCACATTTTTCCTGCTATGAAGGCCCTTTTCCCTCACTCTCATCTCATATTACTCGCATCTCATGTTACGAAGAATCAAGAATTAAGTCACCTCTGCCAGACGGGGAGCTTCCGTTTGAGCAGATTATCTATTGCGCTCTTAGCTGCGCGCAGGCATAAATCTCAAGGGCAAGAATTAAAGTCAACCTGGAAGTTCTGTCAACCGCAACACTTTCCTCCACAACCCCTTCAAGGCTCACCCTTGGTCTCTCTTTCAATCCATTCTATACCTTCATTCTCTCCCAACATGCCAAATCCATCGGATCTTCCACTCGAGCTATTTAGCCATGTGCTTTACCTAGTACATGTCCCGGCTGATCCACAACCACTATGTCGCCTTGCTCTTGTGAGTCGCGCATGGGCCTTTGCAGTAACACCACAGGTATACAGCTCCTGGGTATACAACGGTGCCCGTCATTCATTCAAGCGCCTATGGCTCTTTCTTCGAACAGTTCTGACGGACTCCTATATTGCCTGTCTGGTAAGAACAGTGCACATAGGGAACTGGGGGTTGAATCCGTATACCCTTCTCGATCGAGAGTCACGTCCGTATGCTCGTCTTGAAGGAGAGTTTGACTGCCCCCTTGATCATACTGACATGGAGCTTGTGCACCGCGCGATCACTCAAGCTGGCCTGACTCATATTGAGTCAGATATGATAGGTGCCATCCACCAGGCTGACCGCCGAGCACTCATGGCGCTTCTTCTCGCATCTCTACCGAGGCTCGCTGTTATTCGTGCACATATTCCAGTCTCCGATAAATATCTAGCATCACTTCTTCGACAGTCTCTTGGGAACCAGGACTGCGAGAATTCAGGATATCTGACTCAGCTGCGCGAACTCTATGTCTTCGCCGAGGTCCCAGTTCCTGACACACATTTTGAGATGGATGACATGGGAAATCCCAGTGCTCCTCTACGGCTAGAGGACTTGTGGCCGGTGCTTTTTCTAAAGTCCCTAAGGAAGCTCTCTTTGTACGAACTTGACACGGAGGGGCTAGCCGCGTTGATCAAGAGGAACAGGCGGCACCGAACCTGCTACGTTAACAGCCTGACTCTCACGACCCATGTCGATTCGCGCTGCGAATCCGGCGATATCCAAGCCATGTTAACTCTGCCAGATGCGCTCTCAAGTCTCTCATTATCTATGTATGAACCAGACGGATGGGAGCGAGAATCTATATCATTGTTCAAGGTATCGAATACGGACATTTGGAACGCACTACGAAAGCATCAAACATGTATCCAATATTTGGATATCTTCCGTTCAGGACAACGCCAGAACTGTGATGTTGACCCATCCTTGAGCTATTTTGGGTCCTTGAATACGTATATACAGTTGAAGCATTTATGTATCCAGCTTCCCGTGCTCACAGACGTAGGTGCCCTGGGCAAAACCGAGCATACCCCACTCACTATTACATTACCGGCTTCACTCAAGACCTTTACACTCTACGGGAAATGTTGCTACTCTTTTCCTCTCGATATCGCGATGTTGATACAAGAGATGATGACGGGGAAGATGAACTCTTACCCAGTCCTCGAATCGATCACCTTAGAGGACAAATACTTGACACAGGCCGTTCTTGGAAACCCAACTTTACACACTAAGGTGAAGCTTCGATTCCAGCGCTTGTGTGGTGCATACTTCATTGAACCTGACTGTGCAACCCCTCGAGCCGGCCACTGTCTCGCCTCGTGGGGAGATATGCCAGAGATGCGGATTGACGGAAACCGCCTGTTTTTCGAAGTCATGAACAGAATGTTCTACATACACTGGAGCAGAGAAAAAAGTACTGGCTTTTCCCTTCCATACTATGATGCTGCCGTTCACATTCTCCCTTTCACAGACCACACAGGGGACGTTACGCGGCTGGGGTATATGGTGTTCAGAAACTATTCTGCTGTCCCACTTCCTCCACTCTTTCCATTCATCATATACTTTACAAATAGTCACACACTCCCAGGTTCAATAGACTTGCGGGGTCTGTACATCGCGCTCAAGATGAAAGCAGATGAAGTCCATCCTCGATTAGACATATACTTTCTCCCAGGTGCTACGGAAATGGACTGCCTTGTTCACTACCAGCGCGAGCAGATTGCGCGAGGGAGCTATCGTGATCAGATTGACGCATTCGAAGATTATACCAGTCGTCATTCTTCAAAGTTCCATCTCGCCCCGCAGCCACCGCCACCAGGTCGCTTACCGGGTATGTCGACAAGCTATTGTCTCGAATACGAACATTATCAGGGTGCTCTGTTTATTTGTACCGGGCGGGATTGGCGAGATGGGGAGCAAAGCTTGCAGTGCGTGCAGTTTAATTCGCCGGATCTGCCGAAGGGATATCTCTGGCATGAAATCAATATAAGTGATATGGAAGATCAAGATACAGAGCTACCGACCACACAGAACGTCAAGCGCACTCAAGAAGCTTCAATGACGCAAGAAAATGTATCCAACACGAATGGACTCAACATATCATCCTTCACTCGCAACTCCTGGCCTATAAATGAGCAAAGCCCGGCATTTGATGCGGAGAGGATGTCGTACACAGTGGGCGGTCGAATGGAGGAAGCGTACCGTTGGACCGGACTTGGGGAAGCCCAGGATGTTTGGAAGAAGGTATCGAAGCTAGGCTGGTTGAATTGGTGCTGATTCTGGACAATCACAATTTATCATTGGAGTGGGAGCGCTAGGGACTAAGCTCAGAATTTGTACTGTGTGTTGAAAGCTAGGCTATTGGTGAACCTTTAAGAGGTTGGGTGATCTGGATTTCGGAGTTTGGGCAAGAAGAAGTCGCAGAAGAATTTGAGAGGGGCAAGATATGTTTCATTAGGACACGAGTAAAGATATCAGAAATCAACTAAATTATGCCCTTAGCAAACATGCGCTGCATAGTACAACCAAGTGACTCGATGCTCGGTTCATCATCCAACCAGTTATCTTGACACCTACAACAGGCTGATAGAGCAGAGATCCCAGGGTCTCAATCCGGTTTGTACTTTGAATTGGGACCCAGGGCCATGGCCGAGGGTGGAGAATCCTACAGGTGTCTCGAGTACAGCCTCCCATATAAGCAATTTTGACGTCATCTCACAAGATGGCAGTGTCATCTTCGTAGACAGTGAAAGAAGTGACGCATCCTACTCTTCATACCCCACAAACTCCAGCTGGCCCTTCTTTGCCTTACTAGCACTTCCATACTCAAATGTGCCAACGGTTTCCGCTACCCTGTCCATGCTTATGTCAATAGTGCAACATTCCGGGGTGTTGGTCCAGATAAGGGACACCGATGGCGTTCGTCCAATTTTCTGGAGCACGCCGATGGACGAGATTGCGCCGGCATATAGTTAATTCTGGATCCTACGAACTTTCTGGCCTCGCAGAGGACATGGACGCCTGGGGAATCGAAAGGGCATGTTTCTCCTTCTTTTCTCTCTTTTCTCTCTTCTTTTCTTCTCCGCTTGTTCATATATGTCCATAAATTGTAGCAGTTGTGGTAGTTGCACCGGGAACCTTGGGTCCACTTGTTGCGGTTGTGCCGTCTTCGTGTATAAACTCCATAGCCACGATTTCCGTTCTACCGGCCCCATTCTCAGTCCCCTGCCTGGCTCCGCGTGGGCTCTTCACAATGAAAATTCCAATTTTGACCAGGGACGACATGATCTGAGCACGCTCGATGGCCCTCCCTAGTCCGCTGCTGTCATTACGGTAGTACCGTAACGCTCTGCCGTAAAATTCCATCGGCCATTCGTGATCGGGGTCCTGTTCCGCGCGAAGAGAATCTTGCATCCACTGCATTAATCCCCATACTTTGACTGTGATTTCAGATTTGTTCTCAACCTTGCTCGGCGTAGTACAAGCTGCGCCAGTCAACGTGGCTCGGGGCAGCAGTACATCCCCAGAGAATATACTCGAGGAAATTTGATCTCCACCTTTCTCATTGCCATCGAGGGCCCAGCACTTCCTTGCATACTGCCAACAGCACTCCTGGACGATAAAGAAAGAATCAACAAGATAACAGGCGCTTTGCCTAGTTGCCCGCGGTCCGCGATCAGCATCCAATAGAGCCTTTTCGTCCGACTCTATGCCCAATGTAAACATGTGAAACCTGCTACATACTCCAGTTAGGATCACTGCTCCTATCCCAGGATACACTATGTTTGATCAGTTTGAAGTTCTGCGAAAGTGCAGCGACGGACCATGGACTTACGGGCTCAGACAGTGTCCAACCAGAGCGGGTACGGAGCACACGTTGCATAGCCGCATAGCGTGCATCTAGAGAAATCTCCTTCATAAGGGATTATTTCCTCTATCTGGGATGCTGACACGGTGAGCTGCGATTGTTGACGGTGAGGTGTTAAGGGAGAAAAGGTGGAGAGACATCTTGAAGCTTGGAATCTCATGACGAACCTTAAATACATGGTTGAGTACCTAATAGATTCGCATCTTCTGCTGTGTAGCAATTGCAGTACGTTATAGTAGGATCGCTGCGCAATCGGATGGAAAATGAGCGTCAAGGCAGATCTAGCTATCATATCCAGCCGGTGTGAAACAAGGCGCGGAAGGAGCCATCACCAGCTTAAGTAAAGAGGGAAAAGGCGAGAATACCGGTCCTACAAACAGCGGAGTTGAGCATGCGACCGAGTTGATACATGGCGGCCCAGTATCACATAGTTGGCACTGGCCTTTTTTACATAGTACCCATACGTTCAAAATACCCGTTTGCAACACAGTGCAGTGATAGATCATCATTCAATCCGTTACTTGGTGAGAGCTGAGGAATATCTATATACCTCTCAACATTTAGGTCATAAATATGTATCAAGACAAGTTCCAAATGAGAGTAATATGAAGGCTTGGTAAGAATAGTTCACTAACAAGCCAAACTATTGCTGCCCGCCGCGTCCTGCACCACCGCCCATGAAATTCCGGGCCCTAAGAACAGAGGTCAGTACACTATCCTACGAGATATGGAGCTCGAGACTTACATATCTGCGATGTTTGGGTCGCTCATCAAGCTTGACATGTCGGGCATACCACCGCCACGGCCAAAGTTCTCAGCCATCTGTCGCAGCTGGGGATTGCTCATCAGATTGTTGATCATGTCGGGGTTGCTCATGAGGTTTTGCGCCATGCTGGCGAACATAGGGTTGTTCATCATGGAACCGAGATCGGGCATACCGCCACCACCGCCACCTCCGCCACCAAGCATGCTAGCGAGAGATGAAAGGTCGGGCATGCCACCGGCACCACCACGAGACGCACCAGGAGCATCGTCAACAGTGTCTGCAGCGGGCTGAGGGCCCCGGCTAGCCTCCTCGATCTTCTTCTTGCAAGTCTCCAGACCCCTCTTCATCGCCTCACTTCCACCGTTACCTTCAGCCTCAATACCTTTCTCATAAGCTTCCTTCGCTCCGTGGTAGTCGGCCATGTCGAAACGAGCAAGGCCCAGTCGGCTCCAGGCCTTCGAGTACTTGGGGTCAACGCTCGTGGCAAGCTCGGCATCTTCCGCTGCCTTCTCAGGCTGTCCAGAGGCAGAGTACGCAGCAGCACGGTTGGAGAGATAGATGGGGTTGGCAGGGGCGATGGCCAAAGCCTGAGTGTACAGATCGATGGCAATGCTGTGCTCCTTGCGAGCCATGGCAGCGTTACCCTCTGACTTCAACTTGTCGGACTCGGGAGTGGGGGTGCCAGCTTGAGGCTTCTTCTCTTCGGTCGCGGGAGCGGCGCTGGAGGAACCGGCAGAGGGCTTGTTTCGGAGCTTCTCGTAGACGCTGTAGATGCTGGCGAGCGACTGTCCGCCTAGGGCTTCCTTCATCGCGGCCTCGTCGGAGGGGTCGACTTTGAATGTGTCTGCGATACACGACTGAGCGATCTCAATGGACTCGGCGTCGTCTGCAGTGAGCGTGCCATCTTTCACGCTGGTGTTGAGGAAATCGATGATTGCGAGCGCCAAGCGCTTCTTCGACTCTGTGGGAGCCTAAAGATTTGAGAATAACTGGTTAGCTTTCTTGATGTCCTGGAGCGCAGCAGTGATGGACCCAAGAGTGTATACCATAGCGGACGACAGAAAATGCGAACTGTCAGGGCTGGGACTTTTTCTGGATAGCTGGCAAGAAGCAGTGGGGGGCGGACTCTGGATGCGGGGGCATTTTCGACGGCTGGACTCTCCAGCCTTGAGCCTGCGCTTTTGCACTGTTTGCACCATTTCTTTCACGTGACTGCTCGGCCCGCTCCCCCAAATCGGGCGGTTGAGCGCGGAGAGAGCTTAGCTACTACTTACTGACGCAGCTTTATTTCACTCGAGGGAGCTCTGGGTTAAATATGATCGGCCGCTCTGGGATCCCAACTGTCCCACTCCCGGCCGTGTAACGTGTCTGGCTTGACGACGATGACCAGATGTAACCTCGCTCTTCTCCGCAACTGTCCCGCTTCTCGAGAGCCATGTACTGGCCAAACGGAGTCCCTAGGGTCTATGCGATCAACGGTCCCAGAATCCCTGTTTCGCGATCGGATGATGAAGGTGATATAGATCGTGAAGAGGAGCTGGCAGAGCAAAGCCGATCCCTGAATCAGCACAATGAGCCTGCACAGTCGTCAGCGGAATCGTCGCAATGGGCGGACGAGGCCATTAGGGGGCTCTGCGTCTCTCGAAATGGCCATATGTTTGCAACAATGACCGACTCCTCGATATCCGTCTGGCAAACTCGGGTACGTGAAGATCAAAATATTGCTCCAAGGCGCAAGAACTGACCGGCTCAGCCCACTGCAGTTGTTGCCGCAGTCGCTCGGTCGTCGACATCACTCGAAACATATGGACCCAACATTGCTCTGCTGATGCGACCTGATGCCACAATCCTCGTTGTTCAGACCCTTAATGGCTACCTTCTCACGTACACCATTGCCACGGATCCCAGCTCGCTTGTTTACCAGCAGCAGTATGATCAGACCAATTCCTCGCGGCGACAGCAACTCGCTCGTCTCTCTGCCGAAGATGATTCCAGCAGCATTCGAGATATAAGCATACGTTTTCGAATGGCGATCAAGATCGAGTCAGGGATCGTGAAAGCACTCGCCTTGGATAATGAGCTTGTGGTAGCGACGGTGAAGCCGGCTGCCATTCAGTGTATCAGATGGACACCCGATGAGCGGGGCACCCAGACCACCTCAGAGCTTCTCAGTCGTATTTTAGGGGTGTCGAAACGAGTATCTATTACCGATATGGTGTACGACCGCGCAATCAACCTATTGGTTTGGGTGACCAATGAGGGCCACGCGTACGCTGTTCAACGTGTCTCCGAAAGACCAGAAGACTCCGAAACCCACAAAAAGCTTTTCAATGGCCATTGCTTCCATACTCCTACCAGTGACGACGAGAAGGCCGTCAAGGTCACCGTGAATGCCCGATTTTCGTTGCTTACCGTGAGCTGTGCAAACGGCGATGTCCTTGTCTACACAGCTAAAGACTACCTGGGAAATGTTCCTTTGTCACATAAGCTGCAGCCTCCCGCCTCGCCAAATACTACAGGTGACCTGACTTTCATGTGCTACTCGCCGGACGGGTACTGCCTTTTCGCGGGTTACGAACATGGATGGACAACGTGGAGCGTATTTGGCAAACCAGGCGGCAACAGTTTCTCCATCGATCGCTCTCTTGCTGAAACCAATGGTGAGGACTGGCTGACTGGAGTTTCACATGGTTGCTGGATTGGCGGAGGTTCGGACATTATTCTGACTGCGCAGGATGACCGGCGACTATGGATCCTCGAAACGGCCCGAAGCGCGCTGACTGGTTGCTTTTCATCTGCAAATCTCGCTCGAGGTTTGCTGCAGACGGGGACTGAAGTTATCATATATCGCGGCCATGACTTGCCCGATCTCATCACAATATCCGGCAAAGACTCGTTGTGGCATCACGCGCAATACCCCCCCGCCTATCTCCATTCTCAGTGGCCGATTCGCTCCAGCTCCGTGTCTCAAGATGGAAGATACGTTGCCATTGCGGGTAAACGGGGTCTTGCGCACTACAGCGTAAACAGCGGTCGCTGGAAGGTATTTGAGGATTCTAAGGTTGAAAATTCCTTTACCGTTCGAGGCGGCATGTGCTGGTACGGTCATCTACTGATCGCAGCCATTGATCGGGATGGATCGTACGAGGTGAGTCTGAGAGAAATGATATGAAATGCAGAACTAACTCAACGTAGCTATGCATCTTCTCGCGCGAACTCCCGTTGAATAACCATTCCATTCTCCACATTGAATATCTTCCCTCGCCAGTTGTCTTTATCGGGCCTTCGGGCGAGGACTCTCTCCTTGTCTACACCTACGATAATATCCTTTACCACTATATAATAAACTCTACGCAGCCGCGAACCACACTTGTCCCTGTCGGCCAAATTGCCTTCAACGGAATTGTACGAGCACCGACCCGTGTTCGATCTATCAGCTGGGTTCTACCCGAGGATCAATTACGTGAGCGCTCTCGTTTCTTACGTGCATTGAGATGCTAACTGTACTAGGCAACGGCGACCCATCTCATGATGTCAAAGTAGCGTCTGTGCTTCTTCTGGTCGATGGAAACCTCGTTCTCCTTCAGCCTTCCATGTCGGATACTGGTGATCTGAAATATGATATGCGTGTGATATCCCACGATGTCGAGTACTATATCTTGATGCGGGATCAGCTATCTTTCAACTTTGCTCCCCCAGTCGAGGAGTCGCTTCCTCCCAGTCCGGCTGCAGAGTTGGTTCTCAACAAATATCACAGCAACCTCTCGCTACGGGACTCGCTATGGACATTCTGTGGAAACAATCTTACGGCATGGGGCGATGTTCAGGACGTCTTACAGCGGGAAGTTATGCCAAAATCTATCGCGGTCAATCTAGACTTCTACCCTTTATCAGTCCTCTTGAATAAAGGGATCGTACTAGGTGTGGAGCCAGAGGCGATACAACGGCGCGATATCACATTTGCGGTGCTAAAGTTCGCTATCCGGGTAAGTTCTACCTTTCATTGACATGGAAAATTGCTAATAATATGTCAGACGCATCTCTTCCTACCATACTTTCTACAACACAGCCTTGTCCAAGGCGACATTCCCGCAGCACACTCACTATGCCAGCACTTTTCACACCTTTCGTACTTTCCGCATGCGCTTGAAATTCTGTTGCACCACGTCTTGGATGAGGAGGTCGATAATGTGGACCGTGAAAGCAAACTAGATGACCAAGCCCCGAAACACGACCCTCTTCTTCCCTCGGTCATCTCCTTCCTCCAGGCATCACTTCCTCCAAGCGTGTACCTGGACATTGTTGTTCAATGTACCCGCAAGACAGAGCTTCGATCATGGCGTACTCTTTTCGCTTACCTTCCTCCTCCCAAAGACCTGTTTGAGCAGGCTCTCAAATTAAATTCTCTCAAGACCGCCGTTGGCTACCTACTCGTGCTTCAAGCCTTTGAAGATGAAGCCGAAGGCCACGAAGCCCCAGTTGAAGATTATGTTGTCCGATTAATGATATTGGCTTCGCAAAGGAGCGATTGGGAGCTCTGTGCACAGCTGGCAAGGTTCCTCGTTGCCCTCGACGGTTCTGGCGAGATGCTTCGCCGTGCTGTGTCGCGTGCGGGTCTGCGACACAATGGTTACCCTGGAGTCAACGGGGCTGGAAGGAATCTAAAGGGGCTAGGTCTGGACCTACGGTCTCCGTCCTGGTCTTCCCAGTCCGCTGCAGCCTCAATCTCACCTCACGGCAGCCCTGGCCAATCAAGCCTATCCATCAACAGCGGCGACGGAAGCACCGCGAACCAACCTACATAGTACATACATGGAGGAGTAGATATGTACATAGCTTGTTCATAATTTTGATTAGTTCAACCAATAAAGCTAGCTGACCAGCTAGCAGCTAGAAGCTAGATAGACCCTTGGATATCTCCCACACCAACCAATCCAGGTATCCGTTCTAAATATTTAATCCAAATGCATCTTCCACAACCCATCGCCCAAATAATGCCCATCATCAATAACAACACCCTTCCCCTTACTCTTAATCTCCTCTGTACTCGCCTTCAGTGTCCCTACCATACAAATCTCCTCCTTCCCCTCCGCCTTCACAGCAACAACAGTCCCCTTCTCCAGCGCGTTGTCCGCATCCGGTAACCGACCACCCGGACTCGTCAACCCGGGAGCCATGAGCGTGGCGCCTGAGAGCACGAAGCGGATCGCGCCGCGATCGATCTGAATGCTAGGGAGCATGTTGGGGAAGGCGTGCAGGAGTTTCAGGTGAGGGATCGGAGGGCCATCTTGCGGTTGGTAGAAGAGTGGGGTGCTGTCGATTGTGTAGAGGGTTGTTTTTTCTGGACTAGATGATACCAGAAAATTATCAGCTATCCGTGCTATTTCCAAAGATTCTTTCGTGTGCTTTTTGTTTTGTCGCTGAGGGGGTTGGGTTGCGCATGTATGCTGCAACGCGGGGTCAAAAGAACGCCAGGGAAGAGAAGGAGAGCTTACAGTTTCACCGCATCGAGCTGCGCCTTTTTCGGCAGGATCTCATCAATATACGGCTCGCATAGCGGGTGTGCTTCTATGAGCTTTTGGCGCAGGGCGCGCTGCACCGAGGACTTGACTTTTGAGCGGTTGCTTGGTGGGATGCTAGATTCGTTCTTTTGTTAGTCCGAGTCGGTCTTTTCCTGGAGGAGACGAGGAAGATTGGTGGCATGTAGTTCATGAAGCTGGGAATATTGAGCTTAACGTACTCTTTCTTAAACATGGTGTCGGCGGTATGTGTTGTGTGTGTACTCTAGGTTTGTTTGATGCAGCGACATGATGGGATCGCGGGGGAGGGTATCACGTGTCTGAATTTTCTATGACATAGGATGGAGCTTCGGGCGTTGTTTTTCGAGTTCGAGATTTCGAGTCCAAACTTTAGTTATTACGGTAGAGACGCAGTTGAGCATGAGGATGTGAGGGAAATAGATTATTCTTTTATTGCTAATATTTCAAGAAGTGGTAATCTAACCCCGAGCAGCACCAGCCTTGATCAAAAGGATATCACCATCCTCAACTACATAGTCCTTACCCTTTGTCATGACCTTTCCGCCGGCCTTGACAGCCGCTTCGTCGCCAAGCTCCTTCAGTGTGTTGTAGTTGTACACAATGACTTGGATAAAAGTCTTTTCAAAGTCTGTGTGAATGACACCGGCGGCAGCTGGGGCCTTGGTGCCCTTGCGAATGGTCCACTGGCGAACCTCGTCAGCTCCAGTAGTGAAGAAGCTGGCCAAGTTGAGAGCCTGGCGCATCTTGATGATGGCCTTGGGCAGACCGGACTCGGTGCCCAACTTCTTGCACTCCTCGGCAGCCTCAGCCTCGGACTCGAACTGGGTCAGACGCTCCTCGAAGGAGGCTGAAATTGGGAGAATGGTGTCTCCGGGGGAGTTGGTCTTGATCCATTCCATGACCTTTGGGATGTACTTGTTCTTCTGGCGAACGTAGTCCTTTTCACTCAGGTTGACCAGGAACACGACCGGCTTGGCTGTAAGAAGGAACAGAGGGTTGATGACTTCAACCTATAAGTCGGTTAGACTCTTGAAGCAAAAACGTGTGGGTGAATAGCAGTAGAAGATAGAATGATATCAGATAGGAATTTTGCTCTCATGATGACCTCTACGTGAGTTTTAAAAAAAAATGAGGCATTCGACGAGCTGGGTTATTTCGAGCAATGCTCTTATTCATCATATTAAGGGAGGGTGATAGCAGGAGAAAAAAATGAATCACATACCTCTTTAGGGTTCCAGTCGCCGTGACGGACATCCTTGCCGCTCCTCAAGTACTCGAGGACCTTGGTAACAGTGGCCTCTTCCTCGCGCAGCTTCTTCATCTCCAGAGACTGTCCACCGCGTCTGGTCTGCTTTTGCAAGTTCTCGAGGGCCTTCTCGACGAACTCGATATCCTTGATTCGCAGCTCCTCGCTGATGATGACGAGATCACGGACGGGGTCAACATCACCCTCGACGTGAATAATTTCCGCATCGTCGAAGCATCGGACGACCTGGAAGATGGCGTCGACAGCACGAATGTGAGACAAGAAAGCATTACCAAGACCAGCACCAGTCGAGGCACCGCGAGTCAGACCGGCAATATCATAGATGGTCAAATTGGCAGGAACCTGCGACTTGGGCTTATAGTGTTGGCAGAGCCAGTCGAATCGCTCATCGGGAACGATGACCTTGGCCTCCTCAGGGTCGATGGTGGCATAAGGAAAGTTGGCGGGGTTACCAAGATTCGACTTGGTGATAGCCTGGAAGAGTGTGGACTTGCCCACGTTGGCAAGACCGACCTATCCTGGAGTTAGGACATCTTCATTTTGGACGATGTGAGAAGGATGAAGAGAAATGGGAGATGGAGGAAATTTTCAGGGGTTTATATAGGGAGAAAAGAGGGAGGCTGGGAGGGGCAGAAGAAAAATTAATAGCTGGTGGGGTCGCTGCTCACATACGATACCACTCTTCAGGTTGTTGCCAGGACGGCCCAGAAGGATTTTTTCTTGGACGACGGCTTTCTTGGGAGGCATTTTGGACTTCTTTTTCTTGCTGGAATAGAAGCGGCGGAAATCAAGAAAGAGGAGAGGAGATGAGGAGGCAGAGACGAGTGGAGGGGCAGAAGAAGAGCAGCTCAAGGAATAATGGAGAAAACGCGATACCAGCGCAGGACCAGCTGCGGAGCGGCTCGTAAGAAGCAGGACAGGGGAAGACGTCGTGGCGGCGCCCACGGAACAGTGGGTAGGTGACTCTTAAAATGAGATATAAACAGCTAGATACAGCAACGAGGACAAGGGAAAGCCAAAAGAAAGATAGTTCCCTCAATTGAACAGTTTGGAACCCAAAGTAAGTGAATCTCAACGCTGATTTGAAAATATTTGGTGTTTTTTTTTTACATGTATTTTCGGTCATCCACGTACTTCACCGCCCACATGACCCGCTTACTACCTCACATGACGTCTTTCCACATCAGGATATAAAGTCCTCTCAGGCTCTCTCTCTCAGCACTTACACTCACAGGTCAGACATGTCGTTCGAGCTGATGTCCCGTGGACAATGACTCTTCACGCGACAGATGCCCTCTGCATCCCAGTCCTCGCTACCAACACCGCTGCGTGTAATGAAGAGTCCCGTGGGGTCCCACTTCTGCTTGATGTTGTACAGGCGGTTATAGTTGTCTCCCCAGAAAGATGACTGAAAGTCCTTCTCGTAGGCATTTGCCTCGTTGAGATATGCGCCCATCTTATGTGAACCCTCCACAGAACGGAGAAGCTCTACCTCTACGTTAGTCAGGTTGTTCCTGATTGCATCCTGTTCTGCCTGAGACGTCTCGGGGTCCCAGCCACGGCCGAATGTGAGGTGGAGCAGAGTTTCACGCCAAGCTGGATGCAGAGCACTGTCGATATGATTGCTGGCTACGGCGCCCCCAGACACGATATGGCCGGTAAACGACTCGTAGGGGCCGGTCCGTATCTGCCGCAGGACAGCGCTCAGCTTTGCTGGCTCCTTCTCAAACAGGTCCCGAGAATACATCCGCGAGCCAAGTAGCGTAATACCCCCGGTAATATCCGCGTTGCTGGTGATCAGTATGTCCGAGATCAAGGTGCGAATATCAGGGAGCGGCATTGAGCCGTACTCGGCTGTCACAGCTGAGATCTCATTCAGCTTTGTTAATAGCGGATCGAAAAGCCGATCCACTCTTGCAACATCTGTTTGGTTTGGAAACACCAGAGCAAGAATGAGTCCGGAAACAGACGTGTTTTTGTCGGGGAGAGGAAGGTCCGGGAAAATGCGGTAATAGCCTGCACCCCCGCCGTCGCTCAAGGCAGGGAGATGCGCGTGAAACTCGGTCACGGCGTCCCAGAAAATCGGATGTCCCAAGGGTGCGGAGATATTGAGGCTGCTCATAATGACCGGAGCTTCATCGAAAGTTCGAAGTGTGACATCCACGACTATGCCAAACGTCCCTCCACCACCACCACGCAAGGCCCAGAAGAGATCACGGTTTTGATACTCATTGGCAACGACCAAATCTCCCTGTATCATGTCAGAGGATGCTTAGCTTAGGTTCTGGTCTCACTTACATCTGCAGTCACGACAGTGAATTGAAGCGCATTGTCCGACGCCATTCCCTTCCATGGACCTAGGAAGGAATGGCCACCGCCTTGGATATATCCACCAGCCGCCCCAACAGTATGGGCCGCTCCTGCAACAGCAATCCTGCCTCTCTTTCCAAGTGCAGCATACAACTCCTGGAGGGCGACACCAGCTGCAATAGTGACAGCAGGACCTTCGCTTCCACCTTCTGGGGCTCCCTTTGGCATGAAATCATCCACAAACAAAATATCCTTCATGCCACTAGTCTGGATCTGCATCGACTCTGGAGCAGTCGATCGGCCAAGGTAACAGTGTCCGGAGTTCTTGATTGCCAATCGAAGATTGTGCTTCTTTGCAAACCGCACACTGTTCTGGATATCGGCCGCGGAGGTGACTATTGTCGAGTATAACGAAACGCGGCCTTGCCTACAGGGCTTGTCAAGAGTCTCGATATAGCAGTATTCGTCACGTTCAGGCCATGATTCCCAGTTCCGCCATTGAACCGCTCCGGGCTGGGCAGCTCTCCAAGTCGAATTCGTTGACAGGGCCAAGACAGACTCGCAAGCTTCACTCTCACGTCCGCCATGACAGACATCTGCAACGGGCCTCACGGCGACCAGATTTCCTTCGACAGATTGATTGAGCGCATTCCACTCTTGTGGAGACGGCCAGCAGCTCTCATGGGGCCTACAGCGGCAGTCCGACTGATGGGGACGGGACCACGCAAGCGAGGTAAGAAACAAAGAGAGAAAAAAGTATTTCATCTTGCAAATCTATACTGCTGTGATTGAAATAGTGGATTTGGTTGTGATATTGCTATCTACAAGACGACCCTTCTTATATACAACTTGGAGCCCAGCCCTAAACCCCTTCAGGACTTACGAGCTGGGAGCGAATCGTTTTCACTATTCACAGATATCCAAAGAGAATCCATCGCAATTGGCGATGGGATAGGTCAAGCCTCGCGGCTGACGTCAAACGGCGAATCCCATTCAAGCAACTCGTATTCGTTGTACTGGTACGATCACGTGTTCGTGGTCAATGGCCTGTTCAGGTTTGGCGTGGCTCTATACAAATGACGATCCCTCAGCTTGCCATTGAGCCAAGATGTCAGACGCCTCGTTTGCTCACATCACAGTCCCTCAGCCCCAATCCTTCCTCTGGGCTCATACACACCTCGCGGTCTTTCTCCCAATAGAACTGGCATCACTTTCCTAGCCGAAGCTCTACGCCTCATGAGGCAGACATAATGCCTGGAAATTGCCCATCCTGGTAATACGAATGATCTACTCTTTTCTTGGCATCTATACACCTGCAGGCAACCATATAGTTCGGACGACCAGAAACTAGCCTCAATGCACAAACAATATGTATAGTATAGTTGGCCATTTCAGACTCTGAGGTCACAAACATTGGCTATATGCTACGAGTAGTTTGGAGTATGCCGGATGAAATCATACTGAAGTCCCAGACTATGACCAAACAACGCAAGGGACGGTTGCACGGTGTCAGGGACAATGATCAATATCGCGACCTCGGAAAAACAAAATCATATATGCAATCAATCAATGGGGAAATGTCATTTTGAATCCACTATGCCCCTATAGGAAGGAAAAGGTAACCTGATAGTATACATCCGCAACTGCATCCGCGCGATCAACCTTCCAGTAATACTTTGTGAAAAGAAGAAACGACGACATGAGTGAAATCCACCCAGCAAGGAGCCCAGCCATTCATTGCCTTGCTACGCCGTACCGTGAACGCCTGGTTAAGAACAAATTTGGAGAAGAAAGACAAGACGAAGGGAATGGTGATGCTGCTGGAGAAGAAAGAGAAAGAGCTAGATTAAATCTCCATCGCGTCGCCTGAGCTGGGTTCATTGTCGACAACGCCGAGTAACTTAGCGTAGGGCACTGTGACACGTTGGAGGTCTCGGTGTTTGCCTAGAAAATAAGTGTCAGCAAACGAGATAGTTGCGGAGATGTATTAGCTTACCAAGTGCTAGGATGACCTCCTTCAGGAGGACCTCGCGTGGCCAGCCGCATAACGTCTCAGAGTTTTCCTTCCAGTTCCGATCAGATTTATCCTTGGTTTTGTTCGTAGAGGTAGAATCCGGCTCATCGTCATCCTCCTCGAATAACCCGCCTAACAGACCCTTGAGAAGTTCCTCGACCTTTGTCTTCAGGCCCTCAGCTCCGATGCGCTTGGCGTACATGGACAGGTAAAGACGGAATTCCTCTTTCGCGCCGAGCGACAGCGCAGCGGCGAGTCTGTTCTCGAGATGTGCAATTGATACGCTTGACTCGAAACTCTCGTATCCTTCTCGTGACAAAAGAACCTTGATAAGACGTTGCAGGAAGTAGGCACGACCGCGGAGGAGGGTTTCATTCGTTGTATTCCGCTCGAGGAAGGGGATAATACCGGCCGAGACGGCGGCTTTAGCGTCTGAGTCTTGACTGGCGTCTGACGCGGATTGAAGGTTTCCAACAGGGGCTTCGGTAGTGTTCCAGTATTGACTGCCCACGGCCCACCAGGCTTCGGAAAGTCTTTGCCATGTGTACATGGAAGGGGAGTAGGCGTAGCCTTCGCCGTTGGAAAGAGCGACGATGACACGGCCCTCGGAGTTGATGCGAGCGTTTGTGATGGAGGGGGCGGCGGAGGGATGAGCACCTAGGGTGTGGATTGCGGCGTCTAGGACAGGTTGAAGGGAAATTGGTGGGTGTGGGGAGGAGAGGTTTGTGACATTCCAGACGTAGCACATGCCTACAGCGGAAATGCAGAGAATCCAAGGCCCATTGCATTCGAGGATGACGGGTTGTGCTTCGAGGACAAGGGCGCTGACGAGACGGCGGCCAGAGGGCGTCCAGATGTATACTGATCCCTCCTCGCAAGCGGCAGCCCACATTTGCTGGTTCCCTGTGACAAGGAGTACCGTCCGTGGTAGAAAATCTTGCCATAATGGTTGCTCCCCGCGGAACAGGGTTAGTCGGACAGGTTCACGGTCAACAGCACGTCCAGTTAAGCTCGCGCCAGATGGATTACGCGCTTCAAAAACAACATCCACTCGTGATTTACTCGACTCCCCCGAGGCCCCCGAGGCACTGGGCGGCTCTGTTGGTTTGCCAGTGGAGTCAATAGCTCGAAGAATATGACTGCGAACTTTAGGTACGGCTAGTCGGAGCTGACTCACGGCCATGCAAGGATTCGTCACTGCAGGCCGGATGAACTCTGGGGTTGGTTGTTGCCCTACAGGAGGGTTCTGAGGCTGTGCCAGGAGGAGGCCATCCGTCGTATTCGTGAGTATCGGCGTTGCACCATTTTGGCTCGCCAGTGCCACGCGCTTTTCGACATGTCCATCCTCGTCGCCTTCTAATTGCGCAAGTTTCCTCTTGTTCCCAAAGAGTAATGTCGCAAGCCCGCCTTTTGGTAACCCGTCGAATGGCTTCGAGAGGTCGACGATAGACTGCGGTGTATCGGCCTTAACCTGGCTACTCACAGACGCCATCAACCGAGCTTGTGGTAACGATGATTCAGCTGCTCCAGCGCCAGACACCAAAAGAGGGGCGATACGTTTCTTTCCATCCTTGGTGTACGTAGGTCTCTGCTTTAGCCTCTCCAATTTGGCTTGATAAGGATCCGGCTTCTCAGGCTCTGGCGCGGAAGTGGCGGCTGTGCCATTAGGTTGAGATTTCTGTGCATCGGGTGTTGGAGAAGGAGCAGCGGCCGGGGTCACTCCGTTCGAGGGTAATGGCGTAGGTTTACCGTTGACCACTGCATCACCTGAATGGCCATCACCCATCAGAGCGCCCATTCGGCCCTCGACGCCCTTGAGCTCGCCAGCCTTGCTTTTCTCTTCAAGAAGCAATCCATCTGTTGTCTCCGCGATACCAGCGCCCTTCCGGTTCGTGCCGAACTTCGTAAGCGACCTCTCATTCTCCTCCAGTTCCATAGCGTAGCCAAGATCTCCTTCCTCAAAGCGAACGGCAAGAATCGTTCCATCCAGTGCAGTCGCATACAGACAACTCCCGTCCGGACTCCAAGCTAGATCAGAGATGGACTTGGCCGCCAGCTCCTGGGCAACAACAATTGGTCGCGGGTTACTCGTGATCCATACACTGAGCGATTTATCCCCTCCAGCACAAGCTATGACCGTGACGGCAGGTTGTGCAGCATGATCTTGCCCATCCGCTTGCTGTTTCTTGACCGGTTGCGGGGTGTATAATCGTGGCGAAAAGGCGCAAACTTCGACCGGCGCTTCGTGGCCGATGAGGTTAATATCTCCGTCCCACGATCCACGGTTGATGATTGCGACAGAGCTCACAGGTCCATTTACGGCATTCGCAGCTGCAATGTGCATACCATCCGGGGACCAAGAGCACCGGCGAAAGTAAGCCGTAAGCGGTGAGTTCAAAAATGGCGCTGTAATCGTCTGTTCAAGCACAAAGTTGTTCATCTGATCGTGAGCGGTGGAATTCGGAGCCGGGGAAGTGAAGCGGAAGATTCGAACAGTGCGGTCATCACTCGCCGTCGCGAAGTACTTGTTGGCCGGATCGAATGTAATCCCCTTGACATGACTCTGGTGAACGGAAAGCGTCTTGAGCTTCTCAAACGTGTGTCCCGACCAAACAACCACCTTTGAATCAAGGCCAACCGACACCAAGATCGAGGAATCATACGACCAGCCCAAATCCTGCACATCGTTGTCATGCCCGATCAGTCTCCGAATTGTGCGCCAATTTTCGACCGGCGGTGCTTCGTTCGATCCTACACGTCCGTGTCAACAATCCATCCCTCCCTCCATGTATTCCAAAATCCAACGACCTACCAAAACTCGTAGCATGCGAGGGCGGGTTTGCATCCAATGTGTAGATACAAACAATCTTATCGTCCGCTCCAGAAGCCAAGTATTTCCCGTTTGGTGAAAAGCGAACCGTGTGAATCGTGCCGGAGTGATTGCTCATGGACGCCAGCTGTTTCGGTTTGCTTGCAGCTGCTGCATCCGTACCGCAAATGGCCTCTGTAGACCATATCCGAACGTATCCATCTAAGCCAAGAAAACACGGATATGTCAACCATCGTTCCATCCAAAGGATTTTTGTTTTATTCGTTCTCCGCGATTGTAGAGTGGAGAGGGTAGGGACAAAGCAAGACTGACCTCCTGCTGCTGTCACAAGGCGACTTCCATCGGGAGATATATCGCAACTGTAAACTTCGAATGCTTTTCTCTCACCTGTAAATGACGGAAAAGGGGAAGGGGGGAACAGTTAGCCAACACGTTTTCTGAAAGCGAACAAAGACAGGCGGGCATGGGATGGAATAACAAGATTGCGACGAACGACCCAAAAAAAGAACGATTACATACCTCCATGCGTTAGCCAAACTGGCTTGATGATATGCATAGCCGCAACCTCGTTGCTGCGTCGGTCCGCTCCGCTGGTTGGGCGTTGTTTGTCTCGAGGTGGCAGGTCGGTACTCCGTATAGCTCGATCGATCACTGGCAAGTTGACGTGGATGGGAGAAAATCAGGCATCGCAGGACTTCCACGTCCACCATTCATCGGCTCGCGGGAATAAGGAGTTACGGCGGTACGGGGGGCGTAGCAGGCGCGAGAAGAGCGTGGGAGCGATTGGGAGCAATGCGAACGGAACCTGAAAAGGGCCGCGCTCAAGAAAGTCGCGATTGTGATCTTCCAGCGGCGCGCGGGAACATGGTCCGAGCTTTCTCTTTTTCGCCAAGTATTCTTGTACTATAACTACAAGTTACAAAGCTCATATTCGAAGCAACGCAGGCACAGAAGAGGAGTGATTTGGTACACGATCAGTCCATCTATTCTACTATACATAATCCATCGCTGAAATAATATCTCACTTCGAGATCGCTCTCAGCAGCACTGCTCTGCGAGAACATGTCCACACTCTTTTAACCATCCAAAGAGGTTTGATACAAGGTACAGTAATGAAAACAAGGGTGGCTGAGTAGAGACGAATGACGCATACCCTGTGCAAAATGATGGCGTGGCAGCTCAGCAAGTCGTTAAGAGGGTCACAATTGTATGGGGATATCACTCAAAGCGCCAACTCTTCAGTTTTTCTCGCGGGCCTGCTCGAATCCTTCCAGGACTTCCTCAGCAACATTCGCTTTAGCCTCGTTTTTGGCCTCTGGTGTCTTCTCCGAATCCTCAACTCCGAGAGCCTTGGCCGCAATACTCCGTGCCTGTGAGCTGCTTACTTTGCCGTAAACAGCCATGGCGTTTGCGATCATTCCGCCGAGGTCGCCCATGTTTCCAGGGACAACAACAGCTGTGCCCTCACGGGCGAGTTTCGAGAACGCGTCAACGTACTTCTCAGCAATGGTGAGGCTCATAGCTCCGTGAGCGCTCGATTGGCCAGCCTCGATAGCCTGGGCCACGGTTTCAATGGCCTTTGCAGTAGCATCAGCCTTCGCTTTAATCGCCTCAGCCTCACCAGTAGCACGGTTGATCCGCTCGATCTTATCGGCTTCGGAGGCCAAAATAACAGACTGCTTTCGGCCCTCGGCAATGTTGATTGCGCTCTGTCGTTGACCTTCGGAGTCGAGGATTTCCGCTCGCTTTGAACGCTCAGCTGTCACTTGGCGATGCATGGCTTCCACGACCCCATCCGGGGCATGGATATCCCTGATCTCATATCGCAGACACGTAACACCCCAAGCCTGCGCAGCCTCGTTGATAGCCTGAGTAATGTTGGTGTTGAGCATCGCACGCTCCTTCAACACATGGTCCAGCGTAAGCTGACCGATTTCCGATCGCATCGTCGTCTGCGCAAGTTGAGAGATGGCATATTCAGCGTCCTCTACGCCGTAGCTGTACATCATCCGTCATCAGCGCATAGCTAAATAAACATCCATCAGCAAGAATCACTCACCTAGCCTTATAAGCATCAAACACCCTCGTATACAGCACTCCGTCAAGCTCCAACGTCACGTTATCGGCCGTAATCGCATTCTGACTCGGAATCTCAATCGCCGACTCCTTCAAGCTCTTGACATACGCTATTCGGTCCAAGAACGGCACCAGAATCGCCAGACCGGGTTCCAAAATCCGGTGGAACTTGCCCATGCGCTCAACGATCCATGCCGTCTGTTGAGGAACGAACCGCACAACCGTGTTCATGGGTAACGTCTGTCGGTTGCTAAAGTACGTGGGCGGAGACCCGGACGGCGAGGAAGCCGAGCCTAGGCTGAGAAGCGAAGGCTCGGGAGCGGATCTCCGGGGTGTCGTCGAGACATTTCTTCGGCGGAGGCTTGTTTGTGTTGTTGGGATGGCGGAGGGGAGAAGTCGGGGAGAGTAGCGTAGGGTGGAGGGTCGGAGGAGCCGTACGGCCTGTTTGGAGGCTACCTCCATGATTGGTGGATGGTTTAGGGGCTATTGGTGAAGAAGAATTGAGACTGTCGACCTTCTGAGAAGCTTTCAAGAAAGCTGGGGAAGCTGGAACCTTCCGTCAAAGGTAAATGGATGGAGCTGACCACTCGGAGGACAATTTAGCCTGAGGCATTCATGATTATGTAATACACTGCGCAGCTTGTTGAGAACTTTCGTCAAGAAAACATCTGACTTTCACTTTTCTGGTTGAGTAATACTTGCAATAGTTTATTATAAGACTGTGGAGCCCACCTAGCGAGTTTAACTCCTAATCCGATGTGCAGAAGCGGTTAAGTCTCCTAGACAATTTCCCTGGAAAGCTATCATATATCGTTCGCTGATAGAGGTACAGCCCATTCAAAATATACATTGACATAGATTCTTCAAATGAAATATCAAGTCCAATAACAAGGCATACTGGCATCAAACCCGTCTCAGTTTATTGACCTAACTCGACTAGAATCTATATTTTGATTTCACCTAGAACGCCGTCTGGTATCCCATCACCATGACTAAAACGAACGAAAAGAAACAAGACATTAACGAGGAGTCTACTCCTCCATAGTTTCATCACCAGCCCCGTTGCCCCAAAGGCCCTCGATCTTGAACTCTGCAGCCCACTGTGTGACGACCTGCCGTGTGTCGACACCAGGCGCAGCAGCCGCGGCAGCAGTGGATCCGGCATTCGCATCGACGACCTGGAGAACAGGAGGAGTAGCCCATCCCTGGATACGTCCGTCACGCCAGTCGTTGACAACTGTCATCGCGGCAGCTTCGAGGTTAGGGATACCGCCCTTGCCGAGACGGCCGCGCTTGCGCGCAACTTCGATCAGGAAGCCGTTTGTCTGGTCGGCGGTTGAGCTGGCAGGGAAGAGGGTGGGGATGTTGTAGACCTTGAGCAGTTTCTGGAGGAGGTCCTCGGAAGACGAGAGGCGCTTGAGAAGGAGTGTCACAGCGGGGATGGGGTCCTCGATCTGTTTAGGGGGGATGGCGTTGAGGAGGATAAGACGGGCCTGCTCGTCCTGCTTCTTCTTGCTCTTCTTCTCGCTGGTGTTGGGGAAGACGATCCCGGGCGAGTCGATGAGCTTCAACTTGCTGTCGAGCTTGACCTCGCGGAGGTTGGTAGTGACACCGGCCTCGGCACCAGTGGGGCAGGCGTTGCTGGAGCCCTTGTTCATGCGGGCCGTGAGAGCGTTGATGACGGAGGACTTGCCGACGTTGGGGTATCCGATGACACCGACAGAGATGGCGCGCTTAAGGTCCTTGTTCTGGGAGTATGTCTTGAGAGCGCGGAACAGCGTCTCTGACGTTCCTTTGACGGAGAGCTGCTTGTGGTCGAAGCTGTGGGCGTTGCCGGCACCGTTGGAAGCCTTCAGCGGGAGGGTGGGGAAGTAGCGGCGCAGATGGATCAACCAGTTCTTCAGTACTGGTGGAGGCACAAGATCAATCTTGTTGAGAATAAGGATCAGACGCTTCTGACCACCATCCGCAGCCATAATCTCCCGCTCGACCTCCTTCGACCGCGTACCCTCAGGGTCACGGGCATCTAGCACATACAAGACAACATCCGCAGCCTCAACGACCTTCTTAAAGACCTTATCGAACGCCCGTCGCGATGTCTCCTTACCCGCCACAAGCGCTGGAGCACCATCTTCATCCACCTCATCTTCCTCACTCAGCCCACCCATCTCATCATCATCCTCATCCATCTCATCCTCGTCCTCATCACTCTCCTCGCCGTCATACTCCGCTGCGCGAGCACGAGCAGACGCAAGTAGTGCAGCCATCGGGTTCGCCGAATCAGCCATGTCCTCGTCCATCTCGTCATCCAGCAGCTCATCGCCCTCAATATCGACCATCTGGTTTTCAGCGGCACCCTCCTGTCCACCGCTCTGCTTCAGCGCAGCGCGTCTCGCACGGGCATCCTCGCGGATTCTCTCTTGTTCCTCGGCCTTCATGCGTCTCCGCTCCTCGATTTCCTGGAGCATCTTCTCTTTGTGCGGGAACAGGTTGGGGATGCCGGGATCCTTCTTGATCTTGGAGCGCCATTCGGGGTTCTAAATGCGATTTATTAACACCGAGCTCCTGGATCTAGAAAAGCCAGACCGTTTTCCAGCTCAAAGAGCATACCTTCTTAGCAAGCTTTCTCTGCTTGCGCTGCTTCGCCGCGGAGGCTTTCTCAATCTTGTGTCGGAGCCGGACAGGCGTCCGCTTAGAGTTTTTGCCTGGTAAGATTAGCAAGTCTTTTTCAGTTGATCAAAGTCTGAATTTCAGCATACCTAGTTTGACCATTTTGGCAGAATATGAGTGGTTTGCTTGAATTCGAAGATCCCACCGCCCAAAACTCGATCTGAAGTTCTGAACAATTTTTTGACGATTTCCCGCGCTAAGATAACCGGAGGTGGGTTCTGCCGATCTCCGGCTGTCCCTCCTCGAAGGTCGGGGTTGCGGCCGCTACAGTGCTTGTACAGCTCACTTACAAGGTATAGTCATAGAATTTTCGGCTTATTTATTCTAATTCTCTCCTGCTGAACATACCTAGAACTCTGAAAAGTTTTCTTTCCGTGCGCTGGATCTACAATGCCTGCCTCAGGCTCTTTTTCTGCCCCTCCGCAAACCCTCACTTTTGATGGCCTGCTTTCGGACTTTGATGGCACCATTGTCGACTCGACAGATGGTGAGTGACTGATCTACGTCTTTATATGTCTGCGACAAGGTCGCAATATCCTCGGAACAACGCTAAACACTATCACCTTTTTCTATAGCCATCATCAAGCACTGGCACAAGTTAGTCCCTCAAGAGCATACATACCCCGCTGCGCGCAAGCATTTAGTTGCACTGTTCTAAACAGACACGCGGCTAATACTCATCGCATAGAATCGGAGCTGAGCTAGGCGTGGACCCCGCGACAATTCTCGCTACCTCTCATGGCCGCCGAAGCATTGACACCTTGCAATTGTATGACCCGAAGAAACCCAACTGGGAGTGTAAGTCTAAATACCTGCATGGAAATGGCGCTGAGTGATCGCTCATTCTCCTGGCGAGTTAGACGTTAGTTATGTCGAAGGTCTCATTCCTAAAGAATACGGCTCCGATGCCGTCGAGATCCCCGGTGCGCGGAACCTCCTCTCCGCTTTGGAAGAATCCCGCGCCCCATGGGGCGTTGTCACTTCCGGCACACGCGCGCTGATCGACGGCTGGCTGGGTGTTCTGAAGCTCACACATCCGAAGGTTCTTGTCACTGCCGAGGACGTTGAGCTGGGTAAGCCTGACCCCAGGTGTTACTTGCTCGGCCGGAAGAAGTTGAATCTGGAGAACTCCTCATCATTGGTTGTGCTCGAGGACGCGCCATCCGGGATCAAGGCTGGCAAGGCTGCCGGTTTCACGGTCATTGCTCTGACCACCACTCACAAATTGGAACAACTCCAGGAGGCTGGCGCGGACGTGATCGTGGAGGACTTGAGGAGCATCAGTGTGAAGAACGTCGAAGGGCGGGTCCAGCTGGAGATTCGGAATGCCTTCCAATAAAGGGATGTTCTATAGGAAACACCTGGACAGCCGCAAATAGTCGGTGAGGTTCTGTTGGCCTGCCGGACTTTTGACGACCCATACGATCCGTGAGGTAGAAGTTAGACTGATAGACAGCGTTATTGTACATAGAATCCCCGGAGCCTAGATTTTCCTCATGACGTGTGCAAATAGAATATGCCGAAGCCTTGCATTTGATGTAAGGCTTTCTTCAGCTGGCGCTCCCCAGCCGGGCTCGTACCGAAGGACGGGGGATAGCGGAACGGTCAACGCGGATCGCAGAGTACTTTTGGCTACTTCCCAGATAGGATTATGGGAAGACCAGGTGGCTATAGGCAAGGCCAAATAGACCCGAAGGAGAGCACGAGAGTCACTGCAGAGCGAGTAGTGGATTCGAGTGAACTCACATTGCAAAGGAGTGACCTCTCCTCTCAACACTTCAAGGGCATAAGCTGGAGTATTGCTAGCGGTGTAGAGCCAGCTATGTCTGTTGAGGCTGGGCTCCAAAGCGTCTCTGCCGTCTGGCATCTTAAGAGCATCGAAGGCCAACAGGTCGATACACCGATAAGAGACACTGTTTGGCCACCACCGCTGCCTAACCCTTTTTCGGACATGTCCTATGGGCCATGACTTGCTTGACAGTCTGAACCTAAAACGCAATAAACAGCAAGTTTTCCTAGGATCAAGGGCGAGTGCTAGGATACTCACCGACCAGCTTGCCTGACGTAAGAATTCTCCGACTCGATGTTGCAATCGGTTGAAAATGTGTCCTCTTCAACCTCGACTTGGAAGATCAAAGCAGAGCTGCAGAGCGGAAGATTTCAGTGTACACTCAGAATGCATAGATGTGGACCACGCAAATGCAGACAGGAAAAAGCCGATGAACCACAGAAAAAGCAAAATAGCGGACTCGGACGCTTCTGCTGTGAACCCTTGGGGACTCGAGTGGTTGAGCCTGTCGGGATCGCAACCGTGAAACCACTACCAACCAGTTCTGATTTGACTATCGTGTTCTCATACACGAGCCTGCGACGCGCAGAACTACTGCTCACATAGAAAAGGGGCCCCGATGGTCAGCAAAGAGGGTCCGATCATTGAGAGAGAAAAGCCGATCAGATTCTGGAAAGCTGATGTATCGGATCCTTTACCGGCAGCTCGAGTCAGAAACGGACGCTAAATCGGCAGGATGGGTCTCTTCTGCATTGTAACGAGTCCAACGACGACTCGCTGAGCTGCGTCTGAACGCCATCTGCAAGGGATGATGCATGATGGGTAATCCTCCACCTCCAAGACGAGGTGATGTTTTTCCATTCTCTTTTTCGGGCCAACCGTTTAACCATTGTTCTTCGCTTGTTGCTCCTTGCAAATACCGACCCCACGGAAACTTCAAACGAAGGAAATATTGGAAAAGTCTGGACGTAAGGAAGGAAAACGCCCAAAAAAGACTGAAACTCGGAATTCACATCGGGAGGTTCTTGCTTCAGGTGGCGAGTACATACTATTGACTCTTGCAGCTTTGCACATAATCTTAATGCATACTTACGCGCATATTGTGTACACAGCAGTGCAAACCAAACAGACTCCTCTACAGGTCCAGCCTCCCAGCTGCGCAGATAGTCATGTATCTCGGATGACTGTTCTGGGCTATCGAAAGTAAACAGAGTTTGGCTGCCCGGGCTCGGCTGCTGCAAGATAGCAAAGAATCGTCAGCCAAAATAGCCGCTGTGAGCGTCGTGCACCGTCGCACAATCCACAGATGGAACCGATCAGCAGTAGCCAGAAGGGCAGAGTGAAAGTTCGAGGTTCGAGACAGCGCGTCTCGTCTCTTGAGTGTTCAGATTTTTCCGCCTATCAACCGGTACTATTGTGTCATGGAATGACAAATCCAAGAAAGTGCTTCTCAGCCCAAGAACATATCAGCACGCCTCCCAAGCATGTTCTGGAGCTTGGACTATCATAGCCCTGCCGCCTAAAGAGCGGCGGAGCCCAGAGCTAAGAGCTTAAAGCCGCAATGGCGATCGAAGGCGACAAAATTCGCACCGCCACATCAATTCGAGACGGTGGCAAAGTATCACAATGTGCAGCTCAAGTTTCAACTGCCTAGCTCACTTAGTGGACCTGTTTTGTGGCGTAGCTGGGGCCGTTGATCTGTTTTATCCTATGTCTAGGCAGTAGGATTACAGAGCGCCGTCGTCCTGATCGTGTACGGGGTACTCCGCACCAAAACTGCGGTAGACTCGTTGAAATGCTCTGCCGAGTATGAGGTCGATAAGCCTTTATTCTTTTACATCATTGACCTGGTCACATCAGAGATCAATGACTGCCCCCACTGTCATGGAAGGCACCAGATAAAGAGATTGGGGTCTTGGGTTGTTGAGAAAACAGTTGCATCATATGATGTGCACACCTTACGGAGTAATCGAGTCAAGACTCAAGAGCCCAAAAAGTGATTGACAATGATCAGACCCAGGGGAATGGGAGGATCGAGGATCGAGAAAGGAATGGTTGACGGGACTCGCAGCAGATCATTCCGACGCCAAGGCGTAACCTTATGCCAACAGGGATTAGCACATAATGACTTTCTGACTATACTTGCTGAATTAGGAGCACGGAGAAGGACTTCTGCGAGACCTTCAGGGGAACTTCCGGAGAGTCAGCGGAGAGACAATTCGATTGGTGAGCTTCGGGATATTCACCCGACACCCAACATTTGGGAATCTCTTCGTTCCAACCCGCGATAACGGGCTGCTCCCTTTGAAGTCAACACCCCTCAATCGAATGGGGGATCGTGCGCGTTTTTAGTGGGATCATCCCAGGGGTTTGAACCGCCGGAGCCTTAGTGTAGAGCTTGTATTCCTGCTTTGTTAAATGCAAGTTGAGGCACATCCTCAAGCGCTGTGATCCTTGGTGATTCAAAGATTGATTGGTTTGGGTGTTGAAGAAGGTTCACTTCCCCGAGTCCTGTTTGAGAGTTGATTGGCTGAGGAGCAAGTCACTCCTCCATGTTCAACAAGGAGTGGCGCCTGTTCATATCACACTTGTCACTTGGAGGATTCCCCGCACGGAAAATGCATCCCTGCACTTGAACCGCAATCCGTTTAGCTGATTCGTTCAAGATGAGAACTTGATGCTCTTTCTACACTTGGTGCAATGGGACGCGCACCGAGCTCCTCCGTAAGGCGTACGTAGACAGACAGGGTAGGAGTACCTTTGTAATCGTGGAGAAGAGGAGCAGGGCGATCCATGCTCCACGGAAGATGATGGCGGACTCATGATCGCCAGATTAGGTCAAACTTGAACCAGCATTCCCATGCTGAGGAAATATTATTCCAAACCCTGTGGATTGGCATGGGTAATATGCCGGATAAAGTTCTGGCGGTTGTCTGGGAGTGAACGTTAGATTGCCAATCCGTCCACCCGCAGCTTGAAGGTTGAAGAGGAACCAGAGACGCATGAATCTACGAGTGCATGCAGAAACCGCTCGAGTATCTGCCAACCAAGCCCCGCAGAGAAAGCATTTGAGAGTCCCGAATGAAAGAACCCCTAACATCCCCGGGACTAGAATTGGCCTCTTGTGCTGCATGAGGGTGGTTTTGGACGCTGTTGCGTAACCTGTGGGTTCGGTGCGGGCGCTTCAGGCAGTGTCATCGTTAGCGCGGAGTTTCAACGCTGGGACTCTGGCTCAAGTGCTTGAAGCTCGGACCTTGTGTTTGACGAATAGCAAACAGGCTTTGAACTCCCTCGAGGCTGCAGTTCCTAGATTGTTGGAAGGTGACGACGGTCCACAGAGATTGTTCTGGGATACCAACACATTGAACCCAGCGATACCGGCATCTTTCAGCGCCTGATTCGCGTGGCCAAAAAAAATGAAATCGGATCCTGAGTAGTGATCGACAGGATCTGTCGACTATTGAATTTAGTGGGGCTTGGCTTGGTGCTGCCAGTCTGCCACGCTTTTGCAGGGCAGAAGGATCCTCCTTTTCGACTTTTTGTCATTCCCCGTCCTTGGATACCCCTCAAACCGCTGGGTGATTGGCAGATCCAGGAAATCAGGGCCACCGCGTGAGAAGAATGACAGGCATGGCTGGCGATCCGTGTTAGAGGGCCAACCGCCTTAGGTGTAGCATGGCTTTTGGACCGCCGCTAGAAGGGAAAATTGACCTGAGGCTGTCAAGAAACAGCCGCTGCCATCAGCAGAGAGTAATTCTCCCCTTCCTTGATCGAGTAAAAGGACATGGGCTATGGGAGGTTTGCCTCTCCTTTGGGCCGGCAAAGAGAACAATTTCCCGCTTCCAGATGACGACGGACTATTGGGCTCTGAAACCCGATTTCTTCAGAGCAAAGACACAATAAAAAAGAAAGAAAGAAAGACAAAGCCCACCATCTTGGAGCTTCCGTCATGGTTGTTTCGCAACAGACGCGGTGTTAGAACTGACGAACTCTTTTGTCCGAGAGTTGTGTCCAGGACTCCAGCCCAGACTCAACCCAGATTTGGGTCACCTGGAGCCGGCCTTGGCGACGGACCGACGCGCGCTAACCAGATCCAGGATGTGCAGTCCCATGGTCTCAAGGTCCCGTGACGAAAGCCCAACCTTTAACCCACACAGACTCCAGCTTCAGCCTTTCCCAGTGCCTCGGGCCCGGGCAGCTGTGATCCACCCGGGGTGCTGAAATCATGTCAATCACGCCGGGTGAATCATGATATGTTTCCCGTCGTCACATTTCATGTTCCGGGATATGAGCCTTGACGCTTGGCTAACTACTTTGAGCTCCAAGATACGCTGGAACCGTTCACATCGCAAGTCGCAACTAGGAGCGATTACTGGTCCTTGCGATATGACGCTAATGCAGGAACTGATGAAGCTCGATGGGAGCGTCTCCAACTCATCACAATTTCAGTTTTCTTGTCAATCATCCGCGTGAAACTCCGGGACAAAAAAGGGATTCGGTCTTAAAAAGAGGGACGAAGGGATGAGGCCTTCCAGAACAGATGTGCGGGATGGGGAGAGAAAAAACTCATGGCCCCCTTGATCGCTGCCCCCCGCTCTCCTCTCTCCTTGCGGGATTCTCTTAGTGTTTCCGGCAGTGGCACTGACAGGTACCGCTCTGGCCGTCGAAGTGAAGGTGACTGTTGACAGGATCAAGGCAAGAAGGGTTCAAGCATCACACGAACCCTGCGGGTCAGCACCTCCGAGATGGAGCCAAAGATAACAGGAGAAAAAGCAACGATCGCATGTCCTGAACAAGAAAAAGGAAAGATAATATGCACAAAACCTAAATACTAGAAGAAAGGGTCGTACGGTCACCGCCACAGCAGGGCGATTGGGGAATAGGGCCAAGCTGCGGCCAGCAGGCTGGGTCGGGTATTGAATTTGACCCCTGGAGGAGAAGACGCTCGGACGAGCAGGCCAACCAGACTGGATTCTGAGGCTACTATTGCCATCTGCGACAAGAGAGAGAGCTTTGAATAGAATACCTTAATTGTGCGTCTTGCCTGTAAGCAGTGCGCGTACTGTAAGACAGATACCGACGCACCGATCCTCCCAGTTTCGGGCGACGATCATCCAATGGCACTTTTCGCCCTCCAGAATCTCTGCGTCTCCTCCGTCCTCTTCCCCATCTCAGTCTCTCTCTCTTCTCTCTTTCTCTCTCCTCTCCATCTGCTCCGGCCACACTCCCTTTCCCTCTTTCGTTCTCCTTTTAATAATTTTCCTTCTTTTTTTATTTTCAAATCCATTCCTTAATTTTTTTCTTTTTCTATTTTCTGCTCTGCAGTCCCGCATCGCACAGCAGTCAAGTCACTCCTTCCTTTCCCTTATTAGTTCCTGTCTTCGGACTTTATACCTGGCCTTCTCGCGCAAAAGGCCTCGACACACTCTGTCCTGCCCGTATATACATATCCAACGGACTTCAGCTCCAGTCACTCTCTTGTCCTCCAATCCATTATCTGTCCTTCTGCGCCTCACCCAGCACCTCTCACCCACATCGACTGTCTTTTCGATCCATGACTTGAGACTCTTCCAACTGCTTCTTCACCGACCCTTTTGTCTTTCCCTTCCGCGTTGAAAACGTCAAACCATGAATTATATCAATCACCCGTACCCGTTCGCGAGCCATCCGGGTATGCTCCACGGACAGCCCATGGAGCAGCCCATTGCCTATGATCCGGCAATGGTCCACCCGACCATGATGCACCCGATGGACGGCTACCTCTACCCCCACCCTCACTTTGACATGGTCGACTATTATCATCAGCCGATCATGGACTACGAAGAATATGCCGAAAACCTGTCCCGGCCGAGGTTGACCAAGGAGCAGGTGGAGACTCTAGAAGCTCAATTCCAGGCCCACCCCAAGCCGAGCAGCAACGTAAAGCGCCAGCTCGCTGCTCAAACAAACCTCAGCCTTCCTCGAGTTGCTGTACGTGATCGCGATTGGACTTTCTCTGGCTTGTATACTAATCGGTTTATAGAATTGGTTCCAGAATCGACGAGCCAAGGCGAAGCAGCAGAAGCGACAGGAAGAATATGAGCGGATGCAAAAGGCAAAGGCGGAAGCCGAAGAGGCGGCCAAGGGGAAATCCGAACCTTCGACATCAGAGATCGTCAAATCTAGCGATGAGAAGAAACCACAGATCGAAAACAAGGACACGACTTCCGAACCCTCGTCACCCACGCCTGCCAGCAAGAAGCAAACTTCAAGTGCCTCGAGCTCGAAGCACCACCACACCCCAAGTGAATCGGCCCGTCAAGCTAGTCTTGCTTCCTTGCAAAGAGCCCTGAACGCTGCGGCCGCTGCCCAGTATGGTCCGGACGGTCATAGCACCGTAATAAGCATGGACGGATCAGTGTCCCCTACCACAACGATGCCGCAAGATAGTGATGCTATGTGGGGCTCCGCGACCTCTACCGGACAATTGGTCGTTCCCAACAGCGCGCATTCGCTCGTTGACTACCGTTCAGCCAGCGACGCGGGAATCCCTTACGACTCGATGCAATATGCTCTACAAGCAGACGTGGCTATTACCCGACGGGGCTCGTCAGATGCGCTTGCTGACTCATTGGAAGGCATTGGCGTCAATGGCAGCTCGCACGGTCTGTCACAGCTCGGAAACCGCACCGACCGGGCGCCGGCCTGGAGGGAAGCCGGCAAGGAGCTCGACCTTGCTGCTCGCCGAAAGCGACCACGACCCGCCGCAATCGGCACGTCAAGATCGTGCACCATGCTGTCGGGAGCCGCGGCCATGTCGCCGACCACACGGATGCCTGGCTACGGTAGCGTTAAGCACTCCAAATCCACACAGAGCCTCAACTCGCGCTATGCGGGTGTACGGAAAGCCTCGGCGCAGCGATCACCTCTGAACCTGTCGACCTTTGCCGAAGCCGGCGTGCTGAGCTCTGCAAAGACCGAAATGTCAACCATGCTGCAGCCGGTCACGACAAGCACACTTGCGCCGCCCACACCTCTGACTCCAGAGGAGCTACATCACCTGCTCCCAAACACTCCCACTACCGATGGCTACTGCTTGTCTGCGCAGCCGACCAGCCACCTCTTCCCCACGACTCAGCCCATGCAGATTAGCATTGCATCTCCTCCGGCCACGCCGTTGGGCATGGAAATGATCTCTCCTTATCAATACCAAGGTCTCGCGCCGCCCATGTCAGCGCCCGCCCACTACACATCATTTCCGGATTATACCTGCGACGGTAGTTTAGGCGGAAGAAGTTGGGAAGGCACAGCGATGCCGTCGCCGGAGGCCTCGTTCCAGAACCAGTGCCAGGTAGACATGTCAATGTCATATACGCGGGCTCTCGAGGACCACACGGACAGCGCGTCAGGGTCCCCGTTTTGCGCAACCAGCGAGCTTGACCTGCACACGCCGGGTGACGCCAAGGCTACGGAGTTCCACCTGTACGAATTCCCGGACCAAGAGGAAGCCCACCGATTCGTGGCGCAGCAGCTCCCGTCCCAGAAACCCAAGGAGTACACGTTCGCAGACAACCGGACCCCGACCAATTTCGGTTGATTCAATGACTCGCGAAGCTAAAAACGACTTTTTCCTGTATCCATAAAAGGGTTCATATATATTGTTGGACTAATTGTTTGTTGATTTGCAAGCATGTTTTGAGTATCGGTGTCGGTGTTGAGGATTTTCTGCATGTTTGAAAGCGGCTGGGCTATCGGATGGACATATCAAGGCTTTTTATTTTAACGTATATTACACTACTACATTAATACATAATAGACGACGCGGAGCTCATGTCGCGCATGCACATGCAATTATGATTTTAATTCCGGAGCTTTAACCATAATAAATCCGCGTTCCTGACTCGGGGGTCCCTTGGAAGCCTTGGTTTGCTAGCCAGGTGGACCTTATCTAATCTATTTTCCGTTGGACAAACGCACGTGGGCCACATCCGTCCATTTGTATGGTTTTGGTTTGATGTCTACACGCGCTTCTAAGACTGAAGCCTCTGACAGCTATAAGAATGCCGATCAGACCTGGTTACTTGAGTTCTTTGAACCATCAAAGATTACTTTCGACCGGAAAAAAAGATAGAGCAACAGAATCGAAACAATGAAGCTCTCAGTCTTTGCTCTCTCCGCCGCTGCTCCCCTTGCGGCTGCCGCAGGTAACAAGTATATCAACTATACGACCGTCAAGGGGTACTTTGAGCAGGATATCGAGACAACTGATCCTAGCACTTATGATTATGTGGGACTCTCCTCTCCTTTCTCTTTTACTTTGATGCTTTGACTGGTGAATCAGGATGCTGGTATGCATCCCACACCAGCAACACCCGTACCCCAACCCCCATTTCCCTTTCAGTTTCAAACAAACTTCAATCCAAGTCAATTGAGAGTTCAAGCTAACAAAGCAACTAGACCTCCCACAACTTCGGCCTAATCGACCGCAGCTACGACTCCGACAAGCCGGGCTCCAAGAACCTCACGCAGTGGGAACGCTTCCACGCCGAGCTGCAGGCCTTGAACGACAACTCGCCCAAGCATGTCAGCTACAAGCTGTTTTTCATGGGCCGCCATGGAGAGGGGTACCATAATGCTGCGGAGAGTTACTTTGGAACGCCTGCTTGGAATGTATGTTTCCCTCCCGAACTGTTCCCCAAACGGATTTCCCTAGCTTTTGCTGGGCGGGTGATCACTAGACGGATAGAGAACTAATCGATATGATGAACAGTGCTACTACGCCCTCCTCACGGGCAATGGCACTCATACCTGGTTCGACGCAGACCTTACCAGCGAGGGCATCAACCAAGCCACAATCGCGCACCAGTACTGGCTCTCGCAGTACAAGACGCAGCACATCCACTTCCCAGACGCATACTACAGCTCGCCGATGACACGCGCGCTCAAGACCGCAAACATCACCTTCAGCACGCTCCCACTCGCCGCCGCAGGCGCCGCAGACTTCCTCCCAGAAGTCAAGGAGGGCTTCCGCGAGGGGATGAGCATGCACACGTGCAACGCGCGGCGGTCCAAGAGCTACATCGAGGATCTGTTCCCGGGCTGGACATTCGAGAAGGGATTCACCGAGGAAGATGAGTTGTGGACGGGTGTTACGGGCGAGCCCTCCGAGGCACAGGACGAGCGCAGCCGCGAGGCCCTCGATGATATCTTCACCAAGGGCAAGAAGACTGACGGTGTCTGTGTTCCCAAGGGCCATAAGAAGGAGAACCTCGTTGTCTCCATCACCGCGCACTCTGGCGAGATCACCTCCCTCCTCCGCGTCATCGGGCACCAGCCGTTCCGGTTGAGCACGGGTGCTGTTATCCCCGTGTTGATCCGCGCGGAGGAGATTGAGGAGGAGGAGCCCACTACTACGATTACCTGGACTCAGTCTGCGTACTGTGCTGCGCCGCCGGCGACGTCCACGGCCTCCGGCTGTGTGTGTGCCGGGTCCGCGACACCCATTACCTCTGGATACCCAGTTGGTGGGACGTCGGTTGCGACTCCGACTCCGTTCTAATTGCTGAGTGATGTGTGGTGCGAGAGGTGAGTATGGTGTAGAGATGGCTGTGTATGTTTTATGTGTACATAGGTTTAATTGTAATGCTTAATACATAGCTTGTCTGTTTCACACTCGACTTCAGGTTGAGCGCCACAAAATCGACTAGAGAAGCGGGAGAAACTTGCGTATGACCTACCTTTCCTGTTTGATTTTTGAAGCCTCTAAATGAGAGTGACTTACGGCGAGTGCCCAGTGCATCTCACCTAGCTCCTGAGGCTGTATCGCTATTCCAGGAAGGCGCGAGTGTTGCCCTGGTCACCGTACCCAGGAGATGGCAGGAGCGACTGTGGTGAGCGGTAGGTCGCACCTGCACGCAGCGCAGTGAATCCCATTAGGAAGGCACGATGAGTTGCAGGTGGCAGGTGACGGGAGAACGAGGAAGATGCGACTGTTGAGTAACCATAACTGCCCTTCCTCATGGTATCAGTCATTGTTGCTCTCAGCATTTGATTGATTGCTTGCATCACTGGTCGGGCAATTTGACTTGGTTTTCCGTATGTGCCATTAGAGATAGAGAGGGACGTGTGGTGGGGATTTCGAAGTCAGGTCAGATTATCGTAGAGTGATAGCGGAGGGGTTAATATGATATTGTAAGTTGGCGGAAAGTGATTCTATGCATGGTTTACGGACACAAGACAAGAGATAGTAGCGGTAGAGTTGAATAAAAAGATCAATCTGAAGCTTTGAGCATCAAGTACATATAAACATAAAATCGTAACAACAAAAGTGCCGAAGTATAGAACTAATGTAAGAAGCTGGGGTACTAGTACGGTAGTGCTGAACAGAATAGCCAATAGGGCAAATGCAACACAGGCCTGAAGAGAGAAGAGATGCCACGAAGATTGAAGCGAGGACAAGACGCCTTCCTCCCAGAATACAAAATACAGACAACTATCCAAACTAGGTATCCGAATCCCCTCTATGTCATAGACAATGCACAACATCATGAATTCACAAGACTTCCTAGCTCCCGAAACCAAATAAACAGAGCATAATCGGGTATAGCATGGGGTATTGAATGAAACAGGGAAATTAGAGGAAAATATGGTCCCCATGTCGAAACAATCACACAAAGTGTATAACTGATCCTCAAGAATGTATTGCCGCGGAAAAAAAAGAAGTGGCGTTGATCTCAAAGAATGATAAACAGGTTGTTGAGCCCGAATTCACACTACTCCTGGACGCCTAGAAAACAAGAGTGAGAATTCATTCAGTAGTTTGACCACCCTGGCTGGGGATGTCCGGGTTGCATGGGCTGATTAGGCCAGCCAGGCATGGCTGGGTTCATCCCCATGTTCATTCCCGGCTGTTGAGGAGTCCCAGCCATGAATTGCTGCTGACCAGCTGGGCCGTGTTGAGATGGATACATGCCGCGCGCAGCCATGGGGTACTGCGGGTTGCCACCGGGGAAACCCATCGACGCCATGGACTGTTGCTGTGGCGTTTGCGGGTGGTGCATCGCAAATGACTGCGGCATCTGGGGCACCGACGGCCGAATTTGGTTACGGGGAGATTGCGACGGATGCTGCTGCGGCACGTTGTGGGCGAGAGGAGACGGAGAGGGTTGCTGTTGAGGTTGTTGCGGTTGCGAGCTCTGTTGCTGTAGCTGAGACGGGTACTGAGGGATTCCTTGAGGGTTGGAGGATAAAGGAGAAGGCTGAGGATGGGGAGGCGGTTGACCCCACATCTGTTGTTGCTGCTGCTGCGAGGGATAGCCGTAAGGCACGGCTGCCTGTGGCGTCAAAGCCGGGTTGGACCGCTGATGCATGAGGTCGGGACGAACTGGAGGCATGGCTCGAATGGGCGACTGCGCCACAGTGGCTTGTTGGTGCATTGTTGGTGGCTGAAAACCGGCTTGGCTAGACATCATTGGCGCCTGCGGCATCATAGACGGCTGTGCGGGCGTCGAGTTCAGCACACCCGCTGTTGACAACCGGGGGGACTGCATGGGCTGAGCCACAGACGTGGTTGGCTCGATCTGGCCCGGCTGTGTCTGCGCCGCTGTCACCGGGACTTCCCGTTGCTTGGAGTAGAACTCTTCCAGGCCCTTCTGACGGAAGTTGCGCTGCGACGTCAGGATTTTATTGAATTCTGCCGTGTGGTTCGCCTGGTTCAGGATTTCAGCGGCGCTGCTGGGCTGCGTTCGGTCTTGGAAAGGCTGGCCGGTCAATTCCTGTCGCGGTCGAGCCATGCTGTTGTATTCCCGAAGGCGCGGGTCGTCGGTCGTGGTCGCCATGTGGATCATCGGAAGTGTTTGTGATAGAGAGGCAGACAAATTAGTGGGAACGGTCTCGAGCGCGTTGCTGTAAATAACATCGCCGTGAGTCAACGTTGGCAGGAGGTTGGCCGCGTTTGCAGCTTCCGCCGCAGCCTCTCGAGCCTTGGCGCCGCCTGGGCGTTTTTCACCTGCCAAATCGTCCTCGGTGAAACCCTGCTTCCGGGCCTTGCTTTCCCAATAGTCGTCGCGCACCCGTCGTCCATTTACGATGACCCGACTACCGAACTGACGAAACATCGATCGAGCTGAAACAATGGCGATTTGGCGGGAGCGATAGGAGTAAGGAAGAATGTCCTGCTGAATCAGATCGTCTTTTTCGACCTGATTGGCGATGATCTTGTGCAACGACCGGTTCTTGTTGAATAAGAGGTAGGAGTCTCTGTACGAAAGAACCCGAGCGCATTCCGTTGCCAGCATAAACAGTTTCTTCCCGCGGTTTGGAACGGTGAACGTCCGACACCTGTACTCGCGCTCGCCCTGTAGATAGCCATCGGCATCAACCTTCTTCTCGCCCGCTTCGTCGAACTCTTTGGGAATGTATTCATCGCGCGCCTCGTTCAGTTGATCGGTGGTATGATCCCTCACAGTCGGAAGCGCCTTGACCAATGGAGCTTTGGTCGGAGTTGTCTTCTCCGGAGGCGAGGCAAGCGGTGGTGACGCGTTTGCGGGAGATTGCTGCAATTGCTGGGTCTGCATTCGGGGAGTCTGCAGTTGCGGGTTTACGGTGGCTTGATCACCGGCAGTAGGTGGCCGTGGCGTCTTTGGCGGTCGTCCTCTTTTCCGACGACTTTGGTCATCTGCGACTACTACAACGCGTTAGCTCGATCAGCGCTCCCTGCCACAGAATGTAGACTGCACGCGCAACAAAACAACAACAACGATAAACAAGTAACACTATGAGACGAGCGGCTCGAGGTAACTCTGTCTGCTCGATTGCCTCCGAGCGCAGAGTACCCGGCGCACATACCATCGTCGTGCTCTCCATCGCGAGAAGGTCCGCGCTGTTCCGGCGTGCGACCGCGCTTGATACCACGAGGGATCGTACTCGGATCTACTGCTCCATACGACGGTGTTGGTAAAACAACAGATACTAGAGGGGGGTCAGTTTGGAGGTCGTCGCGATGGACTGACAGTAGGAAATAAGAAACTGTAAACCTCCATGACGAGCGACGCGATAGTCGCGACAGCATGATAATAAACACAAAAAGAAAACATGAAAGAGTAAAAAGAAAAGAAGGCTACATACCATTTGCGTTATTTAGAGCAGCAGGATTGATGGTGCCCGAGCCATCAACCAAATCCCCTCCGAGCCCATTCATCGGAGCGGAGACGGAATGGGAGCCATACATGGCGGGCCAAGGAGGGACGGGAGGAGGGTGAAAGAGCGGTCGCGAAGCCGCGGGCGGGTCAGAGAGACGCGCGAGAAGTCAGAACGCCGAGAGAGGGTGATGGGCTACTGCAAAGAGGCGAAAAAGAAGAAACGGCGACGATGCAGGTGGCCCTCGGACAACTCAGAGTCGACGTGTCGTCGCGGGTTTCGTATGCAGTTGGGTGGGAAGACTGGGAAGGGTGGCAGTCGGGCGGATCAGCCGGGGAAAAGTTGGAGCAAATCAGTGTCAAAGGCTCCAGGTCGCGGGGATACCTTAAGAGATTGGAGGAGGGGACTGGCGACGCTTCTTGTGGTGGACGGGATCACGGAATGCTGGATTAACTTCTGGCTGGAGAGGGGAAGATCACGTTAGACGGTGACTAATCAAGGCAGAAGCAGCTGGTGTGGCTGGTGGCAGGCGGGCACCGCGGGCAACAGACGCACCGCCACATGAGGCTGACGCAGACCTCTCAGTTGTGAACCAAGGCGACTCGGCAAGTCGGGAACCAGGGGGAAAATCCAAGGTTCGCTGGTCTGCAGAAAAGCAGAGCCACCCAGCGCGCGCCCGGGGGACGGAGGGCAGCGATAAAAAATGATTCACAGCTTGCCGCTGATGGAACCGATGTGGGTACGACGGGGGTGGGTATGACCAACAGTGTCTGTGTGTAGTTTTGATCGGGGGGATGGGCGTGTCTGCAAGGCCGCAGAGGAGGTTATTGGGCGAGCGCACTGCAGAGGCCAGAAGTCTGGAGGGACTGAGGAGGAGTGGGGACGAAGGTTAGAGAAAGATGGTGCGCCAGACAAAGGACTGCAAAAAAAAGTGAAAGAGGAAGGATTCGTCTGGTGGAAGGATGATAGCGCTCAGGGAACACAAGACGATCGCTCCAGAAGACTGATTATTTGACTCCAAACAGGGCCGACCGTGCGCCACGTGAGTCCTGATTCGCTGCGATAATGCATTCATTTGTAAGCCTGCACTCGCTGCTGCTGTATATCTACGCGACTCAGGTTAGGTGTCGGGTAGCGCGGACGACGCACAGGGACGAGTAGGTTCTGAGATAATCCTCTCTGCTGCAAACCCTGCATGTGCGAGCAGTCGCAGGCTGTGCTCGCTGCTCAACCAGGCATTGCACTCATCCACGATTCAGCAAAAGCGCGCTAGGCAGATTCGAAGAATGGAGAGCCGCGTTGGCTGACGAGAATGTTCAATAACTAATGCACTTGCGCTCGGAAGGATCTCGGAAGAAGCGGCCAACACGAGGGACTCAAGGTCGGAACAGCATAAGCGCCATGATGGCGAGACGGTGATTTAACGTCGATGCATACTTTTCCGAGGTAAGACGACATGCTTGGAATGGGCAGTGATTTTCGCAGAGGACCTGGATCTCACGTTCTGACGACTGACAACGCTCGATTCCAAATCGTCGCTATAATGCTGAATTCTACTAGGTATTGTCACTTCTTGTGGGCAGTCGAGACAGCCGAATGGCTCAAGTCCATGGCAACCTATCTCCCTAATGCAAGACAGATGCAAGGATCTAGCGGCAAGACCTGATAGGCATCTGCTAGCCTCAAGGTTGTATATTAAGGCGCTTCCACGGCATGGTCCGCTGAGGCTATCCTGGACCAGAACTCGGTGATTTGATAGCATTCTGGAACGGCAGCGGTGATCGATGTTTAGTCTGTGCGACGTGATAAAGCTTCTTGATCGATTCTACAGTGTTTACACTTTACAAGCGACCATTGTCTGTCCAATCTAGCTGTGGCAGCGGTTCAGCTACTATCAGACTAGCAGCTGTTTTTTATGTCTGCTTTATCCTAATTCGGCAAGGACAGCCAGATCCTTGTCGACGTTATTCAAGACATCGCTTCGCTCCAACCCGGATAGTCCGCTGAATCGCAACATGTTCGCCGAACTTGTGAATCCCGATGACGAGTTTATCAAAGGATCAGGCAGACGGATCTGATTAGAGCTACGCCGCAATCCTGATTGAAGAATCCCATCTCGAAACCCCCAGAGCTAAGGAATCAGGCAGATGACCACTCCGGTCACAAGGTTCCAGCGGCAATCCGGGTCGATCACCATGGCAGGACCGTGCGTTCCAACCTGCGCATCCGGTTGGCTCGACTGCCAAAATGCAAGATCCAACGTGAGTGTGTCTAGAAGCGCCCAGCGAGCCAAGTGAAATATCGCTCCCGCTTCTATCAGAAGAGTTGATGGGGACACAAACCAACGGTCCAATCGAGTCTGCTGCTTGGCTGCGCTGCACTGCACTACGCTAGTACTCTGTCTTTCCTGCGCTCCTTCTAGAATGGACGCGACTGGACGAGTCTGGGTTACGGCAATCGAAGGCAAGGTCAGGCTGTGCTGCATTCTTTGTCCGACGTGAGCTGAGTATATCGGACTCGGGGCCAATAGGGGGTGGCCCTTGGCCAGTCTACATTCTGAATCGGAACCCCACAATGCGACCTAGTCGTGTTAGTCTACTCTTCTACAAAGAAGTCTACTCGGGTATCCGACCTGCTGCTCATCTATCTGGTGGCGAGAAACCGTTGCACTTTGTCGCTCGCCTGACATTTGATACTCAGAGCTCAACTCGGGTATATCGGCGCATATACTGCAGTCAACAATGGTTGACCGGATTCATCCGGATGACGATCAAGCAATCCGGGAAGTTTAGACAGCCAGAGGGAAATGCACTTACGTACAACACCCCGCGCTCCTGCACGACCCTGCATCAGACAGCGCTTTCAAGGAAAAGGAGATATCGTCCCGCGTAGGCAAGGACGTACACTGTCTGGTGACCTCGGGCGACAGCATACCTACTTGATAGCAGCTACGAATCAAGCTCTTGGGGGAATGAGTCTCGTCTTTTATGCAACTACCCGAGACAGTCGCGATATGATTTGATATGCACACCTAGACAGTACACCCAAGTACTTCTACCAATTATCACTTGGTTGGAATGGACAAGCAACGAGGCGCAGCAACCATGGGTAGGGGATGCGGGATATAGAATAGGCGCAGCCTGCAGTACGCTATTCATGCTAACTGGAAAATGACCAAAAAACGATGGTCTTTTTGCTACCTCGTGCCAAATCACTGGCGCGTTACTGATACATCGACCACGGCCCTTTCCGTTACACAGGCACAAGCGGCCGGTAAAAGGAGTACCAGACGAAGGCCAAGGCGATCGGAGAAATGCAATGGTACTTCGGAATATACCTCGATCCCCAGCCATTGATATCCTACAGAGGTAACGATAGCCACCACAAAGCAAGCCACGGCCCAAACTAAATTGTCCGAGATGGGGCAGTGACAGTGATTGACTCAAGAAGCCAAGCGCGTTGATGGACTTTCTTTGTTCGAATTCCAAGGAGCGCTGCCTATCGCGATACAATCCAGTACTTGCGTACGACAGCATCGGCCATGTACCAATCGAATGTAGCTGCCTGCATCAACCACATTCGAAGATAACGGTTATGAGGTCATGATAGATCGGGTTGAATGAGCTTCAGGTTCAACCACCGATTAATGATCTTCCCCAGTTCGTACTTTCTTTACCCCAGTCTCCAAAACCTAAGGAAAAGTTAAGGTACTTCCGGGTCCTTCATCCGCACTTCAACCATTCCTTCAACTATTACACCGTCATTTATACTTCATTTTCGCGCTTCTCGCACGAGAGCATTGGCCAGATGGCACAGGGTCCGCAAATCAGCATGCATAAACTCAGGATAAACTCACATTGGCTTCGGAACCAGAAAATCGCCAGAGCGGAGGAGTATCCAGAAGGCTGATGCGAGCGAGGGGAGGTCATGATTTAAGGATGACATAACCAGATGGAAAGCCGCCACTCAGATTTCGCGTTCTTTCAAAGCGAAAGCCAAGCAACGGCCAACTCAGATGGGTATGGCCTCCCTGCAAAGCTAAACTTCACTGGGGATAGATAACCCCGCAAAAATGGGCCAATGAGACGGAGCTTATGCAGCCGTGCGCCTCGTGACAGTGACTAGCGCCGCCATAGCATGAGATTGGTCAAGGAAACAAGAGGATATCAGCGGGACTCGGTGGCTTGCCAGTTTGGAGGCGAGAACCAGAGGGATAATTGAACAGTGATTCTGCGCACAGTGATCCTAGAGAAATCACGACACTGCTAGTAGTGAGAGCAGACGCGTAGTCGTTGGAGTCAGACAACTTGATCTGCGAAGAAATCGAATGTTCGATGGATCATTATTGGCCCCACTAATGAACGGTAAGGGTCAGGTGGCCGGCTTGATTTTTACATCTCCATCACCATCTTCTCCATCAGCATGAGAAACCGCCGTAGCCTGCGAAACAGAAATAATTGTTGTAGAAGCATACGATAACAATCAAGTCATCATCAAGCGAAAGAAGAGTAAGGCCACCCCTCGTATGATTTTGCATGCCACGAGCGCACATGGTGGAAACCGGTTCGCGGGTCGCTGGGCGTCTAGACCCCCAGAGTTTGCAAACTCTGCTCAATCAGCCGGATTCCCGTCTGGTTTCCGGGGCCTTCTGGCCAGAATTGCCCAAGGCGACTCGGACGATCCCCTCGTCCCTGTGTCCTCACGATCTCTCTCAATAAGAACCACCCCCCTCTGCCCTTTTCCTCTCCCCTTCTCTTCCTTTCCCTTGCCCATTTTCCATCCTCAACCTTCCACCACCCACCCCAACAACCATAAATGCTATCCTGACCTACAAACACAAACCCAATTCGCCTCCTTCCAACCCAGAGGAGCCTTAATAACCCGCAATTGACTTTCCCAACCCTAATCACAAACCATAACCGCCCATGGCCGTCAACGCTCTCCCCCAGGCCACCACCCCCCTGGCCCGAGGCCTATCCTCAACCGCCCCCTCTACAAACAAGCGCCTGCCTCCTCTTGCCGATAGATCCTCCCTCACCTACAAGCTCACCAACCTGTCGAAGCAAAAACTCGCCCGCGAGGCCACGGCCCCGGACCCAGACATCCGTCGCTGCCTCGTCCATTTCCGTCTTCACTGCCGATCCATCGAATGGGCGCAGCAGGAGGCCGCTACGAAGATCACCTCGTTTGAATTCGAGGATGACGAGTCTGAGGACGAGGAGGCCAAGGAGGAACAACAAGAGCGCGAGGAGGCTTCGTCTCCTGTTACCATCACCCTGACGCCGCCCGAGCCAGAGGCCGTACAGGCTCAACAAGCCGAAGAAGTTTCCTCAACCACAACAATCCCCTCCAAGGAGGATCAGACTATTCTCGTACACTTTGAGGTCGTCGCCCCAATGTCCGACGAAAAGAAGGAGGATGCTGGCATCGTCGACAAGGGCCGTCGGTGTATCGAAAAGGCACAAAACGGCTTCTGGCCGTCGCCTGGGCAGTGCATGCCTGTTCGCATCGCTGGCTAGTCGCTTCGACTAGCCTAATTACCCATATGTCGCCGCTCCTCAACCCCTACGACCATTCTCACCTCACCACATCTCACTCTACCCACAACACCTCTCACGACTCCAAAAAGTACCAAAAGTACCAACCCACATCTTTCACCCACGCCACGGACCACCTAATCACCCTAATGAGTCCCGTGTGACGACCTCACGACTTATGAATTCTGTTTTTACCTTTTCTTCTCTTCTACCTATCTTTCTCAACCGCATACTTCCTGTTCATCTCTCTGGCATGCATATACGGACGGAGCAGAGCAGTCATAATTCTGGGGGACTCGACGATTGGAGTCGATTTTACTGAACATGCTTGGAGTTGGTCTGGCTTGGTTTCGTCTGGTGCAACTTGGTTTGGCATTGGCGTGGAAAGTTTCTTTAAAGGCCATATCGCAGCGTTGGCTTTAGCATTCATGTATCTAGTATTACTACCACCTTGGATAATGGAACATAGAATCATTAGTCGCCCTCTTTTTTTTCGTCACTTGACTAGATATCTGTCCTTCAATGCATGGGCACTTTTCTCGAGACTCAATCTAACGGCCGCATTCATCTCGAATTATCAACATCTATTCATTCACTTGAAGTTGAACTCCTGAATCCCTTGAACCTCCCAAGTTTCAACCTCCACCTCTCCGTCACTGTCACTGAGTCATGCTCATTCGGTTATTAGCATCTCGGCACAAAGTCCGTCCCACAAGTCTTTATCCGACGCCCGAACTTCTCCATGTCCCCGGAAAAATCCCCGGATATCTGGGCTGAGATGATTTAGCCGACTTACTCATCCGTTGGTTACCATGGAATCTGGATGCAATCTGGGGGCGAAAACTGGTTCTGGAGGGGTTCTCGGCATCCATCCTTGTTATGCGACCTACTCCCATACGGCAGTAAGTTATTCCGAGGGCTATCTACAGAGAGTACGTATCTAAATACATACAGTCACTACACTCGAGTTTTGACCTCATTTTTGGGATTCACCAATTGACCCTTTAATGTTTGGAGGGATTGGCTACCTCAAAGCAAGTCTCAAGTCTCGCTCGAGCATTCCTACGACGGAAAGGTGTGCGTTTGGTTCGGGCAAAGTGTCTATGAACTGAATTAAGTTTGGAAACAAAATGGTTAGTACAAGGCTACCTAGCTATTAAGGATCAAAGTTAGATATACTGATGGATTATTCTACCTTTGCAACAATGTGAACATAAACATGATGGCTGTCATGAGCTAGGTAGTAGACTATACTCCTATCTCACTAGACAGCTTACTACAGCGCTCTATCTATAGAAACTAAATATGTGTGAGACTCGATACTTCGTCTCAATCCTGCTCTATCTCCTAACTTGCAGTCTCCTCGCGAAGAAACAAAAGGCAAAGCATCAATATTTCTTTGTACTAGTCACTAGTAGTTTCAGCATATCTCTCCGCGCAACCTCTGTAGGCAGAAAGTCTCCTGCCCCGGCCCATGGATGGTGATCTGGTCGCGCCTTTCTTGCTTGACCAACCGAGGATATAAGGAAGGAACGACCCGTTGCCGGCCCCCCCGGGTCGTGGAGCGTTCCTTCCGATTTCGAATTTGGCAAGAGCACCTCGTCATCTGGCACTTGATCGCGCCTTCCTTGAATGGTCAGCTGAATGTTAGGGGATGGAACGAACTTCTTTCCTTGTTTCAGCCACATACATACTTAATTTATATAGATAGAGCGCTGTAGCAAGCTGTCTAGTGGGATAGGAGTATAGTCCACTACCTAGCTTACAACAGCTATCATGTTCATATTCACATTGTTGCAAAGATAGATTAATCCAAATTCACAGACTAACTTGATAGAAGGTAGCTTGGGGTGGGATTGTGATTGAGGGTCGGATTGGAACTAAGTATAATTGTCAGACTGGCGCAAATGCTGCAAATTTCTTCGATGTAATTATCCAGGACTACTCAAGAGCGTGAGAGGGCAGCACCTCACCTGGGATACTGGTTAGAGGGAGACAGACACAGTATGGAAAGAGGCAATCTTAGCGTTAGGTGTCTTAGGAGGGAAAGAATAAGAAGATTAACATAAGCAGATGGCATGTATAGATAGTACATATGATCCAGCAAAATCCACAATATCTACTACAATATGAATCTCCGGGGACTATACCATACCTCGAAAGTAGTGTGACAGTGGTATCCCATATAGCGATAGTTACCTCGACAAGGACTGGGCATGCTGAACGGCTTTCTCAGGGTCTTTATGATGTGACACCTTGTTCCTGACCAACGTGCCATGTCCAGATAAGATAATATCTGCACTTGTCATTGCCATATCACGTCCGCTTAACTGGACTTGGAGTTCTTCGACAGCACATCGTCTCCATGTATCAAGAGTGGCATTCCGTCGCTGTCCATAACATCATCTCCGTCTTTCACAGCTTCGGCCTCAGCGTCCAGTAGCAGCGAGCAACGCTGGACTCGTCGATATTCAATGGCCTTCTTTGGTTTGAAAGTAAGCAAGGATTTGGGAAGCTGAAGTTTGCTTATAGAAGAGCAATAAGGGTTGTCCAAGGCTGGGACTTGGAGGGACGTGAAGGCACATCACGGCCGCATTTTGCCAATATTGAAAGGTCAGGCTGCCGTGAACCAGCACTAGAAGCCACTCTGGTGCAAGGTGTCTCTTAGTGGTAGGTAATCATCACCATCAACATTAGTAAAAGCAGGGTCCTACCACTCTCCAAGCTCGCAGACTGCATTATCACCATGGTGCCGGACTCTGGTTGTTGTCAACATAGCATATCTCGAGGCGGCTGTGTCTGCATTGATAGAACCTAACACAAAGGTCTGAAACGATGGCAATCTCATACTTCGCTCCCTATCTCGTGGAGCGCTATTACCGGCGGCTTCTGGCGCCATTTCCTGAAGAGTCGTTAGCTTATTCGAGAGTCCTCGTGTAGGTCCTAACCTAAAACTTACTTCGTTGTGTCTGCCACAGTATCTCTATCCCACACTCAAGCCGGCACTGTGCCAGACCATGAGCCCGGCTCATCAGAAGCTTTGCCACTATAAAACCGAACTGGGCAGTTTCTTCAATGGCCCTAAAACGAAACCTCATTTTCACTGTCTCCAGAAGGACGTTAAACCAACTACTAAGTGAAAGGGCATTTTCTTTCCTAGCAACTTTATCATATGGATTGCTAGCAGCCTTCTGCCTGGTTAAACTCGTTAGCTAAACCGTAAGATTATACATTTAGACGTTCGCTTGAGTGCAATTGAACAGTGGATGTCCCGGACTGTTGGTAGCGGACCAGAAGCGTGGTCGAACAGATATGCTAGTAGTATATCATAACGATAGATGTCGTGCTGAATATAGTCGAGTATTCTCGACATGAATGTCAGCCTCAATGGTACCCTCTATCAAGAGCATGCGAATCTCAGCAGCGTCAGTGACATTGGGGACATTGGGGACATCAAATTGGGAGGTATATTCATGCGCTTAGGGTCAAGAACTGCGGCCTCCTCGGGTATCGAGGTACGCTCTGGTGTAGTTCTAGGCAAATGATGCGGAAGGTCCTTCTAAAAAGGGATGCCGCTTTGATGCCAAGTGAGGGGAGGGGATTTTGCAGCAAACAAGGCTCTCCTGGGCGCAGTATGGTGGCGCCCGCTTACTGCTCCGTCAGCAGCCACATTGTCACATTGATGTCCAGCACAGCGCGGTCCCGGTCGCCACCGATAATATGAGCGCAATTGGTGACTCTGAGAGTGTATCATACATTTCATCCCTTGAAGATTATGGGGTTGCGATTGACACTCCTAATCCCAGATCTAGATACATTGGACAATGCTGCTTAGTGGACCTTGACAAGGCATCGACACATGCTAGAACGCCATAGCTATGTTTCGAGGGTGAATCTGCCGCTTTTCCATTGTACTATCTTGTCCATACCTGGCCTTGATGCGGTTATTACTCACATCAATAGATCCTTGTACTAAGGCTTCAGGTGGAATCAACCCCTCTCCTCGTAACCGGCGGATGAGAAGCGTGGTAAGCTCCTAATTCACCCTCTCCGAATTGAAACGATTTGTGGGAACCTTAACACAGCTTGATATTGAAAGTCCTTGGCTTGTTGCCGATTCATTGCTGTAGGGTTGTTGACCTATGCTATTTTGGGCTTTCTGGACGGCGGTGGATGCTTGAGGGTCTGCGCTAATCGTAGTCGGTAAAGTCGCTGCGCAAATAAAGTTTTAACTAGGCAATTTGCGTCGATCTTTGGGACATCTCCTCGAGTTCCTCTGTTCACCCACGCTACTGGCGTAGGGACAGGGGAATCATTAGCGCGCGTTGACAGTCGGACAGACTGGGCGGGGGGGGGGCCCGCGGCGGGGAACGATGCCGCCTCTGGCCTGCATATAAGACGACCCACTGCAATTTCAGCTTTGGCGCTTTGTATGGCATTTACCGCTAACCCCTTTTGAGATTAGTTGAAGCTGCTCCTGCTGTGCTAATGTTTCAATTACGGAGTAGCTTCTGTTTTGTATGGTATAGAAAAGGGACGCATACGGAGTACTCCGGAATACAGGAAATTGTAGTGGGTCGTCTGGAAGGCCGGCCAGAGGCTATTCAGAATGAGCTCCTCACTGGCCCATCGGCTGTCATTGTCTCTGCTCCGAGCACTTTTAACTATGTCTATCATTTCATGGTTGCCCAAGTACACCGTATGTGATGCTGATATATTTAGGAGGCGGGATTCGCACTTCTGCTTGGAAACTTATTCAAGCTCAACACATACCCATTCTTACATATTCAGTCTTTTCTTCCGCCTCTCCAACAGTGCTCTAGCTATAATTTCCTGTCATGGAGCCCGTACCCATCGCTACCCAAAACCAGGAAGAGATGCTTCGGTATAACTTAGCAAGCCCCCCCGAAGGGATTTCGTCTTGGGCGACTGCGAGGCCAGACTCTATGCCTCTACCGGAAGCTGCCTCAATGGGCTTTCAATCTACCATTCAATCTGTCCCTAAAGCTGTACCTGTCTGGGGAGGTACAGTGTCAGGCCCTCCTACCACGGATCCCAGGCTGGATCCTGCGATGAACTGGGGTTTTCAAGGGCCTCCTCAGCCTCATGTCCATCAGCATAACGGGATCCCTATTGGATTGCCTACACAATACCTCGATCTTTCCGTTCCCTCGGCCCAGCCCTCGCTGCAGCCTCAGGCCCTTTTGATGAACCCGTCCGAGAACCTTGCAACGCATCAGTCATCCCAGCAGGCCTTGACCCCGAATCACTTACTCGAGTACGTATCACCATCATCAATTGACTCTGCTGCTTTCCTCCATCTACAAGTTCCACATTGTCTGACCAGGTTTTATTCCTATATAGTACACTCGCCCCTACCGTTCGTTATTACTGCAAATGGGAGCGCTGCCAAAACCTCGCCGGCTTCAAACGGCTGTCTGAGATTCTTCGTCACATCAAGGAGATTCATCTTGCCCCCGACGCGTATACCTGTCCCGTAGATGGGTGTGGCAAGACCTTCAACCGGGCCGAACGTCTAAGGCATCATGAACGAACCCATCGGCCTCGAATCCAACCTCCTGTTCCAGGCCTACGCTTTTAAATCGCACTACAATCCGGCTCCTTGCCCACTAGTCGATATATGATGTGTCGACATTTTCTTACTTGGTTATCTCTTCTTTACACGTACTTTATACCTTCATGCTGAGCGCTACTATGTATAACTAATGACAAAATCTCGGGTTTCTCTTCGCTATCGTACTTGATCATGATAACTTTTATTCTGGAAAGATGTTGCATAAATTATATATACTGTTTACTATAAACCTGAGGGTTCAATATTTCATATGGCTGTCTATCCAGTCTTGCCGTACTCTCGCGATTGTTGGAGGCGTCCTAGTCCAGTAACCCTAATTCTTGTCCTGTGAGATGTCGCAATCCTCAAAACTTCATACTTGCCGTACAAATGCGCGGTTTCCTTCCACGCCTTTCTTGATCCATATCAATGCAATACTTTTGCTAGCTCTCATACTCTCGATCCCTCCCCATCCCATGATGGATATTGCTCCCTCGATATATATATATATGTTGCGCCTCAATCTCTTAGTCGACTCCCCCGCCGCAGCCGAAGAAAGCGCCAGCACTCGCGACGTGAACCCCAAATTGAGATGGGCCGAAGGCTTCCACCGCCTGTACCTCGAGCTAAACCTGCAACAGGACGAGGCGGAGGCGTGGCACGTACTTCGGTTGCCCGACCGTGGCTGCGCGCGACGCGTGTGAATTGCTGTACTCTCCTAATTGAGTTCCACGATACGCTCTTTGATGATAAACAGGAGTCGCCTGTTCTTTGACTGCCGATTATTGAGCTAGAGAAAGCGAGCTAGAAGTTCCAGAATCCTTTTAGAATCCATCTAGAAATGGGACGGATACCTACGGCTCTCGGGGCGCCTGAGATTCGCTGGCACGAGACAAGATGGACCGGCAGCAAACTCTTATCCTTCAATTTTTACAAAAGGGGCCGCCTTGCGAGATGTGACTGGTTACCAGAACGTTTAAAGTGACCCGGTAGGACTAAAATCTGGGAACGATGAACTACGGAGTAAAGAAGAAACAGCTAGAAGTGAGGAGTGACGTGACAGGAGTGGAGTTCCATGATTTACAGAGCTAGAGGCAGATCTCCGCTAAACTCTTATCTCCTTGAGGAGGTGAGGCATTATGCAGGACATGGTGGTTCCCCGAGTCGCCTTCGCTAGTAGTGTTGTAACGCAAGGTAACTAGCTCAAATTCTATGGCTCCTAGATTTACGCGATTCTGGCTTGTTAATACGAGAAGGGCTGGAATACAGCGGCCGTTGGCGAGCGCTAAAGAGAAGATGATTGTTGAATAATTGACGCTGTTTGGGGCTGAGTGGGTGTGAGGAGGATTGTCTTCCCTACCCTGTAATACCTAGTGCCCACTGGGAACGAGATGAAAATCTATCGATACTGGAGCAAATTTATTTGCCAGTCTGAACACAGGCGGGAGTCGAGACAGGAGGAACTGTCAGCGATCGCTTATGTTGACATCGATTACTCCGTGGCCTGGCTAAGCCCTTCAGCCGAATCCTGGCCAGTAGTGATGCGGCGGGGATGGAAAAAGCAAAGAAACCATGCTTCACTGCTCAGTGGATCGTGGATTGACTGGATTCCAACGCTGCTCAAGGTGCCTAGTCTGGTCTTGTTCTGCGTAATGCCACGCCCCTGTCCCACGAGCCCCACTCTTTTTACGAGCCTGGGATCATCTCTGGTTGTTGGTGTTGGACGATTCCAACGTTCTTTTGCTCCGGAATGCCACGCCCACCTCTGGGATGTCTGCTGAGAATTGAGAATTGGGAATTGACACAGCATGTGGCATGAAGAAAGCCGCGCCCACCGCGACAGGAGGGAAGCATACACAGAATTCAAGCATATATAGGGCAATTTCGCGCCCATTGAGTAGCTACGATGCTTTCTCACACATCCCTTTTCTTCCATCTATTCCCTCTTGAACTCCCTCTTGAGATTACTTTCTTCCACCATGGATTGCTTTTCCACCTCGCCCCAGGAGCAAGAAAAAAGGGCCCTGGCGGATACAACAGATTCGCCCAGCTGGACTTCGGCCCTTGCACTTACCGAAGCACACACTATGTCTTCTCTTTCAGCTGGCAGTGGCAATGGAAACATTAACCCGTATCTTTTCCCCATTCGATTCGCCTCTAACAGCACCATCACGCCTGTCTTGAGTGGTCATATACCAGACCCTCCTACTATGAACCCCAGCTTGGAGTTTGCAGACATGGTATCGACTTCTCTGGAGGATTTCACGTCGTATGACCATTATCAGCTGTCCCAGAGGTCTGGGGGCTGGCCGATCAAGTCCACTACCTCTTCCTTCTATAACGTTCCTCCGCAACAAGGCGTCACCATGAACCCGAGCCCGAAATCGACCTCATTCCCCAATGATCCAGCCTACTATTTACCCCAGCCAAGTGCCTCTACCATACAAATACAATTATCCGCGCTATCATCTTCTCATGCCCATCCTGAGGGTCTCCAATGCAAATGGGAAGGCTGCCGAGCCCGAACCACTTTTCGGCGAGCAAATGATCTCATCCGTCATATCAGAACAATTCACGTTGCTCCCCATGAGTATCGCTGCCCCGTTGAAGGTTGTGGTATGGCTTTTGGCCGCGAAGACCATCTCCGAGCTCATGAGGGGGTTCACCTCCGGCGAGGTTAGATTGTTGGATGAGTATTATACTATGGTCTAGGCTTCGAGTCTACACTCCTGACCTAAGCTCCTGATCTGCCATCATCCTCCGTAGTCTTGGTTTGTGCCTCCGGCTCGCAATTCTTGTGGTGGACCTCTCTTACTTGGTTGTGTGCTCTCTCCATCTACCCTTTCCCTCTACCTTCTCCCTCTACCTTCTACTTTTACCTTCTACTTTTACCTTCTACTTTTACCTTCTACTTTTACCTTCTACTACTTCTCACTTGTCCCTTCTTCTGCTACCTTCATGTTGAGCGCTACCATGTATGTATGAGTAACGAACAAAATTTCGGGCTCCTCTTCTGTGCTATTCACGACCATCAAGTTTGTTTTGTGTTTTCCTCAACATCCACTCTATAAAAACTATATGTCTATAGATCTCGGATTTATTATGCCAATGTCATGTACCAGTATACGCTATCCCCCTGTCCTTCCGCAATGTCTGGAGAAAAAAAAAGAACATAATATGAGAGCATTTCGTGAATTATAGAAGTAGGTCGGATTCTGAAACATATTTTATTACCCTGGGTAACTAGTAGGCAAGGGAAAGATAAGCCTGAAGAGTAAGAGCGAGAAGGAAGGAGCTGGATGCAAAGTAGTCAATCTTTCAGGTACATACATACAACGCAGCGGCGACACTGCAGCGTGCGGGCGGGGTTTACGCTAGGGCTCGGTCTCAACTACCCATCTGTTCTTGTGTAGTCTTGGCTTTGCCCAGATCCAAGACCCCGATCTCTGCTAAGCTATAGAAGGAGTTTTGTTTGGAACCTGAGGAAGATCTAGATGCCTCTACGCCAAGCCCTAACTCCAGGACCAGCTGTTTAGTTACTAGCGTGTTACTAGCGTGGGTGAAGGGAGAGGCGGGCTCACCCCGAGGCACAATCAGGGATATACGGGAGCCAATCAGAACGTCGGACAGGGACTATGTGCTAGTAGGATGGATTCGTTCAGAGGGCAGACAGGTACCACGGCAAGAAACCATGCTATCTTATAACCTTATTTAGGATTTGCGCCTAAAGATAAATAAAAGGTACCGTAGCATAATGCAATAGTTGGCACAACAGACACCCCAAACAACATACTCGATGTAAGAATCATCCCGGCAATACAAAGACCAAATAGAGAACGCCCGCTATGTACCATGCGCACATATATGCTAACAATTCCATACGAATAAAATCACATTGGAAGGTCATCATCATCATCATCATCATCATCCCAGCCCAGCGCCGCATAGATCGATTTCTCGGGGGTGACTGGTATGACTGGCGCAGCCGGCACAGTAATATTAGCCTTATTAGCTCCAGGTCCAGGTGCAGCCCCGGAGGTACTAGATCGACGAGAGACGGACAGTAGCGCAGGATCCGGAGCAGATCTTGGTTTCGGCGGTGTCTCAAAAACCATGGACGATGGCGCTGACGGGGTGAGTTTGCTGGGGAGAGCGAAGAGGGGTGGAGGGGGAGGTGGGAGGCGTGTTTGAGGAGAATTGATGTCTACATCCATGTCCATGTTTGTGTCTGCGAAAGCAACGTGCTGCGAGCGGACTGGAGTTAAGGGGTCTGTTTCCGTGGGTTGAGGCGGTGGTCGGCGAGGCACGCGGAAGAGGTTTCCTGTTCCTGGGATGGGGGATTCCGCGACCGTGGCGTTGCGCTCTACGGAGTCGTTGAACGAGGGGAGCGGTTGCGCTGGGCGCCGCGAAGGTGTCTCTTGGACTGCGACGTCGGCGGTGAACGGTCCGCCTGTGAAGGATGTTGGTCGGATTATGGAGCCCGGTATAACCTGTGGCTCGGCGTTGAAGGGGGATGAGAACGAGGCGGAGGTTGTCTTGGGCTTGGACCTGACGACATTCTTCTGCAGAGGAAGGCCGATGCCAGCGTCTCTCTTCCGGGTCTTGCTGGGTGTGGCCATGACCTGGACGCCTTGTCCGAGAGGGTTTCGGACGGGGTTCTTTGGTTTCCTTGAGCTGGAGCTCGTGAGTCGCTTCTCCACGTCCTGGGCGATATCCTTAGCCACGAGTTCGCGGTTCGGCTTTCTGAGGGTTAGAATGGCAGCGTCGAGCTCTTTCTTCTGATCAGCCAACATTTGCACGCGCTTGAGCTTTGTCTCGTGTTGTCGTGCGACAGCAATCAGGTCGACTTCTCGGTTCTCGACTGCTCGCTTGGCTTTCTGGATGCCTCCACGCACGCTGGTACTGAGCGACGGGAGCAGAGGGGTGGTTTCTCGTTTGCTCTCTATCTGCGACGGAGCAGTGATAGAGCGGTTCAACGACGGCTGTGATTTTGCTTGGGATGTCGTCTGCTCGTCAGTAAGGACGCGGTGCAATGCCCGGCGAGACTGCCTCTGCGATGGATTGAGTTCAACAGCCCCCGACTCTCTACGAGAAGGCTTCTTTGCTGACTTCGGGAACGATGATATGGCGCTGACGGAAACACCTAGTTTTCGAGTGATCATCTTGCACCGGTCCGGTAAACGCGAAGCGTAGAATGGAATAATAACTTCCGTGCAAAAGTCTCGCATTGCATCGCTCCCACCCGCCTTCCCGGTCTGTTGAGCACTTCCTGAAGCCTGAGCATCTGCGGGGGCATCGTCAAGGCTAACTGTATGCCAGATACAGAGTCGATCAAGGTGGAGTTCGAGCATTGTGTTCAGATCTTGCGGCTTCTTCGCTTTCGACTTAGGCTTTTGTGAAGTTGCATCATTGGAGCCATCTTCATGGCCGGCCTTCTTCGCTTCCTCGGCAGCAGCGACCTCGAGTGCCATCGTCTCTAGGATAAGCAAAATCTGAAGCTGCGTTTCACGCAGCCGCAAATCAGACACATATTTCTTGATTTCCGCTTCTCGCGATGTTTCCGCCAAAGTACCGGTCTCTGCGAGTAAGCGGTTCTTCCACCCTCGCCGGATAAAGTCCTGTTCCCCCGCGTAGAGACCATTTCTTCCTAGCGTCTTCTTTTTGCTCTTGCGCTTTTTCGGCCCCTCGTCATCTGACATGGTGAGCACGATGTCGTGGAGACTCGCCGGCAAGGTTTCGCGGAATTTCAAGTCCATTTTCTTTGCTGTCAAGATGGCTTCTCGATAGAATGCAGTAAGATCGGAGATCGTGCCTGTTTCAGAATCTAGAGACTGGAACGCAGCGCGACAGCGTGGCAGAGGCCCTTTCGCAAAGTATGCAACGGAAGCCTACGTCATGTCAGCATAATCCGTGTGGACCCGTAAGAGCAGGTTTCCTACCTTAGTAATGTAGAGAGCCTGCAAGTACTGCTCTCTAAGCCCATCCAGAAGCTCCGCTGGAGATTGCCCAATTTCTTGAGCTTGCCCCTCACCGACTTCATTAGACACCACGGGCTCGACGTGATCCTGAATCTCCGGAGGTACAGAGAGCATACGGAGGTCGCAGCTGGAACTTCGATCCATCGGATCAACCGGCCACACACCCTTCACAGGCTCATCACCTTGATCAGCAGCACCAGGGACACCGAAGACGAAATCAACCTTGGCGCGCTTCGGCGGTATACCGGCACTAATATCAGGAGCTGGATCCTCAACCTGCGCCAGCCGCCACCACTCACCCGCAGGAGTATTGTCACCGAATTTCCGGGGCGTGCATGGCGCTAACCCCGAGCTGACTCGGTGACTCGACGCCTTGACGACAACCCGGATATCTCCTTCCTCAATGCCCCGGACCAGTTTCGTCAGTGCGTATATACCCCGCTTGACCCTCTCAATCACATACAACCCAGCGTCCGACGTCAACCGCACAACGAGGACAACCGGTTCAGCTTGCGAGTCTGCCTCGAGGGCAGGGATATTCGCCACGAAGAGACTCCCCGATTGGATCTGTGATAGTGCCGAAGGGGCATCGAGCCAGGCAAAGGGTAGCTGGAGGCGTGGTATCACGGCGATCGGTTCAAGGACGTACGGGTCGTCGGACAGGGACGCGGCATGGGCCTTGAGACTGGATGTTAGTGTCTAGAGGTTTTCTGCTGGGTTCTACTAACGCACTCGGATAATAATATTCTCGGCCGCCCAGCCGTGGGAGGCGGAGCTTAGTTTACGCTTTTTCGGCGGGAGATGGGGATCGTGGAGCTGGTTGAGTGGGATGGGTTCAAAGACGCTGAGACATTCACGCGAGGCCATGAACGCGTCGGCAGCTACTCGTACATTGCACTGTAGGTGGAAGGAGTTGAGGTGAGGGATTGGCGTGTGAAAGATGACGTCCGAAAGTGGAGGAGGTTTCAATGTGGAAATCAAGAGCAATGGGTGGTACAATCTTTCCGAGAAGAATCCGACGCTTGTCTTGAATTATTGAGACGCGACTTGAATGAAGACTTGGCGTCACGCGTCTGTGGGGACTTGGAGGTGGGAGTGTTTGTGCCTTGCTGCCTGACTGCCTGAATACTTGACTTCCTGAAATCAGGTCTCGGTCCCACGTGGGCCAGCTGGAGAACGAGATGGGACCGATGTGATGGGGCTCCTTCGGAAATCCCCCAGGCGAAGAGAGCACAGCCCAATTTTCGTGGTTTACAGAAGTGGAAATTTCAGGGTTGCAGATGCAATGTCTGTTCATTAATCTATATTGCTAATGTTTAGATTAGCATGCAATGTGGTGCAGACTCGAACTTGTTCGAGCTGACCAACTGTAGGCCGTTCACAGCAACTCTGACATCAAGTCGAGATGCTGAACCTCGAGGCTCATGTGTTGAAATGTTCACACCAACAAACGCCGTATACATCCCTCCCAGCCAAAAGTGGTATCATGTTGAATTTATCCGCGCAAACCCTGGTCTCCTCAGCGACCATGCAAAGAAATAGTCAGACATAAGAAAAAAGGGAACAAGAGGTGCTTTTTGTTTTGACATGTCTATGCTTGTGCTTTGAGTTGTTGAAACAAAGCAAGGAATCATTACAGTCGTGAAAGGAGATAAGGAAGATATGTCAAAGGAGAATTAACTCTCAAGCTGCTGCGCTTAGAACTTGAGGGTCTTGGGCTTCTCCCAGGAGAACTCCTGGTTGGTGAAGTGACCGTTCTTGGCGGTCTGGAAGTAAATGGGCTTGGCCAGGTCGAGCTCGCGGACGATGACACCGGGACGGAGGTCGAAGTTGTTGCGGATGATCTGGACGAGCTCCTCGGAGGTCTTGTCGGAGGTACCGTAGGTGTCAACGTAGAGAGAAAGGGGCTCAGCGACACCGATGGCGTAGGAAAGCTGGACAAGGGCACGGCGGGCGAGGCCGGCGGCGACAAGAGACTTGGCGATCCAGCGACCAACGTAGGCAGCGGAACGGTCGACCTTGGAGTAGTCCTTTCCGGAGAAAGCACCACCACCGTGAGCACCCCAGCCACCGTAGGTGTCGACAATGATCTTACGGCCAGTCAGACCAGCGTCACCCTGAGGACCACCGATGACGAAGCGGCCAGAGGGCTGGATGTGGTAGACGGTGCGGTCGTCGAGAAGCTCAGCGGGGATGACCTTCTTGATGATCTTCTCCTTGATGACAGCGCGGAGCTCCTCAGTGCTCACATCGTCGCTGTGCTGGGCGGAGACGACGACAGTGTCCACACGCTGGGGCTTAACAGCACCGTTGTCGTGGGCGTACTCGATAGTAACCTGGGTCTTGGTGTCCGGACGGAGCCAAGGGATGGAGCCGTCGTTACGTGCAGCCTTCATGGCGGCGTTGAGCTTGTGGGAAAGGAGGATGGTAAGGGGGAGGAGTTCAGGGGTCTCGTCGGTGGCATAGCCGAACATGATACCCTGGTCACCAGCACCGAGCTTCTCGAGAGCCTCCTCGTAGTGGAGACCCTGAGCAATATCGGGGGACTGTTGCTCGATGGCAACAAGGACGTTGCAGGTCTTGTAGTCGAAGCCCTTCTCGGAGTCATCGTAGCCGATGTCCTTGATGGCGCCACGGATGATGGCCTGGTAGTCAAGTCTAGCCTTGGTGGTAATCTCACCAAAGACCATGATCATACCTGCGGCAGGTTAGCGGTGGACATCTTGGTGTAGAGCGAGGCTCGGGAACCTACCAGTCTTGGTAGCAGTCTCACAAGCGACCTATTCGGAGGGTTAGACGCTGGTTTCAGATTCGTCCCAAGTGCGCCCAAAAGGAGAAGAACGCGGAACCGCCAGAAATCATACCTTTGACAATGGGTCCTCAGCAAGGCAGGCCTATGAAGATTAGTATTGGTTGTCCTTTTGGAGTTATTTCAAGTATGAAAACTCACATCGAGGATGGCGTCGGAAACTTGGTCAGCAATCTTGTCCGGGTGGCCCTCTCCGACCGACTCGGAGGTAAAAAGGAATGTACCAGTCTTGGGAGCGATTGAGCCCATGATTGTGTGATTCTGGGGTTCCGAGGATATTAGGAAGAGAAGGTGGGCGGGATGGGAAGGAAAAGAGGCTGAGGAAAGGACAATGAATTGTATTTATGAGCGGAATGGGAGGAGAGAAGAAAAAAAGGAGCGGGGGGGTCGGAAGGAGGAAGGAGGGGATTTAAACTGCAAGGTGGGTTGGCCCGCTGGCTCGAATAATATGTCGCAATCGCAATCTCTGCGCTTAGGCGGTGTACGGTGGAGAAAATTGGCAATTTCAAAGGGGACTAGCGGCAGGGAACAAGAAAGGCCGAACTCCGGTCGATCCTGCTTGGACTTACTCGTCGGCCCCGAGTATGTATTACGCTTGAGCACCATAAGCTGACATTATCGTTGCCCTGTTTGTACAGGCAAAGAGCGGATCTTATTGGGACAGTCGCCTCTACTTTCTGACTCTGTTGCACCTTCTAGGGCTCCGGGCCGACAGTACCCCCGCCCCCGACTATCAACCTCAAATATTATTGATCTGACGGCGGACTCAACCAACGCTACAACCCGTTACCAGCGCTCATCCACAGCTCCAACTGTCGATATAAAAGGACATAGTATCACTAGTATGGCCTCGAAATTTGGATTGCTAGTTTGTGGGCCAGCAGGGGTCGGAAAGACAACGGCTTGCGAGTGCACCCACTGCGATTTTTCACGCGATTTTAATGCCAGTATGGTATAGCTAACGATGAATATCAGGCAATGCACTTATACAGCATCTGCAAACGGTCAGACGCTCAGTTTTCTATGTAAACCTAGACCCTGCGGCGGACAATTTCCAATACGAACCCGATCTCGACATTCGCGATTTGATTACTCTCGAAGATGTGATGGAGGAACTGGGCCTTGGACCGAATGGAGGATTGATATACTGCTTTGAGTTTTTGTTGCAAAACCTGGATTTCCTCTCCGATGCCATCGATCCCCTTAGCGAGGAGTATCTGATCATCTTCGATATGCCCGGTCAAATTGAGCTCTACACACACGTCCCACTACTTCCGTCGCTTGTCCAGTTCTTATCGCGTGCCGGTCCTCTCAATATAAACCTGTGCGCTGCGTATCTTCTGGAAAGTACGTTCATTGTGGACAAGGCCAAGTTTTTTGCCGGTACTCTGAGCGCCATGTCCGCTATGCTCATGCTCGAGATGCCGCATGTCAACATTCTCACAAAGATGGACCAAGTGCGCGAAATGGTTTCCCGCCGAGAACTCAAACGTTTTAGCCGTGTGGACGTGCAGCTGCTTCAGGACAATAACGAAGCCGAGTATGACGCTGGAGCCGATCCCATGTCGAAGGACTCGCTGATGAGCGGCGGATCCTTCGACAGGCTGAACCGTGCAGTGGCTCAGCTGATTGACGATTTCAGTATGGTGTCGTTTTTACAGCTAGAGGCTCAGGACGAAGATAGCGTTGCTGCCGTGCTTAGCCATATTGATGACGCCATCCAGTATCATGAGGCACAAGAGCCAAGGGAACCTAATGATACTCAGGAAGTCGACTGGGAAGCGGATTGAGGGCAAACTTGGAAAATCTGACGCGACTACGATATGATTCGTCATTGCACGAATCTCTGCCACGGTTACGGCCTCGCACTCCCGACTTGACGGCTTTTTCGAGGCTTAGGCTAAGTTATCTCTTAGCCGCTTCGATCTGCGACGACTCTGCGCAGACTGTGCTTAAAAGGGTGTGTCAGCGATATGCTCAAAGCGCTGCGAACAGGTATAATTGCCGACATGCTGAAATATCTCCCGCCAATCAAATGGACCAATTAGTGGATATGACAGGGTATAACAACAGATACATTACTACAAGGTAGTAGAAATGAGAAATACCCAATCAACAGCTCTATGCACGCGTAGCTCGTAAAAGCAAACCCGAAACTCCTGCTAGAATCAGCTACAAACGAACCTCTGACCTATCCGATCCTGTGAATATCTTAATCCGACGCCACCCAACCACCATGGAATCCGCTAATATTCAAAATCTTCCAAATCCAAATCGTCCATCCATTGCGTATCATAAAAGAGAGACAAATTCAAGTCCTCTGCCACGAGCCCCGACTAGGTTTCTCCCCTGCCCGCGCCGCCGTAGACTCCTCCATCCCACGCCCAACCTGCTCCAGAAGCCCCACGAGGAAGTTGAAAACGAACCCCAGATCGCGCGCAACCTTCGCCCACCCCGCCTGGTACATATACAGCCCCAGCGAGATGATTGTCGCCCACCAGGCCAAGCGCATCGTCAGCCACACCCAGAACATCACGGCGCGACGAGTATAATCGAGGACTTTAAAAGAGACGAAGAGGATGAAGATGAGGACAAGGACGGACGCAAGGTCAGGCATTGAGGCGAGGAGGTGCGCGATGGGTTGCACGATGTATGGGTCGAGGTATGTGAGGCGTAGGTGTGCGAGCGATGGATCGAGGTAGGACTCTTTGATGTGGGCGACGGAGGGGTCGAGGTATGTCGCGTGGAGGTGCGCGAGGTTGGAGGCGATAGGGGAAGACGTGAATTGTTGGATAGTAGGGTGTTGGAGGAGGGATTGTAGGTATTCTATGAGGGGCTCTTTGTTAGCAAGGTTGGGATGCTGGGGGTTTCGCTGCGATGGGATTTACCTGGGAGATTGTCCATGGCGACTATGTGGTGGTCAAGGGGTTGAAATTCCCTGGCTAGTTGAGTGAGAGGGCGCTGGCAACCTATATCGAGGACAAGGTAACTATTCCTTTGGACTGGCTCAGTATGAAAGCTGTTGTGATAGAGAATGGGCCGAGGCAAACAAAGTGTCGGCATTGTGGCCTGAGGCTACAGATCACGTGCCTGCTTCCTAGATAGCTTCGTCTTCCGCTAGCTAGCTCCTACAAATCAACACATATTCCATAATGTCTCCTTTCTTCCACGGCTTTCATGCCGATACAAAGCAAACATGCACGCCTTCCTTTCTTGGACTTGCTCACGCACGGACCCCAAGCGCGGAAATATCCCAACTTTCAAGCTGTGACATTGGATATTTATGAAGCTCGTTGCTTTTCATCACTTATCAAGGATATTTTCCGGTAGACCCTGAGCTTTGCGTCGACTTTGTCTCTTCACGGTAGAATGTTCATTCCCCTCGTCGTTGCCAAGGTGGATGATCCGTCAACTACCAGCAGGGTCATGGGTTGGGAGCGATGGCGGCTTCAATAGACTCGATACGTTACTATTAGAGGGGCGTGAAACGAGATGCACTTGCACAAGCGCCGCCGCGAGAGATCGCCAGTCATCTCAGCTTCGCTGATTTCTCAGCCTTGTCTGCTCGTTGAACGCATGTACCCCACATCAGACAGTAGACGATAGTAAACCGGCTCCAATTTCACCAACCAGGCCATTTTGTTCTTCAATCACAGTTATCTTCCATCAATTGAGTCTCCAGCCGACGCAGTATCGTTCCATGTTCAAAATTCGCGTGTTCACCCGGAGTACGGTTATGTACGGCTAACAAGCACGCGACTTGAAAGGATCAATCTCCTATGATCATGGCGGGTCGGCATCATGGAGAGTACACAATTGGCTGGATCTGTGCCCTTTCAGTAGAAATGGCTGCTGCCATCACGATGCTTGACGAAAAACATCCTGATCTATCAACGAGTCAGGGCGATCACACCAGCTATGTTCTATGCCGCATACGTTCGCATAATATAGTTATCGCCTGTCTGCCATCGGGGATCCATAACACCGCCTCTGCAGCAACAGTAGCTGCCACCATGCGCCTGACATTTCCTTCAATTCAGGTTGGTTTGATGGTCGGCATCGGAGGTGGAGTACCGAGCAGACAGTCCGACATTCGCCTTGGGGATGTTGTTGTGGGGAGACCGACTAGAGACTCTTGAGGTGTAATACAGCACGATTTCGAGAAGACGGTTAGAGACGGCCAGTTCGAACGCCAGGGGGTGTTGAATAAACCTCCTTACGCTGTTCTCACAGCCATGTCCCGATTACAGGCGGCAGCACCAGCTACAACAAAATATACCTTTACTCATGCTTGTTCTAAACGCAGGGCCTGAGGTGCAAAAGATCTGCAATATGCCATTGATTGGTGAAAGCTTACCTGCCTTGCATGTCGCAGCAAAACTAGGGCACGAGATAGTAGTACAGCATTTACTGACAATTTGTGCTATAAATGAGCAGGACGCAGATGGCCAAACTGACTACACCATGCGGCAAAGACGGGAGATGTCTCCGTTGTACGACTTCTTCTAAACACTAAAGGGGTGGATACATCTCTTCGATCCCAGAACAATCACAACCCGATTTGGCTCGCTGTTCTCGAAGGACACTTGGACGTATAAGATTTTGTTGAGCAAGTTTGGCAAGACTGGACGATGACGTCTACATTGAGGCAGCCAGGCTCGAGAATGCCGCTATTTTGAGGGAGCTTCTTTCTAGACGCGCACCGCATGCGCAATATTTCAGACAGGTGTAAGGCTATGGTATGGGCTGCTAAAATGGGGCATACAGACGTGGTGGAGGAACTCATCCGTTGGGGCGGCTACTCTGATGAGTGGTTCCAAAAGGATGCCTTGTTACCTTGGCCCCTGGCTTTGGCAGCCGGTGAAGGACATACAGAAGTAGTCAAGCTACTGGCCGCGCTAAAGGCTAATCTTGAGTGCAGGGATGACGCCGGAAAGACACCGTTCGCGCGGGCGGCACAGAATTGGCATATAGAAACCGTGAGGGCCTTGCTTGAGCTGGGGGCTGACAAGGAGACAAGAGAAGATAAACATGGGATGATACCACTAGCTTTGGTTGCAGAAAGTGGAATGGAAGGAAGCGAAGAAATTTTGTCACAATCCTGCTTGACAATGAGCACAGTTGGGAGACAAAGACTCATATGGCCGGGCGCCGCTATTCCTAGCGTGTAGACATGGCTGCAGGGCGATTGTCAAGATCTTGCTTAGCAAGGGGGCCAGATGGGATGTTGTGGACTATGACGGGACGCGGCTTACGGAACTACCTGGCTTTTCCTTTTATTAGTTTGGACATGCTTCAAGCTTGCGAAGTTGGGTGGTACAATTTGGGATTCTCTCCAAGGTGTGCATCTACTCTACCTCTGGAAGAGTCAATCCAGCTCAGATGTAACCAGTATCTAACCCACCTCATAACTCTATCGAGGGCCGCAACCAAAGCAGGACAGATGGCCATGCCCAGCACTCTACTCCTTCTGATGTTGCCTACACAAGTTCCCACAGGCTTTGCGATGTTATCTCAGTTGTTCTTCCTCTAGGGCAACATCCGCTTTGATCCCCGGCCGGCGTTGTCCGCAGAGCTGATCTACACCTTCTCGTCTTCACGACTGGCTAGAATTAGAGCAATAGTAGACACGGAGTATGCGCTGGACACCCAGTCAAGTTTGCGCTTTCTCCGCCTAAGCATCGCCATGAACGCAGAAAGTCTGGTACAGCCTTTGGCCACGCGCGCAGTCAGCAGTACCCTCAAGAAATATCCCTTCCCAGCACTCGGTGTCCTCAAATACTCGATACATCAGGTTAGTAAAACATAACGCGGCTCGAATATAGCACCAGAAGAGCCTTGTGCAGGTGACAGTTCGATTTGCGCCAAGGATTGCCATTTGGAGATGTAGCTAGGGTTAGAGTGGAGGTTTACTTGAAGAGTGTTGGATGTACTTGAGTAACTCGTCTCAGAACCAGATTCTTTCAGGCATATTCGTATTTTCCGATTCATTTGCCGCGTTTTGAAGTATACTAAAGTACACCACAAGGTTCAACTTCCTCAGCAAGTTGATCCTTTGCTCTGGTTGTATGTACTTCTGACCATCTAACCCATCACGTGTCTTATCCTAAACTTTCCAGCCTCCCCTGTTAGTGTGTCACACACTTGCAACAACAGGCCGGTTTCAATTATCAAGCCTGCACCTACCTTGACGTGCCTTCCAGTGTCACCGACGGGCATGAATCACCATGCCGCCCTTTCTAAGAATGTTTAGAAAATTCCGGCGGAGCCAGCCAGTCGCACATATTTCAATCATGTGTCGAGGTAAGAAAGCCAACCACTGCTACGCAGGGAGAATATCGCTAAGGTAAACAACCAGGCAAACCCATCAGCCGCGAGGAACTCTTCGAGTACACCAACGGCCGCTTCCTCATGAATGAGGAGCACCAGTTTGCCCGGCACTATCGGAAATTCAACCTGGATGCCCTCTGCAACATAGCCGCATCAGCTGGGGGGAGCACATCCCGAATCGCAGCCATCGAGAAGCTCGAAGGCGGGTTCAGCAAGGCTCTCCTTATGACGAAGGAGGATGGAAGTGAACTGGTTGCGAGAATCCCCCTTCGTATTGCTGGCCCCGCGTTCCTCACGACGGCCTCTGAGGTAGGGACTTTGGAGTATAGTGCGTGCGTCCCAGTTATTGCATCCCATCCATAAAGTTGTCAAGCGCTCACGCGCCTCATTTTTAGTCAGGAGATACACCGGTATCCCTGTCCCCCGCGTCTTCTCCTGGTCCACTGTTGAATCCAACCCTGTCGGGGCAGAGTACATTATCATGGAAAAAGCGCCTGGGGTGCAGTTATACGAGCGATGGGGCGAGATGAAGAAAATTGAGAAACTCGAGCTGATAAAGCATTTGACCCAGCTGGAAGCTCAGCTGTCGGCTATATCGTTCCCTGCATATGGTGGGCTGTACTTACGTGCAGACGCGGACTGTCTGAGACATCATGATCTTGATGGAAGCCTGGATGAGCAGCAAGCGTTCTGTATTGGACCTTCGCCCGACCGCTCTTTTGGCGTTGATGACGGAGTTGCTGGTTTGTCTAGCGGGGACGAGTCGATTGACAATGGGCCTTGTTGGTATTTCAACTGATGTTATCGATGTATACTAATGATTATCCAGGGAATAGCCTATCGGAGTACGGTGTATCACTAGCCAAACGAGAGCTCTCCCGAATATCAAGAAAAAGTCCAGACGATCAGCCAGCCGCTCATCAAGAAACCACCGAGGAACAAGCACACTCTTAGAGATGACAATCACCCTGATGCGAATGCTCGACTCACACCCAATCCTCCAATTCTCACAACCAACCCTCTGGCACTCAGACCTCCACATGGGAAACATCTTCGTCGCACCGGATAACAACTCCCGAATCACATCCTTCCTCGACGTCCAATCTCTATCCATCCTTCCACTCTTTTTCCAGGCCCGTTGGCCAGTCTTCCTAAAGCCTCCCCGGGATTACAGCAAGGGTCTTGTCCATCCCAAACTCCCCGAAGACTTCGACACCCTAGACGAAGAGGACAAGGCATTCAGTCGACAAAAGTACGATCAAGCCATGCAAGCAAAAGCATACGAGATCCGCACATTCCTCGACAACAGACCCGCGCACAACGCCATGGCCGCTGAGCCCCGCCTCTTCCGAGACCTCTTCACCTGCGCCGGTGAAGTCTCTACTTCTAGTACCGGAATCATCCCACTCCGCGAATCCCTCCTCGAAATATCCCAGCACTGGTCCGACCTCGGCTTCCAGGGTGATTGTCCGTACTCATTCACCCCGGACGAGATTGCCGCGCATAAACGGGATTTCGCGGCGTATGAAGAGCGGAATGACCTTCGGCGGCTTGCGCTGGAGGTGTTGGGTACGGATGATGAGGGGTGGATTGCGCCACAGGTGGATTTTGAGCGGGTGCGAGAGATGAATAAGGAGTTGGTGGAGATGCTTATTGCGCAGTGGGAAGGGGTGACGGAGGAGGAGGTCAAGAGGATGTGGCCGTTTCCGGTGGAATGATGCTGATACTCTGACAGTTATATCGGGCTCCTTGTCAAATGTAGCTTTGGCTCTCCCCTCGACTCTTGATAGGTTGTAATGATATACTCATCTTCACTCAAGTCGTGGGAGTAAGCAAGGCCCTGTGAGGCAAAGGAAAATGTAGTTTTGGTATTAGGGTAGTAGATGGCACTATAGATCTGACTTGAGGATATCGAAAGATACCCAATAGAGTGTTTTTTAAGACTACTAGCGGAGCATGCTCTGAAAGGCTAGAAAGCTTGAGAGTGCACCGAATGCTTCTACTCCCACTCTCACCTCAATCCATGTCAGACTCAAAAGCCTAGTAATCACCAAGCGGAGATAAATTTTTGAATAATTAGCCAATCTATCATCCTGTATATCGCGATTAGATACTAAGACTAGCTCAATTATATACAGACATTAGAGCAGAAACGTCGTGGTGCTCGTAACAAGCATATATATACAACGTTGCCAAAAAAAGTCGGAACAAAACAAAACAAAAACTCTCGTCGGCTGGTCAACCGGCTCGGACGGTATAGAACAGAACAGAATCAGAGATAGCCAAGCCCAAAATTGAATGTATGATGGAAACCAAGAAGAGGGATAAAACACCGAAAAACACCGGTACCGGTCCCAGGGATATATAGTCTTTCGAATCCAAACCGAGTCAATGTACAGAGTTGAAATGAGAAGAGAAGAGAAATGAAGAGGTATTAATCGAGGTCAGGGTAGGATGGATAAGGTGTTGTATGTAAAAGGGATATCGTTCAGTTGCGGCCGAGAAGGTTCTTGAAGACCTCGCGTTCATTAAGGATGGCGGCTTGGAGACGGCGGGTTTCACGGAGCGCCTCGTCACTATTTGGAGTTAGTAAATTATCTCTATGAATCAAGATTCGGATGGAAGGCTAGACTTACCGAGCAGATTGAAGTTCCGCCACATCGATCTGGGCGCGGTTCATGCGGCTGACGACTTCACCCATCTCCCGATCCGCCTGGCGGAGGAGCTTCTCGAGTTCCTTGACTCGTGTGTCGAGCGTCTCGGACTTGACAGCCTGGTTCAGAGGCATGCCGTCACCGCTGGTGGTCTTGTCGAGACGCGGGGAGCGGGTGATAAAGGGAGTGCTAGGAGGAATAGGCGAGAGAGCAGCGGGACTGCGGGAGCCGTTCCTCATACGGAGAAGCTGGGCGTTGTGGCTCTCCTGGATCTGGCGGACTTCGTCTTCGTGACGGACCATTTCGTCCTCGGCGTGTTGCTGGGCATTGAGAAGCGCGTCTTCCATCTCCTTGAGGCGGGCTTGCATTTCGTTGATGCGAATGGCGGACAGCTGCTGATCTTGTTCGCCCTTGCCGATGGCGTCTGCGAGGCGCTTGCGGAGGGCAGTGTTGCTTGCCAGTTGCTGGCGGACGTGCTGTGCGAGCATATCCGTTCGGCTGACAGATTGCGCTAGCTCCTCTGTATCTCCGTGTGGGGAGTGTGCAACGCTGGCTTCCGCGTGCTCGCGGTCTGCCTGCAGTTGCTGGTATGCAGACTCAAGAGACGAAGAGGTAGCGATGACTTCGGCGAATGCATCGCGCTCTCCCTCGATCTCTTCTGGGACGGCGATATCATGTTCTTGTAGAAGAATCCGCAAGGAAGCAGTCTCCTGTTCTGCGCGATCCAGATCCATCTTCAGTCCTGCCAAGCCCTTCTCACACTGCCACTTCTGGTCCAAGGCATCTTCGGCGCGCATTCGCAGGTGATTCACCTCATCACGAAGATTGCGCACCTCACGCTCGTAGCCGATGCGGCGTGGAGAGCCGGCCTCCTGAATACGAGCCAACTCCATCTCCATTATTCGGATGCGCCTCTCATTCTGTCGAGATTCATATGCTTGGCGTTCAAGCAAGCGCTTCAGGGCTCCATGAAGAGCATCACGCTGCGCCTCGGCACCCTCGACCCGGTCCGCCAGGGATTCCCGGGTGTCGCGGTCCTTGGCCGACACTGAGTTAGAGCGAGAAAGGGAACCAGGCCTCGAGGCGTTCGACTTCGGAGGCATGCGGGCCAAAGAGTTTGATCGTGATAGTCCAAACGCGCTTTGTCGTTTCGCTGGCACATTATCTTCTTCTGCGATGGAGGCGAATCGGCTCCCTTGTAGTTGCGAGAGAGCGGCGTTCTCGATTTTCAGAGCTTCCACTTCCTCTTTCAACCGCTGCACTTCCGCCGGATCCGCGAGGGTCTTGCCTTCGCGGAGTAGGTCCCGCTCGGTCCGGAGTTGTTCGAGCTCGACCCGCATGGCTGTTAGCAGATCTTCAAAGTTATCCTTGATCTGTCGTTCCTCGGCCAGTTTACGCCGGGTACTATCTAATGCACTTTCAAGTTCGCGTGCTCTAGAGGACAAATCCGAGTTTTCTGTCCTTTCGCGTCGCAGCTGATATCGTTAGCCTTGGCCCTGTCGCTTACAGAAACTGATATCTCACCTGAGTAACCTGCGACTCTAGTATCTGGACATGCGATTCCGACGCAGTCCGGCGAGCTCGCTCTTCCTGCAGCTTCTGGCCAAGGTCGACCCGGAGTTGAGCACGCTCCTGCTCCGCGGCCCGCTTATACTTTTCTATATCTTCGACCCGCCCACCCGATTCATACGCATATCGAATGGAACTAGTTCCCGAATCCGAGAAATAATCACTAGTACGCCGGTTCGGAGCATCCGAAGGCATTTCTGATTGCAGTCTCTCCACCAAGTCCTCCAATTCCATTTCCCGCCGAATCGAGCCCGCCAGCTCCGAGCTGATTTCCCGCAGCTCATTTTCTAATTCCGCCACCAGGGCGGAGGGGGCGGTTTCTAGCAGACTCGCGCTACTGAGGGAGCCATTGCGTACGGGGTAGTTCCCGTTGGGTCTGGCCGTGGGATCGAAAGGTATTGATGTAGATGGCGTGATGGAATATGAGGTACTGGGTATTGAAGGCGGCATTGGTGATGGCAGTGGAGATCGACCGGTGTCTGAAATTTCCGTACTTGAAGACTCGGCACCAGGGGATGTAGTGGTAGCCCTCCAGCCAAAGAAAGAGCTGATCTTGTTCCCAGGTGTTTTCGGTTGCCGAGGGTCGTTCACAGGGAAGGACATGCTCCGAGCACTGGAGTCGATGTGCAAGGGTGGTGGACGGTTTGACGGAGGGTGTAAGGCCATAGTTCTGGGGCGTTTGTGGTGTGTGGAGGAGGTAGGAGAGGGAAGGACGGGAATGAACGGTTCGCTGACGAGACGGCTATGCACGGGCGTCCCATTCGTAAACTGCGATTTATATAGATGAGTTATATCGTCGTCGCTATCGTCGCTATCGTCTCCGTCTCCATTCACAGCAGAGGCGGAGGTATCTATACGGAGCGGAGTTCTGAGAGGACTTCCCCGGGGAAACCTAAAGACGGACGACCGAATGGTATTAGTCCTGCAACTCCCAAGAATGACAATCATGCGAAGGCTCAGTAGTAAGGACGGGCAGGGAGGGAATGAGGGGAGTAATAGGGAAGGGGGAGGGGATGGAGGGTCTGGAGTAGTACAGGGGGTGGAGAGGAAAGTAGGGCTGCGCTATCATGCCACACGGTGTACATACCTATCAAAGTTCCTGCGAGCGAAGAGCGGCGGGTCCCCATGCACAGGTGAGGTCGCAGCAGCGGGATTGTATACAGAAGAGGAGGAGTGATGCGAATATGAGCTCTCCCCAGAGTATCGAGAAAGAGAGACAGGGGACTGAAGAGAAGAAGAACGAGGTGGAGGTCCCGCTGGGGAGAAGGGGGGATTGGAGGGGATGGAGGAACGAGAGGAACCGGATTGCCCAGATCGACGCGAGTAGTAAGTTGGGATCACAGGAGAGGCCGTGGGCGGCAGTGGTTTCCTGCGCACGAGAGCAGCATCGGTCTTGGAAGACCTGGGCGAGGGAGGATGGCCAGGGTCAGTAGTGGCTTCAGATTGATGGAGTTGATAGGCGCCCGTTGCGACAGTGGAAGAAGCCCGGGCGCCAGGCGCAGGCGGAGAGTCCCAGGCAGGGCCCATGATTCGCAGAATCGAAAATTAGTCGCAATATACAAGGCGATAAAAATAAGACAAGATGATAATCATGAGAGAGGAAACCGAAATGGAAAGGATGCGAAGGGATGGGCAAGAGAGAGTTTGGTCGCCGAACCCTGAGCAGACGGCGCTATCAGGCGAAAAAAGAGACGCTGGCATGGATAGGAGAAAAAAAGGGCGGCCGCATCGAATGAGAGGCGAGAAACGGACAAGGTGGTGGTCAATGGGCTTTGGATCGACAGACCCTCATTGCGACGACAAAGAGCGCAGCGCGGCCAAAGGCGGGCGGGAAAGGAGCTGAAGTGGGCTGAAGAAAGATAGGAGACAGCGGAGAATGGCTGAAAGAGGCAGACACTAAAGAGTCAAGACGGGTGAGCGCGAAAGGAGCTAGAATGCTAAGCAGTCTCTGGAGGGGATTCACTGGATTGACTGGATTCAGGGGGAGGTCAAGGGCGGATGGAGGAGCAGAGCACGGGCCGAGAGAGCAGCATATGGAGAGGGTGGGTCTGCCTGTCGATGGCCTCAACTTAATCGGGAAGAATGAGACAGTCGGTTCTATACAGACGATGTAGCATCCTCGAGGAGAATATTTATGTCGTTTTTTTATCAGACCATCGCTGCAGCGAGTATCGCATCCCGGATTCTTCAAGATGACTGATGAAGATGTTTGTCCGCACGGGCGCTTAGAGAAGCCACTGCCAGCCACGAACACCTCCCCCACCCGCCAATCCTCAGGGGTAACATTCTTGGCCCAGACAACCTGACAAGGAGCGCAATCCTGGCCGACGACTCAGAGCCCAGGTCCGGGTGACTCGGCCTGGCCTTAAGGTGAAACATTCTCCTCCGTTCGAGTCTTGCGAGCACTCTCAGCGTCTTGAGTCGGTCTGACTCTTTTCTGCCTGCGGAGGACTCCTCTCCTTCGAAGCTCAGTCGCTAGCGGCAACTTCTCGGCAAGTGTAACGGAGCTGCATGCAGGCTTGGAGCTATCCACGTCCCACAAAAGTCTCGATTAGCGCCACATTCAATAGCTTCAAGAAATCAAGACTCAACTGTCGCTGTGAGAGGTTAAAAATATCCTGGCACTGTTACTCAGTAGCGCCTAACCTTGTCCTTGTCGCAGATTCGAGACAAAAATACTCCGACTCACATCATGCAGGTTTGTCATTGTTATAGATATCGTGATCACCCGCTGTGTTGCAATCGAGACGGGAATTGAAGAGGGTCAATGGAGGACCTCGGTAGTCGTCTTTACATACCTAAGCAGTGAGTAGATAGTCGCTAGTCAAGTCGAACAAGTTGTCCAGGGCGTCTGTAGATTGGGATAACCCATGTTCTGCAATGCAAGGAGTTACACACCATCAGCAATAATCATAAATAGTCCAGTTGACCTGTCACCTACCTGGAGAAATAAGCATCAGCCGCCCCCAGTCGTTTACTGACGATGCCACGATGATGTACATTTAGAGTTGGCCTCCATTTTTGATCCTTCTCGTATTCTTCCATTTTGCGGAGTATACATTCCGCCATCGCTACCACAGGCGTGCATTCTCCGGCTCTAGCCGGCTACATTCTTCAATGTTCGGATCTGTCTGAGGAACATGTGTATATCATTATATAAGAATTCAGAAGACCGTATCGCTATTCTCGCTGTCAAATCAACGCCAAACTCAGTATTTACAACCCTGCCGAACCCTTAATCCCAGCACCGCATCAAACGTCCAAACTCATTACCATAACATATACAAGACTTAATACGGGATGAAATCGAATCGCATGCGATCTGTCGACACAGTCAGTCACCATGGCTTCGCACAAACATGGAGGATAAAGAGATACATACCTAAGAAACGATTCCAACTCTCATTCTCATCAAGCTGATGAGCCCAATACTGCTCCAGGAACTTCAGCGACTGCAGCACGTTGGGCACCCGAATCGTGTCATGCAGCGATGACAGCAGCTTCCGCACACGATCCCGGTCCTCGCCCTGTGCCTCGCACCCAGCGATGAACAAGGGTGTCGTGAGCATCGTCCACGGACTGAGACCAGGAGAAGGCCCAATGTGTTCAGAGCACTCAATAATCTTCTTCACGGACCGCTGCACAGACGGTGACGTGGCTGGCAGCCTGCGGAGCCGCCGCTCGATCTGGATCAGAGCGCTGTGCTGGAATGCTTCGTTGCAGAGGGTAAAGCGGAGTATGTGGTCGGTTGATAGACCCTCGACGACGCCCGGGTAGAATGTGGGCGGCGCCTCCGCTCCGCGGTCTATCAGCTGTCGGACTGACGACTCCAATTCTGTGACCTCTGCATCGTCTGCCGCTTGATCTGGGGGTGTCTGCCAGGCTGCAGCGCCGATACCGCGGAACACAGCGGACAGACTCACCGTGAAGCCCCAGTAGTCATCGAGGTAGTCTGGCGTTTCCGTAGTTGTGCTGACAGCCTTCGCAATTGTCTGACACTCAAGACCACCGATCGGTGGGCCGTTGCCCGTCAATGCCGTTAATGATACGATCGACCGATACCACCGGTCCAGATACCTGCGGAAGCCCTCCGATGAACTCGGTGATGAATCTCCTTTACTCCGAACTGCAACCATCAATGCCTGTGCACCTTCAATATGAGCCCGCCATGAGTTCGGTTGGATAGCGCCGGAATGTATCTCCGCAAGACAAAGCGTCCGTGCTGTCGCAAGCAGCGCATCCGTCCCCCTGGTAGCTGGACTCTGCAGCTCCTTCCGGAAATGCTCTAAACTCATCGCCATTAACCGCGCGATATCTGGTGCTGACTTCACATTTTCTGATTGATTATGCAGTGCCTCGATATGTATTGCGGAGAGGGCCATGGTTGCATATAGTAATGACGGTGTTTGGAGAGCCATCGGGACGAGCATCCGGCAAATCTCCTGCTGCATGCCGGAGTGACACGCCGTAATCTGTGACGCATCGCTGAGGAAGTGATGTAGGAGGGATTTCTGTTTCGTATCTAGAGAGCTGAACGGATCGACAGATTTCGGCAATGTGATGGTTGCTGTAGCCGGGACGGTCTCGGTAGTAGGTGACGCATTGGCGGTGGAGTAAATGAACTCGCCCGGGGAATATTCTACAGGAAGAAAACCCCAGATTAGATCCGATAAAAGTTAAAAGGACAAAGAATGTTAGAAAACTCACCTAATTTCTGCATACAAGACCCGAACCTCGACCTCGAGAACGCTCGACCTCCCCACTGCAGCTGCATCGCATACCGACATGGTGTCTCCGCGGTCTTACATCGCCCACATGTCGGCCGTTGCTCGTCACATTTCTGCCGTCGAGATTTACATCGCTTGCACCCGCCAAAGGATCGTGACATTGGGGCGTAAAATTCCGGTGCGAGGTCAACGGAGGTCCTGGAAATTCGTCTGGGCGTGCGCGATTTTTTCTTCTCCCCGCTTCGAGAGTGCCGTTGCCTCGGAGCGCAACCCGTCTCTGATAGCCGGGTATGAGTGTTCGTCAGATACTCGAAAGGTAATAATTTAAGGAGACAAAAAGGGGAGAAGTCCAGGATTAATACGAGAAGAAACTCCAAAGGAAGCGGGGAAACAGTCGTTGAGCCGTCGTGAACGCTGAGTGGCAATCGTCCGAGATAAGCTGCTGAACCATGGGCGATCTGTATAGCGGCGATCACCGATCCACCACGGTTTGCAGAAACCGCCAATTGGATGCCCAATTTATTCGCATGGTGAGCGGTTTATTCTGTTGGCGTTTCACGCTGACACTGTGCTTGACGACGCCCTGCCTGGCGGCCTCAAGAAGGTCTCAGATTTCTGTGGCTTGGCATTAACTCTCCACACAGTCGCACATAGAGGGCTGGTTTATACTCCAGATAGGAACCAATATAGAGGCTCCACGTACAATGTATTCACAGTAGATTTATGGCGTATAAATAAGGCGCTGCAAAGATCTAGACAAGTTGGACAAGTACAAAAGATGGGAGTATACTCAGTGTCGGAGCAGTAGGAATGTACAAAAATCAATCATCAAAGGTATAACGGAGCCACTCTCCCACTGCCCGCAAGCTCTCCCATCGTACGGATTCATCCTTGTCAGCCATCAACTCCATCACCCGGGTCTTCAGTCCAAGCTTCTCTAGCTGCGCCCGCCGTTCAGGCAGCTCTTTGACCAGATGTCCAACGTCGTTGCAAGCAATGGCAAGAACCTGCTTGTCGTTCTCCCACGCCTTTGAGATGATCTCGGCCAGTTTCTTTGGGAGAGCACCGTTGGATTCATCCAGGATCCGGCGCGCGTTCTCCTTCCAGAATGTGGGGTTCCTGTGTGGTGGTGACCACCGCAAATGACCCGACTGTAGCTCCGCGGCGTACTGATCGAAGGTTGTTTGTGTTTTGGTGTACTCCTCAAGAATCTCGGACAGATATTTCAGGTCCTCGAGGAGGTCCGGATCGGTCAAGTGTCGGCCCGAGAGGTTCGACAGCAAAGCGGGTAAGCGTACAAATACCGCAACCGGGAGGAGGCTAGTGCGGTTGGAGGATAGGAGATTCTTGAGCGTCGCAAGGAGGAGCCGGGTTGTCTTTTCTTTCGGCGACAGGCGTAGGAGGTGTGAGTAAAGTTGAATGATTTCATGGTCGCTGGAGCTGTCAGTAGGATTCATATGATGTCATGCCTTCACACTCACGCTTGCAAGTCCTCCCCGATAAGCTCGCCTTCAAAGCTGAGTTGCCAGAGAACGAGAAGCACTCGGTACAGGAGCTGTAGGCCAACGCCACCCGCAATCCCTACATCGGCAGCAGCTCGCGTGCTACCAGCCAGGGTGCTGGAGCTGCTATCCTTCGCACCAGCGGCGGCACGCAAGATCTCAATCAAGGGATCGACCGTCTCCTTTCGCTGCGCCCAGAAGATCTGACGAGCCTTGGAGCTTCGGAGCAACGCCGAAAGCCCCTGTACCCCAATATCTTGTAGCCCACTGTCCTGGTGCTGGGTCAAAGTGGACAGGTAGCTGTAAAGCTGCGGAAGCGCTTCTTCATCCTGCGGGGTCGACTTTGAGGAGGTTGTAATACTCGTCGAGACAAGGTTCGTCAGGAAGGTAGAGGTGAGTAGCGGAATCGGATCCTCGGCATTTGTCGACTGGCGCAGTAGAGGGAGGAATGGCTTGTATGGGCTAGGATGAGCGATCAAGGCGGACGAAAGTGAAGGGGCATCTGTAATCAGTCGCAGCATTAGCTTTGTACTCAGTAGTAGTGATGGAATTCTTACCATTAATCAAATCTGCTGCCAGCACCAGAATATACTGTACAATATCGCTCCTCCTTGCGGCCGCCTCCAGGACACTCTTCCCAGCGGAACCTCCTGCCAGCAAGCTCACATACCCGGGGATATCTCCTTCAATTGTCTGACGCCGCTGCTCCTTGCGAACCTTGTCTACCGCTTTGATCTTTTTCAAATGGTCATCTGTGATGTTTCCGGCTCGGACAGCTCCATCCCACGGAATAGGGCGAGCTCGAATGTTGTTCTGTAGGGAGTTGAGGTAGGTCGGGGGCTCTAAAGAAGCGGCCGACATGGTTTGTGAACCGTGCATCAGCCTGCCGAATATTATATCGAAAAGGCGAGGTGAAGGGGGACTCTGAGGTCAGGCGGGGGCTGGTGTTTGCAGCTCTGTCGGAGCCAGGTTGACGTCTTGACGTCCACAGACCGAATCGGGGAAGACGGGCGCCAAGCCGCGACTCCCGCGCTCGTCCACGCAACCAGTCCAGCATCTCACTTTCTGACAACGTGGAAGCTCCTCTTTCGTACTCTTCTTGCTCTTCTTGTCGCTTGTCGCTTTTGCCTCTTTCATGGATCATTACTCCGAATCAGTCTCTCGTTTCTACGTCCTTCGGTTTGCGATTGACGCTGGCAATTCGAGACAAGACCGCCTCTTGTTCTCATAGTGGCGCAGGCAGCCTCGTATCAACATTGTTGACTATTTTGCGCAGTCTTAGCCCGCATGCAGAAGGACAGATCTACGAAATCTCTCTGAAGCTCCTGACCATCACATTTATTCTGTACGGCAGTTTGGCACCATGTCGCAAAACAGATGGAAAGTCGGGTCTCTTTTTCAGCAGGCCGTCGCAGGTGTGGAGTCGCGATTGGACCAGATGCTGGCCGAGGAAGAAGATGCGAAGCGGCAACAGGCGAAACCGGCACCAGCGCATTCGAGATCGAACTCGCTATCTAGCAGTATGTTGATCGATAGCAATCAAGTGTACGAGACCCTGTCGCTGACAATGTCCAGACGTTTCCCGCAGTTCGTCAAGCGCAAAGAAGAACGATCGGCTCCAAGAACGTCTAGCTCGTGCGATGGCAAAGTCCAATAGCCCTAACAACGCTCCTTCTTTGTCTTCACCCGCTGGTATTTCTCCTGTTACAAGTCCAGTCCTGAGCAGTGACGCGCGCACAAGTATGGACATTGAGGCGAGTTTGGACTCTCTCTCCAAGGATACAACGTCGCCTCCAGATACATCTTCAAGTCCGCCGGCGGTCACGGAGGCAAGGCCGAGTCATGACTCCTCCAGGTCTGCGCGCGATTCTATTGAGGTTACGGGACCAACCACGAACGGGAAGGATAGCCCTAGTCCGGCGGCAGCTGTAGAAACCAAAGAGGACCAAGCAGATCTTTCAGCTATACCAGCAGAACCTACCATCACTGTTACTGATTCCCAGGATGAGAGCGCCAAGACTCCGTCTAATGACGAGGAAGCAGTGAACGAACCACGAGAGATGGAAAAGAGTGCCACCGAATCTCCATCACAGGAGGAAATCCACGAGTACATTGAGCGTATCGATGCCTTACAATCGAAGCTGAAATATCTGGCCCAAGAAGCTGCCGAATCTGCTCGAAAGGCGGCCGCTACAGCTGAGCCCGGAAGCGCAGAAAAACAAATTCGAGAAAGGGACGAGAAGATTGCACTTTTGCTAGAGGAGGGGCAGAAGCTTTCCAAGACTGAGATGGACCACAGAACCCTGATCAAGAAGCTCCGCCAGCAGATGGCAGAAAATACCAAGGCCCAGACTGAAGCAAAGAAGAAAAACGACCGCTTAGAGAGGGACTTGGCCAACGCTGAAGCCAGAGCCAAACGCGCAGAGGCTGCTGAAAAGAGAGCCACCGGGTCGCTTTCCGTCCAGACGAAGACCGCGCGGGATTTGGAGGCTGTCACAGCTGAGCGGAATGCTCTGAGTCAGACAGTACAAGAGATGAAAGGCCAGCTTGCTCGAGCAAATTCGCGTGCGGATGCAGCGGAAGCAAAAGCCAATTCGGAAGCTCTGGAGCGAGAGAAGCAGCGTGCAGAGCAGCTAGAGGAAAGCCTGTCGAGTGTCAAGATCGAACGCGAGATCAGCGAGGAGAAGTTGAGACGGGAGATAGCGGGTCTCAAGGAGAATATTGAGCAAGAGAAAGAAAGAGCCCGGATACTGGAAACCGAGTTGAAGGGGGAGCAGTCAGTTCTGGAAAGTAAGATGGAGTCACTACGGTCAAGAGCTGAGGAAGCATCATCCGGAGTTACGAGCGATGCACAAGTGAAACTTTTACGACAAATTGAGACTCTACAGACACAATATGCGGTTGCTAGCGAGAATTGGCAAGCTCTTGAGGGCTCTTTGCTCTCGCGGCTGGCGAATGTAGAGAAAGAGCGGGATGAGGTTGCACGCCGTGAGGGAGAAGCGCGACGAAAGATTCGCGAAGTGGTGAGACATTCTATTCTCAGTTGATGAACGATATGATAACTAACGGAAACAGAACCTCAAAGTAAAGCGACTGGAAGAGGAACTGGAAAGCGCCCAGGACACGCAGCGCGACCTCACAAACCAGCTCGAGCAGCGTGCGCAAGAGCTGCAAACGGCCGAGCAAAAGCTCAAGAAGGCTGCTGACGAGCTCACTGCAGCGCAACACGAAATTGCCGAGCAAAAGGCCATCAGCGATGCAACCTGGACCCAGAAGCTAGAAGAAGAGCGAGCAAAATGGCGCGAGCAAGCCGCTCGTACGCCGAACCCTTTCCGACGTACCGAGTCTCCCGTTTCCTTCCATCGTCCTAGCAATTTGGATGTACTGTCTATGTCCGAGTACCGTCCAACTAGCCGCCGCTCGTCTGCAGTTCCAGGAGCCTCGCCTGACATCGGGACCCCTCCGCGACAGAACTCCCTTCCTGTGTCGACCACACAGAGCATTCTGTCTCCTCCGCTTCCTAGTAACGGGCCTATCTCGCCTGTTCCAGAAACACCAAGTATTTTGTTTGAATCGGACGAGTTCTTCAGCGGCTCAGGCACGCCGTCTGCCTTTGGTGGTGCCCCGACTCACTCGAGGGGGATTAATGACATCATCTCGGAATCTACCGTCGGCGCCGGTCCTTCGGTGCAACTAGTCGAGCGAATGAGTGCCACTGTGCGACGACTAGAGAGCGAGCGAGCCGCCTCAAAGGATGAACTCGCACGCATCACCGCTCAACGCGACGAGTCCCGCCAACAAGTGGTCGAGCTGATGCGGGAGGTAGAAGAGAAGAGGAGCTCCGACACACGCGTACAGGAGCTCGAGCAGAAACTCCAGGAGATCGATGCACGGTACGAGACAACGCTGGAACTGCTAGGCGAGAAGAGCGAGCAGGTCGAAGAGCTCCAGGCGGATATTGCGGATCTTAAGAAAATCTACCGCGAGTTGGTGGATAGTACGATGAAGTAATTAGCGTATTTTCTCTGCGTTTACAGATTTCATGTATATAGATAGCATTTATGGTGTTCAATACTTCTATTCCATCTACGGATTGTGAATACTTGTGGAACTCATGATTCATTCTGGTGATATAGGGTATCTGGGGGCGATATTTTCAACCCCTCGATGAGCCTCGTTGGCACCATACGACCTACAGGTCAATGCCCTCCCTCTCCGCAGCCTGCAAAATATACTGGCGAACCTAATACCGAACTCATCAGCACAATCCCTCCCCACAATCCAACGCACCCTCCAAACGAACTAGATCAAAAGCAAAACTCACCTTCGCATCTGGCGCCAAATCCAAGGCCAACTTCCCCTCCCCATCCCTCTTATCCGCCTCAGCCCCCTCCTTCAACAGCGCAACCGCCGCATCCCCATGCCCCTCCGAAACAGCATGGTGCAGCGCCGTCATCCCATCGGCGTCCGTCGCATTCACGGGACTCCGCCCCTCCTTGAGCAGGAGCTGGATGATGGGGGTGGAGCCGATGGCCGCGGCGCGGTGCAGAGCGAGTTGGCCGCGCCGGTCTTTGACGCGGGCGCTGCATTTGTTCGCGAGGAGGGTGCGCACTGTGCTAAGGTTTGCTTTTGAGGTGGCGAAGTGCAGCGCGTTCTGCATTGATTAGTATGTCTGTAACTACATAGGCGGGGATCATGGTGTAGGGGACGAGAGGTAGTCTATAGGTGTGCGATGTAATATACCTGGCCAGTTACGCTCTTGACATTGACATCTGCGCCTTTTCGGAGAAGGAGCTCGATGATGGGATCCCCTTCGGCGTTCTTGAGGCTGGCTGCTATCATTAAGGGTGTCCAGCCTGAGCCATCCTATCTCCCATTAGTATTCGCTGCAGAGCCCAGTCTGGATGGGCGGGGAAGACAGGAGAGGGAACATAGGCGTACCTCGACATCAGGATCGAAATTCTTGGTTGAAACAAGGAGCTCGACGATGGGCAGGTGGTTGTATGCTACGGCCCAATGGATGGGGAGACGGTCATCGTCGTCTTTTGTTGTTGCTAGTTTTGGGTTTGCCTAGGTGGTCAACATTTGAGCCTTTGGCGGATCAATGTACATTAACTTTCATACATTTAGAAGTGATTCGGCGGTGGTAACTGTTGATAGAGCGTCAGTAAAGGTATATATTGCTTAGAGGGCGGGGTGACGAACTTTTTCCCTCTCTAGCGGCCTCGTGGAGAGGGAACTTTGCGTCTGCTTCGGTGCTCATCTTCAAGAGCTTACAGATTACCTCAATAGACACGGTAAATGTCAAAGGCGATTGATTCTTGAAGAGATGAGGAGTATAAGATTAGGCAGGGCAGGTGACGACAAGAGCTTCGATGGATCTTATACCCGCGGATCCCGTTCTGGTTAGCTTAGCAATGAAAAAGTGGAAGTTGATGTTTGAGCTCGAAGACCAGGAACATCAAATAGGCAGAAAACTCTGAGTCTGAATCAGTGATGAATTTCTGGTTAGAAGCATTAATCGTCTAACATTGCCCTCGTAAAGTGGCAGTCCAGGACTGCGGAGCAGCGTTTTGACACCTGAATGACACCTTGAAGCCTCAGGCAGCAAACTCCGCCGAAGCTAAAACTTCCGGACATTTGAATGTTCATCGCTTCATCTTTGACACCAACAACCCCTCCCTTCATCACCATAAACCTGGTTCGCCATACTCAGCTGTGAATATAGGCTTGCTTTTGATTGACCTTTAAAGAGCGATAGACGCGACTCCCCCACGACAGACCGAAGCCGATCAGTGAGCGCGACCCTCATTCCAAGCTCTTCCACCGCACGAGGGCTTTCCCTCCTTAGCCACAATGGATATCATCACATCGACAACCCCAGAACAAGCCGTGCGCATCTCGGCGAAGCGAACTGTCGAGCTTTTCGGCCCCGAATACCTCATGGTCGCGCCCTCGGTCGCCAACGGATCCATTGGCGTTTCCTACCGACGAAAAGCAGAGTACGACGACGTGAAGGAGCTCCCACCAGCTTTAGCCGCGAAACAAGCACAAGCAGCTGCCGCGCGCTCGAAGCGACCTAAGATCAGTGCACAGCCGCAGGGACAGGGCGTCGGGGATAGGAGTGGCGCGTCGACGGCTCTCGTACGGAGAGGTCCTGGGCCGAACGCGGCGGGCGCGGGCGCTGCGGGAGAGGAGAAACCAACGAGCTTGATTCAGAGGCCGTCAGCTACGCGACAGCAGCCTCCTGATTGGCATGCGCCATGGAAACTGATGAGGGTGATTTCGGGTCACCTGGGATGGGTGCGGAGTTTGGCGGTGGAACCAAATAACGAGTGGTTTGCGAGTGGTGCTGGTGACCGGACGATCAAGATTTGGAATCTTGCGACAGGTGGTTTAAAGTTGACTCTTACGGGTCACATCTCGACTGTTCGTGGTTTGGCCGTGTCTCCACGACACCCTTATCTATTCTCCTGCGGTGAGGACAAGATGGTCAAGTGCTGGGATTTGGAGACGAACAAGGTCATCCGACACTACCATGGACATTTGAGCGGAGTCTACACACTTGCACTGCACCCCAGGCTCGACTTGCTGGTCACTGGTGGTCGAGACGGTGTCGCCCGCGTCTGGGACATGCGCACCCGAAGCAACGTCCACGTCCTTTCCGGCCACAGCGGTACCGTCGCCGATGTCCAATGCCAAGAAGCAGACCCCCAGGTCATAACCGGCTCCCTCGACGCGACCGTCCGCATGTGGGATCTCGCAGCCGGCAAGACAATGGGCGTCCTCACGCACCACAAAAAGGGCGTCCGCGGGCTAGCCACGCACCCGCGCGAATTCACCTTTGCAAGCGCCAGCACGGGGAGCATCAAGCAATGGAAGTGCCCCGGCGGCGAATTCATGCAGAACTTTGAGGGCCACAACGCCGTCATCAACACCCTCTCTGTCAACGAGGACAACGTCCTCTTCTCCGGCGGCGACAACGGCTCCATGTCCTTCTGGGACTGGAAGACCGGGTACCGCTTCCAGTCTATTGATACCATGGCGCAGCCCGGTTCGCTCGATGCCGAGGCTGGTATCATGGCTTCTACGTTTGACCGCACAGGATTGCGTCTTATTACCGGTGAGGCTGATAAGACGATCAAGGTCTGGAAGCAGGATGAGGACGCTACGCCCGAGACGCACCCGGTGACCTGGGCTCCGACACTCGGGAGACAGAGGTATTAGCTTGCCTGCTTGCTTCTCTTAATCTCGAAAAAAAAAAAACACGTTCTTAATAAATAAGGAAATATACCCTTCCCTTCCTGCCTGCCTGTTGGTCTTCGGGTCTGTGATGTGACGGCACACATACAATGCACATTTGGCGTTTAGCGGTTTTCTTGTTCTTGTTGTGCTGGTTTGGGGGTTTCTGTCCTTTGCTCTATAGATGAGCAGCACCAGATTAAAAATGGTCACGGGATTCTTGATATATTGAATGTACTACTATACAGCCAAAACGTGATGAATTTGTCTCGATTGGTCCATTTACCTGAAAGCCACGCTTCGTCAAAATAGACCTACCTTGAGATGGCGTTCCCTGTTTACGCAACCCTACCTGAGACCTGTCAGTTTTCGCAACTGATCTTCAGAAAGTTGTGGGAATCTAAGCCAATAGGGATTCAGAATCTTGCATTGTAGCCGACTGCTTATCAACGAATTGATCCACAAAGTTGTTCTGGTTCCAATGTGCTGCTTCTTCGTGGTCACTGTTCCATCGTAGGACAGTGAGTGGACAGACTCTTGTGCTGGGACACCAGAGTCCGAAGAGTGAGTCGAGAGCGCTGCCAGCGTTTTGAGATCATGTAAGAGAACCGGGTCGATGACATCTCAAGGCCGTTGCGGGTCGGTAGAGAGAAAGATAGCTTGTGGAACTCATGAAGAGGAGCTGCGTGGAGATGCAGGTACCGCAATGATTCTATGCGTGTGTAGGTGTAGGAGCGCACGTTCCTATTTTTTTACTTCGACCAACTAATCACTTAATCATCACGTATTAAAGTCCCTAGGCATCTAGAAGCAAGATGAACGTTCGCACCCTAGTAGTAGGATAAAAGCTTGTTCCAGTGCTTTGGGACCAGTCTTATACACCAAGCTCTGCGTAGCACATCCGTAGGTTGACAAAATAGTGCATGCATTGATGACACACCGGAAGTGGTGTACTTTATGAACCATACGTTCTATGACGAGAGTACCGAAATGTGTCTGATAACCCCCCAGACTCGTAGAGCTGTCATATATATTCCTCCTCATCGAAGTAGCTAGGGTCCTCAATTTGCAGGTGCCCACCCGTGGCATCCCCGCGCGGAATACCAGCAATCAACAAGGTTTCAGTTCGCTGGTCTGTCTTCATCACCAGTGGCTGCTGAGGCGTTCGCGGCCGTCATGATATGGAATATTCCTCTGCATGGGTGAGCTGGCTGCCGTAGTGGGATGATTCGTGCGTGATATCATGGCGCTTAGGGTATGGCTCATGCATTCAAGTATGTCTGGGCTGGCTACGCGTGTTATACTGTGGTTCGGTCGTCGCGCGGAATCAAAGGAAGTGTATGGAAAGCGCCTAGGGGGAACTGCTGGATCTCTAGCTCTAGCTTTGTACTGTTGCTCTGCATAGGCGCTCTTATAACCACTTGAGCTTTGGTACCCATGTGAACGTGGAGGATACGGACTGCCCCTGTCTGATACTGCCGGAAGGGACTGCAGTGGGGTGCTGCTGGTGATATGATCAGATCGTGTCCCAGTGTAGCATGCAAGCTGTGCATCGCTTTTGCCCTTGGTTTTCTGCAGATACTCGTCAAACCCCAGCTTGCCTCGGCCACGATCCTAGTGTTTGACCGTGATGTCATGAGTCGAACCCTCATGCGGCTTGCCCTTTGCGCTATGCTGGCCGTACCAGGCGAGTGCCACCATAGTAAGAAATGCGTTCTGTATCTATCTGCCTTCCATTCTAGACTTTGCCCATCTTATTAGTCTTAGCAAAATGTTCCATCGCAAATTTTATATATATCCGCTGTAGCAATGCTGAGCTTCGGTTGACCCGTCGCGCGGTGCCGCTCTTTTCAATAGACTCGAGGTGAGCGAGATTCATTGCCCATATCTTCTTCGTCTGCTCAAGCTTCAGGGAGGATAGTACAGGTTGATATGGATGCGGGATTCGAAGGCCTCGCCCATGTTGCCAACCCTGTTTGTCGTGAGGAACAGGATTCCAGAATAGTACTCTAAGACCCGGAGGAAGACTGGAAAGGCAGGTTAGTAACTATTTTGCTTAATGAATCCTTGTAATACTTACCCGAGACTAGAGAATTCCTTTGCAAACCCGAGGCTTGTCGTTGTGATCTGAAAACGTCTGCTTCGTCCAGCAGAAGCACGAGTCCCTTGCCTTTATTGTGAATTATATCCTGGCTGATGTCATGAAAAAAGTATGCCTGTTCCATTTTCCGCTTCTCAAAGTGGAAGTGGACAAGAGACCAGATAACCTTCTTATGGCCTGGGGTAATCGCTAGATCCTTAAACGGGCTCTGTGTATCTTCAAGGCGTTTAAGATGCAATGTCTCCACCATGACAAACATTCTGTCCTGCAGAGAATATGCGACCACCCACCGGGGTAACAAAATAAGGCTCTCGTCTGGGACTTGCTGCTCCTTGACTTTCCTCGGAGAAGTCAACTCCCAATCGCTGCTGATATTCAAGCACAAATGCGTGTTTTTGCAGGTCGGTTTCCGACTCATTAAAGGAAGCCCCAGATGCGCGTCCCACTCGCTTTGGTTAGAAAGGCGAAGTCTTCCAAATCTTGGATTTTTATGCCATATGCAAAGGCCGTATCTATCTTTTACTGCAGACTAAGCAGAGACAGTGGTATAGGGCGTGTCCTCTTGGTGGTTAGGAGTGCATTAAGGGGCGGATTCGGACCATTCCTGTTGTAAGGAAGGTTATTTGTACCTGTACAACATTGATGTCAGGGGCAGAGGAAGTGGAGGCGGAGGCCATTGTGCTGCATTAATATGTCACGAGCTCTGAGGTTTTAAGGGGGCACATACATGTGAATAGGGTAGTAATGAATGGTGACTGTTCCTTTGAAATATTCTTGACTAGACTTTTTTCTACTCTAGTTAATAACATTCTCTGCTAATAATAACAGGTCTTTGTCCCCCAAGCTAAGCCCTAAGAGAGAGGCTCAGGTTACCAAACTAGAAAAAGGGAGCATCTTGTTAATCTAGTATCACTAGGCCCAAAGACAGCACTAAACCACTTAGAAAGGTCCTAATCCAGGGTTACCCCCTCATTGCCGAGCAATGAGAGTTTGTAAAATCCATGATATCAATGCAACTTGCCATTTTTCCATCGTCAATAATTGTCTTGTGAATTCGTTTAGCATATTGGATATCGTTTATAGGCAGGATAGCCAGGATTTACAACATACCTGCTTTGACTAGCCTTCTTCCTTTTTTCCCTTTTTTTTCTTCACTTCTTCATAGTCTGCTTTAACTCCGGACGGAACATGTACATCATAACTCGGTAGAGCTGCGTTTCTGGCTGTACTACCATAGTGAAATCCATGGCTCATACCCAGAGGGTAATGTCATGCTATTGCTAACCAACAACCTAAAGTAAAGTAATGCATATCCATAAAGCAGTCGTATGTATGTATGTCGTTAAGAAAAGAAGCCACCACCTACCATAGACCATGGACTGGAGTCGCAGGCCCCCATCCCATACTATGCCTACCCCACGCCATCCAACCTCTTCGAATCCAACCCACATAATCTCCCCTGGGCCTCCCTCACAACACCCACCTCGACAGACCTCCAGCACCAGCACGCGAAAGACATAACTACCAATTCTTCCACCCCCACGCCTTCGCATTAGTCCAGAAGTCCCTAACTTTCTCGTGCGCCATGGGCCGGTTGGCGGACATGATGGCCCCAAAAATTATGACATCCTCCCCGTCCCACAAGGGATTTTCTCGAGTCATCGTGCACCTAGATTTCACGATGCGTGGTGCTGAGGTGGGTTGTTGTTCACCACCTGCATCGCCATCACTATTCCTGGTACCCTCATCACCACCATCACCATCACCAGCATTCCCATCAACCCACCCTTCGGGAGGACCATTGGCATACTCACTTAGCCCAAAATACTCCCTTTCCCACTCCTCCATTTCCCAGGGTTTCCTTGTGGGCTTCGAACCGAACCACACCTGCCACATGACCCACCCCGGGTCCGATGATCCATGCGCGGCCGGACTGGGTATGTCCTCGCAGATAAATAGCATCTGACCCGCGGTCAAATGATCATCATACCAGTCCACCATGCCGGGTAGTGTTCCTGGATGGCTTGGAGGTTCGCGAGGCGGGTCTTCGCGGCGGTCCTCGCGGTACCTTTGAATTGTTGTATCAAAGGTCCCACGGACGGCTAGCTCGCTGTGGAAATGTTCCACGCACTGGGTATCTGTGGCCCCAGGGACAAAGTAGAAGTCTAGTCTCCAGATGTCTGGTACAGCGAGGTTGTCGCAGTCTGTTGAGGTCGCAGCCTCATAAAAGGCCTTGAGACTGTCGTGGATATCTGGGTGATGGGGGTCAATATCCCTGTGCGTGAGGTATACGGCGAACGAGTAGAGCTTGGGCAGGGGACACTTGGCATAGGCATTAAAGACCATGTATGCAGTGCTCCCGCGGTGGTCGGTAAACGGGAGGCAGTATCTCTCATGCGGGCCAAAGTCCATGTCCCCTGCGGTGCTGGGCTCCCGGTCGGTGTCCTCCTCCATTGGGTTCAGTTGGTCCATGACCATTCTGTATCGCTGCTGGCCAGAGAGTCGCAACTTATATGACTCGAGCGAGAGGGTTGGGTTTCTCCCACCTGCCACCAGCTTGTAATTTGTACCCAGGGGGTCCTGGTGGGGATTACTGCTCGCAAAGGAGATACTTGTTCCCGCGGTGTGAAGGATGTGTTGGAGGGACTGTGACTCGAACATAGCGCGGGCAAAATTAGAGTGGTGCATATCTTCAAGTGTAATGCGTGTAAGGGAAGGGAACTTCTTGCTAGAGACCAGATTTGCGATTTGAGCCTCAAGGTTATGGATCATCTTGAGCCCTTCGCCCTGGTAGAATGTAAGTGTTTGTAGTCCAGCAGGAAGGGAATCCTGGACTAGAGTGGGTGGCGGGGGAGACTCTGTGTCGCCTCCCAGCAACGTATCAACCTGAAGAGACAGATGCCGAAGCTGCCTAAACCCGGCAAGTTCATTGGTATGCCCAATCTGTCTATCATAAGATCTCCTATCCGCGTGCCGGTAAATATCAAGGACCTGCAGCGACTGCTGGTGCCTTTTCAGGATTGGCCAGAGATCCGAGTTGGATATAACCAGTGGGGGATCGACATCGGCAAACCCACAATACATATCATCAAAGCTGAATGAGAACCGTTGTAACCGGCGCATGGCAGCCATGAACGCCTGAAAATCTTCAAGCGCTGCTTCTGAGTATAATGCGCAAGCCACTGTAAGATCTTGGATAGTGCCATGTCCATGTCCATGGCCCTGAGCCCTCAATATTCCTAACATCCCCTGAAAGTCCACCTCGTATAGTCCAAGGGTCTCGAGGCCTGGGAGGAAGAGAAGCGGCCACACGTCGTCTAGACGCAGCCGGGCCCTGTCCACATAGGCACCATTTAGATCCAAGTCGGTTTCAATATAGACTTCACACCACAGACGAATGGAGGTCAAACGAGTCAATGGAATTGGAGGTCCATCTGTAGAGGTGGTGCGTTTAGCAGCACTCGCCGCCCTCTTGCGCTGAGCCAAAATACGACGAAGGACGGCGCCCAAGATAGGGTCAGATCTAGGCACGTGTGCATCGATCGCAGTAACATTTGGGAAACAGGTAAGAAGGAGTGCCATGATTGGCCGACGGTCACCGCGTGCCAGATCCTTAAGGATAGTCTCCTCGTGGTCTTGCAATCCAATTGTATAGATCTTAGCGCGCATAAGATCAAGATCCGAAGTCTCCAGGGTATAATCAAAGTCATGGCCCAGTGTTTCGTACTCGTTGAATCCCCAATTGCCAATTACCAGTGTTTCTACCAAGCCAGCAATATCAGGGTTGCGGTTGACCGTTAGCCAAAATTTCCAAAGGGAGTGGAAAGAGTGCTGGGCTCCATCATAGGTCCATTTAGTATAGATCCAGGGGAGCAAGATCCGTTGCCATTTATGGTCTATCAGCAACAGATGGCAAGCTTGATTGACAGTGGACTCCTCCGCCAGGACATCATCTAGCACACTAGTGAAGAGTTCCAGTGGAAGGTCCGCAGGGTTTCTCATGGCAAGCGTGGGATTCCTGTCCCTGGCCTTTTTTGTTGCTGGGATTTTCGTCGTAGACGAGATTGGCAGGTGTAGGTGTCGATTGACGGGATGAGAAGGCTGGCTAGAAAGAGTTTGGAGGGCCCAGCAAGCATGCATTAATGAGATGGTGACGGGGCCAATGATGCTGATGGTCTCTGTGATGGGAACGGGCAGTGAAACATGCTTCGAGTACGATGAGGAGAGGCACAGGCCCCAATCACGTGGGGACCAGCATCTCATCCTGCTCCTCGACAGTCTTGACAAATTAACTTATCTACTACAGCATGTGATTAAGCTTGGTTCATTTGATTGGCGCACTAAGGCCTTGGTGGCGCTTCTCAGATATTAGGACACCATGGTAACTATATTTAACTGTAAGAACCCTAATCTAATATAATACACCCTATTTTAACTCTAAGTATAGTTAAGGTAATTCTATGCTTTTCTAGGAGTATAGAGGCCTTCATGCACCAACACCCACGCAGTACGCATACCCACCCTAGAATCCCTTGGCGCAATCATTTTCACAGCAAGGTTCCTGTAACGCGGGTTTCCATCGTCAGTGGTTGACTACACCCTCATCTGGGGCTTGCTTTCCGACTGATCCAGTGTGATTCCATACTCCCATGTGATCATCCAGCACGAATCCCCATCTGCGTGTGTAGGAAGTAGTATAAGCAATGTTTGCTATCTGGTACGAGGCACACTAGAACGGGAAATTGACTCACTCGCGACAAGATGCCATTGGTTGCAGTTGCTGGGAGAGCCTGACTGCGTTGGGCCTGGAACCGAGGGGTTAGTCGGTGTCGTTGCAGATGTCGTGGTTAAGACACTCGGGCCAAGCATGTTGTAAGCTGGAGAGAAATGGAGGTCATTGGAAGAGAATATTAAAGGTCTTGTTATTCGTAAGTGGCGAGGTTAAGGATATTTATTACTGTCTTAGGTTACAGCCCCAGTGCCTAAGGCAGCCACGTCCCTTCTATATAGCCCTGTCTTAAGCCTTATGTTGTGACAGACTACTCTATATAATAATCAAATTAAGCAGCTTCTAAACCAGATATGGAGCCTTAAATATCTGGTTTAGTAAAAACGGTCCAAGGCTCATGGTTCTAGACCTCAAGAAGGTTTACAGAATCAAACCCACATGCGACAAGGCCCAGGCATTGAACTAAGAGCGTAATATCATTCTACAGCTAGATATGCCCTGCAGGCAACGGTGAGACAACATTGATGAGAACTTCTATCATACTAGTAAAAGTTCACAGGAATAAAAGGAAAGGAAACAGACTAGGTAACAATCAAACCCAGGGCTGAAATACAACTGGTCTTGATAAGACGAGATTCGCTAGTGGGTCTCCCTTTGTCTGACATGGGTTGCAAGAGTCCACTTCTGGCATCGAGTACCTGATCACGCTTTGCTAGCACCCTCCAGAGACAGGTCCAAAGGCTTTTCATCTTCAAAAATCGAAGTGTTCTGGTGAGCTTGAGAAACAGAGCCCATGTGAAGCTCAGAACGGTAACCGGGGCTCTTCCATGCCCTCGGGACATTTTCATAGAGCTCAGAGACCTTTTCAAGCGACAGCCCCTTCGTCTCATAAATCATGGCGTATACAAACACCAGGGCGATCCAGCAGAAGCTACCCCAGATCCAGAACACGTTGGACTGGGTTGGGTCGAGCGCTCCAGTGAGGTACGGCGTAATATAAGAGAGCAGCCAGTTGAAAAACCAGTTTGCTGCAGTCGTCATGGAAAGACCTTTGGCACGGGTCTGGAGCGTAAAAATCTCTCCCGTGACAACCCAAGCGCAGGGGCCAAAAGTGGATGCTTTTGTAGCTGTCAGCCAAAGTTCTCTAAGGCATGATTGTGCTCACTTACCAAAGAAAGAGACGTATATGCAGATAAAAGCAAACTGGGCGCATTGTGAAGTGAAATTGGAAACCGGAGTTGCAGCGCCACAAGCTGCCACAATATATTGGGAGACACCCATACCGATGGCACCCGTCAGAAGAACCGGACGCCGTCCGAAACGGTCAATTGCCCAAAGGCCTGGAAGTGTCATAACCACATTGACGGAATTAACGATCACCTGCAGGATGAAAGAGTCGGGCAGGCCCTCGACGTTCTCCGCGAAGTAACTTGTACCGTAATAGATGATGAAATTGATACCGACGAGTTGCTGGAGTGATTGGAGTGCGATTCCGGTAATTGTGCGTTTACCGGCAGTGCCCTTGAAGCATTCAATATAGGAAGCAGAGCCAAGAGACTTCTCATACTCCCAGATGCTCTTCAGCTCTTGAATCTCGGAGATAATCGCTGGATCATCAGCGCTCAAGCGGCGGAGAAACATCAACGATCGATGGGCTTGGGCCTCATCTCCTTTTCTGATCAGAAAACGAGGTGTCTCTGGCAGGAAGAGCAGACCTCCAGCCTACTACCAAGTTAGTTATAGACTGATTGGTATTGTACCTTGTCAGAAAGGAGAGTTACTAAAATCAAAGCCCATGCGAATTGGATGGCAAGCGGGATACGATAGCTGCCTGGGGGCCTGTTAGCGTTTTCTCCATTATTGACGAAGGAGTGTTAGACAAATACCGCTGTCGTTCCTGTTCTGGGTTGCCCAATTCACAATAGCAGCCAGGAAAAGGCCAATTGTGATGCAGAGCTGGTAGCATCCAACAACTGCGCCTCTGATCCATTTAGGTAGAGTCTCGGATTGGTACATGGGGACTGTCAACAATTAGCAATGTAAATATTATGGAATCCTGAAACGAATCTGCCGATCAACACACCCATGGCGGAAACTAGGCCAACCCCCAGGCCCGCGAAAAAGCGACCAGCAATAAACAGGGGCTGCGTTGTAGCAGCAGTTTGAAGGGCCACACCGAGATTGAAAGGGAACATGACTGACAAGATGATTCCCCATCTTCGGCCTGTAAAGTCTGCCATGATACCCGCTGCGAGTGACCCAATGAACGTTCCAACCGACAAGATAGAAACAATTAAGGATATGCGGCCGGAACCAGGGTTATTGAATTCCTCGATCCAGTAGGGCATAGTCTGGATACCAGCGATAGTCCCGGTGTCATATCCATACAGAATGCCGCCAAATGACGCGAATAACCCTACTAAGATGGCCGGCCACGCGGCTCCCTTGTCACTAGGAGGGCGCTTGAATAACATAGCTGTCGTTGACGGGATTATTGGGCTGACTGCCCCAAAACAAAATGGAAACAGAGAGATTCTTCGTGGCGAATGTGGCCATGGGTGCAGATGGTGATGGCCTTAAGTACTTGGGGGGGATGCTGCGGCGCTTCAAGTGCTAACTGCTAGCTGTCAACGCCCAGGCCGGGCGTCAGTGGAAACATCATGCTAAGGCACATCAACCGGCTACGTAATTGGGATCGCGGAGAGTCGAGTTTATCACGCGAACTTGGACGTGTGGACCCATTAGCTACATAGCCCCAACCTGCGAAGAAAAGATCGCCAATCGTCCCTCCAATTTTCCTTACACGTGCTCCAGGCTCCCTGGAACGCTTAACAATGAAAATTGATAATGGAACTTGTCTTAGATACAAAGAAGAGAAAAGAAAAATTGCCATCAGTTACCTTGTGATGACATAGGATCTCAATGCACTCTTTAGTCTATTAACCTTAGGGTTCCGGCATACAACTTCACTTGCAAATAAAACTGCAACGAGACTTTTTGAAAACGAATTGAACATTCCATACTATACCGTGTGGACCGCTACTCTTCATTGCGAGTCTCCACAAGCGGGGAAGACTTACGGAGTACAGCCCCCGCGAATCTGGCGAGGTAAGCGAGGCATACTTTGCGGTTTTGATCTGCGTCAGATTGCCACTGCCAAGAATTCATAGGATTTGGTTTTATTGCTTTTCAAAGAAAGGAAAAACATAGAGGGGGTTCGGCCGGGGTTAATGTTGTTGGCGGGATTATTCAAAGAAGGACGCCAGCAGGAGAATACATCAGGTTTAGCAATCTATTAGTCTCGAACTCCTGCGGAAGTGTCTAGTGGAAGTTTCAGTATACAGGAGTCCGGTAGCAACATATGCTGGGGTAGCGGTAACCCAAGGAAGGATGGAGATGGGGAATGTTGAACTGAATATCACGGACCCGTAGATGATCGGCGCACTCTGCGTCCGGCAGGAACGGCAGCCTAGATTGAATAGGCGCTGCTCGAGATAAACCCGCGAATTTTATTTCCGTTGCCGGTGAGAGTCAGCCGGCGGAAGAGAGGGGCGATAGAACCTGGGAGGCTTGTTTGGACGTATCAAAACTTCGTAAAAGAGCGCGAATAATGAAGAGATCAAGATCGACGTCAGCGGACACCTCCCCACTCCTCCGCGATTCTGGGTGTTATTCCATGCTGTTGTAAAGCGCATTTATCCGTGCCTTCCAGCGCACCCACCGCCTTCGTCTTATGGGTGCGCCCCATATTCTTCGTAGTCCCATATTCTTCGTAGTTTTTTGATATTTGAAGCTATTCAACCACCACAATAACTAATTATCAATAAAAAAGTCTTCTCCTGCCTCTCTAGATAGCCTCTCGTTTTCAGCTACCTACTGGATTCGTTCCTCCGAGCGCTACGTGGGCGCAAAACCATAAACCTTTTTAAATTACTTCGCTAGCTTCTTCTACTCCCGCTTATTATCCTTCTCCTTCCTGACCTTAATTAATCGAATAGCATCACGAGTCTTTAGTATCCCATTACTACCAAGTGGTTTAACCTAGCGCTTAGTATAATTCTAGTGCTATGGCGCCTGCGCGGTCCTAATCCTGTAGATTGCCTCCTAGGTCATTTTAAGCTCCTCTAGCTTCTCCATCTAGTGTTAAAAGACCTTTAATAAATTCCGCTTGGTCCACTTAGATAGCTTAGTAAGATCCTTCATAACCTTTACCTAGTTCCTAGTAAGCGCCTTAATCGTCACTAGAGGACTATTTTCAACGCTGGAGGATAATAATAGTGGTGGAGTTGGTATACGGCCAGGGAGCTCTAGGATTAATATATCTAGTATTTCCAACTAATTAGCAAGCTGATTAACAATATGATGGCCATTAACTAGCTAGATACCGCGGTCTTTAAAGGATTCTCGAATAATTTGCTGTGTAAAGGCCTTGTCGCGGACTGGTTAAATAATCTATAAGAACTCTGCCTTCCCATATGGCCTACCACCCTAGAAGGATAGCTCATTGTTTATAAGCCTGAATTACTGCTTATAAGCTAGAAAAGGCTTTCCATCAAGAGGTTAGCAAAGATGTGTCGTATGAGGTAAGAAACCAAAGGGGATAATCATGTTATCCTCGCAGTATTGTAGAAATTCAAGCGTAAGGTACGCGCCATGACCATTAAATATTAGATATCGCTTCTCGCCTTGCTTCGTACGATTAGGATCCTTTGTAGCATGGTTAAATTGAACTAGCCAGGCAAGCGCTAGCTCATCAGATATCCAACTATTTAGGGATATCGCGGTTATCGTATTAGGAGGTAGCACCTCGCTGCCATCATACCAGGCCTCCATAAAGCTACCGCTAGCTTTAAATATAAAGAATAGGGCTATTAGCCAACCATCCACGCTAATATATTTAACAGCGGTAATATTTTCACCTCGCTCGCCCTCTACAAGATCAGGGCAAGACTTTAATCTAAAGACCTTGCGAGCTCGCCCCTAACCAGGTTGAAATCCGCATTCATCGAAGTTATATACAAGGCGTGGAGGAACTCCGTTAAGAAGGTCTTTTAGCTGGTCGTACTAGTGTTAGAGAAGCCCTACATCCTCTACTTATATCCGCCTTAGTTCCTTAGTCTTTTGCTTCACCGGCGCGAGGCCTAGGTGTGCTAGTACGCGCGCTTTAAAGCGATAAGGCCATATCTTGCCAACCTACTTATTAGAACCCGCGCGGGCAAGTGCCTGGTTTGCCCACGCTGTAATAACCGCAGCAGTTAGTGGGAGGTTCCATTTCCGCATTTATATGATCTATTTAATCAAGGCCTTCTCCTGATATGGCTGTAGAAGGTTTTTATTCAACGTAGTTAGTGTTACTGGTGTTTCTGCTTTTTTCAGGCGGCTTCGTAGCGTGGTATAGGACACGTTGAATTCACGCGCAATCTTCGCGATATTTGGTTTTTTTCTAGGCTCTAGTCGTGGCGATAGCTTCAAGCAAGCGAGTTTCATTAAATTCAGGAGATTTTGGCATGTTGTGTAGATATAATAAAGAATAATTTAAAGAGGTTGAAAAACTACGAAGAATATGGGACTACGAAGAATATGGGGCGCACCCATAAGACGAAGGCGGTGGGTGCGCTGGAAGGCACGGATACGAGGTAGATATGCCATCTCCAGGGGCTGCAGACCCACCCTGTGCCGCACAGCAGCACACTGCCTACGTAGTATACGTATTTCGCCGATTATTCTGGTACCTGAGTGGAGGATTCCTGACCCCACACCAAAATTAATACTCCGAAACAGCCGGAGCATCCGGACACGCCACACTCCACTACGCTCCGGGAGGCTTGCCCCCGATGTTCTAGAAGAATGTTGAGAGGTCAGACCTAAATCAATACGGTTGGAGATAAGCGATATGCAGTCAGATGAGACATGGGGTGGTACCCCCACCACCACCAGTTTCGTACCTGCGAAGTAAAACCCATCAGCACCAGGTTTACCACACAGGCCCACGTTAAACATTCTCCAATGTCAGAACAAAAACCAAACTCTTATTTATCAATACCGTATATTATTTGAATTAGATATTTCCTAGCCTGATAGTTAACCGCTGGGGCTTTAAGTCGCGGTTGATTAACAGGAACAAATAGTTTACAGGTTAAGGATTAAAGAACTAATAGACTGTAAGCTTTAATCATAATATACTCTATAGAATGTAAGAGAAATTCTGTTTTATTAACTCTTACACTCTATTCATAGCAGCCTGCACAGCCCGTTTAATCTTCAAAGCCCCTATCTCAGGGAACAAGTTGTTCAAGGCTCCCTTCTCCTCTAGATCAAAGGTCCCATCCTCAAAGAGCAACCCAAAAGTAGACAAGAACACAGACTGACTTTCTAGAGCGTTTATAGTCATAGAAGACAAGTATTTCTTTGTATGGGAGGAGTGTCACTTTTCCTTTCTTCACGCTGTCATGGACAATAGTAAACTGGGTACCTGTTACACCCAACTTATTAGGAATACCCTGCTTTTCATAATTGAATATTTTGTGAGTAATGTACCCTTCATGGTTTCGGCCAGTTTCACAAATTCATTCCAAGTGGCCTTGTCACCAATAATCCGGTATGATGCGTCCCATTTCTTCAGGTCCAGGCTTGCATCAACATACTTTCCAACATCGAGCGAGTGTGTAAATGCGATAGGCATGTTTCCCGACCCCGGTATTGCAGCCATGTTACATTCCATGTCAATAACAACGATCAGAGGCGACACGTACGACTTGATCGAGGGTCCAGCATAGTAATCCAGCAGGAAACCAACGTAGAAAACAGTGTACTCTAAATCAGTCTTCTTCAGCTCATCGAGAGCTAGGAGCTTCATAGGTATCGATGGAGCCAAATCCTCACGACTATTCAATGGACATGCTCCGTTAGCTCTCTTTGTAAGTCCACGGCACGAATAGAGTGTGTTGATTTTACCTTTTGTCCAGTGGGACGCCCCAATTGCTTGGAATGAATCGATGGGTGGTTCTTGATGGTTGAGAAGCCCGTATCAAAGTAACCTCGGGAGCAATGCCGGACACAGGCATCGTAAAAATTGACGAGATCACAGTATCAATCTCATTGTCCTCAAGTACCTGAGTCAGGCTGCCAACGGCCGAATAATCGACGGGGATGATTGGAGCCCCAATCTCATCCGCCAGGGAGTCATTCGCCTGGCCTTACATATCAGCGAGCCGAGAAAGAAGTATAAGGGAAATATAAAAGTCATTCGTTCTGAACCATACCTTTCGACTGAGGATCTTGACGTTGTGTTTGCCACGTCTGACAATGGCTTCAACTATGGCACGGCCAATACCACCAGTTCCGCTGGCTACTGCTACAATAGCCATTTTCGCTTTAAGGGCTTTTCTGCAGAAGTACTGGCTCGACTTGGCAAATTTCGGTATATTTTTGTCTCCAGGGAATCTGATGATTGTTCGTATCACATGAATGAGGAGGGAACATTTTATGTAGGTGGGAAAGCGTGCTTAAATGCTAGAAAGTAATGTATAGCATAAATAAGCGAGGTAACATGGATAAGTAGATTAAAGAGAGTTCTAATACATTTACTCCTCACCTTTTGTTCCTTGTTGTACTCGAATAAGGTTTTCTCAAGGGAAGTGCACGACCGTTATCAGCAAAAATCTAGAGAAATGCCGTCATCCAAAATCAGAAGAAGGCACGGATGAATATAAATAAAGTTTCCGAGCAATTGAACGCATTATTAATATCTCCAAATGCTCTCAGTAGAATTGGAAACCCAAAGGGCACAGTATCCGGGATTTCCGATATCTCCACTTTGAAGTAGAGCCACCACTATTTCTTAGTCCAAGCAACTTGATGGTTGTTATAATATGGTTGACCCGCTTTGTGACAATGAGGCTCTGCACTAGGGGTACCCTATAAGTTTAAGATTTACATAAGCTAGGCCTAGATTCTAAGTAGTTCATGATGCACAGTTAGTTGATCTATTCATCAACCTCCCGAAAACACACTGCACCATGGCTTGTTCGAAATGGATCCATAGTAGGATTCCAAGGGTGACTATATTATGATAAATGTGAAGTGTAAGATGACAAGTGCTTAATAAGGTTAAAATGAGCTGCAGGTGTTGAATGGGAGAAGAGTACCCAAAATCCGCTTCCTTACGGAGTACCCGAATATTCAAGGTTCAATACTTTCCCCATTCCCTGATCCCTGTCCCCAAAATAACTTCAGGTTCGTCAAATATTTTTAGTTGGGGGGGTGCGCGGATCGGTTGTGATCCGCGGACCGCTAGTGAAATACATAATTATTTGTGATTTACTAATGACGATGCTGCGGAATTAATGATTAGTGATACCCTTGAACTTGTGGAGGTTTCTGGTTCCACTTTCCTCCTTGAACATTCGAGTGTCCACGTCAAGGTATCCTCCTCGTTTCTAGGAAACGTGATGATATACCACCTCTTAGGACAAATATCCTTGACAGTTACTAGTACTGTAGGTGATGAAAAGGACAGATTTCGTGCAAAGAGCATAGTATATACATCTCTCAACTCTGCATTGTGCTTGAAGGTAGAGACTTTAACAGTAATTATTAAACCAGCTAAGCATGAGAAGTAACAGCCAAAGAAGAAGCTCTTACTCCGTACTTGGATGACTCGGATATCGGAATCAATGAATAATAACATAGACAAGATCCCCAGAGAGCTTGGTCCCCCGCCACACCTTTCATGAAACTCTGGGCAAGTTCGCACCTGCAGGTCACCTTCTTTATAAATTATGTCCCCGCCTTGGCTCGGACTGCAAAGCCTCCTTGCACAGCCCCCGAACCACTTACAAAGCCTCCGAACCACTTGCAAATTCTCCGCGCTGATGAATTCTACTATACAAGCCTAGGCTGTTTTGCTCCTTACTGGAATAAGCGGAAATAAAAAGAATTGCAGATGTCAGCCTGGAGCCGACTAGGGCCGACTAGAGCCGACTCACAACTCGTCTGATATACCTGGTTGATTTAAAAGACATTTGTTAGGTCTTGTACATTTTTACTTTTGTAAATTTTTTTGCTACTGTATCTAGGGATAGATATCTATCGCAAACATGCCATCCACCTACGCTGCAGTCCACCAATCAACCCAAGGCCCCGGTGACGCCCGTCCAACCGCCCTACAGATTATCAAAGACCAAGCTTGAAGAGAAGCTATCAGACAAGGTTATTTTGATAACTGGCTGCTCCTCTGGTCTCGGAGTTGAGATAGCACGCGCCCTCTACACCACTGGCGCAACGCTCTTTCTCACGGTCCGCGATGTTAAAAAAGCAGAGACCAATCTGGGCGACATTGCCGGTAGTCCACGAGTCCATTTGTTACACCTAGAATGCTGGAGTGATGGCGTGTCCTGAGGGCCGAACTGCAGATGGCTTTGAGGTGCACTTTGGCAGTAATCACCCGGCGCACTTTCTTCTATTCTACCTGCTCAAACCTATCTTGCTGGCTTCATCGGGCCCCGATTTCAGTTCTCGCGTTGCGATCCTCTCTTCCGCCGTCCACCGAATGTCGAGCGTCAACTTCAACAATTTGAGCCTTGAGGGTGAATACGAACCTTGGAAGGCGTAAGGCCAGAGCAAGACTGCGGTTATTTGGACAGCGAATGAAATAGAGAGGCGATACGGCTCCCAAGGCCTCCATGCGTTCAATGTGCACCCGGGTGTTGTTCAGACGGATCTGGGGCGCCACGTTCCAGATGAGCAGAAGGCTGCATGGGGCGGCGATGAAGAATTGTCAAGGTACTGAAAGAGTCCGGAGCAAGGAGCCGCTACAACTGTGTGGGGAGCTGTTGCTAAGGAACTAGAGGGACAAGGGGGGAGATTCTTGGAAAACTGTCAAATCGCTCATCTGCAGGACCCGAACTCTGGTCCTTGGGGTCCCGGCTATGCACCCTGGGCGTTTGATACTGACGGGCAAAGGAGGCTCTGGGCGGAGACCTTGAATATGCTGGGGTTGGAAGATGAGTAAAGGAGAAAGGCATTTACCTTTGTTTTCATGGGTGCTATTTAGCGCTCCTATGCTCTTATCACAATCCTGTGTATTAGAAGTCCCAATTGATGTATTCATACCATCTCAAAGTCATAACCTGAGTTAAGTCACTTAGACCATATTAATGCTTGCTGAAAGAGCATGAATACATAATATTAGACATCCAACACAACCCGCGGGTAAGCATGGCAAATGACACCCCTCTCCACGCAGGTCTTGATACTGCTGACCTTTCGCCCGCAGTGCTCAGTTAGAGTCTCTTGCTGCCCATGCACGGCACAAAGATATTAATGATAGTGTTTATTCCTACCCAGAGACCCTCTTGTATCCTGAATCCTTATTTACCATTAAAAATATCAACAATACAGACGTATCTACTATAATCGAGATTTTCTTGACCTTTTTCTGGGAACAAGCTAGAGTTGATCTGGAGGCTTTTTTGGGACACAACCCGCCCTGCTGGTGCACCATCAAGTTTGGAAGAAATGAGTCACTACTTATGTGATTGGCTTCTCAATACTAGGTTTTGCTCACTTGGATTAGAGATATATAAGTATATGGACTTCTTATCTTAGTCTCCTAGTGGCTGAACACTTGCCAGATAACTCTCCTACTCAAGCAACACGCTCCAGCTTCAGGCTCCCACCACATAATCTAGTCCTTCATAATCTCCACCCCAACCTCGGCCGCCAAATTTGCCAGAAGCGCCACATACCCAAACCCACCCACAACATGCGCAATCCTCGCGACCTTCTCGCGTCCCGAAACCTCAGCCGCAGGCCCAAAGACGCTATCCGAGATCGGGGCCCGACTGCGCGCCATCTCCAGCGCGAGCGCATACACGGCCGCCTCGGGATCCGTTAGCCCCGCAGGCGTGCGGCCTGATTTCGCGTCCTCGATTTGCGCGCGGGTGAGGCCGGCTTCGAGGGCGACTTCGGAATGCGCGTAGAGGATGTAGGGGGCGTTGTGCTCGGAGAGCGTTGCGAGGGTGCAGAGTTCTTTTTCGGTTGCGGATAGGCCTGGCTGGTTGTCGACTGCGGCTGCGAGGTTCATCCAGGGCGTTATGAGGTCCGGGGTGTATCTGGAGAACGTTTTAGTCTAATTGGGTTGTAACGTGAATGGGGCATGTGTACGGTAGAGAGGAATAAGGCCCCAGGAGGGCCCCCGAGGGTCCGGTTAATTGGACGTGGTCTGGTACGCGGGCGAGGATCTCGCGTGCGCCTGCCTCGACACGCTGCTGCTCGGGCGTTTGGGCGTCTTGGGGGATGGGCGGGTAGCGAGACATGTTATCTTGCGCGGCCTTTTGAATCTGTGATGATTTCTTGTGTTGGGTTGTTGAAGACGGGGGAAACTATTAATGATCTGGAAGGGGAATCAGATGGAGAGAACTTATATAGATGCCTTGTATATCTTGCGCAGTCTACCCGTCTTACTGTCAGCTTACTGAAACAGCTCCCTCAGTAACTAGTAGGTCAGTCTTGATCGTAATTGTTTGCTCTACAATCATTTGTTCTTGCACTCTACAGAGTACTGCTCTGATATACCGGCATCATCCACGGAACCCGCGGGCTGCCGATAACTCTACTTACTTGCAAAACCGGCTCACCTCAGCAAGACACCCATTCTTCCTTTAGTGTGGCCTCATAGGTTCAATACTGTTGTTTCCTCTATTGCTAATTCCTGTATCTTCTGTCCAGCAGCTCCGCGGGATCCGGTGAACTACATACGGTTTGCCAGGCTTACTCTGGTCGCGGCTTATGCTGGGCAGTTTCCCACGGATGTATCCGCTAGGTTACACAATTTTATTCAGACGCTCGAGAGAGGGGGTTGTGTAGAGGTGGAAAACAAGGGACGAAACAATAGAAAACATCTAGTCCTACAGCAGAAGTTATCCCCGCGAACCCTGTTAGGGGCCTGTAGATGTTGCTAATACCAAAGATGCTCATTTTCCCTGATATCTTAGAGTCGAGCAGGAAGTAGACCTAACCCTCTGCTCCAATAAATCATCGAAATCCAGTCTAGAAACAAACAACGAATCCTAAATCTGCTCAGCCCCGTCTAATGGCTTCTCCCAACTCTGTCGGCGATCGGTAAAGATCTCCTTGTTGGGCGGGGAGATATGGTCGAAGAGAGACGCTTTGACGAATGCCTTGCCTGGGAACTTGGGGCTCTTAGTGATGACTGGACTGATCGGAGTTTTTAGTCAATTGATATTATGCCAAAGAGATAACAGGAGTCAGTACCTGCCGCAGTTCCCACAGAATTGCCGCTAATATTCGCAATTAGTCTCATAGTTGCGTAGTGTCCACTAGGAAAGAATATACTGGAATCGGCTGGGAAAGGGAGACATACCGCCACGCGATTCCCGCTCACAGTCTGCGTATCTTCGAATGTTTTGAGGGCGCCATTATTCTGCAGGGTGACATCAGGCTCGTCCACGACATAGTTTATTGAGGCTCCTGGGGTGATACAAGTCAGCCATTTACAAAACATCGAGGGCCTGCTAAGACAACTCACCACCACCGGATCTCCCACAATTGCGACTGTAAAAGAAGGTCAGCTGATTGTAAATGATCGACCACGCACGACCTACCAATAGCACCGTAGAGAATTGGGAGGCTGCTCCTTCAGCGACACCTGGATAGCACCGCAGATGCAGTGTCCTTGATACGCAGACATTGAATGTTGATATGTGCGGTGTTAGGAAAATAGACAAACTATGGAGGAAATCCCTGAAACCGCGGGGTTTATCATTGTTCTATTGTCGGGTGACGTACAAGAGGCGAGGCGGGCGGACTTAGTTCCGCGGTTCCCATCGAGCCTTTCTCCAGCGGCAGCAGCGATGGGCCCCGGGTCCCGCCGCATGAACCTTCCATCTTCATGGAACCTCTTCTCCATCTAAAAACCATCATTCCGCTCGCTGTTTTCAAGTCCAAGCTGCTAGTATTCTTGTTCTTCTGTTGGGGCCTTTTCGAGGTCGCCCCACCTAAGCTCCGGGGTCACCCACCGCTAACTCCCAGGCGTGTTACCCCCTAAGCCCCGCCAAACGCATTGCTGCACAGCCAAGAAGTGGATTTGGCGCTGGCTTCGCGAAGAAAAAACATAGTCGGATCTTCTCGAGTCTTCCATTTAGCATTGGAAGATCTTTTGCCGCCCGGGAGCGTGACTTCCAGTTGATCTCCACAAGGATCTGGCGTCCGGACATATGTTGTTGTGCAAGGATGATCCTTGAGCTCCTTTGCCACACCAGAGCGGGGAGGACGGAGAAGGGGTATCTAGGATTTCAGGGAAAGATATGCTTCAAAAAGCTCAAACACGGCTATGATAGAAGGGTGCCAAAAATCAAAGCCGAGTTCACCATCTTCACCTGTTGGGCTTGTTGGCGTTTGTGGGCGTAGCTAATCAATGAAATTATACAGCCTGACCAGCAAAACACCATGCATACCCCTCAGCTTTGTACAACCCTCCCACATCATATGAGGTGAGATTCGACAGTGTCCTCACAGTGGGAAAAATCTGCGTCCGCTTTGATTCTCACAGACTAGACAGATGCCCCACGGATTCGTCGCAATGGCTCAACTTGGCCCCCAGGGAAGCGAGCTCCAGCTCCTACCACCACAGCCTGATGAAAACGAGATGCCACCGTCCGAGACAGATGGAGTACAGTCGCTCTCGCATGCAAGTGAACGCCAACCTGATCCGGACCGCCCAAGCTCCTCCGCAGCCTCGGGTGCCCAAGATTATGTCGAAGGATGGCCGGTTGGTCCTCGCCGGCTGAAAAGCAACGCGCAGTCTGATATCTTCTCTACGATGCTTGAAGTTATAACTGCCTTTTGTCCCATTGCCTTTCTTGGTTAGTGGTCACCTCTACTTACCTTGTTCCGTCTCGCTGCAGCACGGCTGGCGAGCTAACTATACTCTTAAGCACTCGCTATTATCGTGATACGTTTGGACGGGGATGAAGTATCCGACGCTACTAAGGGATATGCGCGTTCAAATTGCGGATGTGGAGTATGACAAGGACGTTGGGCGGGTTGCGTTTGCTGGCGTTGGCCTTAGTGTAGATAGGGTTGGGGCGAAGAGGCTGCGTACAGGGCGGCGGTATCGGTGAGTGAACAGTAGGTTGCGTATCGTTTGAGATACGGGAAGGCGCGCGGAGTTCCCCCTGTCCAGCCCCGCCCGGCCCCTGAAGCTCTGCTTTACATCGACTTCTTTGCCCACTCTCTTGCTATATTGTCCAGAGCTGGGTGCTTGACGTTGCTTGGGCTTATTTGAAAGCGTTTTCATCCTAAGCCGCTCCTGTTTATCCATCTCAATACTCTTCAACCTCATGGCACATCACCTCCCACCAGAGATATGGATGCAATTCACCCAGTACCTTGAAAATGACCGCCCATCCCTCGCCAGGTGCGCGCGCGTCTGCCGCCAATGGCACCCTGTGTTTGAACGAATCATCTATCGCAACATCAGCGTCGAGAGCGATGAATGTGACACGACAGACGGGGCTCTCTCTTTTTCACAGTTCCAACCTCTTTTTCTCTGGAAAAAATGTATATCGGAGGTCATTTCTCCGCCGCCTGGATTATATAGTTATTCTGCCTTACGAGCTTCCAAACTATCGAGCTGTGAAGCTAGAGGGCTACCGTGAGCGCAACCCAATGCGAGAGGCTAACGATAAAGCGTTCAAGAGCGCCATGTCCACATTATTCAGGCTCTTGGCGGCCTGGGAAGAAGGGTCGAAACTCACTTTGTCTCTCGAGGCACGGGGGCGAGACGAAACGCTCGAGCCAGAAACTGAAGAGCTGGAAGAGGCTCACACATGGGAAGCTGAACGCGATGGCAGACGTGTTGTTACTCCCTACCAAGCCCGATTCCCAGATGGGGTTTCAGTATTACCCGAGGTGTCGTCCATTGACCACCTTGTGTTTGACTCATACTCTCAACGTATCTGGAAAACCCCGGACGAGCGTGTTGCGGCTGCGTGGGGGTTTTCTTTAGACGATATGGTAGTCGAGACGCCTTGGCCAAGCCGACTCCCTGATGTGCGGTGGATTTCAGCGACATTAGAGGGATTTCCTCCCCCAGGATGAGTAGGCGTGGTTTCATTCTATCCTTTTAACTATATATTCACACCAAGTCCATTCGAGTCATCTATTTACGAGCTATCTAGTACCAACAAAGTAATGTACTATTACATCAGGAACATGGTGGAGAATTCCAAGCGAAATCATACCAGACCGTCACACCGAGCCGCTGTCTTCAACACCGGGCCGTTGGTAGATATCCGCCCTAGCCCAAGGAATAAGGCATGCTGCATCTGTACTCGCTATTGGCTCATATGCAGTCGTCACTCGTGTCATCCATACTAACGAGTACTTCCGTAGGATACTCCACCCCTGCATGGGTCATCCTTGGTTACTGATCTGACTGTTATGGACGATCAGGACGTGATGGACACTTTCGATTTGGGGACCAGCCTCATTTCGGGAGTTCTGAACATAAGGACTCGAGAAAAGCCAGAAACGGGTCGAACTCCAACCCCTTATGGGCCACATGCGGCCCCTTATACGCACGGTCCGAACAGAATAGCCGAATTTGCTAGTTTTGCTGGTACTTCTGGCAATGCCGCATGGCATGACATCGAAGCAAAAACGTCAATCTCGAGATGACGTCCATTCAGTGCAGAATACGGACACCCTGAACCAGCCCGCCAACCGAGGAGTCCCTGAGCTTTGATCGCCGGCATTTTCCATACAGTTCAAATTTCGGGGCACGCCAGTCGCACCGACTCGCTTGCTTACTCTGTCCGTGTCTCCCTACATGATCGATGTTCGCGTCAGGAGCAACATGACTTTTTTTTTTTTTTTTTTTTTGGTTCGATATCCTCTTGCAAGGGGACTTGTTTCTCTCCGTCACAGCGGACCTCCATCGTTACCCTTTAACAGGCCTCAATTATATTTTCCTTGAAGCGCTTTTCCGGACCCGAGATGCACGCCGACAGCAAAGTGCGCATCTCGTTTATACCTAGGTACCCATCACAGGTCTCCTCTTTGAGAGATGGGGAAACCACGTAAAGCACGGCGTGTTTTCTATACCACTTGGCCAGCTGTTGAAGGCGCGCCGTGAGAGAAATCACTGGGTCTTCTTCGGGTCCAAGAGGGATACGTACTTGGTCTTTAGCCGGGCTGGTCTGTCCTGCTGAATGTGATGCCTGGAGGGACTGTCAGAACATTGGTGGGAAGACATGGGGTGATGGCGTAGTCTGGTCTCACCAAGCCCAAAACTTACAGCTCAGGGACATTACTCTCAGCCGGAGGACCGTGTTGCCGCAGGATCTCTCTGGACTCTGTTTGCAGGTGGCCGCTGCCAAATACGTTTCTCGCAGGCGCGAACCTGTCGTTATTATACGTCTGTTCCGTGCTGGAAGAGCTAAGATTACAATAGTAGGGCCTTGACATGTTTTTAGCCCTAAATTATTAAGGGCACAATCCACTCGTTGTGAGGCTCAATCCTAAGGCTGGTTTTCAAGGCGCGAGACATATAACGGCGTGAAAAAGATCTGGCAACCTTTCCGGACGGAGCACCGGCGCGAGAGCCCACCTTCTCTCGCGGGTCAACAGGGTCTGAACTCCTGTCCAGGGGGGAAGACCAGGGACCATGATAGGATACTCTTGCGAACGTGAATTAAACCACGCTACCGGGGGGAAATTAATAAACTAGGTAGTGACCTAGTCCTTGGCTGTCGCAGGTACTATTAGCCCAACAGAGAGGGTTAGGGAAGAGTTAAATTCCAAGTAACTAGCGCTGCCGAGATATTTAGTATAATAGTTACAAAATTGCCGCGACTAGCAGGGTAAGACGGAAGTAGCGCCGCGGGCGGCAGCAACAGCAACCATGGGCCCTGTTTCATCAATCTGCAATTGTGAAGCTACTTAACTCATACCACCCTTCTCAGACATGTCGCATTTTCCTTCCTCCATCCCTGGTCTTTCTCTCTGCGTCATCTATTCTACATCCTATAAGCCAAAATGCCTGACCCCACAACCCTCCTCCCTCCGGAGCTCTTCACTCAAATACTCTCTTCGGCCATCCAACCCCACCCACTCACCGACTCAAACCCAAACGCTGCCCGTAACCACGAGATCGAGCGCGCATTCGACTTCCACTCCGGAACAAACCTCGCCCAGCTCTCCCAGCTGACCCTGGTAAACCGGCGGTGGCGCGACCTCTGCCTGCCGACCCTCTACGCCCAGTACTCGCACAACGGCGCGCGCCACTCGTACATCTCGCTATGGCGGTTCCTGCGGAGTATCATGCACAATCCGAGAATCGCGGCGATGGCTCGGGAGGTGAGTATCGGGAATTGGGGGTTTTATCTGGATGTCGTAGCCGAGGATGACGGGGTTTGCGGGGATAATGTGCATTTTTCGGAGGGGGATGTGGAGATGATGCGGCGGGCGATTCGGGCGGTTTTCGACCCCCGCGGGAGGGGTGGGAAGATCATCGACGAGCTGGAGGCGAGGATACTCGATCCACGGGCACTGTCAGAGAGGGATTGTCGGCCGCTGGTTGTGCTGCTGTTGATGAGTTTGCCGAATGTTGAGACGGTGTATTTGCATCTGCCGGAGGGGTGTTCGGTGCTGCGGTGTGTTCTCGAGGAAGCGTTGCGGTGTCAGGATGAGAGTGGCGAGCTGCCTTGTCTGCGACATTTGGCGCATCTGCATCTGCTCGCGGAGGTTCCAGTCTATGGGCTTGAGATGGGGCCTTCGTTTTGGATGTCTGATCCGGCTCTGAAGCTTGATGATATCTGGCCGTGCGTCTACTTCTCCGGGCTGCGTACGCTGGCTTTGTATGACCTGGAAACGGAGGGAATTGCCGCTTTTCTTGCGAACAATAGTGGCAGGGTTTGCCGAGTGGAGAACCTGCGTGTTGTAGTAAGACCCAGCCCAACACGCTCTTCTGCTGGTGTCCGGGCGCTTGTCAATCTGCCACAGTCACTCACTCAGTTTTCGTTATGCTGGGATCATAATGTACGCAGCGGAGAGTCAGCCCCGGAAATCTCCGTGGTTGAGGTCTGGGACGCGCTACAGAAACATCGAGAGAGTCTCGAGCAACTTGCAGTCTTCTACAACGTTCATGAGCTTGACGAACCCACTCCAGGCCATTTTGGTTCCCTTCAGGCATTTCCACGCATGAAACGGCTCGATACTCAGCTAAACATTCTTCTGGACGGCATGACAACAGAGCGGCATGCACCATTTCGCTTAAAGGACACCATCCCAGAGAGTCTAGATAGCCTACTCCTCCAACCCAGCTGGGTCTACGAAACAAGCCCTAACTTTCAGACCACCGAGCTTCAAGCCATGGTTGCTGAGCGCAGGCGGCCCCTCAAGCTTCTTGCCCTTGGTGATATCCTGGCCGCCCCGTACTATAACCAGATTAAGCACTCCGAAAAGACTGGTGATCTTGCAAGAATGGGCGCCGCTGGTTCAGAACCATATCTTGGTCTCTGGACGCTGTGTAGACAAGTTGGTACCCAACTGCACGTTACCTCCAGTTGTGCCTGTACATACGTACCCGGGCCTTGCGAGTTTCACAAAGGAGGAGCCTGCCAGTGGCTCTGGCGCAAGACCTGGAATATCCGTGCTGATGGAATCCAGCGGAACAGAACCAGCGTCGAACGGCTGCCCAGACCAGTTCCTCGGAAGAAGATAAAAAAGTCTCACTCATCACCACTCTACACTGTTGCCTTTACTGACCACGCGGGAAACAAAGCTTTTATGGTCTTTAGAAACAGTATTAACGCTGAATCCTTGAAACTTCCACCTCTGTTTCCCTTAGTCGTCTACTTCACGCATCCTAACGCACTCCCGTCGCCAGATGCCACCGACCTCGGTGGCCTCCTCAGAGCCATCTGGGAAGCAAGGATAGATTCCAACTTCCACTTCCGGCTCGATGTTTATTTCCTCCCTGGCGCGAGTGAAGCCGACTGCAAGACGCATTATCTTGCTGAGCGGGCCTCAAGAGCGGATTATGAGACGCTCATCCCTGAGTTCAATGCTCGGGTATTCCAACTGAAGAGTCAAGGGGGTAGTCGCAGTGCCGTACTTGATGATTCCTCACACGCGCAGGCCACCACGCGTCTTCCAGGAATGGCCCACTCCCACCCCGGTCTCGAGCCCTACCGCGGTATCCTTCTATTATGTCCCGAGGCCAGCTGGCGCGATGGTGCACAACGGATCTCCTGCTTGATGTTTGATAAACACGCGGTGGAGGATATGATTAATGATAGCGAAGGCGAAGCCCAGAATGACGAGTATCGCAACGCGCCAGAAAGCACTACCGTCTCATTCCGAATCGCATACAACAGTCCAAAATCTGGAGACGATGATGAGGAAACAATCGGAGACTGGCTGGGTCAGTCGACGAAACACATACAGTCTGCGCATCGCTTTGGGGATATTCACTCGCGGGCTGCGGGAATGGGGTGGACGAGTTGGTAACACGGGTGCCTGGGTCCATTCGGTGTTATATTCTCTCCGGTAGACGAGGTGCAGTCACCTGGCCGGCTAGCAAGTCACTGGGTGGATAGACGTTAGCTGCTTGCTTTGAGTCGCCCAGTGGGTCGATGGGTACATTGCGGGCTTATCTATCCAACAACCTCTTATTTGATGAAAGACAACTCGCAAAACTGACGTAATACATGGCTGCCTTCCATGCACCCTCTCAGCATGGCTTAGCAATGCTGCCTTGCTCTCCAACTCCTCCCTGCAGATGCTGCAGGCAACCCGCATATCCTTTGGGTATGGCAGGACATGAAGGCCAACAAAGTGACGGGTGAGACTCGACTCAGTATTCTCAAGGCCGTTTCTCGGCTGTAGCCCGGTATTCTGCATATTCCGCTGGTGTCTGCATAGGTAGCCCCTGGGACCGAGGATTTGAGGCAGTGGACACGCATCAACAAGCCATCTTCCTAAACACGCAAGCAAGGCGCCCACTGAACATAACAATTAGGGGTTTGGCATATCTAAAGCTCACGAGACTATTCCTTTTCAACCCGCGAAACAGCGGCATCAACGGGAGGCCAAGATCCCCCACACATTTTTTGAGATGCGATTTACGCTGACTAGGGCTGTCGTTATACCCGCAGCGCCCGTCTAGGGTGAGATGCGGGCGGATGTTGATGTCGATGGCCTCGTCCCTCTTTATGCGTTCCAGATCAACTACTCTGATTCGATACGTCTCGCGGAGCTGAGGCTCAAAAATCTGATACAGTAGGCGCGAGACTTGATGGAGATCGAGCAAGTTCTCGTTCTGAAGCTGCGGAAAAGTTTGCCCGTCGGTTGAATGACATTGTTGCTGGCGTTCGCGGCCTCTTTTCTATTTGTAGTACTTGCTGTGGATTCACCAGCGTTGAGAGAGAGAGGAAAGCTAATAGCTTTATTAATCTGGACCTAATCCTAAAAAAAAAAAAAAAGTCTCTTGATTTATAATCTTAGAGAAGTTTGTAACTAGTCTTGTGATATTTCTTATATCTATAAACCTAACAGGTCTAACTTATTTAGTAGGACTAGGCACTTGGTTTATCCAAGCAAAGGGCCAGCGAGATGGCAGATTCAAATTAAAGAGAAAGCTCCGAAGACCTAATGAGAATCCACCTATCAGTTCATACAGATTGGCATCTATACAATGCGGGCCAATCGGAACCGAGTCGAACTGGGTTTAGGGCTAGTGTGGTGCGGGGTATACACGGAGGAAGCTCCGTGAAGAAGAGAGCGTTCACCCTTGGGGGTGGACTATATTCGAGCACTCGGCTTGGGGACAACAGTGCATAATAAAAGGCAAGGGAGGGTATACTGTTCCATTCCAGAAGGAGCTGCCCCTTGGACCTCGGATGCGGCCGAGATAGCGTACCACACTGGGAACGGAGCTGTCAGTGACTGTATTCGGATCGACTTCATAGCCATTCGTTGCATCGGTCCGAAGCACCAAGTGGACTTTTAATCAATCACTCGGACGGATGGATGTCTCTTCCATTCAGTTAGCTCGCTCAAGGGTTGGATGGTCATACCGTAGTATAAGTAGCGTGGGTTTGAATATGCCAGATGCAATTTGCCCAACCTCTCAATTTTCACTCCGTGTTCTCTTCGCTTGATCCACAGGTCCCATTCTTTAATTCTCCCTCATGAAGGCGTACATCCCCGTGCTTGCTCTCGCAGGCATTGCCGCTGGACAAGCCCCGGCCTGGACACAGTGCGGCGGCATCGGCTACACAGGTACAACAACCTGCGTAGCCGGGTACGCTTGCAAGTATCTAAACGATTGGTACTCGCAGTGCCAGCCTGGCAATAGTCAGTCGACATCGTCATCCACAACTCTCACAACAATGACGTCGTCCACGACAAGTCCCTCAACCCCAAGCGCGTCTCCAACAGACGGCGCAGCTCACGTCCGGTATCTCGGCCGCGTCAACCCCGCAACAAGAGAACTGACCTGGCCGGGTACCGGCGTAGCCTTTACCTTTACTGGGACTTCGGCGACTGTAGATCTAGACCAAGTGACGGGAGCCAACAGCCTCGAACTAACAATCGACAACGGCGAGCCGATCGTCTTCCTAGATGTCACCAGCACGACAACCTCAATCTCCACGCCCTCTGGTCTCTCATACGGAACACACACCGTCGAACTGCGCAAGCGCTCCGAGTCCTATTTTGGCGCAATCACCATCGGGACCGTCACAACGGACGGCAGTCTAATCTCCGCACCAGCGCCCGCGCGCAAGATCGAAATAATCGGCGACTCAATCACCGTCGGCTACGGCCTCGACGGCGTAAACCCATGCACAAACACGGCAGCGCTAGAAAATAACCCAAAGACCTACGCCGCTCTCGCAGCCAAGGCGGTTTCAGCAGATTACAGCATCATAGCGTGGAGCGGCAAGGGTCTCGTGCGGAATATCGCTACCGGCGCTCCCGACGATAGTCCGTTGATGACGGGGTTGTATACGCGGTATGGCGCGAATGACGCGGATGGTAGCTATCCCTTCGCAACAGCAAGGACAGAGTGGACGCCCGACGCTGTGGTCATAACCCTCGGCACGAATGACTTTGGATACCTCGCCTACGACGCCTCGGGAACGGCATACCCGGCGCGGCCGGTGATCAACGCGACGGATTTCACAGCCGGTATGGTCGCTTTCGTCCGGAGGATCCAGACGGAGTACTACCCGGATGCCGAGATCCATTTCTTCCTATCGGCATCCCCGATGCTGAGCGATACGTGGCCCACGGCTGCAGATGCACAGCATACGACGCTGTCGAATGCGCTTAAGAGCGCTGTGGAGCAGATTGGGACCCATGCGCGTTTTGTCGACTGGCAACCGCAGGGGGCGGAGGTGGGGTGTGACTATCATCCGAATGCGGCTACGAATGCGGCGCAGGGGGTGGTTTTGGCTGAAGTTTTGGGTGCGGTGTTGGGTTGGTGATCTGTATGAGGACCGCAGTTAGACTGTGAAGGACCGTTGAAGGAAAACATGGTTATGTCTTGGTGTAGTATTTGGGCCGACAGATATAATGGCAGACTTTTTGACGGCATCGAGTGTGTCTGGAGCATGGATTTAGTAGTGGAGTACACAGCAAGCTTTGGACTGGGTGAGAATTTATAACCCCCACACTGTGAGAAATAAGGTCAGTTAGGGTTAGTGCGTCAAAGTAAGGGGACAGACCAGTGGCAAATACTCCGATTATGGCTTTCCCCCTTAGCAACCTCAATGACCCTAACCTTCCACTCCATCCAGCGGCCCACCCGATTCTGGACCCCGTGGCATTGCCATGTTGGGTCACAAAGTATATCTATCCAAGCCCCTAAGTAAGAATGGATTCGACATAAAAAGATAGACGGAGCTAGACAAGGCAATATTTTCATCACGGACTGCAAAATAGAAATACATGGTAATCAAAGAAGAGAAGGCATCGATAATGCAAGCCCATGTTCTTCCTTAATCAGATCCGCCGCTTTCTCTGCAACAGCAGAAACGCTACTGACGATATTCCCACTGACATTATTCGGGAAAACTGACGCATCAGCAACACGCAGCCCCTGCACACCCTTAACCCTAAGCCGCGATTCTAGTGCATCGCCCAGCGCAACAGACCCGCAGATGTGGTATTCGCCAAGGACAACGTCGCGGACTGCCTCTTTGCCCTGTTCGAGGTCCTGTAGGTTGACTGAGGGGTGCGGGTGGGCTCGTTCCGCTATGGAGTCCACGAGTGGCGCGGTGCGGCCGAGTTTGTCGCCCCAGCGGGCCAGGGCGGCGAGGATGGTTACGTCGGCGGGGTGGGTGATGTAGTTTGGTTGGATTATGGGGGGTTCGGATGGGTCTGATCATGTGTATTAGTTGTGCCCATCTACCAAGGCTGCTGTATAGGGCAGATTTGATTGACATACCATTGCTCTGGATATGAATGTATCTTCTGGAGACAGGGTACTGGAGACAGAGCGCAGCACTCAGTCCAGCTGGTTGACCCGGCGGCGGTGTCATGAAGAAGCGGCCTTGATGCTCAATGCCTCCATCAGGATTCAGGGTTAGAGGGAAAAGAACAAGTTGTAGGTTGGCTGAAGTATCGCTTTCGAGATGTTTGATCACCTGTTGTAATTGGCGCGCATGGAATGGAGTCGTCGGCTCAACGGCCCGGATGCTCTCGATTACCTCGCTTAGCTCCTCCTCGGACAGGATACGCTTCAATGGGAGGAACCCCTGAGTACTTGTCATTGAACTCAACGGGCCGCTTTGGGTCTTGGTGTACTCCTGTACTGCCTGCTCAGCTCTTGAGCCGTAGCCGAAGCTGTCGAGTGTTATGACGTCCGGTTTCACTGTCCAGGAAATAACTGTGGCGCTGTGATCCTGGACATTGGCTCCAATGGCGCGATTTTCGACTTTGCATTCGACCCCAGCTGCGCTGAGAATATCGGGATCACCAATGCCTGATAGTTCTAGGATTTGAGGTGACTGGATTGTTCCCGCGGAGATGATGACCTCCCGCTTTGCGGAGATAATGTAATCTTTATTATTGAAGGTAATGATGACACCCGTGGCTCTGGCGTTATTGCTGTCAAGAATGACCTTATTTACTCGCGCCTCAGCCAGCAGTTTCAGGTTCGAACGCGACGCATGTGGTTCATAATAGTCACGCCCGGAGTAGCTTCGCTTGCCCTTGTTTGGACCTGTCCGGGAAACAGTGCCGAGGGTCTGGAAGAAGCCAATGTGGTCTCCGCTCCAGGCGTCCTCTGGTTGCTTCAGGTCCGTGATCAACGCTGCTGTCTCAATCACATCGTCCTGGATTGGAAGGTTGACATCGTTGAAACTGGTTTGAATGGGACCAGTGGTGCCGTGGTGGTCGTGAACCAAGGGCGATGACGCTTGGATTGTATCTGGGTTGATCGCCGCGAGAGTCTAGAGGCTCAGAGTCAGCACGTTCCAACTTCTGGAATAATTGAAAGCCAAACCTGATGTTTGCGCATGTATGGCTGCATGGCTTTTGCTGACCACCCTTCATCCCCAGCCAAAAGAGCCCAGTCGTCGTAATCCTGCAGCGACCCGCGGACATACATCATTCCATTAACCGCGCTAGAGCCACCAACTGCCTTCCCACGAGGGATATGATGGATTTTTCCACGGTTCCCAGTCTGTGGTGCGGTATACATACACCAGTCATATTCAGGGTTCTCGAACAACTGCATTACAGCAGCCGGTGTGTCGATTAGCGGATCATCAATGCGGTATTTGCCTGCTTCGATTATGCCAACAGTTACGCTACAGTCTTCGCTTAGACGGGCAGCGATGGCGAGCCCAGCTGTTCCACCGCCGCAGACGATAAAGTCGAAAGAAGTCTGGGTGAAATCCTCAATGGAGGAGATCGGAGATGAGGAGGCATGGTCGTTGGATTCTGGTCGTGCCATTGGAAAAGTTGGTCACCAGAAGGAAATGTATGCAGCAGACGTCTCCGATGAGAGTAAAACTTGAGGAGGGCATCGTGCTCTTTTATAGTCTGGTCGGCCCGCGACAAGAGCCCACAAGATATGCATAACAGGGCGCCGTTAATGGAGAGCAGATCTTGACCCTCAGCACCATTGGGGGCATCGTCTGGCGCTTATGAAGACCGTCGAGCTGAACGCTTGGGTTCTCAGCTGCCACTTTACCAGCAGAGGAATTTTTCCCAGGTACAAGTGGAAACCAGGTTGTAGTGAAGCGATAACTGCCTCAAGGCCGCGCGCGTGCTCTGTATGCGTATGCGTATTGCGTATAACCGAAACCGCGAGATCGGCAGCGTAGCGTTGTTGTAACATAACCGGGCCACCTAAAAAGGCCTCTCAACTCTAGTGGAATCCGTGAGAATGATTAGCATAAAGATATTAGAAGGTTAATCCAAGGTGAGAGCCCCGCGTTTGACGTTAAAGCGGCTGATGAGAGGTGATGTTGAATCCTTGAAGGATTGTGACTGGAGCCCCGACTGTCATGGCACGACCCGGACGCAAAAGAATCCATTTAACTTCGGAATGCTGGCGCACCATGTTCCCTCTGATCTTCGCCTGGGCTGTCTAACGAGTCATGACGCTTGTGAATGGTTTGCTTGGCAAGGCACATTAGACGAATCATAGCTCGTCTCTGTTTAGGTAGATGGGTGTCTAGCCGATGGTATGGTAGTCTGATGATAGAGAAAAGAAAGTCAGTCGATGCAGACAGAGTGTTGTGATGGTAAGAAATGTTGAGAGGGGCCAAAGCCAAGGAAGCCACACCTCCATAAAATATTTCGAAGAGTGACCTAGGAACTTCGAGATCCAGCTGATCTACTTGTAGTATTTTATTATTCTGTTCTTTTGAAGAATAGGCTCTCGCAGTAGAAATACTGTGACTTTGATGCTTGAAATATCCAAAAACCAGGGTATCATTTCCTCGAAATTAATGTACACGCAATGATATCTGCCAAGGGCTATGATGATGCTGTTAAACGCCAAGCAATGCTTCTTACACCCATTATCTTCAGTTATCCAATCCTAATCCCAACCCCTTCGCCTCGACATCATCTCGGAACGCCAACCGCACATCCTCCGGCGCAACCCTCAACCTCACCTTCCCACTCCGGTCACCACGGCTTGGGATTGCTGCGCTGCCCAATGTCCCGCGGAAGCCAGAGCTCGTCTCGAGAGCAAGAACACCAGAGTTCATGAGCTCCATGGCGGCGAAGCCAAGGGCGTTAACACGTGCCCCTGTGCCGCCGGAGAGAAGAAACTCCTTGATCCCTGCGCCAGCCGCGCCGGCAACTGCTACCGCGGCATCAGCAATACGTTTGGCCTCGTCCATGACATCGCCAAAGGTTGATTCCGTGATACCTGTTCGGCGGATGCGTGCGAGAAGGGCGGCTAAGAAGAGTTTTGAGGAGAGGGGGAGGCAACGGAGGGATTGTTGGAGCGGAGTAGAGGTTGCTTCGTGGATGGCTTGTTTAATTGTGGCGATTGTGACGCGGCCGGAGGTTTGTTTCTTGGGTGTGCCTTTTTGCGGGGACGATTCGAGCATGTTGTTGCGGGAGAAGGCTTGCTTGTTGGCGTTTGCTCGCTCTCTTCGGGCGGGCGTTTTACTGGGTGTAGGAGGAAGGGACTCTGTATCGTCCTCAAATGGCTCTTCATCTAAGGCTGCTCCGCTGGTCTGTTCGGCAATTTCGACTGCTCTTCGGCAGATATCCAGGGCTCGCCGGGCGTCTCCACTGACCGCTGCAACTTTGCGGCTGGCGAACTGGATTGCGTCGGCATCCACGATGTTTCCCGGAACGTTTGCTAAGCGGGTGTTGATAATCTCCATTAGGTCGGTATGTTTGTAGCCTGGAAAGGTGATGCGGGTTAGACCAAGGCGACTGGAGATTTTATTGCTCAAGGTTCGTTCCGGTAGGTCCATGGTGTTGGCGACCGCGAGAACAACGAGGCGGGAATGGCGCAGGGCTGGCCAGTTGAAAAAGTTATACATGACTGATTGGTTCTTCGTGACTAGCTGATCAAGCTCGTCCATGAGGACGACACATGATACTCGTCGAGGGGAAGGGTTGGAAAACTCCCGCTCTAAGAGGTCAAGAGCATGAGAGGGCGATACTCGATCGCCCTTGAGAGCCTCCCATAGCAGAGAGTACGATTGATGTGGGTCGGTGACTTTCATGCCGTTGATTTCCACAAAAATAAAGTCATCCATCTCCTCTGCAAGAACTGCCCCATTCAGCTGGGCAACAACCTCGCGAACTGTGGCTGTTTTTCCGGTTCCCGGGGTTCCCGAGATGTAAATACAGGTACCCGTCCCTTCCATGATCGCGGCGCTGAGATGGCTATAGACGGTGTCGAATTCCTTCTTTCGACATGGTAGCGAGGTAGGAACTGTGGAGACGTGAAGAAGGTTTCGTGCCTGGCGATAAGGTGAAGCAAAATGTGACGGCGAAAGTACACGCGTGCCAAGAGGTGTGAATTCCAAAGGTTTCTTGACGATAATCCTATCCAAATCCTGTCAGCTTTGGTATTTCAACTCGCACGGACTAATTACCGTTTGTTTGACGGAGTAGTCATTGATTTCTGGCGGCGCGATTGCGGAGTCGTGTTCGCTATCTTCTGCTTTTTCCGGGGAGTAGTCGGCATAGCGTCGTCGGCGTCCTTTGGCTCTTTACTTTCGACGTACTAGCATTTGTTAGCTTTGGTGACTGTCCCAAGTGCAATGATACTCACGTCAGTGTCGGCTTGTTTGCGCTTCTTCGCGGCCTTCAAGCCATCCTTGACCAAATCTATCAGTTCATGAAGCTGTTCTGGACTGTAGACATCCTCCCACACAAACTCTTCCGTGTATCGCCCTTGAACTTGGTTGACACCTCTCCGACAAACAATGCACTTATTGTATTCCGCCAATTCTTGCTTCGACTTCGGGGGAGCACCGTCCGGGTATCGGGAGAAGAAGGCATCCTTTGACATGACTTGGGCTTTTCCATTTATCGAGGTCAAGGGATTGACATTGAAGTCGGTCGTGAGGTACTGCTCGTTCGGCAACGCATCCGCCCTCCGCTTGTTTCTCGTCGAGATGAATTCGTCCGGGGAGGCAAACCACATTATGTTTGCGCACTTGATGATTTCCTGATCTTCTTCATCCTCTTCCTCAAGAAATTCCGTGATTATACCGACCCAGTCCTTTCCAGGTTCCGGAGACTTGAGCAGAATCACCTCGCCTATTTTGCAAACGAAAGTCCCCATCCGAGCTCCGACAATCCTCTGTCGAGTTTGCCGGGAAGAGCGCCTCCGAGCCGACTTGGGTGTTTTCTCAGGTTCCTCCGGTATAGTTTCAAGCTTGCCATTCTCGCCGGACTCAGCCTCATATATCCATTCCCACGGATGGTCCTCCTGACCCAGTTCGTCGTCGGAATCGTCCCGGATTATCCCTCCCTTGGTCATCCATTGCTCGGCGCGCTTGAGGGCATCGCGTTTGCTGGAGTCGGTGCCGGAATTATCAGTGGCGTTAACGGGCGCCATGTCGGCCGTTGATGGGTTTTCGAATCGACAGCGGCGGAATTGAGGACGCAATGGCCGGTACTCTTCGGCTTTCAGCTCGGAGGAGCGACGCGAAAAACCGCGTCTGTCCACTTTGAGCCTATTCTAGCTTAGTGCCCCATCACGTGATAACGGATTGTTCGTTTTCCATTTTGGGCTTAGCGGATAATGGGCCAAGTGTCTTGAAGTATACAACGTACGAAATGAGGAAATGGAGTATTCACGAAACCATAGTTGATATCTGGTGAAACTATGGTGACGAAGTATTCTAGGTGAGCCTGGGAGAGTCGGTGATCAGAAGGGTTATGTGGAGTTTTCCTGCAAACACCCTGACTGCATGTTGCCGAGATGCAAATGATATCTTGGGAATTTCCCCATCAGAAATTCTTTTCTTCCGTGATTTCTGCTGGGGTCTTATTCCAAGAGTTTATTCTAGAGAGAGCCATTTTTTGGGATTGCTACTAGTGACCGTGTTACCAGAAGGCTGTGAATGATCCGTCTGTTGCTCTCGGCAACTGCCCTCTTTTCCTTCAATACTTGTCTCGTAGTAGCCCACCCATCACCTTTCACCTCTGTTGCTATTTAATCAACGCCCGCTACCCTTTAATCTAAGTTCTTTGTTTGTTGTTATCTATTCAATCTCCGGATTCTACCTGTTGTCTTTTATCTAGCTACCTAGCAGTTTGTCCTTCGACCCTTCTCGCTCTTTTCTCTCATACACAAGTCATTACATACAAGCTTTGTTTGTCTACCTCCGTCCCAGATATTGCAGCAGTCATGGAGTGAGTTTTGGGACCCGTTGCCTCTTATCATACTGACCGTCTCGCAGCCACGAAACCTCCAACGCCCAAGGTAAGCAACCCTGTTCCTCAAAACACGATTCTTGAGTTCACCAAAAAAGCACTTTCCCATTCAGAATACCTGCTAAGGAGTAACAGAGTGGCAGCTTCCTGGGTACGGCCGTTTTACGCCTAAGAAGAAGGCTGCCCAGACCATACCGCCACCCCAGACACCAACTCCGCACGCCGCCGCGTCTAGGCCTAAGAACGAACCGGAACCGAAGACACAAATACCACCCACAGCTCTAAAGGCACCTGCTCTCCTGACAAAAAATGCCGGACCACCTCAGAGAGCCGCCCGAGCGAGGAGCCGAGGATCGAGAGGAAGAGGAAGATATAACAAAGGGACCGTCCACTCGAGTCAATTGTTTCGGGATACTTCTGCAAAGTCTAAATGGAGAAATGGGGCAAAGCCCAATGGCGTGGTGCAATTGCCGGCTCCGTTTGGTGTGTTCAAGCACGAGTAAGTGGCTCACTTTCCTCCAATATGGTACCGGCTATGTTGACTCAGCTAGATTCTTTGGTGCGGTAAGGACCACTACGTTTCTCAAGAAAAGCGACGGAGTACGAGGCCGGAATGAAGTGTTTGAAGAAATCAACAAGAGAACCAATGCCTACGTCAATCCTCCTGGATATACAGATCAGGTTTGTGTGCGGCTTGGATAACACCCGAACAATATCACTGAACGCGAAATAGGTCATACACATTTGGGGTGAGCCTCCGCAGGTTACTGCAGCTGAGGAGATAATCAGGGCAGCTATTTTCAAATGCAACAGCTTCAACAAGGTGGTCAACAAAAAGATCGCCGACTGGACCAAGATACGTGCATATTCAGAGAACAAAGAGGCCAACACCGACTTCAAGGAGAAGCGCGAGATTGTATTGCAACAACTTCGCGGACCCCCCGGGCCTGGTTTCTCTTCCTCTGAACAGGTCAGTCTTGTACCCCTATTTGCGGTTTCACTTCGTCTTACTCCAATTTCTCTATAGCTGCTCTTTCTATGGCCAAAAGATGGGCCTTCGATGAACGACTGTCTCGGTCCGCAGCTCGAATATCTCGACCTAATCCGAGCCCGCTTCGAGTGCCATATGTGGTCATCAAAGGATCTGCCTGGATACATCTGCGCCGTTGGCCAAAGTCACGAAGCCATGAAAGAGATTGCGCGGCGTCTTCGAACTCTTTATGCTGAGTCTGTGGCTAAAAGCAATGTCAAGACGAAGCTCTATCTTGTCGAACCTCCTGAGCCAAGGATCATGAAATCAGAGATTGTTGTCAAGAAGGAATATAACTTGCACAAGCCGATGCTTCAAGGCAATCCCCTCAGCAGCAATGGTCTCACTAAATGGCAGGATCGAGTGGTCCTGATAGATTCCAAAAACAGAGCCCGACTGCAGGATGCTATTGAAAGGTCCTTGGTAGGCATTGCTTATGTTCGCGGACACCTGCGGATGCGCATTAACCTTGGTACATTCGTACTGGATAAGTACGCAGTACCCGAGGACAACATGCCCTTCTATGGCTTCGAGGAGTTTAGAGAAATGCTGCTACACGAGCAAACCAAAGGCCGTCTCATACCAGTGTACGGTTCCTCTGTTCCATTCCTTCGTGCGGCTTCAAACCACTGACTTGTTCGTGATACGTAGGCTGAAAGTCGACCAGTCTAAACTCCTCGAGAGGTGCTTCAAGGCTACCCATTTGATTGAGCGCTGTGACGGCATGTCCAGTCCGTTGAGAAGTGCCGAACTCGCATACTCTGTGAACTTCGAGTTCACGGGCTCGGACAAGTCTATGCTTCGGCTCGAAGCAGAATTCGCCAAAAGCCCCGGAGCGCAAGACTATGAAATTACCCAACGCCGATGGCTTAGACCTCGCACTGGCGGACATGCGGCGGACCAGCGTCCTCCTTTGCATGTTGCTGTGACTGACTTTGGACGGTGAGAGATATCCTCTGAATGAAACTGCCGCGAGAGAATCTAACTGGACCCTGTACAGGTCCGACTGGCAGCTCGAGATCAAGTCACTTGATTTCCACGACACAGCATCGATTAACACAGCCCTGAAGAGATTTTCGCATACCATCGGCTTCCAGCACACGGAGAATATGGGCGACATCTCTGCAGAGCCCGAAAGAAAGGTGATCTTCCCCGCAGATGCCCCTGTCTCAAGGTTTATCGAGAAAACCGCCCTTCGATACAGCCTGAAGGACACGGATTACATTTTTGAGATTGCCCGTTACGACGAATACAGACGCGTTGACCTGGCCGTCCATCCGGGTCAGACCGGGACTACGATCACCGGAGGCATCTCGAAGACCCCGTTTACAACCTGGGGTGCTTCGATTTTCGGCACGAACTGGGATAATCTGCTCGGCGGCCATGCGAATTTACCGGTTGGTCAAGCTGCAAGATACAGTCCCAGCTTGTCCACATTCTTCCCGTCCAAGGAACCTTCGACGGAGATTGAAGATGAGGCCAAGGGATTTTGGGAGTTTATCGATCTGGTCAAGCAAGCTGCGGAACTGCTCGGTCCAACACAGCCATCACCCTTGAAGAGCACTGGCCCCAATACCGCGTCTCAAGCCGTACCCTCTTCCACCAAGGTTGACCCGGTGAAGAGCGCGGCCAGTTCATCCGCAGTCTCTTCCCCTACTAGTATGAGTAGGCCGGCCGAAATGTTGAATGCTGATCTTGGTACCTTGTTTTGAGCAATTGAACATGGTTATCGAAATATCTGAGACTCCCGCCGGTAGGCGCTCGGTCGTATAACTATGGCCTAGGTTACATTCATCACTGTTCTCTGCGCGCCCGATTCTCTGCTCATACACCAGCACGTCGCTGCTTTTCTTCAATCTAACGTATCATGTCATCGAAATGTTCTCAGTGAGGGTCCACTCAGCCACCACCTGCTGCAGCGGTAGCAGACGACCCGGCACCCTCGCTCATCAATTTCTGTCTCAGGGCTAGCGGCTTGTTAGTTTCTGCTTATTACCCAAAAACAAAAAATAGACTGGCGTTGACACTCACCGTCTTCGAAGAGCCGTTGCTGTCCGCTCTTGGTCTGTACAAGCTTCTCCAGCTCCGTAAGATTCGTCTCCAGCTCCTTGACCTTTTGCTCGTAGAACTCAATCGCCTTTGCCGCCGTCTGCCAGAGGGAAAAGAACACATCAGCCTTCATCTCCGAAAAACCACAGGCCAACGGCCAGGCGGCCAAGGCTGAACGATGATGGGAAAACCAACCTTCTCAACAAAATACCCCGTCCCAACATCAACAAGCACCTTCTCGCGATCCACCAGTCTCCCCTTCACATACAGCGAAGTCGTAAGCGGGACAAGGATCTCATCGCGGCCCTGCGTCCCCCTCTTCTCGGACCCGACGACCCCGTCGTTTATCGAGCGCACGCAGTCGCGGAAGCGGGATTGTGCGGCGCGCAGCTTTGCGTGCGAGGAGGTTAGGTGCTCGAGTTCGGTGGAGAGACGCGTTTGCAGGGCGCGGAGTTGCGGGGCGGAGAGGGAATTGATGTTTACTTTGTTGAGGGACAAGGGGTCAGTTTTGATGTTGCTGTTGGTTCTGGGAGGAGGGTATAGCTAGGCAGAGTAGAAGTACGTACCAGCGTTGGGAGGCGTATCGGACTCGGGTGCGGGGGTGTTTGGAGGGGGCATGGTGGCTGTTTTTCACCCCTCGGTAGGGGTGGTGTGGGTGTTGAGGTTGCGGAGGTACACAGGGTATCGAAATAGAGTAAGGGGTGATGATCCCTTTGCAAGAGGTTGCGTAGTCAATTGGGCAGCCGGTCTTGGTGAATTGCGTCGTTGCAAGTGATAAGCGTGTCCGAGATTTTGGTGAAGTTCGGAGTCGGGATAAAGCTGTGCCTCCCTCCGCCTTGTGCTTCAGGAGCTCGGGCCACTTGGTGCCCGGATTACCATATGCAGGTTAGCGCCAATTGTATACAACAGATCCCTTCCTACATTGTCCTACAGAGAGGATTTCGAGACAATGGAGATTCTTTGGGCTCTAGATATTGACTAAAGGTCTTCAAATAAGCAGAGGTTTAATAATAGTTCAATGCCTGTTCAATGGGGGCTTAATGGGGGGTTCGATCCCGGTTCATGCGGAGGTTTGGGTGGAGGACGAAGCGAAGGTATAAGTGAACATCAAGGCAGAGGTAAAGAATGGCTTGGCTTTCAAGAGTGGTCCCAGAGGGAGAAGTCAAGAAAAGGTCAAGCAAAGGGCTTGCAGTATATTCTCGTCTACTTTATAGCCTAATTAATAACAATCCTATCTCCTCGTCAGTCCTATAACCTAATTAAACTTAACTAATGACACACCCTACCCCTTCCCTCATAGCCATCTCATCTCATCGACCACAGGCCATCAGTAATGATGTTTCCATGTAATATGTGCTGTGAATTGTCCTGCCCTCAGAGCCTGAGATACTCTGTGGAGGAGTCCCTCTTGCCCGGACTCCCACAAAGGGTGCAACATATGATAGAAATACCTATATAAAAACAAATATCAATAGAAGGTCTTGACATGATCAACAGGGCCTTACCACCGGTGCATCGGTGATGCAAACACAAAGCGCAGACCGAACTTGGAGTTCTGCGGGAGCAACCAACCATATCTCCAAATGAGACTGAGAATCTGCTTGCTATCAGGGTCCAATCTGTCCAGATAAAGACCATTGGACGCTACAGCAAGATCCAATAGTTCCCAGGTAGTCGCGAGATCGTTGGAATGTGGTAGGCCCAGACCTGTTCTGATGCCTAGGCCGTCATGCATTGTCTGGAACAAAGCGGGGAGGTCAATAAAGAGGGCTTGAGTTACTATTGGCCACTGGAACGAGTTGGGCTTGTTAACAAATCCCTGGTATGGAGAAATTTAGTATTAACAAGTAGCGGGGATTGCCTCGGACTCACTCTCCAGTAAAACAGGATATCCAAGAGGGCTGTTAACATCCCTATATTCCCATTGGTGCACTGGAAAAAGCCTTCTTTCATCTCGTCTGTTGGGGCTGGAGAGCTTCTTGCGAAGTGATACCTTGCTATGAAGTTGTCGGCTTCATATCTCCTAAAAAGGAGGCCAACAGAGCGGCATGGGGACTGAGGGATGTCCCAATGGAGCCCAATCCCTTTACCAGTTGGAGTAAAACTCTGGATGGAATTTAGATCACCAAGGATCGGTTCTAAGCCATGCGAAGCGAACAGTATCACACATGGCGCAGATTCAGGTTGTATCTTTGCGAAGAATCTCTCGTGGAAATCCTGATCCCAGTAGGTATGCTGAGCCTCATCGAGAAGCAAGTAGGCCTCATAGCTGAGCCAGTAATTGCCATTATAGCCCGTTTGGCTTATTAGATAGTTCTCCCATCCACCCTGTATGCCATCTTGCGGCCAGCCGGTGATAACATGAACAGGCTTCGTATGTGCAAGCAATACATTCGCGAGAAGTCGCATCAATTGTGTCTTTCCTGAGCCTTGCGGGGCTGTCACTGCAACGATACGGAAGTGGTGCGCTCGTCGGATCAACTCGTCGAGTATATCCGTACGCGGTAAGATTTCAGGCCGTAACACTGGAGGAAGCTCTTTGTAAGAAAGATTCACGTCAATCCACAGTGACTCCTCGTACCAAATGGTTGGTATACCCGTGAGGGGTATCTGACGGGACCAGCCTGCTGATCCATGATGGGAACAGAAATATCTCCGAGATTAAAGTGCGAAACGAATGATCAAAGAAGAGAAGAGTAAATGGGGTTGAAGCGAGAAATGAATGACCAGAGAAGAGAATAGAAAAGCAGGAGAGAAGAAGTCCTCTGGCCGCACTGTACGTTCTTGCCATTCTCGCAGCTTAAACCTTTCTCTGGCGGAAGCTGGGGTTGTCAGAAGATAGGGATTTTGATTGTATGAGCTAGTCTAGTTAGAAAGACCCATTACTATAATCGATGACCTGCGACTTTTCTAAAAGCCCATCCAGACTGCGCACAAACTTTCGGTGTGCAGGATCTTTCTCAACATAGTAGTCTCGATCCTGAGCGCTCGCAAACTCCACCACAAAAGCGTGCGTTATTCCGCTCTGGATCTCGTTAGGATGAGGTCGAGAAACACGAAAGAGATGAAGAGAAGGGATACCCACCTGAAGCCCCTCGGGCGAGTTATCGACGCCGCCGGATGAAGCAAGGATATACGGGCGCTGTGTCGTCGGGTGGATGCAGCTGTTCTTCAGTCCGATCATGCGCGAGCAGACCTATACATAGTTTATGATTAGCCCGGACTTTTCTCGGAATTTAGTATCTTTCGACCGACAGCTCGTCGAACAAAATACTCCCAGCGAGCAGCGAAAGGGAGTGAAAAATCGCATGCGCGGGAACATACGTCTTCAATGCGCTCGGTAGATACTTCTGCCTTGAACTGGAAGAGGACAATGTGCGTGATGGGCATTTTTGCCGAGCGGGGTGTGGTGTGGCGTTGCGCGTTGTGTTGCGGGTTTTGATTTTGGAGGGGTAGAGGATAAGATGGAGAAGGAGGGGCAGGCCGGTTTTGGTTGGGGATAAATGAGTGGTTGTACCAAGGCTGAGAGACCGAGTCGGAGTATGTTATTGTAGTGTGGTTTTCTGAGTAATGTCAATGTTTGAAAGGGAACAAGGGACAGGGAAATTCAGCGCTGGGCAAATTGGTTGATTATCTAAAGGAAGTGGGGGGGATTTTGTTACTAGGGAAAGGACCCCATGGATGTCTCAGAAAGAGCAGGATCAACATCCCATCCACGCGCTGCGACTATCGACGTCACCTGTCAGCTACACACTTCTCAAAAGAGAGAGATGCAGATATGCCACTGTCAAAGCTCATCACGCTGCTCATCATCTAGAACCCTGGGCGCGTTCTCGAACACGGCAATCGCCTCACGGCCTAGGTACCCCTCATCCACAAGCCTGCGCACATAATCTCCCAACCAGGTCTGCCAGTTCGGTGCCTGCAAGTGAGAGATGCGTGTTAATTTATTGTCTTTTCTTGATTTATACGGAAAATGAGATGATAGACCTACGGCAGGATCAAAGGGATTCTCGCTCCGCACAGGAGGCGGGACCTGCGTTGCGACGGTTTCTAGTGCATCGCGCGGGGTGGCATCATGCGTGAAAGGGAAGTGCTCTTGACCCGGCATTGGAGGGAGCGGAGGTACATTCGGATCCGGCGTATCGGAGTCGTTTATGAGCTGATCATCGACGAGGCCCAGCGGGAGAATTTGGTATGGACCGGGGAGAGCGTCAAGGTCGAACTTGCGGATAAACTGGTGCGCGAAGCCAAAGCCTGGATTTCCATCAACGTGGATGAGTTTTCCCTTCTTCTCGGATTCCGGGAGAGGGATGAAGACGCTGTAGAGAGCTCTTCTGGGACCATTAGAAAAGACTGCGAGGTGGATTGGTCGGGGCATGGTCGAGGCTCAGCTGTTTGGGGCGGTTCTAGGCTGGTATGAGTTGGTTTCGCTGAAATACTTTCTGACTGAGCTATTTTTATTGTCTGATTCATCCACGACAGCCTGGTAGGTCTCGCTCGTGAATGTGCGCAAGGCGCGCGCGAAACGCGGATGAGGCGTTGTGGCGCTTGAGGGTATAACACTGGACGGTCTCTCGGATCTTCCAAAGCTGCTACCTTCACCCCTCGCTCAGAGAATACGTCCTGACAAGATGGATTGGGATGAGCTTGACCTACCCGCCACTGTGGAGAACTTCGCGTACTACCGATTGAGCCTCGTGGACCATACCTTGGACTCGAACAGCCGTCTTTGCCCCCTAGACAATGGAAGGCATACTTCTCCGGTAAAGGTGGGTCTTGGAAATCTCGACAAACTTCCTCCGGAAATATTGGAAATGGTACTGGGGCAGCTTGACATACAAACCCTGACAAAAGTTTCGCCGCGTCAACAGACGGGCTATGCAGGCCGTTGACTTTATTCGAGTATATCAGCAGATTGTCACTCGCTTCCCGACAGCTCTTCGAGCCATCCTTAGCATTAGCACCGGTGCTACCTATTCCTGCCAGGATCTCTACCACGAACTCCAAACCGCCGAATGCAGGAGCTGTGGACGTTTCGGAGGGTTCCTATACCTGCTCACCTGCCGTCGTGTGTGCGCTTCATGCTTCGCCGGTGAATCTCTATACATACCTTTTCAAGCGAGTGATCTACCCCTTGCACCCTGTGCTCATGATCTCGCAACCTTGCCTTCTATGAGAACTATTCCAGGTCACTACACACCGGCAAATATCCCATACACTGGAAACCTCATTTTGTACGATTTTCTTGCCTGGATTAAGGAATACGACGCTCGATACGGATTGTCGGACGCAGTACGGCAGCCCAACGAACACAGAGATCTCGCAGAGCGCACTCAATGCAGACAAGAGGGGCCGAGTTATTGTCCTCTCGAAAACCACGAAACACCGAGGCTCTGCGCTTCATGGCAGTTATACGTGCTCCTGTTTTCAATGGGCCGGATCTCGAGTGGGGTGTTCATTGTTTGGGATGTAAAAGATACTACCCTAGGTTTGATGGAGATGATGCTGGCATGGCGTATACCGCTATGATGTTTGAACCGGAAGAATTTGAAGAGCATGTAGAGAAACATGTACTGTATGAGGATCCTTTGCTTTCGGAGCTACTGGACGAGGAATCATCCGACGAGGAGACATCTTGAACGCCTGCATGGTTTAGAAGGGACGCTCCATTGATTCACCGACTCTATTTGACTATTCTGGCGATCCTCCTGAGTTTTCTGATCAGTAAAGCGAGCATCCGGAGCTCATATTCATTTGCAATGCTGATTGCTTTCTCTTTCGACATCAGGGCGCCGGCTTTTATTGTCTATTTCAAGGTATCTTGGCAATGTGCTCCGCGCTTGTTTTTTTTTTCAGCATGTTGTCATGATATTGGCATACATCGTTTAAGTAAGCCCTGTTGGTGGTATTACTATGATCAGCCGAGACTAATTCTTCATCCAGCAGTTGATGATAAATGCACCATCAAAAGCCTTCTTCAAATATCTCTAGTCGAGATCTAGGCATATCACCAGATGACCACTTAAAACACTACCGGCCCAATCCTCGGTACATCTAGGGGATCATGAAACCAGGTCCAACAAGAACAGCTCACGGGCCAGATCAGAATCTATGAGCTTAATCTCCCACAGTTTCCTGTCCTGATGCATAGCATAGCTTCAAGCGTAGTGTAAGTTGAGTGGGTTCTAAGCCCCCCAAAATAACCTCCTCGAGGCTGGGTGAGCATCATCAGGCTAAGCAGCCATTCCACCCAGTAGGGCACACGGACGCCAATCATCATTGGGTGTGCCAGGATGACCCCTGGACTACCTTTTCCAAACACACCCGCCTCAGGTACTTGGTAGGCCTGGTACCTTAGTGGTCAAAAAGATCCCAAGGTTACACATTCAGTGCCCCGATCCTGTGTCATAAGGTGATTCGTGGAATCCTTGCTATACTAATGTAAGAGATCAGGAATAGTAGCATCCTAACAGGCTTCAAGTGAGTTGTCTAACACAGCCTTACGCCTAAAACGAGTCAAGCAGTTCCCAGCCTTGGGAGGGTGAAATGTTCTTAAAAGATGGGGCGCCCATATCTTCCGTCCATCATTATTCGCAATTTTCTGCTTCGATTTCATGCCATCTTTCTAGTCGTACAAAGTGCAATTTCCAACTTGGTTCTGCAGACGAAAACTACCCCCACAATGGAACTACCCAGGCTAGAAGAGGAGACATCAACCAAGCTCCCATCATCGTCACCAGCACATGTTCAAGCGCCTGAAAAGCAACAAACAAGCCGGTGCGCAAGCAAAATTTGGAGACTCAACTTCGCTTTTGTTCTCGGCATCTTGATCCGGGGCGTTGCTGGGTTGGTCCCGTCAATTATCCATTATAGCGGCCACCGACAGAGATCTGCAGGTGGAGGAGGGCGGACTGCACCTGTTACTATTGGTGGTCGCTTCACAAACATTCAGGCCAAAGCAATCGACTTGCTTTGTGCGATTATTCTGGCTCCACTCCTTATGGTAGTCCTTGATTATGTTTGGTTCAGCAACGTCCGCGCATCCGTCGTCAACAAGCAGTCTCCAGTACCACTGCCCTCCCTTGTCGAAGCTCGAAGCGAGTACCACATCAGGTGGAAGTTTTGACTTTGTCAAGCTGCGCATACTTCCACGGGGTCATACTTGGAGACTGTATATGCTTGGCCTCCTTGTCCTTCTCTCAGAGGCTGCAGGTAAACTGCTTGCCAACTTTACTGCATACAAAGCGTACGATATCAAAACAGCGCGCAGCAGCTTTGCCAATCTCAGACTACTAAGTGACCCTTATTTCAACGATGATAAAGTGCAGTGGAGCTGGGGAGAATCCAGCCTTTATACTCTGCCTTTTTCAACCAGTCAGTGAGCGGATTTCACCAATCAGATGTCTTCCCTATTAACAGGGCTCCGAATTCAAGAGCGCTGTATCAAGGCTGGACGCATCAGGTGCTTATATCGGGGCCAACGCGACAGGGGCTTCTCTCGCGGCCTTGAATAACTCTACTATGGCACTGCACAATGTCCCGGGCTATCGGGTAGCAACCTACTGCGAGTTTGGCCAGCCTGAGACCCTTGGTACTGTGGACATGGGCGACTTCTTCCAGATTACTCTTATTAGCCTAGTCAAAGACGGAATCGATCGTATTTATCATGCAACGATCCGGGGCCCAGACACCATTGCAAGCCCAATCAGTGGCTCGTCTACGGAAAACCACTACATCGCATTCACCAATGGAGACCATACGACCGCCTACCTGGGCTACCTGTTCCTACAACGAGCCATACCAATCCGAGTTTGGTGAAATCCATCCTGCAGCCTTCAAACTAAGAGGAAGCGAACCAGAGGATGGACTGCGCCACCACACAAACTGGGGGCTCAAGTGCAATATAACCCGGCAGGAAGGACTGCTAAACCTCACCCGCAACGCCGAACAAGCGTAGCAGGTGAGCGCCAGCGCCTTCTTGGAGAATATGATTGTCATACGGGCCCCTCTCGCAGCATGGCAGTATGCCCTCAACTACCATGCCCCTGCATCAACAATAGCGGGTCTAGGGCCTCCAATTAGGTTGACTGCCACGGAAGACGGTCCGTATAGTTTTAATTGGACAAAGTATGTCTTGAACTACCTCTCCGCATCTGGAGAGGCCCAGCGAATCGCCTTTGAGGCCGCGGTAAAGGACTCCTCAAACGATATACCGCTATACCACTATACCGTGGACGCCATTACCAGGTACCAAAGATATCGCATTACTTATATCCCACTCTTGCTAATCTTCGGCCTCATCAGCGCTGTCGGCGCGGGTGCCGTGGCTGGGGCCATACTCTTCTACTCTCGGACAACAACAACAACAACAACACCGACGCAGAGCGCCCAAGCTGTGCGACAACTTGATGGGCTGCGCCTGGTTGTGGATAGTATCACCTACTTCTTTGCCTCGGCTAGAAGGCCATCAACGCTCACTGATCTCTGCCGTCTAGGTGTATTAATGAGTAGGACTATAGTCTCCTCTTCCTAGCTTATCCCTTTGTCTATGGATCCGGATTGGAATTATCATGTATTTTCAGCAAAAAGCAGAATTCCACCCGTATCAGTTCATCATCTCATACCATCATGAAGTACATAACACCACTCTATTCCGTCGCGTTCAACCAGATCTACCCCAAACTTCATCACTGGATCCTCTACCCCTGATACACCTCAGTTCCCCTCTCCCTTGAGCTTAGGCTCAAACCCCGCCCTCTGCTCAAAGAGGCTGAGAATCGGAATAAACAGCCTCTTCCCCTCCGTCTCCGTCCCAGCCTTTTGCGCCTCGACAAACTTCGCCCGATCCCCCTCAAGCTCCCCCCAGGCAACCCACCGCCACTCGGCACATTTATTCGGTTCCAGAATCTAAGCACCACGGCATCAGCATACATTTTCAGACGAAAGAGGAGAAAAGAAGAAAGGTGGTAGGTACGCACCTCCGGCTCCGCCCCCTCGGCAACCCTCGCCCCCACAAAAACAGTAACATAGTGCTTCCCGTCATCGGGCATGATGTCGTTGGTCGCCGTGAGGAACTGGATGTCGGAGATGTCGAGGCCGGTTTCTTCTTTTACTTCGCGGAGCGCGCACTCTTCGAAGGATTCGTTGAATTCCAGGTGCCCGCCGGGGAGTGCCCATGTTCCTGTGCGGTTTCATGTTAGGAGTTTGTTTGGGAAGAAGTGGGGTGTCATTAGGGTCTGGAGTAGTATCTATACTACCATCGATGGTCGGGGTGGGGCGAGATAGATGTAGGGTGAGGGGGTTGCAGGAGAAGCAGGGATATCGTACCAGCACCATGGCTACCCATTCGCTGACCCAGGACGAATTCATTCTTGCTGTTGAGAGCAAAGACTGCAACACCGACGCGGACGTTTTGAGAGGCCATTTTGAATGTGAGAATTTTGGTTGAGGCTCTCAAGTTGAGATTCTGGAGTGAGTCAAGGAGTCTGAGGATACTGAAGACTAAAGTAATGTCTGAGAAATCCCAAGAGAAAGACAGAATACCTCCTCAATCTTATAGGAAGTAGAACAAAGAGCCGCTGTGCCCGCAATCCTGAGCTAGAAAGATTGGTGTTCCACACTTCCAAATTCTAGAAGACAAAGCAAGACGCCGGGCGTGTGAGCGGTTCAGCAACAAGCCAAGCAAGGCAGCTTTTTCGGTAGACTGGAATCAAATGTTATTGGTTGGCTGTAACCTGGTCTGGGGGGCTGAGCTCTCACAGGGCAGCGGCTGTTTGAACGATGGTCGGCTCTTTGGCCTGTGCCTCGCAGGTGTGGGGCGCTTGGACCAGGGCTCAATTAGCGCTGCTGGTTCGGATTCTAGAGCCGTGCAGTGTGGCTTGTGCCTGTTATGTATTCTGCCTTGTGTAGGTATCTCGTGGTTGTGGCTGGTGGCTGGTGGCTGGTGCCATACGATCCCACACCGAACAGTGGAATATGCTAGTTTACGACGAAGAAGTAGTAGTTATGATCAGTTGAGCAGATAGAATACAATATTGTACAAGTAAAAGAGCGGTAAGACCCTATAGCTGCCGCAGGATATCCTGGACAACCGACGACAGCTCCTCCAACGCCACATCCTGCCGCATCCCTAAGCGTCTGCATTGCACCTCCACGGTGCGCTGCTTCTTCCACCCCTTGCCGACGACCACAATAACCGGATATCCAATGAGGTCTGCATCTCCCAGCTTCCAGCCCATCTGCTTGTCGCGGTCGTCGAGGATGGCGTCAATGGGCGAGGCTTTGCCGGAGGTGATTTCATCGTAGATCTTCTCGGCCTCGGCTTCAAGGCCCTTGGTAGGGACCACGATTACCTCAAAGGGCGCGAGAACACGAGGCCAGTTGAGCCCCTTGGAGTCCGCGAGACAGTCAGCGACTGCGGTGATCATGCGCGAGACGCCGATTCCATGGCAGCCCATCTGCATGGGTACCGTGGCTCCGCCATCGATCATGACAGACGCTGCGAGGACGTCACTGTACCGTGTTCCCAGGTGGAATGTGTGACCCAGCTCGACGGCCGTGTGCGACTTGAGGGCGCCCTGTGTGCACTTGGGGCATTGGTCGCCGTCGTGAACCTTGACTAGGTTGAGTCCCTGGTTGGTTCCCGGGAACGTGTCGAGGCGGAGATAGTCTAGGTCTTCGGCGGCGCAGTCAGCCTCCTGGAGAAGGTCGCTGAGCGGAGGTCGCTTGTAGGCGCGCACCAGCGAGTCGTACAGGTCCAGCACTTGCGGACGCTCGGTAGAGTCGGCCGAGGGTGCCTTGGACGCTTTTACATGTGCGGCCCATTGCTCGAGTGGGTTTTCTACGCCAATGTCGAGCTCGATGCCGGCGGCGCTGGCAATGGCTTTGACTGCGTGGGAGTTTACCTCCCGTTGCACTGGCTCTGTGGTGCCATTTTGCATGGTAAAGTGTGGGTACCAGCCGCGGAGCAGGGTCCGCTTGTCCTTTGAGATGGCCATCCAGAGGCCAGTGGAGACCCTTGCGCCCGGTGAAACAGGCGCTGCTTCGGTATCAAACCCGGGGGCCGAATCAGATTCAGCCGATGCACTGTGAGCCTTTCCATCTGCAAGCTCTTCGTTGTACACGCTATCACAGTTGGAGCAGCTAACGACCGTGTCTTCGCCCTTGGCGCTGGAAAAGTGGAACTCATGGCTTAGACTTCCGCCCATGTTGCCCGAGTCCGCGGCAGCCGTCAAATAAGGTAGCTTCAGCTCATCAAAGAGCCTCGTGTAGGCCCCGCGCACTAAATCGTAGGTTTTTAGAGCCTCCTCGACACTGTGGTCGAACGTGTAGAGATCCTTCATGATGAACTCTCGGCCTCGAAGTAGGCCTTGGCGTGGCCGAGGCTCATCTCGGTATTTTCTTGCTGTGACAAGTTAGTTGGACCCTTGAACTGTGACTCAAGAACATACATATTTGGTATACCCGAAGGGGCAGGTCACGATATGACTTGGTGAGGTTTCCCACTAGCGTAGTGATTTCCTCCTCGTGTGTTGGCGCGAGGAGAAATCGAGACTCTTTCCTGTCAAGGAAACGAAAGACCTAACATCATCAGTAGAGCCTATAGTGGATGGCCATGTGTTCTACCTCTGAGCCTTCCTTTAGGCGTCCGGACTGCTCCCAGAGCTCCTGCGACGAAATGGAAGACAACGACACCTTCGACGCGCCTAATCCTGTTAGCCGAATTCAATCAGGTTCAGTGGCGCATTACCAACCTAGTGACTGCATGTGTTTGTCGATAAGGCGCTCTAGCTTCTCCTGCACTCGCAAGCCCAAAGGCAACATATGGAAGATCCCCGAGTATGCCTAGGTCGTCAGCCGGGGGCTCAAAGACGAAACTACGTCACGTACCTGTCGATAGAACCCTCCCCGTACTAGCAAGTCATTGACATCCTCTACTATCATTAGTCCTGCCTTATCGTTGGGTTCGGGAGTGGTACCTTTTTCTTCGACATGTTTCTTACTGATACCTCCTGTTGGGATCCAAAAATTGGATATCCGACTTCGGCCGTCGGTCTGTAAATTCTTGGTCAGTAAGCATACCGCAAAAAAGGGTCGACTACACACATGAACGTTACATCTCGCTATTTGGTGTCGCCCTAAATTCCATATGTATGTTTGGCCTGGTCTCAGGAACCGGCCCGCCGCCGGGCGAAACCCGGAGATCATGAATCGTCAAGTCCAATTGCCCAGATAACCCAAAAATCTCCTCCAGCAATTAGGTCCAAGAAGATTGGCCCGATAAACCGATTCAATAATTTATGCTGCGTATGTAAATAGTGAATTCCGCAACTCATGCGATGCCCCAGAAATGCGGTCGGCGTCTCGGCAAAACAGCTTTTCCGGCGGCCTCTTTCGAGCGGCAGAATAAAAAAAATTGAGAAACAAGCGGCCGATCAGGAACCAGCAGCCCACCAGCCAAATCAAATAGCCATTCTATATCATGGCTAAAGGCAAGGGAAAGCAGTCCACTGGGGCAAACTCGGTCCCGGTCAAAGGTAGTGCCATCAAAGAGGCTCCCAAAGCCGACACTGAGGCAGACACTTTCCCTCAAATTGAGGAGAGCGCTTTTGCGGGTCTCCGCCAAAAGATCGAGCAGAGGCTGAAGGACGGGGCGAACAAGCAAAATTCCAAGACTAACAAGTCCAAACCGGCTCCTGTCGAAGATGCGAAGAAGCCTAAGCAAAGTCCTGCGAAATCCGATGCGAAATCGAAATCTGGCTCCGACAAGAACAATCAAGGCAAGAAGCGCGATCGCAACGGCGATGTGATTGCTAGGGATGAGAAGAAACAGGACAAGTCGCAGAATCCGGCGAATAAGGACGGTTACGATACTCTCAGGCAGGAAATTCTGGCTCTCGGAGGGACAGAGGAGGATTTTGAAATGCTTGCGGGAGTCGACTCGGAAGAAGAGGATGCAGACACTTCCGAGAAGTCAAAAGGAAATTCAGACGATGCATCGCTGCGGAAGGAATTGTCCAGCATCTTGGCTGCCGCTGGCCAATTCGTGCCCGATGACCTCGAAGATGAGGACGTTGAAGAGGAGGTGGACGGCGAGGAAGATGACGAGGAAGTAGAGGAAGATGAGGATGAGGAAAAGGAATCCGAAGAGGCTGCTGAGTCCGACGAGCCTAGCTCAGAGAGCGAATTAGCTGAGGAACCCTCGAAAAAGGAACCGAAGCAGCCGGCGAAAAAGGAGGTTAAACAATCAGAACCCGAAGTGGTCTTCCCGAAAGAATTCTCAAAGCTTGTGAGTACAGTCAAGCTCACCATTGAGTCCGATACTAATTGATATAGACCGTCCGACCCAGATCCGATTGGTTCATGACTGAGCTTCCTCCTGTTTCCTCCAAACAAACTACCGGACTTCCCCGACATCTAGTGGATCGCGTCTACAACCATGCGGTTTCGCTCCTCGAGAAAGAGAACAAGATGTATGCGGACGCTCAGCAAGCCTCGGCATCCTCCTCGTACAAGTTCTACAGCACGATCATGACCACCGGTACTCTCAGTGATAAGATTTCGGCTTTGACGCTGGCCGTACAAGAGTCGCCTTTGCATAATACAAAGTCGCTGGAGAACCTGATTGCTCTTGGAAAGAAGCGCAGTCGTGCGCAGGCGGTGGAAGTCCTTCGCTCGCTGAAGGATATGTTTGGCCAGGGTACACTACTTCCGGGTGATAGGCGACTTCGCTCCTTCGCGAACCAGCCGTGTCTGGTTGCTGCTTTCCAGGATGTCGGAAGATGGTCTGAGGGGTCTCCTCTCCCAGGTGGTCTCCAGAACAGCCATCTGATATTATGGGCCTACGAGCACTTCCTCAAGGAGCAGTACTTTGAGGTCCTCAAGATTCTCGAGGTGTGGTGTAACGACGAGATTGAGTTCTCCCGTTCCAGAGCAGTCAGTTATGTCTACGAACTCCTCAAGGAGAAGCCCGAGCAGGAAGCCAACTTGCTCCGACTACTAGTCAACAAGCTCGGCGACACATCCAAGAAGATTGCTTCGCGGGCGTCTTACCTGCTCTTGCAGCTAGAACAAGCGCATCCTCTGATGAAGCCGACGATTGTCAAGTCGGTGGAAGAAGTGCTGTTCCGGCCGGGGCAGAGCCAGCACGCCAAGTACTACTCGATCATCACCTTGAACCAAACCGTTCTGAGCATTAGGGAGGAGGAAGTTGGCGTTCAGTTGCTCGACATCTACTTTGCTCTTTTCGTCTCGTTGCTGAAGCCTAACAAGAATCAAAAGTTCAAGGGAGACAAGAAGCACAGCAAGGGCAAGAATCAAAAGGGGAAGAACCAAAAACAAAACGACAACTCCGAAGTTCAAACCGAGGAAATGCAGGACAAGCTGGTCTCCGCGGTTTTGACTGGTGTGAACCGAGCTTATCCTTTCACAAGCTCAAACACTGAGAGGTATGGTTACCGCCTCAAGAGTTAAGATAACGCAGCGCTAACTATAACCAGGCTCTCGAAGCATATTGAAACACTATTCCGCATCACCCATTCGTCAAACTTCAACACCAGCATTCAAGCTCTTATGTTAATCCAGCAAATAACGTCAACTCACCAGGTATCCTCCGATCGCTTCTACAGAACTCTTTACGAATCTCTCCTCGATCCTCGTGTGGCCACGTCGTCCAAGCAGTCTCTTTACCTCAACCTGTTGTTCAAGGCATTGAAGAACGACGTAAACATTCGACGTATCAAGGCGTTTGTGAAGCGTATTGTGCAGGTCCTTGGGTTACACCAACCGTCCTTCATTTGTGGTGTCTTTTACCTGATTCGGGAACTTGAGAAGACTTTCAGAGGCCTACGGTCCCTGTATGACCAGCCGGAAGACAACGAAAGCGACGACGAAGAAGTGTTCAGAGATGTCCCTGATGAGGATGACGAGAATCAGGAACAAGCTCCGGTTCCTGAGGAGAAGCCGCGCAAACCGCTCAACGGCTACGATCCTCGCAAACGCGATCCAGAGCACAGCAATGCCGATAAGACTTGTCTCTGGGAAATAGTAAGTTCTCTTTCCTCATATCACACAAGATAATCCGATTCTAACTCGTGCAGCTACCTTACCTGTCCCACTTCCACCCCTCCGTGTCCGTTAACGCGGAGCATCTGCTTGAGAACCGAACGATGAGCGGAAAGCCCGATATGACGATACACACCTTGACTCACTTCTTGGACCGATTTGTCTACAGAACACCCAAGGCCTCAGCCGGTACGCGTGGATCTTCGCTCATGCAGCCGCTTGCTGGTAGCGATGCGAAGGACCGGTTGGTAACAGCCGGTAAGCACGCCCAGGCACTGCCGCTCAACTCGGAGGCATTCTGGAAGAAGAAGGCAGAAGACGTTTCCGCAGAGGATGTCTTCTTCCACGAATACTTCAGCCGCCTTGGCAAGGACAAGGAGAAGGCTCATAAGAAGAAGACTAAGAAGGATATTGTCGAACGTGATGAAGAGGGTGACGAGGATCTCAGCGATGCCGAGTCAGAGATCTGGAAGGCCCTGGTTGATTCACGGCCAGAGCTCGACGGCGCGGAAAGTGACGACGACCTCGACCTGGATGACCTCGAGTCGGCATACGATCAATCCGATGAAGCAGAGGGTGATGATGACGAGGTCATATTCAACGACGAATCCGACGAGGAGATGGAGGATCTCGAGGACGAATTCGAAGAGGAGGTCGAGAAGCCAGCTGCCAAGTCGAAGAAATCCAAGAGCAAGGAAGACGAGTTCGACGAGGAAGACCCCTTCGACATGGATGTTTCAGACGAAGAAGCCTTCGTCGGCAGCGACGAAGAGCTCCCGTCAGATGTGGAACTTGGTGGAGTGGAGCTCCCCAAGGACGACGACAAGAGCGATCGAAAGAAGAGACGCAAGCTCAAGCACCTGCCGACATTTGCATCGGTGGACGACTATGCGGCTTTGCTTGCTGGGGAGGACGAAGGGATGTAATAGACAGACTATATCCGAGGCCATGCCTGCACATACATACAAAACATTTTCAGGGTCGTTCCAAATTACTCCTTGTAGAAAGTTGCCCTGCATATCTAGTTGCCTGAACTTAACCCCTTACTTGACCTGAAACTTAGCGATTCCCACGAGGCATGAAGATGCACCGTTGAGTTTAGCTTGGGGAGGCGTGGAGACTGTCCGGAATCGAGCGTAGCGTAACTCTGGCGGCGGCGCCTCAGACAACGTTCGCCCACTTGGTAAGATTTCCTCCACCTTGTGTGGGCGAAGAACTTGGGGGCTCCCGTGATGTCATTTCCGACACTAAAATTCCCCTTGGTCTATGGCGCAATCAGTCGAGAGAAAGGCGCGATGAAGCTTATGCAGGGATTTCTTTTCACACAGATTATTGATGTCCTCCGAGCAGGCAGACACTCGACCTTTTATTCGAAGAACATTGGATACTCGGTATATTAAATGGTTCGGAGGTTTTCAGATTGTACAACTCGATCTCGCTGCCCTGAACACAAGAGTTGCGACCTCCGCCGGATGCGGGGCTTAAGCAACAATCGGAGAGTTCCGCCAGCGGCCACACAGCGCCAGTGATTGGTGTTGGATCAACGCCCGGTGCCACCGTGCCCTTGGGTTACAGTGGTCGATGAATGCAGATTCGAATCGCGAATGCGATCACATCGGACGACAAGTTCCTGTCCAGCCAGCGGACGCATGGTCGGTTCAGGTCTGGCCGAGCACGTCATAACCTGTCGCCATCATGGCAGACAACATCCACTTTCCTCTCTGAGATTTACCATCCGTAGAATCGCAACCAGCTCATGGTCTGTAGGTTTGATTTTGCGACTGCCCATAGGCGAGAAGCTTCGATAGAGTATCTAGAAAAACTGTGATGCGAGGACTTTCTTCTTTATCTTTGTAGACATCCTATCCTTTCGAAGGTTCCGACACATCCAGAGGACAGTGCAGAGTCAAGCATCCTCAAGCCTTTTAAGAGCTCGGCGACGCCGCTTGGCTTTGCTTTTCTCCGACTAAATTACTTGGAGCCCAGTCCGTCGCCACTCCGTCTCTCGTTGGGTGTACTTGGCCGCTGGTAGGCTGCTGTACCCTCTGCTCCTCCCGCGTCCCAAGATCGCAGGCTTCTTAGCTTGTTCGATTTATTCTTCTCTATCCACTCTCCAAATCGCCTTCTGTTCTCGTCAGATTTTTCACTCAGTCTACTTTTCTGTACTTCTTCTCAGCAGATGTGAGGATACCTTTCTTCTCTCATCCTCCCAGTTCATGCTTCTATCGCTTGTTGTATACTGACGTACCACTTGCAGTCTAGTCGAGCACCAAGGAAAGGAGTATATGCCTCCGCAAGCTCAGAACTACTTTTCCCTCCTCTACTCAGTTCGCTCCTTCCACCGCCGCTTCGTGCGCTCGATAAAATGGCGGGATTCTCTACAAACCCCCCGCACGAGCATGACCGCTTGTCCCACTCTGACAACTCCGTCGAGCGGTTGAAGGACAAGGATCTCGAGGGCCAACGTCAAGGAGGCCTGTCCGACTCAGATTCAGGCGAGATCGGCCGACAAATCGAACTTGAGGCAGAGAACTCGATCAAGTACCGGACATGTAGCTGGCAGAAGGTGTGTTGCGCGGAAATCTAAGATCTATGGTTGGCGCGGGAGGCTCCGTTTGGAATGCGATGCTAATTCTTTGGTTCTCTGTTAGACGGCCGCGCTGCTCTTCTCAGAGTATATTTGTCTCGCCATAATGTCGTTTCCCTGGTCGTATTCTATCCTCGGTCTTGTGCCGGGATTGATTCTGACCGTGTTCATCGCGGGGGTGGTTCTATATACGTCACTCATTATCTGGTTCGTCGGTCGCTGTTCGTGGGATTTCTCGACTTCATAACTGACACACTCCAGGCGATTTTGTCTAAGACACCCGCATATTCGCGATGTGTGCGACATTGGACAACACCTATTCTTCGGCTCGAGGATAGCTTGGTATTTGACCGCTGTCATGTTCCTCTTGAACAACACGTTCATCCAGGTACGCTTTTCCGTGGCTTCGGTCGTCGTTCGAGTTTTCTGACATCAGTAGGGCTTGCACTGCTTGGTCGGCGCCGAGTACCTCAACACCATTTCGGGCCATGGAACTTGCACCATCGTGTTCTCCCTAATCACTGCGATCGTCTCTCTTGTCTGTTCGATCCCGCGTACATTCAACACTTTATCCAAGGTCGCGACCATTTCAGCCTTCGCGACATTCGTCTCCGTCATGCTAGCCGTTATCTTCTCCGCTATCGAGGACCATCCTGCGGGCTACAGCCTTGCGGACGGCGACCCCATTGTTAGGGCTACCCCGGCACCTGGCACCACCTTCGTCTCTGGCATGAGCGCTTTTTTGAATATCAGCTACACATTCATTGGTCAGATTACACTTCCTAGCTTTATCGCCGAGATGAAGGAGCCAAAGGACTTTTGGAAGTCCGTTACTGCCGTCACAATCGCAGAAATTATCGTCTTCAGTCTGGTCGGGTCTATCGTGTACGCGTATACCGGAAACCAGTACATGACGGCTCCCGCGTTCGGGTCTATTGGCGACGAGACATACAAGAAAATCGCCTTTTCGTTTATGGTTCCGACGATCATCTTTTTGGGAGTTTTGTATGCATCTGTTTCGGCACGCTTCGTCTTCTTCCGCATCTTCGAGGGCACCCGCCACAAGGGTAACCATACGTTTGTCGGCTGGGCTAGTTGGATTTCTATTCTCGCCGTTCTGTGGGCCCTCGCCTTCATCATCGCCGAGGTCATCCCCTTCTTCTCCGATCTCCTCTCGATCATGAGCTCACTGTTCGATTCGTTCTTCGGTTTCATTTTCTGGGGCGTCGCTTACCTCCGTATGAGGCACGAGGATTACGGGCCGGACTTTTATAAGAAACGGGGCTTCCGTGGGTGGGCTGGCGCAATCTTCAACATTTTCTTGATTGGTGTGGGCCTGTATTTCCTAGGCCCAGGCACTTACGTTCGTCTTTCCGTCCAGTTCTTAAGCTTCTGCGTTACTGACATGATAATAGGCCTCTATCGAAAGTGTTATCCTGAACTACGAGGCTGGAACCGTGGGAAGTGCCTTCTCATGCGCCGACAACGGGCTTTGATCATTATTCTTTACTGATTGGCTCTCTAATCTTACCTTCAACTTGTTTTTTCTTTTGATAGATGGGGACGTGGCTGGAAATGCGTCTTGATTGCTTGTCATATTGGATGATGTATGAGATTGTTTCTCCTCATTTGTTGAAACTTCGAACAATACAAGATTGCCAGCTCGAGCAGGGAAGAGCTCCACGGATTCGAGTTAGGCGAATCCATCTGCCTCGGAGAACAACAGAACTCCGGAGTGGAACCGAGACTTTCACAGCGATTGTCTGATCTCCGCAGTCACCGCATAGCGAAGTATAGTAGACGATAGATGCAGCGCCGTAGACCTGATATATAGAGAATCCGTAAATAATCCGTCGTAGACAATAGAGTAGTAACGAAGACGAAAAAGCACACATTCGGCAGCATGTGCTGAACTTGGCTTATCTTATCGCTCCGCGGGATTTTCCTATCACACGTGACTTTGCCGACTGCTATGACGCTTTTCTGGAGCTGCCCTGGATCTTCAATCCTCTTCTCCTTCCGCACTTTCCTGTCCTCAATTCTACAAGGATATCCATCATGTCTGCTGTACGGCCCCTACGACGAGGTCTTCACCTCCTTGGATCGAAATCCATTGTGCGAACAGTCCCTGTTGGCGTCAATGGCACATTGACTGCCATCCCGCGCGGGCTTGTTTCTCCGCAGGCCCGCTGCGCTCTCCGCTCTCCAATTTCTGGACGTTCTGTTGCGCTCCCAGCCAACAATGGCGTGAGATACGCCTCAACCGCGGTGCCGTTTGGCTCGCTGCGAAAGACACAGCTCTATGACTTGCACCTTGAAAAGGGCGCCAAAATGGTCCCCTTTGCGGGGTTCGCCATGCCCCTCCAGTACTCCGATCTTAGCCATGTTGAGAGCCACCACTGGACGAGAGAAAAGGCGAGCTTGTTTGATGTGAGCCATATGTATGTCCTCCCACCCTCAATTGCATATCAAGATACTAATATCTTGGTAATACAGGGTCCAGCACAAGCTCAGCGGACCAGGGGCCCTTGACCTCCTCATGAAGGTCACCCCCTCATCCCTCGACAAGCTCCAAGACAACACATCCACCCTCTCATGCCTCCTTGAGCCCTACACCGGCGGTATCGTCGACGATACCGTCATCACCCGCCTATCCAAGGACACCTTCTACTTCGTCACAAACGCCGGTCGCCGCGACGAGGACCTCGCCTTCCTACAAGCCGAAATCGACATCTTCAAGTCCGCCAACCCGGGCAAGCACCTCACCTGGGAAATCCTCGAAGACCGCGCTCTCATCGCCCTCCAAGGCCCCGAGGCCTCCGCCGCCCTGCAACCTCTCATCAAGGGCGCGGGCTCCGATCCCGCCGCAGACCTCTCAACCCTCTACTTCGGCAACTGCCGCTACCTCCACCTCAACCTCCCCGTCGCCTCTGAAGAACCTCTCCTAATATCCCGAACGGGGTACACAGGCGAAGACGGCTTCGAAATCTCCATCCCAGCCTCCCTCGCAACAACCGTAACAACCACCCTCCTCGAGAACCCCTCCGTCCGCCTCGCCGGCCTCGCAGCCCGCGACTCCCTCCGCCTCGAGGCCGGAATGTGCCTCTACGGCCACGACATCTCCACCTCCCAGACTCCCCCCTCCGCTGGCCTCGGCTGGATAGTCGGCAAGGACCGCCGCGACCCAGCTTCCCCGACATCACGCTTCAACGGCGCCGAGACGATCCTCCCGCAACTCGCGTCTCCCGCGACAACCCTCTCGCAGCGCCGTGTAGGATTCACGGTTGAAAAGGGCTCGCCTGCCCGTGAGGGCGCGATTATCGTTGATATCAACGACGAGTCCAAGACGCAGATTGGGGTCGTGACCTCGGGATTGCCGAGTCCGTCGCTTGGTGGTACGAATATCGCCATGGGGTATATTAAGCAGGGGTTGCATAAGAAGGGGACGGAGGTGGGGATCCTGGTACGGAATAAGGTGCGCAAGGCGACTGTTACGGCCATGCCGTTCATTGAGACTAAGTTCTATCGGCCGCCGAAGGCGTGATTTGGTCAGAAGCAAAATGGTTACAGTATTGTCTAGCGGTGTTGCTCAGTTTCTTTGATTTGACGTGGGCTTGATGATGTATGTATATATTATGGTTTCTTGCTTTGTTGCAGCAATATGCAGTGCTATGCTCTGCTATGCTGTGTTCGGGTTCAACATCTTAACCCTTGCGATGATTTCTTATTCAATTAGATATGCTTGACCCTCAACGGAGTCTGAATAACAATCAACTCTTGATCTTAAGTTTTTTTTCTCAATCCGCTGTGATAAAGCTTATTACATGGGTAGTAAGTATTGGTGAGATCCGTCACGTGGCCGTGAAGACCCTAAAAAGTAATCCGAACTCCCTAGTGACCCCGAGAGCAGACTGTCAGTCAAAGGGACACCTTCGCCTAAGCCTGAATCTCCAGCAGACTCGTCACCGACAATGACGGCGGAAGATCATTATCCCCACTTCCCCAGGTACTCTCGTTCCTCCCCAGGGTAAGCACGAGCTCACCACCCTCAGTAAAGAACTCATGCCCGATCCAGTTTCTCGTATAAGGCCGACCGTCCAGCGTCGCAGACTGGATATAAATATTGTTATAGGCCGAATCGAATCCCACCGTGCGAATTCTCGCGGTACGCCCTGTGACTGGGGAGGTAATGTCGACTGATTCGAAAAATGGCGCTGTGATCAGATACACGTTCTGACCTGGGTTCGGGAATAGACCCATCATGGTCATCGCGACAAATGAGCCCATTGCGCCAGAGTCATCATTCCCTGGGAGGCCTCCTGGAGTAGGGTTGAAGAAGCGCGGGATGTAGAAGTGGGCGCGGGCGGTGGATTTGCCAGGGCGTCCGGCGTAGTGGTATTGAAAGACGGTGAGGAAGGATGGTTCGTTGCCGATGTCAGTGATATTTTGCTCGTGGAGATAGTCGAGGCGACGAGTAAATTGATCTGGGCCACCGAGGAGAGTGACCAGAGTGGCCATATCGTGTGGAATAAAGCTAACTGATTAGCAGAAAGGTCCGCACGAGAGAAAGTGACATACAATTGGTACTCCCAGATGCTAGACTCAAAAGTCTCCGCACCGGTATTCTGCAAAGAGCAGGCTCGGCCGCTTCTGTCGACAGTAGAGCATGTTATCGGGTCCTGGAGAAGTCAGTATCGAAAACCTACCGACGAATTTCCGACGAACTGACGGCTTACCTGGTAACCCCATGTTCCATTCAAGTGCTTTGGCTGGAAGAAACCAACAAAGCCAGTGTCGGTACCATTAATGGCAGACCTCTGATCCGCTCGGAAGAGGTTTTGCCAGTATCTCGATGTTCTCTCGAAACGTTCAACATCTGTCGTCCGGTTAAGACCGCGGGCCATTTGTGAGATGGTGAAGTCATTATAAGAGTACTCCAAAGTTCGAGAGATACTCCGCGTCATAGTTCCGAAGCCCACATGGTCGAAATCTTCTACAGGGATGTAGTTGAGAGACTTCCAGCTAGCCAAGCCTCCACGGCCTTCATTCGACCAGGCAAAAGGCTCTTCTTCGGCGTCTTTCCAAACCGCGGCATATCCATCATCCCAGTCGATACCTTCGCTAAGGCCCTTTACATATGCATCAGCAAGGACAACGTCTGCGTTAGAGCCACCTTGTGTGTAGCCTGCATTATTTAGTACTGCCCGATCAAGGAAGAGTAGGATATATCCTACCTTTACACAGTGACATTCGGCAATCAGGAAGCCATCCAAGATGCCGCTGTGTATCAACCAGAGAGCGAACCATCTGTGTTACAGCTGAAGGATCCACGATCGTCAAGAATGGGAGCTGTGATCTGAATGAATCCCAGAGACTGTCGTCTGTCAGAAAAAGCTCGTTCAAGACGAAGGCTAGCATACCAGTAGAAGGAGTCAAAGTACGGCTCGGCACTCCTCCAAAGTGGATTTTCGCCGGTATAATTCTGCGGGTTCACGAAGGTCCGGTAAATCCCAGAGTAGAAGTTGGTCAGTACAGAAGCATCCACGCCCGTCCTTGACACGCGAATCGGGGCAAGCTTCTCAGTCCACAAGGCAACTGCAGCAGCCTGGGTCGACTCGAAATCAAAGTCGGGTATCTCAGCTTCAGCATTCTGGCATGCCTGAGCGCTACTGATAAAGCTCAAGCCCACACGAGCACTGATCGTCTGGTTCGAACGAGCATTAAACCGCACGAACCCTCCAGCCTACAATTCGTCAGCTGGCAGCACCTATACATGGAGGGGTAACCCACTGGGAGAGGATATCCGTTGATGCTTCTGGGCACCGTAATATTCTTCACATCGGTGCTTGCCCGGGAATTGACGAATATCCCGTTGTCACGAATCCCTGCCTCGCTGCTGAAATCTGCGCAGAAATACGGCTCATACGAGCCACTACCGAAGCTCGGCAGAAATCGGGCACTGCCTCTAAGTCGACCGGTTGTTTCATCTACTGAAACGGAACCGTTATCTTGTCGGGAATCAGACAAATCAGTGAGGTCCAGCAGGATGAGAGGACTGGTGTTCTGGCTTGATGGAAACTGGAAGCGAAAGAGAGACGTGTGGTGGGATGTGGTCATATCTACACGAATCCCGGAGCTCAAAGTCAGAGCAAAATAGCCAGGGCTAGCCACGACAGATGTTTGATCGAACGTCGTCCTTCGCTCTCTTTTGGGATACCGGCAGCCGTTGACTTGGTCATCCGCGCACGATACGTAGGGAAAGAGAGGGAAATTCCCAAGCGAGGGCTGGCCTCCTGTCCCTGAATCGTGCAAACTAGAAAACCCAGTGATTCTACTGCTATCCAGGGTAAATCCTCCCTGGTTACTCCTCGAATCGGTGTCGGCTACTGCCTTTGCCATGCCATACGGGATGGTAGCTCCAGCAAATACGTTTCCTGAGCGATTTAGAAGAGCTTCTCATTTCAGGACGCCGTCGGCGTAGGTACCTCCATTTGTACTCCCAATGAGTGGGTTAACATATTGGATCACCTCATACTCCTCGACCGCAGAACGAAAAGGAGCACTTGCATCGCCCAAGGCAATTGTAGCCAGAAGCAGCGCGATCAGCAAGAAAGAGACCATTGAAAACGAAAGTGGTGTTCAAGAGAGGGAATGAGACTGTGAACATCGACGCCTAACGATTGTGTTGCTGATTATAAGCAGGAGAGTCTGGAGTGTCGGTCCTCTGGAATGCAGCTTGGTATGCCCGCGCTCACGATGGTAAAAGAGTCGGACATCGGGGTCACCCCTTCCCCAGAATCTGACAGGGGCGATCATCATCCCAGGGCTAACAGATGCCATTGTGAATCAAGCAAACACCCCTGGCGATCGGTGGTCTGGCGACCGATTGGAGAATCAATCTTGAGGACTGTTGCATTATCTGCAGCCTGCAGGGGGTAAACAAGTCAGTCCCGGGCTCATGGTTCCAGATCTCATTAAGGGCGAGGTGATGAAGCAGTCCTTGCGTTTGGGAGCTGCAGGACCCCGAAGACCGATCGAGACATCGTGCGAGCACAAGTGGATGAAAATGCAATCAAAGGCGGTGCCTGAGCACGAAATGGACTCGGAGAAGCAAACAATCTCCCATTCTAGACAGAGTCAGTCACGTTCTGTCTGCCATCAAACAGGTTAGTGAACTTTGTCTCTGACTGAGCAACTGGGAAGTTAGTATCTTGGCTCGGATGGACTGAGTGTTCCACGGCCAGGCAGATCTATATCAGACGCGATATAGCTTACTTCGAGATATCTTAGGTTTCCCCATCCTATAACCAATGCGTTGGTACCGTAGTACGGAGTACATAGTGTTGTGCATCTTAGTCACCCTGAAGGTTTCGTGCATCAAAGTTGTACAGAGTCGGCCCATACCAGTTGCATGACATCAGCCTCGAAAATTGTATATCTTCTCAGCTGAGTCGAGAATTTCTTCAAACTCTTCACAATCCAACGTTATCCACGCCCTCCTGTCATAAACTGAGAATGAGCCGAGGCACTTTGACGACTGCGCTGGCGCTCCGCCAATCAGAAGAGTGCCGGGCGCGAGTCACTCCGCCTCCGACCGGAGCGCGACATGGCAAATCTTTGGGGAGAATCGGCGAGTCCGTACCAAAGAACCAGGACCGAGGACAACGCGCGCCCCAATGACATTATTCTTCACGCTCGTTGATTGACCCTGGCTTATCTGTTTCAGTCGCTCCTTTCCCACTCTCCTTAAGTCCCTCGGGCCCAGATCTCTCCGTCGCCATGCCAGGAACATTGATCCCAACGTTGATTCGGGCTGTCCCCACTACACCCAGGCTCCATGTTTCTTGTCTTTCTACGAATGGGTTGAAGTCCGCCCGGTCACGCCAAGTTCCTCAGCTTTTGCTTTCAGGCTTTTCATCTCAGCGTGCATATTCTACCGCCGGTGGGTTCCATTCTCCCGTCATCCGCTATCTGTCTCGGGGAGATCGTATTGCTAACGGCCGCGCCTTGGCTCCAGGTTCTGAATCTATAAATCCCAAGCCCCGTTCATATTTTCGCCGCGTTCTCGGTTTCACAGCTCTCGCAGCATTCTCATTTACCGCTGGATTCAGTTATCAATTCTTTTCTTCCGCAAATAGCATCATGACTGTCCCGATCTCCGACGAGGAAACCCTGACCGCATTCACTCCTTCCGATGAGTTTACGCAAAAGGTCGAAGACCACATCCACAACCATCCCCTGGCTCAAGCGCTCCGGGAGGACCCTGCCTATAGCGGATCCAGGCCATATCTGAAGATACCAGAGAAAATCCGCACTCGCAACCTCACTGCTGGTACTCTTTCAAACTCCCAGGGCATCGTGGTTCCGCCTCTTGTTTTCTGCAACAAGGAAACTAGCAGCCTCGTCTCGATCATATACCTTGGCCCGAATGTCTCTGGTCACCCGGGCATCGTCCACGGTGGGCTTCTTGCTACGCTGCTAGACGAGGGCATGGGGCGGGCTGCTTTTCTCGTCTTGCCGAACAAGGTTGGCGTTACTGCCAACCTGAATGTCGACTACCGACGACCTGCCATGGCCAACAACTACTTTGTCATGCGTGCGCAGGTTGTCAAGTCTGAGGGCCGCAAGGCGTGGGTTGAAGCTCACATTGAGACTCTTCCTGAGGAGGGCAAGGAACCGGAGGTGTTGGTCGAAGCGAGGTCACTATTCATAGAGCCAAAGATGGCAGCGGTATGTTTCCACCCATATATTGCTGATACGGCGATACAGAACTGATAGGACTAATGGACCTTCCACAGACAATGCCAAACCTGCACAAATTCGCCAGCTAGAATTTCTCCGTGTGATGATGGCTGTCCGGGGAGTTTTGAAGAGCATTGTAGTTGTCTATGTTATCTTGGCGTGCACATGGATGGAATATTTGCGATAATTTTGATCTTGTACATATTGTTTTCGGAGTATAGACCACCACCGTTGCCCTTTTTGAATCAGCCGTAACTGCAAATAATATCATATCAAGTATATATTGTTTTGGCTGCAGATATTCATAGTTGCGTAGTATGAGACTAGCGCCCCGACCGCCTCCGCCAACGACAGCCGTAGTAGCTTCGAGACACCAAGCGGACAGCTCCAACGCCCACTACATCATTCCAGTTCGACTCAGTCGCCAGCTTCCATCCACAACTGCTCCATGCCCGCCTGTCGAGCGCGGCGATAGTTCTCGTTACTCCTCTCTCCTTCGCCTCGTCCAGATAATAGTACCCACCACCATGTCCAAATCCACCAAATACCTCCTCATCTCCCTCCCCACGTCGATTACCCCATCGCACCACCGCGACGATGCTCTCGACGCCATAACAGCTACAATCTCTCCAGATAACGGCTCTGTCACTCCGTTTCCAATTCCCGAATTCAAAATTGGCACGCTTGATGCCCTCGTGCAGCAGGCCGACGAGCTGGCGAAGCTGGAGGCTGCTTGCCAGGGCGTCGTTGGAAAGGTCGGCGATGCTTTGAGGAATATCCTAGACGGTGATGAAGGGCAGATTGAAAAGATGAAGACGGTGAATGATAGTATGCTTGCCACTCTTTTTCCTGTCTGTTGCGGGAAAGAAGGGTATGAGGTGAAGCTAACTGAGGGTAGAGCCTGTGGATCAGTACCTTCGGACATTCTCGTGGAATAAGGTCAAATACCGGGCGGATAAGTCGTTGGCGGAACTGATTGATCTGCTACAAAAGGTAGGGCTATGAGAGAGCTCGAAGATCCGACGGAGCTAACTTCGAGCAGGAGGCAGCTAGCATCGACAACGATGTCCGGTCGAAATACTCCCAGTACAACCAGGTCAAGAATACGCTGGCCACTCTTCAACGGAAACAAACGTACTTCACTCTAGCACATGCATACAAAAGCCGAACTAACTTCGCGTAGGGGAAACCTCGCCACCAAATCCCTCGCCGCCGTCGTCGACCCCCGTACCCTCGTCCAGAACTCCGAATACATCGAGACACATCTCATCGCAGTCCCAGGACAACAGGTGAAGGAATTCCTCAAGACCTACGAAACCATAGCGCCAATGGTCGTCCCCCGCTCCGCGACCCTAGTGGCACAAGACGACGAGTTCACACTGTATGCCGTAACGACATTCCGGAAGCACAGCACGGAGTTTGTCCACAAGTGTCGCGAGCAGAAATGGATCCCGCGTGACTTCAAGTATGTCGAGGGCGGGAAGGAGGAGGAGCGCCGGGAGGTCGAGCGGGTCGGCGGAGACGAACGCAAGCTTTGGGGTGAGACGCTGCGGCTGGGACGCACGGCGTGGAGCGAGGCGGTCATGGTATGGGTGCATGTGCTTGTGCTCCGGGTGTTTGTCGAGACTGTCCTTCGGTACGGACTGCCGCTCGACTTTGTCTGCACACTTGTCAAGGTACGTACCACCACCACCCCATCATTCGAGACAAGTCTAACAAGGGCAGACACCTGGCACAAAACAAGCCGACAAGGCGAAGCGGAACCTCGACGAAAAGTACTCGTACCTGGCCGGAAACGCCTTTGGACGAGACAAGAAGGGCCGGGTCAAGAAGGACGACCCGAACGAGCTACATGCTGTTGAGGGCGCTGCAGCAGAGTACACGGCCTATGTGTCTTATGATTTCGAATTCAATTAATCGGCCGGTTTGTCTATATTTTGTACCTGATTGGTTACTGCCTGCATGGATGATGGTAGCGTACATATACCGTATACTAGCAATTGTTACTTCAAACAGCACACTAGATGTAATCTATAAAATGAGTAATGATGTATGTACAGAATACCAGTGGTATCGATCTATCTGCACGCACGCATGTCTATCCAGCGACATACCCTTCAATCATTCAAGAAATACCCGAAATCAAAGAAATACTTACTCCTTCTTCGGAGGCAAGTACCCCTTGGAATCCAGATACTCAATAATCTGCTTCACAGCCTCAACAACCGGCAAATCGACATTGCGCACATGGACCTCGGGCGCCTCAGGCGCCTCATACGGGCTACTAATGCCCGTAAACTCCTTAATCACACCCTCCCTGGCCTTCTTATACAACCCCTTGGGATCCCTCTGCTCCGCAACCTCAATCGGCACATCAATATAGACCTCCACAAACGGCAACCCAGTCTCCTCACCCGGTGTAGGAACCTCATGCAACTCTCTCGCGGTCTGACGATCCTTGCGGAAGGGCGAGATGAAGCTGGTAATGGCGATGGTCGCGCTGTCGGCAAAGAGCTTGGCGACCTCCGCGATGCGCCGGATGTTCTCGTTGCGGTCGGCGTCGCTGAAGCCCAGGTCCTTGTTGAGTCCGAAGCGCACGTTGTCGCCGTCCAGGCGGTAGGCGGAGACGCCGCGCTCGCGCAGAAGCTGGTGCTCGAGTTCAACGGCGATGGTGGATTTCCCGGAGGCGGAGAGGCCCGTTAGCCAGATTGTGAGGCCGCGTTGGTTGCGCAGCTCGCTGCGCTCTTTGCGGGTGAGAGCCGAGGCGTGGAAGGTGATGTTCCTGGCGGTTCTGTTAGTTGTTGATTCTTTGTGGGGGGGGGTTGTGAGGGAGGAGTGGGGTAAGGAGGGCTTGGTGGTAGAGAGGGGTACGAACGTGGCCATTTTGGGGGATCTGAAGTCTGTATCCTTGAAGAGTTAAGGAATTGGTATGATTTATGAAGATAAGTCGGGAGGATGAAGGAAGAGAGGGGCCGACGTGTCGGAGAGAAAAAAGGACGGGCGGACGGGACGAGATCGGAGGGGGCGTGGCGGGGCTCTTTTCCACTGAGCGCGGGGGCATAGATCTGGTTAGGATTTTAGGGAGGATCAAAGGCCTCATCCCACGCATCAATGGCGACGATTGCATAATATATTCTATCTGTGGACAAGTCTTGAAACTTTAAAGCACGTCTATCATGTCATTCATGCTAGTATGGCATCAGTGTTGGCGCTGTACATCTAGATCTTCACCGGTCTCTATATCCAAGCCCAGCCCTTTATTGAAGATTGCCCAATTCATTAAAATCAAGTAGCAGGTCTTAAAATTCCGCAAGGCTGATCACTTCCTTGGCGGCTTCTTCAAAGCTATCGAACGCACGTAGAGGAAGGCCACTTTCGGCGATCTATATGGTCAGTATCCTGCTCGTTGCTGATCTGAGGTTGCTTACCATCTTCTGTCCTAGCTCCTCGTTTGTCCCCCGCAGACGCACAACCACAGGAACCTGCATGTCTAGTTCTTTAAAGGCCAGGATGATTCCCTCAGCAATCATATCGCACCTCGTCAGTCCTCCAAAGATGTTGACAAAGACCGCCCTGACGCGGGGATCCGAGGTGATGATCTTGAATGAGGCCTTGACCGTCTCGGAGGTAGCCTTGCCGCCTGTGTCGAGAAAGTTGGCGCATTGTCCGCCGTATATCGAGAGCGCATCCACGGTGTTCATCGCCAGGCCAGCGCCGTTCACTGTTTCATCAGTACAGACCCTCTCATGTTAGCTGAGTGGATATCTCACCTAGGGTTCCAATACTGCCTTCGCCCTCCAACCTATGATCCGTTAGCCTGACTCCAGGTAAGTAGGTCTAAAATCCCTACTTCACGTAAACAATTCCGTCCCTCTCTGCCTCTACCTCCTCAGGCACCTCTTCAGCTACATTCCTCAGCTGGTGTACCTCCTCTTGGCGACCCGAGCTGCGAAAGGCCGCGTCATCAAATCCGAAACGGGCCCCGCGCACCTCAAACGACCCGTCGGCATAATTAGCTCGAACTTGGAGCGTAAAGGCTTCCTTCTCTTTGTATATCCGCCATAGTGCTTGCACCAAATCTGCCAGTTCCTCGTGTGCGCTTTCCGGGAGCTCAAGATCTGCAGCTGTGGCTGTAATGGTAGGACTCGAGGCGTCGAACTTTTCTGTATTATACGAAAAGGGTAGGCGGGTGGTGCTGGGAGGTTCGAATTCAGGTGATGTTGAGATGATGAGTGTAGGACTGAGCGCAGCCCTGTCGATGGTGAGAGAGAGGTAAAAGTCCAACACCGACTCCGCTCCCTCGTTAACGCGAATGCCCTCTTTCTTGAGCATATACAGAGCTTGGAATTGCTTGATGTACAGACTTCTGGCTTGGACTTTCAGATGAGAGTCTGGTCGGACACGTCTCATAGTGTGCAGTCCTCTTTTCTGGTCCCGGAAACTACTGGCAGACTGCAACGCTAAGCATATGTTGAGATCCAGGATGAGGGTCACTTACGCCTATTTTCTTCCTACCAGATTTACTCAAAAGAGTCTTCATCCCCTGTCCGAACCTCTCCGGATGATGAACCATGACCGCGCCCGCGCGCTCAAGAGCGTTATACTTCTCCTCTGGGAAAGGGTCGCCAGGCGCCGTCCAGGCACCGGCATGGCCCATGATCCGTCCATGAGGAGCTGTGAGACCACCGATAAGAGCCATGATCGGCCTTGTTCGTTAGCAAGTCCCATACATGTAGAGCGAGACACATACTTCGGGTTCGTAGTCCTGCGCCGGTAATCCGTAATCCAATCCGCCGCCTCCATTTCCGCCGCACCACCAAGCTCACCAACCAGGATGATCCCCTCTGTATCCGCGTCCTCCTCGAAGACCTTCAGCGCGTCAACAAAATTGGTACCGGCGAGAAGATCCCCGCCCATACTGATGCACAGACTTTGACCCAGGCCGGCGCGTGTTGTAGACGCAACTGTCTCGTAGCTCAGAGTGCCCGACTTTGCGACAATGCCTATGCTGCCCGGAGCAAAGCATGGTAGAGGTTGGAATCCAATTCGGCATTTTCCAATCGCGGAGATAATGCCGGGGCAGTTTGCGCCGACAAGTCTTGTTTTCGACTGTGTTTTAAGGATAGAGTGGACCTATGGCGCATCAGTATAGATCTTCTCCTTGCTGAAAGTGGTTTCATACTCTGAGGATGTCATGCAGCGGGACATGCTCCGCCACTGCTACGACGAGCGGGATCTCTGCCTCAATGGCCTCTTCAATGGCCTTTGCCGTTTGGTTGCCGGGGACATAGATTGCCGAAGCGTCCGGCTTCGCTCGCTCTTGGGCCTGTTATTGTGAGCACATAGCTTTGATCTATCATTGGCATGACAAACCGCTTTGACAGATGGAAAGACAGGCAGGCCAAGGTGTTCGCCTTCAACTCCTGGCTTCACACCACCAACAATCTTCGTTCCCCAAGCTAGGGACTCTTCCACATTTGCTGTAGCCTATTCTGTTAGCGGCAATCAGGCGACTCCATCGACGGGGACTATACCTGTCTTCCTGGAACACTGTAAGCAACGCTCTGTTTTTAGGGAGTACCGCTAGCCGTACCTGTGAATCCTTGGAATAAAACTCGAGTATGTGCGCCAATCTTGAGGTTCGGGAGCGTATCCGCATAGTCGCAGCGCCGTGACGAAGTGGAAAACAGCTTGATATGTTTCGTTGACGCTCGCAAAAGGGGCGTTCTTTGCGCCCGCACAGTCAACGAGCATAACCCGGTCATAGCGAGCTGGAATCTCAATTCCACTAGATATATGCAGTCATATAATGTTGCGCCTTCTGGTGACGCCCGTCGCGAGGAACAGGAATATCAATCGAGCTCCTGCTCGAAGATAAGGCTAAGCTATCAACCTCGGGGAGATCTGGGGTGAATAAACGCGTCTCCGCGCCGGTCTCGGACTGCTCGCCGACCATTTCCGAGACGGCTTTTTATTGGTGTTCTCAGAAGAAGCAAAGAAGCCGCCAGCACTCGGAAATCCCTGGACCACATGTCGGTCATCGGCCGAACAACACAATGGGCGAGCATCATCCCACTGCTCCATATAGCCGTTTTCGGCAACATGAAGGATCTGGGGGTTTGGCCTGATGAAATGGCTGCTCAAGCAGAGTCAACATTGTGTCAGCGACAGCCCTACTCCGTAAAATGCAACCTAGTTGATAGTCGCAGAGTGTAACAGCTGACGAGTTCTATTCCCAACATCATACGTAACCTGCTGCGGGCTGCATACTCAGCTCTCGACAACATGCAGTCACTGTGATCGAATGTTCTCTGGAAACGCTCCCGGGCGAGACGATCAATTGCTTCCCCAGAACCAAAGCTGACTTCCAACCAAGTTCAGCGCTCATTCCGGACAATGCAACCTCCCAATCAGCGACCCCAAAAGCCCCATTCCCAATCACGAGACTCAACCAAACAAAGCGGGGTTTGCGACAAACTCCACGACTGACGCCATACATTATCCCACACTCCAATCGCCGACTATTAATAACTACCCAGCATAATTTGACTCCAGCCATATATCGGGTCTAGACGGTCGACAAAGGGGGCTTGGATATGGCTACAAAGCCAACGTCGAGCTCGAAGGGTCTGTCTGTCACTTTTCTTTTCTCTCGTTCAGTCCAACCTGCTACTATCAGCTAGCTCGCCTCTCATCCTGTCCTCGCTACATGAGCTCTTGTACTTCATATCTACATACATACTACCTACTTGCCTCCTCTCCTCCGACAATTAAACTGTTAGATATACATAATACCCCTGCTAACTCGCCACCTCAATGTCCTCAGCAGCCGCAGCCGCAACAGCAACCTCCCAACTCCAATCCTCCCTCCGCGAACTACACATAGGCGAAAAAGGCTCTACCACTCCAGACATCCTACGCCCCAAGCTCACAACATCCGCCATAAGCTCTCCAATCCCCGTGACGAAGAAGAAGAAAGCCCCCGTCGTCGCCGACTCCTGGGAAGATGAAGCAGACACAGTATCCGAAGGCGAAAACGAAAACGCAGGCGATCTAAGTCAAGCAGGGTCTACGGATAGCAGTCTACCTATGTCCCCCGCTGCGGTAGAGGGACCTCTCGACCCACCACCGACGCCTATTTCCCCGCAGACGTCACAGCCCTGGGTGAATACGTCGGCGTACACGAGTGTTGGGTCGGCTGGTCCTGGCCCTGGGTCTGCGGGTGCGCGGGACCCGAACCGTCGACCGGAGAAGCAGACTGCTGTTGCAGGGAGGCTGATTGCTGCGGGGTTGGGGATTCGAGCGCCGAAGAGGACGGAAGAGCAGAGGGCGTATGATCGGGCTGTGAAGGAGCAAGAGATCAGGCGGCGGAATAAGGAGCGCGAGGAGGCGGCTAAGCTGAAGGAGGAAGAGGAGAAGGCAAAGGCTGCCGTCTGGGATGCTTAAGTGCTCTCGTGTGACTTGAGTATTTGAGTTTCCCAAGTCCTATGATTGGCTTTTTTTCCTAACGGTTTTGTTCTACGTTCATTCCGGCGGAGTTCTTTGTGTTATCTTCAAAAAGAAGGGGTTTACTCTGGACTGGAGTTCAAGTTCCGAGACTGCATCGTGAACAGGAGGGGAGACAGGAGGCTGGCTTGTAGACTACTGCATCAGTGTCATGATTCACGAGCTAGCTGCTCAATATCAAATGCTAGCTAATGTTAAGATTTCCAGGCACTGAAATGCAACGGGATCGTAGTCAGAGCTCAGAACTGTCTATGCACAAGCTTTCGTCGTTGCTAAATTCGTAAAGGACCATCAATCTTCAGAATTCGGTCACAGCTCGAATATGATCTCCTCGAACTGAGCCTCAACACAACTCTTGCAACCCCGTGCGCCAAAGTTCTGCAACATAACCAGCCCAGATCTCATCTACCTTTCCGGGCTATCCTACCCCGAAGACGCCCACAATCCTCACCAGACACCAGCGGATCCCTTGCCAAGATACAGTGGACGTGAAGAGGACCCCAAGATAGGAGCCGAAAATACAAGCAATTCTGGTTACCGAAACGACAAGTTCACGAGGGGAAAGCGAAAGAAAAGTATGGATGTAGTATTGCGAGATATCGTCATAGAAAATGCTCTGATCAGCCGCCGATCTGCTCCTGGTGGACCTCCAACGTGTCGCCGTCGGCCATGTCCAGCTGCAGAAAAGAGAAGAAAAGGTCAGTTGTATATTCACACTAAAGACAGAGAAACCCCGCAAAGCCACGTATACCAGGAGCCAGACGTACCGTGTCAGGGGTATCTTCCGGGCGAACCCGGGTGCCGTCAAACAAAAACCGAACTGTCGATGGTTGCTTGCCTTGACGGTCGCAAAAGGCATCCATCAATTTCTTGAGTTGTGTTGTTCGTTTGATCTTGAAGAAGACCTCATTGTTATTATCGGTTACTTTTATGTTCAAATGTTCCGCAGGAGCAGGAGCGTCGCCTCCAGTCGCGTCGGCCATATCTTGAGCGGTTATTTTGACGGTAGGTGGTTTTGAGAGAAGGGAGTTTGTTTCTGGAAAAGATGTATCTGTTAGCTCCGTTGTCGGTTAAGCATGCGCGATGAATGCGGGGTAAGAGAGAAAACTAGACATGAGAAAGTGATGCCAGTGTTGTACTTACAGAGGAGGTCAAGGTGGTGAGTAAAGTACGTCTGCACGCAGAAAGGCTCGAAGACGATGTGATGGAGGAAATGGAGGTTGATGATGGGGGTGTTGAAGGTCAAGTGGTTAGAGGCGACGAGGTGATTAAGACCCCACCAGTGAGGACGCGCAGGAAAATCTATTTTGCGGCGCGCCTCATGCGGGATGCTGGAGTGAGCGCATCGGCAGTCTCGAACCTTCAATCGATACTGACCAACATAGGTGCTTGTCATCTTTGAGGAAGTTCAGTTCAGTGGTTGGTCCTTGCAGTATAATCTCTACCTGCTCCAGCTTGCTTCCTCATCTCTTAGAGAGCCAATTTGGGTCGAAAGGTTATCCAGTGTCTCATTACATCATGGTATGAACAGAATATATAGCCGCAACATATACGGAGTACACTCAGCTCGATAATAACAACACCTCCAGGGCGGGTTGAAAGAGGACATAGCATTTGATCCTCCATGCCATCCGCGAGCAGTAAGTGTTCACTTCAACGGCTGCCCGTTCAATTGACTGATTTGTATAGTGCGCCATTCAAGGTGAATAGCCTGCCTGACCCATGGCTCAGATGAACCAAGCGTTGACCTTCACAGCATGTTTGACCAGGAACTCCTACCAAGAGGAAAAGTGCCAGGCTCAGATCAACGCACTGTATGAGTGCTGCAATCTGTTCTACAGGGAACACGGGGAGGATGCAAAGACCCCAAGTTGTCCTAAACCGAATTTACTGAGGCTGCGAATGAAGCAGCGCGGACAAGAAGCCTAGATGGTCGTATTTCCTTGATATCTGACTTTCTTGTCGGATAGACGCAGTCGTGTACATACTATGACCCGTATATAAGGGAATACTTATTATAGACCGTGGTCGACCAGCGCTGGAGAGAAGGTGTTGTAACAATTCCCTTGCAGTCGCAGCTCCCATGCAAAAAAAAGAGCCGGAACAGTTGTGAAAATTGCTGAATTGCTCTAAGACAATCTTGAGCACGCGAGAGGCCGTTTTTGACCTGAACGAAGATTGAAGCGCTCGTTCCGAGACTCTAATGATTGCCTAAATGACATTAGAGAAGAAAAGAAAGAAAAGAAGAAAAAGCAGCAGCAGAAATTCGAGATTTTTAAAGCGTGGATGGCGGTCAGCTAGTCCACTTGGGGCCTAGCGGAAGCCGACCAAAACACCGCGCTGGGCCAACAAGAATTCGTGCGGTGACAACTCAAAGAGGCAGAAACACTGCGCGCAGATTGAATCCGCTTCTTCTCAATCCATTGCTCAGGAAGCCGGACTTCTTACGGCCATCTCGTTTATGGCTCCATTAATCAGACCCGCCGGGTCTGCCGGTCCTGTCTCTGGCTTCCCGTCATTAAATGTGAGTTCTCTGTTTTGAGCTTGCTTCCGAGCTGGCGCCCTCTAACCCATATTTTGGTACTACAGCAAAATCGACAACCACCAAGTGAACCCGCGGTTATTGAGATTGATGACGATGATGATGAACCCATGGATGATGAAGAGGAAGAAGACGACGAGGAGGAGGAAGACGAGGTCTTAGAAGACGAGGATGACGATGAGGACATGGATGACGGGGATGAGAACGGAGAGCTGGAGGAGGACGAATCCATCGAAGACATGAATGGTAGCGAATCGCCTCTTCACCTCGTGGCCGCTACGAATGGCCAGAGTATGTTTCCCGACGTGGGCCCTTGATAATAAGCTGACCATGCTCCAGATGGGTTTGACGCCGCCGCTTCAGAATTCTTCACCTCCGCAGGAGCACAGGAAGCATTGCATCCCCTTCGCCGCACTGCCGACAGAGTTACGCGCCAAATCGAAGCGTTTGCGGAACGACTAGACCGTTTTAAGCAAAAGGGCAATCGCGCTGACGAGTTCGGAAGCTACCAGGCCGTTTATCAGTTGGTGAAGGGATACGAGACAATCGCGCAAGACGCCATCCATGATGTCTCAAGACAGGACACTCTGAAGAAAGCAAAGCTCGGATGGAGTTTCAGCAAGACCAATGGTACCGCACAGCGCGATCCCAAGACTGAGGAGGAACTTCAACGACTACAATTAGAAGCAAACACCTGGCAGCTTCTGTTGAACTTGATCAGTGTTGATGACCCTGCCAGCAGGGCTAGCTACCGAAAAGCACAAGAAACCGTGTTCCAGAATCTCCATCGGTATTCCTCGGATCGCGAAGTCTGGGAACAGTTCTTGAAGGTAGATCAATATGCGCTGGAATGTGTTCTCACTATGAAGTGGCTGGAACATACAGCGAAGAACTCTACTCAGGACATTGACTCGCTGATCTCGGAATTGGAAATCCAGGCCGAAAGAGGACAAGGCGCATGGGCTCATGGGTGGCTCTACACCAAGGAGACGATCAAGGGACAAAAGCGACTGCGTGCCTGGCCACAACCTCTCGAGCCCAATGACCCGAACATTACCGCTTCACTTCTGACGTCCGATCAATCCGAGCCTATGGTTACCCAGTTAGATCCCGACGCAGTCACTCGCCAGAAACAGAATCTCCAGAGGAAGGACCAGTTCTACGAGCGTGCCACTTGGATGACGTGTTGGAAGATGCTGAGGCAAGGTGAAAACTGGACAAAGATCAGAGATTGGGCGGCAGATCGCCTGGAGAACTGGCGGGCAGTGAGCCTCTGTGGCTCTAGCGTTGACGCCAACTCGGGCGGGGAGAACACCCCCATCGACGATGGGACTACGCGCATGATGAACTGGCGGTCTCAGGACTCCTGGAGAGCTGCTTGCTCAAGCCTAGCTAGGGATCCGAAGACGGAAGATTTCGAGCGGGCCGTTTACGCGCTGTTGAGCGGCGAGTCGGAAGCGGCCTTCAAGGTGTGCCAGAGTTGGGACGACTATCTCTACGTTTACTTTAACAATGTCGTCTTGTCACGCTACAAAGGCTTTTGCAAGCAGTTTCAGCGAAAACTCAACCATTCGCCAACGACTCCTGTCGTCTTCACACCGGAGCCTGCTGGATACGCAGATTTCAACAAGTTCGTGTTGTACACCAGGGGCAACGATCGAATTGGCGGAGAGGCTCGGAATCCATACCGAACAATACAGGCCGCTATTCTGGGCAAAAGCTATGATGTCTTCTTCAACGCCTTGGCCAAGGCCGTCTCACAAGCAGCTATCAATAGAGGCGAACCCAGTTTTGTGCCCAACCTCTCGCCGACAAGTGTGGATGACTCTTTTCTCATCACGGCTGAGGATAGTGATGCGTTGAGGATTGCCACCCACCTCTATGTTGTCGCCAGCGCCATTGGGTACGTCCGAAACGACACAGAATTTATCAACACCGCATCCGTAAATGTGGTTGGTTATATCGCCGATCTTGAGGACGTTGGCGTTGTTAACATGATCCCGCTTTATGCCTCACTTCTGCCGAAGGACCTCGCCTACTCTGTGCTTGGCCAAGTCTTGATTGAAATAGTTGATCCGAGAGAGAGGCGGATGCAGGTACAGTTAATGCATACGCATGATATAGACATCGAAGCAGTCATTCGCAAACAGTGGGACATGGTTACCTCTAGTGTTTCTGCAGTGGACCGTTCAAGGACAATCAGGCGGTTCCCCAAAGTGGTCAGCCGCAAGGATGGCCATCGCGAGTTGGTGCCCGTGAAGAAGGATTTCATTGGAACAGACCTTTCGATGGACGATGAACGAGTCATTCGTAGCCTCGAATGGCTTCGCTACATTGATGGACAATGGGGCAGAATATGCTACCTGGGGGCTTCCCTTTACCGGAGATTCTATCGTGAGTTTAATACATCCAATAATTATGATGACAAAGTCTGCTAACGCTATCATAGTTACGGGTAAACTCCCGGCAGCTCGCGAGCTCAGCAGGCGTATGTATCTATCGGAGATCTCCCGCGAGTCATATGGTTTCGATATCGCAGAGTTCCCCATAGATGCCGAAGACGGAACCGATGCTGGCACTCCAGAACCTTCTAGCCCGACAAAGACAAGAGTATACGGGCATAAGCGAAACAAATCCAGCAATAGTCTACCGTCTACCGCCGAGACTAGGCTGCTCTATACACAATCACAAACGATGCGTGACCTAGAAGAGCTTATCCTGGCATTTGACGCATTGGAACGATTTGCCACTGTCTGCGAGAAGCTTGACAAGACCAAGCGTCGACGAGATTCTGGAACCATCAAAGGTCTCAGAGACGAATTGCAAGACGCTTTAGACGGAGTCAGCGTGCATATCGATGCCGTCCTCTACGACTGGCTAGTCAGCGCTCAAGACCGTAAGTTCTGACCCTGTTACTGAGTTTTATCTCTGGAACAAATGATCTAACAAGCAAACCACAGAGGCCGAACTCGCCGACCTAGAAGAAATCCGAAGCACCTACATTCCCGAACTCTTCCTTGATTACCACAGCGCCCTCTACTACTCCGCCCACGTTATCAGCAGCGATATCCTAGTACAGTGCATGAACCTGGCAATGCAGGTCGCCGAGAACGAGTTCCTGACTCGCAGCTTCGTTGCCTCGCGGCGTATGACCGAGCTCATGGACGCCCTGGCCCTCTCCAGCAAGGCGATGGTCAATGCGCGCGCAAAGTCCAACGTGAGGCTTTTGGGCGGCGAGACTCTCAGGATCTGGAATGTGCAGGTGCCCGCGGATCAGGAGGAGGAGATGCTCCGTGAAGCGCAGTGACTCTCGAACCCACACGTAACCGCACACAAACCTCCACACTGGCGGTAGACTACCCCAGCTTGTACTCCGTCTTACTTCTTCTACTACTACTAGGCGCACACTGCACCGGTAGTCAGTGAGTATATACATACATAACTGTACTTACTGTATGTACTGTACTTCGCACTTCACACTGAGACAGACAGGCCAGACCGATCAGACCAACTGCATTGCATGACTGAATGTACATTACAAAACCACCACCGCAATCATCGTCGAGTTCCCCTTTTTCCTTGCTTCTTTGGGTTGGTTCATTCTTCGACCTTGTTGTCTTTCTCATTATGTTGGTCTTCTTGGTTGAGTGGGGGGGCCGTGGATTGTGTTAATCGGCCTCGAGGCTCAATGGTAATTTCATTGCGACTGCATCTGGACAGGGTTTTACATAGGGAGTAATATAAAAGAGGTGTTTTCATCTATGATAAGATACGTACCGATCAGCACAGTGGACTTTGTACTTGTCGGATTATTAGTGGATCATAAGTTCTAGGTTCGTCGCTGCCTTCGCAGGGGCGTTTGATATGCATATCTGGACGGTCATTGAAATGCAGCTTGTGTCAATCGTTGAACCGACGGCGGAGAGAATGAAAAATCAAGCTACTCCACTGCCAATACGACCGGGGATGGATCTTGGATCGCAGTGCGCATGTTACCCATCGAAATCAAATGGGTCACGGTGTTCCTCTGGAGAAGTTGCTGACGACGGCACTACCCCGTGGACTCGCGCGTGACGCGTACGGATAGGCTTCAAGGGAGCAATTTGCCAATTACGTCTCTTCTACGCATTAGTTATTCTTTAATGCTTACTCAGGATTCTAACTGGAGTAAGCGCAGACGACAGGCGGGATCGAGGTCTCCCTTGGAAGATGACTGTTTCACATCCATCATACAATTGCCTCGGGCTTCGGAGTGATGCCCTAAGGGAGTGTAGTACGGATTTTGATACACGTCCGCTTACCAAGTTTTGGAGCACTAATGACTCTTGGGCCTTGGCTTTGGAAGACGGTTGGTCTCGAGCCACGAGCCTTGAAGAGGCGGGAGCAAAAACACGTCATGCTCGTCGTGGTGGTTGATATGGACAAGGTTTTGTGGTTGCGTCCTCACCCACGGTGCGGATGAAAGCAGGAGGATTCTCGCCCAACGCCAATCAAGCAAAGCACCTCCGTCAATTTTCCTGTACCCAGGCGAGCAACATGTCGTCGACGACTGAACACCCATCACAAACAGAAACAAGGGTCCCGAGACCAACCCTTGCGACTGGAGATGAAGCGAGATGGTCGCTCTAGCGCCGCATCAGGCAATCGCACATTTCTTGTTCGAAAGCTGCTAGCATGATAGTCAAGTCTTGATTGTGAACATTCCTGCAGGACAGCCAATGATGAATAGCAATAATCGAGAGTGAAGCTTTGAAATTTGTTTCCAACAACGGGATCAGAAGCTTCGAATTGCAGCAAAGAGAGGGAGTGGGGTTTGCACAGCCTTCGCCAAGACACTGATCCCTTAACACTATTTGTCTGCCGACGTCCAGACTGACGGTTTTTCTTGATTTGCTGGGGTTTTTTGTTGTTGAAAGGATGGTGAAATGTGAGAAATCTATGCCAGCGTGTCTGTCTGATGTCCATGGCCAGGTCTGCTTCTGGGGAGATGCAGGAAGAGCTGCCAGCTGGCAGTCTTCGTATTTGACCTCAATCAACACCAACCTCGTAGTACCTAAGTACTGTAACTCGAGAATGAGTTCGGGTGGAAGGAGCGATTTGCCTGGCGAATAATTCGCCCTTGCAATTGCCTCTCAGAAGCACAGGGATTCGGAAGGACAAAGGGGAAAAAGGAAGAAAAGATGAGACTGAAAGTGTTGGTGTTATGGAGAACCTCGACCAAAAGTGGAATGAGGCAGTGCAATGCAGCAGCGAGTAAAGTTGCAGGACAAGCTCCGTCTTGACAATTTGGTGTGGCAATCACAAGTCAAGCTGTAAAGGATCCATAAAAGGAGTTAGAATCGCTCCTTCCATTGATGCTTCTCGCCAAATAATCTTGAGAGTGAGGCAGTCTTCTCAGCACATTGTGAGAGACCTGAGGAGGAAGAGCAGTAGGTTCTGCACGCGTAAATCAGTAGGAAATACGAGGGCTCTGGAATCTGGACAGATCCAGTGGAGCCAGAGTGGAGTGACGGAACCAGTGCGTACTGCATCATTAGCTCGTTCGATTTTGGCTCGTCGGCTCAGGGTCCTGCTTCGCATTGGCTTCAAGCAAAAGTTCCCGCTCAGTGCTCTTCCATCTTTCCCATCCCTCTCCAAGTCTCAGTCGCCCTGCCCGATGTTTTCGCATTGATCTCTCAATCCCTTGGGCTTGTTGTTCGACAGAAAAGGCCCTAAAATTTTAGTCGTATAACCTTATTCTTTCTCCCTTTGCTTGTCACGTTGACCTGTTCCTTCGTTTGTTTGGCCGGATTCGGGTCGCCCTTGGGCAGAACGCAAAGCCACCTCGCAGCTCACCAACCTTTCCAGGATCCTAGATGGCATCTCTCCAGTCACGCTGAGCTCTTGTGTCACTTCCCAGAGAACGAAACCTCAATCCCCCTGTTAGCGCGACAATCGTTTATGACTCCGTCGAATAGCGTCCAGGTACTCCTCTCGGAGCCACTTTCTCATTGATATCAAACATCTCTTTGTTCTTCTGTTTTCTCGGCTCATTGAGAGATTCGGTCGACTCCTTGGCCGACCATGTCCGAGTCGAGAAATTCGGTTGAAGATGATTCCAGACAATCAGCCTCAACGCCGCTGCGCCGAGAACGAGCTCCCACCATAACGATAGACACTTCTGCCGTCACCTCAACAGCGGACCAAAACCCACCTCCTCCCCAGATTTCGGGACCATCACAGTCTTTGCACTCGGCTAATCATGTTGACCCGACGGGTGATACTAGCGCTTTACTGAATGGCAGCGGTGTTTCGCCTACCGACACCCGGTCAGCTCCGTCAGTACGATCATATGCTTCGTCGGAAGGCAGAGAGCACGACAGCAGGCCGACCTCTCCGTCGCCGCACAACGTTTTGTCTCCCAATTCGAAGATGACAGATTCGATGCTTCACTCCAATTACCTTTCCGTACCAGGCGCTAGATCTCGCGGAAATTCTCTGGAGTCTGAGGACTCATCTCACTCAAATGGTGGTGATTCACGTCAAAATGGAAACCACGGTTCGCTATCTGACTCGGCAAAGACTACGATCGAAAATTACGAGGAAGCGCTTCAGCCGGATCCCGGACGGGAAGCGGAATTCGAGGTGGAAAACAACAGCTTTGCCTTTTCCCCCGGGCAGCTGAACAAATTGTTGAATCCCAAGAGCCTTGGCGCTTTCTACGCTCTTGGCGGTATTGCTGGGCTTGAGAAGGGCCTGCGAACTGATGTACGCAGTGGTCTCAGCCTTGATGAAACTGAGCTAGACGGGACTGTGAGCTTTGAAGATGCCACGGCCCGGAGCAACTCTGTGCCAAAGCCCGCGACTGATACACCACCTCAAACGCCGCCGGATCGAGCAAACACCACGCCACACAAACAGGACGAGAATGCCTACGCCGACCGTAAGCGTGTATTTGGGCCCAACAAACTTCCAGAGAAGAAAACAAAGAGTATTCTTGAGCTAGCATGGCTTGCATACAACGACAAGGTCCTCATTCTCTTGACAGTTGCGGCTGTTATCTCACTCGCGCTAGGTATCTACCAGTCTGTCACGGCAAAACCCGGCGAGCCGCGGGTTCAGTGGGTTGAGGGAGTGGCCATCATTGTAGCTATCTTGATTGTTGTGGTGGTTGGTGCAGCCAATGACTGGCAAAAAGAACGGCAGTTCGTGAAGTTGAACAAGAAGAAAGAGGATAGAATGGTCAAGGTAATCCGTTCCGGAAAGATGACTGAAATCTCTGTCCATGACATCCTTGTCGGTGATCTCATGCATTTGGAGCCTGGTGACCTTGTCCCAGTTGATGGAATCTACATATCCGGCCACAATATCAAATGCGATGAATCCTCTGCTACTGGTGAATCCGACGTCCTACGCAAATCGCCTGCTCATGAGGTTTATGGTGCTATTGAACGACATGAGAATCTGGCTAAACAGGACCCGTTTATTGTATCTGGTGCCAAAGTATCGGAAGGCGTCGGAACGTTCCTGGTTACGGCGGTTGGGGTGCATTCAACATACGGCAAGACTATGATGTCTCTCCAGGATGAAGGCCAGACAACACCACTACAGACAAAGCTGAACGTCCTTGCAGAGTACATTGCGAAGCTTGGTCTAGCCGCTGGTTTGCTATTGTTCGTGGTGCTCTTCATCAAGTTCCTCGCCCAGCTGAAAGGTCTTGGAAACGCCGATCAGAAAGGTCAGGCTTTCCTGCAAATCTTCATTGTGGCCGTCACAGTCATTGTTGTTGCGGTTCCTGAGGGTCTGCCTCTTGCTGTGACACTCGCCCTTGCGTTTGCTACAACTAGGATGCTGAAGGATAACAACCTGGTCCGTCTGCTAAGAGCCTGCGAAACCATGGGAAATGCAACAACAATTTGCTCAGACAAGACGGGTACACTAACGGAGAACAAAATGACAGCTGTTGTTGCTACATTGGGTACCAGCACTAAGTTCGGAGGGAAATCCCAGGCCTCGTCGCCCGCTCCTGGGAATGAAGGCCGAGCAGCCGACTCTGAAAACGCACTGTCTCCATCTGAATTCGCCAACAGCCTGTCCCCCCCGGCGAAACAGCTGCTTCTAGACTCGATTGTGCTCAACTCAACTGCATTCGAAGGAGAACAGGAAGGGACTATGACTTTTATTGGCTCGAAAACTGAAACCGCTCTCTTGGGCTTCGCACGAACTTACCTTGGCCTAGGTTCACTCAGCGAGGCTCGGGATAATGCGAATGTAGCTCAAATGGTGCCATTCGATTCTGGCCGCAAATGCATGGCAGTCGTGATTAAGATGGACAACGGCAAGAAATACCGGATGCTCGTCAAAGGTGCATCGGAGGTCTTGTTGGCTAAGTCGACGAGGATCGTTCGCGATCCTACTCAGAATCTTGATGAAGGCCCGCTGGATGAGAAGGATCGATCGACCCTTGATGACACCATCAACCATTATGCCACTCAGTCCTTGCGAACTATCGGCCTGGTTTACCGTGATTTCACAGAATGGCCCCCGCGTGGAGCTCCTACACAGGAAGAAGACCGTTCACTCGCATCTTTCGACCACATCTTCAAGGATATGATCTTCTTCGGCGTTTTTGGCATTCAAGATCCGCTCCGAGCTGGAGTTACAGAGTCAGTCCACCAATGCCAACGTGCTGGAGTCTTCGTTCGCATGGTTACTGGTGACAACATTGTGACCGCGAAGGCAATTGCTCAAGAGTGTGGAATATTTACGCCTGGAGGTGTAGCAATCGAAGGGCCTAAGTTCCGAAAACTAAGCAGCCGCCAAATGACCCAAATTATCCCCCGGTTGCAAGTTCTCGCCCGCTCTAGCCCTGATGACAAGAAGATTCTGGTTACTCAACTCAAGAAGCTTGGCGAGACAGTTGCTGTTACGGGTGACGGCACAAACGATGCTCAGGCATTGAAGACAGCAGATGTTGGATTTTCAATGGGAATAACAGGTACCGAGGTGGCCAAAGAGGCGTCAGACATCATCCTCATGGATGATAACTTTGCTTCTATTGTCAAGGCTATGGCTTGGGGTAGAACTGTAAATGATGCTGTGAAGAAGTTCCTGCAGGTGAGTCTCATGTTAACCCTGTGGTAAGCTGCTTGCTAATAGGTATAGTTCCAAATCACCGTCAACATCACAGCGGTCCTCCTCACGTTTATCTCTGCGGTGGCCAGTGGTGATGAGGAGTCTGTGTTGACAGCAGTGCAGCTTTTGTGGGTCAACCTGATCATGGATACTTTTGCTGCTCTAGCTTTAGGTATGCTGCTCTGGACTATGTCTCACTCACACTTAACATATCTAACTGCGTTTTAGCAACCGACCCTCCCTCTCCTTATGTTCTTAATCGACGCCCTGAGCCGAAGTCCGCGCCGCTTATTACCTTGACCATGTGGAAAATGATCATTGGACAAAGCATCTACCAACTTGTCGTCACCCTGATATTGAACTTTGCTGGAAAGTCGATCCTGAAGTCTATCATTGACTTTTCAGATGAAGATGCGGACACCGCTCTTAAGACGGTAGTGTTTAACACGTTTGTCTGGATGCAAATCTTCAACCAGTGGAAGTAAGTGTAATACTTTTTACATTTAGCGAAAAGGGAGCCAAATCGCTAACATGTATCCAGCTCTCGTCGTCTAGACAGTGGCCTGAACATCTTCGAAGGCATTTTCCGCAACCGCTGGTTCATCGGCATCCAGTTCATTATTGTTGGTGGACAGATTTTGATCATCTTCGTTGGCGGACACGCCTTCTCTGTTACTGATCTCACAGGAGCTCAATGGGCAGTCTGCCTAATTCTTGGCGTGATCTCTCTCCCGGTTGCCGTTATCATTCGACTTATCCCAGATGAGTTCATCAGGAAACTTATTCCCACGTGGAGCCGCAAGAAGGGTCCGGAGCTCATTATATCTGACGAGGACCGGCGGTATGAGTGGAACCCCGCTCTCGAGGAAATCCGCCACCAGCTGAAATTTTTCAAGTCGCTCCGTGGAGGACGGATGAGGAACTTGGCGCACAAGCTCCAGCATCCAGAAGAGTTCTTGCCTCGGTCACGCAGTGGCTCAAGGTCCCGAGAGAACTCGGCTCCAGGTACCCCGGTTGCAGAGAGCAGTGAAGGTACTCCGCCGTTCCCTGCAACTCCCGATTCCCGGTCTCACAGACGCGCCCGTTCCCGCTCGAACTCGGCATTCGGTCCGGCGGCTGCAATGGCAGGCATAGTCGCAGGGAGTATTGCTGGATGGTCTCCGATTGAGAGAACAAACGGAGAGGGAGAGTCATTCAAATTCGACTTTAACGGCGGAAATGTCAGCAGACAACCGGGTATCGAGATCCATCCCGACACCGCTCCTGACGACAACGTCATCAATAACTATCTCTCTACATCGAACACCCCTCCGAGTCAGAACCCTGACCTGCTTCCTTTCTTCGAGCATGCACCTCCTGCCCGTGAGCCTTCTAGTCGCAGCAGACGATCCACATCTCGTCGGTCTCAATCTCGGTCTAGCCAGAGCCACAGTCACAGCAACAGTCAGAGTCAAAGTCAGAGCCAGTCTTAAACATACGCCGATCGACTTACCTTCTCTATACGTACCCCACTTTCAAAGGAGTTATTCCGTGTACGGCTGGACTTCTCATAACTCAACCGTTCCCTTCCTTCGATCCTTGTCTTCATCTCTCAAAAAGTATCATACTGGACGCTAACCATTTCTCGTCATACGCTTGCTAATATCCGCCTTCATTCTTTCGGAGCTTCTATTCTCCCAACACCAGTGTGTGTTTGGCGTCTGTGGGTGAACACATTTAATTGTACCACACCTCTTCCGTTCGTTGCTTCTGCCTGTCTGTCTTGCTTAGTGCGTCTGTTATTGTTTTGTAATAGAGAGCATAAAGGTTGGCGTTTGAATTTGAGCCCGGCGCTTTCGGACGGCTTGTATTTGCTTCTCGTTTTGTTCCTTTAGTCTACTTCTTCCGGGTCGACCTTCTTTGTATATATTTTACACCCCTCGGTTTATCTGATACCTCGTTGTCAGTTAGGTCGTTCCTTCTATTTTGAGGCTGTCCTAGGACAAATACAGACTTCAAACTGGATATATTTCGTGTCATAGTAGAAGCAGACGTAAAGCTTGAGCCGCCTACTTGGCAAAGTAGCCAACACCAGGAAACAATGCACACACTTTATATATCACTAAGAAATGATTCGAGTATTTCTCACCCCGTTGTACTTCCTTCAATAACTTTTGGAAGACCTTTCAACTACTGGTAGCTTCGCTTAGAGCCCATTGCCATTGAGCAACACCAGAAGCCCAGACTCGAAAAAGGCCACTGCATTGACATGTGATAAAAAGCTAAAAAAAGGGACTTATAACCACGGGCACGGGCACGGGCACGAAGGGTAAAAGCATAAATATACTCCAAGTCTGAGGGCCTACGTGACTTAATTATTTGGCCCTCTCATGAGCAGAATAAGCTCTTTTTAACATTGCATAGTTGCCCTTATGCACGCTTACTGTGACACAAGGGCTAACTAACTAAATCATAGATTAATCCAAGAAGGGCTAAGGTGCAGGTTGCGGCATGCTTGTTGATAGATCCGGAGTTCTTAGGGCAGCGCTTGATGCTAGCCGCTACCTATAGACTGAGATCGCAGGCTCCGTACCTTAATCGGAGAAGTCCCAAGAAGTCCCAAGAAACAAGTTGAGAGGAAGCGTGACTGAAGCCTACGTAACCGTCATGATGTAGTTGGTTAGGTTAGGCTACCTAGGGTCGAGAATTTATTGAGTTATAGACAACGGACAGTGTGGGCACATTCTCGGTAGAAACAGGGATTGTTCTAATTTGTCCGAAACTCACCGATGAGAGAAAAGCTTGGATAGACTGATTCCCCGAATCTTGGTTCCTTTTATTCTGCGGGTTGGGTTGCGAGGAAGTCAATCGGATGGACGGCTAAGTTCCGATACGTGGTGGTGAGTTTCTCCTGCATTCTCCGCTTCATTCCAGTGGTGTGGGGAGTGAATTATAATACGTCAGGTTGAGATCAAACAGAATGCTGCAGTGGATAATCGATTCCATTTTTGGTTTGATATCTGAGCGTTAAGGGGGTAGGAACGCGCTTAGCTTGCTCACTGTGCTGTGACTGACGACCCGGTATGATGAAGATGGTGGCCCAAGGCCTGCAAAGGGCGTGTCTGTGACGAAGAGACAGAAATGACGACATTCGGTGAGCGAATTGTCGAGCTTTTGTTATGCCCATGCGAGTAGGATCAACATATGCTTGATGCCGGCTTCTGGTTACACTGTTTCATTATCAGCACATCTTCTAAAGCAGAGCGGAGCGGCGATCATGTAGATAGCCTTGGAACTGTAGCACCCGCTTGTATCCTCCCTTCCCGGCTTGGAATGCTGCTGGTGACGCAAAGCTAGACTGATATCAAATAGCCAATTGCTTATTTCCCAAATATCTCCCAGGCTTCTCGACTCCCACACCCCTGGAGTTTCTTCTGCGCGACGAACATGAGTGATAGCCGGCGACTTTCTGTTGAATATATGGACTCGCCAGCGAGATGGAAACCGCTCTCCGAACGCCTTCCCTTCCTCTGGAAATTTTTCTGCCGTTCGGATTCCACTAGCATGCGTCTCGAGGTTGAAAAAAAACCTGAGTCCCACTCGCTGCAGAGTGTCACAGACGATGAAGCCGGGACGCATCCCGCCGAGAACCCCGTTTTGAAGTCGAGATATCAGCGATGGGCGGAGGGGGTCAAGGGCCTCGAGACCCGAGGGATTGAACAAGTGCCTTTCGAGGAGCGTCAGAGAGTCAGCACATCGGCTTCATTCAATATCTTCCTGACGTGGTTCAGTATGGGAATGGCACTCAACAATATGGTCGTCGGGACTCTTGGGACGGTTGTTATGCGACTAAGTTTCCTGGATGCCGCACTTTGTGCCTTTTTTGGGAACTTTCTGGGCTGCATCGCCATAGGATATATGTGTACCTGGGGCCCAAGAAGTGGGCATCGCACCCTTGTATGATTGATCCGTTACACCTGATTTGGCCATATGCGCTAGCATTGGTTTGCATAACCGCAGGACAGATGGGCTTACCTTTCATATTTCATCAGATTGTATCCCGGTACCTTGTGGGGTTCAACCCTAGCAAGATTTGCTGTTTCCTGAACGTGTTGACAAACCTGGGCTATGGTATGATGAGCTCAATGGTGGGAGGCCAGCTACTTTCCAAGCTCACCGGCGGTGCTGTTTCCGTGGTGGTTGGTATCATCATCGTCGCGCTGCTCAGTTTGGTCTTGGCAACTTTCGGAATGCACATCTTCCAGTACTATGAAAGGCAGGCTACACATCCACTCAGATTCAGGAAGAGTCATCCCTAACCATGTGTGAGCAGATTCGCATGGTTCCCACAATTGATGGTCTTCGCTATCCTTCTAGGGTCGGCAGGCCCCGAGTTCGATTTTGGTACTGTCTCCATTGGCTCAGCAGAGGAGGTCAATGGCAAACGGTTGGCATTCTTCTCACTCTGCCTTTCCAGTGCCCTATCCTGGGTTCCGGGAGCTGCTGACTACCACGTTTATTATTCGCCAAATACCGGGACCTGGAGAATATGGTCGGCGACCACTATGGGAGTGGGCCTCGCTATGACCATCACATTCATTCTTGGCGCCGGCCTTGGGACTGGCGTTGCTCATAATTCTGGTTGGGCAACCATATATGATGGTACCCCGGGCGGTTTGTTGATGGCCGGCTATGGCCGCCTTGGAGGGTTTGGCAGGTTCTGCGCGTTTATCAACGTACTAACAATCGTCTCCAACAACGCCCCCGGATCGTATTCCATGGCAATGAACTTTCAGATGCTTGGAGACTTTTGGTGCAAGGTGCCCCGCCCTGTCTTCACGAGCATCAGTACTCTCATATACACAGCGTGCGCCATTGGTGGCCGAGACTCTCTGTACGAGGTCTTCAAGAACCTGGTGCCCCTAATCGGCTATTGGATCATCATCTGGTTCACGATGTTGGTGGAATCAGATGTACTCTTCAACAGAGGTAAACAGTACGACTGGACTGCGTGGAATTGCCCTGAACGGCTACCGGTCGGATTCGCTGCCACGGCGGCTTTCTTTATTGGATGGGCTGGCGCTATTGTTGGCATGGTACGTACCTGCGCCGTACACTTCCTAGCAGCCGATTTTTGACGATCTCTCAAACAGGACCAAGTATATTATACCGGGCCAATCGCAGCGGCTATCGCGGGAGGTTGTGATCTGGGTATTTGGCTTGGCTTTGGTTTCACTGCTCTCGCCTTTCCACCGCTAAGAAAGCTTGAATTATCCATTCTGAAGCGTTGATTTGACTCACAGGTTGCTTGTCCAACGCGATCGAGTCTGCCTGGGGAATTCCATCTGTGCATATAGGATGCCCTGACCCGGGGAAAAGCTCTTGGGAGGCAGATTTGAGGAATAGTACGAGCAACCTCGGAGCGGGTTATCTCTCATCGTGGAAAGAAACACGCAGTAAGACGCATCCTTGGTTGCGGAAATTCGGCGCCGAGCAGCCAGGACGGGTTGTTCAGAAGAGCATCTGATGATATCGGTTGGCAATCACCATATGCTGCAAGGCGCTCCCAAGATACTGGCTGTGTTAGATAGCTGAGTTTTGGAGCGAATGGGGAACGAGGGATTGAAGAGAGGCTGCTGTTTCGTGAAACAGAGCTACCCCACCCACCAGTGGTTTCAAAGCATTTAGGTTAATTCAAGGGAATTGGCCCGAAGACCTCTCAAGATCACAGCGAATCAAACTGAATTTTTTCAAATCCAAAGGATGAAGGATGAGGAGAAGCCAAGGGAAGCCGAGGTAAGCGAAGGAAAGACGGAGAATGAAAGCGCGGCGTTTGCTTGAGGGGCTCGGCCGCCTGACTCGAAAGTGCTTACTCTGCTCCAAAGTTTGGATCCTTCAAGGGGCGATCTGGAGAGTGTGGGGAACTCACACCAGAGTCCAATATAAACGGCCACAATCCAGATCTCAACCCAAATTCTCCGATTCTCTTTTATGAGGTTGCCGTGATAGTTATTTCGTATCGCGCGTCGCAAACATGGCGTCGTCTCCGGCGGAACTGCCAAAAGCACTGTCCAAAGCCCTCGCCACCATTCTGAAGGATGTCTCCCCTCAACAGCTCCTCAGATTTGTGCTTCCGTTGGTCGCCGCATACCCTGTTCTCGTTTCTCTCCTTCGCTTTCGCCGTGTAAAGCAAATCCACAAGAAATACAACTATCCAACACGCGAATCTTTTGCGCGAATGACTGATGAAGATGCGTTCCAAATCCAAAAGAATCTAGTGCAGTTCGAGTTTCCCTTCTTTTTCACCAAGGCCTTGCAGTTTGCGCTTTTCAGAGTATGCTTCATTCTTCTGGTTATTGAGAGGCTACCTCTAACCTGGCCGATCTAGACATATGGGATTCCCACCGTCTCCAAAGTTTTGACGAAAACAACACAATTTTCCGCTCCGGAAACTTCCCTAAAGCGCTACTCAGATACTGTTGTCTTGGTGCAGGAGTTTGTTGGACAGTCCCCGACCGCTGCACGCAGTCATGCAGCTATTGCGCGCACCCGGTTCGTCCACAGCGGTTACCGTGGGTCAGGCACGATTCTCGAGAGTGACATGCTATACACACTTGGGCTTTTCGCTGTCCAACCAGTCAGATTCATCAACAAATACGAATGGCGTGAGCTTACCGATATGGAGAAGTGCGCCATTGGCACTTTCTGGAAGAGCTTGGGCGATGGTCTCAACATCAGCTATGATGAGTTGCCTTCTGGAAAGAGTGGATTCCGCGATGGACTTCATTGGCTTGAAGAGATTATGGCTTGGAGTGATGCCTACGAAGAAAAGTGCATGCTACCGCACGTCAAGAACCGCGAGGTCGCCGATGGAACTACGGAGGTCCTGCTTTACTCAATACCAAAGGCATTTCACCCTATTGGTCTGAATTTCGTGTCCTTTATGATGGATGATCGCCTGCGCAAGGCCATGTTGTAAGCACAGCTCCAAGTTGTGCAAATCTAGCCGCTCTATACTAACAACTGAGCAGGTACGAAGCGCCGCCAGCATCATATGCCAAGCTCTTCTCGTTCCTATTGTCCTCTCGCCGATTCGTCATGCGCTACCTCACGTTACCTCGCCCATATTTCATGCGTTATTCAACCTTTACTGAACGTCAGACCGTAGACGAGCAGATCTTTGCCACTCAGTGGGACGCCGCACCTTATTATGTCAAACCGACCATTTGGAATCGTTGGGGGCCAGCAGCTTGGTATACCTGGGCTCTCGGGCGCCCGCTTCCTGGAGACCAGGGCGACAAGTACTATCCAAACGGCTACAACATTGCAAACGTTGGGCCTAAGCACTTCGAGGGCATGGGACGAAAGTCTCAGCAAGAAGCAGTAGAAGGATTGAAGATTACCCGGACTGGAGGGTGTCCATTTGCCTAGAGCGATGCTTGGATCCTATCGATGAGCCTATTTATCCATGAATTTGCGCCTTTCATACGGTACAGCGACATGATTTGACAACGTTAACTATATACTTAAATTGAATAAATGACATATACATGATCTTTGTCAGCCATGCCCTCCATTCCAGCTGCTCTCTTCTTAAGACTCGACAACATAGGAGGCTCGACCTCTAAGGATAGGTAGGTAGGTACTGTTCGAAAGGGACCGTTCGACAACCTTATACTAAGAACCTCGATCGTTCCGAACCTCCTTGTCTTCACCAAGCATCCTCTTACCATTGTTGCATCCCTTACGGCAGCAGCTCAGCTTAAGAATAAGATCGCTGTCGTTTCTCTAAAGATCTACTTATAAACTGTGACACCATGTAGGGAGGAAGATATCCTGCAGGCCCTTTATTTAACCTCCACCTCGCGAACCGCCTCCATAACCTGTTTTCACCTCTACGAGTATTACTCGAATCAGTCGCATAAGAGCCCTGTTTGACCTTCCGTTCAAACCATGTAAAGCCTGCGCTTGACCCTCCGATAATCCGAAGACCTTTCAATAAACACCTTAAGCCTATAGCATCTCCGTGACCTCGAGATCCTCGCTGTGGTGGGGTAGATCTCAAAGTATTCTCCCGCTTGAAAGACCTTCTATTATGTATGATCCTCGCTGCGGAGGGGGCTCAGGTTCTTGCATATTTCCTCTTTGGGCAGGTGGTAGGGGGTAGGTACTAGGTACTAACTAGATTGCTAGGGTAGAAGGGGTTGTGCGTGTATCCTCTTCCTGGTCTCGACTCGGGACCACGAGCCTCGATGCGGCTTTAGTGGGCTTACGGCCATTGTTCGACTCCGTCTCTCGAATGGTTCGTGGGATCGTTTTAGGGAGGGAGCAAAGGAGCGCTCGACGTACCTCAATCAAACCTCATCTCTCGCTTGTGTCCTTCAACTATCCTCTTACCTTGATTGCAGGACTACGGGATAGCTTCATTGAAATTTCTACATTACGGTTGCTGCATTTGTGTCTCTCTAGCATCACTGCCAGGTGGACACCTCACCTGCATCGACTGGGTATTGCCGAAAAAGGCATCAAGGCTGCCGTCGGAGTGGCTTACGTAACTGTGGCATCAGACCTCTCTAGCTCGCTCCCCGCAACCATTGCTTCTACCCGCCGTGTGTTGCGTCAACTGCGGCTTTTCATTCATAACTCTCTGTATTTTACCCTCATATTTCTCGTCTACAATCCATTCGCCATGGCGCTCCACGAGCCAAACAACAGCGACGCGACCAACTCCCCGCCACCCTTTAGCAACTTCCCGCAAGACCCATCCGAATTCGACAGCGATCCCCGAATCTCCTTCTCAAAGCTAGACAACAAGTTCATCCTAGAGACCGAAGATGGCCAGGAATATAGCTACGATACGATATTAAAACGATGGATTCCGACGGTGTGTCCGCGCCTTCTCATCAGCTGATGTTGCCCGGCAGCATGCTGTTCTCCCCTTTCTCCGTTCCTCCTGCTTTACATTATTTTTTTCTTGCTTTCTCTGTCGGAGAATCCCACCGCGAGTTGATGGACCTGTTTTCCCTTGCAATTGAGCTCGAAAGGCTAAGTCTGCATGGATTCTGGGTGGTTCGTGAAACTGATTACTGGTCGGCGCCGCTTTTGCGCCTGTGGTTGTCCTCCAGGTCGATGAAGACTTGCTGCAGAAACAGCAAGAAGCCTATAGAGTCCAGGGTGTGGATGAAGATGAGAAAGCCAATGCGCAACAATTTAAGAAGAAGCGGAAGCAAGGAGAAGAGGTTAGTATTCTCTCTATCCATGTGAGAGGTAAAAAGCTAAGGTGGGCCAATCGCTAGGGCGAGTCGCAAAAGCAGAAGAAGCAGCGTGTCAATACTGCGGTCTATGTAACGTCTATTCCCCTCGATGCGCAATTCGACGAGATCCGAGAGATGTTTTCGCGGTGTGGAGTCATTGCGGAAGAGATTGATAGCGGGCGGCCGCGCATCAAAATGTATACAGATGACGATGGGAAGTTCAAAGGCGAAGCTCTAGTCGTGTACTTCCGGCCGGAGTCAGTTAATCTGGCAATCCAAATGCTTGATGATTCCGACTTTAGGTTAGGTGAGACAGGGCCACAGGGGCCGATGCGCGTCCAGGCTGCAGACTTCTCCTTCAAGAGCCAACAAGAGGCGCCGACAAAGACGAGCATGAGGGATAAGAAGAAGATTATTAAAAGGACTCAGAAGCTGAACAAGTACGCAAGTCATCGCTCGTTTATCTGGCGCCTACTGACCAAGACAGTAAACTCACGGATTGGGATGACGACGATCCAGCTGCGCTGGTGGATACGAACTCACGGTTTGAGAAAGTTGTGGTTCTCAAGCACATGTTTACGCTTAAAGAGTTGGATGTAAGCTTAAATCCCCGCTTATTCTGGTTCGCCAGCTGACAGTCACAGGACGACCCAGCAGCTATCCTTGACATTAAGGAAGATATTCGCGATGAGTGCTCTAAGCTAGGCGAGGTCACAAACGTCGTTCTCTACGACAAAGAGCCGGAGGGCATAGTCAGCGTTCGATTCACAGACCCCGAAGCAGCCCGGAATTGCGTCAAGGTAAGTGCCTGCTGGACCTAAGATGCGCGAGTCCACAATGCTGACATGGTCTATAGCTTATGAATGGACGTTTCTTCGGTGGGACTGCAGTTGTGGCGTACATCTCAGACGGAAGCGAGCGGAAGCGCTTCCGCAAGACGAATGAAAAGCGTGCAGCCCTTGAAGATTTGGCCGAGAATGGTCTTGATGCTGAGGATGATGATGAGCAGCAACGACTCGACGAGTTTGGTACATGGTTGGAAAGCTCAAATGTGGTGGAGAATACGGCGAAGTGAGGATGAATCGTGCTCCTCGTTCCTTCCACCTGTACATTAGCTGCTTTCAAAGCACTTTCGGTATATCGCATTGATGTCTTTACAATCAGGCCTCAGGCGCAGTTATCCCACTCATACTACTCTATTGGCCCCGGCTTCCCAATGAAAACCTCTTTCGGCCAGTATAAACAATTTCATAGAGCTCCCATCTATCCACCTCTATTCTAAACTCAACAATCTCCTGATCACCACAAATAACAGGCAGCAATCTAAACGCAATCCCGTCCTCAAAAACGTTGAGAACGAAACTAGGCCAGCCTGTCCTGATCTCGAATCGAGAACCGGTGGCGTAGATCAATCAGCCAGGGACCTGGCGCCATAATCACATGTAAAGCCCACTGGCACCACAGCAGCGCCACAAAGCAGTCTAAGCGATTACTCACAACACAAGTAGATCTACTTTTCGTGGGTACCTAGCGCCCGATCTAGGAACGGGATCACAATCAGGCCATTCTCCCTGCCCTGGAAGCTTCGAGTTGAGGCGAGTCCAGCCACATTGTTGGGTGGGTTGAATATGGAGGGTGTACATGTGACGAATGCTGTCGATCACAGCCCCAGCTTAGCTTGTCAATACCCTACAACGGGCCTACTAGTACCTAGATAAGATGTATTAGGCTATTGAGCGGACTAACCTTGTATAGAAATGTATGCGATGCTATATCACATGTAGATAATACATACATTGTGTCATTGGGGTTACGACGAGTTGGTGGAAGATCGAGTAGGTATCCGCGTTTCTCTATACTTCCTGTGTTGAGGATGAATCATTCGAGGACTCATGATGAAGTTTTGCTTGTGATTGAGATGTGGATTGGAGTATATAAGGACGTAGGGTGCGACGACGTTGGACGGATAGCTACATCTTTCTCCATTCATTTCTATAACTCAGCGAACACCTCTCGCAAGGATCTTTGGATTGATATCAACTTTACCTTCACAAGAACACCTAGTCCAGATGGCCCAGTGCAAAGCCCCTGAACAACCTATACCCATACCCGCGACTTCAATGGCGGACTTGAAGATTCAGAGTCCAGATGCTCGTCCGGCGTCTCGCCCTTCGATGCAGGATTTGAATGGGACCTGGGTGCTTGTATGTTTCCTCTCCAATCTTCTCATCAGCTAGCACTGGGAGGATATAACGCATATATCATGCGCGGTGGAGAGGGAAATGAGATACTAACGCAGCGCCCCGGGCAGGAAACACATCTCTCATCCAACATACCGCTGCTTCTAAAGCTGGTACTTCCTACCCATCCCCCTGTTTCCTCCAATATCCGTCAGATCCAAAGCACAGGACCAAGCTAAGTGGAGCTCCCGCAGCAAAAAATCCCCTTCCTGATCCGCCACGCGATAACTTCCTCCCCAGTCCACCTCATCCTCACGCAATACACCGAGACAAACGCCAAAGGCCAGAACCAGACGCATTTGGACCTCGTGCAGCGCACGGCGGGGAGCTTGACTCTCCCCGTGATTCAGGACAAGAGGGTGCTCGACTGGATAGAGAGGGAGCACGAGGATTTTGTGTTTGGAAAGGTGTTGACGAGGAGTGTGTTTGTTCGTGGGAATGTCTCGGACAAGGGGGTTGCGAAGCCGGATTTCGAGGTTAAAGTGCATGTTAAGGACGGGCAAGAGGTGATAGAGAGGTTTTTGAGGGGTGAGATTGACGTTGATGGGAGTGAGACGGGGGAGTTTTTGGTTGAGGGAGAGGTTGGAAATGGGGTTGACGAGGAAAGGAAAGGGTTATGGGTGCATACTCTGGAAATCAACGAGAAGTCGGCTTGGACTGCTGAGACGGTGTGTACCTCTTTTCTTTCTCTGGTATCGGCTGACGATTTCTCTGTGTTGATAATTGCTGACAATGGTCTCCTGCTAGGTCTGGGGATTTGAGATGGTGAAGGGGGAGAGGTATTTGACCTCTCGGGTTGTTGTTGTAAATGGGAAGGGGAAGTATCAACTGGGACGAATGGTTTTCAGATTCCTGAGCAGGGAGGTTTGATGGCGTTTTCCACTAATTAACTTATTGATTGGATGCATGGTAGAAAACGTAATTCCCGGCCAATCCGGCCACCCACCAAAATATGATCGCACCCATCAAACTTGAAGCTATTCCCAACAACGCAATTATTTATTAAATTAAGTCGCTGGACAATTAGGCCATCTTTGTTCTAATATAGCCTGATCATGAATATCTCCCTTATACGCTGTGGGTGGTGGTGGTGGTGGTGGCTTGGAGCATGCTTGGAATTGGCATCTTATATGACGAATGGCCCATTCATAGACTTGAAACGATGATATTCGATCCTATGGTAGCCGGCGAAGTGACACAGAAGGTGGAGGAGCACTTACAGCCATGTAGGTTGTGTATCACATGACTGATATACTGCCTAAGGCACCAACAATCGACGACCAAACGCGGAGACCGCAACATCTTCGTCGGCGATGCATTGCCTACCGACCTGATGTAGGGCCGTCAACCTTCACCATGAGCCAGTTCGCCAACGTCCAAGTAAATGTTTTTTATTTTCTTCACCCTGCACACTCGTCCGGTCGCTGTTCAGCTTTTCAGGTCGTTGGAGTCTGCGGCAATATCTGTTCTAAGAAGAGATGCTCTATCCGATGCCGATGAAACCCTTTGGGACTTGAACACCGGCCTTTTGAGACATAATGTACTTACGAATATTCATCAGGAGCGTCAGAACGCCGCGGTGTCTCAGCAGACCATAGGTCCCTAGACGGTGGGGAGGGCTACCACCTTTGGCGATGGAGAAGCTGGTTGGGTTCATTGTCACATTAAATGAGAACTAAGATAAACTAGCCAAAAAGGAGAAGAGCTTTTGACCATCCAGCTCAAGATCCTTGTCATTCTAATTTACATTTTTCGTGCTGCAGTGATTCACAAAAGTTTCCTCTGGATCAAGGTTTTTCCTATGTTACTATTCGCTTCTTGAATCAACATATTCCATCTGTAACCCAACACCAGCATTTCTGAAGGATTGAGCGTGAAAATGGCGGCCTGGTACAGGAACATGTAGGGAAACGTCTATATACATTTAAAGGGCTCCTGACAAGAAGGGTATTTGGTGCATCACTACTACTTGCGTGTTGATGGAGCTACGAGCGATACAAGATTACAAAGTCGCAAATAATGAAACGCAATGATCAGGCTTTGATAGTTATGAGGTGCAGAATATCCAGAGGTCACAATCAATGGCTGCCAAATCTATTAGTACAAGTGCTCTGGTAAATGTTTGGTCGATTATTATATCCGTCCGATTATAATATCCCTCCGAAGGAGTGGGGAAAGCCTTTTCCTTATATTACAACTCGACCACGACCTTTTGGCAGCAACAAATCTCACACGGCTAAACCTACATACGCCCCAGCCAGACTTCTGACTAAACATAGAATGTCCGAACTTATCCAGACCACTGAGATGAGACCCGGCGGCTCAGGGTCCGAAAAGAAACAGGGCCATGGAAACATTCGCAGCGTTCTTATATCTGCTTCGATTATTCTTTGTCAGCTAGTGCAGGTGATTCGCACACTTTCGTATGCGCCCTTGAAGTTTGTTGCTGATACCAGATAGATGGTCCCGTACGGAGCCGGCATCAATGCATGCTTTGACATTGCAGAGGATATTGGCGCGACACCACACCAGGCAACGTGGATTGTAGCATCCTACCCGTAAGTTCTGCATTCACTTCCCAATACATTTGTCTAATCAGGTTTTTATTGGGTATAGATTAACGCAAGGCGCATTCATTCTCATGGGTGGTCGTGTTGGTGCCATTTGCGGACACAAGAATACCGTCGTCGCCGCTGGTGGGTGGTGGGTGATATTCCACCTCATATCCGGATTCATGAGAAACATGATTTCACTGTCCGTAATGGGAGCCCTAAGCGGCATCGGCGGTGCATTCATGATGCCGAATGCCATCGCCCTACTGACGATCACCTTCCCCCCTGGAAAGATGCGGAATATCTCAGTTGGATTGTTTGGGGCAATGGCTCCCATAGGAGCCGCGGGAGGAAGTGTAATTCCGGGCTTCTTTGGGCAACTGACGCATTGGAAGTGGTTGTTTTTCTTTTTGTGAGTGGCATCGGTCTATCTTACGGATGCGGTTGCTGACATGCGATTAGGGCTATTCTGGGAACCCTGGGGTTCGCGTTATTCGCCTTCATTGTCCCCGGCGAACCAGAGCCCTTCGACAAAGGAGGGCGCATGGACTATATCGGGGCCTACTTTGGAGTTGCCGGCCTCATTCTATTCAACTTTGTTTGGAAGTGAGTACTTCATACCTATTCTTTTGCACCCAGTTTAGCCCCGGGCTAACAGAGCCATAGTCAAGCACCTATTGTAGGCTGGGACGAGCCCTATGAATACATCATCTTAATAATTGCCCTACTGCACATCGCCGCAGTGGAATCTGGGAATTCAAATTCGCAAAAAACCCCATCCTACCTTTCAACATCTGGGGTGCACCTTCCTTCGGCCTCATGACACTATCCACTTTCCTAGCTTTCATGAGCGTCGGAATCGTACTGTGGTATATGAGCGCCTGGAACTTGACAATCAGAGACTTCTCTCTCTTCCTCAACGGCGCCAGCTACGCAACCCTCGCCGTTTTCGGCACCGGGGCAGCGATCATAAGCGCAAAACTCGTCCGGCACTTACCCGCGCAGTTTACCCTTGCAATCGGATCGCTGTCCTCGTGTGCAGCGAACATCCTAATCGCGACGATGCCCGCGCGGCAGAGCTACTGGGCGCAGGTATTCCCCGCGATGATATTCACGGCCTTCGGGCCGGATTTCCTCTTTACAGCGGCGCAGATTATCGCGAGTAATACGGTCAAAAGACAACAGCAAGGGATTGCCGGGTCGCTGATTGGGACGCTGTTGTCGTATGGGCTGAGTACGGGGTTGGGGTTTGCGGGGACGGTGGAGGCGTATACGAATAGGCATGGGCAGGATCTGGTGAGGGGGTATCGACATGGCTTGTATCTTGGAATAGGGTTCGCTGCGTGTGCGGTGCTCCTGGCGCTTTTTTTTGTCAGGATTCCGAGGGAGAGGAAGGAGGGGTGGGGAGAGGAGGATGAGGAGGATGGGGGTCATGTTCTATCTACGGTGTAAGTTGTGTTATATGTAGATTAACTTTAACAAACATGGACGGGAAAATCATAGTATTTCCTGTTGACCTGCTATGTAGCTAAAAAGCACGCTTCAGAGATATAACATGTGCAACCTCTATTCAAGATCTAAATAACAGGAATCTAGGGCTATATGAGTACAAAAACAAAAACTGCGTGAAATTTGTCAAAAAATCGGCCAAGAATTCTGAAATTTAGCCTCGGTGGGTACTTCAGATTAACTGATTAGTGATACAAGAATTTGTCAGACAGCACGACAAAGCTGACACACCCAGCGATCCAGAGAAGAGTGCTTATAGCTCCTTCTTTCCTCTGCTGCTTACTTCACAGTGCCAGTAATCCAAGCTGGTAAACCACGTCTCCAGCAGCAGACCAAAGCGGGGCCGTCCTCGAAAAACATCAGCCGATGAGGGTGAGCTAGTTCAGGTAAGCTAACCCAAACTATCCTCTCCATCTCTCCCCCTGTCAAAATACACTCTAGGACGACCTCACATGAGATGCTAGGCCCGACGGGCAAGAATGCGCCGGGCACAGGAGGAGTTCCGTACTCGCCAAAAGGCCGCCCACGACGCGGAAAGGGACCTGTTGACCAAACGGGAAGCAGCAATCGGCTCGATGACTTCTGCATTCGTGGATTTTGTTGACTTCCTTGTGCGCTCACGATCTTACCAGATGGATCGGAATCTGATGCGCAAGTTGCACGAGACCATTCGGCGATTCATGGTTGCGAATGATCATGAACAGCGTGCAGATGGGCGAGCCTCGACAACCATGCACTCGGAAACGACGGCTGACCGGCAACCCCTTGAAGCCAGTGGACATGAAGACTATACGAGTGGTACAGATATGCTGTCGGATTCGACTCTTCCTGGTGAACCCAACATACTTGATTATACATTGGGCAACGGCTGGCCAGACCACTACCCCGTGTCCTACACCATGCTCGACGAGCGTTTGAAGCCTCGTGTGCATGATGCTTCGCCATTCGTTCGTAGACTGATATATCACACTATCAACTTTGGCTTTCAATTGTTAAATGGTGGTGCCGAGTATCCACTGGAACTCGCAGAGCGCGTCTTCAAGTTTTCATTACTGTTCCATAGTCGCCAGGAGCTTTTGTTCAACCTTCGATGGTTCCTTGGACCGGGGAGCCAGGAGCTCGTTCGACTAGCCTTTGTACCGTTTGAGGGATCCCCGACACCGGCTACGGAGGATTCGGCCAACACTACCTCTCTTGTACCAGGTGTTGATGCATACGCGGTGAATGCGATGAGGATAAATGCGTTCGACAACGCTGCCGCGGCCCCGTTTGTAAATGCTCAAGAAGTTGAACTGTATTTACACGAGAAGGGCGCGCATTTCCTGGACGGCGACACGATCGAAGTTCCTCTTCCCGAGAGCCCTCCCACAACCGACGAAATCCTGCAACCGAGCACCTTCACGTATCACGGTCAGACGGAACAAATTTGCGCCTATGATAACCTGAAATACCGTCTTCGTACTTCGTTGCTGATTGAAAACCTGATGTATATATCGGTCTGTCTATCAAAAGGTCCTGCATATCGTCGACACGATCTCGATCATGCTATATTTCTATCAACCATAGATATGGTTTCCAAAACCCCTGGCCCTCCAGAATATGGAACGATACCCTGGGCAGGAGTGCTGTAGAATGGACCATCAGGGTCACAGACGCGACGGGGATGGGCATGTAATTATTGATATAGCCGCGTTGCTCAGGCGTGGTAACTTCCTTTTGTCGGGAAGCGAAGGTTCACAGTCAGCTTCATCGAGTTTATGAATAAGGCGCCGTCCCAGCCTTGATAGAATGCGCGTAGGGACAATCACTGGTTCATGTGGATACTGAGCATCGTATATAGATTAAGGGGAAATGAATTGCCAACTGAAGAAGCAAAATAGAACTTACCTATCAATCTAACTCCCTGTCTACAAATGTATGCAGCCGAGCATACAGGAAAAGGGCCAGGGAGTGCCCAGAATGACGGCCCGCCCATGTAATTAGGAGGTACGGCCTGTGAGTAGCGGCAGGATTGAGATACTGTCAGCCGAGATGACCGTATATTGGAGATAAGGTATTTGACTAGAGAGTCGTCCACACAAACGGGTCGGCCACGGCTTGCCCGATTCCTGCCCGTGGGGTAAATATTCTAGGTCAGAGTCCAGACCGCAGGGTGAGCGGACTCTGCTTGGCGAAGCTATAAGCCTTGCACAGGAAGGGCGAGACCGCGGCTGCCTCAGGCGCGCACCTGGGTCGGCCTTGGTCGGTGTACTACATACAAGGTCTAGCAATAAGGTAGAACGTGATCTGCTCTTTAAGCTTCCGCACGTACCGTCCCAGGGTCCTGGCTCTATTATTCTGAAGCGGGGACGATCATGTATACTGCGTACATATATCTCATCGTCATTTGGAGAGCTTCAAAACAGGTGCGTTTTGATGCCCACAAGGTGCTGGCTCCGGAAACGGTGCAAGATCAGGGATCGCCGCCACTGCATGGTTGCTGAAAGCAAAAAGGAGGCCGAGCCCTGGATAAACTGGAATCAAAATCTAGCGCCCGGGTACACTAATATCACATCTACCAATGCCATTCTCGAGGTTTGACTAGGAAGGGCCCTCTTCAGCTATCAGTAGGGAATGAACATGGTCTTACGAATAAAGTCCTGAGGAGTAAGCGCCATAGAAGAAGACCTCGTCTTGTAGGCGACTGTTTGCAGGACAGTGGTGTTGAGTTGGCCGAAAATTGGCTTGGTATCTTTGTAGTTAGTCTAGAATTTGGCCTGCGGGCTAACGAAGCACCTTTTTTGGGGCATGTTTGGCAAAGAAGCCTTGCTGGTATTCCACAACTTTGTTGGACTATTAGGCAAACACGCAAGTAGAGGATGGCCAATGCTATGGCTAAGCAGTTGCTGCATCATGAATTTTTCATATCGCCAGTTGCATGGTGGAGGCCCGAGTCTGGTTCGCGTGAAGTGGGTTGATTTGTGGTTCGTTCCTGATGGTGGAGATCCCGTGACCGGACCTGGCGCTGGCCCCTTTTTGCTGTTTGTTGATCTTTTCTGAGAGTCTGCTAGTGTTCGCTGGCCTCGCCTTCACCGCTCAACCAGCAAACCCCAACCCAACTTTCCTTCTCTCCTGATCTCGCTCCTCTCCTCTCCTTCTCCCCTCCACGATTCCCGGCTGTTCCCCAGTCTCCTTCATCCACTTCAATTCCGATTACTCCTGCATATATCCTTTTTTAATCCTTCAACCTTTCCCCCGCCTTCACAATGCGTGAGATCGTACGCTAACCCCTCTTATTTTGACGCGTCTTGAGGGGTCCTCTTACCCATTAGGGGGCAACAGGGACCCCACTAGTTCTACATGCCATGAGATTGACCTTGCTAACCGTTGTTTTCGTCGTAACAGGTTCACCTCCAGACCGGTCAATGCGTAAGTGACGACGTGTTAGCGATTTAGGTACGACGGGAATACAAACTGACCTTGGTGATGGGTGATAACAGGGTAACCAAATCGGTGCTGCTTTCTGGTATGTCGAAAATTTTCGGCCAACAGTTGTTTGCTTCCGCGTTGTATCGGTGCTGACACGGTTCTAGGCAAACCATCTCTGGTGAACACGGCCTCGATGGCTCTGGTGTGTGAGTGCACCCTCTCTTGGACGCCGACGGAAAACACAACGGAACAGAAACCTGATGGGAAGCAGTTACAATGGCACCTCCGACCTCCAGCTCGAGCGTATGAACGTCTACTTCAACGAGGTCAGTGTTGCGGATATAAAACAAATGGCTTGGTTGTGTGTCTAACTTTGTCCAGGCCAGCGGCAACAAGTACGTTCCCCGTGCCGTCCTCGTCGATCTCGAGCCCGGCACCATGGACGCCGTCCGCGCCGGTCCCTTCGGCCAGCTCTTCCGCCCCGACAACTTCGTCTTCGGCCAGTCCGGTGCTGGTAACAACTGGGCCAAGGGTCACTACACTGAGGGTGCCGAACTTGTCGACAACGTTGTTGATGTCGTCCGTCGTGAGGCTGAGGCTTGCGACTGCCTCCAAGGTTTCCAGATCACTCACTCCCTCGGTGGTGGTACCGGTGCCGGTATGGGTACGCTCCTCATCTCCAAGATCCGTGAGGAGTTCCCCGATCGCATGATGGCCACCTTCTCCGTCGTTCCCTCCCCTAAGGTCTCCGACACCGTTGTTGAGCCTTACAACGCCACCCTCTCCGTTCACCAGCTTGTTGAGCACTCCGACGAGACCTTCTGTATCGACAACGAGGTACGTTCCAGAAGCCTGGGATAGTTTACGTGTTCTGACTTGCCTAGGCTCTCTACGACATTTGCATGCGCACCCTCAAGCTCAACAACCCCTCCTACGGTGACCTGAACCACCTCGTCTCCGCCGTCATGTCCGGTGTCACCACCTGCCTTCGTTTCCCTGGTCAGCTTAACTCTGACCTGCGCAAGTTGGCTGTCAACATGGTTCCCTTCCCTCGTCTGCACTTCTTCATGGTCGGCTTCGCTCCTCTGACCAGCCGTGGCGCCTACTCTTTCCGTGCCGTCTCCGTTCCCGAGTTGACCCAGCAGATGTTCGACCCCAAGAACATGATGGCTGCTTCTGACTTCCGCAACGGCCGTTACCTCACCTGCTCTGCCATCTTGTATGTATCTCTGCATTTGTGTGCCTGTACTGTTAACTGACATATTCCAGCCGTGGCCGTGTCTCCATGAAGGAAGTTGAGGACCAGATGCGCAACATCCAGAGCAAGAACCAGTCCTACTTCGTCGAGTGGATTCCCAACAACATCCAGACCGCCCTCTGCTCCATTCCTCCCCGTGGCCTTAAGATGTCCTCCACTTTCATCGGAAACTCCACCTCCATCCAGGAGCTCTTCAAGCGTGTTGGTGACCAGTTCACTGCTATGTTCCGTCGCAAGGCTTTCTTGCATTGGTACACTGGTGAGGGTATGGACGAGATGGAGTTCACTGAGGCTGAGAGCAACATGAACGATCTCGTCTCCGAGTACCAGCAGTACCAGGACGCCTCCATCTCCGAGGGTGAGGAGGAGTAGTAAGTGTCTCCGACAAATTCTTGTTATACACGAGCTAACGAATTTATAGCGGTGTCGAGGAGGAGCTCATCGAGGGTGAGGAATGAACTTTTGTTCCGTAGTGGCGAATTGAGACCTGCTCACAGTAATACCCTTGATAAACCTACGCGGACTTCTAGTTTCCTCCGTATGGGTGTTTGTCAGTCAAATGTTTTGGTTTGAGCGCTCTTGAATCCTCTGTTTCTAATTCTTGTGGCCGAAAGGCTCGAAACGAATAGCACATACTTATCTTGAAAAGCAATTCAGCCATACAAGTGCTATCCTTTCCGCCCTAACTTCTCTGAACTTTGTAGAGATTCTGTCTAGTCTGATTATCACCTCCCTTTGCGTAGCTATGCTTTGCTAGTCATAAGTGGCTTCACCCCTCATCACTTTGTACATCAGACTATTCGATGCAAGCAGAGTCAAAATTAGGATTCCCATCGCAAAATGCCCGCGGCGAGTCACTTCTCCACGCAGAATTTTGTAACCCTCCGACCTGCATCCGAACTCTGTGAGACGCACTAACAGTTCTCACCAACACGATGAGTCAAAAGACTAAATAGACTAATCAGATCCAAATGATAGAAATAAGACCAACGTAGGCTCATCTCAAGTCAGCGGAGTCTAAAGAACTCTATACAATATCGGGCCAACTGAATCCACCTGATCACACCATGAGGAGCTTCATACATTTGTATTGCTCTGTACGCAGTGATTGTTGTCTACCAGAATAATTGATAGTACGCCTGTGTGTGTACCTATTTAGAAGTATAAGATTCAGAACTAGTGTGCAGACAAGTAACTAAGTTAAAGCAGGGGTATCCCCGACATTCAAGGAAACGTTCGAACACAGTTCGTTGACAGAGAGATGCGAAAGGTTGCAATAGTGGTTAAGCGGTATTGTCCGCAGGACATGGGTAGGACACGGACAGCTTAAGGCAAGGTAGGAGGTAGGTGAGTATCGAAGATTATAGTAGAATTAAGTAGGATATAAAACGAGAGCTCAGAGAATGGAAAACGAGGAAGAGGGAAAAGCAGTCCGTGTCCTATATATACAACCCTGGACGGACAAACAGACAGCGTAACCCTGCGCCCTGCAATACACATGAAGATAAGGAAATTGATATCATATCATCACTATAAACAAAGAAAGAGAGAGGTGGATAGGTATAGATAGATGAATAAGAAGCGTCAAACAGGCAGGCAGATTGTGGAAACACTCGCGCTGTGATGCTGTCCTATTCTGTCCATCTTATATCGCTCGCAACCTCGAGTGGTAGGTTCATTATTTACGCCTTGAGTTCCGTGGAGGGGTCAACGGCGCCTGGGGGAGTAGTGCTGCGCTTGGAGGCACCGTCGATTTGCTCCGTGGTGGCGTTGATGACGTCGCGGGTAAGTTCGACATAGTCATACTGTGAGAGGCTAGTTAGTATTATGGCTTCTTGTTTTGGTAGGATTGTGGGTTGGAACATACAGCGAACTCGCCAATCTCGGCGTCGTCAATACCAAGAATCTCGTCCTCCTCTGAGGCGCGCAGGCTTAGGCCGGGGATCATGTTGATGATGAAAAGAATAAGGCAGCTTCCGAAGAAGGAATAGGCCATTCCAGAGACAGAGTCGGCGAGCTGGTAGCCGAGCTGGATGTAGTTTTGGTTGATCCAGCCGCCGTCGATCTCGGTGACGCCGTCAAGGTGAGCAATGTAGTTACTAAAGTTGAATTAGCAGTTACTCATAGAGATCTTGTTCAGATGGCAACTTACGCAGCAAAGAGACCAGTCAGGAGGTTACCGACGAGACCACCAATTCCATGGACGGCGAAGATATCAAGAGCATCATCGACCTTGATGACGTACTTGAGCTTGGTCGCATAGTTGCAAGAGATGGCTCCGACAACACCGAAGATGAAAGCAGCCCATGGGGTAACGAAACCGGAACCAGGAGTAATGGCGACCAGGCCGGAAATCACACCGGAGCAGAAGCCAACCGTCGACCACTTCCTCTCCAGGCGGTAGTCAAGCAAGCACCAGGTAACACCACCAACAGCGGCAGCCAGGTTGGTAACGACAGCAGCCATCACGGCGCGAAGGTTAGCGCTCAGGGCGGAACCGGCGTTGAAACCGAACCAACCGACCCAGAGGAAGACGGTACCGATAACGACGTGGGTAACGTTGTGGGGGCGGTAGTTGAGCTCGTGAGTTCCGTGACCACGGCGCTTGCCGAGCATTAGAGAGTACGCCAGAGCAGTCGTACCAGAGACAATATGGACAGGAGTGCCACCCGCGAAGTCCAAGCCACCCAGGTTGAAGACCCACCCGGAGGCGTTCCAGGTCCAGCAGGCGACAGGGTCATAGATGATAGTACTCCAAATAAAGACGAAGATCATGCAGGGAAGCATACGACCACGTTCCGCAACCGCGCCAACAGCGAGAGCAACCCTATACATGGTTAGGTTTGGTCTCTTCATCTTGCCGCAAAGGAGGCTCACGTAATCGCAGCGAACATTCCCTGAAAGACAGCAAAGAGAAGATCAGGGACCTTGCTTGATCCCACTGAAGGGGCAGCCAGGACACCCTTGAATCCAAAGTTATCCAAGTTACCAATGTACTTTCCGGCACTGTGAGAGAAGGCCAATGAATAACCCCAGAAGAACCATTGGAACGAGACGACACCGATGGACATAAGCGAAAGCCATATCAAGGAGAGGGCGGACTTTCGGCGAGCTAGACCGGAGTAGAAGAATCTATAGAGAAAAATTGTCAGCCACATTCTACTGGCTTATCAGGTTGGGTAGTCAGTCTTACCCTACACCGGGAATCATAAGAAGGACGAGAGCTGTTGACATGATGACCCACGCAATATCACCAGACTATATTCACAATCAGCCAAAGTCCCTTGATGCCTGACTGCATACAAACTCACGCTGTAGTAGATGTTGAGATCTTCCCTGAGGGAATCTCCACCGTTTGCGCCAGTCCCATTGTAGGGAACAGGATATTCGGCCATTGTGGATAAGCGGCGAAAGCAAAGGTATCGTCACAGGGTACCGTCGAGAAAGGAATGAAAAGAAGGTATCACACTGGATCCTACTGGTATTCGGCCGGCCCCGTAAGCTTTGACAGAGGGGGAGAAAGGGCCGAGTTGGAGAATCGGGATTAATATAGGTCAGAGGCAAGGCAGAGCCCCAGTGGAAGCCCCGGATATCGGTTAAGGCGGTCTTGAAAAAAGTAATGTAGGGAAAAAGAAAAGCAGAACGACATGCATGAAGGGGGAGACTGGAGGTGATAAATAACAATAGTCCGCATAATAGTCTGGCAGAGAGTCTGATACCAGTCAGATTGTCAGCAACGCCATGGCCATGGTACTCCGTCTCCCTGCAGATTAGACGTCAGGCTCACGTCCTCTGGAATCAGTCAAATTGACCCAACTGATCCACCACCAGAAGCTAGGCGCAGCTCCACCCATGGTCGCATCGTGCGGGATGGGCTTTTTTTGGTCGAGGCGTTGCCGAGCCAAGCCTCCTGGGTCCTGGGGGAGTATCATTAAACGAGCTTTCGTCGTGATTGCGCTTGTCCGGCTGATATCATCCGATTCAGGACCCCATCTTCTGATCCAACACGAGATAGAGACTCCTATCGCGGAGTGAGAGCTCCGTCTCGAGCTATCAAGAGCCTGAGAGGCGATTCATGGCGAGCGTGTATAGTGGATGATTGGATGGGAGCTGCTCGTAGACCAGAGCTATGGGAAAGCAGAATTGTTGATAAGGTGAACAATGGGTGCGAGGACGCGCTAAGGGAAGCAGATGATGCACAAGATAACTTGAGATTACAGTTCCATTGACAGATAGGCGTAATTAATAAAAATACACACGTAAATCAACGAGGATAAGGCGGTTAACTGCAGAAGAAGAAAGCTGCGCTCCAGAGCAACAAGTGAGATTTGAGCTGCCTGGGTGCCTGGCTTCCGGGGCCGCTAAGCCTCTTTGGGTCTGATAGGGTACCCTGATTGGCTGGTGGTATTGCATCAAGACTGGCTGGAGATAGGAAAATGATAACAGTTCTCGGCGTCGGCCGTGGCGCTGCCTCCATTGACGGTGTGCATTTGTCTGAAATCATCTACCTGGAGCGTGGTCTCCTGAAAATCACCTCTCTTGAATAAAACTCAGGATGATCAAGGACCATTTGGCATCTGACTGGTCGTATTTCCTCCGAAACAACTCTTCATACTTGACACAATGGTTCATCTCTACAAATCCCGGTGTTACAGGCAGTCGGGCCGCTGATGCAAGTTGATCCGCTGCCGGTCTGCCGACTCCAACTTTTCCAACTCCGAGTCCAACCTTGACATCTCCACGAGTTGATGGTGGGTACCAGCAAACCGTGCTAGAGAACATTCTGGACGCCAAGTACCTGCATGGCTACCATTCCATGGGCCTAGCTGGGTAACATGATCAAGCGCTGCGCTGTGTGAACGCCAGGCTGGGCTCCCGTCAGAAACTCCGAGGTCCATGGCTGTTATCTACAACTGCGCAGCCAATCATGACTTGTTGGTCCACCTTTATCAGCCCGTTTCTCCCACAAATCGTTCCTGGGCTTTCAAGCTCTCTTTATTGAATTGATAGACAAGATCTTGGCTCTGCATACCAAGATCACATCTTTTCTGATGCTGGAATCAGCTCCTGGTGTGTTTTCGGACTCAGTTGCCAGCAAAGTTTGAGAATTTGATGGACATGATGATCTTTCTTGGAAAGAGACGAAGTTTCTCTTGGTCAGGGTGACTCAGGCAATCCGGTTGAACCCGAGACCAGATACTGCTAGCCTGTGCCTGGAAAGTCTCGCTAAGAACGCCGTATTTCTTCCGAGAGGCGTCAAGCCTCCAATGTCCACCGCGGAGGAGGTCGGGTAGGGCTGCCATGCCAATTCTCTCGTGAGTCCCCACACTGACCAAGCTTGCACGAACTCCAGTTCTTTCAATCACTTTGAATTTGATCTGAATAGTCGATACTATCAATGATAGATTGAGTTTTCTGATAGCCGGCGCGCCGTGCGGTCATCATGATCGTTGACCCTGGAATGATATGCACGTCCGTTCTCGGCGTCCTGCTCGGGCTGGGGGTTCATCCTTCGGAACCTTGGATGGGAAGGATTCTTGGAGCTTGGAGGCAGAGATAAAGATCACGGCTTCTATTGGCCGGGGTGCTTAGACCTCCATTCACGAAGTTCACGAGCCCCAAAGTCACCAGAGTCAGATATCGCGCTGTTGGTAATGATATCTGCTCGATCTACTCACAAGTAATATCAAGATGATCATGAGGTGGACACGACAGAGTCATGGAAAGATCATCCAGGATCGGTTCTATGTTCCTAGCAACCGCACTTTTGTCAAGGGTCTCTGAAGTCTGCTTGTCTCGATGCCAGCAAGCCTCTAACCTACAGTTTCCGGGAGTAACGAGACCACAGGCGCAGCGAAGAGCATGTATAAGAATTGACCTAAGAATACCTCAGGCCAATCGCTTCTTCGCCCTTTTTGAGTCCCACAATTGTGAGGATGGCGCTACACTTCTTGTGGCTGCAGACTCCACGAACGCGTGTGAGAAACGCCTTGCTGCTAGCTGCGTCAAGGATGCCATGACGCTAAGACCAGGCAAGGCCGTTGGAATTCTGGAGTTTGCCGTCGAAGTATGCTCTCTGGGGCATGCGTACCAGACCTACCTAGCCATGAAGCGTAGAGCATGGAAGCTATGTCAAGGTATAGAACGTCCGAGAACCACTCCCATGCGCGTCCACAAGAAAATATCCTAGATTAGTGGTGACTAGGGCGAGCCTTGCATTTCAGGTCAACTTACATTGAACAGACAGTAAGATCTACAGCAACGCGAGAGCATGAAGAAATATTCTTTGATTATGTACCTAGTATTCAACGTCTACTACCGGACGTGTAGGAAGTGGAAGAACTTCGCAATGTTCAGCGTACTAGTTAACGCACTTCACAATGCCTTTGTGATTGTTGCCGCTCTCTATATATCTACTAGTAGCGAGGATCTCCGCAACTGTATAGTAATAATAGGCGCTGGCCCACTGATCTGCAAGATAGGCTCGGTTTGGATACTATGAATACGAACCTGGCAGACGACAACAATGTTGAGGTTTGAAATGTGCGTTATTTATCCAGCCTTTAGAGAGTGAGACCAACCTGGGAGCTTTTGAATCAGCTAAGTGATGAGTAACTCAAGAAAGCTTCAAGCCTTCCCGCACCAACACGCTGTTAAGCTTTGCCAGACGGCTGGGAACTAAATAGTACTGCCATATATTGCAAAGTTCATAGCTAAGGCTACTTACAGGCACAACTCAGCTGAAGACCAAAATTTGAGATTTAAACGTTACCAATAATGTGTCAAATCTTAAAACACGCTGATAGTTCAGATCTGCGCCGCTTGATTGGCAGCCGGTGCGGAGATGCACCGCCACATGCCTCCAGCTACTCGGCCGGAGGCTCGCCGCCAACTCCGTTTTCCCCAAGACACCATCTGTGTCCATAGCTCAATCCACCCTACGATGGACCCCCAACCGGTCCATGAATATCAGCTCCTGGAGCATGCTGACATGGGCAATCCGGACTCTGACAGCTCCGGCTCTGACGAGCTCCTACAGCCACCGTACATCGTCCGGTCGGGCCCAATGATCCCCGAGAACTTCGAACCTCAAGTCGCCCCGGCCGCCAACGTCGCATCCTCACCTCCCCCAACTCACTCTGCCTTCAGCTCCTGGGCAAGCGTCACACCTACTCGTCCTCGCGGCGCCAGTCTCGGCGCCTCAGCTTTGGACAAAGTGGCTTCACCAAGCGTCGAAGTCCCGCCGGGCGTTGAGCGGGATCTTCGATTGCAACGCCCCTCGGGCCCCGCCAGGACCCCGTCAAACACATATGCACCGCAGCGACGACCTGCTCCGTTTATCAGCTTCCAAGAAGACCGTCAGCGATCCTCTTCCGCAAAACGCACGCCACGACGAGATCCCAATGCCCAATACCGAGCACAGGAGAAAGCGTATGTCCAACGCATCCGCGAAGATCCGCAGGGATGGTACAGCCGCTTCGAAGACAATCGGCTGAATGCCAGCGACTCCGAAATCGAAGATCCTTCGCCGTCCTCTGAGGTGCCGTTTGAAGATGATGCCTACGACCCGGATATTCAACTATTTCTTACGGATGATAACCAGCCCACAATTGAAGAGCTCAAGAACCCGAAGAACCAGGAACGACTGGAGTGGCATTCTATGTTGGCTTCCGTCCTCAAGGGTGATGTTGTCAAACAAGAGAAGCAGCGGTTGCTTGGCTCCACGGAATCGCACAGGTCGGCGGCACAGAACCATGCAATATGGCTCGGTGTGCGCGCCAAGACATGTGGTCGGAGTGTCGCTCTGCAGCGGAAACTTATTGAGGAAGCGAGATCCAACCTAGGGTCGGTTATTGAGGATATCATCAAGTTTGAGATCAAAGGCGAAACGGAGATTGGCAAATCACCGATCAAACAGGTTGAGGATACCGTGGAGCAGATTGAAAGATGTGAGTCTTTGTATCCGACACAAAAGGAACTTGAGACTGCACATCCCCGTGTCGCATCGGATGAGTACTGCTCTAGTCGCGATGCCATTTTCGCTTGGCACAACACCACCGTTCTTATCAACACCGAGCTTGCCATTTTGCAAAAATGGGTTGGCAATGATGAGCTTGATTTCGCCAAACCCGGAGTCAAGCTCACTAGGAGCGATCTCTCCGACGAAGCTTCTTTTCTTGATCGTATCATGAAAGAGGACGGGCTCAAGACACTTCAGGGAGAGCACAACATGCTAAACGGCATCGGGGCCGTAATTCAGAAAGCGAAGAGCACATTGATCGAAAACGCCAGCGCTTTTGCCAGTCGACATCTGCCGCCATATATTGAAGAACTGCTTGTCTTGATTAACTTTTCTTCCCGTCTTATTCAAGAAATCATCCGTGTCCGATTGTCCTACGCCAAGAACATGAGAGATCCGGCACAGCAGTCTCCCATCCTGGTCGACCAAATGATTTCACAATTCCAGATCATGATGAGAGCTGCTGTCGATATCAAGCAACGGTATCTTGATATCGCTCGACCAGAACCAGGCTGGGATTTGCCTCCGTGCATTGACGAAAGCTTCGATTCGGTTGTACTGGACGCCATGAGGTACTACTTCCGACTATTGAACTGGAAACTGCAGGCGAATAAAAACACCTTCAAGGAGGCCGAAATCCTGGAACAGGAATGGGGTTTCTGTAACGAAGTTGGCCGTCAGCTCGAGGGTGGCGATATTGAAGTGGCAGAGCAGTTTAGGTACACCCCACCCCTGTTATGAACGGCTTGCGGTCATCAGCTAACGTATTCCAGTGTGTTGACCGCCAGAGCTATCCACCGCTTGCTTATTCATTTCGAGCGAGAACTGCATATCCGAGAAGATGAGGATCCGGTTGAGTTAGATAAGCGGTTCAAGGGCGTTCTCGATTCTACTCGAATTCGTCAACGAAAGCTTTATCGATTCTCTCGATTTCTGCGCCAACTGTTCGAGAATGCCTCGGAATACAATCTTCCAGCTGATATCTCCTGGGACTTCTTCGAGGCGTTGTTTGTGTCCGACCACTTCCTCATCAAGTCCAACGCTTCGGTTGGCCAGAAGGGCGTCTACCTCTTCGCTCACCGTGCGCTGTGGAACTGTCCTGATGAGATTGCCGCGATTCTGGGAACCTCATTCCGTGAGGAAGAACCCGGGAAGGACCCGTCACAGGTGCACTATGTCCTGGCTGTTCGCCCGGAAAAGCCATTGTCATGGGCTGGTAAGGAGATGCAGGTTGAACTTGTTGAGCAACCGACCGACGTGCGATTGGGAAAGCTTCGCCTTATTGTTGAGGGGTCCCAACAGCGCCTCTCAAATGCGAGGATCGAATTGGCTCAAGCCACCGGGATTCAACTCGATATGGCTATTGAGCAGCGCGCAAATCTCAGTCGGGTAAATGCCGAGCTCAACAGGATCAAAAAGATCTCGTTCAAGCTGTCCATGACCATTATGGACAGTGTCGCCATCATCAGAAACCAGCTAAAGGAGAAAGGTGTGGACAACACTGAGCTTATTCAAGCCTGCTATGCCTTCGCCACAGAGTTCGGTAAACGGTCATCGAATGTTGACCCTAACCGGCGGGCAATGAACAGTGCAAGATTGGCAGAACTTTCGCTTGAATGGGTTGCCTTCGTCTGCGACGACTGTGATGCCGCTGACCGAAAGACCTTCAAGTGGGCAGTAGCTGCCCTAGAATTCGCCATGGCCATAACGTCCAGCAGGCATCTTCTCTCAATGGACGACGGACAGTTTGCGCGTCTGCGACAAAAGGTAGCAGGGTGCATGTCCCTCCTTATCTCGCACTTTGACATTATGGGTGCGCGATCTTCGCGGGCCGCCCAGGCGGAGAAGCAGCGCTTGGAGGAGCGCTCGGGTTCTTGGAAGATCGGTGCTGGACGCATCTTGACTGATGATGAGGCGGCAAGGCTGGTACGCGAGCAGCGTATCGCTCAGTTGGCTAGCATCGAGGAAATCAGAGTCGAGGCGGATGCTAAACGCCAAGCCCTAGGTAGGGTTTTGGAGGGCTCGAACGAGGCTGACAGGTCTCTTGCGGTCCTGTCCTCATCAGCGACGAATGTCACCCTCCGCTGGCAACAGGGTCAATACATCGGAGGTGGCACATTCGGTTCCGTCTACGCTGCCATCAACCTGGACAGTAACTACCTTATGGCAGTTAAAGAAATCCGGTTACAGGATCCTCAGCTTATTCCCAAGATTGCTCAGCAGATCCGCGATGAGATGGGTGTTCTGGAAGTCTTGGATCACCCCAACATTGTCTCGTACCATGGCATTGAGGTTCATCGCGACAAGGTCTACATCTTCATGGAGTACTGCTCCGGTGGCTCTCTTGCGAGCTTGCTAGAGCACGGCCGTGTTGAGGACGAGACAGTGATTATGGTCTATGCTCTCCAGCTCCTGGAAGGTCTAGCCTATCTTCACCAGTCCAGCATCATCCACCGAGACATCAAACCCGAGAACATCCTCCTCGACCACAACGGCATCATCAAGTACGTCGATTTCGGCGCAGCCAAGATCATCGCCCGCCAGGGCAAAACACTCCTACCTACAGAGGCCCTCAACGGCGGCGGCGGACACAAGGAACCCATGATGCCGAAGGACACCCAAATTGCACCGAACCGGGGCAAGAACCAGAAGACCATGACCGGAACACCAATGTACATGTCCCCCGAAGTCATCCGCGGCGACACAGGCAAGCTCGTCCACCGCCAGGGCGCCGTCGATATCTGGTCCCTGGGCTGTGTCATCCTGGAAATGGCCACGGGTCGTCGACCCTGGTCCAGCCTCGACAACGAGTGGGCCATCATGTACAACATCGCGCAGGGCAACCAGCCCCAGCTCCCCTCTCGCGATCAGCTCAGCGATCTAGGTATCGACTTCCTCCGTCGGTGCTTCGAGTGCGATCCGCTCAAGCGCCCGACTGCCGCTGAATTGCTCCAGCATGAGTGGATTGTTTCCATTCGGCAACAAGTTGTCCTTGATGCGCCTACACCGACTAGTGACCATAGTGGCAGTATGAGCAGTTCCTCGGGGAGTCGGCATGGCTCGGCCTACATGTAATCCGCCGTGACCTATCTATTCTCTTCTCTTACCCTTCCTCCTCGCCATCACCATCCCGAGTACGCGAGGGATCTCTGTATCCTCAAACAAACCTCCCTTTCTCCTCCACCGCCACGCAACCTCCTCATCTCGACCCTCGGCTCCAAAATTTATCTACAAATGCATTTGATACCCCCTCTCTTCCTCTCTTCATATCTACTTCCTTCCTCACAACATTCTTCTTTTCCCTTCGTCTTTCTTTTTTTTGTTTCTCCTACTTTGCTTATTATACTAAAGACCGCGCACACGAAGGCTAGCAAGTTGCATTTCATCATATGTACTCTTACTGCGTTCTCTCTTTTGCTTTGGTCATTTCGGTTTTGGGAGCCGCTGTATTTACTGCATGGAATCAACATAAATCCTATATAACATCAATCGACTAAAGTGCCAAGGAGAATTGGCACATTGTTAGTAATATTTATGTAAACGGATCAAAATCTAAGTACGGAGTATATCCGGATCTATAATCTGTGTCCCATGCAAAATTACACTTCCGTTCTGGGTCTCAGTCTATTATCGTTTTGTCTTCTGCCATTTGTCTTAGGGATGGGAGCGTTTAGTTGTGTACGGATTGAGGGGCACCTGTAAAGCAGGCAGGTTTAGGGTTTAAGAAGGAGGAAGTATCAGAAGTCAGATTCTGCAGAGCACCGTTGCGATGGCCGAAGCGGAAACGCAAGAAATGAAGATTTTATAGCGTCGAATCGTTAACGAAGAGAAGAAAAGTGAGGTAAAAGTAAGGTCACGGAACAAAAAAAGTAGTAGAGTTCAAGGTGCTACCCGAATGCCTGCAATTCGGGCGGATGGTTGGTATATGTACCGAGGCTGTTGGTTTGAAGAGGATGAATTTGATGAATGGCGTGTATGCATGCATAGACACCGGACGAAACACAACACGACAGGAGAAGGAAAGAAGAGTAGGTAAACTGATCATTGAGACGTCGCTGCTGAAACCGAGGAACCAAATTACCTGGCAAAGAAAGGGGAATAATGATGTCGAGAGCAGAGAAATTGTAACCGAGGATGACCGTTGCGAAGGAATCGAAAAGAGAATGAGTAGTCATAAGATGGAAAGAGGGCCATGATAACCAATATAACGCCAATTGAAAAAGAAATCATCAGGATAATGGTTCAACCGGCCAGTAGAAGAGAGCAGTATAGCGAAGGAGAAATACGACGTGTGACTCGGACTGGCGCCAGTAGTGTGGGTGCGAGTTCGAAGAAGCCGAGGGAAAAGGACGATTATAAACGACAGTGAAAAGAAGTCAAAAGAGGCGGCACAAAGAGGACGCAATTCTGATCACTGTACATGATCTCGGCCGATAGTCAGAGATCAACGGAACTCCATGGCAGGTGTACAGCCATGATTCTCAACATGTCTAAGGTCTAACTGCTGGTATCTTCAGAGAATGCGTCAGTCCCTTCGCTCATGACGACCGTAGCGATGTAAACTTACTTCTCGCTTTTAGCATGGAAATAGATGCCGGACACAGTACCCTCAACTTGGTTGAAGCAGATATAGTAGAAGCCCTCAAAGCTCGCACCGGAAATAGTCCGTACGCGGTGGTCTGGAACAAGAAAATGCTCCTTCCAGCGCATGAATATGTGGTCGCGTTCAGCGAAATCCCAATACGTAAAATCAGGTCGTTTTGCTTGTTTGGCGAGAGGTCGCCAAGCAGGAAATCTGGCCCAGTGATGCATGTCGGTCTTCTCTGACGCACCCCATGATTCATTCTTAGTCTTGAAGGTGTGCTTCGTGCCAATGATCTCGCCTTCAAAGAAAGTTGTCAGAGTAGGATGGTCCTCAGTGAGGCCTGCACGAGAAGAGAGGTTAGAGACAGTCCCTAGCATCCTGAACGAGTGTCATCCACTGACCTTGGATGCGAAGGTATCCGCAAAGGTAGGATTCAGCCATGTCCACATGCTTGATTTCCACGTCGACATTATATACCTGGCGATCCGACTGTTGAGTGCCAGTAAACTTACTTCCCGGTCGCAGGAATGACGAAGTATAATTGGGAAGAAGCTAGGAATGTTAGTTGGGTTCACCTAAATACTTCCGCATGTCAACATACACGAATATTCGAGAACTCATAGTTCAAAAGTGAGCCGGTTATAGGCGATGAGGTCACTGTCGAGGTAGAAGAGCGCGACAATGGTCTGGCTGGGCTCATTCTTCTCACCGGAGGTTCCTCGTCGGATCTGGACATACTACTCGGAGAAGCACTAGATTCCGGCTCAGATCTCAACGTTTCCGAGTCCGCACGAACGGTCGCATCCTCCGACGGCATCAGTTCGGGCTGTGGCGATGCCACACCCGGTGAAAGAGCATGGTCAAGAGTAGTGTCACTCTCGGTCAGAGAGGACGACTCCAGCGGCTCTCTCCAAGCTGGCAATCGTTCTGGCTCGGGCGGACAGGTCGCACGGGTGATATCTTGGGTGATCGATGCGGCAATCAAGCGAGGTGTGCTGTCACTCGGGGTCGGCATTGAGACGAGTTAATTAGGGAATGACATCGGATCCAACTCAGTTGCAAGATGGGTGGCGAGCGAGGGCGGGCGAGTGAACGGCCGACAAAGCGTACGAGAAGGACGATAAACGGAGCAAGGTGAGGTAGAAGAAGAGAGACAGACAGAGAGAGAGAGGGGCCTCGGGTCTGAAGGAAGATCAGATTAGCCGCAGTAAACGCAGTCGTGCGAATTGAAGTCACGTAGAATGTTGCTTGGATTGAGAGCGCAGGCCTCTCCCTTCCTAATGAGGATAGGCTGCTCTGGCCGCTTTGGTCAGGCGAGCTGCGGGGGAGGCAAACCAGGCAAACCAGGCATCAAAACGTTGGCCTCGTATGGCCCCGTGCAACGTGCAACTACCGAGTCGATATAAATAGTTTAGTCTTAGGCTTAGATTGTGTATCGTCTTCATAGCTCTTGGCCGTCATTATGGGTATTCCACTACAATTGTCCCGAGATGGATTGCGTCACCAATGCTGCACATACTCCGACACCCGATATTGCACCCTGCGTAACCAGAAATAAATAGAGAAAGCAGTAAGTCATTTTATATCCGTTCAGATCGGCTTGATCTACATGGAGAAGCAAAGTTAGAACAAACCTCGGCAACCATTGCACGACCACGACCACACTTACCTTGAAGTGAAGAGATATCAGGGAGAAAATGAGCGCCTTCAAATCCTGTACGAGGTAGTAGAACACCCGAAGACCCTCTGGGTCTGCTGATTCTGTCACATCCACCAGAGATCCGATTTTCGCGGTCTGCACATTGTGAGTAAAGAGTTGAGCCGGATAGTAAGGTACGGACGCACCTCAAAAGAGATATGCTCATTTCCCAGCCGGATCTCCAGCTCCTGCCGGCCGTCCTTGTTCTTCTGGGGCCATTTCGAATCATCTTCCCTATTCGCATGTCAGACAACATTCAGCCCATGCATGATGCGGTATTGGCGTACTTCAAGATCTCGCTGTTCTTGATGATGCGCTTAACTTCCTGGATCATCGCCGAGCTCACGCACACTATCCAGACACCCATCAGCATCATTCAAAACACCATGGATTCGTCCATCACTCACTCTCTTTACGGATGAGGGAGTCGTTGCGGTAGTTGGAATTGTTCGCGTACCGAACCGCAGCGCTGCGGCCGTCGCCGAGGGTACGGAAGTCGAATTCTATCCCAATGAGCGTGGGTCACGAAGTAGAAGGTCGTAGATCGAACTCACCTAGAAACTCATGTCCGAACCGCCCAGAGTGACCTGAGCTGCGGGAGCGTCAGCTGCGAAGGACATCTGGGCTAACACAGATCGCCTTACTAGTAGCGGAGATAAAATGTTTCGTTTTGACTCGACATTTTTCGAGAGTTGACGAGATAATGCCGCGGTGAAGAGAACTTGCGGCGAGAAATCAAGTCCGGGGCCCTTGATCACTCCCGGTGGGTTGGTCCAGGCGGGCTTAGTCATCCACACACTCCGGACAGCTTGCCCGCCCGCGCAAATGGCCAGGTTGATCATCTCAGTTGACGAAGCCTCGATACTGCCAACCTTTGCGCGGATGAATTATTGGTAGGCGTGGGGAGTTGAATTGCTCGAGTCTATTGTCTTCTACCTGCTGCATCTTCCCGGGGAGTGCTTTCCTGGTACGTTCCGGCCCCTCGGCCTCGCAGCCATCCCTCTCCCTGATCCGCCAAAACAACACCTGGTGCCCCATACTGACTGGCCACCTCAAGCTCTCCTCCTCTTCGACCCTCCCGCTACGGCCCTTCGTCATAATCACTGTTCACAATGGCCTCGTTTCTGGAAAATGCGTACAGCCTGGTCCATATGGACAATGCTGCTGATCAGCCCTCGTTGCAGGAGCTGAAATTGCAGTTGGAGAAGGGCAACGATGAGACCAAGTTGGAGACAATGAGGAGGATCATTACGATTATGCTCAATGGAGACCCAATGCCTCAGTTGTTGATGCACATTATCCGTTTTGTTATGCCGTCAAAGAGCAAGCCCCTCAAGAAACTCTTATACTTTTACTATGAGATCTGTCCGAAGCACGACTCAAATGGCAAGCTCAAGCAGGAGATGATCCTGGTGTGGTAAGGAATTGCTCCCTTGTCATGTTTAGCTATTACCAGCTCTGATCGATTGTCTACTATGCAGCAATGGCATCCGCAACGATCTTCAGCATGCCAACGAGTACGTCCGAGGCAACACACTGCGATTCCTCTGCAAGCTCCGAGAACCGGAACTCATTGAACCTCTCCTTTCGTCCGCACGCTCATGTCTCGATCACCGACACGCATATGTTAGGAAGAGCGCAGTCTGGGCTATCTCATCTATCTTCCAGCATTCTGAATCGCTCATCCCAGATGCACCAGAACTTATCCAGGCATTCCTCGAATCAGAATCCGATGGCACCTGCAAGCGCAATGCATTCGCCGCTCTGATGTCCATTAGTCACCAGAAGGCTTTGGAGTACCTGGCTTCCACTTTCGACAGCATCCCGAATACAGACGAATTACTTCAACTTGCAGAGCTTGAGTTCATCAGGAAGGATGCGGTGCAAAACTCTCAGAACAAGGTGGGTTGCTGGATATGGTGTCTTGCGATTACAGTCTGCTAACAGGAGTAGGCGAGATATCTGCGGTTGATCTTCGATTTGCTAGATGCGTCGACGAGTACTGTAGTATACGAAGCTGCCACTTCCCTTACAGCACTCACAAGCAACCCCGTGGCAGTAAAAGCTGCCGCTGGCAAGCTGATCGAGTTGAGCATCAAGGAAGCCGATAACAACGTCAAACTGATCGTCCTTGACCGGGTGGACCAATTACGAATTCGCAACGAGGGTGTCCTAGACGACCTGACAATGGAAATCCTCCGAGTGCTTTCTAGCCCTGATATTGATGTTCGACGAAAGGCCCTTGGCATCGCTTTGGAGATGGTCTCCAGCAAGAATGTGGAGGAAATTGTGATGCTCCTCAAGAAAGAGCTTGCCAAGACTGTCGATGAACAATATGAGAAGGTAGGCTGACAGAACCCTTGCTTGCATAACCGAATTAACACCATAACAGAACAACGAATACCGTCAACTGCTGATTCAATCAATCCACAACTGCGCCATCAAGTTTTCGGAAATTGCTGCTAGCGTTGTTGATCTGCTGATGGACTTTATCGCCGACTTCAACAACAACTCAGCGGTTGATGTGATTTCGTTCGTCAAGGAAGTTGTCGAGAAATTCCCCAAGCTGCGTGCCTCCATCGTCGACCGCCTGGTCTCTACTCTGAGCGAGGTCCGGGCAGGAAAGGTTTACCGAGGTGTTCTATGGGTTGTTGGTGAATACTCTCTGGAGGAGAAGGATATCCGGGAGGCTTGGAAGAAGATCAGAGCAAGCCTTGGAGAAATCCCCATTCTTGCCTCGGAACAGCGGCTTCTTGATGAAGTACCGGAAGATACTCTAGCCAAGGAACAAATTAACGGCCATGCTAAGTCATCGGCCCCGAAGGTGCTTGCGGATGGTACATATGCAACTGAGAGCGCCCTCACCAGCCAGTCCGCCGCCGCCGCTCGGCTACAAGCTGTCAAGGCCGCTCAGAAGCCTCCTCTGCGCCAGTTAATTCTGGACGGCGATTACTACCTGGCGACTGTCCTGTCTTCCACGTTAACAAAACTGGTGATGCGCCATTCTGAGGTCTCTGAAGAATCTGCCCGAACCAACGCTCTACGTGCCGAAGCTATGTTGATCATGATATCGATCATTCGTGTCGGTCAATCACCATTTGTCGCCGCCCCCATCGATGAAGATTCTGTGGACCGTATCATGACTTGTGTTCGCTCCCTTGCGGAGTTCTCTGAGAGGAAGGAATTGGAGACGACGTTCCTTGAAGACACGCGGAAGGCCTTCCGTGCCATGGTTCAGGTCGAGGACAAGAAGCGAGCAGCCAAGGAGGCTGTTGAAAAGGCCAAGAGCGCTGTTCAGGTCGATGATGCCATCCCAATCCGGCAATTCACCAAAAAGTCTGCCCTGGAAGGTGCAGAGGAGATTGAATTGGATCTTGCTAAAGCGACAGGAGGTGACTCAACAGTGGAGACGGTCTCCTCGAAACTCAGCCGCGTCGTGCAGCTTACTGGTTTCTCAGATGCTGTCTACGCAGAGGCCTATGTCACGGTACACCAGTTCGATATCGTCTTGGACGTCCTCTTGGTCAACCAGACCCTTGAGACGCTACAAAATCTGTCTGTCGAGTTCGCCACGTTAGGAGACCTGAAGGTCGTAGAGCGGCCATCCACTCACAACCTCGGCCCTCGTGACTTCTTGAATGTGCAGGCTACAGTCAAGGTGTCATCGACGGATACCGGTGTTATCTTCGGCAACATTGTGTACGACGGCGCCAGCTCGACGGAAACCCACGTTGTCATCCTCAATGATATTCACGCCGACATTATGGACTACATCCAGCCGGCTCACTGCACCGAAACCCAATTCCGGACAATGTGGACCGAGTTTGAGTGGGAGAACAAGGTTAACATCAACTCCAAGGCCAAGACTTTGCGTGAATTCCTCAAGCAGCTCATGGAGAGCACCAACATGGCTTGCCTTACCCCTGAAGGGTCGCTCACGGGCGACTGCCAGTTCCTCAGCGCTAACCTATACGCTCGTAGCGTGTTTGGTATGTTTTCAATCCCAGTTCTCTCTCCAACGATCTATGCTAATATATCCACAGGTGAGGACGCTCTAGCAAACCTGAGTATCGAAAAGGAAGGAGAAGATGGACCGATCACAGGCTTCGTCCGGATAAGAAGTCGTTCTCAAGGCCTTGCCCTGAGTTTAGGCTCTTTGAAAGGTCTCAAAGCCTCCACTGCATGAATAGAATATTGAACTTCCTTCCCCTATATCTGAATAGTGACCACTACCCTATTACTTATTCCACGATCATACTATTGACATACTTGCCTGTTCTTTTCTTCCTGCGAGCCTCTTCATGGATGAATCTGTTTGATCATATGCTTTCTTTACTGTGTGTTGCCGGATAAGAAAAGATTCTTTTCAAATGAAATAATATCCTTATGAGTCAGTCCACGATTCGTCTGTGGAACGAGTTCATCTCTTACAGATGAGTTCATATGTATATATAGCAAAAGGCCGGTATCCGATAATAATGCCCACTTTACTCATGCTTGGTTTACAACGTGGTAGAAAAGGCATATATACAAACGAGAAGCAGCTGGGAGAGTCAAGATCAAAAGTCCCTGGGCGCAAACGGATGGCGCGGAGATCGCACCCCAGGAGGCGCGTAAATCAGAAAATAGACCGAGGCCATGGCATCAACCATCATAACCGCCATATCTTTTGTTTGTGGAATTTGCTGGAGTTGCGAGACCCTATCTGATAGTAGCTGAAACGTGAGGAGTGATACCAAGACAGCGCATTTCTCGCCTTACCCTAGTGATCACTTTCCTCTCCGTCTCTCGCTGTCAGCTCTTCAGCCACCTCCTGCTTTCTCATTCTCCTCTCTGAGTCTCTCGTTCGATATTGTTACACCCCTTGTATCCTCATCATCTTTCTTTTCGTCCTGCTTCTTGTCTATGTCCCTTCCTTTTGCCGACCACAATGGCTTTCAATAGCAGTCCTTGCACCGAACAGTCGGATTCGCACCTCCGGCTGCTGGGCCATGATTCGACTTTGATGGTGGGACAATCGGTCTCGCTCACCTTGGGCGGCGATTCCCTCCTGGTAGTCGGTTTGTTAATTATTCAATAAGCAATGATCCCTAGGCTAATCCACGTGCTTTAGACGAGCGCGCCATGCGCAAGTCGGACCGTACATGCTGCGGCTTACTCCCAAAACCCAGTACGCTTCTCGCTTTGCGAAACGCAACTAAGCAACTTATCTGACATTCTTTACTCCTCCTAGCCAACAAAGTCACTCATTCAATCTCCCTGTACAATGTCCTCGACACGAAAGTGTCCACAGCCGGCCTGACCATCACCTACGCGGAGCCAGCGGGCAAAAATGACGTCTCCGTAACTGCCCTACAATATCCGATCGCCGACGAAGAAAAAGCGACGGTCGAGACGTGGTCGAAAAAGTTACTCTCCCTTGCTTACGGCAACGCACAGCGGTACAAGCGCTTCAAGGTTCTGATCAACCCGTTCGGTGGCAAGGGGACTGCCGCACGATTATATCGGACGTATGCGGAACCGGTTTTCGATGCTGCACAGTGCCAGCTGGACGTGCAGGAGACTACACACGGGGGACATGCTACGGAGATCGCGGAGCAAATAGACATCGACGCATATGATGCAATTGTGTGCTGCTCCGGGGATGGTCTGCCGTACGAGGTGTTCAATGGTCTTGCGAAGAAGCCGAACGCGCGGGAGGCTTTGGCCAAGCTGGCGGTTGCGATGTTGCCTTGTGGCTCTGGAAATGCAATGGCTTGGAACCTTTGTGGGACGGGAAGCGTTTCGGTTGCTGCTTTGACTATTGTCAAGGGATTGCGGATGCCGATGGACTTGATGTCTGTCACGCAGGGAGGGTCCCGCACGCTCTCATTCTTGTCCCAATCATTCGGTATCATTGCCGATTCGGATCTAGGAACGGACAATATACGTTGGATGGGAGCTCATCGATTTACCTACGGCTTCCTCATGCGCCTTATGCACAAGGCAATCTACCCGTGCGACCTGGCGATCAAGGTGGCGATTGACGACAAGACCGCTATAAAGAACCATTACGACACCTACGTAAACAGCCCACCGCCGGTTCGGCCCACTGACGCAGGTGGTGAGGAGCCCAAAAGTCTTCCCGAACTCGAGTACGGCACCGTCCTTGACCCTCTCCCTGAAGACTGGACAGTCATTCCCGGAGAGACAATCGGCAACTTCTTCGCCGGAAACATGGCCATCGTATCAAAAGACACGAACTTCTTCCCAGCATCTGTACCAAACGACGGCCTAATGGACATCGTCACTGTCGACGGGACGACGAGCCGCGCCAAAATTCTCAAGATGATGAGCGCCGTTCCTGAAGGCGCATTCTTCGACATGCCCGAAGTCGACATCCGCAAGGCCCTCGCGTTTCGACTTACGCCCCGAGAAAAGGAAGGCTTTATCAGCGTCGACGGCGAAAAGATCCCCTTCGAAGCCTTCCAGGTCGAAATCCACAAGGGCCTCGGCACGGTACTCTCAAAGTCGGGACACCTCTACGAGGCGCAGGGGCCGCGACCATAAGCCAAGTCAAGCCATCCATCCACCTATCTAGCCCTGTTCAAACAGGCGGATACCTACACCTAATATCTTCTGCTTTCCTATGTATAGACACCTACGCGTGCAATTCTCTCTGGCCGCCGCTGTCGTCCTCTCACCTGTGATGATACCCAAATGGACGACTTTTTTGAATGAAGTACTGCTGGCTTCGGTTGGGTTGTTTTTATATTCCTATTCTTGTTCGGTTGGGTTTGTTAGAGTCGGGTTGTGCTCTTGTATATTTGTTCATGACGCGGTCTCTAGAGGTATATACATACATCTCTACAATTTCATTTTGCCTTGTAGCTTATCCATAAATGATACCTTGAAGCCTATCAGATTCGGATGATGAGACTCTGAAGCTATTATATACATTTGAAGACAGCCAGCACAACTCCTAAAATGCACTCTACTTAATCACCATATGGTATCCCATGAAACTTTTCTTCCCTACAATAAACCGCAGAATCAATCATCCCCAAAACCACCCCACTCCTCCTCACTACTCTCTTCATCCTCCTTATCCTTACCCACAAGAACCCCCTCTCTAAGGCCCCACTTCACCAACCTCTCATCGCCCAGCGTCTCCGCAGCCCTAGTCCGAACAGGCTTATGCAGCCCTTCCTTCTTCAACCTCTCAACAGGCGCGAGCAACAAATCGATCGGAACCTCGCCAACGGGTTTCCCCTCATCATCGAACTCGAGAACCTTTTCCAACTCGTCGATCCAGAGATCTAGGATATGGTAGCGTAATCCGTCGGGGCCGTGCGGCATGGGGATGATGCCGTTCTTCTCATCGAGGGCGGGCTGGTTGGGGTCGAAGTTTAGCGGGTTGAGGGGGCCTTCCGATATGATATCGAGGTAGGTTTTTAGGCCGGTCCAGGCGTCGCTGTTGTCGTCGCTTGAGGACTGTGTTTGCGCGTCTGTTTGTGTTTGTTCATCATCGGCCTCCTGTGCATTCATTTTGCCGTTCTTTGACTTCGACTTTGAGCGCTTCTTATCCTTGGCCGATTCCTCCCTCTTCCGCTTCTTTGTGCTCGCGTCCCCGTTCGCTTGAGTGAGGGGAGATTTGTCCTTGAGGAAAATCTGGAACGCAACGCCGACGTATGAACGGATCAAGAGGAGGTACTTGTCCAGACGGAGTCGGTCAATCGAGTGGAACTCGCGTCCAATGGTAATCCAGAATGCGCGCAGGAACCGGTGGACTGTTGAGCGGGGGAGCGAGGGGACGAGCGAGTACGAGAGGTTGCGCGCGAGGGCTTGTTGCGTGAGGGGGCGGTCGGAGTGGTAGAAGCCTGTGTTGGGCGATGCTGGTCAGTCAACCGTACTAGAAATAGGCTTTTGCTTGTCTTTTCGTTTTCTTAAATGGGAGAAGAATGGCGGCGACGTACAGAAGAAAAGACCTTTCCAGAGTTTGAGGAGTTCAAGGAGGGACAGGTCGGTTTTTGAGCGGAGGAAGAGGGCAAGGGAATCGGTGGCTTTGTCGCGGATTTTTTTGTCTAGAGTCCTCTGTTAGATGCATGTCCTTAATTAATCGAAGGGATGTATGTGTGTATATACCGCTTGAAGCAAGCTCCCTGACAAAGGGAGTCTTTGCGAGGTCCGCCATGGTCCAAGTGTGGTTGTTTGTCACTGAGTGATGCTTGAACTGTGTCAATGGTGGATTAAGGGGACAATTAAGGGCATGTATAGGCTGGCCTCTTCCAGCAGTCCAGTGAAGTATCTATAGAAGAGGGAGTTCAAATCCGAAAGTAATCGAGATCAATGTCAAGAAATCCATCGCATCGCAACTCCGAGTAACTTTTTTCTGTGTTTGCATTGTTTGCTGGCTGGAGCGGAGATCAAGTACTCAGCAATTCTGATTGGTTCTTTTCAACACTACTTCACCTTTGTCAGGCACAGAAAACGGTGACAACCAGACAAGAAGCTCAGTTTGGAATCCTCTCTAAAAATTCAAGATTTTGAAATTCCATGAAATCACGGTTAGCTTGAAAATTAAATATGGGTGAAACCTTACTGAGTTGAAATACCGCCTTCTTTATTAGTAAAAAGTGGCAGAACTATGCATTTTGTGAAAACTTCTGCGGTGAGCCAATACTGGCTTCTCATTAGTTAGCTAGGCGGCATTAAGCTTACTAGGGACTTAGTAGCGTACTACCATACTGTACTCCGTAGTTAAGTTAAAAGTAAAATGCGACTGAAAATTCAAGGAAACTGAAAATAAATCCACTGGATTGAAATTTCAATATCGCTACCTCAGAGAGATTCCTTCATGGAGGATTGGAGGTCTCCAGGTCTGGGCTCTATGAGCCGTTCTTCTGAGGGATAGAGAGCATATCCAACTGTGTTAACACTACTAAGATTTTTAAACTCTCATGGGATACGTCCAAGTTCCGCCGACTCAAGTCTTCAACAGTACCAACATCAAGGGAATCAACGAGGCCGGTTCTACTATTATGTAATATGGACATCTCTTGGCGGGAGCAAGGTCCTCGACGAGTGCTCGACTCCCCATGTCGGGCCAATCGGTTCTCGTATACCTCAGCAGGGCAAAGTTACGTAGATATATATCGTCGGACCGCAAGGCAACTCCCAACCCCGCTACTACTTCGGAGTAAGTTTTGCGTGATGCAGCGGCGATTTTATCTAAATCTTGACCTTGATCTGAGAACCATGACGTGGTCGGTGAACACGGCGCGAAATAGAATCGACCTCAGTCTGAGCAATAATCGTTATCTTCACTGTGCACAATGTGTTCCGGTATGAGCTGTCCGGGGAAAATGCCGGCATAGCCTTGGAATCGGGAGAGGGCTGGAATCGCGCAGTCATTTTCGAAAGTGCATTGCCAGTGGGACGGTCCTGGCTGGACTCTGGAGGGGCTGCTGTGTCTTGGGATATCTTGCGATTCGGATGCGCAGAGCTGGGATATGCAATGCTTACAGCTGATCTTGCTACCGGACCTGGGTAGACGGGACGGAACCTCAGCTCTAACCGAGGAAGAAAACAAGAATGAATGTCATTATTGTTATTCCATTTGTTGTCGATGTAATGTCAAGTCACAAGTTCGACTCCGCCTGGCGGGCCAACACAACATCCGAATGCACTAAAAGCAGCATAAATGATCCGCGCCCGGGAATGGGTTAATTCCGCCGTGATTTGCACCTCAAGTCTTAGATCCGCTGATTCAGCGTTTAATGCCCGGAAATGATTCTCGGCCAGCAGAAAGCACGTGAATCTGTGGGGTTGTAGAGTGCATCGCCCAATGGGTACAGTCCATTTTAGCGTCATGATGCTGATCATGCTGGATCTAGTATGGAGAAGCTAAACTGAACGACCGAGGAACTTACAACCTCCGACCTATTATGGTGTACTCAGGAGATACGGCGAGGTCGACCTTTTGGCAGCACAGTTTTATTGGCGATCCTTAATCTCTACCTAGTTTGTGGGCATCGTGGTGTTGAAGCCCGGCTGTCCAATCGGCGACCTATTAAATGGTTCGATCCAGCAAGCTTTCCCATTCGGAGTATCTATAGTTAGGGGCTTGGCTGCCATAGCCTGCCACTTGGCGTGCTGTCTGGTGGTGATCCTACGATCATATGGTGGAGTTTGTCAACAGCCCTGTGTGCAGCTGGAATCTGAATCAAGGAAACTCGGAGCCGGCGCAAGGATGATTCGGGTCCTGGAAAAGCCCAGCCCAGGTGATTCTGGTCAGCTCCAAAGCCGAAACCTGGAATCTGGATCCGCCTGGGGCTTGCGAGCGACTATTGTGCCTTGGTGAACCGGCCTGTGAGCGACTATCGAGGCAGCGCAACCTTAACGCTGCAATGGAAGGGCTCAATGCCGCATCCGGGATGCATCCGCAATGCTCTCATTCGACGTCTGTATCCCGCCTAGTCTCTTTATTCCACATTCTTTTCTTCTTTTGTTTGTTACACAAACGAATCCCCTAATCATGACATCACGATGCGTTCTGGCAAATCGCAGCCCTGGTATCCCTGAAGTCCAACGGATGCGCAACCACGGTTTGTGCCAGAAGAGCTGTCCCGGACATGCTGTCAATTCCGTCGCAAATATTTATTCCAAATCAATCCTGATTCCCCTCTTTCTTCGGACGATTATTACTTTTTGTTGTGGAGCGCACCGTTACGTTCCTTCAGAGTCACCCTACGTGGTTGACCTCATAAACCTGGGAAGCTGCTGGGTTCGCTCGGCCATTCTTTCCTTTCCCTTGGACCCAGTTCTAATCCATATCGACATATTCTGGCAGCTTCGTTGCCGAGACTCACGCCGAAATGGCTGAAAACGAGAAAGCCGATACCAGTTCTGACCCGAGTTCAATTCAACACGATGAGATACAGGAATCCCAGCACCAGTATCGTTCCCGACAGAACTCGCGGGCATACGAAGATGACACCGTACTGTTTGAGGAGATTAACCCAGAGGGGAAGGCAGAGTTAACTCGCATTGCCTCGAATTTTCCTGGACGCACTACATCGTTCTCTGGTACCAGCGGCAAGGGCATTCAAAGGATGGATACGGTCGATGAGATGGCCCTCGAAGACCCCGCATTTGATCCTAAAAGCGACCAATTCGATCATTATAAATGGGCCCGCAAGATGATGAAGTTGATGGACAAGGAGGGCGTCCCGCGACCAGCTTCCACTGGAATCTCCTTTCAGAACCTCAACGTTTCGGGCTCTGGGTCTGCTTTGCAGTACCAGGATACCGTGGCGTCCTTTTTCACAGCCCCTTTGCGACTCCGCGAGGTCTTCTCACGTCGTGCTCCAGAGAGACACATATTACGTGACTTCAACGGTCTGATCAGGAGTGGCGAACTGTTGATCGTTTTGGGGCGACCAGGCAGTGGCTGCTCTACTTTTCTCAAAACATTATGTGGCGAGCTACATGGGTTGAAGCTATGGGAAGGGTCTCAGATTCAGTACAATGGAATCTCGATGGAGACCATGATGCGAGAGTACAAGGGAGAGGTCCTTTATAACCAGGAGGTGGACAAACACTTTGCGCATCTTACAGTTGGACAAACCTTGGAATTCGCAGCAGCAGCAAGAACTCCCGAGAAGCGTTTGCAGGGCGCAAACCGACAGCAATTTGCCAAATATGTTACTCAAGTCGCAATGTCAATTTTCGGTCTTTCACACACGTACAACACCAAGGGTAAGTTTCCCGACCAGAGTCCTCAAGGTCGATTTGGCTCACACATATTTGTAGTTGGCGATGACTATATCAGAGGTGTATCCGGTGGTGAGAGAAAGCGAGTCAGGTTAGTGCTCCCACCCAAATAAACTTCTATAATATCACTAATCCTTGTCAGTATTGCCGAAATGGCCCGTGAGTTGCCCTACCTCGAATCCTATTAGCATGCCATTGACACATACAGTATCCGGAGCGCCTGTCGGAGCATGGGACAATAGTACTAGGGGTCTTGATTCAGCTAGCGCCCTGGAGTTTGCCAAAGCGTTGCGTGTTTCAGCCAACGTAGCAGGCACCTGCCATGCGGTGGCAATTTACCAGGCTTCGCAAGCAATTTACGACATCTTCGATAAAGCCATCGTCCTATACGAGGGAAGAGAAATCTACTTCGGTCCTTGCAGTGGCGCAAGGGATTATTTTATCAATATGGGCTGGTACTGCCCACCACGACAGACAACAGGTGACTTTTTGACGTCCGTCACAAATCCCCAGGAGCGCAAAGCCCGGGAGGGGATGGAGGACAAAGTCCCGCGAACCCCCGATGAGTTTGAGAAATACTGGAAGAACAGCCCGCAATTCGCTGAGCTTCGTCAGGATATCGCCCAACATTCCGAGGAGTTTCCTGTGGGAGGAGAGACAGAGCAGACTTTTGGCCAGGTTAAGCGATTCAGACAAGCGAAGCATGTCCGGCCCAAGAGTCCCTATGTTATCTCGATTCCGATGCAAGTCAAGCTGTGCACAATCAGAGCTTATCAGAGGTATGTTCTTCTGCCGCTGATATTTTGAGCACGACTAAAAGTGTCAGAATTTGGAACGATAAACCTTCTACGCTGACGACAGTCATTGGCCGAATTGTGATGTCTCTCATTATTGGTTCAATCTACTTTGGGTATGGTGGCACAATAACTGTTAAGTATGATTCTAACATTTTTAGGACACCAAACGCTTCTGCTGGCTTTCAAAGCAAAGGAGCTGCTCTGTTCTTCGCTGTCCTGTGAGTGACATGGATTTTCGGCAAACTACACAGGGAATAGACCTAACTTGGTATAGAATGAACGCTTTGATCAGTATAACGGAAATCAACTCGCTATATGATCAACGCCCAATTGTCGAGAAGCAGGCTTCGTACGCCTTTGTTCATCCTTTCGCCGAGGCGTTTGGTGGTATCGTCTCCGATATCCCTGTCAAGTTTGTCTCTGCTGTCGTCTTCAACATTATCTTTTACTTCTTGGCTGGCTTGGTAAGTTGGGTTTACGTCACTTTTGTGACTGTGCTGATATTTCGCAGCGATATGAACCCTCGCAGTTCTTTATCTTCTTCTTATTCACCTTCCTCAGCACACTCGCCATGTCGGCAGTCTTTCGTACGTTGGCTGCATCGACTAAGACACTCTCGCAAGCAATGTCCATGGCTGGAGTGCTAGTCTTGGCCATTGTTATCTACACCGGTTTTGTGATTCCCACACCACAAATGTCTGATGTCCCTTGGTTCAGCTGGATTCGATGGATCAACCCGGTCTTTTACACCTTCGAGGCTATGATAGCAAACGAGTTCCACGGCCGGAGGTTCGAGTGCTCTCAATTTGTTCCTGCCTATCCGAACCTGAGCGGCGATTCATTTATCTGCGCTGTCCGGGGAGCAGTGGCCGGAGAAAGGACTGTCTCAGGCGACAATTACATCTACTCGCAGTATCGCTATACCTACGATCACGAATGGAGAAACCTGGGCATTCTGATAGCCTTCTGGATTTTTTTCACCGTCATCTACTTGGTTGCAACTGAGATCAACTCTGCGACGTCTTCCAAGGCTGAGTTCCTTGTTTTTCGTCGTGGCCACCTACCAGCCAATATGCGTCATCTCGAGAAAGACCAAGGGGATGCTCCGCCTGTGAATACTGAACTGGCTGAAAAACCCACTGAAGTGGCCGCAGATACTTCTGCCATTCCGGAACAGCACAGCGTTTTCACGTGGCGGAATGTATGCTACGATATCCCCGTTAAGGGAGGTCAGCGCCGATTGTTGGACAACGTTTCTGGATGGGTCAAACCAGGCACATTAACCGCTCTGATGGGTGTTTCTGGGGCTGGTAAAACGACCCTCCTTGACGTACTCGCAAAACGTGTGTCTATTGGTGTTGTAACTGGAGATATGTTTGTTGATGGGAAACCACTGGACACCAGCTTCCAGAGGAAAACAGGTTACGTGCAGCAACAGGACCTGCATCTCCCTACCACAACTGTGAGGGAAGCCCTGCGCTTTAGCGCTGTGCTGCGCCAGCCAAAGACGGTTTCCAATGAAGAAAAGCACAAGTACGTTGAGGAAGTCATCGAGATGCTTAACATGCAGGATTTCGCCGATGCCATTGTCGGTACCCCAGGCGAGGGCCTGAACGTTGAGCAGAGGAAGCTCTTGACCATCGGTGTCGAACTTGCGGCTAAACCTGCGCTACTTATCTTCCTTGATGAGCCTACCAGTGGGTTGGACTCGCAGAGTTCTTGGTCGATTTGCGCTTTCTTGCGTAAGCTAGCAGACCGCGGTCAAGCAGTGCTCTCTACCATTCACCAGCCTAGCGCTATGTTGTTTCAACAATTTGATCGTCTGCTTTTCTTAGCAAAGGGAGGCCGCACTGTGTATTTTGGGGACATTGGACAGGAATCTCGGACCTTACTCGACTACTTCGAAGCCAATGGAGCACGGGCATGTGGCTCGTCGGAAAATGTTCGTCCTTGCCTTTCATTTTTTTTTTTTTAACGTATACTAATTCAAGCAGCCCGCGGAGTATATTCTCGAAGTCATCGGCGCGGGTGCTTCTGGGAAGTCCACCCAGGACTGGCCAGTTATCTGGAAGGAGAGCACGCAAGCCAGAGATATCCAGACCGAAATTGACCGAATCCACCAAGAACGGAGCTCAGCTACTACTGAGGACGACGACAACACGCACCAAGAATATGCTATGCCATTCACCAGCCAGCTATGGCGTGTAACCCAGCGTGTGTTCCAACAGTACTGGCGCGAGCCAATCTACATCTGGGCGAAATTGATCCTAGCTGTTGCCTCCTCGCTTTTCATTGGATTTACCTTCTTCAAGCCCAGTAGCTCTCAGCAGGGATTCCAGGACGTTCTGTTCAGTGCCTTTATGCTCACGTCTATTTTCTCCACTTTGGTGCAGCAGTCAGTATTCCTTGCCCTACTTAACCAGAATCATCCATTTACCAACCAACAATCACAGGATAATGCCCAAGTTCGTCATCCAACGCTCCCTATACGAAGTTCGCGAAAGACCCTCCAAGGCCTACTCCTGGGCCGCCTTCATCATAGCTAACGTCCTGGTCGAAATCCCCTGGCAAATCCTCGCCGGAATTCTCTCCTGGGCCTGCTACTACTTCCCCGTGTACGGCGCCAACCAGGCTCCGCACCGTCAGGGTCTAATGCTCATATTCATCGTCCAATTCTATATGTTCACATCGACCTTTGCAGCCCTCGTCATTTCTGCCTTGCCAGATGCCGAAACAGGCGGCACCATCGCAACGCTCATGTTCATGCTGACCCTCATCTTTAATGGCGTCATGCAACCGCCAAACGCGCTCCCAGGATTTTGGATCTTCATGTACCGCGTGTCCCCACTCACGTATCTCATTTCGGGACTTACGTCGACGGGATTGCACGCGCGAGCTATCGAATGCGCACCAGAGGAAATGAACGTATTTAACCCGCCCTCAGGACAGACTTGCGGCGAGTACATGGCCGCATTCCTCCAGGCCGCACCAGGAACACTTCACAATCCCTCCGCAACAACAGGGTGCCAGTACTGTGCTCTCGACAACGCGGACCAGTACCTCGCTGGTTCAAACATCTGTACGTATCCTCCTTGTCTTACTTCACCACACACCTGCAAACCCATCAAAGAAACAGTAACTAACCAAGGACAGACTACTCCGAACGCTGGCGCAACTGGGGCATTGGCTGGGCATACATCGGCTTCAACATCATGGGCACGGTGCTGCTCTACTACGTCTTCCGCGTCCGGCACTGGAACCCGACAAGTCTGGTTCGGGGCGTCAAGCAGGGGGGGCAGGTTGTTTGTCGGGTGTTTAAGAGGCGCAGTGGGGAGACGCCTAAGGGGAAGGAGGCGGAGAATGGGCGGTTGTATTGAATAGTCTTCAGCTGTGTTATTCAGCGTTTAATGAGGGATGAAAGGAGGAGGGAGGGAGTCGTGGGCAGGCAGGGGATTAGTTATTTATTTAGTTCGTGGTACATATATGCTGTAATAAATACTGGATTCTTCACAAGCTTTGCTAGCTCAATAATATCCAGTAAGCGTACATATCAACAGCAAGATTGGAGATTTGAAACAGAGATAACCACACCATACCAGTAACACCGACAGAAGCAGTAAGTACTTAAAACGAACCAAATGTACTCAGACCCAAATTGGAGAAAAATAGACAAGGTGGGTATTGTGCAAATGCAATAAATGAGTAGTAGAACGCCATCGTTTCGGAGTGGACGTGGTAGGAGTATCGTGAGTCGTGGATGAGTTTTCCTTCTGTGTAGGTCGTAATGCAGGGACAAAAGAGAGAGAGAGAGAGAGTATCGGGGAGGATGTGCCCTTGGGTAGGGAGGATTGGTTGGGTAGGTGGCATGCGAGTGCGTCTTCTTTTACTTCTCTCTCAACAGACACAGACTGGTCTGTGTTCTGCAGTCCTAATTCTGGTTGTCTTTTCTCGTCTCTGTCTATAAAGAGGGCAGAGGGGTTCTGTTTGAAATTTCAGACAGGTTGGGATTGTCAAGAAGAGGGCCGCCGCGCGACAACCAGAGCATTAACAACATTGCCTGGCTTCCAGCCCTGCTCAATGAGAGGCGTATGCTCTTTAAGCATCTTGCCTAGATAGACGATGCGAATGCGCTGTGTCTTCGGTATCTGTATACACGTGTTAGCCCATTGAACAGACCGAGCCTGCGGAGAAAAGAAAAGGCAGCTTACCCCGACCTCCTGCTGCAACTTCCTCGCAATTAACCCGACTGTCTGCGTCTTCTTCACAGAAACAATAACATCCGGTCCATCCCTATCACTCAACCTCGCCTTGACACGGACTAGATCGCGCTCGCTCGTCTTGCCCTTTTCGTCTCTCCGGCGCTCGCGTTCGCGCTCTACAGCGCCACCACCATCAGTGTCTCCAATTAATTCATCGCCCGAGGCTTCATCCAGCGCAATTTTCCTATCATCCGTCTCCAACCCTCCCTCTTCCTCGTCATCCTCTTCATCCTCTTCCTCGTCTGTCGTCCCACCGCGCTCCCGATCCCCATCTTCATCCGCACCAACCCTCTCAGCAACAATATTCTCCGGATCAGAGACAATACACCTCGCCAACCGATACAGCACCCCCTGCTCATCATAAACTCCCTGGCAGAGATCTCCCGTGGGGACCGTCACCCCGGCCGCATCGATGATGCTCTGCGCGGTGACGAGATCGCCCGCGCGCATGAGCGTCAGCGCCGCGGAGAGCGCAGCCCAGACCTCGGGGCGGCCCGTTACGCGGGTCTCGAAGAACTCGGTGCGTTCGCGGTCGAGGAGGGAGCGCGTCCAGCGCCGGCGCTTGCTGTGCCAGACATGCGGGCGGATCGGGGCGTTGAGGTGTTCGGTTAGTGGACGGGGGTTGGCGTGGTATGAGGGGTCGGTTGAGGAGGAGGCGGAGGGGTGGATTGGGGGTCGGGTATTGTGGCTGTTGTTGTTGCGGTCGTGGTGGCCGTAGGTATGACGGGAGATGAGGTTTGAGTTGGAGGTTGGTGAGCGCGAGGATGTGTGAGTGGGCGGTGCGGCGGATTGCTCTTCTGTTGGTGTTGGGGGTGCGTAGTGGGTGTCACGCGATAGGGAGAAGCAGCAGCCCTGGGTTGCTTTTGTTAATTGTGGTAGCTGAGGATAGGAGGTAGGAGACTTGCCATCTTGGTAGGGAGTCAACTCCATCAGCTACGGTGTGGATTGTGTAGATTAAGGTGCCATGAGATGGATAGAGTACGAAGAAAAGAGGCTGGCGGGAATGCAGAGGCGGAATGATTGCACGAGAGCAGCCGCTCAGATGGAATAGTGAGGCAGTGCGAATCTCTCGCGGAACTTGGACACGGACTACGTACAAGCACTCAAGGTACTTTTTCGCAACCGAAGAGGGGAAATGAGGGGATCTGGTGTATTTAAATTCAACCAGGATTGATCGGTGAAATTTCCGTGGTTCGCAGTGCCAGCCAGTCTCACCACCTCCCGTGTAATCGTAAGCTCCAGACCGTCAAGCCAGCTGGGCGCAGCCTACGAATGACTTGTGTGCTATTAAAGTACGGTCTGGGCGGGGTTCTGCGCGTTGGCATGCTTGCGTTTTCCTATCTATCTAGTAGCATGTGGTAGTACAGTTACTCTCTCGTAGCCCATGAGACTCGCTAATCATCCTCGTCATTACTTCCAAAAATGGCTTTGAATACTGCCTCCCCCGGTCGTTCGCCTTCAAGCGCCTCGTTGCGATCTGCTTCAATGATAACAGGTTCTTGCTTCGCTGCCGGGCCCGCTTGCATTGATGACACTGCGTCCCCACGCGATGAAGCTAGCGGGCCGCCGCCCCCACCAGCCTCGAGCAGAAGCTGATTCATGACCTCTTGCGACACCAAATCTCGCGGTCGAGAATCGGTCTGGTATCCTGCGGACTGGAAGCGCCTTCCCGTCGAGGACGATGCGGTTGAAGGTTCGCCCGGATCGACTTGGACATGGCTCGGCGGTTTGATGTTGAACCGTTTGCACAATAAACGAGTGGGGTAGAAAGAGACGGTGGTGCGCGTCATCGGCCCGAACATGCCAATCTTAGCGGCGGCGACCGCTGGGTCCTCAGGCTTGTCGCTGGGCTTACTCAGGAGCGCATCGGTGCTCGACTCGGCTTCATCCGAGGCACCTTTCGGGCCAGAAGACGCAGATGTAAATCGCGATGCCATCACTCCAGACACGGGCTTGAATACCTCCGCTGCTCTTGCAAATTCGTTAAGCTCGTTTACCCAGTCATCCGTGCTGGATCCTGCGACGCGGTCCGGAAGGCTATCCCGCAAGCCAGCCCGGATCTCAAGAAACGACCGGTAGCGGACCCGCTTGGCTTCATCCTCCGAGTATGGCATCCAACCGCTCGCGGCGCGCGTCAAAGCTTGAACGGCCACGAGCTTGTCTAGTTTGGGGACAAGATCCCACAGTTCTTTTCGTTTTTGTGACTCTGAGAGCTCGAAGCCTTTCGGGGCCTTCTCACCTAGTGCGGGTGGTAAATTCGTGTTTCCGGTAAGCTTCGCAATCTTGGCCCGGCCCTCGGGTGTCAACCAATCGAAGATGGACTTTGCTGGCAGCTGGTCCTCTCCTAGAAGCGCAGCTCGCGAAACTGGATCCAGAGTAGAAGCTCTAGCTGCATCAGCTGTAGAGACATATTCCGAGCCATTGCGTTCCGTCGAAGGGGTCTTCTTGGATTTCCAGTCTTTCGGGATCTCGGGGGGCGCATATTTCCTCTCCGAGGTTAACGAAAGACTGGCAATGCCATCTGCAAGTAAAAATCCGTCCAGAGGCAGACGGCCGTCGTGGCACTTTCTAAAACCCGCGGCGCCTTTCGCAGCAATGGTCTTCTTCGGAATGAAGATTGGTTTGTTGCTCAAGAGAGGGTTCGAGGAGCTCAATGCGATCTTCGAATCATCCGCAGGTTTTGGTTTCTTTTTCTTCTTGTCGCCTCCAATCACCCGGTTATATGAAATCTGAGGGCCCATTGAGTATGGATCTTCATCGTCTGACCCTGTATCGTTGAGCACGCCAACTCCGAATGCTCCTCGTCGAGGTTTGGTCTTCGATTGCTTCGACTTTGGCTGAGTAATGAGTTGACGACCGAAGAACGAATCAGCATCTTCATCGGGTTCGTCGTGTGCTTCCTGGCGAGAGCCAAGGCGTGCCTCGCCTTCGAACCCGAGTCCTTTGTAGTCCGTTTTGCGCACAAAAGCGACCATGGGCGGGTTTTCTGGCGCGAATAGGTATGTCTGGTCTTCAGCGCCAGGGTGGGCGTTTGAATCCCCTAGATCAGCTTTCCGTCTCACTTTCGGACCAATGCCCTGCCCTTCCTTCCATCCCATCTTCTTTAAAAGCTTCACGCCAATCGTTTCGCCCGTAACCTTGAAGACATCCATGAGGCCCTCGCGACGAGTAATTTCGGTCGCCGTTGACCCAAATCCAGAAAAGTCATCGTTGGTATGTAGCCTACGCGATTCCTCTGCCTCGCGAACATCCTCCTCATCCATAAAATCCTCCGCACGCTGTTGCCGCGCATCCTTTGCCCTGTTCTGGCGCGAAGATACAAATGTGGAAGGCGTCCATCCCTCCTTGGATCCGACTGTGTTGAAGTACCTGATGTAGAGGACCACGTTTAGTTTGCTGTCCAGATGGGTCCGTGAATCGTGGGCTCACCCGGCACTGAATCCACCGGTGAAGGCGCCATGCAGACGTTTCCTTCCCCGGTCGTCTGTCACCTCCTGCTTCCAGACTGGTACGTATGATCCATCGTCGCGGGTACCGGCATCGAGTGCTGGAAGAGGGGTACCGTAGAAGGCGTATGGTGATTGCTGGGCCTGGAAGTCGGCTTCGAAAGCTGCGCGCGTCCTTTTGCTAGCCATCTGGGCGTTTATATCGAAAAGATTATCATAGCGACCACTGGATCGCGAGTCGAATATCGAAGCCAAGTGTGAGGAGAGTGCTTCAATAAAAACAAGAGAAAAGTCATGGAGCGGCCGGTTGCTGGGGACAAGATCGGGAACATGTGACACCGGAAGAGGTAAACGCACCGCCACAAATGAGGCTTGTATTTGTATACACCACCATAAATACCACATACTTTGTCCGTTTGAACGGTCCCTTCTTTTTCCTTCATGAGTTGCACAGACTCGTTGTTTGCTCCTAGGACTCGGTTGCCAGCGAATCCGAGGCCAGCATGGGCGCAGACTTCAAGGCAAATCTTGCGAGTCCTGCAGAGCTCTGTGATTCATCACGTTGGAGGCGTTTCCCAGCCCCCAAATCTCCATTTTACGGAGTCTCGACCAGATGGTCTCTCGTTCTCCGTGCCCAAAGCCCCAAAATAATTACGAGCACGACTGAGTTGACCATCAGGCACCCTTGAGGATAAGGTGGCTGAGTGCGAGCTAGCTTGTGACAGGTGTCACCTGTTTCGACATGAAGCTTTATTTAACATTTTCAATTTAAGAATGAGAGCAGATGGCGTATGAAAAATGATATCAGACAAGTCGAGCGATCGAAACTTGAACCCAGTGTAAAATCGTCTCAAAAGGGCGAATAAGAAGGGCAGCGCTGAGGCATCGGGATGGATGCTTGCGGCCCCTGGCTTCGAAGTTCGTTTCCCTTCATGTGTTTCTCCGCAGCCGCATCCATAGTCAACGCTCTCGCTTTCCACAACACAGTCTGAGTCCACACGCTCACTCCTTGACCTTCAACCTGCCCTTCCTTTACCCCCCTCAATTCGCCTTCCCTCCCGCCTTCTCCAGATTTACCCTCGCACATGGAGTCGCTGTGAACGGCTTTGTCCGGCGACGATCACCTTCCTTTGGGCTCTCGTCAGCAAACGCACCTCTCCCCCACTCGCTCCCCCGACCGGCCTTCCCATCCTCGTCCTTGGGCTTTCATCACCCAACCCTCCCGCAGTCATCAGCGACGCCGTTCGACTTGAGCGACTCAGGTTTGAATTGTTGCTGAGCTCGAATTCCTTTCATTGAACTTCTTTTCCATCGTAATGTCCACCGCTGCTTCTCCTGCTGTCGCCCGCAGCCACTCCACCTCTTCCCGGCCACCTTCCTATGGCACTGCATCGTCCGACGTCCCTCACCGGACTAGAAGCGTCGCTGTGAGGCCCGCGACGGCATCGCAGCCGTCTCCGATACAAAATAGCTCCTCTCATCCTCGCCATTCGTATTCAAAGTCTCAATCTTATGACCGCCGACCGCCCACCAACAACGCCGTATTTGATAACATAGCTCGTCGGGATTTCGAATCCGCCAAAGGCGCCCAGCAACACTCCTCCCGTCGGGAATCCTCGAGGGAACGCTCCCAGGAACGCCCATCAACTTCTTATCGTTCCGAATCTTCCTCACATAAACCACAAAGAAACCTCTCGGTTAGAAGCCATCATCGCGATAGTGCAGACATGGCCAGCGCAGGGCCTGTGGCAGCAGATGGGGGTGCCGGTCATTCCCAATCGACCTCGGGACACCATTTACACCCCGGAAATTCCGCTCAGTCGAAACGGCGTACAATGATCACTACCCCAACTGGCCAATGGTCATTGGGTAAAACGTTGGGTGCGGGCAGTATGGGTAAGGTCAAAGTAGGGAAGCATCTGGAGACGGGGGAACAGGTAAGCAACTCCGGCATCATACCTACACATATTACTAACTATTCTGTGTAGGTCGCTATCAAAATCGTGCCCAGACAGTCGACTGAAGAGCATCGCAGTGCTCGCGAGGCCGAAAGGGCGGATCGCTCAAAGGAGATTCGGACTGCGCGCGAAGCCGCCATTGTCAGCCTGGTGAATCATCCCTATATATGCGGCATGCGTGATGTTGTACGGACCCATTACCACTGGTACATGCTTTTCGAGCTCGTCAATGGTGGACAAATGCTGGACTACATCATCTCTCACGGTAAGCTAAAAGAAAAGCAAGCGAGGAAATTCGCACGCCAAATTGCCAGCGCGTTAGACTACTGTCACCGCAATAGCATCGTGCATCGAGATTTGAAGATCGAAAATATTCTAATCAGCAAAACCGGCGACATCAAGATCATCGACTTTGGTCTTAGCAACCTTTTCTCTCCTCGGAGTCTCTTGAAGACATTCTGTGGTAGTCTTTACTTTGCGGCTCCTGAGCTACTCCAGGCTAGGCAGTACACTGGGCCAGAGGTGGATGTCTGGAGTTTCGGGATTGTTCTCTACGTTTTGGTTTGCGGCAAGGTCCCATTTGATGACCAGAGCATGCCGAAACTTCACGCAAAGATTAAGCAGGGATCATTCGATTACCCTCCCGGGCTTACAACTGGTGAGTTATCCTTTCTCGTCTCGTCTATCGATAACATGATTAACCTATTGTATAGAATGCCGCCATATCATCTCACGCATGTTGGTAACCGATCCGAAGCAACGCGCGACCCTGGCCGAGATTATGAACCATCCGTGGATGAACAAAGGCTTCAGTGGGGCGCCGGACAACCACCTCCCGACCCGCGAGCCGTTACAGCTTCCCTTAGATCCAGAGGTGATTGAGAAGATGACCGGGTTCGATTTTGGACCACCCGACTACATTGCAGCGCAACTTACCAAGATTATTGATTCCGAAGACTATCAACATGCTGTTGCACTCAACGCTCGTGAGCAGCCACCTCCTGCGCAAACCGATAAAAAGCGCGGAGTTTTTGATTTTTACAAGCGACGAAACTCCGCCAGCAAGGATACTCTCTCGGCCCCCTCAGCAGAAGCTGTTCAGCTAGGAAATGATCCCTTGAACGCTTACAGCCCTCTATTATCTGTGTATTACCTCGTCAAAGAGAAGCTGGATAGGGAGAAAGCGGAGGCCAATCCCGGGGCCCTCGGCATTTCACAAGCTTCCGGTGATGTGTTGCTCCAAGTTCCAGATCTTCCCGCCCCTGAGGCCGCGCATACCAACCAGTATCATGTGCCAGGTGAGAAGGACACTGGACGGCGGTCTCGTCCGCGTGCGCGAACACATGGGGATGACGAGATTACAGAAGGCATGAAAAATGTCAATCTTGCACCGCAGCACGGACAAGCGTCCCACAGCCCCGCTGCATCGCAACCCGAGACTCCCGCTAAGAAGGAGAGTACTGCTGCCGGTCTTTTGAGACGCTTTAGCACCCGGAGAACAAAGGACCGAAGCGGGGACCGCGAACGGTCAAGACTCACAAGCCCTCATGCGCCCGCTCTGAATGTGCAGCCACCCGCCGATTCCGCTTCTCCTCTCTCGAGAGGATTTAGCATGCGTCGCAGCCGCCGTGCGGAACCTTCTCCGACCACGATTCCGTCCGCGGGCAGCCAGCCCCAGCATCAGGACCTCCTCAAAACTCCCGGATCTGCAGAGCCGGCCTCGCGATCCAACAAGTTCCTTGAAAGATCAACAAGCGTCAGCTCAGCCGAACCCCGATCGCGACGGACTCGCCGAGCGGATCCTGATGCCTCGAGCCAGCCACCGCAAACAAGTGGCTCGGAGCACTCAACGCCTGTACCAAAGGAGGCTTCAACACCCGGACGTGAGCAGAAGGTGCTGACTCGTACGCACGCCAGTCGGACCATGTCTCTTGGGCATGCTCGTCGTGAAAGTATACAAGCCCGTCGGGCACGGCGGGATGCCGCGAGGGAAGCCAACGTCCCTGAAGAGACTGATGGCGAGGCCTCTGGCCCAGGGGCTGCTCTGGAAAGCGCAAACGAAGAAGACTTGTCCAAACCAGTCTACCTCAAAGGCCTGTTTAGCGTTTCTACTACTAGTAGCAAACCACTCACCTTTATCCGAGCCGATATTATCCGGGTTTTGAAGCAGCTGGCTGTTGAGTATGAGGAAATCAAGGGGGGCTTTAGCTGTCGCCATGCTCCTAGCATAGACCTAGAAAAGGTCGTCGATAATGGACCTCCAAGCCCTGAACGGCAGGGCCAGGTTTCTGGTCACCGTCGCCGCATAAGCTTCGGAGGCCTATTAAACCACGACGATGGCCGTGAAGAGGTCCGAAACACACAGCGCCGTCGACAACGAGCTCCTGATCGCAGCTTTGTCACCAATTCAGAAGCATCGGACGAATATTTGGAAGCCCGTGATACCAACGTAGCCGTTGGCGAGCGTGTCGTGGGAGAGACGACGACACGAGTTCAGAGTGACACTGGCGAAAACCTGGTGCTCCGGTTCGAAATTCTCATCGTCAAAGTGCCGCTTTTCTCCCTTCATGGTATACAGTTCAAGAAAGTGTCTGGAGGTATGTGGCAGTACCGTGAAATGGCGAAGAAGATCCTGGATGCTCTACGACTTTAGTACCCTTCGCCATCTGCATCATTGACGTGACGTGATATTTCCATTTAACGGCAGGCCAAATTTGGTTCATGACTATACATGACGTGACACATTATTTCTCATGCATTTCTTTTATTTTATTTTATTGCTTCGAGCGATTTGTACCTGTGTAGGCGATGTTAACACTATGCTGGCGCATTTGCAAGAGTGCTTGTACTTGGTCTTTTCTGGGAAGCGAGCATCGATTACGAATGGTCAATCTTCGTCATGTGATCAGTCTGCCATGCTTCCATACCTCAATTTCACCCCGATAATTTGGCCTCTAGCTAGCTTGCCTCGTTGCTTTATTCTTCATGTGTAGCTTATAGATGGGATTTTGATTTTTAGCTAGATGACCTGTAGTCTATCTACTTTCTTCTTTGAGTATTCTGTGTGCATTGTGGGGTAACGCCGGCCAAACGCGAAGGCGGTGAGCTGCGTAGTCAGTGCTTAGTCATCAAATCTTGGCTTGGCATTCCTTCTCCAGCGAACTTCAAGCATACTTTTTGCAACAGTCAGAGCAGATATAAAGATAGAAATTGTAGTATCAGAATCAGCAGGCTGTGGTCCATAAAGATACCATAGTTTGGCCCCATGATTGGAAAGTGGGTTTGGCGGCCTGTATTGCTGGGGTTTAGGCCTGAAACTTTTGGCTTTGGGCGCGAATTACTGGGCGCAACCAACACCACGCGAGCAGGCCTTACAGGCCCCCTGCAGGGCGGCCCCTATGTACTTGACGAGTCCCATTGTCCCATTGCCAATTCAGCTTCACTTGACAATTTGAAGTGAAGTCACTACCAGCGGCGACCTTTGATTCGCTCAATTGATATAGAATATGCGATGAAATGTTTATGCCTTTCTTTTTATCTTTTTCTTGATTATTTCGCCGCTGAGATCAAATGCAAATAGATTCCTGGAAAAACTGAGAAATAGTGTTGATCTATTTACTAAATTAACTAGTTAGATATATAAAACTGACTAAGCCGTAGCACTCCGCCTTCCCAAAACAGTCAAGCCCCTTTCAGATAACACAAGCTCTCTGGCAGAAAAGCACCCAGTTGGATATTTGGATTCCTCTTTTGTTCTTTCCCCTAGAATGTGACCTTGACCATCTTCGAAGCGGGCTCTATACGGCCTCTATTTGGCTAGAAATTATTGATCTGTTGCTTTGATATATTACTCATGACACAATCAAGGATGCTCATTGATCTCACACAAGATTCAGAGTCTGAGGACCAGATCATGGTAAGTCTAAGCTGTTCAAGTGAAGTTGGATTTGTGTTTCTTTGTTTTTAGGTCTATCCAGATCCCCGCCCATCCATTGGCTCTTCACTTACCCAGGTTTATTTTCCTGGTTCATGACATCTTCACACTCTATTTTATCTCCTTTTTATTTTCACACCCAATTCCCTTTGGTTTGAGCCTTCTTTGAGCCACGACTGAATGTCTTACCTCGCTGCCTCCATAGCGCACTTTGTTATACTTGTTTTGTTCTAGCAACGCCAGAATGAACCTGATATACTGACACTTCTTAGACAAAACCACCTCGTTTATTCTCTGCTAACCTCGCTCACCGCGAATTCTCCTCGACAATTCCCTTAAAGAGAAAATCGGACAGGGACTCGGATTCATCAGCATCTCCCTTAAATGCCTATACGTCTGTTCTCCAGCCTAACAATGGGAACATCAACAATATACAGGCGACATTTAAGGTCAAGAGGAGATCAGAACCGTACACGCCAAGCCCAGCCCTCGAGTCTGGTAGCGGAACCGATCTCTGTGTTGTCGTCCCATCTCCTTCAGCACAGCTGAAACGAGAAATTGATACTGCTGAGTACATCCATGACGGTGAACTCATTGCGCTGTCTCAAAAGTTTTACCCAACTGATGCACTTGAAAAACGTGCAGCAAGAGGCACTTACCCAGCTGCCAGAAGCGTCAAGCGCGAAACATACCCGTTCAGAATCGGGAACCCGGGCCCCTTCCTTACAGAAAGGGAAAGAAAGCCTGTGGTACAGACACTCTGCGAAAGTCTAAGGCGCAAACTCGCTACTATTAGGGGCCCCCCCGTGACTGTGGCGCCGGGAGATGAGGAGCGTCTTGCGCAGAGCACATCGAGTTTTGAGTTTGTAAACAAATACAAGCTCCGAAATGGCGTGGCGCCAATTGGGCAGGAGTTCCTCGCTGGCTGCTCATGCGAAGAAGTCTGCGACCCGGCTCGTTGCAGTTGCCTGACGCAGGAAGAGAACTCGAACGAGCGTATTATTCCATATAAGACTTCAAGGGAGGATTCGCGGTTCTGGGGTCTTTCGCCGGAGTTCATGCAAAGGACATCTATGATTTATGAATGCAATGCGCTTTGCGGGTGCAATGAACGTTGTTGGAATCGGGTAATAACCCAAGGGCGTAAAGTGAAGCTTGAGATCTTCTTCACGGGCACACGTGGTTTCGGTACGTTTCTCTCCTCCTCAAAAGGGGAAGCCAAACCCTAACAAAACCAGGTCTTCGCTCACCAGATTTTATTCGAGCAGGTCAATTCATTGACCTTTACCTCGGCGAAGTCATAACAACCACACACGCCGACCGGCGAGAAAAGGCCGCAGCAGCGCGTAACGCCCCCTCATACCTCTTCAGCCTCGACTTCTTCATCAACGACGACACAATCTATGTCGTCGATGGCTGCAACTTTGGCGCCGCGACCCGCTTCATCAACCACTCCTGCAACCCAAACTGCAAAATGTTCACAGTCTCCCGCAACCACGGTGACGAAAGGCTCTACGACCTCGCCTTCTTCGCCGTAAAGGACATCAAACCCGGTGTGGAATTGACCTTTGATTATAACCCGCACATGGAGCGGGTTGATAAAGTGGCACCTGGGGCGGTCCCGTGTCTCTGTGGCGAGCCGAATTGTCGCGGGCAACTCTGGGCAAATAAGAAGAAGAGGAGGGAGAGGTTCTAGCCTGTCTGTCTCGTTCTTTTGTTACGTTGACTATTTTCTCACTGTTGCGTTGGAGCGGGTCGGCTTTCAACTTTCTGTGGCGTTTCATGGAGGAGCCAACGTCGTCTCGTAGAAGGGTCATCTTATTTGTGGGTTGCATAGGAGTGCTCACTAGGCACCTGGCGTTCCATGCGTTTCGTGGCATTGCATTGGTGAGGAGTTGGACTAGGCCTATGGCCGTTTCTTATGCTGGTCTTCTGAGTTTTTTTTTTTGATGTTTTTATGCTCTTTCTCTTTCCCTGCACCTCCCTCCGTTCTATGCTTCCTTGACGTTGTCGGCTGCAGGCGGCCAGGCCCGAGCTGGACTCCAGGTATACCTGCAACCTCACTCCGCCCTGCTTTTCTTTACTCCATGTTCCTGTTGTTTATCTCCATATGATATACCTGCGTCTGCATCTGCACCTATCTTGCGAAATTGCAGTCTTTCTACCAGCGGAGCGAACGATACCCATGCCTTTCACTTTCTTCTTCCCTTTCCCTCGTTCTTCTTCGCTTGGGCATGTCTCCTCATACACCACTATGATAAGCTTGAATGAATGAACAACCTAGGCCTACTCTTACTAAGAGAGCAGGACATATTACATAATACCCAATGCCTTACGTTTCAGATGTGCGAGTATAATCGAACTCTCGCTTTTCTTGCTAAAGCCCTTTACAGTAAAGGTAGGTCTTTTAAGAATTTTGACCTGTCATATTCTCAAAGTTCAGACCAGTTGAGAGTGCAGTAATTGTTTGGGCTTGACTTGAGTATTTCAGGCTGTATTCTAGTGGAGTATCTAGCCCCCTGCTACTGGGCACCCTATAATACTTAGAGTACAGTACCAGTTTTTCTAACGGCATAGTGCACATGGGCATTGTTACTATTGCCTGCTTTTACAGAGATAGAGGTACCCTAAACAACTAAAGCTAGTACATTTTTTTACTAACTCCACCAAGCTCTTATATCACGGCTTGAAACAAAGAGCTAAAAACAGGAGCACTTTTTATTCATCTTCACATAAGCGTATATGGTAAAATACTTTCCCTAGCAGATCAGGTTATAGAATCATAGTAACTCAAGACTCCAAGTTGAAGAAAATACCCTAGTTCAACCCAGTCCAAATCGCGCCCTAACTACTGCCTAGAAACCCAATGCTAACACCGCTTGGTGGGTCCAAGCATCAACAACCCAAAATCCCAAGAAAAATAAAATATTGAATACTTGACGTGCCTCAACAGGCAGCAAAAGAAGATTATGAGAAGAAAATTGAGACGAAAATCACCCCCTCCCCTCCATAACCTCAAAAATCCCACCGAGCACAAACCGCGGCTGCGAAAGACGCCTCGAACGAATACTGGTACTATCTGCGGAGCCAGAGGATAGCCGATTCTCGCGGAAGCCGGAAGACTCATCAGAAGTCATCGTCGGGATTTGGGCGTGTGCCACAGGTTGCATGTACAGCTGCTGGATCCGGGTATCGATTCCGAACCCCATGCTGGCCCCGCTAATTGGCTCTAGATCGACGGGGCGAGGTTCCAGGAGACTCAACCCTTGTCGTTCGACTACATCGACGTCGCACCGGGTTCGTTCTTGGCGGAGAATTGTGTCTATGTTTGAGGGGCGGCGGCGGAGGGGGATCTGGATCCCGCCAGAAGAATGGGCATGGTGGGTGTGGTGAGCTTGAGTGTGCGTGTTGGAGAGCGCCGTTTTGGTGCTGTCATGCATAGGACGCGGAGTGCGTATGTGCTGGAATTGAAAGATAGAAGGCGATGTCGATGGTGATGTTGGAGAAGATGGAAGAGTGAGAGTGGAGGCGGAGCTTAGTGGGCTTGCTGGCGCCGTTGAAAGGTAGTCGCTCGTAAACGTGCTGTATGGGCGAGCACTTTCGTTGTCATGCTCGCTGTCTGTAATTGTGGTCTTATGGCGGGGTTGGAATGAGGTGTGCAGAAGAGGGAGACTAGGCGTTGAGGATTGATTTGGGCGCATCTTGATCTTCCTCTGGCGGAGAAAATGCGAAACAGAGATTTTTTTCTGGGTGGCGGTTGGGTTGGATTTAATTCCTGCAGAGAGGTCGAAATGTGATATATATCTTCCTCGAGCGGTTTCCCCGCATGAACCCTGAATAGAGTGCCCAAGACTGATAGGAATCAGATAGCGCGACGTCTGGAGAAGATAACAGATTCCAGAGGCCAAGGCACAGAAAGTAGGTCAGGACCAAAACCGTTAAATGCAGGGCAAGTAAGATGACGAAACTGAAACTCGGAGTATAAGGCCGAGTGGGGTTGAAACAAGGCGCAGTCTCAGATTCGTCAAGGATGGTTAAATTGAACTCGGACGCTTCGGAGGGCCAACGCAGCGAATGGATATGCCAGAATGACCGTTCCTGCGAAGGGGAGAGGAGGAGAAATCTTCGGTATTTAAGAGCACCCTGGTCACGACAAGGAGCCGGAAGGCATGGGTTAAGTGTCCATGAAGAGGTTCAGTGTCGGCAAGGCACGCGCGGTCTAGTAGAAAGTAGTCCGGAACCAGGGGGGAAAGGGGAGAGAGGCGGAGGTTTTCCATGAGGTCGAGACAGTAGAAGCCAATTATGAGAGATGCGCACTCGAGGATTTAAATGAAAACAGCAATCAAAAGGGAGAGATGGGGTGATGGAGAGTTGGGATGGAATTTGAGGCGACGAAGACGGGCTGATGTGGCTGCCGCATTCGGTCATCGCGGCGAGACAAAGAACCATCACACCACAAGACACAGCCAATCCTTGATTCGATTCCTCTGCTGTTTTTAGCAGCGAGGAAGTATATTCGTGCCCAAATCATTCTACTGACTTCTACTACCTATCGAATAACCTGCCCGGAAAGGAAGGGGATTCCTACGCTCTGAGACTATGCCCAGACTTTTGGAGCCAAAATTTGTCAAAATAGGAGATGAGTGTGAACAAGCCAATCAGTCTTGATCTCGAGTCGTCTGACTACTAGAGGCGAGTAAGCCTTCCGTAGTTCTGTGAAAAGAGTTGAAGGGTCAAAGCTGAGGAGAAGCCCAGGGAATTAAAGAAGGCTATAGCCACTAGACTTACAGTCCTTGAGCAAAGTGGCGTAATATCGGACTGGCCACAGAGGCAAAATCCCAAATCACCTACCATCCGAAGAACTATACAAGTAGGACAATAACGATAAAGTAAATATGTACTTTGTCTAGATAATCTACTCCAGCACGCCATTGCTATGCATCCCAAAGCCAAACAGTCAAATACCCGCGCAGCATGAAACATCAACATCAACGTAAGCATCAACAAGATCTAAAGGAAAGAAAAACATGAAATGAATAGTCTTAAGTCTTGTGATTGCGTCGCGTGACCCCAATTAGCCAAGAAATTGTCGCGCACATATCTTACAATATGAACATGAGGAAAAGGAAAGGGAAAAGGATAGAGAGAGCCGTATAATAGTTGTTTAGTTGTGGAGGGTCATGTTCATAAGCACGAGTCGGCATTCGAGATGAGATCTCGTGGCTTGTTTCATTTGTGACGCGTCGCATCATGTCTCATCCCTCGATCGTCGCCGCTGCGTGAAACTGCGGCGGATACTCTCGCCCCAGGCGGAGTCACCGAGCGAAGCCATCACGTCGTTCACGCTCATCGCGCTGTTGTTGCGCGAGTGGTCTGCCGACCGCGGCGGTTCGAAGGTGGGTCGTTCCGGCCCGGGGTCATAGGAGCCGGTTGTGTTGGCCCGATCCCTGTTGGGCGATAGGGAGATGCTGATATTCGACCATTCGGACGGGGAGCGCTCTTCTGGGTTCGGTCGACCGGCAACGCTTGTGTCGAGGCGGGGAAGCTGGGAGGGACCAGCTTCTGACCGGCTTGGTGAGAGCATGGACCATTCTTGGGCCGGGCTTGTTCCGTCTTGTCCCGTGTTTGGGTGGTCTTCGGACTGGCCTTGCTGGGGTTCATCGTCGACGTAGATTTCGGGAACGTTGAATTGTGGGACGAAGGTCATACGGGCGGAGCGTTTCTGGTCGATCTTTCGGCGGAACTCCCGGGCTGCGGTGAGAGTTTTGAAGAAGCCGATGACTGTGTTGCGGCGAACGGCCTCCTCAACACGCTGCAGCTTTGCGCGACGCCGTAAAAATTCTTCAAGCTTCAAGCTCTTGCTGTCGCTGATGACGTTGTAGTGTGCGAGGATCATTAGACAAGAATGGAATGAGATACCCAGCACGGGGTCTGCAGACACCAGGATTTCTTCATAGAACTCATTAAGTCGCTTACGGCGTTCCCTTACGGTGTTGAGTGGTATCTTCCGGATGATCCTCGCGAGCTTGTCAAGATCGACACCCTCAACCACTCGTCGGTGAGCAAGAAGTGAGTCGCGCTTGTCGACCCTACATTCGTCGAGGATACGTGGGACCATGAATTCGCCCTGGTAGATGCGCACTTCAAAAACGCCGGTGAGTTCCTGTCATCGTTAGTTTTGCTTGGCTTGAAGTAGATATCAAACATACCCTGAGTAGCCGTGGAAAGTGTTCTTTGGAGATATAGCCAGTGCCCTCCGGGTCGAACTCGGCCCAGGCTTGCTTGAAGCGGCGAATCTCCTCACGGCTAATGACATAAAGTCCACTGCTCCTTTGGTAGACGTAGGAGAAACTCTCGAAAATCAAAGAGACGAACAGCGAGACGAAGATGTACATGCTGATAATGTTCCATGATATGAAGAGCGCTCGAGCCCAGCCCTTACTTCCGCAGTCGTTCGCAAAGTTTGAGATATCGCCATCAGTACAAAACGGGGGTTCCATTCCCGCAAAATCTTCCATGAGCTCATTCCATCCCTCACCGCAGCTGAGTCGGAAGAGCAAAATCAAAGCTCTGGGAATATCTCTGAAGTTGATGTTCCCATTCTCGTTGGCACCGAACTTTGTCAGGCCAAAAGCTTGGTTCATCGCGATTGCATACACGAGGAATAGAACAAACCAGGTTGCCAGCAGGTTTCCAATGGAAGTCAGACTAGCCGCGGCCGTCTTGAACAGTTGATCGAGTTGGTTGTTCCTAGGAATGAGAAGCAAGGTTATTGCGACGAGGAAGAGCTTGCTCAGCACAACAATCGCCTGAGTCCCTGATGATGTAAAGTTGAGAATCGAGGTGACGATAGTGCCTGGCACAACAAACAACGCGTAGAGATCCCAAGAGCTCCTTCTAAAGCGCTGCCAGCCCAGTCCAAATAGGCGCAGAATGACATTGCCCGCATAGAAGAAATTGAACGCGAAGAAGATGGCGTCTCGAATCAAGTCCCATGTCGCATTTTCGGGATAGAATTCGATAATCAGCAACACGAGATGAAGCACAAGAATTGTTGTAACAGTTCTCGCCCAGCGGCCATGTTTCTTGTAGGCTACTCGGTAACACCACTGCTTCCAACTGGTGGTTTTCTCGGTGGACCGACGCTTGGAGGGCGAGACTTGTCTGAGGAGCTTCCTCAATTCGAGCCAGGATCGCTGCTCAGCGGTCAAGAAGGCAACTCCAGTCTGCTCAGTGTAGTTACGCATGAACACAGACACGAACAGGGTTAGGACGAAGACAGCACCGAGCAAATTGAACACGATGAAGAACAACCCGTTCTCCGGTGCTGCAAAGGACTCTGGCTGTTGCCCTACCCCTGTAATAGCCATTGCCTTTGCCTGGACGTCTGTCCACCCTTCTTGTGAGACAATCTGGAAGAGGATGAAGAGCGAGTTGCCAAAATTGTCAAAGTCATAGAAAGGGTTGGAAGCCACTCGAGGCGCAAGAACTTCCCAGTCATACGGTGAGCTCATGAACTCGCCAACGCACGCGCTCAATGCTCCTTCGAAATTGTCATCATTGCATTCGACCATTTGTCCAGCGAATAGATTAACACCGTAGATGGCGAATGGAATCAGGAAACTCATCGAGACCAAGGCAGCCTGAGTAGTTAGTAAGTATGATGTAGTAATTTAGTCTAGGTACTTACGGCAATAACTTTCCATCCTCCAACGATGATAACGGAATGGAACGTATTCTTTGCACTGTCACTGAAATTGAGCAGTCTCAGCGCCCTCAGAGCTTTGAACGCACCAATAGCCCTCGAGACGCCCCTGTCCGAAGTCAAACTGCTTAGCACATTGACCCAAAGAGTGACTAACACAATGCCGTCAATGAAGCCCCAGGAGCCACGAAAGTAAGCATTAGGCGTCCAGAAAAATCCATCAGCAATCACTTTGATAATAGCTTCAATAGTGAAAAGAATTGCAAAGCCCAAATCGGTGTACGTGAACCAGTCCCTGTTCGTTTGAAAGTTCTCGCTCTGGTAAATCGGCGTGGTTATACAGGCGAGAATAACCATGGCCACGATAGCAGCATAGACAAAGGCGGAAAAGGTGTACCATACGGGCTTGAAGGGGTCCACACCCTCTACACGTTGATGCCCGCGCCCTGGACCAACAATGCACTGGCAGAGCCTTCGGATGCGGTCATCTGGCTTGAACAGGAACAAGGACTTGTTATAGTTCGGATGGCGTATTAGGTATTCTCGTTGGGCACGCTTTCTTTGCTCGGCGGCCGTGACGACCTCTTTGGCCATCCCTTGAGGCCCTAGCTCCTCGTATGCTCCAGAAATCTTCAGTTTCGAGTAGAAGGGATTCGGCTCTCGCCGCATGACTGATGTTGTGACGGTAGTCCATGCGCGTGAGATCGCTCCAGGCTGCACAAGTCCTTCCCCAGTCGTCGCACTCCGTTCTAGCGGGCCATCCTCGCGCCGTTGATTCTCTGATGGCATCTCTTCGTCCAGAAACTCGCGGACAACAGCATCCTTCAGAAGCATATCTAGTGCTGCCGGCCCGTGATCAAGTGGGTCTTTAAAACGAGATGTGCGCCGCCCAATCTTCAATATCTTGGATAAAGATAGATTGCCCTGTGACGCGCCATTGACTTGCTTCTGCTCCAGGAACGCTCGGACCTGGTGAAGTCGCTTTTCATCTTCCGAAACGTCGAAACTTTCCTGGATGACAGCAATGAACATATTCAGGATGATGAAATTAGCGAGGACAAACCACAAAACGACGAAAGTTGCAGAGATCCATGCAGTGTTGAAGTCGTAAGTGTACGATGTTACGTTGTAGAGAACGCCGGTCCAGTTCTCGCTGGAAAGAATCTGGTACATGCCAAGAAAAGAGTTGTAAATGTCAGCAAAGGTGATATCGATGAGGCCGCCATCGTCATCCTCCCGGGGTATCTGGCTGCGGAAAAGCTGAGTCGCGAAAATAGATGCAAGAAATGTAATTAGAAACACGAAGATAATCAAGTTGATTAGACCGACGGCGTTGCGGAAAACGAGAGTGATCAAAGTTCTGGTCACGGAGAACGCTAAAACGACACGATAAACGCGGAGAATCTGGAAAAGGGTGAGAACTGAATATGGCCGTCCCGAGTTCTTGATCGCAGGTATCTGGATGATGCAGGTAATGATCACCAGCCCCAAATCGACCCAGTTGCGACGCGGTTGATGAAATTTGCGCCAGTCAGTGACAAATCGCAGTATGATCTCGGCGAGTAGAACAAATGTCACGATGGTCTCGCAAACATCAATTAGCTGTCTCCTGTCAGGGCCCATACTTGAGCTCCTCAAGGCTTGCATCACAAGGTCGAATACAATGACGGCGATCCAAAACCAGTATGTTTTGTCGTAGAAGCGCTTCAGATTGCTGAGTTTGCGCGAGGATTCATCTTCCTCCTCGTCACCCTCAATGTTTTGCGAAGCAAAGGCACTTCGTTTGCTTTCCTCACGAATGACCTGGAATGAGTGGGTGATGACTGCCACTAGCAAGTTTACCATCCACAAGCTCAGAATGACAAAGCCGCAAGCAAAGAATAGGGCAGCAACGAGGTAATCGCTGTCAGTCGTGTTGTAAAGGAGGTCTGTGAAGGTATTCGAACTCATGATCACAAATACAAGCTCGAGCGAGTGCAGGATGTCGTCGAAGCTCATAGTCTTATTGTAGGGATTGTCTCCTTCAACGCAATAGGATCCAACAGGGCAGATGAACCCCTTAGGCTTGGAGTCGCTCACGTTACCGTCACGTTTTATCCATGGCTGTTGTTCATAATTCTGATCAAGATAGCCACCGCAGAATTGGAGTGTGCCAGACGGGTCATTCGAGGTAAAGTTTTCTACGCCGAAGCTCGTCCCATCCCAGACACAGGTCCTGCGGAAACTTGACTTGAAGCTTTGAATGCCGACGATAGCGAATAACAGCCAAAAGAAGCCGATCAGGAATGCAACATGGACGAGTAAGGGAGCAGCTTTTTTCAGACTCCGAAGGATAACCTGTACTTGAATCAGCAAACATCATACACCAGGCTGGCATCTGGAAACCTACCGATGTGCCACTGGTGAGCGCCAGGAGACGCAAGATACGAAGACAGCTGAGCATACGGAAAACAAATATCTGGTGCGGAGCCTCGAGGCCAACAATGGCAAGCATAAACGACACCCAATACGAAACCACAGCAACAAAGTCCAACCGATTGAACGAGTGCCGCAGAAAGGCTCGATGGGCAAGTCGTATCCGGCGTTTCTGTAGAGGATCGTCCGCTAGCTGCTGCTCCATTTGGTTTAATCCACCCGTGAATGTCCGTAAAATGGATGTTTGGTGAATTTCCGGTTGGGTTGATGAGGCCTTTGTAGAGAATTGCCGCTGCGGCGTGATGAGATTTTTTCCCTTCTCGGCGAGCGCCTTCTTTAGACCTTTAGACCTGTCTATTGTACTGTATTCAGTTGGGTTGAAGAAGAGCCCGGAGACCATAATCTTGGCGATAAGTTCAGCAGTGTAGATGATGAAAATGGCAAAGTAACAAAAGTCCATCCAGGTGGTGCCCCAGCGTGTAGACCGTGGCTGTTCCCATTCCGACTGCGCGGATTCAATGGTTAATAGGATGGTCTGAATGACAATGACGACGAGAATAAAGGGCTCCGTAAACGGGTGGACGAGTATATCGCACAGCCGCGTCCGGATTGCATTGTCTGGTCCGAGGATCCCGAGAGCCTTTCCCTTCAACGGATTGCCTAGCCCTCGCCATGCCTTCCTGTCCGCTGATTTCTCTCTGGGAGTTCGTTCGTCCAACGGAGCTGCTGGGGGTGCATCCGAAGCATAGTCCGGGAGCGAAGGAAGCGACGGCGGGGCTTCCATGCGCGCGCTCTTGTGCGATTCCTCTCTCAAAATCGACTGTTCCACAATTTCCGGCTCATTACTCAGGTTCACAACACGCTGGGAGACGGACTTCATCATGGAACTTGCGCGCTGGAGCGCGGACCCGGAAACTGATGGGGAGAGGGAACGGTCCCTAGACACACTCTCCCCGCGTCGTCGCCCGCTGTAGCCACTTTCCATATTGTGCAAGTCATCACCAAGCCGTGGGCCCAGATGACTCTCGTCGAAACGGACGGATGGTGATTTTGATCGGTCATCTCGCGAACCGCTTGCGCTGGGAGCGGCGGATGCGCCGCTAATAGGTTGTACATGTCGGATACTCGTCAAAGGAGTTGTGTCGGGGAACGTCTCGGAGGGGGAGAGGTATGTCTCAGCCTCGTTGGGATCAAAGTCGTCAATGCGAACAAAATCCATGTCGGACTCCGATTCATTTCGTCCATGACCTCCTAAATGTGATGTGCTCGGAGAACTGTGGAATCCGAGTCCCACCGACGACATCGCCGCAGCGAATGCCCCAGGGTCGTCAACAGAGAATTGATTTGCGCCATCAGGAGGCGGCGGTTGCGCTGTTGCACCTGCCCGTTCAACAGGCGAGTCCTCCGTTAATCTTTCGTATGGTCGTCCTCTCTCTGTCAAAGAGCGTCCCGAGAAGAGCCGGCTTCCCACTCTGCCTATCCCGCGTCCCGATCGTTCCTCGGGGCCGGAGAGGTCTTGTAAGGGTATCGAGTGACTAGCGATATCGCTCTCGTCGCTGGATCCGCGGTCATGACCGTTGGAAGCCATGGTGGGCGGAATCGATTGACTAACCGAATGCAGACATCGCAAGCTGCGACGGTGGGAGCGTTGTGCAAGGGGAAATTCGATAAGGCGTAAATAGTCGTAGCGATCGGGGAGAGCACGGGCAGTCGCGGGCAGCTGAGAGCCTTGAGCTTGCGCGCAACGGAGAACGAGCAGAGGTGTGAGAGGAGTAGATGTTGAAGAGACAAAGGACTGAAAAGCTGAGCAAACGCCGTTGGAAATTATTAATCTTGCGCTGCAGCTGAGGTGTCTTCTCCAGATTCCAGCGATCGTCTAGTCCTGCGCCAGGAGCGGCCAAAACGGGGCTGGTTGGCGGGATAGTGGTTCTGTATGGCCGATTTTCTCACTCACTCCCGGCGGCACCAAGCGCCGAGCTACTAACGGTTGCTCGTGATTTACTCTACTCACGTTCTATAGTTCTCCGTTTCTAGACTTTCGGGTCAATATTCATTTACGCTTTTATTGGCAAGTGCTTCAAGAACTGATGTGGACCTGGTCGAAGCCTCTGCCCTACAAGCAGGTACGAAAACACGGCGTTGCTTTTTAGTTACCCTCTAACTGTGTTGCCTAGTGTGGTCCCGCAGAGTCTAAAAATAAACAAAGCAGAGGTAAGTACACTTGACACTCCCGGTATCTAGAAACAGAACGGATAGGTAGTTATCTACAAGCATATCAACGTGGAACCGCTTGTGAGACGAGTCTCAGATATTTAGTCGGTCTCCATACGGTTCCCCTGAGTCGAGTCCTTGACATGATTCCGAACGCCTTCAAGAAACGCCTTTACTGCATCGCCACCTCCAAGCGGAACACCGCCTCGGCGCAGGAATCCACCATTTTCGACTGGAATCTTCAGAGCTTCGCTGATGCTAGGTAGACCGCCGTCTCGAATGGCCACGGTCAAGCTTGCGAGACTTTGGGTGAATTGAGGAGAGCGTAGAACCCTCCTAAGAATGTTCTTCTTCTGCTGGATATTGAGAACGGTCAAGACATCTTGTGGGGTTTGAGGGCGAGCGGCCGATGGGTCTTCCATTTGAAGTGCGAGAATGAGAAGCTCTTGAGGTAGGAATCTCAAAAGATTGTCGGCACCTTCGGCATCCAGAGAGTCGAGATAAGGTAGGGTAGTTGACGGAGGGAGAAGGTCTTGTAGTGTAGTGAACGGCTGCTCGGCCTGCTGGGACTGGCCACCACCCAAGGATCTCAGAAAGTCCTGTACCATAGCTGAAGACTCAGCGGGAGCCCTGTCAGAAAACGCCCGAGTCAGTTTACATTCATGGACCAGAGTGGATGGCAAAAATCATATTGAACAGGGTATGTCTACTCCCGGGTACAACACCAAGCGGCAGCCGTGATACCCAAAATGAGAACGTCGAGATATGTACCTACGCTCTTCCACCATCGGCTCCACCCTCCCTGGACTCCTGTCCCTCTTCTCTCACATCTCCGCCTGTGGCATCCGGCCCTGCTCCACCGCTGTTTCCTCCGTGGTTATGGTTGGGGTCATGGTCCACGCCTTCAACATCCTCCATTGTCTCGTCATCATCGCCATTGGAAGGGCCTCGGCCGCGGGAAAAGTTCGCAACTTCGCTCTCTACATCTACCTCTTCACCCTGCAGCAGCTGGTTGACGATCCATCCCAGTTTCAGGTCCCTCTCGCTCCAGTATCCAGGGTCGCCTGACTCGTGTTGGGATTTGGATTGAAGCCAGAAGAGGTACCGTTGGGAGCTAGAGGAGAATTTGAGGACGTAGATGCGCCCATCTTCAGGCTTTCCTTTGCGGTATGGGGTAAATGTTCCATCGGAGGGAACCATGACCAGATCCAGCTCCGGTTCTGAGAGAGGGGCGTTCCGGGGTCGCCAGCAGAAGTGAATCAACTCATCGTCTTCGGAGTATAGGTAGAGGTAGCCGGGTGTCTGTTGAGGTCTAGCAGTGATGCCGGAGGGCGTGGTCTATAGTTCGGAAGCAGTTAGAGATCATATCCCGCATGAAAAAAAAAATGCTACAGTTGGGCAAACTCACCTCGAGGTCACAGATACCCGCCTTGAATGTAATGATCGGCGCACCCGACATCTTGACCAGGGCAGCAAGGTGAGGAAAAGGAGAAAAGGAGGATTGAAGTTGAAGAAGAGTCTGCTAGGCTGCCTGAGTACAGAATCCGAGACAGAGTGAGAGGTGAGATGGCTGCAAGTGTATAAGCAAGTCTAAGAAACACAAGATACGTCAGCTCGGAAGCTCCAGGTCTTCTGTTTTGGAGTTGGGGGAGCTCAAAGGCCGTTGCGGCAGTGGTTGCTACTGACATCCGTACCTTGTGGCCTCAACTCTCAGGCACAATAAGTCGCCACCGCTCCCGTATCTGGCGGCCCCCAATCGGCATTAGCGCCTTTCGGCTAACTGATAGGGCTCCATTTCCCACAAACCTCATCGACTCCGCCTTTGGCCAGCGAGTTTGTCCGTCACACATTAATCCCAACACACCAACGCCGTCGACAACAGCACATTCTCCGCCAGCAGTCAACATGTCGGAGACAAAGCAGTTCGGAAAGGGACAGAGGGTTGTGCCGGCTCAGAAGGCCCAGAAATGGTACCCTGTCGATGATGAGTCGCAGCCCAGGAAAGTCAGTACACCACCACCCCGTGCACAACCAGCAGTCAATTGTCGGAAAGCCAAAAGGGCAGGGATGCGGTTTCGAATGGAAAGAATTGCGATGGTTACGCCGAGTGTCATTTTCGAACAAATCGACAGCAGTTGGGTCGCGACCATTTCCCCGGCCAAACATCGAGTCTTGATATCGAAACCGCATCCTCCGCACTTTTCATGGCACATGAGATATATTATACTGCACCAGCGATATGGAAACAGACTCTAACATGGTCTCTTGCTACAATCTAGGTCCGCAAGGCTATCCGCCCCGCTAAGGTCCGGGAGAGCCTCCAGCCCGGTACTATCCTGATCCTCCTCGCCGGTCGCTTCCGTGGCAAGCGTGTCGTTCTCCTCAAGCACCTCGACCAGGGTGTTCTCCTCGTTACCGGCCCCTTCAAGATCAACGGTGTCCCCCTCCGACGGGTGAACGCCCGCTACGTCATTGCCACCAGCACCCGCATCGACATCAGCGGTGTTGACAGCTCCGTCGTCGAGAAGGTCTCCGCCCCCGGCTACTTCACCAAGGAGAAGAAGGCCGAGAAGAAGACCGAGGAGGCCTTCTTCCAGCAGGGAGAGAAGCCCGAGGTATGTTCCGATATGGGAAATTGGACGGACGGACAGCCGCACTCGGCGAACAAAGTCCGATAGCCGAATATATCACTAACGTTCAATCCTCGAACAGAAGAAGAAGGTTGCCAGCGCTCGCGCCAGCGACCAGAAGGCCGTCGACCAGTCCATCCTGGCCTCCGTCAAGAAGGAGAACTTCCTCGGCAGCTACCTTGCCGCCTCCTTCAGCCTCCGAAACGGCGACAAGCCCCACGAAATGAAGTGGTAGATGTGTGCGACGCGGCGGCCGCGGGTTCGGTAGTTCTTGTGGAGGAATTCATTTGCTCGGGCGGCTTTTGATGAGAAGAGAAAGAAATATTGCAAGCTTCGCGGTTCCCTTTTTCGCTATCGCACGTACGTGTGCGGGCTGGAGGGGGAATCGCAGCGCATGGGAACAGAGGGGCGAAAAGAAAACATGGAAAGCTGATGAGAGAAGAAAAGGAAATATGTGATGTAAACTCTTCTGAGTCCCGGCCTCCGAGGCGATATACCCCGAGTCCATCATTGGGTTTCTTCTCGTGTTTTTTCTTTTTCTTCTTTACGATCCAGCCAGCAGGTTTTACTTTTTTCCCCTTCTATCCCCGAGCGTGGATGTCTAATGATGAAAAGCCGTGTGAGCAGAGAAAGAAAAGAAAAAAATTCATGAATACCTTTTCCAGCTGTTACGTTGTCTCCTTTTTCTCTACTACTAAAAGATGGGATGGATCATGGCCGGGAGTTTGACTACATTAGTACGATACACTACACTACACCTTTTACTCGAATTTAGGAATCTTGAATCGGGCTCTAGTGCATTCGTTGTGTCTGTTAAGTTTTTCCTCCCCTCCGTCTCGTCATCCCCTTGATCCTAGTATCTACTACTAGTAGTATAGGTAGCTTTTCCCAGGATATTGCACAAATGCACGCCGAAACATCAACAACACCTGATTCAACGCGAACGAGACTGCTATCTATATACCCATTACTGAGGCGTAACCCGCAAACGACATGATATCCAAACGCAACCAACTCGCTAAACAACAAACCAAACCCAAAGAAAAGGACTATGACGATCAGCGTCAACATCTCAAAACACAACAACGACAACGAAAATTCGGAAAGGAACCCAATCTAGACGCCGCGAACTACCCCACATAAACAGACAGACCCCAGACTCCCCTCCTAAGCGATCCTGGGCAATGCCGAAACAAGTAGGACGCGGCGAAAGCTGCCTACACTACCTTCTCCTCCTATGGTCATTCCCACCACTATCACCCCCAACCAAACCCCCCAGGAACTCGCCCGTTCCCATTACCAAATCAGCCAACCCAATGCGTCCAAAGTACTTCCGCCCGTCGCTGCTAAGATGGCCACCGACACGGCTAGCTGCGCCCTGGAGCAGCGAAATCGGAAGGACGCAGTAGCCCGAGTATGTGAATGTCTCCTCTATGGAGATGATGACCATGTAGATGATATAGGTGATCATGTGGAATCGGAAGTAGTGCACAGGGATGTACATGGGGAGGAAGTTGTGAAGGATGTAGGGCACCGGGTGGTCGTAGTGCGCTGTTAGCGGGAGGGGCCCACGAAGCGAATGGAACCAGTTGTCGTGCCAGTTGGCGATCCAGTCGAGGCCTGGCTGGTTGCTGTGGAGGACGAACCGGTGCACGCCATAGCTCAAAATCTGGGGTTGGGGGTTAGTAGTTGGTAAGGAATGCATGCAGTCCGGTGGGTACCGAGCTCACCTCTCGAAGTAAGAACCCCCAGAATAGATGGTTTGCAATACCCCAGGGCATGGGGACGGCTATTGTAACCTGCACAGCAGGTTGGAATCTGAGGTAGTTCAGAGTCTTCTCCCAGCCGAGTTGAAGCAGGACTGAGAGCACAAAGTTTGCCAGACATATTCCCGGAATTTGAAATATGTAAGCCGAAGCTCTGTGCCTTCTGCTGCCGGACGGCAGACCAGCTTCGCCTCCTTCCTTCAGATTGGCAGCTGTGTTCGGAGCAATGCTATCGAAGAGGAAGAAGATGCAGGAAGGTATAATCCAGAATATTAGGCGAACCATCAGGGTGCCCACCATTTCAATGCGCACATCGGAAAGCGACATCACCAGGGTCGTCCATGACATATAGAAGAAGAGAAGGTTGAGTCTTGAGCTGTACGCAGATAGGGTAGGCAGCACGAAGACCGAGAGGAGTGGGACTGTAAGGAAATCCATGATGACGCTGCGTGAGGTAAAAAGAGTACGAAGCAAGAGTGCTATCAAGAAAGCAAGAAAGATCCAGGAGGAGTTCCTCGAATTGAGCATTATTATATAGATTTACTTTGCCCTCGTGGATAGCATTGCAGTGTGTAAGAAAACTTTTTTTAGCTGCTTCAACAAAGACGCGGCTTTGGTTGAAAGAACTTCGAGATGAACCGTGGACCAAGATCTGAAGTCTCTCCTCGTAAAAACAAAGAACGAAAGCGATAATCTTGGAACGACGTCACATCACCAGACTTGCGGCAAGCTGACAGAAGGCGCGCCACTACCACTACCAACGGGGAAGGATTCGCGCAAGGATACGCAACGTCCTTGCCGACACGAGTTATATCAGTACTACTCATTGGCTCGCCGTTTGGAAACCGAGAATGCTTAGGAGTTGTCCAGGCAAGAAAAGACAGGGAAACGATACTCATTTCTTTATCCCCTTGAATGTATTCTTAGGTACAGGAAGAATGTACGAGTAATAAAGATGAACAAAGAAAGGCACCTGGGGTATCTAGACCATAAACCAGACAATGAAACGCGACCTTGAGCGAGATCAGTTCAACGAAACCAACACCTAAGAGGAGTCTGTAGGGATACCGTGCTTCTTCCCCCAGAGGTAGGCCTGTTTCCGAAGATCAGGAACCACTTGCAGGAACACCAAGTTGCTCAGCCAGCCCGTGAATGTGTCGCGGAACCATGAGTTCCTTGGGGAAGGTCCGAGAGCTGACCCCTTCATGATGTCGCCGACGAACATCGTGGTGATGAGGTACTCGCCTCGCTCAATGGCCTCGATGGCGATCTTAGCGACTTCTTTGGGCGTCTGAGGCCTGTCGGCCGACTCGAGCTGCTTTGTGAGGGCTGGCTTGATCTGTTGCTCATTGTCGAAACCAGGGCTGAGAATGCCCATGGGGAACACAGTGTGAATCCGGACGTCGGCAGGGGTTGCTTTGGCTCGCTCCTTCGACGCACGGGAGCCATTGTAGATCTCGATCTCCTGGCTCAAGGTGTCTGACAGGGAACGCATGGCAGCCTTGGCGGGTGAGTATGGTGCATACCCAGTAATAGGTACAAAGGCGAGGGTGGAGCAGGTGAAGATAAGATGGCGGCGAGGCAATGGTCTTTGGTGACTGGGGTTGATGGGAACAAGCCACTTTTTCAAGATAGCATGTGCCGTGTTTGCTGCAGTCCAATAGACGGTATCCATCTGGTCCTTGAGGGTCTTGATCGAGGTCTCGATGAAGTACCCAGGATGGCAGTAGCCAGCGCAGCACCAGACAATATCAGGGGGCATGCCGTCGTTCCATTCGGTGACTTCGCTGATGATACGCTCGCACTCCTCGGGTTGCGTGAGGTCTGCACTGATATAGTGGAATCGCTGCTTGCTGACATTGGTGGCAGAACCCTGGCAGAGATGTCAACACAATGCCTCCACTACGGCAGGAGAGTGGTGTCAACTTACCCGGATGGCTTCCATGCTCTCCTGAAGCTTCTGAAGAGTCCGAGCGACGATGACAACATTGGCTCCCTTCTCCGCGAGCTGGCAAGCAACAGCTTTGCCCATACCCTCTGAGCCGCCAGTGATGACCACAGTCTGCAGAGTAACCGTGTCAGTCACGATCGGACTGAGAAAGAAAGCGTGCTCAGATGCCAACTTACCCTGCCCTCCACGGGGAATTGGTTCGAAGATCCGAACCCAAGCATTTTGACGAGTGTATAGAAGAATAGTACACCAACGATAGCTGAAATGCCCAAGGCCGTAGAGGAGAGGTCGTAGAAAATAGAGGGTAACGATGGAGGCATGGGGAAGAAGAGAAGAAGAGAAGAGGAAGAGAGAGGGACGATAAAAGGAGGAGGGGTATTGGGGCCGACTGCTTCCTGCTGCGAAATCAGCTAAAGTCGCGGCTTCCTTTTCTGATACTGACAGAATCCAGAAGGAGCCGCCTCGAAGCTGAACAAGTTCCTGGCACAATGCGATACTAGTACCGGATATTACCGGATTTTTGGTAAGCCGCCAGCTTCCCAGCCGGTCCAGGGCGTATCGCTCGGTAATCCGTATCACCGGCTTGTGAGTCGCTGGGCTCAAAGGCGGTGGGACAAATTTTTTGTCGGGGGCACTCTTATCAAAATTTTGGACTCCGCTTTGCGCTCAGTCTACAACGCAGTTGTTCAGATTCAGTCATGGGTAAAAAGAGAAAGGCCGGCGGTCGACCAGCGGCCAACAAGACTCCTGAGGAAGAGAACTACAAGTTCGACGTTGAAGAGCGATTCGACGATTCCGCAGATGAGTTCCAGACCGGCCGCGACCAGGTTCTGCTGGAGGAAGCGCCAGAGGCGAAGAGACGGCGGAAGCTGGCTGAGGAAGGTTTGTTGAGCACAAGTCTTGCCTGGAATATCTTTCCGGATCTAACATATCGTGTTCTAGAAGAGGCACTACAACCATCCGATGAGGAAATCCTGGGTTACGAGTCGTTTGACGAAGAGCTGGATGAAGACGACGATATGGACGATGAAGACGATCTAGATCAATTCCAATCTAAGAAGAAGCGTGGTGCTAGTCCGGGGTCTGGCGACGAAGACGAGGAGGGCATTGCCGCCTGGGGCTCTTCTAGGAAAGACTTTTACAATGCCGACCAAATCGAAACTGAAGCTGACGCCCTGGAAGAAGAGGAGGAAGCTAAGCGACTGCAGCAGAAACACTTACAGGAAATCAACGAAGAGGATTTCGGGTTCGATGAGGAGGAATGGGCTGAGTCCGGCAAAGGCCCAGAGGAAGCCAAGGCCGAAGCTGGGGAGGTAACTGAGGTTTTGCCGCAGCTGGAAATTACAGACGACATGGGCACCGAGGAGAAACTCAAGATTCTCAAATCAAGATACCCCGAGTTTGAGCCCTTGGCAAAAGACTTTGTCGACCTGCAGCCCACCCACCAAGCGCTGGCGGAGGCCGCAAAAGCTGCCAAACAGGACGATGTCGCGGACCACGCACCCGTCACCGTCGTCAAATACCGCGCTCTGTCCGCTTATCTTGGTGCAATTAGCATGTACTTCATGCTCCTCACATCGGCCGGCGGATCTTCAGACGACAGTACTACAGTCTCACCAGCTCAACTACGATCGCACCCAGTCATGACTTCGCTCGTAAATTTCCGAAAGCTTTGGGATACAGTCAAGGATATTACGCCTGTTGAAGTGAAACCCAGGAAAGATATCTCCGAGATTGAAAGCGACATGGAAATGGACACGCCAGAAGTCATCACAACCGAAAGCAAGAAGACCAAGGCGACAAAGACGGACAAGAAAGAGAGGAAGCCCACAAGGGCAGAACGTGCCGCAGAAGCAGCACGAGCCGAAGCCGAAGCCCGACGAGCAAAGAGACTTGAAGAGACAGAGGCCAACCTTGCAGGCCTATCGAATCTTGTCACAGCGCCCGGCCGGAAACGAGTAGTCCAGAAGGCCAAGGGCCCATCGAAGGACGCTGACGACTCCGACTTTGGTGACGAGGACGCTCTTACTACCAAGGAAGCCGAAGAGAAAGCTAAACAGAAACGCTCTCTCCGCTTCTATACATCACAAATCGCACAGAAATCGAACAAGCGCAGCGCAGCCGGCCGCGACGCTGGTGGTGATGCCGATATTCCTTACCGTGAGCGCTTGAGGGACCGCCAGGCTCGCTTGAATGCGGAAGCCGAACGACGTGGTAAACAGAAGCCACAGGGTGCAGAAGAACTCGGCGGCGACAGCGACGAGGAGGACCACCGGGTCAGAAAGGAGCTCCGTGGCAACGACGCCTCCGGCTCAGACGACGACGATTACTATGACATGGTTGCGGCGCGCACCAACAAGCGCAAGGGCGATAAGAAGGAGGCTTATGAGGCCGCTGCTCGCGAAGGCGGACGCGTTGAGATCCAGGAGGAAATCGGACCTGACGGGAAACGTGCCATCACCTACCAGATCGAGAAGAACAGGGGTCTTGCGCCTAAGCGTAACAAGCTCAACCGCAACCCTCGTGTCAAGAAGAGGATGCGGTTCGAGGCTAAGAAGAAGAAGCTCAGCAGTGTTCGCCAGGTCTACAAGGGTGGCGAGGGTGCTGGTGGCTATGGTGGTGAACTTACTGGTATCAAGAAGAACCTGGTCAAGAGTGTCAAGCTCTAAGCTTCTCCTCTCTTTTTTGGGTGTCTTCATTTTCTGCTCACTAGGATACATCGTGGCGTTTGAGTAGTGTGGTTAAAAGCCTGATTCGAGTGTATATAGAACTGTTTATGATACAACCTTGCGCCTATTTGGACAATTTTGTCATATCACTACACTTACTTCGGTAAATCTCCTACCCGAGACGAGTGAGAACAAAGCACAATTAAAACAGAAAGAGATAAGATTTCAACTGCAGTAAAACAGGTGACATCCGCCAGCTGCTCACCTGCTCCATAGCGGACCAAGAATATATAATTTGTCCCTGCAACAACCACCTCAAGTCACAAGCAACCCTTCCAGCATCCCCCTAATATCACCCTCACAACCAGGAGAAAAATCTATACTGAGAAAATTTCTAGCCAATGCATCCTGGAATTGAGTTTTCAGTCAAACTTTTAATGTGACCCAAGAAAAATGAAGACGTCCTTACAGCTTCTTGCAACGCCTGCATCTCCTCTTCAGAAAGCTCTGCACAAGCCGCGATCAAGTCCTCGCCACGCACAGCAAGCGAAGCGAGTTCGTTCGCGCGATCGACGATGGGTTTGCTGATTCCGTTGAGGGCGGCGCAACTGTTCCGATTGCCATTGGGATTAGAAAAAAATAATAGGTTCCGTGGCTGATGCATTGTGCAGGAAGGGGGAGACATACATCGTTCCGAAACTTTTGGTGCTTCGGCCTAAACGGAAACTGTCCTGAATTAGTATATGGTTTGTGTACTTTTCAAGTATGGGGAGTCAAGTGATATACTCGTAGAGATAGGTAATCTGGTTATCTAGTTCCTGAGTCTCGGACACCTGGACTTCCATATGGCCAAGCTGTAGTCGGGGAGTCGGTGGAAGGAAGCCGTGCTCGAGGATCTCGTGGAAGTGTGTAGCGGCGATTACCTTAGGCGCGTCCTCGAGACTAAGTAAGTGCTCGAGGATGCCACAGGCTAATCCGATGCCATCTGTATAGGGTTAGAATAGCGCCCAACAATCGACTTTGATGGATTGAGCTACAAAGACGTACCATTCTCGCGGGTTCCTTTTCCAAACTCATCGATGAGGAGCAAACTGCGGCCAGTCAAGTGTTTCAGGTCAAATGATATCTGCTGCAGGTCATTCATGAAGGTGCTTTGTATCTATTGGAGGGTTAGATGCGTTCGCAGGTTTCTGGTGTAGGTGGGCATAGCAGTACCTGCGAGACACTGTCTTGGGAATTGGACTTGACTAGAATCTTATCCACGATGCCAATCTCTGCACTTTCTGCTGGAACGAAGCTTTTCGTTTGTCCGTGTTAGCCGTTTGTCCGTACATATGTATGCTTAGCTCAGGGTTTACCTTCCCGTTTGTGCCAGGTATACCATCAACGCAACCTAGATTCCCGTCAGTTTGGGCTTTCAAGTGAGCCTCGAAGTTCCCTACCTGCTTCATGTAGACGCTTTTACCGGAGTAATTCGGGCCTGTTAACAGCAACATGGCTGGGCTTGAGCCTGTCCTCAAAGCTTCAGGGGCACGATTGGAGTAGTCGGCCGATTGTTCTAGGATACCTCCTACCAAAAAGGTATCGTTTGGCATGTAGGAGGAGACGGTCAACTCTTGCAACATATGACTTCAGGAAAGTTAGCATGTTCCGCAGTATGATGCCTATGCTGCTTACCGGCCTCCCTTTATCTTGATGATGTTGTCCTCTACCATCTTCGGACGAACTAGATTGTACGAGGTGACCCCTTGGGCCAGAGCGAAGAGACTGGTACCTTACTATTAGCCTGCCTCAAAAAGACAGAGTCGAGGTTCCGTACCTATCAATTTCCCCACAAACATCGGATGCTTCGACAAGCACCTTGTCGTACTGGAGAACTCTCTGGGCTAGGTCATAAACTATCTCGATTTCTTTCTCTGATATTGAGCAGAAATTAGTAAATACTCTATGGCGCTGCTGAAGGTAGAACATACCACAGATAAGCCCGTAGATATCACCAAGCTTCTCATCCATCTCCCTCATTCTAAAGTCCTTGAAATATGCCCGATTTTCCGTAATGAAGATGAGCTCCCAGTCTTCGCCTTCATACGCTGCTTCACCACGATCGGTAAGAGCTATAGCAATGTTGAACCCTAGCTGCGGGAAATATATGACGTTCACATCTATGTCGGAACTTGCGGGGATCGTGGATGCGATTTCGATAGCAACGCGCTTCAGGAGGCTGTCGAGCCCGTCGTAGCTGTCTTTCATCCTATCAAGCTCCCTGTCGACGCCTGCCTTTACCACAGTGCGGCCTTGCTCGTCGGAGCTCTCGCTGTCGACCTACTGATGGTTAATGAGGAACGTGTAGTATTGCTGCTGCACTTGCTATGTCTTGTATCATCCTTCCTACTGCGTATAGGTCTACAGCACCGAAGTCTCGTAGAGCCTGCTGAAGGATTAGTACTAACGAACGTTCACAGATATTGTACATACTTTGTTATGCAACCCCAGACCATGTGCGCCAGAAGTCTCCATAAGAGCATTATGCACATCGATGCCATAGAACGCAAACTATGCGAAAGTCAATGGAGCCTTGCTTGCCGAAATCTTCAACATACCGCCAGCAGCGTGGACCAAACCGTTGTCTTGAAACCAGATACCTTACCACTACCAGTGCTTATCCCTTTCTGGAGGTTGAGCATCACCGGCCGAAGATTCTTGATATGTCGTAGGCTCTTCCCCATCTTGTTCATGGGATTGTAGTTATCGGCCTGAAGATATACACCGATCAGAGCATGGCGCTCGTGTATTACGTCGAGTTGAGTAGAAGGTCGAAGGAAGATTTGTCGCAGCCGCTGCTTTCCCTGCGGTGTACATGCGAAGCGTTGGAACAGGCCATATATCGAGAGGCCTTCCTTGGAGGATGATGACTTCTTGCCTGGTCCTTGGTTGGCCGTGCTAGGGTGTGATTCGGACTCGAGGATCTGGAGGGCTGATAGGGTCCTTGCATTGACGAACCTATCGAATGGTGAGTACTATGGAACATTGAATGGTAGGGTACTCACATAGTCCCACTTAAAGCAGACATTTCGAAGGACTTGACCTGGTAAAGTCCTGAAGCCGAAGCTGTGTCTCCGGCTATCAAGTCGGAGGACCGCCTTCTCTGGAGATACGTAAGAATAGCACCGGCACATCCCAGTGTCACCTTGTTCTCCAAGTCCAGGAAGCCAGCCATGTGCAGATGTCTGCCTTCCTGCAGGGTAAAGTCCAGGTTCTCGTTGTCCAACTGGTCGGTATCAACAAGTCCGCCGTGTGGTACCAGGAACCTGAAGCGGTCTTCATGTCTCGATGATACCTCCAGTGCTACCAGTTTGTTCTTCGCGTTCAAGTGGTTGAACTCTTGGGGCGGCCGTGTGTCAAGTTGGTAAGGTAGGTATGGTCTGGTGCCTGCAGAGTTGTTAGTAGCGTATCGCGAATTAAAGCGAGGCGTGTTGTCTCACCATCTTCTTGCTCTAGCCGTTGGCTGAAGTGGTCTACCCGACTCGATACCAGGAGGATTGTTGGCTTGATCTGAATAGTCACTGAAAACCAGTCAGCCACCGAGATATAGAGGGTAGAATGCGTCACAGACAAGTGTCGAGGATCTCAGTGTTGGAGAACTTGATGTCTTCCATCAGGTACAGCTTTTCTTCGTGAGCGGAATACCAAGAACAGCCGACAGTCCCTGCTTCTCTCATGTCGATGGCTGCTATGATCTGGTCAAAGTCCTCCGTTTCAGGCTGCTCGGTGGTACTACTCTCTCTGTTGTTATCAGCCACGCTGCTGGTCTCAGCCCGTCTCAGTCTTGATGTCTGCTGTGTGGATGCCGCGGACCTGCGGGGAGCGCTGTTGCGAATGGAGGATGCAGGGCCGGATCGACTTGAATTGAGACGATCAGGGCGGCGACCTGTGCGCTGTCTTTTAGCGTTTGATAGCATCTTGGACTCATGGCAGGGCCGAAATCAAGTAATATTCGATGGATTCAAATTACTTGATGGATTCAGCCGGGGAAGTGCAATTAAGATTGTGTTGATGGGTTGACGGAGTGAGGAAAAATGGCTTCTTGGACGAGAAGCCACATGGGGGGCGACATCAATACTAACAGTTCATTTATTCATTATGTTTAGTGAGAGTCCTGATATACTGTACAAAAGAAAAGAAGGGATAATACAAGCATTTACTACAGAAAGCCATCCAAAATCATGTATCCCAGATATAATACAATAAAAATAGGAAACCAGTTCACCACACAGCAGTAATCAATCATAATAATACTCAGGCTTGTTCACTTTCTGCGAGTGGGATAACTTCAAGTCCATCCCTATTGGCATTGAATGTAACACGGGCAGTCTGCCCGGACGTGACTTGACCACGAATGATCTTATCGGCAAGCCGGTTGCCGATTTCTTTTGAGATCAAACGGTTGAGCGGCCGAGCACCGAACCTAGGATCATAGCCTCGCTCACAAAGCCAGTCTTTGATTTCGTCGTCGACTTGCAAGACCATGCGCCGATCATCGAGCCTTGACTGCAACTCTTTGATTCTAATATCGACTATGTCTCTCAGAGCATCCCGTGAAAGCTTTTTGAAGATGATAAATTCGTCGATTCGGTTGAGGAACTCGGGCGGGTAGGCGTGCTGGACGACATCCAGAACGGCCTTCTTAGTGTCGGGTGAAAGATCGCCCTCCTCGGAGGGCTTGAGAGGGTGGATCGGATCAGCGCCAACTAGAATGTTGGCTCCAAGGTTGGAGGTGAGGACAATGAGAGTGTTTCGGAAATCGACCTTGTGGCCTTGTGAATCGGTCAGGAAACCTTCATCGAGGACTTGTAGCATGAGGGCGGAAATGTCGCGATGGGCCTTCTCAAACTCGTCAAAGAGTAGCACAGCATATGGCTTCCGTCTCACGGCTTCAGTAAGTTGACCGGCATCGTCGTAGCCGACATAGCCAGCAGGAGATCCAATTAATCGACTGATAGTATGCTTCTCCTGGAATTCACTCATATCAAAACGTACAACAGCAGTCTCGGTAGAAAATAAGAACTCGGCCATTTTCTTGCAGAGCTCAGTTTTACCGACACCGGTCGGACCAAGGAACATGAACGAGGCGAGCGGCCGATTTTCTCCACTAAGTCCAGCTCTCTGCATACGGACGGCATTTGCGACGGCAGAGAGGGCCTCATCCTGCCCACGGACAGATTGTCTGAGAGTATCCTCCATATGAATCAGCTTCTCAACTTCTCCAGCCATGAGCTTGGTGACCGGAATGCCGGTTGTTCGAGACACCACAGCACCGATATCATCAGCCGTGACAGAATCGTGAATAAGGTTTGTCGGCGAGCTGGTTTGCTCCTCACCTTCCTTCGGTAGCTTCTCCTCGAGGGCCGGGATCTTAGAGTACCTCAATTCTCCTGCCTTGGCGAAGTTTCCCTCTCGTTGAGCCTGCTCAAGCTCGAAACGGGCCTGTTCCAGTTCTTCCTTCGTGCGCTTGAGATTCTCAATTTCGGCCTTTTCCTTCTCCCAGACCTCTGTCAGCTTGCGAGCCTCTTCCTGTTTGGCCTTTAGATCTTCTTGGAGTTTTTCGCGTCTCTCCCGGCTACTGACGTCGGTCTCTTTTCGGAGTGATTCGAGCTCGATTTGAATAGTAGTGATATCACGATCTAACTCCCGGATAACGTCTGGCTTTGATTCCTGCTGCAGTCGAAGTGCGGATGCGGCTTCATCGACCAAGTCAATGGCCTTGTCGGGCAGGAACCGGTCCGTGATGTAGCGGTTGCTGTAGGTTGCGGCCGCAACGAGAGCGCCGTCCGTGATACGTACACCATGATGAACTTCGTACTTATCCTTGATACCACGTAGAATGGAGATAGTAGCGGCGACCGAGGGCTCTCCGACTATGATGGGCTGGAATCTTCGAGCTAGGGCAACGTCCTTTTCAATCAATCGATACTCGTTCAACGTTGTGGCACCACAGCATTGGAGTTCGCCGCGTGACAATGCCGGCTTCAGTAGGTTGCTGGCATCGATGCTGCCTTCTGCTTTTCCCAGGCCAAGCAAAGTATGAAGCTCGTCAATGAAGAGGATAACGCCGCCTTGCGCATCCTCAACCTCCTTGAGTACGGACTTCAGGCGCTCTTCAAAGTCACCCCTGAATTTGGCTCCAGCAATGAGCGACCCAAGGTCCAAGGAGATCACACGCTTGCCCTTAATGCTCTCTGGAACATCACCTTGCACAATTCTTTGCGCCAACCCTTCCAGGACGGCCGTTTTTCCAGTACCGGCAGCTCCGATGAGAACAGGATTGTTTTTCGTCCGTCGCGATAGAATTTGTACAGTCCGGTGGATCTCTGCGTCCCTTCCTATGACTGGATCCAGTTTGCCCGCCTTCGCTTTGGCAGTAAGGTCAACACCGAATTGCTCCAATGCCGACTTCTCTGGTTCGCCGCCCAAGTTCATCCGATGTGTACCACCCGGGGGATGAGGTCGGCCGGCGGCATAGTTTCGAATAGAAAGGATCGGCTTATGGGTCGCATTATTTAGCGGTGACGAGGGTAGCCGGACGCGGGAGACGAGCCGTAATGAGGTCGAGGAAGGTCGCAGCAACCGGCTCGGAGCAGTAAAGGTCGAAGGTCGCAATAATGTACTGCGACCAAGCTGTAATCTTGATGCCATTATATGGTGAGCGATATCTTCAAAAGAGAAACGCAAAGTCCAAATCCTGCCTCCTTTGCAGCATCCCAGCTGAGCCGATGAGATCCTTTAATACTCCCTACCGCCTCTTGATATCATCGCGACGGTTCTCGAACGCTCCACCGCGGCGGGCGACGATGAGTGGTGGGAGCTCTCATCCATGGGCAGCCAAGCTCCAGTCCTCAGGTCACGTGTAGCTAGTGCCGCCAGAAAATTAATTGTGCCCAGCGAAAATTTACTTTTGAACACCATTCCCCCTCCTATTCTTCTCTCTCTCTTCCTCTCCCCTTTTCTCAACACAACACCTTTCCCTTCTTATAACCACTTCATATTTCACAATGGGTTTCACCGACTTTGTTTCTGACGCTGGCCTTACCAGTATGTCCTCGAGTTTCTTTTTTTGTGCCCTTTTCAGTCACTAATCCAATTACCCCTCAGTTGCCAACACCTTCTTTGCTTCTCGGAGCTACGTTGTTGGGTAAGACTCACCACCTGTTACCTTTCACAAATCGTTCAGCTGTTTCGATTGCCCTGTTTTGTGCGAGTTTCCTTGTTTGTATGATGAAAATAAATTGGTCCGTGTTGATGAGGCGGCTTAAGACCCCGCTGTATGACTACACAACAATTGCGAGAAATCGCGTTTCTGATTGCTTGGAAGACTTCGATGTTTCTTTTTTTTTTTTTTTTTAATGATACGGCGACCACCGAGATCTACACGTTACATGTCGCTAACTTGTCAAAAGCCACGCCCCCTCTCAGGCCGATGTCGTGACCTTCAAGGCTTTCTCCAGCGCCCCTGACGCTGAGAAGTACCCCAATGTTGCTCGCTGGTACAAGCACATTGCTTCCTACGAGGCCGAGTTCGGCAGCCTTCCTGGTGACGCCTCCACAGCTTACACTGCCTACGGTCCCGAGGGTGCTGAGCTCCCCGTGAACCCCAAGGACAAGCCTGCTGCTGAGGATGATGACGACATGGACCTCTTCGGCTCCGATGAGGAAGAGGAGGAGGACCCAGAGGTTGTTGCCGAGCGTGAGCGTCGTCTTGCCGAGTACAAGAAGAAGAAGGAGGCCAAGCCCAAGGCCGCTGCCAAGTCCATTGTCACACTTGAGGTTAAGCCTTGGGGTACGTTCAATCGCAGCTTATTCTCGTTTCGCGTATACTAACATTGCTTAGATGATGAGACCAACCTCCAGGAGATGGAGGCTAACGTCCGTGCCATCGAGAAGGACGGTCTGGTTTGGGGTGCCTCCAAGCTCGTCGCTGTCGGTTTCGGTATCAAGAAGCTCCAGATCAACCTTGTCGTTGAGGACGAGAAGGTCTCCACCGACGAGCTCCAGCAGGAGATCGAGGAGGACGAGGACCACGTCCAGTCCACTGACGTTGTTGCCATGCAGAAGCTGTGATTGGAGTCTCCTCTTTTAATGAAAGTGACGAGGATTTTTGATGTTATCAAGGAAATATATTGTCATGAACTTGAATGTCTAGAATGTGGCCGGCAAAGTCCGGTCATCTCATGAATCAAAAAAGAATAATACCCCAATATGTCGCTTCCAAATTGTAGTTGAATTGAATAATAAGTTTCTCTCAATGCTGTCCAAAATGTGGATGTCGGGCGAACGTGAAAAGGTGGTGTCAATCTAACTAGCTGAGGCATTCGCACACACCGGCAAGCAGGGATATCTCAGGCTCATCATTGCACAAGCTAGGCGTAAACTTCACAATTGTGATTAGAGATTCTGTATCTACCATTCGCCCGGACGGATGCCATGCAGGTGAACCTGGAGAAGCACCCCTCAACGAAGCTATATCACGTGATGAATTAGATCGGTCTAGCAACTCCGCCGGAAGCTTGGATCGCCCGTCATCCAAACGACAAATCGCAAGAAGCTCGATCCTGTCGACGATATCCAGGTCCGGCAGCTACAAGAGCTACATTGGCCACTTTCACGCACCGTAGCATTGCACAATGGGCTTCATCTCGCGCATCATAAGCTTCTTTGGGCTCGTCTTGCTCGCTCATGCGTATGGCCACCCCCCGCCAGCTTTCCCTCCTGCGACCTACAAACCAACACTCTCTCTTCCCACTCCCCTCCTCTATCACAAATTACGGAAGAAAAGGATAAATACTAACAATAAAAAACAGCGGCTACTCTGCGCACGAACACACTGTTCTCTACGCCTCAACCTCGACCGCCCTCCCACAAGACATCGTCGTCGAGGCACTCGTCTCGCTCCTGATCGTTTCCACGGGGCTAGTCCTTGGCGCGGAGAAGCTGAAGCCTGTATCTTGGAGTGAGTGGGCGAAGGAGGTTGAGAGGGAGGGTCTTGGACGGAATCCGTATGTGAGGCTCGAGGAAAGGTATAGCTTTTGGGATGTGCGGGTGAGTGAGATCCTGGTTCTTCCTTCATCGAGGGGAGTGATCGTGAGGGGCCATGAACTATGTGGCTGACCATTATTAACAGGCGAAGAGGAAGGAGTATGCAGATTGGATTCGGGGGAATGCTGTTGATGCTCCTGTGAAGGGTTGAGGTTGGGGCAGTGGGGTTGTGTGTTGTAGGGAATAGACTATGATGTATAAAATGGAAGAGGAATTTGTTCGAGGAATCAGGATTCCTTCGATCCTTATGATTGAGCTCATTTGATTCTGATGCTTCCTTTCTTTCGCTATCAGTGTGCATCATGGACTGCGATGTCGACATTGACCATGCCAGGCCGTCGAGGAACTTCGAAAAGGGTCAGGCTCCCATTGCTATTATTTCCGCCCCCTCGCTGTAAGGGAATGGTCCTTGATCTTTCATCTCCATCGTCGGGGGTCGAGGAACCTCAAGAGGGAGCTCAGTCAAACAATCGACGCCTAATTCAACCTCAAACAGCTGTCGTCCCAAGGTGAAACTAGCAAGCTGACAAACAAAAAATCTATGGAGCCAGCTGCTCCAAGTGTTCCAGTATGAGAAAGCCACCAAGACAGCTTCGAAATGGCGAGCGAATCTGAGCTCGGGCAAAAAAGTAGGTGCATGCGTGTAGCCCAAACTTGAAATGATTGGACATTGATCACGCATCAAGCAGCCCGAATTACAGCAAGCCCAGCCTGAGTCTTGACAGCTCCTCCACCCGGTTGTGAAAATGAAGGGAATATGAGGCGGCCTTTCGAGCCGAGATTCGATCATCCAACACCATTAAATATGTACAGTAACCCTTACATAAAAGGAACAACAGCAGAAAGCTCGAGGACACTCAGCTTGCTTGTGAGAGCGTTGATGTGTGGTGTGCACTTTGCAGCGTGCTTGCTTCGCCCCTGTGCCGTACCTTACAGGAGACTGATCTGGACCAGGCAAAATGTCTCGGGACAAGAACAGTGTCTACGTAACGTGAGACATTACATTCCAATCTTTTGATTTTTACTCCATCTGATTCTGGAGAGACTTTCGGCTTCAGACTAGCGTGCGGATGAGAAATGATCCCCCCGTAAGGTGTTCGAGCAAGCGAGCGGCACCTCGTTCCTCGGGGCGTCGGTTCTCATATGCTTATGCTTTGACGACTGAGCCTCGTAAGAGCGTTACGCAACAATGAATTCTGGCTTTGAGCTTTTCGGGCGCTTGAGGCTGATTCGGGTCGATCAGTTAGCGGTCGACCTATGGCTGCTGGCGGCTTGTCTAGGTGTGGACCGTGTGGTTGGGGGAATTTAGTTGCCTTTGGTTTTTGTCGTTTGGCGTTAGCAATAGGGTTTGAGAATCAGAGCACATTCGGAGAATCAAGAAGAGGAACAAAAATCATCCCTAACCACCAGTCCTAAGAGGCGAAGCATTGCTTGTCTGGACGGCGAACGGCGAAGGGAGAAAAGAACGAACCAGAGCTGGCTGGGTGAAGCTGACACGAAGCCACCGCCAAAAATAGAAGAAAAGCATACGCAAACCTCTAGGCTCGGCACACCCGATGACAACGGAACATCCTCCCTTCGCCCTGACAATGTGACAAGCCAGCCTTGACTGAAATGGCAGGATCGCCTCCTTCCGCCATTATTGCTCGAGTTGTCGTTACTAAGAATATGTGTCGATGTATGGGCTCCCTAGGGTAGGGGAGGGTGGTTACGTGGATATACTGTCGGGGGCCTTGGAAAAGTTGGGTGGCTGATGGCTGTACACGCAGGGCTCAGTTCTCTAACTCTCTGCGTCCGCCCACTCACCGCACGATTTCCGCTGGGATTGGATTGAGTCCAGACTCTGCCTCCAATCCGTTCGATGTCGCTGGAATTTGCCAGAAGCGGGTCCGAGGGAGTGCCGTGAGATTGAATCCCATCCCTCTGTTGGCGGGTGGGGATGGGGATGGAAGGCGATTGCCACTAGGAGTTGCAGACAAGGCTGATCAGTCCAAGACCTGGATCGCGTGGTGCTTGTTTTGCATCCACCCCGGTCTATTTTGGTTGCAGATGCCTGTTCACTTGTCATCTGCGTGTTCGGCCGGTCCTGCAGGTCTTGGATATAAATTCGCTCTCCTCCCGGCCTGAGGTTTGGTTCTTCATTCTCTCCACGTCTACCTACATCCTTGGTTATATACCGTCAAGAAACAACTTGATCCGATCTATCTTCTAAGATCTTTCCATCTACTACAATATCATAATGCGTGCCTCTGTCCTCTTCCTTGCTTTCGCGGCCCTTGTCGCTGCTCAGGATGTACGCCTTCTCCAGCCTCATCTATATCAAGCCTTGATCTAACACTGCCACAGTTCTCCATTGAGACAACAACCACCGACGCTGCCGTCGACACCACCGAGACCAGTACTTTCGTCCTGGACCCTTCCGAGACCACCACAGGGATCGATACCGCCTCTGAGACTCCATCTGAGACTCCGTCGGAGACATCCACCGACTCATCCGACAACACCACCACATCTGAGCCCGTCATCCCCACCGGCCTGATCCCCTCCGACTCGCCCATCGGCTCCTCATCGGGCTTCACCAGCTCTCCTAGCCCTACCACCCGCTCTACCACATCAACCCGAACCTCAACCTCCACTCGCGACTCCACAGAGACCGACACCCAGACTGTGACCAACACCCCCAGCGCTACCAACAGCAACAGCGACGACGCCGAGGAGACTGACTCCGACAACGCTGCGTTTGCTCTCCCCACTGCTGGACCCCTCCTCGGTGCTGGTCTTGCCGGTGCTGCTCTGGCCGCTTTCCTATAAGCGGTTGATAGCTTTTGGGAGTTAGAGAGTCGTTAAAAGGGATGTAGATTCCACATCATCCATGTAATGAGGATACGGATACGAGTATGGGTACGGATATGCTGCGATCTCCGTTGAGGAGGGTTCTGCATTAATCGAGGGCGTTCTTTTCGATATTGTTTATGTTTGCCTGAAACAAACCACACTGGCGCAAATAGATCTTTAATCCCAATGATGCTTGACAAAGCAAAACAAAAATTTCCGTGTAACAAAACTTCAAACGAACAGGTTTCATTCCTCAAGCCTCGAAAGTTCGAAACATACGGAGTCCACATCACAAAGCGTCAAAGCCACAGTCAGAGCTGACGGATCACCTGATGATGGGCAAACTAATTACAGAGTTCTTCGCGACTTGATTCACTTAATTCCCTTCTTCCTCCAAAACCCCGGAAACCCATCCTCATCACAAAACATCAACCCAGGCGGACGGACATACTCTTCATACCAATCCGTCGCCTCCGCCAGACGAACATAAATCCCACAATAATCAACCACCTCCCGATACATCCATCCCACATCCTCCTCCTCCTCAGTCTCCCTATCTTCATACCCAGGATAAACTGTATACTCCCGTTCATACTCCCCCCGAAACCCCGAGATCCGACACAGCACCTTGACAACAGGCATACTCATGTAATCCAGCGACTCAAGACAGATCTCATCGACAAAGAGGCAGAAGTTATACCGTGGTGCTAGTCCCTGAATTTTCAACTCCAGGTCTGCTGGGCTTTTCACAACGACCATTTTGAGCGCCCAACTGGTTCTCAACCCAGGACTGGAAATGGTCGCGGACAATGTGGCTCGTTGCGCCGTTTAGACGCGCTGTGTCCTCTATAAAGATTGCCTGATGGCCGACCAGCAGATCAAGTCTCCTGTTTAGCGTAAGCGAGCCTTGGACTGTGGTTTGAATTAGTTGGACCATGCGCTGCCATTGTCGCTCATTGCCGTAGGTGCAACGGTACACAACGAAGCCCCACGTAGTCCCATTCTCGGGGTTGGAGAGAGAGGCTTCAATATTAGAGTAGTCGTCTAGAGCCTCATCTGGGATCTGGCTTGGATCTAAACCCTGGTTTGCGCGGGAATGGGATTGAAACGGGCTGCTAGTCATGGTGGGGAGGAGAGTTGGGATTCGAAGGCGCGGAAGAATTTGTGGTCTAGAATTTAGAATTGGAGAAGCTCTGGGTCTGGCTTTGAGGCCGGAGGAGAGCGGGATCCTTCTGCAGAGTTGGAGGAAGACCATGGGTGTGTCTGATTGAGGGTTTGGATGTTGGTCGAAAAGCAGCAAAGAGCGAAGTCACAGGTCAAGTTGCATGGTTGCGTCTCTTTGTGAGACGCGGGCTCACTTCCTGGTCAGAGTAGTCAGGATGGAGGTTATGCTGAACAACATCAAACCCTAGTTTGCTGTGGCGTGGCCAATTTCTCTATTCAACCGTTTGTGCCTGGGCAACTTTGAAGGACTTTCGCCGGGGTGGCTTTGTAACTGTGGACAGGGGTTCTGGACTGGGGGTAACGCCTATTACCTGGCAAGGAGGCATTGGACTTCTCTAACAAACTGATGTTTTCTTAACTCCACTAAAGGGAACTCCAATCTGAGTCTGGATAAAGTTGGTCATCTCGGCTAGAGTCAACCACACTAATTAAAGGCAGTTAGTAGTTATTTGGAAGTGGGCGGCACCCTTTACTCAAGACTGCTATTAAGATATTTTGCTTTAGCTGCAGAGAACCATCACATAAAATAACCTGGTTGGTTTCTTGCTCTCCAAGAGGCTTGTTGGCTATATCATTCTGTGCTGGATGGGGGCACGGACGGGGTCCCGCACATATTCATGCCGTGGTTGTCATGGTGTTTAAGCTATTAGGGAAGAATCTAGGACTAGAGGTAATAAAAAATAGGACACAGCCATAATTTCTAAAGGGAAAAAAAGGGGGTAAAGCAGGTGTATGTCCTTAGAGTAGGTAAGATAACAGGTCATGACTAGGCAGGTGCGGAATATATGAGGGAGAATAAGGAAAATGAAGAAGTTAGGAGGAAAGAGAAGTTGAATAGCAAGGCTATTTCTTATATACTCTAAGGGGTTGGCAGGTGGTGATAATAATATGGTGTACAGAGCAGCTATCGCAGAACTAACCAGAAGCAGGAATTCTTGCTTTACATTTCCTAAAACGCGTCCTTCGCGTAAGTCACGTGCAGAGAAACACGTCCCCGAGCTGGGCTAGCGTTGCCGTGACCACATCATCCAAACAACAAAAGCCGTCGGCGGGAGCAACGAACCCCGGACAATTCAAAATCGAACCTCTGATCGACGCCAATAGCTGTTTCTGGTGGTTAATTTTGGAAACCCGATTTTTGCGATTGGTGTTTTGGTCAAAGCTCTTCTTTTACTTCTTCTTTGACTTGGATATACTTCTTTGACGACGACGTACAGTCACAGCAGGGGTCAAGCAGAGCTATACCTCTTCACCTCAGCTCTCCCAACTTTGACATCAATTTGAGGACTATCTAGCGACAAACGCCTTTCTAGGCTTCAGGTCATACAACGGACAAGATGGTACATCCACCCCCTCGCCCCCCTCATCATTCCATCTGTACAATCTCACTAACCCCATTTACAAGGTCTCCAAACTCCGCCGTCTAATCGCAGACCACGCCGCCCTGCACGAAGACCTCCCCCCAAACTACCTCTTCCCTTCCGAAGATGGCTCAGACGACATGACGCAGCTCACAATGCTACTGGCGGGACCCCAGGGCACACCATACTCGCAGGGCCTGTGGCGACTCCACCTGAAGATGCCAGAGGACTACCCGAAGAGCCCGCCCAAGGCGACGTTCAGGACGCGCATTTGGCATCCGAATGTGGAGGAGTCGACGGGGGCCGTCTGTGTGGATACGCTGAAGAGGGATTGGAAGTCTAGTTTGACACTGAGGGATGTTTTGGTTGTAAGTTGTCATGTATTGAAGTGAGATATGTGGCGAGGGCGGTTTTTGCTAATGGGTTCATGTGATTAAGACGATATCATGTCTTCTCATCTATCCCAATCCGGACTCGGCGTTGAATTCGGCATCTGGTGCGCTGCTGCAGGAGGACTATGACGCCTTCGCTCGTCAAGCGAAACTCATGACATCGATCCACGCTCCCGTTTCAGCCGATATGCGCGAAGCAGTCACAGAAGCCAAAATGCGCGGCGAAGACGCCGACACCGCGGTCCCGGAGCGACAACAAGAAGAACCATATCGCAACCTACGCTCAAGACAGGGAGCGGGTACAAGGATCCAATCGCTCACCATGAAAAAGAGACAACCTCGACGCAGTGAACACCCAACAACACCCGAACCCCAACAGCAGTCAGACGACGAAAACGAGAATGAGAACCCCGCCTGCTCATTCAAAGAAAACGACCCATCCCTCTCCCCCGTAAAGCTCGCCGCCGTCCCTTCCTCACGGGCACTATCCCTCAGTCCGCGCAAAAACGCACACGGGAAACGACCCCTCGCAGACCTGACAACGGCAATGGACGTCGACCCCTTTATCTCGGACTCCGAGGATCTACTCGTACCAGATATGGTAGACGGAATGACAGCATCAGAGCGGAACATCGCCGCAAACACAAACACAAATACAGCATCAATACCCTTCATGACACCAACTCGCGAAACCCGATCCCGATCCCGAGATCCCTCACCACAACGCAAATCGCCTAAACTCTCCCTGCTAAATTGCGGACCGAACAATACTACCCGCCTCCGCGGCGAAAACACAGATATGAATATGCAAATATATGAAGATTCCCCGGAGGACGGGAAGGAGAATCACTCCTCCTCTTCACTGAAGAACCCGGCAGCAGCCGGGGTAATGCGATCCGCCAACCCGCTCGCAATCCTAACCTCGTCTACAACGGCATCCGGCGCCTCGAGCGCATCGGGTTCGAAACCTGGATTGCTCAAGCCTGGTTCTGGGCTCGGAATCCGTAAAGTTTCGGGGTCGGGAGGGTTGAAGAAGGCGAAGCCGCGGATTGGGATTCGGAGGCTTTGATTGTCGTTTTTCTCTTTTTGTATTGTGCCTGGGGCAGGACTTTCCTTTGGAGCTTTCTTTTGTTTTTGTTGCTGAACGTGGTTTGGCCGGCCTCGGTATTTCGCAGTATGGCGTTTTAGGGTTTGTGGGAAGCATGATTGGCGAAAAGCGTTGGTTTGCACTGCTTTGTATACTCATTGTCGTACTCATTCTGTTGTACAATGATCTGCATCTTCATGACCTATCCCAAATACATTGCGCATGGTACACTACGTGTAGTTGGTGTACTCGAATGAAGCAGTGGAGTATTAAAAAGTCGGTGAAACCATTTGCTAAAGATGATAAGCCTATGCGAGTATCTAAGACGAGTACAATTTTCCCTCACGTCTTGTATACGAACCTTCCTCCACTGATAAATATTAGCAAAGTCATTCTGCTCTCATAGCACCCAATGACTATTTTCTCCTCAACTGAGAACGTTTCCAGTAAGCCTCCCTCAAGGCATCGATATACTTCATCGTTTGCTCAGGCGCTTTCCCCGCGACAATACCCCGAGACTGATATTCAATGATACTCTGCCGATCCATCGGCATGACCTCAACAGGCTCCAAACAGTATAAAAACAAGAACAAACAGTACGCTAGACTGATCAAGACAAAGACACCTAGTGAGAAAGAGGGGTCGCTGTTGCGTCAAAGCTGCCCGACCATCACAAGGACGGCTTTCACAGCCGAGTTCATCGCCAGAGCGTCCCCTCGAGATCAACCAAGCAGGTAAAAATATGCATTATAACATTGGTGGGCGCGATGAGGGCGTATACAACTCCTTAGAGTGCGTAGGGGTTGACCGAACGGATGGTGAGGCAACTATAACGTGTGTTAGTGGATATGGGAAAGGTGACGTAAACAGAACACTTACGGAGGACTCTTGCTCAGATCGGTCTTCAGAATGATGGGAACTCGGGTCATCTCGGTGACATCCTGGATGTACTCCCCTCCCTCCTCCCTGAGCTTGAATAGGCGGAGGTACTTCTCCTTGTTGGTCAACTTCGCCTCGGGAGCATCGGACGCGCTAGTAGCGATCTTCGGGTCAGAGAGTGTACGCTGAGGGCCCGGTGGCAGATGACCGTTGCGGGTGGGCGAAGGTGGCATGCTTTGGGTTGAGCGGTCGGCAGAAGTCAAAGAGACGCCTGCGGCCATCTCGGTCACCTCCGAGACATCATCATCGTCGTCGAACAGCGCGTCAACATCATCAGCGGACATGGTTCCAGTCTCAGTCTGCCTCCTGAGGGCCTCCTCCCTCTCACGGGCACGCTCGCGAGCAGCTTCCGCCTCTCTTGCGGCAGCAGCAGCCTGAGCAGCGCGAGAGTTGGCAGGCTTGGGACGTTCGTCTTCAGGGATGTAGGCGGATGAAGGCACACCCTTCTCCCAGTAAAGCTCCAAGACCCGGGTCTCCTTGCGGAATTCGGCCTTCTTCAAGGGTAGCTGGTCACAGTGGACTCGCTTCTCAAAACCGTATTCCGGAATGAGCACATCGAAAGCAGATTCGTAGACGCAGATGACAATACCCTCGCTGATCAGGTCACCGCCAATTTCTTGGCGTACCTTGTCCATGCTGCGGCAGGCCTCGATGTGCACGCTCTGCTCTTGAGCGTTGTGTGCCGAATCCTTCTTGGTGTTGCAAAGGTCTGCGGTCTTGTTGAGTGACTCGATATCGTCGGTGAACTCAATGGCACCCTCAGACAAGACAGCCTCCAGTTGGCGATGGACAAGAATATCAGCATAACGACGAAGTGGGTTGGTGAAATGAGTGTAGACAGGGAGGTTGAGAGTGTAATGAGGGCGTTGATCCTCCGATAGGGTACCAGCAACATAGTATTTTGCGCGTTGCATAGCCTTCACCAAGATTGTCTCCATTCCCTGCTAGTTGTTAGAGCCTCTCGTGAATAATCATGAGGTTGCAAAGGGGCTTGTTTACCTTGCGCAGATCGTCATCCTGGACCTTGCAAAGACTGCTCTGCAAGCTTCCGCTGCTTGCCTCGTCAAAATCGAATCCGAGCCTGTTCATACGATCGACAAATGAGTGGAGGCGACGGTCGTTTGGTGATACCTGACGACGGAGGAAAGCCTTGTCGGGCAAAGCTGCTACCAACTTGCGGGCGACAAGGTAGTTAGCTTTGAAGCTCAATTCCTCTACAAGCTCGCGGACTGCAGAAGAGTCGAAAATGTTTCTTTCAACAGGCACATTCTCATCATCGAGTTGATAAAGAAGGCGGAGAGGAGGGATCTGAGAAACTCGGTTGCCCAATCTGGCCTCACGGAATTTCGAGGCGGTGCGCTTGTAAGAACACATATGTTAGCCAATAGGGATCAATAATCGAGCGATTGATAAAGTCTCACCTGTAGCCCCAGAATGGTATCAGGCGTAACTCCAGGCACAGAGATACCCGATGCTCCCTTGATCACCGATTCGATTTCATCATAGCTCAGTCTGGCCGAGCTCTTGATGATACTCTTGCCGATCCAGACGTCCTCGTCGACGACACCTGTCTCCTGGTGAGCTGTGAACACCACACTGACTGTCAAGCGCTCCTCGCCTGGGAGCAAAGCGCATAGTTCAGTAGAGACACGAGTAGGCAGCATGTTGACCAGACGATCAGTAAGATAAACGGCGGTGCCTCGTTTCTTGGCCTCTCGGTCAACAAGGGAGCCGCCCTTGACGAAGTGAGCGATATCGGTAACGTGGATACCGATTTCCACCTTTCCGTCAGGGAGAACCTTGAAGTGATAGGCATTGTCGAGCTCCTTGGTTCCAGTCGGTTCGACGGTGAATGTAGCTTCTTGACGGAAATCCCGACGGGAAGAGAGGTCGCTTTCGCTCGAAACGGACCAGTTGTCCCAGCCAATGCTCTTCAAAACAGCATCGGAGAACTCATCTGAGCCGAAGTTGTTGTCGCGGAGGAGCGCCTCGGTTTCCACTCTGAGGTCGCCCATTTCTCCCAGCTGCTCAACAAGCGTTCCGAAAGGATGCAGCGAGGTGATCGGCCATCTCTTAATGCAAGCAACGAAGATGCGGTTGGCGTAGTCTTGGTGCTTCTCCACGAAATCGCGCGGAGCTTGTTCAGTGGGGATAGCAATCAAAGGAACACGCTTGTCAGTAGGCTTGAACCAAACAATCTTCGGCTTATCCTGCTGACGATCCTGGTGGCGGCCGTGGGCGCCATCTCTGGCAAGCCGCTCGGCTTCCTGCTTCTCCTTGGTGGCCTGACTGCTAGGACGGAGCAACCCAAGGGTTCCAGAGAACATCTGTCCGGCGATACGCTCGATGACGGCGACAATGTGGCCAGCATATAGGGGCTTTTGTTCATCGCTGATCTCATCTTCCTCAACCAAGAGGAGACTTTGGCCCTCAACCTCGACATCGTCGTTCTTCTTCTGAGTGGGGCGCTGTCGAAGACTACCACGGCGGCGAATGCTACCATCAGGTCCAATCTCTTGGCGGTTCTCGCTCGAGTCGGAGCGAGACAGCTTGTCATTTCCAGCGGTACTGCCGGAGCGGGCATCGGTGATATCCTTGCGTTTCTTTTTCTCCTCCTTTTCTCGTTTCTGAGACCAGACCTCATCCACGTCAAGAAGTTCGACGGCCACATAGTCGCCTTCGAGGGCACGGTTTCGATCTTTGCTGCCGCAAATGAAGATATCGGCATCCAAATCGGGAGTTGTGACGTACGCGTCGGAGCGGTTCTTCTTGTTGACCCTGAGGATACCGGCGACGAGTTGACCATTGCTCAGGAGTTGGGGAAGGTTTGCCTGGGGAAGGTAAGGAGTGAAGAGTGTCTTCCTCTGTTGCTGCTGCTGCTGTTGCTGCTGTTGAGCAGACAGCTGCGGTGGCGCGTGCTGGCTGGCTCCGAGGCCGCCGAGACCCTGGCCGCCCAATTGACCGTTTTGCTGAAGAGCTTGAAGCTGTGCGAGTTGCAAGGGGTTCAATTGTTGACCACCACCAAACATTTGAGGGGGAGCCATGACAACCTGGCCTTGAGGCAGCTGGATGAGCTGTGGTTGACCAGGATACTGGAACTGACCGATGGAGCCGATAGACTGGTTCATTGAAGGACGGGCACGGTGACCAGGTTGGAACCCGGAGTTCTGCTGTCCAAGACCCTTCTGCTGATCCTGAGCCTGCGCCTGGTTGTTAGGCTGGCGCCAATTACCGTCAAAGTTCCTTGAAGGGGTTCGAGCGTGCGCGGGTTGGCTTCCACGGCGCTGATTTTCAGAAGCACCGTCATTCGAAGGAAACTGGAAGCCACCTGGGCCACGGCCGGACAGAGGACCGCGGTTTCCGCCCACGGCCATGGACTGACTTCTACCATGACCACCAGCTCGGATGTTGCCAGCGCGTTGAAGACCCAAGCCTTGAGGCGGCTGTGTCGCAGTAGGGGTTTGCTTGTCGTCGGAGGCGGGTGCACCTTCGGATGCGTCGCCACTGGGTGCAGGGAATTGGAACCCGGATGCTGCTCTCTTCTGTTGAGCAAGCTCAGCAGCCTTTTTGGCTTCGGGAAGGGCGAGAGAATGGCGGCGCTGGTGACCACCACCACCGGGCGGGCCTCCACGGCCACGGCCATGTCCACCGTTCTCATTCTTCTGGAAGTTGGGTTGCTGCTGTTGCTGCTGCTGAGAGTAATCAGAGTATCCGGAAGCACCCGAAGAAGGAGCCGGCGGAGGACCCATGCCGAGCCCAGGGAGGGCCGACTGGTTGCGACGGTGGGAGTGTTGATTGGAGGCGTTCATCGGAATGCCTAGTTGTTGTTGGCCAACCTGAGGAAATTGAAAAGCATTGAGCTGCTGTGGGGAAACGCCGCCACCTTGCATGTTCGGGGAGAAGCCAGAAACTTGTCCAATCTGCTGCGGCTGCAACAACCCCATGTTGACATACTGCTGGTGTGTTGCAGCAATCTGCTGTTGCTGTTGCTGAAGCGCCTCAATTTGCTGTTGGATTGCCAATTGTTCCACTATGACATCAAATGTTAGTTTCTAGTCAGGACAAGGCAGAGTAGTGACACAAGGGTTGCCGGAGCATGACATACTCATTAGAGGTGTGAGCTCAGACGGGCTTCTGCGATGGGCGATATGAAGCTTCCGTCCAGCTGGTCCGGGGACCCCGGACTGGTTCTGTTGATCCATCTTTTCAGGAAGGGAGAGAGCGGATTATCTCTGTATGAGTGTATGTTGTGGGAGCGGTGACCCACCCTGGATATGAGAGAGCGATGGAAGCAGCGAGAAGGCAATTCGTTGAGCAGTATCCGAAAGGCGAGGCCGGCCGGAGTCTTGTTGCGACAACGAAAGACGGTTCTGGAGTATGCTGGATAAGGAGAGCGACAGATTAGTGACTGGATAGGCACCTTAGGTACGAGGACGGAGATGGGTGAGAGGGTGTGAGTTGTCAGGAAGCTCGAGAAAAACAGGCGGGAGATTGTATCATCGAGGGAAGCGTAGGGTGCGACTGCCCCATGAGTGCGAAGTCAAAGGTGAAGGAGAGCAGAATGGGAAGGAGCAATAGAGCCACGCGGGATGCAGCAGGTCCGAGGGAGAGCGCGGCTCTGGTGGTGAGCTAAACGGCAGGTGCACATACCTTCAGAAGGGTCGCTTTGGTTAAAGCGAATTAGTATATGATGTCTTGATGTGGCCTTTCCAGGTGGTTGACAGCACTGTTCCCCTTTTGCACGGAGTCGACTTGAGGAAAAGTGGGCGGCAATGACCGTGACGGAGAGGCAAAAAGGCAATCAAAAAGGATGGAAAAGTTATTCACACAGAAATTAAAACAACTCGATGCAATCAGAGGAAAGCCCTCTGCGAAAAGGACAGCAAAGACCGAAAGGAGGGGGGATGAAGCTTGAGGGATTGAAGCGTTAGGAGGGGAACTGAAGCACCGAGTAAGCGGATGGAAGCTATCGGTTGTCCCCAACTGCCATACGAGCGACCTCCACCACAACCGAACCTTTGAAACCTCGACCGAAAGGGCACTAGGCTCCGTTATTGATGACTTTTTGTTTCCAATCCGTTTCTCCTTTTTTTGCCTTTTGAAAATATAAATTTAATCCCGCTGTGTGGGAATTGTATGGAGGAGTCCGAGTCCCACAAATAGTTGGAGCCAGCGAGAGGACGAGAAAAGGGGGGCAACTCAGGCTGAGAAGGAGGAGCAGTCGAGCTGGCGTCTTTTCTTGCAAAACAAGATCTTCTCTACAGGGGACTGAATGATGGCGTTCCCCTCGTCTTTCAGCAGCAGAAGATCTGACCACGCAGAGAATGACGAAGTTGATAAGAATAACACGATTCTGTTGGTGGGACTGAAGGAATGGTCCAGTACTGGGGATAGGTGGGGAAGGGCAAAGAAGGAGGGGTAGGTTCAAAGGAGAGAGAGAGGGAGGAAGAGGAGAGGGAAAGAGAGAAGTCGAAGAAAGAGAATTGAAGATAAGAGGAGGGGAAGAGGGAAGAAGAAGAGGAAGAGGAAAAAGGAAAGGGACGATGGAGATGGGGAGAGAGAGTTGCCTTTAGTCGGTCTCGCAGGGAGCTTCAGGAGTCCAGTCCGTTGGTCAGGGACTACGAGGAGGCAGTCGACCTAAGAGTGACTGTAATATGAACAAATCATGCAGAAGAGGACCCAATATCGCCATCATCATCATTTATTTAGAAATTACTGTACGCTCGATCAATACATCGCGATGCGGGGGATCCCAACAGCGACAGGCGACGAAGCTGATATCTGGATCGTATTCTTTCAAAAGTTACCTCGCACGCCTTACCAACCACTGAGCTCACATCGAGACTTTACGTTTGGCGAAGCTTGAAGAGCTAGCCCAGAGGTACCACACTTTGAGCTCGGCGGGTTCTTGGTTCGCCGGCACGGTTTCGGATTGACAGTTCTCGTCATCCAGCCTACGTTCGGTAGATATTCCATATGCTGCAGGAATTCGACTTTGCAGGCATATTCTGGGGTAAAAGGACGTTCATCCATGTCTCCGGCGGCTGGGATCCCGAGCAAAGCGGCCGATGCTCAAGTGACCGTGCAAGTAAGTTGCTGAGCCTCTGAGGTCCTGCGGATCTTCAGGAAGCGGGTAATGCTCGCCGGGTCAGTGGTCCGGAGTATGGAGCAGCAGTCGCTGTATCCAAATGAGCAGATCTGTCTGCATCGTAAATAATCATGCACTTTTAGTCGGGTCGTCTCCTTTGATTCAGACGCCAAGGTCGAGTGGCATTATTGAATGACCCAGATCCCTGAAGAAACAACAATCAAGGCCGGTGGCCAGAGAGTGCTCGGTCCTTGGGCCGTTCGGAGACCCACTGGAGCTCTGAACACAACCACCAAAGAGCGCAAAGTCTCTGCGCGCGAAAGGTGTTTCTAGACCCTGGGAGGAAGAGACCGATGGAGAACTTGTTTTGCTGCTGCGTCTTTCCAGGGCTCACTCAGACTTGGTTTTCGCAATTATACAGACAACGGAGAGACGACAGTCTTGTGATGGACGTCATGATGTCAAGGAGCCCGTTCGGGACCAAGGAACGTCAGAAGCCCGGTAGAGCGCCGTGTCATGTGGATGAAAGTTGGGGGACAAGCCGCCCGGCACGGTGCACTGCAGAGACCACCCGAGCTTTTCTGACTCAGCAGCTGCAACACTCGAGTCCAGCGAAACAAAAAACGATCGCGTCCTAAACTATTAACCTCCGACATCTGTTTCATTCGGTGTCTTTGTTGGGCCCCCAATCGCTTCTTTGCCTTTCGTTCAAAAAATCCTGTGTCAGTCAAAGGGTGAGTTTCAGATTCCTGATTCCTGCGAACTCTCCAAGCATTGACCGCTTGCTGATTCGTCCGGCTGTCTTAGTATGCTCGGCATGAGCTTTGTCCGGAAACATTGAATGCAGCCCACGTCTTTCTTGACAACGCAATCTCTCTCCTTACAACGCTCTTTTTCTCGAAGAGATACTTGACGGCCATATTATTGCCGCAAAGAATCCTCTTCGAATCATCCATCCCAATCGTTAGCGATCGAACAATCTCTTAGCCAGTCTTCTCGTCGCGACTCTCGAATAGATCTCAGTTGAAGATACAGACGCAAATACCGGACCACTACCATAGATTTGCTTAGATTATGCGCCATATTTTCTTCGTCTTTGCTTCCTAGAAAATACGAACTGAACCGTTACGGAACTTCTTACACTTTTACACCAATCACTACCCCGAGAACGACGCGTCGGCACACCCGATCCGATCCTTGAAAATGGGCAGATCCAGCTATCCCTCCCAGCTGGACAGCCCATCAAGACAGCTCATCGCGGACCTAGCCGACCAGTTGGAGCAGCTGCGTGTCCATAATCATGAATTGAAGCGCGTCAAAGCCTACGAACGTCGTTCCTTTTACGAAAATCTCGACAAGATCGAAAGTGATCTCGAAGCCCAGCACAATGAAGCGCTCGACAAAGTCGCTGCCCTCCATGAAAAGGTACTAGAGGAAGCACAGGAGACATTGAGGGCACATCAACGGGCGGTGGAGGAAGAACGTCGTCAGAAGGAGGAACAGGCTCGGAAAGAGCAGGAGCGGAGAGAGCTCGCCAGAATAGAGGCACTGAAACGGGAACAGGAAGAGCTGAAACGGGAAATCGAGCGGCAAACTCAGATCAAGGCTGCGGAAGAGGCCAGACGAGAGGCGGAACGGAAAAAGCAGCTGGAGCAGGAGGAGAAGAAGCGCAAGGAACAAGAACGGCTAGCAGAAGAGGCCCGGAAACGCCAGGAAGAAGCCAAGAAGGCTGAGGAGCAGGAAGCTGTGCGGCTGAAAACCGAAACGGAACAGAAGCAGCAAGCAGTACGGCAGAAGCAGCTTGGGGCTGGTCGGCTATCGGAGCAGGAACTCAAAGCCCACCAGCGCTATGTCGAGCTTCACCAACACTTGAAAAAGTTCAGACAGTATCTCAGGGATCAGTCGAAATCGAATCCGATTGTCAAGCAGCACATGGGAGAGATGCGGCGATCGATCAAGAAGTGCGTCGGCCAGCTTCGTGAAGGAAAAGGTGTAAACAAAGTTCAGGTGAGTTCAACCAACTCTTGTATACTCGAAATTTTGCAACTGACATTCTTCTCATTCAGACCCAAGAAATCCGAACAACACTTGAAAAGGCTGCCTCGATCGCCGAGCCATCTGTCGACGTCCGTCAATTCATTGCGTTCCCGCCTGAAGAAATCGCCAAATCCGAAGATAGCAAGGTGCCGGCACTCTTGATCTACGCAATGAACATACTCGCCAAATCCCTCATCTCGTCTCTTCTTACTGAAGCATCGATAAACCAAGGCCACGCAGAACCTGTTGGCATTCTGGCTGCCCAGATATTCTCCATGGATGCATTCATCTACAAGGGCCAACACATGGTCGACATTCTTTGGGCGAAATACCACGTCGTATGTCCTGCCCTCTGGGGCTTCAACGGAAACGAAAAGACCGAATCCGGTAGACGCGCACTGGGCTGGTGGCGCGAGTCACCAAACGGCCCCTTTATCAGCGAACAAGGTCATGCAGACCGTATGACAGCCCTAGGCGCCGGATTCGCCGCCCTGACCCTCCGCAACTTCGGCAAGACCGAGCGCAAGAACCCGTTCCCGAATACGCTCTTTTGGGAATCCCTCCAGAAGATCCTCAATATCCCTTCTAGCGAGATTCAGGACACGCACGTCACGTTGCTTTCGGCGATGCTGAGGTCGTCGGCTGTAAGATTTGTGGGCTTGTTCGGTCATATCGGGCTAGCAGTCATGAGGAGGGCTATTGTTGATCTGCCAAACAGCCTTCCCAAACAGAGCATGGCCGTTAACCAGTTGAGGCTGCTCAAGGATCTGTACAAGAAGGAGAAAAACATAATCATTTGAGCAGCTCCGGAAAACCAACGACCGCACGGCTAGCGGGTTAGGACTTGAAATCAACAGCCGATTTGCCGCAAGCCATGAACAGATCTTTCGCCATTCGCCATGGAAGCCGGTTTGGGCCACGCAATCTGGCCATCTGCTCAAATGGAAGCACAAGGACGTCCTTCCAAAGAAACATGCCACGAATTTCCCGCGGATCACTGGCAAGGCTCTCATCACGGTATCACGGTATCAACAGACCACCAAAGCACAGGCGCAATCAGACCCGGGCTATAATCGAACCCTGGTGAACAGGCAACCGTCTTGCCAAGGTAATCAGAATATCAGGCAACGAAGATTCTCAACCACAACAAAGCAGAGCATCATTCATATTCTCCGTCTCGACAGCTCATGTACGGTGCGCCTGCGTCTGTCATGTCATGTCTGTCTTCAGAACAAAGAAACAGAGTCGAGCCGAGTACACCCGCCACACGCTCAGAGCTCACCATTGAAAGACGTTCAGCAGGAATGGCGATACCTATTATTTAATGTATGTATGCATGTACTTGGATAGAGAGCGGATAGCTGTGATGATCATTATCTACCTTAGATTAAATTGCACTGGGTATAGGATATCTATTGGGAGTTTTGTGTCACAGATAAACGGAGCTGTGAATGAGGAGATACTCATCTTAAATCGATATTGATACCAATCTCGATATACATATTTGTATGGAGACACCATCTTTCCATGCCTTAACTTTCCTATTTGTTCTCTGTAGATACATAGTTCAACTAAATATAGTTGTAGGTGGAGAATAAATCATGAGGTGCAGTGCTCAGTTTTGAAAAGGACGCATATACAACGAGCTTCCTTTAATCTTCCCTAAGCTTAACTCTCTTCCTCGATGACTTTGTCCTTACTGGCTTCCTGGTTACTCATAACTTTGACATAACACTCGTCCACTCGCGCACATCCTGGAAATTGCCTACCCTGCCACTCCCCCCATACCTATCCTGCGTATCCCTCCAGTCCCTCCCCACCGCGGTCTCAGGCCTCCACCGAAACCCATACCTCAGCCTTTCCTCCAGCACGCCCTCCAGCGTCTCCTTGATCGCAACCCCCACAGCCGGCATCATCATAAACCCATTCCCCGACCCGCCCACGGCCACAACAAGCGACTTGTACTTCGGGTGGCGGTCGATGAGGAATTGCCGATCAGGCGTATCAGCGTCCCAGCAGATCCGCGCGAATACGAAGGGGCGCTCGGCGATTTGTGGGACGGTCTCGCGGAGGAATTGGCGTGCAGCACGCTCGGATTCTACTGGGATTTGGTGTTTTGCGAAGGGGATGGATTTTGCGAAGGGTGAGTTGGGGTCGGTGATGTTGCAGTAGCCTGGGTGTTCGTCGACGAACTTTAGTTGGCCTGTTGCATCGGGTTCCTGATACCAGTCAGTGATTCACCTATATGCATGGCTGGAATGAGGGAAAAGGTAGGATGAACTTACAATGAAGAACCCGCTGTTAACGTTAAACAGGACTGGCAGATCCTTCCACAACGCCCTCTCAGCCTCGGCCATCTGGATATGGGCCAGTGTCCACGCAGTCGGGCGCAGCTGTTTCTCAAAGTCGAGTAGCTGGTCGCTGCCGGCCCCAGCGCAGAGGATAACATGGTCTGCTTTGTGCTCACGTCCATCGACTGTCTGTGCACCGGTTACATCGTCTCCAGCGGTCGAATATACAAGTTTCTCAACGGCCCCTTCATCCCCAGTTACGAAATTGACACCCAGCCTCGAAGCTTCCTTGTACGCGGCCTCGAGTGCACCCCTCGCGAAAACCCACCCAGCACCCGTCTCGCGGAAGAATCCCTTCCAACCGGGAAAGTCTCCTGTAAGGACACCCTCTGGCATTGTGCGGCGGAAGTCCTCGGCGGAGTTGAGAAGCCGGAGCTTGCCCTTGCATGTACGGAGGTAACCGTCAACATGCGACCTCGCATAGTCCTGGCTCGCGGCCATGATGAAACCGGTTGGGTGGTAGAAGGGTCGAAAGACCGGGTCAGTTTTCCAAGCACTTGCGGTGATCTGGTGCATTCGGTTCCAGACGTATTGCTCAGGGGTATCTGCGTCTGAGGGCGCGCCTGGAGGACCTGTTAGGGCTGGCTCGAGTACCCGCAAGATGTGAACGTGGGTGTGAATGGAGATGTCAAGTACGTACCCTCCTCCATGATTTTATTTACATCGTTTCCAGCAGCTGTCGGCGAAGGGATCGGGCTTCGCTCAAGGACGGTCACGTTGTTGTAGCCGGCCCTCGCGAGCTGGAGAGCGGTGCTGCAGCCCCAGGTACCGCCGCCGATGATCAGAATAGAGGAGTCTTTCTTAAGTTGAGACATGATGAGTGACTTGCAAGTGATTGATCTAGAAACAGGACTGATACTAGTATTTAAGCAGGTTTCCAAGGCCCTGCTAGCTAGGTATTAGCCTATCTGACCGATCGAGGAAGGTCCTGCCGAGAGATGACGGGCTTATCAGTTGGCTGGCTATATTCCGAGCGTCGACGTTGCATCATCCTGTTGGAGAAAGCACTCTGTCGACAAGCCGCTGCATGTAGTACAAGTCCACGCGATATCAACGTCTCCAACAACGATTTTCCCGCAGCCTACATCAGATACCAGCCGAGGAAAGGCCCCATTTCCCCGCACTTCCAGCAAACTACTAAAGCGTTATCGCCGATCTGACCCCAAGTCCTGCAGACCAAGCTTTGAAACAAGCTTAGCCCCTTCTCTTGGACCTTCCTCGCGAATAGACTTTATCTTCTCCGCTTCACGCAGGTAGATACGGCTATCTATGGCGTTCTTGTTGTCGCCAACGAGGTACTTAAACGAGTTATGGTCCGGTTATAGAGTGAACATGATCATACTATCAGCTCATCTTTTCTCATTTACTGATACAAGTGATCATGGATGACATTTCACAGTCCGAGGTTCCGGGGACCATCTTTATTGTTGGCAGTTGAGTGGCACCAACACCAACAGCAGTCCACAGTCGCTATACTAACGCGCCATAGCGGATACATCAAAACTAGGGGAACCCGACGCCACTACGTCAAACAACATTGTCCTCGTTCCCCGTCCACTCGAGACAGCACGAGACCCTTTAGTACCTAGTCTACCCTCCCCTCCCTAGGGCGCATCAGACTAACACAAGAACGCCAGAACTGGCCCAAACGCAAAAAGCTATGGACCCTCTTTCTAGCAACCCTCTTCGCGACCGTCGTCGCTTACGGCGAGAACAACCTCGGCGCCCCCTGGACCGAAGTGGCCGAGGACATTGCCGTCTCGATGAAAGATATGAACGGCGGGAGTGCGCTCAACTACCTCCTGCTGGGCTTCGTCAACGTCCTCTGGATTCCGACGGCCATGAAGTTGGGGAGGAAGATTGTGTATATTTCCAGCATGACGATTATCATGCTTACAAGCGTGTGGAGTGCGTATCTGCATGGGGTTGTGCAGTGGTATTTGAACTCGTTGGTTGGGGGAATTGGGCAGAGTGCGTATCAGGCGCTGATTCAGCTGACGGTATGTTTCTTTCTGGATATTAGGTTATGTGATGAGAGTGGTTGCTGATGGTAATGGCAGGTCTTTGACGTATTCTTCGCTCATCAGCGAGGAACCATGCTCGCTGTGTATGTCTGGGGCCAGCAGCTGGGCTCCATCCTTGCTCTGATCCTTGGTGGGTATATTGCCGAGGGACCAGGCTGGAGATGGAGTTGCAAGATTGTTGCTATACTAAGTGTATGCTGTCCCTTTGTTACAGTTCCCTGACAGATGTTTGCTAATGACGCGGTAGGGCACCGTGGTTCTCTTGTTCATCTTTACCATGGACGACTCTCTCTTCCCCCGTCATGCTCTGGCTAGAAGCACTGCTACCCACTCCACTATTTCCCAAGCAACACTAAATGCTCAACCAACAGGTGATGATACCAAGAAAGAACCATTCACCAACCTCACACGCGAGCCCACTCTCGCCCAAGGTAGAACAGACCTCCTCCCACGCAACTACCTCCACGTCCTCTCGCCTATTCACCGCTGGAAAGAGGACAAGACGACATGGTGGCAGTACTTCCGGCGCCCGTTCCACCTGTTTGCATTTCCAAACATTATTATGGTATGTATTCTAGCCCTAGGAGCCCCAGAATAATCAACTACAAACCAATATGACTGACCATGACCAACAGGCCGGCCTGATCTACGCCTTCGCAAACACAGCAGGCATCGTCTCCTTCAACACCATCTCCGAAATCATGACTGACGACCCTTATAACTGGTCCACCGGCCCAACAGGCCTCATGTTCCTGGCCGCCCTCGTCGGCTCTTTCATCGGGTGCGCCCTCCCCTCCTTCCATCTTTCTCCCTCCTCACTCCCAAACCCTAACTCAACCCGACCCAACTTCAGCTCCCACCACTGACACTAAACAGAATGGCCACCGGCGCCCTCGGTGACTACCTAACCCTTCATCTCGCGCGCAAAAACAACGGCTACAAAGAGCCCGAGATGCGCCTCTGGACCCTCGCGCCGGCCTTCGTCTACGGCGCGGTTGGTTACTTCATGTACGGGTGGGCGGCGTCGGAGGGCAACTCCTGGGTGCTCATTGCTGTTGGCCTGGGCGCCATGATCGCGCAGCAGGTCTCGGCGGCGAGTGTCGCGACGGCGTATGCGATGGAGTGTTTTGAGGGGGTGAGCCACCCTTCCAAGTTCCATATCTTTTTCTTTCGAAGAACGCGTCTGATTGTCATTGTGTGCAGATCTCAAGCGAACTAGTCGTCGTCCTCGCAATCTGCTCCTCGCTCGTAAACTTTGCAATCTCCTACTCCGTCCAGCCCTTCATTGAGGCTACGGACTACGGGCGCACTTTCACGTGTTTTGGCGCGCTGGTCCTGGCTAGTATGGCCATGGCAGGCGTCGGAGTGCGTTATGGGAAGAGCTGGCGCAGGAGCTGTGCGGGGAGGTATTGGAGGTTTGTCGAGGAGGGGGTTGCGATTGGGGCTAGTTAGACAGGAGGGGGATTAAGTTGGATTGGATGTGATGGGGTAGGATGGAGCGGGGGTCTGTGATTCAAGTACGGGTGGTGGAAGTCTACTCCATGCCAGCCATACGCTTGCGCTGGGTACTGTATGTATCACTTTTAAGTCGTTGCTAAGCCATAGTAATAGCATTGATTTTGTGCGTATGGGCCGTGGAACTTGGGTACTATGAGAGGAAATATAGCTCTACAGATCTACCCTACCCTAATATGTACGTAAGAGAGCGAAATGGCAAAAGCTATGTAATTGTGGTCCAATATAGGACAGCCTGCACGAGTGCGAGCTCACCCATCAGACGGCAACTATCAGCACCCGTCGCCGTCCCAGGATCCGGCTGATACACCACTCGCTGCGCCAGCAGCTTCGGAGTGTCCCTGTCATGGCTCGGCAAAACGACGACCTTGGCCTGTCTCGCAAATTCCTTGATCATCCACGGCGTCTGCAACGCGCGCATTGGGTTGTTATTAATCCCATCTCGTTCCTCTATATTAAGACTATTAACCCTGTACGTCGCATCCCTACATAAGGCGTACGTGACTAGAAGAAGCCAAAAATGCTGAGGTTTTGAATATGACACAAGCTAGCTATGCCGAGTAGATGCTAGAGTTCAATGCATACACAAGCGACCAGCTACGCAACAAATCTCACAAGTCTGGTATGTCCTCTCGGGTGACAGGATATATGTGACTTCAATGCCCTGGCCTGGTGTGCTTCATTCAAAGTCCTGAAATATCAGAGCTTTGTTCTCGTGGTCGCTTAAAACGAAACCGCGGTGATTGTTGGAGAAGAGCAGGGCATTGGAACTACGCCAGCCCTGATAGCGGTGTTTGGCAAAAGACAAGAAATCGTAAAGGTCAAGTCTACCATTAGCAGTGCAAACCACAAGCTTTGAACCATGGTCCAGGAATCTGAGGTGCTCGGAGGAATATTGACGGAGAAACTTCGGCCGACCTTTCTTTCGTTTCTTCTCACCACCTTCCTCATCCCCCAAGTCCCACCTGACTCGTTCGGTGCCGGTGATACCGTCGACTAGGACGATTTCTCGATGTCCGGTCACACTGCTGGCTGCCAAAAGGTTCCCTCCAATGCTCCATGCCCGAGGAGAATACGAGTTGCTGACACTGAAGATAGTTTGGCCGGTTGCTATGTCGTAGATTCTGTGGAGACTTTCTCCTTTGCGATCATGGACAGCGAGCCATTTGGAGTCGGGCGAGAATATAACATTGAGCACCTTATCTTTCTCCGCCATCTTGAAAACAGACACACAGTCACCATTGGCTGCTTTCCAAATATGGAGAAGACCGTGCAAACCACCGGTCGCGATCAAGTCTGAGTTCGGGCAAATGGTGACCTTGGGGCGTTTGAGTTCTGGATTCACAATTTTCCGTGTTCGTCGTTGCTTGACGTCCCATATACAGACCCGGCGCTCTTTTGCACGCAGCGTCGTGTAAACCATAAAAGTTCCGTCCGGGCTGAATCCGACATTCCACCCGAGCACATTGAACTGATGCTCTGTGATGCACGCCATCGTGGACATGGCAGACGTTGTCCGGACGTCCTGACTCTTATGACGCTTATCAAGACTGCCTTCATCTGAGCCAGCAGAAGAGCCCTCGGACTCTGTATCATCGAGGGGTACAGTCACTCTAGGAACGGGCACTTTCACCCGGGGATTGAAATCGTATACCCCCATCCTTCCTGTCACCGTCACCAGCATGTACCCGCTATTTTCCATCAACAATGGCGCAAAGAGGATCTCCTTGTACCCGGAACAGGGCTCGGGTACTTGTAGGGTTGACACAAGCTCGAAGTTGCTGGTATCGTAAAGCCGCAGTTCCTTCTCTCCAACAACCACGGCCAGATATTTATCATCGTGCGTAAGCGTCATTTTCGAGGCAGGTTGCTCGAGCTCGATCCTAGGTGTGTGCGGACCAATTTTATGGATGTGTGTTGGAACCCATAGCGATGCTGGCGCAGGCTCAGGCGAATGCTCCCTGACGGTGGGCGTGCCGGAAATAGACTCAAAGGGGGTGGGCTCCGGTGAGATTGGCTCGCGTGAGATGCGATCGTGGATAGTAGACTTGTTGCAGGTAGCCTGGCGGAGGTTGGACTTGCTAGGATGCGGTTCGAGAGGGATTGATTCGAATGAAATGCGGGGAGGACTTGAGGATCTCTTCCTCTTCCGCTTGGTTCCTGAAAGAGTGTTCGGCATCGCGTTCCAGGCGGTATGTAGAGGTTGGTAAATGAAAGGTATGTGGGATTGATGCTGAAAGAATGATTTCGTTGCGTTGATGTTGTTGTGTTATGGCCGAAAGTAGCAGCAGGAGCAAAATGCAGGTGAGCTCAATTAGCATCGAAAACTGGCAAACCAAGCAAACCCACCAGCCGGCATCTTCAGTATTTCCATATTTTTCTGTCAGATATGGGAATTCAATCATTATGCTCTTATCCTTTTAGTTTCTTCAGGTGAGTAACACTAGCCGGGCTTCGATGACTAGGGCTCGGTGCTGGGCCGGCAGAGTAGTGGTACATAGATTTGGCTGCCTGGGCTGCCAGCTTAGGCGTGTTTAGAATGGGCGAAGAGAAAAAGCTTTTCCTCAACTTTACGGATGATGCTGGCGTGGGAGCAATAATCAACGGCCGTAGCAAATGAAGTAATTGACGACGAATAGCTCCAGATGCCGTTTGAGAAAGTGATTTAGCGACTGTATTCTGATATCCATTGTTATATCAAAGATCCAAATCATCGCCCCCTTTGAGTAAATCACACCTGCTTCCTCGACGTGCCTTCTTTACGAGATGCAGTGGACTAACGGTATATCCCCAGCAGCGGCATGGCCTTCCGTGCTGAGTATTCTGACTATCCCCCCTGCCTAGGTCTACTTATCTCCGCTCTCTTCACCATCGCTCTCTGATGAACTAGACTCTGATGGTTCCGGCGCCTTCTTGGACTTGGAAGACGACTTCTTGGACTGGGAATCCTTCTTGCTCTTTTCCTTTGTCTTGACCTTCCCCTTCGCCTTCACTTTTTGCCTTGCTCTTCTTCGACCTTTTCTTCTTGGGTGGTTCCGGCTCGCTTTCGCTCTTGCTCTCACTGTCACTCTCGCTATCACTCTCAGTGCGCCCCTCTTCCTCCTCTTCACCATGGAACTGTCAGACTCCTCCGCGCCTGGCCACTTTGGTGGAGATCTTTTCTTTGACGCCCGGGTTTGCTTGAGATCGTCCCGCCGCAGGCCGTGCATCTTCGCACGCTCAGGATCCGACCTTCGCACCTGAGTCAGATACGACTCAAAATGGTTGCTGGTCTTGACAACAGCTTGGAAGTGTTTTGTCCGCAGCTTTGGCGCCGATGGCCCGTCCTTGGGTTTCTTCAGGCTGTCCCAATCTGCCAGTGCCACGGCAGTCTGGAATGCGTTCTTGATCTGGCGGCCATTCCACCGACTCCCGGCTTCCCATTGTGCCTCCGCAAATTTCATTATCCTCTTTTCGTTCAGCTCAATCGGGACCTTGGAGGTTTCATTATCGCGCTTAAGTCGGTCTACGTTCTTCTGCCACACTTCGAGGGCTCTCCTTTTGCTGAAGGGAGGGTAGTACAAGGCGCAGTGAATCCGGGACGTGGCGGCCTCGTCGAATTGTCCCACGCGGTTTGTGGTTAGAATCAGGACGCCAGAGTAATATTCCAGCACCCGTAGAAAGACTAAGGGAGTCAGCTAAGTCTGTTGCTTCAGCTCGCCGCCATGACACACCTGAAACCAAACTATTCTGGACAATATTTCCCTGTATGCGCTCCCCAAGGAAGACATCAGCTTCATCCAACAACAACACGCAACCCCATCGCATAGCCAGATCGAAGAATTGCTCCAAGTTTCGCTCCACCTCCTGCGCAGAGTTTCCACCAAGGTCACCACAAGTAATCGGAAACAACGGGCGACCAGTGTGAGCGGCTACACATTCAGCTGTCGACGTCTTTCCGACTCCTGGAGCACCAGGCCCGTCCCCTTACCCTTCACGATGTCAAACTGACGCTGAACCAGGGGCGCGTCGGTTTTAGAGCTCAGTGCTCCTCTGGCCCGGGAATGTGTTTTGACCAATGCTCGAATGATGTCTCGATGCTTCTTTGGCAGAACCAGGTCGTCAAAGGCATCATGTGCACCTTCCTTGATTGTCTCGAGTTTTGATATCAAATCAATATTCAACGGATCTAGACCACATTAGAGCCAACTTCGCCTGCGGATGAGCATGCTTGTGCGGCACGTACACCATCTTCGACTGAGAAGCACGTATCCGAACACCCTATCCGGCAACAGAGTCAAATGTTCGTCTTCCAGCTGGTCAAGCGCACGGTCCTCAAGCAGAGGGGTATCGTGGACGAACTTAAAATATCGCGCCGTGCGGAATTCTTCATTGTCGTAGCTTATATCTTCGCCATGCGTCTCCTCTTAATCCTCCACAGTTGGCTGGAGGATCGCACCACCACCGAAGTCGGGCATTTGGTGCCTGGGTCACCGCTACGATAGGCCAATTCGAAGTCGATAACAACATCGCTTTCAATCTGCAGTCCCATGTTAGCTCAAAACACCCCTTCAGGCCATGGTGGTTAAAGAAATGAGCACAACCCTCCTCAAGTTTGTGGAAGTCCTCATTTGTCAAGTTAAGACCCTTGTACCGTTTATGCGACACTTTGACTAGGTCCACGAACTTACAGCCGCGTTTGGTAATATCTAACTTGGTCGTTGCATCCAGGTACTGCAATGGGAAGACATCCAACGCGGTGACTGAGCGCTTTTCGACATACGGACGGATGGCGATGCTTTCCGGAACAGGCCGTACTTGTTTACCGTCATAATCGAGATGGAAGCAGTCAATGACAAGGTTGGAAACGGTATTGCGGGATGACTGGGACTTCCTGGGGACTAGTGATCTCCGTCCTCCAGAAACTTGGATGACTCGAAAGACCTGATTGTTTGGACGCCTGGTAACAATCTCCTGGCCCGGCCAGAAGAGATGCCACAGGTGCGAGAAGTAGATGGATTCCCGGCTCCTTCGTGGCCTGACGGTGTATCTGTACCACATCTGCCAGATCGACAGCCGTCGTCTTCTGCGTCATCGATAACCTCCCATTCTATCTCGTCAACGACAATACATCGGAGGCCACCCAGTCACTGCTGCGGTGGTTGATCAGACTAACTCACCGACAGAGGAAATCACAGGGAATCTCCGGGGGCGGTTGCACATTCAAGCTGCTTTTGACGGCTGCGGTACAGTTCATGGATCCGGAGATTAGCGCACTGCGCGATGATGAAGTCTTCAGTATCCCCGTCGCCGTTCCGCAGACAGGGGGTTTTACCGATATGAAATGGGAGGTGGGCGTGGGGTCAGAATTGAGCTTTTGAGATTTACGCAGAATCATTGTCTCCTGAGTCTGACATCCGGCATTGTTTATACAGATATAGCTGACTGATAGGACCGACGCATTGCAAGATCCAAGCTGTGCTTATAGGCGACAGTAACGATGAGAAGCGTAGGCGTCAGGGTCTCTAGTAAAGAAGCGTTGACGACATTCTAATCAGGCTATTCCGTTGGAGAATCTCAAACATTTCCCAAGGAGCAGGATTCCTGTTCCTATCTCCTCGTTTTCCCTCATGTCTGCACTACCAATAGTTCTGCAATCCTGATCTTCGACTCGCAAGACACTGCAACATTCTCGCACCAATGCTGCGTGTTTTGGCTTAAACCTACCTTCAAAAGCGTGTCCCGATTGGTCCACTCACTATCTAGTCCAAGTCCTGATCCCCCGTCAATCCCTACTGTTGATGATCAAGCTTGGCTGGTTGAGATCCACACACCACAGCCGGCAATGATTGATATACGATGTACAATGCCGAAAGTACGCCACCCATCGTCCCAGAGTTCCGAATCAAAGCATAACTCGCATCTGATGGATCTCGGCCCCTGAGAAATGGCTTGCTAGGCTCGCCCTCCCTCACTGAGTAAACCTCGGATTGACCATGGCGAGGGCTTCCATAAAGTTTGACCTTTTAATATGTAATTCGGAGCGCGGTAAACTGGTTACTGATCTCTCTTACTTGGTCATGACAGGCAATCACGAGGCTTGGCGGAGATATGCAGTGACTATTCATGGATACCAGTAGGTCCTTTTTAAGTAGGTATGCAACGATACTATGCGAAATATGCTTGTGCTGGTAGTTGGAATAGGGCCACCAACAGCACGCGTGTAGTAGCTGCTAGAGTAGTTCTGGCAAGATAGTCTTGCCAAGGTTTCTCTATAATAATAATAATAATCATAAAGAATTAAAAGTAAACGAAGTACATGTGAGAGCATAAGCATCCTGTCAGGTCTTAGGACCTCAAATCGTCGCTCGTTTAGATAGTTCTTCAGATCTCCCAACTTCATTTAATCCGCAGTAATATTACTGCAACTGCTGCTTCCAATTGAAGCAGGCGGTTGATCTCCGGTTCAACCGGATGACTATCTCCATCTGCTGGAGCCGCTCATACCGTAATATTCGATTCTCAACTACCGTATACCTACCTTGAGGCTGATACACGCACATCAGTTCCAACTCTGTCAGCCGGAAGGAGCCTCCGGTGGCAATCCCAGTAAAGACAACTCTGCCAAGCTATTCTTATTCTCGCAGGTTTAGCAATTAGAGCTATTGACTACTAAAAAAAGTCTACTAGGGCCTTTTTTTTTAGTAACTTAACGGTTCCTAACATTATGGTCGACAGGTTTTCTGCCAGCTTGATTGGGAGTCACCTGACTGCTAAGGCTTTTCCTTAGCGAGAAACGGTTCGAGACAACTGAAAGTTCGAACGAGTTTAATTGCCCCACCGGTTCGGACCAAGCCACCATTCAGAGTCAGCGGGATACAGATACAGAACCACAGGATTATTAAATCGCAAAACGCCAGACTGACCGAGGATGTCTGAGACGCATTTAGCCCTGTACCTGACGCGCCTGGTTGACACTCTGCAGCAAGAGTTGAACGACAATCTCCTCGCAGTCTACATTTTCGGTTCAGCCGGCTACAACGCCTACGAGCCTGACACCAGCGACGTTGATATCTATGCAGTGATCCATCACGAGCTAAAATCGGATGACTACAACCAACTCGCTCGCAAGATCAGCCATGCATCTATCCCCTGCCCAGCACGCAAACTCGAGTTTGTCCTGTTCACAAAGTCCAATGCAGCCCGGCAGACAAGCAGCCCGCGATTTGAGATGAACTTCAATACGGGGAGAGAAATGGAGCGTGATTACATCAACCTAGATGCCTCGTCCGAGCCTGGATTCTGGTTCGTTCTTGATATGGCAATGGGTCGTGAGCTGGGCACGGCCCTTTTGGGACCGCCGGCTAGCGAAGTCTTTGCTGCGCCGAAGAAAGAGTGGATTCTTGATGCAATGGTTGAATCTCTGGATTGGCATCGTCAGCAACCGAGCTTGACACCTGATGCAATTCTGAATGCGTGTCGGGCACTGCGGTTTGCGAAATCTGGGGGGTGGGGGTCTAAGAAGGCTGGCGGGGATTGGGTGATCCAATATTACGGGGAACATGAGGCTCATATTGTTTCTCTTGCTCTGGAGGCCCGCCGTTTGAAAGGAGGAATGCCCCAGAATCAAGTAGTGGAGTTCTTGGATTTTGTAAAAACAGAGCTCGAACAGTGCAGGAGCGCAATCTAACTGGGGTGGCAGGCGGGCTTTTCACTTGACCTGTCATGTTCCCCGAAGACGGGCCTACTAGGTGCAGCCCTGCAAGAAAGGAGCTCTTATAGAATCAAGTCAGTTTAAAGATCTCCAAGCTCAAACTTTATCCCACTAGTCTAAGCGATAAGCAAACATATGAGAGCCTCTGACTCCACTACATACAGACAGTCACTGATTTTGGTAACCTCTTCGCGACCCTTGACGTGAGCCCAGACGGCATCAACCTACTCCGGGATGTGATACGGAACCGCAACAGCTTTCACAAGGAGCATCACCTGAACAAGGCTCGCTCGCGCGGAGCTGAGCTCAAGCAGCTCTCCGACTACCCCGACAAGGACTGGACTGGAGTGAAACCACACGTCATGCTAGACCAGGACCGTTCGAAACCTGTCTACGGGACTCAGTCAATGTGGCCCGACCGGGAACTCACTCTGGACCACGTTGGCTTCCAGCCGCAGGAGCTGGAGACAGTATCCTCGACGATTGGACACGTTCTGCTTCACGCGTCCGTGGCAGATCCGACTATACGGCCCCGTCCACCCTATACAACCTTGGATCTTGTGGGCCTTTACGAGAGGCACCGTACGTTGAGAACGAAGAGGACAGAAACATGGTGGGGCTTCATGGCTACTCTATGTGAATGGTATGGTGGCAGAGATACCGGCAGGCGCGTTGGCCAGTTTCGAAGAAGCATTGGGAAAGGAGCTGTCTAGGGTGAAGTGCGACAAACTAAAGGTCGAAGTTAAGGCAAACAAGGCTACAAGGGCCAATTAAGCGTCTCTGTACCTCAGCGGGAGAATAGGAATATCAAATTATGAACCTTTTCATCAATAGACCACGGATAAGAGTAGTATTCCTCATAATACTGCTTTTCTGCTGTAATAGCGTGATTGGGGCTTTTCCGCGGAGACTTTGTGTTATAGGATCCGACTCTGGCGGGTTGACAAAGTAGTGATACTATGCAGTGCGCAGGTTGACAATTGCAAGGATTCTTTATGTAGCGCTAGGATGCCTGCGAGCCAGAGGAGAGGTATTTTGTGATCAGTGTTGGAGGCTGCGCTCGGGATAAGAGCCACGATCGCCAGCATCAAGACGCTTGATAGTGCAAGTGTGAACTTTAACATGCAGAGAGATTTGTTCAGGAGCTGCTTCATCATGTAGATCTTAGACACTACAACGACTACAGCGTGGAGTAAACTGTGTTCCAAGGGCTATGACTTCCTCGTGAAGCCTTTCGTTCTATTTCTCTATATTACTTAGTGTATTGTTCACTTTTCCTTCTGGGAAAAATCCGCTCGGAATTATTGTTGGTATCTCGTAAGATGGCCATACAAAGCGAAACATTACATACAGGGCCCTACCCTAGAAGATGGCAAGTATATGATACTTATCAACCATAATGCCGCCTTATATATGGTATTTGGGGTGGCTAGATTAATAGGGAATCATGTTACTATATACTCCATAGTCTGAAACATTCTTTGATTAGCGCTAGTACTAGCGTGGCCAAGACTTTTAGGACACACCTCTATATAAATAGGCGACAGGTGTATTTACCCAGGCTTCCCTCCTTGTGCAACAAATGTTTTTAACAACGCGAGGTCTACAAAGAGGTGTACTTTCTCAAGCAATTCCAACCCGAATTCTGCAGCCTCAGTTCATCTGAAGGCCACCCCTTTTCCAACCACTTAGTCGCTCTCTCCACCGCCTCCCCAAACTCGCAACATAGCTTGCTCAACAGCGCCAGAGCCGCCATTAGAGGCTTTATTACAGCGCCATGCACACCCAGAGAGATTTCCACCGCCGCCAAAGAATTATCCGCGCTTGGAAACGGGCACCTGTCCCGGCGACGTGATTGAGGAATCTTTACACGAGGACGGCCATCGCGCCTGGGAGTTTGTTATCTGCCGCTGCACATTCGACAGCGCTTCTCACTGGGAGGCGTTTATGCGCCTTCTGCTCGCCGACACAGAAGATACTGTTTACATGGGTTCCGGTGAGACAGACCTGCTAAATAACCTGGCCATCACGGTCATCGAGGACCGCGCTGCCTTGGATGGGGCCACGGCTGCTGCTGTCCGTGAGAATTTTCGGGCATGGGCTGCGACCGCGCCGCAGCGCGAACAGGGGGTGAACAGCCGCATCCAACCGGTCCCGCCGAGACTGGGGATTTCTTCGCAGCGCTACAGATACTGTCTGCAAGTGGGACGAGAGGAATTGGAGTCGGTTCTCCGGTACGCACAGAGCGGCCCGTTGGATTCTAGTTTCGTGCGCCTTGTTGACACGTACTGGGAACCATTCGTTGACCCCGCGCTTGATTTGGAGGAAGAACATCAGCGGCTCAAGGCCGAGTCTTGAGGGGAATGAGTGGATCTATGAAACGGATATCCCCGTCAAAGGGTGTAGGGATTGGGATGTTGCCTGAATGAGGATTCAGTTTCATGGGGTCATATTTGAGCCGTATACTGCCTTGCGGCATGACGATCAGTGGGAAATGCGCTCTACTTAGTTGACAGCCTTTGCCATGATTCAAACAGCAATAAACCCCGACAGCTTGTGGATAACCTGCGTATTTACACCAGGAAATAAGGGTAAGGGACTAGAATCCCAACTGAAGACAGCATAGTAAAAGCATAAAAAAAAACCACTTTTAAGGTCTAATCCAGGCTGGTACTCGCTGTCTCGAAAATATGGCCATCAAGACCCAATAGTCCTCTGGGCAGGCGGGAGTCACTGTCTTTATTATTCAAGATTGGGAATGGGTACCCTATTGGGCAAAAGCATCAACCTATACTATCCATCGAATACTTCGGATCCTAGACCGCTAGGCAGAATAGGATAACCCTAAGACTGATTTACTACAGCGACTTTCCTCTTCTTCCTCTCCATCCAGGCAGACCACTGCGTCACACTCAGTACAAGCCCCTGTCAAATGGAGATCAAGGAGGCAATGATTTAGATAGTGGATAATAAACCAGCACAACAAGCAAAAGATCCCTCCGCAAATCGCCTCCAGAATCTCCATTATAATGGGGTAATTATTCATGTGCATTATCATATAAATCCTATAACTAAAGGTAAAGCCTCAAAGGTAATAACATTCTTTACCCTAATTATAGTAATAATTACTAGACTAGAATTCTTCTCCCATACCTTAGTAGCAAAAAATATAGAGTATAAAAATAAATATAATGTACGAGAGTATCAAGCCTATATTATCCTCAACACCTATCGCCATTATGTCAACCGTCGTTGGTCCACCAAGATTTGATATCCGCATTCCAGAACTAGCTTCGTCTCGGGATGAGAAGCCCTATTGCAGTATTGTAGTACCTGAACCCAGCTAGTAGCTACTACTATTACCATAAGGGCTATACCAAAGGTTATTCGTCTGACGAAATCCAAGACGCGTACTGTAGCACAGCTGACGCATCCCACCCAGCAGCCATCACATGACTACCGAGGGGCCATCAACCCCTCGCTTCAAACCATCACCACAACTTCAGTTCATCCTTATTTGCCCCCGTCCCTATCCATCTAAAATGCACTGGCAGAATATCCTATCCCTCCCATTTCTTACTTCCACACAAACCATTTTATCGCCAGATCAAACAGAAATATTAAATACCCAGAGCTGTCCCCATATCCACATCTTCGGCGCCCGCGAGACCCTAGCCGAACCCGGGTACGGCCTATCCAGACCCCTCGTCGATGCGCTCTTAGATGCCTACCCCGGTAAATACACAGCAGAAGCTATTGACTACCCGGCCTGTGGCGGCCACCCCTCCTGCGGGGGCGCTACACACCCCGAATCTGTGGCTGCGGGAATTGATGCAGCGGGCCGGGCGATCAATGCGTTTCATGAGATGTGTCCGACCACAAGGATTGTACTTGTTGGGTATTCTATGGTAGGTATAGTAGCACCCTAATATATCTCTTTATGTTTCGCGCGCCATATTCATACATTGTTAGGGGGGCGAAGTCCTCGACGCAACCCTCTGCGGCGGCGGCGTCCCCATTGAGGGGATAACAAATACAACGATCCCTTTGGCCCCCTCCGCAGTCGAGAGCGTTCGAGCGGCAATCTTTCTAGGCGAGCCACTTTTCCGCGCAGGATTACCGTATAGTGTTGGGAGTTGTGTTGCTGGAGGGGTACGCATTATCCATTTCATTTCTTGATAATAGATGGATTGTGCACCTAGTTTTCCTGTGTGGCTGATGTTTTGACCTTGGAATGCATAGTTTGACGCTCGCCCCACGGACTTCATCTGCCCCTCAGCAGACAAAGTCCAGTCCTATTGCGACGCACCGGATCCGTATTGCTGTAATGGGACGGATTCGGTGCCGCACTATCGGTACAATGAAGTGTATGGGGCAACGGCGCTGAGGTTTGTGCTGGGGAAGCTCGATATCGATTAGTCTCCATGGGGGGACGGGTTGCGTTACAAAATCTGCCACATAGGGCTATAAGAGGGATGAGATATACATAGAGCCATATTGTGATTATCATATAGGCAACTATTTGTCTACATAGCACCCAATGCTCTTTCAATTTCTGTTGTCGTTCACTGTCATTCCTGGTCAGCCAGGGTGGGATGGCCTGTCACCACTCTCCTTCTCCAAAAGCCCAACAACCTAGGTGGGCTGTTGTCTAGACGCCCAATACGTTTCGGTTATTGTCTTTCATGTTACCAGGCACAACCTTCCAGCTGTCAAGGGGACAGATACTTAGGATCATGGAACTCATAGTAGCCTGAGCCGATCTCCATTGTCCGTCCACCATTCGGCATCGTCACATTAGCCCTTGTGTTCGGGGGTATTTGCACGATCAAATGGAACCCGTTGCGGTGGGCCGCGGCCTCGACTTGATTGTTTTCAAACCACCATTCCGTGCTGACTTCTCCATACGGACTGAGGAACCTGGTCTTGGCGTTTGTGATATTCCAACCAGGTAGCGGTGACACCGTGACTGCCTTCCATCCTGGCTTTGCCGGAGCGATGCCCCCGATGACTTGGTGAATCCAATTGGCTACGGAGCCAAACGAATAATGGTTGAAGCTGGTCATTTCACCCGGGTTGACGCTCCCATCGGGCAGGAGACTGTCCCATCGCTCCCAGGTAGTCGTGGCATTCTGAATAACTTGGTACAGCCACGAGGGCACACGGGTTTGGAGAAGCATACGATAGAAGTCATCAGTCGCGTTGATACCCCGCAGGGCAAATCCAAGAGAGGAAGTGCCAGCAAATCCAGTGCCGACAAGGTAGTCGTTTTCTACAATAATCCCGCGCAAGGTTTTGGCGGCTGCTGTGCGGTCTTTGTTGTAGGTGTAGAGCCCAAAGTGAAGTGCGAGGGCATACGCCGTTTGCGTTCTATTGGCCATGTCGCCATTGATCATCCACGCCGCCTGGAATTCTCTCGTCAATCTGGCCCTTTCGTCATGGTATCTCCCGGCAAGTACATGGCGGCCTAGAATAGAAGCCATATTTGCCAGAAGTTTGGTGTTATGTATCAAGTAGGCATCGGCGACAAGGTGTGTTGCAGTGGTGGCGTTTCCTGGACTATCCGGCGGTGATTTGGGATCCAGCCAGTCGCCGTACTGGAAGGTGATGCGATTCCAAAGTCCAACCTCGTTCCGGCGTATGCCCGTATCAATCCAGGCCTGAGACTGGTGAAACTGGACCTCTAACATGCCGGGATCTCCGAAAGCCTGGTAGATGTTCCAAGGACCGGCAACGGCAACGTCACCCCAGATTGCTGCGGGTATAGAGTAATCGTAATTAGGGACTATTGGAACGAAGGAAGGTGGAATCATCGTCCCATTCCGCTGCATTTCCGACCAGATGTCTCTATGCCAGCCTTGCCAGAAGCCCGCGGTGTCATATAGATAATTCGCGGTTGGACCAAAAGTATACGCGTCTCCCGTCCATCCAAGGCGCTCATCCCGCTGAGGACAGTCGGTCGGTATGGAAATGAAATTCCCCTTCATGGACCAGCGCACGTTGCGGTGGAATCGGTTTAGCAGTTCGTTTGAGCATTCAAACCATCCGGTTTGTTCCATGTCGCTATGGATCACGATCGCTGTGATGGACTGGTCATTAAGGGCACTTTCATCCGGCCACCCGTCGATATGGGCGTATCGGAATCCATGGAAGGTGAATTTGGGCTCCCAGATCTGGGGCCCTGGCCATGCAAGATGAGAGAGTCGGCAGCCGCCGCGAATCTGAGTGGGCGAAGAGCCAGCTCGCCGTCCTCGAGAACCTCCGCATGGCGCAAGCTGATATTGGTGCCGCTAGGTCCCTCAACCTTGACCTGAAGCCAGCCAACGAGGTTTTGGCCAAAATCAACAATTGTTTTGTTCGAAGGGGATTGGAAGATGCGCTGCGGTTTGCGTTGTTCGATCTTTCTCACCGGGGGGCCGTCGGGCGAAACCAGCTCTCCCTTGAGCGCCGGCAGCTCTTTCACCCCGAGCCAATCGAGCGTCCATCGCGGCCAACTCAAAGATGTAGGTGACTTGGACCCTTCATTTCTGACAACGTCCTTTTTCAGCCCTAAATGCACCGTTGATGCCTCCAAGGGCTCATGTATGAAGAATACCGGGGTTTCTCGGGTTAAATGGGACCGGTTTCAAGCAGACGACTGCGGGAAAAGGAACAGAGTAAATCGCCCATACAACCAAGGTCTCACGGGTATGGCTCCTGGTCTCGCAGGAGAACTGCACCCCTCATGATCTCGGTGTCTGATACTGCGGGGGTCCTAATCAGGATGTCGGACAGTGGCCAGAGCGTGGGGAAGCGAGGGGTCCATGATCTCGCGGGGTTACCCTGACAAGAAAGCGGGGCGGGCCAATGAATTTAGATTAGGAAAAGAGTACGAATACGAGTCTATGTTCTCCACCTTCGGGATAATCAAGTGGATATCAAAACCTTATTTTTATGACAGGCACTAAGCATTATATGTTACTACTGCCATTATAAACAATTTGGATAACAGTACGAATACGAGAATCTATGAGAAAAGCAGTTGGTTTTAGCTAGTGCGTATTAGGAGAATTATACAGTACAGATTATGGGATCCGCTTTATTCATGCTCTTAAACTCAAGTAGTGTAGTTCCTTGCATTCTTGATTATTGTCATCAAACCTTCCAAGTGCGATCCATGGTTGTTGACTCAAGTTAGATGTTTAGGTGATTCCAAGTTAGATCCACCGTTCCAATAAAATGGTCTCGCTTTAGAGTGCCCACAACACACCAAGTATCAGTAACACTGCTACTTGATTCACTTGGAGAGTATGCCTTGTTGAACTCGGCGGTCCGTCCAGTTGCCCTCCTGAAGTCTAAAGTATTTTATCCAACAATCTTCGCCATGTTGTCTCAAACTTTGGGACTAGGGATAATCGGCGCGGGGTCAGTCATTTCCTCAGTTGGAACCCTCCACTAGAATTAAAAGCCTAACAATTCCGTCATAGTAGGTTTGCCAAGTATGCCATGGCCCGGCCATTCTGCTCTCGTCCCACTTATTCATGACAAAATCGATATGCGACGTCTCGACTAAGATGGTAGACCATTATGCTACCAAGTTCTTTCTCCTCACAAGACCACCACCCCCCATGAGCTCATCGACCATCCCAAGGTCGAAGTGGTTTTCAACCTGACTTCTGATGAGAGCCATGCATTATTGGCGCGTGCTAGTCTAAGGCTGGCAAGAATGTTTTCATTGAGAAGCCAGTGACCCTTTCCTTGCCCTCTTTGGAGACTATCATTGGAGCGGAAAAGAATGCACCCAACGGTGCTCGTGCTTTCGTGGGCCATGTGCGTCGCTACGCTCCGACCTTTCGAACGTGATGCTTTTTAACATTGGCGGGGGCACGGTGATAATGAGTTTCTGCGCATGAAACTCTCGCCCCGACGCTGTCCGCACCATCATGTCGTTATTATGATTCTGAGAGACGCGCGTGACTGGCATGTCGGTGGAAATATTCTGAGAGAGCTCGTCGGCCAACATGGCTGTCGTGATACCCATAGATTCCACAACGAGACTATCCTGGGCTCCACCCTGTGTCCGCAGCATCGCGAACAACCCTCCCGATCGAGGAAGCGCCTTTGCAAAACTGTAGATGGAAAACATGCCCAGTTCAGCAGTCGAAGCCACTGCCACAATGAAAGCAAGAAGTTGTCGGGCAATCTCCAAGGGGGCCACAGTTTCGATTGCTTTGTCTACCGTGACCGTGATCCAACTTTGCGGAACATACACCCTGCTCACCAACTCCAGGATGAGTAGCTGCGTCAGCGCCAAGAGCACAGAGGGTGAAAAGAGAGACACAGTGCGACCATCCCGAGCAATAATCGTCGGCAGGCCGCGTGAGAAGGTCGGGAAGGTTGTGCCGCCTGCCTGGTTCACCAGGGCGGTTAAGCGATGATGTCCGTGTCCGATCCATTGTCCACCCAGATCAAGATGTGAGCCGAGGCTGGTGGTGAGGGAATTGACTCTTCCGCCCACCTTGCTCGATGCCTCGAGTACAATGACATCGATGCCTTTACGATGTAGTTCCGAGGCAGCCGTGAGACCCGACAGACCGGCGCCAATGACAATCACTTGTGCACGGGGACTCGGAGCCATAGTGCGAGAAGACAGAATTTTGAGGAACGAATTGGTTGATGGGAAAGCGTGAGGTACACCTTTGAAAACCTCGGCAGACCACAGTTGTCTTATGGACAGATAAATGACGGTCTTAGTATCGGGCGTTGTGGGAAGGGACTTGGATATAAAGAAAACAAGTTTCAACTACGAGTCTATGGTGACAGCGACTTTATTTGCTGGTCTAGGTGTGGGACGATCTTCTACATTCGTCCGCGGTGGCAAGAGGCTAAGACAAGAATGGCAGGACGCCAAAATATACGATTGGTTGGACCTTATCTGCAGCCGCGGCTATCAAGAGGCTCATCCCTTTGGGGTTTAGGCGAGATATGCACGGCGCCCTCGGAACCCGCGGGAATTAGAACATCGGGGTGAACAGGCCATCCCTGTCAAGCAAACCACCCCCATCTTTCACCTAAAATGCACTTGTCAAGCCTTTCAATATGATATAATATTGATGTATTTTAACCACGTGAAAAATGTCTTTGACAATTAATTCATAGCTAAGACTACATTTGGATAGGGACGTTACATTTCATCAACATGTCATGATTGAAGGAAGTGCTATTATATACCAAAAATAGGAGTTGACAGCCCTCCTCCTGGATATAATTCTGCTGATGTCGTGCTTGGTATGGGCTTTCGAGACCCCTTTCAGCGCCTCAGCTTCGAAACAGCGGGAAACGTTCTATACTATCTGGACCCGCGCAGTGTGAAAGCACAAGATGGAGGGATTTTATACGAGCCTGGATCGCGTCCTCGGGGTTCTCGAGCAACTTTCCGGGTCAGGCCAATGGAGACAAGAAGCGAGACGATAGACAAATTGTGCAAAGGTACAAAGACCTAGGTACGCATGTGACCCACCTTGCCAGGCAATTCAGGTCAGCTACTAAGCCCTTCTATGCAGCCGCTATTGAAGCGAACCTGATATCCGGAACGCCAACAGCCGTCCGGAAAGTCGAATCCCCCCGTGGGCTTCTCGAAGCAGGACATCTTGCAGCGGGGCATCCCGACGACGAGGGACTGCCCCGGTCCGGAGTTACAGTGCTGAGATCTATGCTCCTCAAGACTTGACAGCCGGATTCTGCTCTTTTGCCGAGGGCTCTTTCCTCCTGATGGAACTGCGATGTCAGTTTTTCGCTTGTATCTTCTCAGCCGAATTGGGGCGGAAAAAAAAAGAGCAAACGTAGATGGATATGTATCAAGATGATTATCTAGAGTCAGCACAGTATCACTCAGTCTGCCCGCCGCTTCGCCAGAACCGCCATCAGCACATGTCGATCAGCGATCACATTCCTCTCCGCCGCTTGCAAGATCGTATCTGTAATCGTCAAATTGGACGTATACGTAGACCTCAGGAAGGTCTCCACAGCTGCATGGCCACACCTCTCCACAATGATCTCCCCCAATTGCTCGAGTTCAGGTTCTGGCAGGCGACAGTGAGCTGATCCCGCGATCTCCTCCACTACGCCGTCCAAGCCAAAGTTCTCCTTCCGCTCGGCGTCATACGGGCATTTCTCTAGCATGGAGCGGGTGATTTCCGGCTCCTCGACGACTTGTAGTTCTGGAAGCGCGAAGAACGCAAGGAACTTGTGCTCCGCCGGGAGCTCCATATCCAGCCAAACGTCCTTGAGGAGATCGTCGACGGCGATGTGGAGGCTCGGCCGCTGTTGCAAAATCCAGGGAACCATTAGAGGCCGCTCTCTCATTGCCTTTCGCAATACATTCTCCGTGATGGGCGCCAACCCCGTGCGGTGGATGATAGCTTCAACAGTTTCGCGGAAATCGTCCGACTTCAAGGCACCTATTATGATGTCCTCTGTAATTGGGGTGTCGCTCCCATGTTTGTCCAGAAGAAGGCGTATCGACCGCGGATCCATCGCTGCTTGTACCCACGCATGGTGTGAGATTGGGGTATCTGGAGCCCTGGTGAGCACGGCGCTCAATGTCCCGTAGCGTCCCGCCACCGCTTCGAGCAGTTTCTCATCAACAGTCACGAGTCGCCGGTCAAGCAGCATTTCCAACACCCAGTCAGCAGGCGGGTGATACGTCGTAAACTTCTCTATAATTTGCTGTACTGGGGCACGGTCGCCGTGCTTGTCCAGAAGTAGGGCCAGAGCGTCGCGCTCGGAGCAAGCCTCCAAAAAGACTCGGTCACTGATCGGCAGTTCCGAATAGTTGTCTATCAGCATTCCCAGCGTATTGTGGTCGCTATTCATCGAAAGGACCAGCGCCTCTTCTGTAATGGGAAGGGGTCCCTCCTGCAAATGAGACAGATAGGTGATTAGAGAGGAGGCATGGCAGCGGTTCTGGGCTGCGCCGCATACTATCGCCTCGGTGACTGGAATCTCGGACATGCTGTTGTTGATGAGGAGCTGAAGCATCTCGAGCGGAGCTTCGTATTTCGACACAGCGGCCTCAATCACCCGCTCAGACACGTCGAAAGTGGCCATGCCGCTTCCCCAGATCATCCTTACTAGAGCCATTCCCTTCCGATTACGGATCACTTGTTCCATGACTTTATCGCTCAAGCGGGTCCCGGGCCCAAGCTCGGCGATCAGAAACTCCAAAACCTCACCTTCCTCTCTTGTGGCTGCGCTTATCAGCATATCCTCGGTAACAGATGTGCCCGGTACGCGACGGTCCCACAAGAGCTGGAAGACAGTCAGGCCCTGTTGATTTTCAGCACCGGCGACCAACACGGCTTCTGTCACGCGGATATCCGGGTATGTCTGGAGCATAAACTGCAAGTCCTGAGCACTAAGCTTCCTTCCCAAATGGTTTAAAAGCGCATCGCTTATTGTGAGTTCAGCAGGTCGTCTGCGTGCCAGAGCAACGACGGCACTTGGCTGGACTAATCGTAGCACGTGCCTGTTACTGAACAGCGTTGGCGGGATGTGTATCTCGTCATTACATCTCTCGAACAACAGATCTAACATCTCGTTCCCGAACATCGTGCCGGTCATCGCGGTTCTGACAATATCGTCGGGGAGGGAGAACGAGGCTAATCCCGTATCTCGCCAGTCAAGCAGCTGGTTCACCAGGAGTGGTCCCACATCAAAATTCTGGAATGCGCACCAGATATACCGTTCGTGTATGACATCGCCCGATTCCCCAGATATATCACGCAGGATTCCAAGTTCTCGTATGGTATTCATGACGGCCGCCAACTCCGATTGTGATGCCTCGCTGGCTCGATTATCACCGCCCAAGTTTATCATGCTCAGGATGGCCTTTATCAACTCCCCGGGGATTCGAAGTTTCTTCTTCAGCATCAAGTCTACCACTGCAAGACGACCACGTTTGACAGCCAGCTCCAATGGGCATGCCCGACGTCTGAAGCACTGGAGAGGATCTGCACCATCGTTAATCAGGAGATCCACGGTGCGGAGTAGCGAGAGCTCAGAGGCACGATAGATCGGCGGCAGGCATTCCTCAGGAAGCTTGCCCCAGGGGTTCTCCTCGGGCTTCGCGTCATGCTCAAATATACGTATCCAGTTGAAGTATACTATTGGCTCCGTGAAGAGTCGATCCACCTTGGCTGGTAGGTCGGCGGGCCAGAGGGAGATGTCTCCCAGGGCAGCAATGTGTCCCGGCCAGTGGATCGCAGCATAGACCAAAAATGCATTCGACATGGCATCTTCTTTGCCCAATTTTCCAGTCTGCGCAAGAAGGCAGTCGACCGTCTTCCTCGCCAGGTGTTCTTGCGCAGCAGTCTGGGAGAATCGACACTCATCGCATTTGTCAGCATCTTTGGAGATAACGAGGTACTCCTTCACGGAGAAGTGAGCCAGTTTGACCGTTTGGTCATCTAAAACACTGAGCAGCGATGTCGTGCATATTTTGAGGACGTAGTTGGGAGATCGCAGCCCCGCGAACGAGGCGACTGTTTTTAAATCCAGGGCACCGGCGGGGAAGGCCAACAGCATCAGCATTTCCCGCGCCATGGATCTATCCTCGTCGTCAATACCGTCCAGGATAGATTTGTAGGTGTCTGCTAGATCCTTCGGAATCGTGCGCAGGGCCTCTCTAATCCGTTTGTCGGTAGGGCAGCCTTCCAGTCGTTTGAGTTCGAGATCGGTCCAGCGGAAACGTCTATATGTAGCAATACAGGTTCAGTTACCAGGTCCATTTGTAAAGGAGTATGTGATAGGAGTAGGCGTGGGTTACGTACCGCTCTCTATTGTTCAATAGTGCATCAATAACCAAGGTTTTTGTTGCTTGAGTTAGATCGGATAGCCGTTCAGCAAGCCGTGCGTGAACAAAAGTTTCCACGTCCTTGGCCAGCCTCTCTTCCAGATCTATCAACGAGAACTTGCCCATTGTTGCAGCGATATCTTGCTCCGGTCGACTCGTGGCAAGAATATGGAGATTATCCTTGTGCTTCTTGGCCAAGTCTACAAGGATGGATAGAAGCTGTTGCCTCTCCCACTGGCTCGATGTCTGCGGGCATTCGTCCAGAGCATCGAACACCACAAAAACATCACTCGGCATACTTGTGATTATGCTGTCGAGCATGGCAAGTAGGGATTCTCGATTTGGCTGGCTGTTCTTCCTGCTGTGCTTCTCCCACGCCTTGGTGACCGACTCGTCTAGGGGCGACCGGCTGAGCTGCTGGATCAGGGACCGAACCATGTTGTCCACACTCTGCGTTTTGTCGTTGTTGAACTGGAAGTACCAGTAGCCTAGTGACTTGGATTCGTCTTCCTCGCAGCGATTCTCAATATCCTGTATGACAGTGGAGCTACCAAGTATTAGAGCTGCTCGTTAGAAGTGGCCCTGGTTGCGATACATACCAAAGGACTGATTTGCCGCAACCGACTATAATAACCCGAACGTTAACGACACACATGACAGTGGTAGAGAGGAACGTACCAACTCCGCGAAGCCAGAGAATACTTCCGGGTGAGCTTTTCCAGTCCCTATACTCTTTTGACTTAAGAAGCCAGTTGCCTGTATCTGGAGTTCGGTGTTTCTGTGTATCGATCTGGGCATTCGAGTAGGATATTACTGACACCCAGTCCATGATTTTTCTCTCCTCGTCATCTTGACAGAAGTGAATTAGCAAACACACGACCCTCGTCTTTAATTAGGCAGGGGTGGTTGGCGTACTCAATGCCTTTGAATAGAGTTTTTTGATCATGCCAACGCTTTCGTCCACCTGGGCGAGCGTCTTTTGTGCCAGCTCTCGGCTACCTGCGTTCTATTAGCGACCATGCTAAGTGGTCGTACAGTGGCCCACTCACGCATATTATTGGTGAAGTCAGCCCATTTCTCTGCGGCGAGACTTTGCTCCTCGATCGTTGCTTTCAGTTGGGTAAGTGGCTGGTCGGCTAGGGCCCTGATGCTTTTGGCCATGCGAACTGTAGTGGCATCAGTGAATTGGTTCAACAAAGGAACTAGAACAATATACCCGCCCGGTTTTCTTTCTGAACTTTCTTGACTTCTGCTGTGTAGTCCAGTATTGCCGTATAGACCCGAACGAGTGCGCGATCAAAGTTCTGACCCCCTTCCACCCTCTGGTCTCTATAATGCGCATCAACCAGAGAATAATAGGCGAGGTTCTCGGCAAGGTATTCAGAGGCGGCAAATACAGCATCTCGACGTTCGATATCGTTGTGAACCATCTATTCCTCTTTTCAGCACCACTGGTACCAAGAGATATGGGGAGTGTGTCCGGGAAACAGCCCTACCGTTAACCCAAGCGACACAACCGTCCACGCCGCCGAAGCTATACCCGTGATGAGTTGCGAATCATCTCACCAATGCGACAGGGGGGAAAGCTCACCCTTGCCAGTGGGATCCAAAGCTGCCACGGTCGCAATCAGGTCCCTGGCTTGCATGGCCGCGTTGAGGATCCTCTCCGCCGAACTGCGAACATTGATATCGTTTCCATCGCTGCGGCGGATTGTAAGCCCCCCTTTCTTCCATTCCCTATATCTCTTCTCCGTCTGCTCAATGACACCGTTGATCGCATCGGTGCTCGAGCCCGTGCTGCCGAGGGAGACGAGGTCTTTGCGGTCTTCGTCGAGACTCTCGTATGCCTCCTTCCATAGATCAGGACTTCCTAGTGGCTTTTCTTTAGTTATTGACGCACTTTCGCTCGGAGAAATTGGTGCGGTGGTGTGAGTTGTCTGTGGCTTGCCAGCACTAGTAGCGGGGGTGGGAACAGGACGTGGCGCGGACGGTCGTTGGTCACCGTCATCTTTGTCACCTTGGCTGCAGCAGAGTCGCATGATCAAACTTCTTTCAACCTCAGGAGGTTGGGGAAATAACCAGGAAATCTCTTCCGGGTCGAGAGTTCGCGCTGTTATACCTGCGACTGGCCCAACCGAGCAAGTCGTCAGCGAGATGAACAGCGGGTCTCGAGTGGGCCCAACTCCCCACACAAACACGACAAAGTCCATGTCCGTTGCTGATACCTTGCCTGCTGTGGGTCAGTTTGACATTTCCTACTGGGATTGCCGATCTTACAGGCGTGGCGCTTTTAGTTCGACCTGAGCCGATCGTACCTGCCCACGAACCGCATCTACACCGTGAGTTTCACTACCAGCGCAGATGTTTCAAACGAGTTAAAGTCATGAAGAACTTATCAAGAATCAAGACTAAGAGAGCAGAGAGAGGCACGGGTTCCTGGTCGGAAAGTACGCGGGAAAGATTGAACCGCTGTGGTCCATCCATACTGCCACGATGATCGGTCGTGGGGGGAACGACTCAAGTGGAAATTCAGCATTAACATTTGTGGCATTGAAGAAACCCCGTGTTCGCCCATTGCAGGAGGGGTGAAAGTATCCAGAATGCAAGAAATGGCTGTGGAGTAGGAAAGGGCAATTTTGAGCAATTTAGCCAGTATATTAAGATGTGGCGGGCCACAGGCAAATGGATCAGAACTGCTATTAAGTAGGTAGGTAAAGAGGAAGTATGTATACAGGGCAAGCACAGCAGCGCGGACTGAAATCAGAAGAACTGAACTTGAAGCAGTGTGGTATCTGGTGGTAAAATGTAGCGATAACATAACGACAAGTGTAAGCGACTCGGAGATGTAGGTAAAAGTAAAAGATGAGAAAATGTGGTGAGATCTTTCTCCTCATCCACTGGTATTAGATACAAGAAGCGAAGTAGCTAAGTAAGTTCAGCTAGCTGGAAGATTCTGCAAAGAGGAGAGGAAAACATCAAACGACAACACAGCACGCCATATTAACACAGGTAACGGGCGAAAGTGGGCAAGTTTTGAGGGAATCAAGACCGATCAACAAAGGAAATAAATAGGGGATAAGGTGGGTGAGTGGGAGTATAGACAGTCTATGGTATGGTGTTCATGTTTGAGCTCATACTATTTGAGGTCCAAAGGGACCGTCTGCGAGATCCTTGGGAGACGCAGAAACGAGGCCGTCCGCCGTGCTCTCATCTTCCTCTTCGAATGCGGGCTGCGAGTAATCGGCCGGCTCGGCGTCATGATCGTAGCTTGATCTTCGCAGGAGAGGCGGGGTAGTTGGCGGTTCTCGCATCTTGCCGGCGGCCCGTGAAGAGAGCGGTCGTGGAGTAGTGTTGCTGTAGCTCTTCAGCGGCCGAGACTCTGACGGTCGTCGCCAACTTGGGGCGGGTGCTGCGCTGCCATTGGGACCTGTTTGTCGAGCGTTCGAACTGGGCGGGGTCAAAAGACCCGAGAGAAAAGTGCTTGCAGGGCTCGACTTGGATGGCGTCTGCTCGGAGGAGTTCGACGAATTGTCTCGTCCCTTGCGCCAGTTACCCCAGGCAGCAGCGGCCGCAAGAGGCAAGGCTCGTGGAGATGCAGTTATATCAGCAAGAGAGGGAAAGTTGGGGAAGCTTTGCCCATTCATAGCCCGCTCTTTCTCCTGCTGCTGCATTTGCAGGTTGGCCTTTAGGCGAATGGCAGCGTCACGGACAGAGTGCTGATTGAAAGACGGCTGCGACACCGTGTTGATAATATCCTGCAGATCGTTGACACGAACGTCAAGAAGCTCGCGAAGCCAGTTGATCTCGGTGTCCTTCTCCTTGAGCTTGTTCGGGGCCTCCTTGTCGACGGTGGAGAGTTCATGCTCAAGCTCGTCGATGCGAGTCTCACGCTGCTGGAGCTGGTCTTGCAGGACGAGAATCGATTCTCGCAACGCTTGAGGTGAGATCTTCTCCGGTACAGACGATCCCTTGCTAAACGATAATGAGGGAGAGCTTGCGTGCGAAGCTCCGGCAGGAGCGGCAGCCTTGGCCGACTGTGCGGCTTCGGCAGCGGCGCGGGCAGCAGATTGCGTGATTTCGAGCTTCTCTTCCAGATGCGCAACGCGCTCTTGGAGATGCTGGATCTTCTCATCCGAGAATGCCAGTCGCTCGACATGTTGAGACTCGATGCGCTGTCTATCCTCGGACGAGTTGTGCAAAGCACGGGCGTGGCGTTCGCGGAGGTCATTGAGAACGCGCTCATGCGATTTCCGCTGCTCTTCCATGGCAAGATCTTTGGACTCGATGGCTGCGCGAACAGCGTTGGCCCGTGTCTCCTGCGCTTCTTCAAGAAGCAGCTCGTAACGTTCCTTGGCCGTGTCAGTGTCGAGCCTTACATTCTCAAGCTGTGTCTGCAGGCGAACAATCTGAGTTTCCAGTTCAGCACGAACAATATTGACTTGGGTGTTGGCAGCATCAATCTCCGTCTCGAGTGACGTCCGTGTGCGCTGGATCTCGGCTCTGCTGCTCTCGCGGGCCTCGTTGAACTCGCGCTCAAAGTGAGCCGCCTTGAGGTCCAGTTCATGGTTCTTCTGCTTGAGCTCGTTGACAAACTCTTCGAGGCGAGCATTTTCCTGCTGCGACTGGCCGAAGATGAACTTGAGTTTCGCGGCTTCTCGCTCCTGCTCTTCCAGCTTGGCAATGTCCATCTCTAGTTGCTCACGCAGCTTCGTCTCGCGGTTATGCGACGCGCGCAGTTCGTTGTATTTGGCATTGAGCTCCTCTTCCTTGCGACGCCAAGCGGCCTGATCTTTCGCAACATCTCCAATCACCGCAGCCATCTGATCCTGGACTTGATCAAGTTTAGCGCTGAGGTTCTGGCGAATGTTGAGACCGTCTTCAATACGCGTCGCCATGCTAGCGACAGTATTGCGCAGCTGGTGGTTAGCAGCTTTGGCCTCCTCCAACTGATCCTTCGCCTCTACGGCTTCTCGCTTGGCGTCATCAGCAGCAGACCGGTACTCGTCAAGCGTGCCTTGCAAGGTGATGTTCTTGGAAGAAAGCTCGTCGAGTGTAAGCCTCGTGCTTTCGCGTTCCTTCTCGAGAGCCTCGGCTCTCTGTCGGACATTCTCAAAGTATGGCATCTTCTCCTCTTGGAGTTGTAGGAGTCGGGCTTCGGCGGATTCAGCGGCAGCGCTGTGGCGAGCGGCATCCTCTTCGACGGCTTTCAAGTGACGCTGGAGGTCTGCAATCGTATCCTGCGCTTCTTTGCGCTTCTTGTACTCTTCCTCGGCGCGCTCGTCGGTGATTCTCAGCATATCCTTCAGGCCATTAATCTGGAGGATCAGGTTGTCGGCTCCTATCTCTTCGGCTTCTGAGCGGGAACGCTGGTTCAACTGGCCTGCCACGACCTCCTGCATCATTTGTCGGAGATCAGCCGTAGTATCCTGCGAGAGTTTCTGCGTTGCCAGAGTGTGTAGCTCAGCAACACGGTCACGAAGCTCCAACAGCTCGGTATTCGGCTGTTCAGGAACCTGCGAGATCTTTTGCGTTGTCAGACTGTGGATCTCAGCGACTCTGTCACGGAGTTCCAACAATTCCGCAGTAGGGACTGGCTCGGGGATAGGCTGGGCTTCACGCGTAGCAAGAGCTTCCAGGATGATAGTCTTCAACTTCTCGAGCCTGCGCTCCCTCTGGTAAAGAGGCGATTTCGTCCTGTATGATGCGTCCTCTTCAATCTCGTCATACTCATCATCAGCATCACTGTCGATGACCTCGGCCGACGCACTCCGCCAGACTGGAGCATGCTGAGGAGCCGGGTTCAAGGCATTCAGAGTGTGCTGAATGGAGCTTAGTGTGTGCTCAATAGGGCCCATGCGCTCATCGATCAGAGGTCCGAGAAGATCATTGATACGACGATCAAAGAACCTGCTCCGATTCGCCAGCTTATCTTCCTCTCCAGAGGAGATAATGTCGTCCCAGTTTTCGATGATATGGTCGTTCCGGCTCAACAACTGCCTAATTGGCGAGTGAGCTGCGGAGGCAAGAGCCTTGGTAGGAGTAGCAGAGAACTGCGACCGCGCATCGAAATCGAGCTTGGGGACGTTGAGGGTATTCGATATGAGGCCCCTTCCGGGGCTGGGGCTCGGAGGGTCGCTCCTGTTGTCTGCTGGAGCATGACGCTTCTCCTTCGATAGTCCGGGTACGGTTTCGGGAAGGTGGCTTTGTGGGTGAGGAGTGCTCAATCTCTCAATGCCGACGTCGGAATCGCCGTTCAGTTGGTCCATGATTGCGTTGAGCTCGTCCTCGTCCGGAGAGTCCTGGTCTTCCTCAACATGCGTCTCGGGTTCTTTTGATTCGTGGGCGACTTCCGACGCAACGGCCTTGGTACCAAGATCAACAGAAGCCGATAATTCGGTAGATAGCTGTCGGGCAGGGGGTGAAGGGGGTGGACTATCAACGGCATAGCGGGAAGCCATGAGGCCCTTGTTTGGCTTCGGCGGTGTATCCTTGGGAGGAGGCACCGGCTTCTCAGTAGTGACCGGCACAAATTCAGCAGTAGATGGCTTGAAGTGGAATGACCTTGCCGCGGCTGAAAGCAGGTTTCTCGATTCAGTCTCAGGCTTGGGTTCGTCGACTGGCTTGCTTCGCTCGACTGGTTCGATAGCCTTAACCTGCTCGGGCACAGGCTTCTCTTCTTCTTGTAGCAGTTCAGGACTCTTATGTTGAATCTCGTCTGCTTCTGCTGTGTCTTGCACATCTTCCTTGGTCTCAGGTGGAGCCCATGTTGAAGCTTCGCTGACAGGTGTATCCTTGCGTGCAACAGGGTCCTCGGTATGCTCCAGTGCACTCTTCGGCTCCGCAGGAAGAGCCTTGTCCTGGTTTGGCAAAGCGTTCTCTTTACCCTCAGCAGGTACATGAGTAGCATCCGATGGATGTGACTGGAAGTTATTGGCCTCCGTCAGAGCGTGCGGCATGCTATAGGTGGCCTCAGCGTCAGAACTCTCGCCACGACGACGGGCACGCTTGTGTCGATCAACAGGGATTGACCGGCCATGCTCGTCATTGACTTCCTGAGGCTCTCTGTCATCTTCCTCTTCGTCTGGGCGGACGATTGGGACTGCCTTGGATTTCTTCGCGGACATGGACATTTCTGAAAGATCGATGTCGTTGAAGATCTTTGTCCTGCCTGGGCTGAATTCCGGCGCGGCGACATTCAGAGCAGGAGCGGGACCTTGAGGAGCGGAGAATTTGAATTCACGCGAGCCAATGTCCTGGCCAAAGTTGCCGCCCGTGGTCCCGCTGCCAGGTGTGAATACAGGCGCAGCGATAGCCTGACCAAAGCTGCTGCCCGTTGCTCCACTGCCAGGTGTAAATGCAGGGGCAGCGACATTGAGCCGACCGGAGGGTTGTTCTTTCGGCGCACCAAATGAGAAAACGGAGTGTTCCAAGGTGGGGAATTGGAAGGCAGTCTGCTGTTGGAAAGGCAGAGGTTGAGGAGCAGGTGCGCCAGTGGGAGCGAACTCCTTGGCCTCGACGTTAAGACTTGATGTTGACAATTTCGAGCGATGTCCACCAACGTATGATCCGATGCTGGGTTTCGACTCATGCCAAGGGATGTGATGTGCGAGCGACCCATTGCGCTGCGGCGTGCCGGACAAACTGGGGTTGGTATCGATATCCGAGCCATCGTGAGCACCGTCGCCGGAGTAAGAACCGCCGTAAAAGTGGTTCAGATGCTGAGCCATGTGTTGAGGAGCGTTGCTCTCTGGGAGTGCCCATTGAGACTTCAACAATGCAGGTGCATCGAGGTTGTGTTGGAATGAATCGCCGTAACCGTTGTCAAGATCGCGTTCAATAGACTCTTCGAGGTGATAGTCAGGCGCGATCTGGTCAATCCCCCTTTGAAGCGTCTCGCTGAGGTTGTGACCACGGCTGTGGCCGCGAGGTGTGGGTTGAGCGATTTCAACAGTGGATGCATGGAAGTTGTCAGGGTTCGGAGGTGGCGTGCGGAGGGGCCGCAGCTGGTCTTCAGGATAATGATCTTGGGTATACTGATCCTGGGGATCATGGTGCATCTGGCCGTCAAAGGCGTCCTTTGGTTGCCCCATGTGATCGTATCCGGGATTGAAAGCGTTCTGATCGGTCATGGGAGAAACAGGGGATAGCATCGAAGTGAGGCTAGAAAGGGTGCCCGGAATAGTTGATGTGGGACCGCTGCCACGCAAGTTGATGAAACTCTGAGGCGTGAGTGAGCCTTGAGCAGGAGGTGTAGGCTGGAACGGAAGATATCCTGGCAACATTCCCTGGTCAACTCCATAAAACGGCGTTTGCGCGCCGAACTGGGACGCGGGGGATGCCAGAGATGCTATTCCACTGTGCATATTAGGTCCCTGGGCTAGCTGGGGTGAGAAAGCATGAGGCATGGAGAAAGCATTGCTAGCAGCTGATGCGGTTGGGATTGGTGGAGACGCAACGAGACCTGGGAACGGAGTCATTGGGTTCATTGCCGAGGCTGGGGAAGCAGACTGTTGGATCTCATCCTCGCCTCCAAACACACCAAGCGCCCGTAGCTTCTCTTCTTGAAGGAAGTTGACATATTCATCCCAAAGGGCCTTGTTAGGAAAGCTGACAGTGTAGCTTCCAGGCTTGATCTCGTCCTGCATGTCACTAGCTTCAGGGTAAGATGGGCGACTGGCACCTCCCAGCGCCACATCGGAGGGATCCTCCGGAGCGTTGACGCTGAAGCCGCGAATGTCGTACCCTAAATCCTCCCACTCCTTCAGACGCTGCTTGACATCCTCCGCAGTCAACAGGCGATATCCAGACTCCTCTGTGCCTCTCTTGTCAAACAGCGGAAGATCGATAATGCATCCTTTGCCGCGCCATGGGATTTTCTTCCTCTGTCTCTGCGGCAACGGACTTGACTTTACCGGGCTTTCTTTCTCCAATGTACCGGCCCCGGCGGAAGTCGTCGAGGTATTATTTTCATCTACCGGAGGCGGAGGCAATGGCTTTTCGTTTTGCGCCAGCATCTTAGGCTCTGTCTCCGCCGCAGGTTGCGGTTCCTTTATTTCTGTCATTGTGTTTGACTGGGATTCCTTGTCGTAGGCAAACCCCCAAAAATCCTCCTGTCGAAGCGTGTCGGCTCTCTTGTGGAGGGACTCCTTTATCCTTGGACGGCTCGCACCCCTCTCTCGACGACTAGCAAGTGCAGCCCTTCGGTTCACAAAGTCGGCGAGTGTCGGAGTCTTCAACAAATCCTGTTCGCGGGAATCGCTCTCAAGCCCAAGCCAATCGTCCGACGCGTCGTCGGCGAAATGGTTCTGAGCTGTGATAAACGAAGGCGCTTCGCTACCAGAGTCGTCGCTCAACCAGTTGCTGCGTTCGGTCCTATGCTGGCCGGAGACGTATTGATTTATCCAGTCCTGTGTAAACTCCTGTATCGACTTTCCGCGTAGATTCTCCTCTCCAGTTCGATCCGCGGCAAGCGTATCGTCACCGGGGTTCTCTGCTGCTGGATTCTGCGACACGTGCAAGGTTCGCAAGATATTGGGTCGCTTCGGCTCGAGCCCAAAGTTTATCGAGGCCGGGGAGCTATCGTCCGACTCGCGATCGATACCACCGTCTTGACTGAGTGACCACGACAATCGGCGCTGACTGGGCGCGGCATACGGCGATCCCCAGGCTGTTGTATAGTAGATGCTGCCCTCCGTCTTCTTGTCCTCCGGGGACGTGGTGGGCGAGTCTACTACACTCCGGTATATCGGCAGGACAGGAAGGGTCGATGAGGACGGCTGGTCGGGGACGACGCTGCGGTTCCCAGGCGAGGTTGGCCGGCCAGGGGATCCAGCGGCCGACGCACCGGGTGATGGGAAAGGCGACTGCAACGGAGCCGACAGACGCGAGCTGTTCGAGACGCCGGATGGATTTGTGGACTGCGGCGGCGGCGGGGAGAGCGCCGAATTGGCGGAAGACACGGGGTGATCTAGATCTGGAGGCCAAAAAAGGCGATGGATTAGCTCGCGAGCCATGATAATCGAGCATGCGTAGACAAGATTGAGACAGGCATTGTAGATATCGTTGGATACCAAAAGCTGCCGGGCCTGATCGTGATGTACCCAAGGTAACACATTGACGTACCTTCCGTGTCGACTCTTGCAGCAAGCACTCGCTTGCTGCTCTCTTTACGGTCCAGAATGTTGAAGCATGGAACTCAAGCCAGAGCACCTTTCTTCTCTTCGACGTTTTTATCACGGGAAACCTGGAAACCCTCCCAGACGCAAACGCAAACGCGAAACGGTTCGAGGAGGACGGTCTTTTGCGGAGCGAACCCGTCGTTGTGGGCGAGGGGATACTTCAGGGGTGGAGGGGACGGAACGAAGATCGCGATGGCCGAGAGCAACGAAAAGCGACAAACAGACAATGAACAACAGATCACAGAAACCTAGGGTATGCGAAGGACTTGAACATGGCGCATACGCGAAGGACAGCCGGATCGAGGTTGACGATGGAAGACACGAAGAATTGGGGAGACGGGAGATGGTTTCTTTCTTATTTTTTTCCTTTTACCTATCGGGTATCGGCCATGTCACAACGGCCAACGAACGAGGCGAGCGTCACTCTTCAGTCAAAGCTCGAGCAGCAGAGCAGATCATAGGCGGAGAATCGCTTCCAAGGTATTTTACGGTATGTTACTTTTGAAGAGCACTCTCATGCTTTGATCTTGATTAATTATTGGTACCAAGAGAACCGCTAATCACGGTCTATTAGTCCGGCTAATTGATGTCCTTTATCGAGTCCAAAGACCCTTTGGATTGTGCCAACTCACCGCCATCGACGTAAGCTCCTGTGCCTGCATGCGCGAGTCGTGGATCATTGTTTGCTTCGCGCGACAAATCATCGCGAAGTTGATGCAGAAGTCTCCCGTCATCTCTGATCGCAGGATGGAAGATGGTTCGATATGATGCTCCGTAGCATCGACCCCGATACCCCTGAATCAAACCAGATGATGGTGACCCCCATAAACAACCCCAATGACGCGCCCGTTCCGGTTCGCGTTTCCCACTCAGGGGTAAAAGTGCGCTACGAACCACGGTTCCCGCCCAGCCATTACCACACATCAACTGGCTCTCGGTCGGAGGCTATAATGCATGCATTATTGCCATGGATGAGGTAAGTTTTCTGCACACTGCAGATTTATGCGCACATGTTGGACCAACGAAAAAGCTCACGTTTATTGCGTATGACTATATGTTACATCGAAACCAATTCTATGAGGCCAGCCATCTGACGCTTCTCACCAAAATAAAAAGCAACTCTAGTTGGGGCAAGCCATGTCGAACTTGGCCACGCGGTCGTCAGTGAAGAGACCCCAGTGCTTCTCGTCCTTGCGCTCGCCGTTGTCGCCGACGGTGTCGGGCTTCCAGGTCTCGTCAAACGCTTCGAAATAGAAGACGTCAATTCCCCAGGTGAGCATAGCGCAGACGGCGTTCTTGTAGTAGGTCGCGGCAAGCTTGGTGCTGGCCTTGGCAGCGCCGTAGTCGGATCCACCGTCTGCAGAGATATTAGAACCGAGCCGAGAAAAGAGGTTAAACTGGGAACTCACCAGTAGGCCACCCGGTCTCGCCGTTGCCGAAGCGGATGTTCTTCGCGTTATCACCAGCGACCTGCTCAATGCGGGCCTTGGCCTGGGCCATGTCGTCAAAGTAAGTGGCAGTAGAATTGTCAATCGTCTGGCCCTGCCAGTACGCGAAGCCGTTGGCGAGGCTAGAAATATTAGCAGCTGCCATAAATCCCCAACAAGAGATAGCCTGCTCACAAGTATGTAACGCCTCCCTGGATGATGGGATCCGCAGTGCCATCGGCAAACTTGTTCCAGCTGTCCACGGTACCGACGGTGATCTTGGGGAACTCGTCCTTGACCTGGTTGATGCGCTTCAGAAGCTTCTGAGCAGTGATGTCTCCGCGGTACAGGCACTCGGAGCCGACAGTGATGGCCTCAATGACGTCTTCGTTTCCGGGGACGGAGTCCTTGAGGGCGTCGAAGTCCTGGTTGAAGGACTCGTCGTAGTCGGGCCTGAATCACAGAACACGCATTAGTCCCCATCGGAGAATCTCACAGCACCAAGCTAGCAGCGGAATAGCATACCAGACTCCTAGCACAACCTTGAAACCCTTTGCCTTGGCAGCGGGGATGATATTCTTCGCAGTGTCGCAGTTGGAGGCACTGTAGGTGCGGACCAGAGTCGTCAAGTGCTTGATCGCGTCAAAGTCCTTCTTGTAGTCGGCGACGGACTTGCAGGTAGAGTCGGGGTTTTCGTTTCCGAGGGCGAGACCGAAGGCTCCCCGTTCAGCGAGAGCGGGCGCGGCGGCCGCGAGGAGAGAAATGAGACCGGCGACACGCATGTTGGAGAGCAGGGCAAAGGAGATCGTCGGATAAACGAGAAATCGAGGTCGAGCCGGCAGGAAGAAGATTCAACAACCTCCTGTCTTTTGTCGAGGGAGGTAAATAAGGAACGGAGCGGGCTGCGGAGACTGTTTTTTCTGCAGATTCCAACAGTCCAGTTGAACGAAAGTAAGGAGCGTGGTAGTTTCGATCAAAAACCCGGATACCAGAAAAGAATGACTGGATTTTCAACGAGAAAGAGAGTGATGTTGAAGCACAATTGCAAGATCGTGAAATCGCTCCCTGAGGAGGCCCGACCCAGGCTGCTTCAACTCCTGAAACACACTATGCCCCATGAGGCGGAGATTACTCAGGCACCCGACCAGCCAAGGGTCTTTCGCCTAGGCTTGTTTCTCCACTGCTTCGGCCTTACTGGAAGCCGCAAATCTCTCCAGCGATCCCTTCATCCTACTCTATTCTTGGAATCAGCTCATAACAATCGTCCAACTGTCTCAAGATGAGCGAGGGTCTGGACTTGAACATCTATTTTTGCTTGCCTTTCCCCCTTGGACTCGTTACCCCTATCATCGGGCTCGCTCTCATGAGACATTGTGTCATTGACAGCTTCCAGGTATCATCAAACTGATGGTCTCCTATTGCTGTTCATTTCATCAAACAAAATATTCTTCCAACACGGGCTGCACTCAATCAGCATGGCCTGATGTTGCTGACACTTCCCTTCAACAACCAAATCATCGACAAAGCAGATTAAGAATAGCGGACTCAACTCAATCATCGTTCACAGTTCCTTGCATTCTCCTGATCACCAACATCTAATCTCACAGGCTTTCGAGCTTCCTCTCCACGTTCAATTTCTAGTCTTCAACAACCGACTTGACTCGAGCGGGCGTGATATTGCGACCGGTCATATCGTTGAATTGGCTGCTGATAGTCTTCCAGCGATCTTTCCTCCAGTCCGCGGCAATCCGATGGAGTAGTAGTACCTCGTCGAGAGTGAACTCGTCGTCGATATAGTACACCTTCTTAACCTTTGGCTGTCTAGAAAGGGCGTCGTCGTCGTCGGACTTGCAACGTCAGTAGCAATCACGAAATGAGATGGAACACAGACTTGCGAGGGACTTACATCTTCAAGACGCATCCTGCGGAATGACACTCGGCGGTCTTCCTCCTCGTCATCGTCAAGCTCATAGTACCAGTCGTCGGCGGCCGTCTTGCTCAACCCGTATACTTCCTGAAGGTTATGTCCGCGTTTCCGGAGGCCAGCCCAACGCGCCTTGAGTTCCTCGATCGGCCTGTCGTCCATGACTGTAGAGATTCTCCTCCATGGAACACCTGATGCCCTCAGCTTCCGAAGTAGCCTGTCGTCATCAGTCGTCCATGGTATGGCCTCTGGCAACGTGTCTGGCAAGCTCAAGCGTTAGTGCTTTATCCGACGATACAGTCTGGTTAACTCACACAATACCGTCTGCGTCCGCGCTCGGCCTCCGCTTGCTCGGGGAATGACACCGACAGGCTGGTAGGGATAGTAGGTTTCGACCAACGCCTGATTGTTGGCTGCGACAAGAGGGACTTCTGCTGGGTAGTAGCTTGCACCCGCAGTCACTCTGTACGGCAGTCGTTCTTCGCGGACGCCGCCTTTCAGGTTCATGAGCGACATGAAAGGCACTCGGTACTGCTTGCCATTTGAGATGAGGACCGGCATCGTGCTGCGCCGCTTAGACTGGGGATGAACAGAGTGGGTGTCTCGGTAGGTAGAGGTTGCAAACGGCCCTCGCGAGAGGACTGTCTTCAGGCATAGCAAGTAGGTTGAAGACAGATGCTGTAATTGAAGTTCGAGAGAGAGTCTGGGAAAGCGCAACCATCGCAGCTTCCTAATGACTGACTAGGTGGCTGCCCTCGAAGCGAGAGGTGACTGCCTAGTACGCATCTATCTATAAACAAGCTCAAAACACCGGAGCTACAAATGCATGATGCTTAACTCCGTCCAAGGATAAGGCTGTCTGAACTGTTCTGGAATCTCTGGAATCCGAGTCACGAATTCTTATTGTAAATTTCCCCGAACTTACTGCTTGTCGAGCTAATTATGGCTCTTGGTGGGTGTGATTTTGTAGCAAGACCGGCCTAAATATATACTCGCTTCCACGTGCCAGGTGACCAAAACAGAGACTCAATGTCAACGACGCGGACTAGAGACAATTAGAGAACAGTCTACAGATATTGATGTAAGAGCGTCCGAAGAGCTGCATATGCCCACACTAAAACGTGAATCCTCGAAGCCGGGGAAGGCAGTGAAGCTTGTCATAGCGGGCGGAGCGGACAGCTGGTTGGGTGGTCCGTGCGTCTCGAAGTCCATCGCCGGAGAGAGACCACCTTGCGCGTCAACCCGCCCGATACCCAACCCGCCGCAAAACATCCTCCACGACAACGGGGTTCTTCAATTCCTCAGCCGATCTTCCTCAAGCTCTCTCTGGACCCACGCCGTACTCGATTGAAAAGGAAAAACACCGCCCACAATGCGCTTCTCCGCAGCAACCATCCTGCTCGCCTCGCTGAGTTGGATCACCTCCGTCGCCGCACACAACATCCAGCTCCGCGCTCACTCCCGAGAATGCTTCCACGAGACACTACACAAGGATGACAAGATGACCGTGTCTTTCCAGGTCGGCGATCGCGAGTTCGGTGGGAGCGGGAACCTCGAGATTGATTTCTGGGTATGAATGATTCCTGCTCCGGATAAAAATAGCCAAACCTCTTCGACTTCTGTCGACTCAATTGCTTTACACACTCAAACACATGCTAATGCTAATCCTTTTCTATACTACAGGTCGAAGACCCCTCAAAGAACCGCCAGTACTACAAGCAATCCGTCTCCTCGGAAGACTACTCGTTCACCGCACACGCCGACGGTAAATACGTCTACTGCTTCAGCAACGAGGGCTGGACCTCGAACTCCAAGGAGGTCTCCTTCAATGTCCACGGAATCGTCTACGTCCCCGAATCGGAACTCGCGCAGGATCCTCTCGAGACGGAAGGTAGGATTGACAACCACACCACCCAACGCATCGCACACTGCACACTACAGCTACAATTGCAATTTTTCTGGGGTCTACGTGCTAACGGAACTCACTAGTCCGCCGACTCCTCGAGGCACTGGCCCAGGTTAAGGACGAGCAGTCGTACATTGTCGTCCGCGAGCGCGTACACAGAAACACGGCCGAGAGCACGAACGCGCGAGTCAAGTGGTGGAGTATCTTCCAGCTTGCGGTGCTTATTGGCGAGGGTATTTTCCAGGTGTGGTGGTTGAAGAGATTTTTCGAGGTATGCTTGCCAGTCTCCAATCCTGTGCTGTCATCGAGGTATTAACACTGTATTCTACAGGTCAAGCGCGTTGTCTAAAATGTACGTTTTATGAGAGATAGGGGGTTGGGTTGTCGGCTATGTATGGCCCTTTCTACATTAGATGGGAGTATGATACTTGAACGATCTTTTATATTATATATTTTATCTTGAGAGTTCTGAGCTCTAGCGTTATGTTCCGGATTCGACCTTCCCTAGAAACAAGGCTACATACATCATCCCAGCCAGCAGAGCGGTCATAGACATGACCATGGCAATGGCAATTTGACGTTATTTATCCAAGGTCCATACAACGTTGGACCTGCTCGAAGGCAATTGAAGTTAGTCAACTCTGGACATTCAACCTGCCGAACGACCACCAACCGATTTGAAGAAGAAAATTCCACCCCGCGTACGCTCCCCTTTCTCGGATCTATCCAACCAATCAATAAGCCTACCCTCTCCTCATGAGCACGCCCCGCGCATCTTGGCCCCAATTACGTAGGATCCACTGCCATAGCCAAAAATGTTCTTCAAAACGTCCAAGAGTTAGGCCTCACACAAGAGACGAAGGGAAAGGAGGGGTTCCGAGTAGACTGTCGTATAGGCTTGACGAGGTTGCCCACGCCTGGCTTGATTTAACATTCAGCAAATCGAACACTAACTGACTGGGTAACCGCTTATCTCCGCGACAAGCCTGGCAGACGAAGCTGTGGACTTTGCGTTTGCAGCATTTGCCTTGAAGAAGACCTCAGCTTATAGAGCTATTTCCTCCGCCGTTCCATTACGGGTTCAATTGTGCGCACCGCATAATTCCTCTAACGGTTGACGTCTCTGAATGAATAAACTGGTGTACCATACGCAGGCTCTGGGTCCTAGCTGATTTCTTGGGGAACTTGGTCTTTGGAGAGCAAGAAGACAGCCAAGCATGGGCCGAGAACGCCTGCCTTCCCCATAGCGGGTATACACATGATCACGTAGCCACTAGATCTCTCCTGGTACATACAACGCGATCTTCCTAGCAAATAGGCGACTCCCAGGACGGCCTGATCGTCGAAAGAGCGGGGACAAGCATCCCGTTTTTCAATGCGTCAACAATAAGTCTCGTTTTTCTCTGGGAGACGCGAAGAATCGACACCAGAGGTAGCTTCACATTCATGATGGAGGTCCACAATCTCTTGCACTCTTCATGCCCGCGGACACTGTGGTCGGCATCTGCATATGGGCATGAAATTCTAGGAGAGGGGAAGGAAACCGAAGGCGCGTGCGTGGTATTCCCGTCTGTGTCTATCACACTTGGTCTTGTTTGCAAAGACCCCACGCGATGCGCATTCTTCATATGGGCACTTTTTTTTTGGGTACCCAGCTGTGCGCCCGATGAACAAAAACGTGGTGGGACAGTGCCTCGAACCAACGCATATGATTTATTGCAACCAGGAATGTAGCAAAGAAATGGCCGGGTACCACTACTATCCTATATCATAGCTTCCATACCGGGGAGGATTGTATCACCTGCGCCACCGCCTCCATTGACACCGCATAACATACAACCACCAAAGCACGGCTGAAGAGAGAGATGGCTCGAGTCCCGTAGCAGACTCGTTTCAGCCGTACCTGGTTCCTCGAAGATTAGAGCCCAGAAACAATAAAAATGCCTTGCTGTGTGTCCGATTGTGCTTGCGGGCATACAGGTACGTAGACTTCATGTTGCTGGGCTATATAGTGTAAAGGCCTGGCTATGATGACATAACAACCAATGTCATTTCTTGTGACGGGCGGTAATTTGTCAATAGCTAAGCTTTGTGGGATCCTTACGGCACCCGGGATCCTCTTGGTATTCGCATCAAAAATGTGCAGGGCTCAGGGCTTACGACACCTAGTTACTAATAAGGGGAGGACTAGCAGGGTGCAAGTTCCGTGTCCTGGTCGATGGCTGATGCTTGGTTGAAAGCGGTAGTCTCGCCGGCTCCTTTAGAAACGATGCCCTAAGTCACGGATGCGGCATCCGTCCATATGCACAATCCCAAATGGTGTGTATCATGGCCATGTATGCTAACTAGGCTGTGATTCGTCCATACCGAGGTGAGCAGAAGGAGAAAAGTCATCCTGTCGCAGGTCAGGTATGCTGACTTCTTGTAATGTGATATGCGTTGTGATCGGATGGTCTTTGGTAAGCCGGATCAAGACCCTTGGGTGAAGCCGACGATGCTAACTTCTAGCAAGTCCAGAATAACTTTTGTGTACTTGGTGCCGAGGGCACTGCACGCCTGCAAAGATGGTTTCCTAATCTCTTTTTAAGATACCCGAAAGATACAGAGAACGGCAAAACGCGTTGTGATTATCGTCTTCCGACCAAGGCGTGCTGCTCTAGACTGCCAATGAGATTGCGATTGTATAGGATAAGTCATAAAATCGCCGATCGCTTTAGACGCCCCTTAAGAGGAGGAGATCAAAGTACAATGGTAAAAGCGCATGGTGCGAGGTAGGTTCAAGAAGCCACATAACTTGCTTGTTGTGACGGTGCTAGGTTGCCCCGAGCCACTTATCCAGCTCTTGCCCACGGGTTATGAGGAACAGTGACTTTCTTCCACTAGTCAGTATACCCCATGGCTTGTTCGCACAAATATGTCAGGCCAGGTAGATATATAAATCGCGTCAAGTTCTGGCTCAGCCTGTCAGGGTAGAAGAGCCTAAAGAAGAGCTAAAGAATATAAGCATGGCTGTATCCTTCAAAGATCAAGAGGCAGTTTAATGTTCTTGGGTTCATTGATAAATGATGCTTTCACTTGCACAGATAATACGACTGCCCTTCTCTCCGCATGGATTAATAGACATATGAAGGAATCCTGTGCTCTCAGTCTATCCCCCCAAACCGTAGCCCTAACCCGCGCAAGGTTAAATACTAGATCAAGACCATCTTAAAACGCCCTATGGGGGCCTTGTAAATCTCGCGAAGAAGAGAAAACCCATCCCGTTTGCTCTCTTCCAGTTGAGTAGATGCGCCCGCTAGTAGCGAGTACTCGATTGAGGCACACTGCATCTTGAGTCGCCTGAGATTTCCAAAAACACCGGCCCTGGAAGGCTCTTTCTTCAGGTATCACGAAAGGCTCGAGGAATGGCAAACAGTTTCATGAATTCTCTCCATAGGGATAGAATACGCGGCATCGGCTGACCTGAGGTATGGCGAGACCAAATCACCACTCTTTACTCCCGCCCACGTAGGAAACATACGACGTCGAAGAATCAGGGTGAGCGTTCGTAGGCTGGGAAATAATACGATCCTTGAATTTCTCCCACGCCTTGTCTGTGTGGCGAAGGAGTGAAGCAACCTCGTCCTTTCTATGGTCAGATACCTGATTTACCAGGTCACTGTCAGAGATAGTACGGTCTCTTTCTTCACTAAGCGCTAGACGTGTGCCGGGACAGCCGAGTGTCATCTCACACAGGTGATTTAGGCCCAAGGCTGACAAGGCTGTGGGTTGGTTTAAATAAATCTTAGAGTAAACAGCGCTGGCTACTACACGTCCTGTAAAAAGTCAATTATGGGCGAACTGCTAGAAATATCGCACGTAGTGTCCAGTACCAGGCACGCACCCCGATAGATTATAGCAGTAGGGGAAATTTGCGTTCTCCACCTCGTACACCTTCTCATGGTTGAATGTAGTCAGTATTCGATATAATAGAGACAAGACCATCGTGCTCAATGAACGTGCTCGCCGGTTGTTCGATGAAGTGGCCGTTCTGGAGAACAGAAAAGTCAGATGAAGTTATGATCAACTGTTCACGGGGTCCGCCCCTCTACAAGTAGCCCTTTGTAGTGAGCCGTTGGAAGGGGAGCCGACTTGCTTGGCCACACTGCCATGTTCTGGCATATCTGCAAGTTGATCTTCTGGACTCGGTTCATTGTCCAGTATCTATATGCAATGTTTCTTGCTAGCAGTCCTGCATAAAGCCCAATGGCTTTGTACCATGCCACGGGCGGTCCGGGCAAGGACATTTCAACACCTCCCTAGCTCTCAGCTATTCCGAACGGGATCTTCGGCAGGAGCATAAAAGGTTCCAGCGCAAGAATTTCTGGTTTCTCTTAGGATGCGTCTCTCCGCGGTGGGTGCTCCTGCGAACTATGTGTTGACGGAGCTCCGGAGACCGAATGTTTTGCTTATAAAAGGCTCAGACGGTTCTTGGGTCTGGATATCTTGTCCGCCTTGTCGAGGAAAAGCCTGCCAACGTGGGTGCCAAGATTTGGGTTATTCGATACGATCATTCTCGCGACTGATCGATCGCGGCGGCATTTATCATCGGGCCACTCACATTCATACCTGACTTAGACCAGAACAAAACTGTTGGTCATCGCCTGGTGAACTAATCCGAACCATCCCAATTTGGGTAGATGGAACTCGAGCCAGGTTACAAACGTACTGACTGCAATTGGGCAGCTGACTCGAGGAAACGAGCGGCCCAGGCTTGAGCAGCTGCATAGTAGAAGAGCCTGAAGCATTGGTTATCAGACTCAGACCCCCCAGCCACGGTGGTAGCCGCAGTGGCTGTAGGAGCGACAGCAGCGGCGCAGTGTACTTTTCATCCATGCTGACCAAGTGGTAGCGGATGCTCAAAGTATGGTCTTCATTGTCGTTCTCCTAATGCGAGGTTCGTCTATCTACATGTGTCCTCGCCGGGAGCAAGATGGCAGAAAGGCTGGAGGTGCGTAGCACCAAGTGACCCTGGCGCACAGTACACAAAGGTCCCCTCCTGATGGCTGGATTCTGACGTTCTGTCTTGACCCAGAGGTAATCAATTGGCTTAGGCGATGAATGCATTGGTAGTCAGACCATCGAACCCGTGAATCACCACTAATAGCACGTTGTCCAATGTAGGAGCTCTCCGGACAAAGTGTATTCATTCCCATCAGCTCTATCATTCCCCTCGACCACCATTTGGCATTGCCTCCCTGCCGGTTTGCGTGATGGATGTCTGTAGAGACTGGAAGTCTATATAGGAGGTGAACAGCGGCGTCGCCGTCAAAGGAAAACAAAGCTAAGGGTATGAGCTGCTCAATCAAGTCGTGCTCTCCGTTCCCAGTCAGTACTCGCATGCAGATTAGGGTTATAGACGCATCATGAAAAGACCATCAGGCGGTCAAATTTCCAATGGTGTTGACCATTATTATAAGAAACGTTCGACAAATCTGGATGCAAGGGACGAACAACGACGCCTCAATAGGGTTCGATGACGGAAGACCAGAGTAGACGAGGGTGGTAGTCTTATCGCGCCGAGTGGCGTTCGGACTGACATGGGCTGCATGCGACTTGGCGAGGAAGACCACCCTGTAGGATGAATCTTTATGTGGGAAGCAGCCATCGCGGCTTCGCGAAAGCCTGTAGACCC